CAGGGAGACGGCAACGAATCATGAAGCTGTAAGCGGGCTCAAGACCCTGAGCCTTGCGCTCCTCACGAATATCACGGTCATCCTGCATGTAAGTACCGTGGAACTTGGTAAGCTGCTGATCACTAGCGGAAATAGCACCGGTGGTCTGATCCAGGAGACCCTCAGCGATGGTACCACGCAGGTAGTTGGACTGAATCTTCATGTCCTCATTGGTCAAAGGAGCGGGTTCCTCGGGGAGACCCTCGACCTTATCAACACCCAAGGCTTGCCACAGACGGGGTTCCCACTCGGAGTAGCCAGTCTGGTAAGCATCCGGGTCTTGATCGTCACCAAGACCAAGATCGGTAAGCTTGCGACCACCCAAGAAAGAAACACGGGCATCAAGGTCCTTGGCAGGCTTGTTGTAGTAGATGCGGTCCTCCTTACGCGGCCAGTAGTGGCTGTCACCAAGACCGAAGACGGAGTAGTTGATGGAAGACAAATCAAGGTCGCCAGAGTTCTTGACGTGTTCCCACAGAGTACGACCATTGACAGGGAATTCACCCTGACCAGCAGTGCTGGAAATGAACACAACATTCTCCTCTGTGGACAGATCCTCAATGGGGTACTCGTCCATGGCCATAACCATAGTCTTCAGGCCACGAGCACGACCGCGGTTACCAAGACGCTTGGCAATGTTCTGGGCGTTTCCACCGTCAGAAGCAAACAGGATGGTCAGAGGAGCACCAAAGAGGCCATCCAGAAGCTTCTCGTATGAGTCCTTAGCCTTGCGCTTCTGCAGAGCTCGGACCTCGGTACCGTAAGATTCGGAAAGAACAGATGAGTACTTAGGCTTGCTGTTCATAAGCTGGGTAAGCTGGTTGTCACGGCGAAGGAACTCCTCCAGCTCCCGCTTGATGCGCTCCGAATCCAAAGAGAATCTGTTCTCCTCGTTGTCGGGGTTCCAACGGTAAAGAGGCCAGTAGCCAAGCTCAACAGCCTTCTTAGTCTCCTGCAGAACAGTGAGGGCAGAGTCATTCTCCTGGTTGTAGGGCAGGTAGGCAACGACGACGGAAGGACCCTTGAACTGCTCAGCCTCGGCCATGGCCTGGAGAACCTGAGTGTAAGAGCTGTACACAGCAGTGGATGCGACGTAGGCATTGCCAAAATTCATGGCATAGAGACCAATATCCTTCTTGCGGCGGGTAGGGTCAGCGGCAGAACGCTCGGAGTAGGGTTGCGAGTCGATGATCAGCATGTTAACATTGGCGCCGGAGGCGAGAACGTGGTGAACACCAGAGTTTCCAAGATCGTAGGCCCAGGCATCGGAACCAATGAGCCATTGAGACTCATCGTAGAAGAGCTTCTTAGACTGGAGAAGCTGACGGGACAGCTGAGAACCATCGTTGGAAAGGCGAGAGATAACATCCGGGGCAATTTTGTTGGCCTTAGCACTATCGCTGGCGCTCAGAGCCCAGCGAGACAGCCAGGTCTTAGGGGTATCAGTGGCGAAGGTGGTAGACTTGGATGCCTCCTCAACCTCTTTGATGAAGCGAGTGCGGTGCTCCTTGCGCGCGATCAGAGATCCAAATCCATATTCGGGGCTGGCGGCAATAGTAGATGAGATACCAGCATTCTTAGAATCAATCTGATTCGCAATGTAGAGACGCTCTCCAAAGAGCTGGTTCAAAATCTTAAGGTAAGCATTCTCAATGTGAGGCTGCTCAAGAGCAGGCTGGGGAGCGGGGGCCTTGGAGCTTCCAATATCCAAGTTTTGAATGGGAGAGGGAGCGTTGAGGTTCTGAACAATTCCACGGAGGGCCTGGACGGCGGTAGAGGGCTCCACATATCCAAGACGGTATCCAACGATCTTCAGGTTGGATGGGGTCAGGCTCGAAAGGAGGTCCATGAATGATGGTCCCCACTTAGTGGTCTTGCGAACTTGCTCCAGAACAGCAATCTTTTCGATGGAGGAGGGAATCGAGTTCACGATCTGACCTCCAACCCAGGGCCGGTAGACACGAGCAGTGATGAGACCAATATTCTCGAGATCGCTGTTACCGCTAGCGTTGGCGAGAGCATCCGCGAAGACACCGGTAGAGCCAAAGGCAAAAATGGCGGACTTGGCCTCCACAGATCCAGTGTACTCAATGGCGTGGTAAGTGCGACCAACCTCCTTGGAGAGAGCATTCCAGATCTGAGCGGTCCACTCAAAGATATCAGCGGCACTGACCGGGCGAACGCTGGCGGTCTCCACGGTAGTAGCAGTTGAGCTGGGTGCTTCGCTTCCTGCGCTGCTTTCACGTCGCGATGAGCCAACAGAGGAGTTTGCAACGCTTGCATTCAACGGGGTCTGGGCTTGGGAAGCCACAGGCAGGCTGGACGAAGCATCACCCTGTGCGGCAGTAATTTCCACTGCCTCGGAAACAGTGGCCACACGACCGGAATCAACGTACAGGGTATCGGCTTCCGAAGTGCTGTGGGAAGCAACATTACCACCCAGATTAAGAATATTCTTAACCACCTCGTTATCCTCAACAGGAATAGCGGTGTCCTTGGCGGAGTTGGCCGGGTCAAAGAAGTGAATCACACCCTTTCCGGACTTCTGAGCCAATGCATGTGCTGTCAGAGCAATATCCTGAGCCTCCTGCACAGTCTCGGAGTGGAGGAATGTGAATCCGCATTGCCGGATAGAGCTAATGACGGAGTAATCAGGGGATGGAGAGGATTCCAGAGCGACATGGATGACGACTGGGTAGCTGGCAAGGCGATACAGGTGAGGGACGGAGGTGATCAGAATAGAAGAACCGGTCACAACCGAGACAGTCTCGCCTTTCTGCAAAGGGTAGAAAGCGGAAAGCAGAGGGTCTTCGTTGAAACGCACAGCTTGCACCTGTTAAGATTTTTAGTTGGATGTCCTTACAGCCACCATGTTCTATCCGATATAGACTGACCTCAGGAGTACCCCTTGACAGCAGGCTAGCAGTCTTATTAGATTTTAAGGACTTCAAGGACTTGGAGAACAACGAGTCCGTCTGCAGGGAAGGTTGAACAGAGAGAACAACGTCACTAGCCAGGTAGGCGATTCTCGCCACTAATATAAACCACCCAAATTAGTACTTGAACATGCGATTGAATAAAAGTATTCGTCTCCGAACGTACCGGCTTCCCCAGCAGTTTGGATAGACGCCATGGTTGATAATTGCTGTGGCACAGCAGAAGGTGGGATGGGAAAATCGCTCGCGATCTTGGCTTATCGGCGCATGCAGCGATCTCCCTTGCAGGTCCACCCAGGAAGCACAGAAACGAGATAGAAGGAATGACACGATTGATTCCCCTCGTTCACTGGATTTATCCAACAAATATAAAAAGGAAAAAAAAAGTCCCAGGGCTCGGTTTTCTTCGCGGCAACCAGTCAGTTCTCCGCCATCGGGGTTAGATCAGCAACATGCTGATTGGTGCACGATCACGACATCAATGCAAACCCATACTTTAAGGTATGCAAACTTACCGCTTTAGGCGATAGTGCGGGGGACTCGTGACCCAGGGCGAGCACGTCAGCGTCGGCATTTGCCCGCGCAGGCTCTTCATTGAAAGGCTATAGTGCAGCTGTATACAATCAGATCCCGATTGACATGGCATATTAATCATCGTTGGCTGTATAGCAAAATTTGAGTACCCACATACTAAGATTTATACGTACAGTAGTTAAGATGTTCTATACCCCGAAGTCATGATTTGCTCGAATATGCGCTTTGTAGCTATGCTACTCACCGCAATCCGCATTACTTTCGGGGTGCCAATAGTAATGCGGTTATTACCGATTGAACTCTCGGTCGAGAGCTAGTGCATGTTTACAAATCAAATGCGGTAACTAATTATTCGCCTTTATTGCTGAATTACCCTTCAGCAAAGAAACTGTTGTCATGATTGAACTAGTTCCTGATAATAATAGGGGTTAATTCTAATTGAAAACTGATCCCGTTTTTATCATGCAATGGCAAGACCCCCCCCACCAAGGAGGTGGGACCACACAGTGACCAGTAAGAAATGAAGCCCGCATGCAATTGTCATAGATATTTGAGTTGTGTAAGACAAAAACAAAACAAAAAAAAACCACTCCCAATGATTGATTGTGTCATTCAGAATGATATACTGTAAGCATAGATTCCGCGCTGTGAGCGAGTGTTGAGGTGATGTTGCCAAAAAAGAAAACTGGATTTGAAAAAAAAAAAAAAAAAAAAAAAATGATCTGCGCAGGGTTCGAACCTGCGATCTTCCGTGTGTAAGACGGATGCGCTAACCACTACGCCAGCAGATCATGATGATGACTTATATCGAGTAATACTAAATCTAGATCTATTAGAATTTATCTCGAAATGGGTAGTAGTATCTATTCTTTCAGCGTCTGCTCATGCGTATGTTCATGCGTATACGGCCCTATACGGAACTGATAGATCACATTGGTAACCTCAAAATCCAAACATACAGTATAAAGCAAATTAGGGACTCGACCCAGGTATCCATACTATCCAAGACAGCATCCCGGTCTGTTCACATTTACGTACATTCATCAGGAATATATTCCATATTCTACCTAGGCAATCATTGGTCTTGGTACCCCTTTTTCTATATCCAAAACATACCTAGGCAGCCAAGATTTTAAGAATTAGATGTGTAAATAAGGTCTGCATGATAATGCCCGACAGCCTCAATAGCCCCTTTTCTGACAGGTCCTTTCCATCTTTGTGCTACAGACTGCCCAATGGATGCCCGATATCAGAAATTTGTTTCTCCGAAAATAGACCGGGTGGGACGATTGGGCTTGGAAAGAATGATCTGTGTAGAGCGCGAGATTGTGGCTTGGAACTAAGATCATCGCTTTGTCGCTTTGCGCGTGATGTGTTCAGGGGGATCAACGGCAGGTTCTTTGTGTGATGAAACCCCTCTGAGCTTGACCAGTTTAAAACCGCAATGTTCTGCCCATTTGAATTCCATCAATCAAATTCTTCTTGTACACCATGTCTATCAATCGATTCTTCTATCTTTATGGTGAGTTCTTTATTCCTTTTTTATCCCTTCTCGTATATCTTTAATTGATGTTTGGGGTTATAGTTGTCAGCGAAGGGGTACCGGGTCCGCGGGGTTGAATGCTTGCCTTGATGATATTTCAGAGTTATAGCAAGATTCCAAGGTATGTACACTCAAAAGAGATATCCTTTTGAATTATCTAACATGGATTCAGATGTTTGCGGTCCAGTTGGACGCCGCGGGCATTTACCTCGTCGGTACACCGACAGAACAATTCCACCTATCCTTCGAAGAAATGATGGCTTTCAATGCAGGCATAATCGGCCTTCTGGAGTACGGCGTCACTTGGAAGGTATTAAAAGGAGTCATAAGCCGAATAAGACATCGGTTATGGAATCGAGCTGGAACAGCCCTGGAGACACAACCTGCACTGTGGATTGACAGCTCGGGGCCTGTGCTATATGAGGTCCGTCATGGACTGGAATCAATTCTTGTAACTCCACAAGACTTGGAGTCTTCTCGGTTTGGGAAGGCTATCAAAACATACTGGGATATGGGAATGAATGGGCCTAGCACGCGATCCACCATACAGATGCTGCTTGAAGCATTTTTGATTGGTCTTTGGAGGAATATGCTGCGCAAGCTGAAGAAACTACAGTTCTGATGGGAGTTATGCATGTATTCACACTACCTGACGTCTGCCTCGGTTGGGTTGTTAGAAAGAAGCTTTGTTTAAAGCAAGAGAAAGCAGGGTAGTGAACCTTGAAGATATCAGAACTTTCGTACATTTATAAGCAACCGAATAATGCCAGAGCATTGTAAGATTCACAGCTTGGAAGTCAGAAAGGGTTTGAGGTTCCGGCCGACTGGTGGCCACTTGTAGATTAAGGGTTGTTCCAATGCTGGTAGCCCTGAGCGGTTCCACTAAATAATTACTTAAAAATGCAGCGGATTATGTATTGCTATTTACATTTACGATGAGTGATAACCTTCCAACCGAGATTCACGAACACAATTTCAAGTAATGTATCAAACTTGCCTTTGGGAGTCTTGCAACATTCACAGTGGCCCGCTACCTCATCTGAAATCGATAGATCATCTCCGTATTCCAATCAGGGTGAGCAACAGAGGGATACAATTCATTGAAACGTTGGAAGTAGACGACGGATATATATCGGAACACCAGTCTCGCAAGAATCAAGGTTGTATAAAGATCATTATAAGGTATTCATGAAATGCATGCATGTATATAAGTTGTGTACAATGATGAGATCTGCCAGACCTTGGCCTACCCGGCGTCAACGTTATAGACCCACCCCCATATGAAGTCAATGTACATCTCCAGACGCCAAAGAAGATGAGATGCACATCGAGAGCTAGCAACGCTCGATTTCATTCAAATCCACACCAACTCCTCGGTACCAAAAACGCCTTTAGATAATTCGATAACATAGATACCAGACGCCGAGTAAAGAGCCAGTAGGTGCGCAATATGATGTCCAATTCCTCAACGGGATTTGAGTCAAGAGTCGTTTGTTCGTATACATTTGTCATGATTTTGTCATGGTTTTGTGAAAGTCTAAGCTTTGTGACACGTGTGCGCCCGAGCGCGAAGCGTTAGCGAGCGCTGCTTTGATTCAATTGTTGAGCGAAACGATGGTACGAACACAAGGGCCCGGATGGATTGTGTTCTTCGGTGTCGCACTGGAGGAAAAAACTTGGTTTGCCCCAAGAAAAGGGTATCGTAGGTTGACCATTGTTGCCTGCGGAGGGAAATATGGGGTCCAGTTTCAAAGTGACAGGTGATGTGATGAAACCTCAGGGGAAAAATCAGAGTGTGATGGGAAGTGGGGGCCGTGGTCAATTATCGCGATTCGGACCAGTCCTGCATTTTAACATTAACCCCAGGGTGCTCAGGGATGGATTGTTGAATAACGCCGGAGCGGATAATTGACTGAGATGGTTGGGGAGGACCAGTGCCGGATCGGCGTCTTCGCTCTCGCTCCAAAGGACCGGGTAGCTCATTGTTGTTTTGGGAACGGGCACGGAACTTCTGGCCAAGGTTACCCAACCAGTTACCCTCTTCCTCCTCACCGAGCCAGTAGCTGTGGCCGATACCAACCATGATACGGCCCAGCTTACCCTTCCACCCCTGGCCATCAGGGCTGTAAGGTGTGAATGGTTCACGGTCGATGTCTGCCACACTGGCGATCGAGACATTGCGGCTGTGGGTGGGAAGTTGGGTGTGTCGAGGGACTGCAATCCAAAGACGCAGCGTCTGGCGGGCAAATGCAAGCATCACCAGGACGAAATAGACGCGCACGGCCCACAGAAGTGAGATGAAAACGATGCTCTGGAAGCTCTCGGGCTGGGCAACAACATTGCTCAAATGGTCGGCGGCTCGGGGTGGGTGGGGGATAAAGTTGTTGCCCTCCTGCGTGTGCTGGATCTCGACGTAGGCGGCATCGTACTTGGGGCTGGTGAAGCCGGCGGTCTCCGCGATCGTTTCGCTGCCTGGTCCAGAGGACTTGCCACTATCGTAACCCTGCGACACCACAAGGAACCAAGTCACTCCAAAGGCGGCAGTGTAGGCAGCATTGATCAAACTGTCAATGAGGTAAAGCCAGGCGAGCGCAAGACACTCCAGAGGGGACTGTTTTCGGATGTGCGGGAACAGGATGGCAGTGATGGCGAGGGCGACGAGCGAGTACAAGTACATGGACAGTTGTACGGGCGACAAGTGGTAGCCGGTCAAAAGGGCGAGGAGGCCATAGAGGCCACTGATTTTATTCAAGAGTAGCGACAGGGTAATCAATGACGCGCCTGTCTCGAGGCTCATAACATAGAGAAATGACTGTGGTCACGAGATGATTAGCTCCGGAGGCAACGGATAAGGCAGAATTCACGATCGCAGGGGGCGCTCACCTCTGGCCGCGGAATGCGGAGGAGACGGGATGAGAACCCCATCTTGAAAAGTATCGAAATCAAACAAAGATGTTTAAGGCCGATGGAAGGTGTATATAGTGAAGGGTGGAAAGTGGCGAAAAGAGAAAAGGATGAGATTATGGTACCGCAAGTGGCCCAGGGGCGCTATTTTCCGGGCGATCCGCATTTGCTGATCGATGCCCGATTGCGATCGGCTCCGGCAGTGCCTCGTTTATGCTCGTATTATTCTAGTTTGCTTTTAGTTCGAAAATTTTTCATTATTTTGTTCTATTTTTTTTTTAATCATCTTGACAAACATGGAATTCTGAAAATCTAACGTTCTAACGTTCAATACTCCTCGTCTTCGCGCTCACTATCTTTCTGCGTGATTTACCGATAGACTGTGTGCAATTTCAACGCCAGACAGCAATGCTTCGTCGCCAAACAACTTAGCCACTTCTTCCAGGGCAAGCCTTTGGAATCTAGAAAGGTAACTCATATAGAGGAGCTCCAAGTAAGGGAAGAATGATAAATACTAGGTATTATTTCATCCGACATTATCGCGGGAAAAGTTTCCGCGCAGTAAATGAAACAGATGGCATCCACGCAGGAGCTATAAAATGTAAAAAAAAAATAAAAAATTTAAAACTTTGAAGAGAAACAGCACTCCAAATGCATTGCTAACTCGATTAGAGATACCACTGGATTTGCCCACCGTGGCGGCTTCGCAGGCGATGGAGAGAGCACACCCAACCTGTTATAACTTAGCAATATATTCCGGAAATGACTACAGCAAGAAATCCATACCATGCCACTGGGAAACATGAATGGTGATTCGGCCAAAGCGACCAACCACAAGGCCCCCCGAGGAATTTAGAAGGGCTGCCCATGTCGTATAGACTCCGTAGAGCAGAAGGAGCATCGACCGTTAAGAGACCTAGCGTGTTATACAGGGTAACTTGATAATTGTTCATTACAAGCCCTAACGCCAGTCGACTGTTCGAGGGGTCTATGAACATAGGATTTAGAGGCTCATGTGACTATGTTTTGAGGTAGGTCAAACTTGCTGGACAAACACAGCAATGAAGACCCGCCGGCGATAAGTCGGAATCTTCATGATCTCACAGAAACTGTGAGAGCTCTCTACCTCGTGAGGAATCTGGGCATCAATCTGCATAAACTCTTGATGCGCAAGCTCTTGATCATCTTCTGTAGCTAGTGAGTCGGGTCATCGGACCAAGACTTGCAGCGCGTTGTCTTTGCGGCCCTGGGTGACAAGCCGACGAGCAAACTCCGGGACAAAGGGGGGTTCTATAATAAGAAATAATGGCGCGACAATTATGTCTTATTAGCAATGCGTTTAATGTCGGAGCGAAAAACTGCACCTTGCAAGGCGAGAGAAAGGCGCCACTGAATCTGTGGGCTTTGCTCAAAGTAGCATCCTAGACCAAGCCATGCTGCTGAAGCCCGGATGATCTTATGAGACAAATCGTCTTCACGACATCAGAGCAGAGATACCTTCAGTACTCACGTACCCTATCATAACTAATGCCCCATGAGACCTATCATACTTCCACGACTAGAAGGTGGTGAAATGTCCGATTGGTATAAGAAAATCAATGTATTGATCATGCTTGAACCAGGCCACGGACGAGTTTTCAGATCAGCCGGTTGCGAAAGAGCAGCATATGGAAGCATAATCTCAGCCCACCCCATCCCGTTGAAGAATCTTGCAGCTATTATCGTTGCAATATGAACCGATGCCGCCTGGATGACGGCCGATGCAGTGCAAATAGCACACGTGATTCCAATGGACCCTCGTCTTCGAAATTTATCAGCAAGTCATGCAATAATGCCACATCCTATGATGCCGTCTGCATAAAATGTAACTTGAACAGCTGTTGCTGCATGTCAGCCTCCAAGCTTATCATCCAGGGCCAACTCCTTACTTCCATTGATACTGGTAGTTTAGCTTGCCCTGGGCCCAATTAGGCTGAGATCGAAGTACTGATAGAAAGAACCCAGATCTTGGACCATCCCCACGATGAAGTTATTGAAGCCAAAGGCAATGGACCCAAGGCCCACGAAGAGCACAATCGCGAGACTTTAGGAATTGATTGTCCCCAGCATCGTGATGACCGCAACTTCTGTATGTATTCTAGTCCGGTCTGATGTTGACATTAAATCACAGACGGGGGTTTGAAAGTTCGGGATTGTGGAATTCGATAATTCTGGTAAGACTAAATTCATCTACGCAGTGCAACATTAGGGCTGATATACGGTGAGTCTGGCCCCAGATCTGCATAACGTCGAGGTCTTCATCAGAGAACATGCAGATCTTTCTAAAGCTTGGCCCCAGGGCATCTTCCTCTTCAAATGCTCAATTTTCAAATGACTGCATACTTCACATCTCGCTGAAAGGGCTTTCAGGTACGATAAAGTATTAATTACAGAGAGGAGACGGTATCACGATGATTCCAAGATTTGTTTTGCTTCGGATCCGGGATTCCCAAAACGGGAACAGATCTACAACTCCGCAGGGTTGTCAACAGGGATGAAGACTAAAATTTGATTAGAGGACCTTGCCGTCCATGAGTGCTTGTTTCAAGGTTTCTGTATATTACCTACATCTATGTATGTACCCTATGTATTCAGGTACAGAGCACAGGGTAGGCAGATTCATGCCCAGGTGGGTACATGTCCACGATTCAGACGTCCATTGACAAAGCCACATTGATATGTTGAGGTATGTCGATACTAGAACATACTAGAACTTAAGCCGTGGAGTCTCTTGTTCCCTCGAAATAAATCCAGTGACGGCGAGGCACAAGACCCCGGAGAGTATTAGGTGGGTGGAATTTCGTCATAGGCGCATCTTTTTTGCCCTACACCTAGGCATCATACGCCAGGAATCTTGATCTCTGTGAGTAGCTTAATATGTGGAGTCTTCCAGCACTTGTTTATGTCGGCGCCATGCACGGATTTATGAACGTGGAGAATAAATGTGTCTACACGGTAAGCATTGATTCCGAAGAAAATTCCGCCAAGATTCCTTCGGATGGCGATGGTTAGCTTCGGGAATCTGGACCTTAACGGAAAAGACCCGTAGACCCGTAAGCTACCTCCGTCGCCACTTTTTTCGGTCTCGGATCCAAATTATTAATCGAGGGTCCACAATACATTGGGCATTCTTGAATCATGGTACCAATGGATGATGTCAGAAGTGGTCTGCAACTAATTTTTTCCCACTAGCGTCGATCCACTCACCAGGCGTTGTTTGCGGCCATACACTATCGCAAATTTTCAAATGCGGCGGATGTACCACATGAATTGGACTGATTTAATTGAACACAATAAAAAGATTTTAATAACTAAAGCTCTTGAAAACATTGCCAAAAAAAAAAAAAACCCCCCCATCAAAGTGGTGTTGGATCTGACGGTCTGCTTGAACCTTCGGCAATTACAGTTGCATCTTGAAGCCGTCGCGTTCGATAGTGGGTCTGAACGGTTAAGACGGATCGTGGTCCTCTTACTCCTATAGTTTTCTTATATGAGCCACCGCCGCTGAAAAGCCCCCCTTGTTTACTATGCACGTCCCAGGCAATTACTTGCCCTAATTTTCTCTGTCGCTCTTTACCTGCGCCTGAGCGCATCACCCCCGCAAACGTCATACGATAAGAGAGCTCCCGACCAGAGCTATTGGTCATGGACACCACAGCTAAGGAGATTGAGCAGGCTGAGGTCGACGCTGGTTCGCAGTCTCCATGGCAAGAAAAGCGAAAACTCTCAGGGGAGGCTGAGAGGCCTGAGACATCAGGGACTGGCTCGTCGTCAGGGTCGAGTAGCTCCATCGACTACGACCCCCAATTCCACAGACTCCAGTCACGAAACACGGAGCTCGATCTGGAGCGCAACCGGACCAACGTCTCGCGGACACTAAGCCGAATCGAAACTCAGCGTCTTCAGCATCAGCTCACTGTTGGAGAGAGCGTTAGGTCGCGAGGCTCCAAAGTACCACTACCGGCCTTTGGTGGCGGCAAGCCTTATCCTCCACCACTGCCTAACCGTGATGACTATGTCGTAGAGTTTGATGGCCCAGATGATCCTATATATCCTAAGAACTGGCCCACACTTACCAAGTACGTTAATCATTGGAATTCTATAAGAATAAAATACTTCCGAAGCCCCTTCAGATACTGACGTATGAAACTTCACCAGAGTTTACATCACCGCCATGCTTGCCTTTACGAGTATCTGTTCGACTTTTGATTCCGCCGTTTTTAGCGCTTCATCGCAGAACGTTGCATCCCACTTTAACGTCAGCCTGGAGGTCTCCGTCCTATCCAGCACCTTATACATTGCCGGTTATGCCTCAGGTCCGTTGATCTGGGCACCTTTATCAGAGCTCAAGGGACGTCGCCCGGGAATTGTTATCGCCATGCTGGGATTTGGTATCTTCAACACCGCAGTCGCCGTTTCGAAGGATCTTCAGACTCTCATGATCTGCCGTTTCTTCTCTGGTATCTTTGGTAGTTCGCCGTTGGCAGTCGTGGCAGCAGTCTTCTCGGACATGTACGACAACCGTACCCGTGGTACCGCCATTGCATTCTTCTCTGGCACTGTGTTTTTGGGACCTCTTGTTGCACCTTTCATCGGTGGATACATCAACATGTCATACCTGGGTTGGCGCTGGACGGCCTGGATCCCCGCATTCATGGGCTACGCGGCATTCGTTCTGAACCTTTTCTTCCTGAAAGAATCGTACCCACCCGTCGTTCTTATTGACAAGGCTTCGGAACTGCGACGCCGCACCAAGAACTGGGGAATTCACGCGAAGCAAGAAGAAATCGAAGTCGACTTCCGGGAGCTGGTCGTGAACAACTTTTCGCGTCCGCTCAAGCTTCTCTTCTATGAGCCCTTGATCTTGGCCGTTACGATCTACCTGAGTTTTATCTACGGCCTGCTTTACTGCTTCCTGACCGCTTACACCGTTGTTTTCGAGGGCGTGTACGGCTTTAACGCGGGAGAAAGTGGTCTACCTTTGTTTGGTCTCGTGGTCGGTCTAATCATTGCTGCATCCTACATCGTCTTTTCTGCCAAGGGCTATAACCGAAAATTGGAAGCCAATGGAGGTATTCCCGTCCCCGAGTGGCGGCTGCCCCCGGTTATTGTTGGAGGTGCTCTGTTCGCTGCTGGACTATTCTGGTTTGGTTGGACCGGGTTCAGCGGCACTGTCCACTGGATCGCACCTACCTTGAGTGGACTGTTCACCGGATTTGGTCTCTTGATCATCTTCATTCAATTGTTCAATTACCTTATTGACACCTACCTGATGTTGTGAGTTTCCCCGAATGATCTCGATGGATACTGGGTTTGATGCTAACCTAACCAATAGCGCTGCGTCGGCCATTGCCGCAAACACCTTCTGCCGATCCATGGTGGCAGCGAGCTTCCCTCTCTTTTCACGACAAATGTTCGAGAACATGGGCATCCAGTGGGCATCCACTCTCCTTGGATGTCTCGCGGCTGTGTTGGTTCCTATCCCTATTTGCTTCTATTTCTTCGGCAAGAGATTGAGAATGAAGAGCAAATTTGCTCCATTCTTTGAACCTGCAGCGGAGGCGGCTTGCGGTGATGAAGACGAGGAGTGCGAGGAGAACGGAACTGCTGAACCTGAACATTCTTGATATCCCCAAAAGTTGCATATGTATATCGACCTAACCTCCAAATTGGAGCTCTAGGATTATTCCTACAATAATATTATTTCATCTTACTTTGTCATCGTTGCTTCGTTAAGGTCGTAAGATAAAGATAGAGTTGTAACACACACCGTAGGCTACCGAGTCCTGCTGTGCAGGGAGAAGCTTCAACCGGGAAATTTATCTTCCATATCATATCATCAAACTGTATTCAAGCGGTTTCACAGTCGCTAAGGAATTCTGCCATTATTTCGATCTAGATTCGACTTGGAAACCCTTTCATGTTCCAAGCATCTAAAACTCGTCGATTTTCCAACAAAGCTCCCCGATTGGCCCTTGCATGGCGATCTCTGAAGATCATGTCTTCTTTGAATGGGTTTCTCTAGGGACATTCTCGACCATCAAATCTGGGGTGTTTATGGTAAGATGACAGCGATAGACGACGGTTCTGTTCAAGCTGAGTCGCCAAAGACAGGAGGGCATGTCCATCGAAGCGAGGGCATTACCGTCAGAATTATGGAACCTAAAGCATAAACAACCCGATTAGGGTGCGGCAATGCGCACAGGAAACCATGCAAAAACACTCAGTGCCTATGTTCAACTATGGCCTTTTGATTTTGGGGAACTCTGTCACCGCGCTCGTCTTTTCTTCTGACTTTGGAATGACACCTCCATGTCTCTCTCCCCGTGCACCAAGTTTTTTCTGACCTCCTCCTTCTATCTAAATATGCCCTTCTTCAATCGCTAACCGGAGTCATGGCTCTTATTGAGAGGATTATCTTCCTCTTGACTCAGCGTTGGGCTTTCTGTCTCGCGGCGATCATTTATTCCCTCGGTCTACTGTACATTGCTTTTTACAATGGGCCTCCACAGGCTGAGACCCCACGGTAACTTTACGATCCCAGAGATACTTGCATTGTGTTTTGTTGACGTCTTTCTAATGACAGCGTGTTGAGACCTTGGATCTCACATCAATCCGCAAGCATGTCCTCGTCGAGTATATCACATCTCTTCGATCATTTCCGCCTCCCTGTTGATGCCGACAATTTCACAGGCCTTAATGGAGAAACTTATCTGCTTCCATATTACCTCCCTCAAAAGCCCCCGTTCACCCAGCCATTGGGCTCACAGGTCCTTATTCTTGATGCAGACACGCGGCCGTTAGATGAGCCTGGAGGTATTTTGAATGAAACATGGGAGGGGTTGACAAGTCGATGGCAATCAATGAGTGGGCATACATACGGACGACTCAACCATTACATGTGGGGTATGCAAAAGGAAATCATAGTAATAATTGTTCAAATCTTCGAGTACTCGCTGATTCAACATAGCCAAAATCCACGGCTACGACTATAAATTAGTCACTGCAGAAGATTACCCCCACATACACGGAACCTGGTGCAAAGTCTCCGTCATGAGAGAAGCGATAGAGCACTACAAGTTCGTCATCTTCCTGGATGCAGATATAGTTCTCCCCCATCTCCATGTCCCACTGGAATGGCTTCTGAACTACTGGAACATCAACTCGGAGACTCTCATCGCCATGGCACGGGACCCGGCAGCCGATATCAACAAAGACGAGCGAGGCCAAGTATTTCTGAACACGGGATTTGTGATTGCGCAACAAAGTCTGCGTACCAAGGAGATGTTCGAAGCTTGGGATAATTGTCTGAATGGGACCCGGTATCCGGAGTGTCACCAATGGGGCGACAAGTGGCCACATGAACAGGCAGCTTTTGGGACATATCTTCGGTATGACTTTAACCGGACAGAGGACGTAAAGGCTTTGCCTTGTGCAGAGGCGAATGGGTCTCCTGAGGTGGCGGATACGGGATGCTTGGGCAAACTCGTGCGGCATTATTGGGCTACTAAACATCTGGTGCCGTCCAAAGTGCAGGAGGGTATCTTGCGATTTTTCATGCCGCATCTGCATGATCAATTCTTGCAGGAATACGAGAAAGTCGAAGTGAAATGGGGTGATCGATTGGGAAAGCATGAGGAGTAGTATTTGATTCGCATATCCCAGATTTCTCCAGAGCCATACAAATAAAATGTTGGTTTTCCCCTTTCAAGTACGTTGTCTAGGGTCAAGAAAAGTACCCATACTGTACAGCTTCATCGATTATAGGATATCCGACATGTTGAACTTATGGGGCCATGTTTGGAAAAAAAGACGCCTTCCACCAGTGAGTCCACAACTCCACTGTGACTAGGAAAACAAGATATAATGCAGAGAGAGAGAGAGAGAGAGAGAGAGAGAGAGAGAGCGGGGATCATAACGCTCAGCTTGCTGTGAGCGCAGAAAGAAAAAAGAGACCGCTTTCGACTGAAAGTTCGAAACACACGCTATTCACCTGCGCAATCGGAAAAGTGGAAACATGTACATCTTAAAATAAATGGCGCAACATCATGGACAGACTCGATTCTCCTCATCGGTCAAGAGGGGTGTAAATGCAGTTGGAGGACGATTAGCAGGCGCATCCATCGTTGGTAGTGGTCTCCTTGGGATGAATGTTCACATCGATCACTATAAAGCTCGCAATTAGTTATGCAGGAAATGCCAAGTGGGTGTGGAGACGAGACATACTTGTGCTTTCTCCCTGCTTGGCCTCACCCTCCATTCCTGGTAGAGCTTGGGCGATTCTCCGGAACAGTTGCTTCACGTTGTGGCCGACCTTTGCGCTGGTCTCGATGAACATTAAGCCGTTCTTCTTAGCTTCTTCCTCGCCTTGAGCGGTGGTGACTTCCCGCTTGTCGTTCAAATCGGTCTTGTTGCCAACCAGCACAATGATCACGTCGTTCCCACGTTCCCCGCGCACATCATCGATCCATTTCCGGGTGTTTTGGAAAGACTTGGCATTCGAGATATCGTATACGACAACCGCCACGCTGGAGTCACGGATGTAAGAGGGAATCAAGGAGCGGAATCGTTCTTGGCCGGCGGTATCCCAGAGCTGAAGGCGGACCGTTCGATCTTCCAGATACATCGTCTATATAGAGCGCTTTAGCCTCTCTCGCCACATTGCCACCACCCGCCAATAAGCATATAAAAGGTACATACCTTGGACAAAAAGTCGATACCAATGGTGGCTTGATATGTGTTGTCGAAAGAATCGTACATGAATCGCGTAATCAACGAGGTTTTTCCAACTGTGTCATCTTGTCAGGGCTATCCTCATTGCATTGTATCCACTCGAATCGATTGAGAAGCTCGAAGGAATCGGGAATCGTACCGCTTTGTTCGCCCAGGAATACCAATCTATGACCCATGTCAATCTCTCTGAGTTCTTCAATGATGGCGCCGAGGATTATCATGACTTACTTGAATTTCTTCAACGGGTTCGAATACGACCCTACCCCAGAGGCAGAGGCCATGGTTGCTGTTGGTGATAAAGAGAGGGGGGAGAGTGGGTTCAGGGGGATTTGAAATGTGCCGCAGGACAAAATGCCCAAAGAAGTCGCGACACGAAGTAGGCCCAGTTGCTAATAGAGCATGCAAAGAAATCGAACGTAGCAATTAGGTATTGAACGTTCTCCCCTCTCTGGTTGATATTCCACGATCAAGTTGAACGAGCCGTGGATCTGGGGAACCACGACTTGTCACCGCCCCGAGCCACACGGACCAGTTAATCCGCTCCGGCCACCGAAGCACCATTCACACTCCAACTGTCCGCGACAGCTCCAAAGCCGAGCTTTTTTATCGGCGCCCCTTCCTTGCGAGACCGTTCCGCTCCTTTCTTTTCAAACAGGTCGTCATGGCTCTCCTGTACCCTCTTGGTCTCTCCACGACCGCCCTTGTGGTGGTCGGATTGTGTACGTTGAACCCCCGGAACCTCCCCGATCTGGACAGTTCGAGCTAACCGCCCGCGATGGATAGATATGCTTTTTCAGGGAGAAGGTGAAGCCTTCAATGTACGCTCCTAGCCCGATACGCAAACCCAGACTCCCCGCCCGCATACGCTTTATTAACATGACGCGTTACTAGGTTGGCCGCTTTCTCGAAGAAGTATCCCCCTACGCCTGGGCAAACATCGGTATTGCGATGTGTATTGGCTGTTCAGTAGTTGGAGCCTCATGGTAAGTGTTTCAATGTGCTGGATTTCGAGCTTCGAGCTTGGATGTGATGTGCGGCCCCGCCCGCTGACATTGTTTACAGGGGTATCTTCCTTACTGGTTCTTCGATCGTCGGTGGTGGTGTTCGGGCTCCCAGAATTAGGACCAAGAATTTGATCTCCATCATTTTCTGCGAGGTTGTGGCTATCTACGGTGTTATTATTGCGATTGTCTTCTCCGCGAAGCTCGGCCCGGTCCCCGAGACGGAGCTCTATACTAAGAGCAACATGTACACGGGTTATGCACTTTTCTGGGGAGGTCTCACCGTTGGATTCTGCAACCTGATTTGTGGTATTTCCGTCGGTATCAACGGTAGTGGCGCAGCGCTTGCTGATGCCGCCGATCCTAGCCTGTATGTGACCCGACCCATGCCTGGGTATGCATGTTTTCGTCAGTGTGACGGTATCTGACTTTTAATCTCTCGCATTTAGGTTCGTGAAGATTCTCGTTATTGAGATTTTCAGTTCAGTTTTGGGTCTGTTCGGTCTCATTGTTGGCCTGCTGGTGGGTGGCAAGGCTCTCGACATGGGCGCGGCCTAATGATGCCATAAAGTGCGGGACCTTTGCATCAGGACAGAGGCTATGACTGCCTAGGCCGAGGCACCAGGATCAAGGAACTGGTCCAATCAACCAATCCACCTAGTCCGCCCCATATATGATTTCATCTCGGCATACTTTCTGTTTATTCCATCCCAATTTTTTTTTCCCAAAACTTCTTTCTTGTCTTATGTTTTGATACACAGCATTGGGGCGTCTGGGAATTCGATTCGTAGAAGCTCTCTGTGGGTTCGGTTCATGCTGAGTGCATCGCTGATCCGGGGAATTGTGCCCACTTGTGTACAGTAATGAAGTTATAGCAAATGAGAGCCAGTTATTCCGGAACGAAGTTATTGATCTCCATCATCCCCGCGTTTTGCTGATCCACCTAATTTCCGAAGTTGAGATTGTCGTAATGGAAATGTAGCACTGACCGCTTGCGTTGCATGCGTTCCGAGGTTTCGCGATACCCCAGAATTCCATAAAAAACCGCTTCTCTCCCACTCCAAAAACCCCACTTACCCGCATTCAACCACACAATTGCGCACAATGGAACCAAAATTGAAGGTAGCCATATTGATCGTCTCTGACACGGCCTCGAAGGACCCCACTTCAGACAAAGTAGCGGAGAGTCTGGCGCCCATCCTCGCCCAAGAGGGGAAGTGGGAACCCCCCGCAATCAGGATCGTGCCGGACAATGTGTTCCAGATCCAACAGGCTGTCTGCGACTGGGCCGATGGGGAAGAATGGTATAATCTCATATTGCTTAGCGGCGGTACGGGTTTCGCTGTCAAAGATAACACACCCGAGGTAATCATCCTGTTGTTTCTGTTGGTCAACCGGTTGGAATTTGCTAGATGACATCACCCCAGGCCGTGACCCCCTGATCCATCGTCATGCCCCGGGCCTAGTGTGAGTTACTATACCGTATCTATGAGTTTCATGAACTGCCCAAAGGAGGACTAATCTGTTCAGCCATGGTATGATCGCCGCTTCATTGAAAGTAACGCTATGTGAGATGACATCACCACCAGCCATACCCGGCCTGTGCACTACTGTATAAACATTGGACTGACCCCCCTTCCAGTTGCGATGATGGCTCGACCAGTTGCTGGTGTACGCGACAAATCATTAATTATCACTTTACCTGGTTCACCTAAAGGCGCTATGGAGAATCTTGAAGCCGTTGTGAAACTTCTGCCTCATGCTTGTATACAGAGCGCTGGGGCCAACTCTCGCACTTTACATGCTGGCGGCATGAAGAAGCTGGAAAGTGATGCTGGTGTTTCCTCAGATAACCACCATCACCACCATCATCATCACCATGCTCACGGTCATGGCCATGGACATGCTGTTCCCAAGGCCCACACCTTCCCAGCAGACCGACCTCAATCAAATGACCCATCCGCGGGACCTAATCAACGGTACCGTTCCTCACCGTACCCAATGCTCTCTGTGGAGGAGGCGCTTCGCACGGTAAGCGAGCAGACTCCTGCCCCGATAGTCATTGATGCCCCAGTGAACACATCCATTGTGGGGTCAGTCGTTGCCGAAGATGTCTACGCGGCTGAAATGGTACCCGCCTACCATGCCAGTATCGTCGACGGATACGCCATCATTGCTCCCAAACCTACCGACGCCGGAGCATCAACCAAGGGCGTGTTCCCCGTAGCATCTATCACCCACGCCACCGCTGGCGGGGTCTTAGAGCCACTCCAGCCTGGTACCATTGCTAGAATTACTACTGGTGCTCCTCTGCCTCCAAACGCCAATGCTGTAGTCATGGTCGAAGATACCGCCCTAGTCTCCTCCACCCCCGACGGCAAAGAAGAGGCCACTGTCGAAATCCTAGCTGACGACATCCAACCCGGCGAGAATGTTCGCGATCCCGGAAGCGACGTGACACTTGGCTCTAAGATCTTAGCTCGTGGAGACTTGATCTCCCCCTGCCGGCGGTGAAATCGGTTTACTGGCCGCAACAGGAACCAGAACTATCAAAGTATTCAAGAAACCCCGCGTGGGCGTTTTGAGCACAGGAGACGAGCTCGTAGAGCACGACGACCCCCGCAAGCTCGTCGGTGGCCAGATCCGTGACTCTAACCGTCCTTCCCTTCTCTCCTGCCTGTCATCATGGGGCTTCGAGACCGTGGACTTGGGTATCGCCCGCGACACTCCCGCCAGCGAACTGGAACATGCCCTCCGTGACTCTCTCCGCGGTGTCGGTCGGGCCTCTGCAAGTGTCGATGTGATCGTCACAACAGGCGGTGTCTCAATGGGCGAGCTGGACCTCCTCAAACCAACCATTGAACGCTCCCTAGGTGGTACCATTCACTTTGGCCGAGTTTCCATGAAGCCCGGAAAACCCACCACTTTTGCAACAGTTCCCTTCAAAGAATCCGACTCTACCAGCGGTCAACAAGAACGCAAATCAAAAATTATCTTCTCTCTCCCCGGTAATCCGGCCTCTGCCCTGGTTACCCTGAACTTATTCGTCCTGCCTTCTCTGCACAAACTCTCCGGTCTTGGAGAGAGTTCACAAGCCATCGCCACGAAGCCCTGGATGGCGCCGCAGCTTGGCCTGCCGCGCGTGGCTGTTGTGTTGACACACCATTTCCCTCTTGATCCCAAGCGCACCGAGTACCACCGTGCTGTCGTGACAGGCTCACGCTCCGATGGCCGCTTGTACGCCACCAGCACTGGTGTCGAGGGCGTTGGACAGCGCAGTTCGCGGGTGGGCAGCATTGCCCGCGCGAATGCGCTTGTTGTCCTTCGTCCTGGACGTGGTGTTGGTATCAAGGGTGAGATTGTGGAGGCGTTGATGATGGGTCCTGTTTATGGATCTGATACCCGAATCATTTGCTAGAGCATCAAGATTGTTTCCTTCGATGAGTACGACTATATACAGGGGCTGGACTCCCTAGATTATACTTTCTTTCTCTGTGATTTAACATTACCTTTTATCTCTATTGTCCGTTTTCTTAAGGCTGCGGTTCTCTGATATGATACAGTGTTCTCTGGGGCAGACTGCCAGTAGATATCTATGAGCAAATGACAAGAAAGTCAAGCAATAAGCCTCCTCTTGAAACATATGTAAACCCGAAATGCAATCGTACCAAGTAAAGTCTTTAGTGGCCGAGATAAAGACTCCGGGCCAGAACAAAGCTCAACCCTTTGTGACCTTATACCCCTTCTTCTTCTCCGCCCGCAAACCAACCAATGTCCCATCCCTCCCCTGCTTCCTAGCAATTTCCACAACAACGAACCGCACAAAGTCCGTCAATGTCCAGTAGCTGCTATGCGCACTCAACATATTTAAATATTGGATATTGAGTGGACCACCTCCACCGGATAGATAATAGTCTATCTGGCCATTGTCGTTGAGAAGCAACATACGTTTCTCGGCAATTTCTTCACGGGTGAAGTCGTGCGTTTCCATTTCAACGTTTGAGGGCAGTTTGGAGACCATGGCAGGACGTACAGGGTGCGCCGCAGGAAGGAAGCTTGCTGATGAGGTACTCCAGCGGAAGACGCTGCCAAAGGATTGCCAGAGGCTAGAGGTAGAGCTGGGTATTGAGGCTACTTTGAGAGAATTGGAGAGGTCATTGTCCACGGCGGCGTTGACACGGTAAGCAATCGCTAAGACAGGTTCATTAGTATGAATGGATAAGCAGATAGAGTAGAGACGATGAAAGGGTTTGGCATACGGTCTGTCGTGTGCAGGATGTTATACAAGTTGTCGACTGCGAGACAACCGTATGTGCCAGCTTCGCCAGCCACGCCACGAAGACGGTCTTCGCCTTGGCTACCTGCTTTCTCTCTGCCTTTTCGAGGGAGAAGATTCGCTAGACGATGTTAGATCCGGAAGTACGCCAGGTGATAAATTTGAAGATACCTTTATTGAGCAATAAGAAGAATCCGACAGGACTTCCACAAAGAAACAGATTGGCAGTATCAAACTCAAAGATATCGCTATGCAGGGGGGTATCGAAAAAGTTGAAACGAGGGACGTGTGTTGGCTGATGGCTTAAAATGTCGAGGGCCATGACACTTCCCAAAGAATGTGCAAGGAGATGTACGCGACCATTTTCCTGGAACCCGGGGTTATTCTTGCACCAAAGACGGTAGATACGATTGGCTTCCCGGACAACTGCCTTGACCATCCTTGGCTTGTGATGTGACAGATAGTAAGGAATGTCGAGCATCACATCACTGATCAGTGACCGTACAGCAGGAAGTGTCTGAGGGGTAATGTCTGCAAGGGAATAGTCGTTCGCAAATGGATCCTCCATGTCCGCAGCATCCGGGGACGGGTCTTCCAAAGATAATGTCGTACGCCAGTTTATGGGCAAAACCATGATTCCCCCGTGATCCTGCCGTACATGGGGCCAAACAGGTGCGTTATTAAGCTCCATGTTCACTTCGCGGCGGAATGCATTGATCGCATGTGTAAAATGGAAGCTTTCCATTCGCTCTGACAACTTTTGACCAATGCCATGTATGACAAACATTAAATCTGTGGGAGCTGGACGCAACTCTTCCATCTTACAAGCGTAGCATATTTGTTCGCCAGGGGCTGGCGTTGGGTTTTGTGAGGGGTTTCGTCGAATATAATTCCGTACATCCACAGGATTGGCCTTGGAAGGATGCAACTGATCCCACAATTTGCGACTGAACCCACGAACCACAGGTATCCCAATTTGGCGTCCTTTGCGAATTGCACTAAGTGGTTTTCTGCCCTTGGATACAGATGGTAGTAAGCTTGGTCGGAGGATCTGGGCATTCACTGCATCAACATAAATAGCGCTGGAGGCGAGATATGGCTTAGCGCCCTCGGGGTGAGCTGCGGTTACCCCAGAAGCTTTGTTTTTATCGAATGATAAAGTATTCTGTGCCCCAGCCGATGAAGTACGAGTGTCCTGCTCGGTTTGTGCAGTTCCCGGTGGATTAGCAGAGCCTGGCTCGTTTTTGGGCCACAATTTATGCGCAACTTTCATCTCTGCGTCAGCACCATTTTCTACACAACTGTTTAGCTCGTCTTGCCAGGTCTCAGTCCATGGCTTCAGGTAGACGTATCCCTCTTCCAATTGATTTGCCACCGGTGTCTCCACTGGGAGCATAGTGTTTCTGTAGAACCACGTCGCCCTGACCACAGCTGACACGTCGTGCAGCGGGCTCCAATAGATTGGTTTCATCTGTAGGACTTTAATTATTTGTTTGTGAAGCCGGAGAATTTCTCATACCTTTAAGTTTGGCAACTCAACCAAGTGAAGGCGCATTGCGCCCACTGGAATCTTTGTCTGGACTTCTTCGGGGTCCGCTATTTCCGCGGCGTCATCCACGCTTGTGTCCTCTAGGCTGACAGTCGTTCGGAGCCCCGAGGGCTTCGAAGATGAATGATGGGGAGTATTGCTGCGCAACTCTGCTTGCCACTCTGCTCCATCTTTTGAGGCCAGTGATTCGAATGAACGTCCAAGTGGAGTGCCTGGCTGAGAATCTGGCGCTCGGATAAAAGGGGAGCCGCTGATACTCGCATCACGAGATGGAGGTGCCTGGAGACTGCTCGTAATTTCGTGGCGCTCCGAATCCTCACCGGGCGGGGAAAAGCTCTCTCTCTTAGCTCTACTTGAATCATTCATGGACGAAGAGAACATCCGCTTTCGGTGACTAGCACCGCTGCCAGTTGGTGGAGCAACCTCATCTGGTATCGACATCGAGTTGCTCGTGGTGCCCCTGCTGCTGCCCAGGCTGGAGTCTCCTCGAGCTGCCGTCCTTTGACGGCGATTTTCCTCAAAAATTGATGCATGGCCCGGTACAGCTATCCCCGCACGTCCCTTCGATACCCCCGCATGGGATTCACTGGAACCGGATTTCCTTTGCTGAGCTTCTCGTAAATCCGACCATGCCGTCTCCAAGGCAATATTATCTCTCGCTGAGAATGGCTGCGGAGGAGCTCTTTCATTTCCCCATGCTTGCCCACTAGCGGCGGGAAGCGGAGCCAAAGGATCGTCGATTGGTAGGGATGAGACATAGAAAAATTGAGATCGAATCTCTGGCGGTGAAGAAAGCGAATACAGGCTTTTGAGCTCGGGCTCGTCATCCGTCAACAGACAGGATGGGCCGTAGGTATGGAATGGGCCGGTCATTGTGACCAAGGGTCCCACTTTTTTTTGGAGTGGGAAATCGAGAGTCCGGGGCGATAAAGTCTGGGATCCAGATCTAGACGCCGCTTTAGGTGATAATCATGGTTGAGCGCTGTGGCTGGCCAAGCTAGTGCTTCGGTAACATCTGGTCGGGTGGTCAAAAATGACTGGCAGGTTGCATCCAAGGGGAAGATAAAGAAGAAAGTTCAGAGAGACACAAAAGACCCGATCTCAGCAAGGTGATGCTGCCTCAGGCGTTTTGTGCCAGGAGTCCAATGACGTCGCCGCACGTGCCAACATTTGCCCAACAGTTTGTTTCCTTGCTTTGCTACTACAAATGGACAGTGGAGATCGATCAACGTGATTTCCATTGTTAAAATATGGATTAATAAACAGTCATCTATTAATATACCTAATAATGATAGGATGACTGAAAAGAAAAGGCCGGACACCTGATTGCTGAACTCCTGACTCCTACGCTTAGAAAGTAAACGAAACCCAAGTATCCGGTGTTTGAGGGAAATGTCTTCAAGCAGAAGAAGATCGGTAACAGAGAGAGGAAAAATGCTTATGCAAAATGAGAATATGAGCGGTTTTGACTCTGGTCGGAAGAACGGCTCAACTCGGATGCTTCCACCATCTGCGAATGCGCCCAGGCAATCAGGTCATTCAATTCTCGAAGGGTTGATACCGGTGCACCCAACATATCCAGGATCTGTTGAATTTCGAACAGGTTCTTTCGAATGGCACTGTCTGGCAGGCAAAAAGTGCGGGCACTCATCTCTGTCGCGATGGCTTTCCAGCTTTGCATGCTCGAGTGGAACTGCATTGCATTGGTAGAACATCCACCACTGAAATCCAGAGTGCGACGGTTTTCCAGGATCAGCCTCCGTTGGGTAGTCTGATCGAAGTGGAATTGGTACACCTGTGGACGATTCTTTGATCCCCATTGCTGGAGGACCTTGTTGACGGAGTATTGAGAGATGCGGCCGTCATAGTATTGACGAAGCAGAAAATCATTGGCAGTGGTGCAGATCATCACTTCTAGGTCCGAATACAGTTTTGCTTGGCAGGTGGGTTTCAACGACATCTGAAGATTAGTCTTGAGAGTTCCCATCAAACTACTGGCGAACGGTTTCGAGGGGCTCTTTGGATCGTGATTAGTCACTTGCTTTCTGAACTTCTTGCTGAGGCCCCGGAAGAGGGCTGGCCTTGATATCGACGTGGGAGTCGGATTCAGAGGTAGTACCGGAGGTGGCTCAAAGATTGGTGATTGAATCACTGAACCAGGATGAGGTCCAAGCCAACCGTCATTGCCGAACAGTTTCTTCCGTTTGGGAGACTCGACATTTCTTACAGTCAAATTTCGAGCTGTTTCATTGAACTCATCCACGCCATGAAGAAGCAAAACACTCGACTGTCGCGAGAGATTAGGGCGGGTACTGAGTCGAGTACTGAGCCGAGAAGTGATGTGTCGGGTTGCGCTGAGTCGGTTCGTTCCTTGGGTGCTGTTCACAGAACGGAGAGAAGCTGCCTGGCTGCGAGGGCGCTTGGAAGCTCCAGGGTTGACCAAAGTTGGCTGATTATTTGGTCCGCGCTTGACCGGCAGATCCAACGCCACTGGAATCAACGACTTGTGAGTCCCAATTTCTAATGCAGCGTTGGAGAAAACAGGACTGCACGATTCAGGGCTGAGCAGAGCTCTGATGGAGGATTCGTCTGGGATCTTATCAATCGATTGTAGGGGAATTGGCATGAACCCTTGCATGAGGTCTGCCATTTCGGTATCGATATCAATGAGGTGTGGATTGCATTCGGCAAGAGACTGATAATCGGCAACGTCCTCTGGTCCTGTTGGTCGAAACCATGTACTGGAGTGCGCATTTGGGTCCTCCATCGGGGGTGTAACATGGCATCCATAGTCACTTGTGCTGTTGGGCGAGTATGTCCTTGCAGGCAAGAGAAATGGGTCTACGCTCTCGGGCTCGTATGTTTTGGCAGGCAACAGGAACATGCCCGAAGGTGGAAGTTCGTACATCTCGGCAGGCAAAAGACTCAGGTCCAACTTGTCGGGTACGTATTTCTCAGCAGGCAAGAAAAGCCCATCTGTGCTGCGGGCTGACTGTGGCTCGGGAAACTCACACAGGATCATTCTTTCCGGCGAGGATTCATTTGCAGACAACTGACACAGGTTCATGCTTTCAGGTCGGTATTGCTCTCCGGGCAAATTCGAGCTGTCGGGTGAGTATGATTTTTCAGGTGCGAAATTCGTGTCGACGCAATGGGAAAGGAACGCCTCTTCAGGCGCAAAATACAGATCCATGATGGTTGCGAATTTATTGGCTCGAATGCGATGACAGAAAATCAGGGGCAAGAGAATGGTAAAGAAGGAAGGGCTTCTTTCGAGAAGGAGAAAGAAATTGCATTTGACATAGGGAGCAAAAATACATTCACTCGGTTTGAGAATCCCAAAAGAGGCAGCGTTTGGAGGGGAGGCTCACCTGACGGGTTTGAACCCCGAGTGAATATGGTCAGCCTGAAAATTCACTTTGAGGACGCGAGTCATATGCCATCTGTAGGCAGCAAAGCTTCAAATAAAACAACAAGCCATTGAGCACCACAACAATCATCAAGATACGTAGTGGATGATGTTTTACGGCGACATTTTGAACTTGACCTATAAATCATGAAGTCCTACATATTTCCCCATTAGGCAAGTCGGCCTCCTCCCAGGCGATGTAGGCCCGAGCCGGTTCTTTGTGCCGAGTGTTCCCGCTTCCCCGTCCGGAGTTGCAAAGTTGCCTTCTATGTACCCGGGGAGATTAAAAAGATCCCGGGGTACCTGTCTACCCCGAGGCTAGGCACTGAGGTAAAATGGCTCAGAGCGTTAGTCCGGGAAAAATCCCCTGTAGTTATCCTCGATTTCTCGGTAGTTCCGCTTTCCAAGGTTATCAACCAATTTGGAATTGAATTTCTAGTCAACATTGGAGTCAGTATTCACGTTCATTTCTATCACTACTCATATATCATATCCCGTAGGATTAGACCGAATCCAAAAAGTGGCAAGTACACCGGGTTTCCTTGTTGGGAACTGCCAGATTCAACTCCCTGGATATTACGGCTGAGATGAAAGGCTGATCTTGAGGACAATCGGCACGGGACCCAAAAACCCATTGACCAATTGAAAGCACGGAATGGTGATTTGGGCTATCAAACAGATCAAACACAGATATCAATCCCGGGCAAGGCTGCCGAAGATGGTCACACGTGACCACCTCTCCACTTGCCGAAACGACATCCGTGCTGTGGGGAAGCTGAACTTTGCCAATGCATGACGCTAGGCCTTGCAGTTCGGTTTCATGGACGGCATTCACTGGTGGCCACTTGGGTGTTCCCCACACCTTGCACCGCGTCGAACTCGTCCATTTTTCCATAATCCGGGTCTTCCGGCCGATAATTGGTTCACCTTGGTCGGTCCCACTGTCCTAACCATTGTTTAGTCCCCTACAAACCGATCCCCAATGCCGTGACTATGCTCCGTCACATCCAACAAAGCTTAGTCGGCCCGCTTACCCCGGCTTGCCTTCAATTATTTATAAAGCCATGGCCCTCGATTATTTCTTTCGATTAATTGTGAATACGCAGGTTCAAGCTTCCAAGTCAAATTTTTTTATCTGAAGTTCTCTGTGGTATACTGCGTTGACCACCATTGCACATACACATACCTGAATCCTCCAACCGACAATCCCCACGATGGTGCAAGAATACGACATCGTGATTGTGGGCGCTGGCCCTGTCGGCCTGCTGCTGTCCCTCTGCATGTCCCGATGGGGCTACAAGGTCAGACACATCGATAACCGCCCCGTGCCGACTGCCACCGGTCGCGCCGACGGTATCCAGCCTCGCTCCACCGAGATTCTGCGCAACTTGGGCCTGAAGCGCGCAATCATGGCCTACGAGCCCGCCAAGGTCTACGACGTCGCTTTCTGGGACCCCAAGGGCGATGGCTCTGGTATCGGCCGCACCGGCAGCTGGCCTAGCTGCCCCCGCTTCATCGACACTCGCTACCCCTTCACCACCCTGGTTCACCAGGGTAAGATCGAACGCGTCTTCCTCGACGAGATTGCCAAGGCAGGTGTTCAAGTGGAGCGTCCCTGGACCATTGTCGGCTTCAAGAACGACGGTGCCAACGCCGACTACCCTGTTGAGGTTAACCTGAAGTCTTTGGACACCAACGTGATCGAGAATGTGCGCACCAAGTATCTCTTCAGTGGTGAGGGTGCTCGCAGCTTCGTTCGTGAGAAGCTTGATATCAAGATCCACCACAAGGACCCCATTGCCTACGTCTGGGGTGTCATGGACGGTGTTGTCCGCACTAACTTCCCCGATATTGAGGTAAGGCTTTCCTTTCATCCCATACCGTCATAACAGCTTCTAACCATTGTTTCAGACAAAATGCACCATTCACTCCGATGCTGGCTCCATCATGGTTATTCCTCGCGAGGACAACATGGTTCGCTTGTACGTTCAGATTGCCTCATCTACCGACGCCGACTGGAACCCCCGCAAGACCGCCACCGCCGAGGAAATTCAGCAGACGGCCAAGAACATCCTGAAGCCATACTGGGTTGAGTGGGACCGTGTTGAGTGGTACTCCGTGTACCCCATCGGTCAAGGTATTGCCGAGAAGTACACCCTGGATGAGCGCGTCTTCATGGGTGGTGATGCCTGCCACACCCACAGCCCCAAGGCTGGTCAGGGTATGAACACTGCTTTCCACGATGCCTTGAACATGGCCTGGAAGATCCACGCCGTGGAGAGCGGATTTGCCGACCGTTCCATTCTCAGCACATACGAGAGCGAGCGCAAGGACATTGCGGAGACTCTGCTCGACTTTGATTCCAGATACGCCGCGCTCTTCTCCAAGCGCCGCCCCAACGCCAATGAGGTTTCTGCTAGCAAGGCCGTCAACTCTGATGCTGAGGAGGATGAGTTCGTCAAAACCTTCAAGTCTTCTTGCGAGTTCACCAGTGGATACGGAGTTGCCTACAAGCCCAATGTCTTCAATTGGGATGCCTCTCACCCTGCTAAATCTTCTCTGTTCAACATTCCCGATGTTAAGTTGACTGCCGGTCGTGCCTTCACACCTACCACTGTGACCCGTCTTGCCGACTCCAACTTTGTCGAGTTGGAGCAGGAGGTCCCCGCAAACGGATCGTTCCGTATCTTCATCTTCGCCGGTAACCAGAACAAGACCAAGAAGGCCATTGCTGACCTGGCTGCCAACCTGGAGAAGGAGCGCTCATTCCTCTCTGTCTACCGCCGGTCCGACATTGCCGATGTGTCCTTCTTTGAGCGTCACAATCCTCACTCCAAGCTCTTCACCCTTTCCGTCATCTACGCTGGCCCCAAGAATGAGATCGACCTCGACTCCATTCCCCAGGTTCTGCGAGACTACCACCACCACCTCTACGCTGATGATATTCCTGATGTCCGTGTTCCCAACGCTCAATTTTCTGCTCACGAGAAGCTCGGCATCGACGCTGAGAAGGGTGGTGTTGTCGTGTGTCGCCCCGACAGCCACGTTGCCTGCACTTTGCAACTGGTGGAGGGCAGCGGCACCGCTGACGCCCTGAACGAGTACTTCAACTCTTTCTCTACCAAGCCTTTGGGCCAGGATTCTCAGCAGAGCCGCCTTTAAGCTTGGACAGTGTAAACTTAACTTTTGACAAACTTTAGATTTGATTGTACATAGCTTGTTTTTTACCGGCCGTTTTGAGTGGCCGCTTGAGCATCATTGGCGTTGCGTTCTATTTTATACAATTTCTACGAATGAAGAATATTCACGATCAATCATATTTCCATGTAACCTATGTTTGAAAATGAGTCAACTTGTATGTTGGCTAAATGAGTCTATATTGTATGGTGGTCACATGCCAAGACCGATCTATTTTCATGTATTTTCTCCACCCCGCATCATCACGATTCTCACTTGGATTCGTCGACACACATTCGCAGACCAGACATTTGCAAGTCTAGCCCAACACAAAATGCTTTCACTTGTCCTCAAGGCTGAGCTGGAGGGGTAAGTGAATTATAATTCCTCCCTATATTGATTCCACGGTCGCCATTTTTTCAAGGCTCTTCCCCACCATCGCAAAAGAAACAAAGATCTATTGCATGCCATATGGACAGGTTCAGAAGACAACAAGCTTTGAACATGTTTTCTTTCTGACATTTCAAAACAGTGTCACCGACCTCCAGCCCTCTGACACTGAAGAGAACCCCTACTTCTACACTTTCAAGGTGCAATGCAGCTCTTGCCGCGAGACGCACCCCAACTGGGTCAGCTTCAACCGCTTTGTAAGTTACCGTCTAGACGACATGCATGAAGTCATGTTAGTATATGGAAACTCATCGACCTTCGACTTTTAGGAGCAACATGAGATCCCGGGTAGCCGCGGCGAGGCCAACTTCGTCTGGAAGTGCCGGCTGTGCACGGTAAGCATGTCCCATTTCTGCTATCCAATCCCAGTGACAATGTCATATCTCTTCAGTTATTTTTTGGCTGTTTAATATTGGGTGCTTTATTCCTCGCATGACTAACAATACTACCAGAAAACCCACACTGCTTCCATTGTCTCGGGCCCCAACGTCTACGAGGCAGATGAGAAAAAGGCCGGCAAGAAGATCATCGAGATTGACTGCCGCGGACTTGAGTTTGTCGACTTCCAGGCTGATGTGAGTATCATGGTGTTCCTCTTATCTACGTTGTCATTCTTACACTATCACAGGGCGAGTGGGAGGCCAAGGGTGCTGAGACTTCCACACGTTTCAAGGAAATTGACCTCATGGAGGGTGAGTGGTATGACTACGATGAGAAGGCCGGTGAGGTTAGCATCAAGGAGATCACCTGGACTGTTGGCCGTTGATTCAAAAGTTTCGAGCTAGTTGCAGAGCGGGTTGGCGAAGATGGTGTTGCTTAATGGGTGTTTTCTTCTGGGTGATGACGATGAATCTTGGGGATATATGGATACTCAATCTCCAAGTATTTTATGAATTTTTTTCACTGTATTACTACCAGGGGCTTGTGGTTAGCGTGTGGAGTGGGAATCTGTGGGATTCAGTGGCAGTACAGGATGTGCCGTCCAGCAGTGATGGCGTCGAAGCTACATACGTTTACGTCCCATTAAAAAGAGTAGCTCTGGTACGTAAGCTTTTACAACAAAAAGAAAACAGCTAGACCTAGAGAAAAAGAACCTACGTAGGTCCAACTGTTTAATTATCAAAACGGAAGGCAAACTGTAAAAGCCATATCGTGCTGTATGAGACAAAAGCGGTGAGACTTTACAGCGTCTCATTGGCTCCGCTCCTTGAACCCGTCCAGCTCACATTTTCGCGCTTCACGACTCCAGACCACCCCCGACCATCACGATCAAACCGAGAAGGAAGCTCCATTGCTCGGCTCTTTCTCTTCTCTTCCCTTCAAAATCCCATTCAATAATACAATTAGACCGAATCCGGCCGACATACCGCCACAATGAGCGTACGTCAGATCCCGACCCGACTCCTGCCCACCATCGAGCTTCGCCGCGGGCTCATACCTGCCATCAGAAGAGCAATTTAGATCGCGGAGAATAGGCTAACACTGCTCTTTGCCTTTTAGTTCCAACCAGTCAACCCCCGGCCGTACTTGCAGGCTAGGTACGCGATCCCCCACGACCCCAAAGCATTCATCCTATTCTCATGGATATCTTCGATATGTTCTTTGGATACTATGTCAAAGAATTTGGAAATGACGGAGACTGACTTATTTGCGCCTACAGAGTCGGCACCGAGATGATCATTCGCCTGAAATGGGGCCAGACCGAGTACAAGGGTACCCTCGAGAGCATCGATTCCTACATGAACGTTCTGCTGCGTGATACGGAGGAATTCATCGATGGAAAGCAGACTGGATCTCTGGGTCTTGTTCTGATTCGGTACGCATACCCCGAAACCAGGATTCATACAAGCAATACCTGCCATTGCTACGCTGCTTGTGATGTGGACAGTCACTGACTTGATTCTCAGGTGTAACAACATCCTCTGGATGGGCGCGGCAGACAGTGTGGAAATGACGGACCTGCAACTAAAATAATATGATCATACGATGCGAGTGCGACCGGTGCACTAGATCAGCTGTACGCGCGGTTGTTAGGGCCTGAGCTAGTGCCTGCGGGGAAGGCCACTTCACGGGTCGACGATCATGCGCCAGTACTGAACAGGCGGAAATGTGAAGCAGCGAGTTTGTATCCGAAGCATACGGACCGAAGTCCTCGAACCCCGCAGCCAGGCATGGAGGATTAGATGGGAGATATCTACGAAGGGCCGTCAGGGCTCGATATTGTCAGTGTGGTTTCCTTTGCTTTTTTTTTTTCGATTCATGAGGCGTTCTGGTTCTTCCCGTGCGATATTGTTGCATGCCTACTGGCCAAAATCAATTCAACTACGGTATTTCTGAGATGAGTATGTCGTAAGATGCGTAGACCCCCTACAAGGGTATCGTCAGACATGACGAATGTGAATGTACCCAATGATGTTTTGGTGGGGAGCTGTGAGAGGCGAGGTGGCGGGTTGGCCCCATTTTATTGTAGGGTAACGGAGGGGAAGTGGTGTACAATGAAATCCACAGATACTGTAGTTATGTGACGATGCGCATCGGGATCAAACCCTGGAGGACACGACTGCAAGGGGCGTGACCAATTGTGAAATCAGGCCATGTACGGGATGCCCGGGATTCTGTTCCAACTCGCTGAAGAAGAAGCAATTAATTAAGATAGAGCAAAGTCGAGCTTATCAACTGAGGTGATTGACATCAGAGTGGCGGGCGCACAGGGCAGATCCCACTTGGGAGTATTTACTGGATCGAGTTAGGCAGGGGGAGTTGTACTGTGCGAGGTACGGATTACGTTGCCATCGCCCCTCTCGAGATTATCATGGACATTCCTCGCTGCTTTCTTTATATAGAAACATGAAGCCGATCGTGGAGTAAGAATGCACGAACACCTCCGCAACACAGTCTCCCATCGAGCCACCGGGAGCCTCCGACGTCATGAATAATTAAAAGGGGGGCCACCATGCAGAAAATAGCGTGTGATGACCCTTGAATCTTGATTACGAAGAAGGACGCCTGTGTTCTGCTGAGTGTGGTGTGTAAGACTGCGCGCAAGCCTAACCCGAGTATACGGAGTACACGGTCGCACGCGCGAATGACCCTGAACCATTCTGGAAGGCTTGAGGGCCGCGCAAGTGTGCCCCTCAGACCCACGGAGATCTAAACCATGAACCCCCAAGGAATTCTTCCCCCCTCCGCCCCAACGGTCACTGGTCAGACTGCAGAACGCCACCGCGCCATGCGAGTGGCTGCCGAACGCTGATCCTTCGCCGTTTCGTGCCGGCACCCACCCTCTACAACCCCCCCCTTTGCCCATCACTTGGGCCCAATTGGGAAATTCTGCCAATGATGGAAACGTATAGCGAATGAGCATCAAAAAAATCATCCTCTGGGCATCATGCATGATACATCTGACGGAGCTATCCAAGTAGTACCAGTGAGAACCTACCAGTCGTACGGAGTACAGAGGACACAGGAAAGCCCCCTGTTCCCTGGAAAAGGAGAAGACAAGAACGAGAGAAAAATGTCTCCGTATTCTGAGTAATTCTTAGTGGGTTCTTTCAGTCCCCTGATCTTCGGGGGATCCACACGATAGTTCCAGACTGGTCAATGTGCCAAAATGACTTTCAAGCCAAAATTACACTTCGATCTTCACTTAAATTCATTGTTTTCCACAATTTCCAATTTCCCCTTTCCAATCTAACCTCTATACTCTCGCTTGTGTGTTGGGTGAAACGGCGCTTACTGTGACAATCCTGTGTCTCATCTCTACGGCAGCCTTATATAGGTCAACTTCCGTCATCTTTCCCACCTCTCCCACCTGCAATATTGAGGAACCACGCTCGTTTAGTTTTTGTTTCAACTCAAGCAAAACAAACAAAATGCGCGATACACCCTCCAAATTCATCGAGATCCTCGATCCAAAGGACTCGCCTCTACGCTCCGAGTCCGACGTCCGGCTAGAAGATGTCCTCGCAGATCACGAAGCCACTATCGGTGGTCGTCCTCGCTCCTCTACGCAATCGTCTTCTAAGCCCGAAGACAAAGGACATCTTTCGCGGACTAGTTCGACGTCACCTACCGCGCGCTGGAAACGGTTTAGCAATATCCTAGCCCAGCCGCGACGAAACTCATAATACACGACACCTTCACCTCTACCTCTGCCTACTATCCTCTTTCTCTTCTACCCACTCCTGAGGAGCACGAACTAAACGATAACGAATCTACACGAATGCGGGATATCCATACATCACGGGACAAGACGGATGATAAATGAATCATGAATATGGCATCAAGACACCTCATCCCTAGGTTTGGGAAGCGGGGGTCTTCACGTTGAGGTTGTTGAGCCTTTGACTGGTTATTATTTTGCTGGTCGCGTTGGCAAGGATTGTACCGATACCTCCGCTTTCTATGATAATGATTGACGATTGAATTGCCATTTCTCTACGAGATAAATGTCTTGGAATTGCGCACTCCAATTCCAACGCTGACAATTTTTTCCCTGGCGTTTCTATGACACCGAAATTTGTATATACGGGAAAAAGAAAACCAAGGAGCTCTCTATTATTTTTGATTACCTCTTGCCAAGATCCATGATGCCACTGTCCTTTCGGAAATGCTCCTTGACCACGTAGCCCTGGAGCCTTATTCTTCCGATCCAATACAACCTTGGCCCACCTCAAAAACTCTGTCACATACCGCTCCTCCGAGCAAGCGAAAGAATCGCTAAAAAAAAAAAAATTGGGACACAAACAAACGCCCTGTACCTGAACAGATCTGAAACCCAGCCGGACCTGGGTGGGATGTGGAATTTCGTGATCCGTGGCACCGAACGCCTTTCCAGGTACCATGGACCCTGGGACGAGCCGGCTCGGCTAGAGGTGAGACAAGGTACAACAATCGGCGAGCTAGCACTGTGGCCAGACGGGGCTTTTTCATGTCTGAGTCGATGTGGGGAATTATCTGGACCATGCGATTGTGAAATTGCGAAATGAAATGTGGAATCTTTATCGCTGTGAGATGATCGGAGATTGCATCTTACACAAGCCCAGCGAATTCTCAAACTGGCTCTGCTGATAGGTAATTGGCGTAGAACTTTGGAGTCTTGGCTTGGCTCTGGGCTTATTTCCCCTTCTTTTCTGGTTGTCGCCCATTATCTCCTGGGACGAGTTGTGGACGCATCGAGATCTTTGGCTTTCAAATTATTTGGTGCCGATCGTCCCGGTCGTTTAAATGAGCAAAGAACTCAGGTGACAAACTGAAAATAGAACTCGGGAGTCAACTCGATCCACGTTTGTGCAAGTGACGGTTCCATGGTTTACGCCCACCTTTTATCTAGTTCTTACCGTTGGATTAATCACCAATGAAAGAGAAATAATTGTACCAATCATCAAGAGTCATCTGATGGGAGAAGTATCAGCACTTTACTGATCTATGTAGTCGACTTATGAGTGCGATCGGCGACCTCATGTGAGATCTCCGAGAAATGCGCTAATGGACCCTGGCTGGGCACTTCCGAACTCCAACACTCCTCTGAGAACCCCTCACCATTCACCCATCAGTGCCACCATTCATCACTTACGTATACTGAAATAACACCGGATTTATGCGGCTACCCAATGAACTTCTCCTACATATTATATTCCTTCCCCACAAGAGACAATTCAGACCAGCCATGATCTACACAATTGTCTCGTAGTCTTCTTTCTAATTAAGATGGCCGTTACAACCAAGTCGGTGAGTTATTCCATGCTCTGAAAACAATAGCATTCCCTATGTCAAGTCCGCGCTATATAGTACACGTTTTGCGCTCCGGAGGGATCAGGCGTCACCCAGTTTACTGCCTTGCTGTCATCAATTAAGCATAGAGGTAGAAGAGCTTGAGCCTAAAGAAATACCACAATCTCTCGTAAGACCTATCTAAACTTTTCAAGAAAGACATCTCAAAGTGGTGGAGCTGTTGTTAAATTTCGCCTGAGAGTCCGGCCTTGTTCTACAACGAGAGAAGACCGTGATTTTATAGATATACCAGACTATATGCTCGCAAATGGTGGCGTGGGATAAACGTGACTGGCATTTTGGTACTCGCCTTCACCATCATTTTTTGCCGTCGGAAAGCTCAAGCCTGATGCTAATTCTACGCCATTACGATATCATGTACGCCCACAGCCTTGGTACTTCCCTGAAGCTGACAGCCTAACGGGAGAACATATTTACTACGAATTACCTTTTAGAAGGGGGACTGGATGCTCAGGAAAACGATATTCGGCCCTCTTATTTTCTCAAGGGAAGGTCGTCGATCATGAGATGGGTGACTTGCTGGAGTCTCGGAACGCCAAAGTTAAGGACGACTCTTTTGACAAGGTAAATGAGCAGAAGAAGACGACGATGCAAAATTTCATTATGTCCCACGATGGCGGGATTAGCCCTTGGCAGTGGGCGGACCAGAGTTAGAAATTGATGATTCTATAGATGAGGAATACCATCTACCAATACTCTGGGGACTTCTTCAGAACCAATGGAAGTTGTAGACCGTAAATATCGGAACAAATGTTTCAAATTCCTGCTTTGTTCCTATAGCTTTATAGAGAAGAATGTATCCGCCGAATCCTGAACTCAAACTCCCACGGCAGACCATATTTTTGCAGTCCTCTAATGTTCAGTGTCAATACGCAAAGCTTCAAGCTCATCGCTCAATTCGGGCTCATGCTATTAGACCAGAATGTATTAGCAAATTCTCTAAAAGGCCCGATCTTCTGAAAACTTGTCAAAATTCCATCGGAAATGTTACATTAAGTTCAGTGCTTATTTCATCGGCAATGCCGGTGCATCTTTCCTCGAGATCATTTCGGTCAAGCCGTTCCTCAGCTAGTATCTCAGGTGCTTGTTTCTTTGGACGCCCACTTCGAGGAGCGTCAGCCACGTGGGCTTCAGTGATCGTAAAAAGATCCCTGGTAGAGATCACAATTAAGAATTGCTTTAGGCAATATTCGTTCGCCAATCTGATTCATTCATGATGGGTTCTCGATACTACGACTTTGGATGCATTAGCTGATCAAAATGAGCAGGAGACGAGCCCTTCACTTATAATTAGACGGTACAATGTTAGTCCTCGGCTTTTGACGCCATTTTCGCTCCCGTAACTCATGTTTCTCTTGTGTCGATCTACACTTTACACATACGGTCCACAGTCACATACACTTCCCGGCCCCCGGACCGACCTCATCTAATTCGCAACAGCCATATACACCGTTCAAAGAAGACATCAAATCCTCTCTCCGTAGTAATTCCAGTTACGCCGAATGATTCCTTTCAGCTCTGCAAAAAATTCTTCGGTGTGTTCAGGTCCGGCGAGTACGGTAGCAAATAGATCAGCTTCACACCTGCGTCTTTACACATTTCTACAAGTTGCTCCGACCGATGAAATGATGCATTGTCCATAAAGAGAACAAATCATGTTCTGGTCAAAGAGTGTGACAATTATAAATGAGCTCGAAATTATTGTATTGAGTACCTTGAGATGGGAAAACGACCATAAGTGCAGAAATCAAAGTTCTCACACGCGTGTGTCCAGTGTTAGGCCGATTGCCAATGAGATACGCTTATCTTATCGGCAGCCCCACCGTCAACAACTTCTCCTGCCTACCAATGTCTTTCCCTTTTGTTCCTGCGTCACGCAAGCAGTACATAATCAGGTACCACCATACTTTGAGAAATCCAAGACAAGAATTGATCGTCGGTTCCAGCCGAGTTTGTGAATCCTGAAGAATCCAGCACGAATCAGAGTTGCCGGAACACCGCAACAGTCGCGTTAACCCATTGCGGACGAGAATTGAATCAGCCACGACTCGAATATAGATCCCGCAAGCTATTTCGATATACTTGATATTCGAGCAAGATGGCCTGGGCCAACTCTACTCCCGGTTCCGGGGGCCGCGCTACTCCGACTGTTTTTGAGCAACAACGCGAGGAATTGGTTCGGGAGATTGCGGTGGTATGTTATTGTCTGAGTATTCCGGTTTCATTATTGATCTCTTATCCTTTTTCTTTAGGGTATGGAGCAGGTGCTTCAGAATATGAATAAGCTTAATCGGAATCTGGAGAGTATTATCACGGTATGCCATCCATGGCGCTTTTGATCTCCCGTATCCTGTGCTGATAAGTTTAGGTTGGAAATGAATTTAGCTCGGTGGAGGCTCTCTGGTCACAATTTGAGAACTTTATGGGCCAACCGGAAGAGAATGAGGAGGGAGGTGAGGGCAAGCGGCAAGTCAGTGGGGAGAGCGAAGAACATCCGATAAAGAAGGAAGAGGACGATGAAACAATGCTTTAAAAGCCCATTTGATCTTGACCTGGGCTTGCGTCTTTCTTGTACTTCCTAGATACCATTACTATCACTTGACGAAATATCATGCTTTACGTTTACGAGGGTCTGCTTAACATCAGAATCTCAATGTATTCAGTAACTCATAGGAGCTCGCTTGCCAACGTAACATATCAGATAACATAATTGAGAACACCAGTCCCATGCATGCCAAGGAAAAAATGGCAACGACCCGGATCATGAGAGCCATGAAGAGAACAGGAAGGGCCATGAAAAAAAGACGGGCAAAGCCAAAGAAAACAAGAATCAGAACAGTGTCAAAACGAAAAAGCCGCCTCCAAGGAAAAGTCGAGAATTGTCTGGGAGCGCGCAGCGTCTCCAGACGGGAAGAGAAGTTTTTTACAGTTGTCCAGCTCTGTCCAGCTCTGTCCAGCTTGCGCCAACGTCACAAACACGAAAGAATAGGCAAGATAGCCGACAAAGCAACCAGGCTGTGATCGGGCCGAGGAGAAAAGAGAAAAAAAGAAGAATAAAGGTCATGTCAAGGGGAAGAATCAATTTACAGGATCTTGCAGGTCCGCTTCTTGATCTTCTTGCCGGGTCGCCCGCCACCAGATGGCTTGACACTGTTGCGGTTATTTGATGATGATGATTGCTTGGTGGGCTTCCAGCTTTCTTCCTCGGTTGTGACAACAGTGTCGACTGCTTGGGCGAAGACGTCGTCAACACCCCGCATCTCTTTACTGCTGCACTCCACGTAGCTGGCTCCCATCCGGTGGGCCACAGCTTGACCTTGTTCCGGAGTAATAGGTGTTAGGCCTTGTGTCTTGAGGAGTTCGATGCATGTGCGCTTAGTGCGGAGATCTGATTTGAGCCCAACCAGGATAATGGGAGTTGTGGGGCAGAAGTGTAGGACCTCGGGGTACCACTGCGGATTGTTAGTGACGGACAACAACGCAAAGCAAGTGCTGGACTGACCTTATCGACGACATTTTCCAATGATGCGGGACAGTCGATTGCAAAACAGACAAACAACAGGTCCGTCTCTGGGTAGGACAGCGGGCGCAAACGATCATATTCTTCCTGTCCCGCCGTATCCCAAAGAGCTAACTCGACCGTCTTCCCGGATGCCCGGTGAACAGTCTGAGTAATGTAATTTTCGAACACTGTGGGAACATATTTCTGGAAGCGGGATCAGTGATCCTGCAAAACCGCGGGGGTGTGGGGGATGTATCCTACCTCGGGGAAATAGCCTTGCGAATAGCTAATCAACAAGCATGTCTTGCCACAACCGCCATCTCCAACCACCACAAACTTTTTTGAGTAGGAAGGCGGCTGCGTAATATTGGTAGCTTCCGACATTCGTCCACTGGAAAAACTGGTGTTGGTACTGGCTGTGCCGTTGCTCACTCGGACACTGTGGCTGCGGGTTCGACTGTGACGTGGTGAGTGGGATGGAGGAGGTGTGGCAACGGAGCGACGTCGCGAAGCCGCATAATACTGGTCGTCATACATCTGGCTCATGATGGATGGAATGGAATCCCCCCTTGTTTTAGTGCGGGCCTTTAACAAGCGATTGAACGGCTATCTGCCTCGGTGGATGGATGTGTATTTGTTCGAGGGGCGTCGAAAGATGAAGTAGAACTCAAAGTTGAGAAGAGAGAGAAAATGAAATGAAATCTGATCGTTCGCAGATCTAGGGATCGACTGCGATAAAGATAGGTGAGGGTCTCGCCCGAAGACCCGTGTTTACATGCACGTTGTTATGGCAACGGCCGCGCCTCCATGACGCCAGAGCACGATCCTTCTTGGTTCAACTGTCAGTTTCGCCTTGATTGTTGCGATCTTTCCGATCCTGTTGCTTTTCTCGGCTCCTGTCTCCGCTTGAAGCCCCTCAGCTGCCCCTCTTCCCCACCATTCAGCTCGCCAGAACCGGATCTCTTTGTTTCCCCTCGGACCTGCCGACGTCAGGTGATTTCCACACAATGCCCATTAGTAGGTCGGATAGAATTGCGAACTAAAATTAGCCAGATAGATTAATGGGGCAAGGTGCTTTGGAACAGTCGAACTGGTTCAACTATGAGCTTCTGATTGGCGAGACATTTCAATGTCGGCGCTTGGGGCTGTCGTGCATCGATACAATGCGCGTAATGTCCCACAATTCCACATTCTAAAGATTGAAACAGCAATGAGGATCTGGTTATTGGTAGCATTGGAATTATGGTCTAGTCACAAATATTTTCCGAATTGCCCGGTTCCATGGCCATATTTTCTGACATGTCAACACATCTAAGTGGGGTTTTAAACTTTTCTTGCTTCCAAGGTTTACCAGCCCCCGGAGATCCAACCTTGCTAATTAAAGTTACATCTTGATTTTATCGGCTTCAACGGTTCAGAAAGGAAATATTAATATATTCTAAAAGCTACTTGATCCCCTCAGGCCCATTCTCATTCAAAAACATGGAGACTGGGCATCTCATGGGTACAAATGACCAGGGTTTGCTTTAATTCTTTCACCTTTGATCTTTGATTCTCACAATTTTAAGATAGCCCACCGAACACAAAAATCTGACTCGCGTTTGATATGTGAAACCATGCATTTGTGTACTGACTGCATGTGGTGCAAAGTCGAGGGGCGCTACAGGGGAAGATGAGAGGTGGAAGCATTCGCATTGTCGGTGTGCGGAGGACTGCGCTTTGCTCCTCACTCCCCAGTGGAGACTACATTTGCTGACTGTCCGAGTCCCTGCCAGATAAATGGAAATCAAATGTTCATGGGTCTTGTGATACCTATTCGCTTCAATCTGGACAATTTGCTCTGCTATAGCAATTGCGAACAGTCTAATTGTCACCACAACAAGCAAACTTGGGAATGGATGGGGCGCGATTAATGGCCTATGCCGATTATATTTAAGCAGTGGCACCCCGTCAATGCTTGCGTCTGTTTTCAATGCTGTTTGTGGCTCCCGATGTCCTCAGGCATGGCTGATTCGTCGAGAGCCGGGATCTCGATCTTGTTAAGCTCATCCAGCCGAGTCTATTACCGCTCGTGGATGAGTCGCAATGGGTCATTATTGTAGTACTCATTATTGTAGGGTATCCTCGGTGGTGTGATAGTCTCTTCCCGCCGTCGAGAGCGCACCCTGCGACGCATTCCCAGAAGATTGGCGCTCAAGCGAGTAGAGGTGCGACAGAGACGTGGTCCATGTCGCAGAGATTGAGCATCGCTGTCAGAATCTTGATTATGAAAGCTAGCTCGCGCAATTGAGCTTCTTAAACATGCGCCGTAATTTCCCTGGTTTTCTCGATTCTTCCTGCGCCTCATTGTCGACATCCTGCCCAAGTCCCTGAGAGTTCTCTGTTTGATGCTTCGCGTTAGCATGTCGCTGTGTTCGTTGCGCTCGATGCGCTTGATGCTGGGCCTTAGCCTGGGCTTTCGCCTGGGCTTTGGCTTGTCGCCGACGGAGCTCTTCCTCGGTCGGCACCATTGACGGTCGCACCACACGGGGGAAAGGCTTCGCCAGGGACCAGATTGGTCTCTTTTTGTTGGCCGGCTGCGCATATGACGGATTTAGATCGGTATACCCTGGCTGCACGTATGTCTCTTGGGCTGACTGCATCTGCGACGTCTCAGAGGGCCTGGTCAAGGTAGATCGGCGTGGTGTTCGGGCTGCAAGGGTGGTTCCGGAGACAGAATCGTGACGGGAGCTACGGGTAGGAGAGGATAGTCCCCCGTTTCGCGCAGCGGACTGTAATTATGGCAGGTATTAGACACAAGTAGACCAACACCGATCTTCAACCAATAAAACTCACCTCTGCGCGGGGCCTTCCCGGACTCATTTCTCCGCCTTCCATTTCTGGGTATGGGAATTGAAATGGTTTGCAGATGGAGAAATAAAGAATTTTAAAGGTCAAGTGAGATCGACGCTCGTCTTTGTGAGCCGATTAGCCGATAAGCCGGGTATCACTGGTAACTATGGATGGAACGTTCCTCCAAGGGCAGAGAGGAAGGAAAGAAAAATCGAACGATAGAGTGGGTTCCGGAGAAATGAAGGACATATATCCTTAGGTTCTTTAGTCCCCTAAAGCCCCTAAGCGATGCATTGGGCGGCGAAGCGAACCTGACGTAATGGACTTTAATTCATCGAGATCTTTTAATTGGCGCCATCAAGCTTTTCATCGTGGATTGATCAAAAGGGTGGCGCAAGCCTCTTATCTTACTCCGTAGTTCCTGTCCTGATCCACTTCTCCCCACCCTGGGAAACGTGCCGCCCCAGGCCATTTTGCTTCGGCTAAGTAGAGTTGATTACAACCTTTGATAGGCCGCAAGCGAACCTATAGAACTCCGTACGGAATGGAATATACAATCTCCGTCCAAGTTTTCTCTTCTTTTTTTTTTTTTTTCCCGTCCTACCCGTATTGGTGGCCCTTGGCGATCGTCAAGTTTCAGCGCACTACAGCCCGATCCAAATTTGCCAAGACACTTGGCATATAACATGTGGTCACGACCCTTCGATCCACGACCCTTCGATCCCGCGGGTGGCGTTGTCCATGGATCATTGAACACACATGCAAATGCTTCGAAAGAGATATACATATCTGACAATGTTTTAAAGAAAGTATGGCTTAAGACTTGCTTTGGAAATCATGTGTGTGGACAGTGACAAAGTAATTTTTTTTGTATATGTTCTGGCCCTGGAGAATATGTAAACACTATGCTAAGATCGAAGTATAAGTACAAAATCGCATGCCGCCGCAGCAATACAATTTAAAAGCCAAAGATCTGGTTGGCCTTTTTCAAGATGGCAGCCTCCCCAGGCTTGAGACCGCTTCGCTCGGCATTCCAGGCATCAAAACCGAAAGAGCGCGTCGCATCAGCATCCTTAGACTGACGAAGATCAGCTTCCGTGAATCGGCCAACATGGCGACTCTCACCCTCGCCACCGGGAAAGTCAGGAGGGGGAATTCCTTCCAAGAAGTCCTTCTTCTGGCGCTGAACGTATTGAGCATTATCCTCAGTAACCGGGCAGGCAGGAATATACATCACGCTAGAATCGCCAAGTCCCTGATGGATCTTGTCAACCGCATGGATGCCATCAGAGTGCCAGGCCACATAGTCACCGGGAGCAATGCGGGGCACATGGACCATCGTCTCATCCAAGCGCAGATGAGGGTGTAGAACGTCGCTTAGCTCCTGCGAGAAGCCTGGCGTAGCACCTTCCAGCTTGCTGGTTACGTTCTTCTCGAGACGCCAGTTGCTGGGGTCAAGATAGGTATCGAGAGCGAGGCGTGATCCGCCGGCGGGAGGCTGAGAAATAGGCTCGAAGAACGGTCGTAATAGGAAGTATGCAGTGGCCATCGAGAGAAGAGGATTCACCAGGAGGGTTCCCTCTTTAGGACCGGTGTGAGACATGCTAAGCCAGCCCTGGAACATGCGAAACATGGAGCATGCACCGGCACCGTTATACAGATCTGACACGGCGGGAATCCGGCAGCTGGCTTCCCATGGGTCGTATTCCTCCCAACGTCCCTCCCAGATGGCTTGGTAGACTTTGCCTTTGCCGTAGCCGTTATCCTCCCACCGCTCAACGCTGCCGCCATCTATGTGCGGACCGAGCGCGAATCCAGCATCACCTGGTTGGCGAATTCGCAAGCGATCGGCATATGTGAGAGGGTGTGTCGGGGCCACCATGGCATCGGCAACGTTGGAGTGCCAGAAGCTCATGAGGAATCGCTGAGTTTCAAGCATGTTGGGGTGGGTTCGGGCCTTCATCTGAGCCTGAGACCAGTAAAGCTCGAAGACCTGTGGGTCATTGGGTGGGAAAGCTATGAGATGTGTGTTAATACCATTTGCTCGAAACCAACACGCCTGTGAGCTTGCTTACCTCTAGTATGCGGGTTAGCCCGCACATAGTCTTCAATTGATTCCTTGTAAGATCGGGCCTCAGCCTCAGGAACTACACCTCGAACCACTGCAACACCTCGTTTCCTGAGTTCCTGCTGGAAGCTCTTGGGTGCGTTCTTGATGTCCTTGAAGTCGATGGACGGAATGATGTTGCTACCGAGCTCTCCAATGGTCCGAACCTCTTCCCGCAAATTTCTTAGAAGACGATCCCAGCTCTCCTTCACATGCTTTTCATTGCCAGCAATTAAGCGTCGTTTTTGGTTGGCGAATTCCTCTGGGAGGGCTTCCTCCTTGACTCCAGAAAGGGAAACGAAGACCGAGGAGATGTCGCCTTCTTTGCGAGGTGGCTCAGCAGCGTTCATCACACTCCTCACTGGTCCCTTGACGGAATGATTAAGTGAGGACTGCAGTCTGCGAATGCTGTGGATCTGACTTTTGTACATATTTGAAGGTGATGGTAGATGTATAAAGAGGTAAGCGGGTTTCACTTATGCCAGAGGAGAAAAGAGAAGTTGAGTGCAGAAGAGAAGTTTGCAAGCCAGAGCCGCATTTAAATAAGGAGATTCTTACTTCCCATAGCCGGTTTTCTCTGAGTGTTCTTCCTCCTTGCCTCATCCGTGGCGAAGTTGATGTATGCGGATAGGAGCCCTACAGAGCGGCGGGACGGTTACCAAATTAGGAAGGCTTCCGCCCGCCATCGTCATTGCCATCCGATTCGGAAACTGGTTCTCGGGAAGATGAACAAACGAGTCGGGCCGATTTGATGGTAGGGCGAGCAAGTATTGTCAGGAAGAAAGGGTCATAGAGTTAAGCCACTTGGTTCACCGGTCCTCAAGCTGCAAAGCGGCCGAAGATATCGGAGGTCGCCAAAGTCGGCAGGCGAGAAAGCCTCACCGGGCCACTGTATAAATAGTTGGTTAGCTCAGTGAAGGTCCTCTTGCTCATATCTGGGTAACAAATACTAATTATTTTTGCCACATCGATGCTATGGCCTCATGGCTGCTTGGTTGGATGCACACCGCAAGCGTACCCACTTATTTTGATATAAGGTTAGATCGACACCAGATCAACTCTCAACCATAGAGCTGAAAATTTTTCAATTCTCTAGACTAGACAATGATACCCTATGGCTACCACAGACCGGAGAAGATTCAAGCTACGGCACTCTGGATGGGACGGTCGTTCTGTGTATCGGCAAGCCACTGCCAGTGAAGGATTTCAAATTGCACATCAGAGGAATTCACTATAATAAGTAAGTCTTCTGCTGGACCGCTCATGATCATATAAACTCCTTCTGAACTCTCAATATAGCTGGGACTGCACTGATGCCCAAGGCCAACATCAGCGAGTTCCATGGCGAGAGTCAATATTTTATCATCAGATCTGGAACTTCAAGAGGGGCTTCACAAAGGGCCAGAATGTCTTGCAACCAGGAAACCACGAGTTTAACTTCTCGGTCGCTTTAAGCAACAAGCTACCTACGACAATCGAGGGTCTGGATGACTGCTTTATACGGTACAAATTGACTGCAGAACTCAACTGCCCTTGGGGTGTGATCAACGAGTCACGCAGTATGGACGTTTCACGAATGCAAGACATATTCTCTTTCATAGAGCCACAGGTAAATCATCGCTTTCCGGACTTTGACTTGCAAATTTTGTCTGACCAGCTCCTATATAGGGTATTGAAGGTTTTTGGGACGAAAAGATTACCTACCATATTACCGTTCCGGGGCACGCTTTCCCTCTAGGCTGTCCTATTCAGGTCTATATGCGATACATTCCTCTTCTTAAGGGTCTCTTCGCCGAAAAAATGAAGGTTCAGCTTCTTGAGGTTCACAGTATCTCCCAACGAACTGGATTACAGCCCCCAGTGCGTCGAACAAGGGAGACAGTTGTTGCGGAGGACCTCGCGGAATTCGAAGAGTTCGAGGAAAACCTCAGCGTTGAGATCGATGGGGATCAATGGCGTAATATCACGCATACTATCTATATGCCAAATTCTCTAGCGGCTTGTCGACCAACCAGTCGCTCTTCAGTCCTCGAAGTGACGCATGCATTGAAAGTATCGGTGCGTCTACGGAATCCCAACGGGAAATACTCAGAGGTATGAGACTGAGTCACCACCAATTATTTCTTGAATCTAGGATTCCAATTAATTGTTGATTACAGATAACAACGGTTTTTCCCTTGATCTTGTGTCCGGTTCCTGGTATAAACCCTCACCAATCTTTTCAAAGCGACACATTCCTCAGCTCTTTCCAACCGCCCCCGGCTTATGTTGACCATGTCCGGGACCAGCTTTATCTGGAATGCGACTCATTGTGTATCTCGCGGAGCACAACAAGATCTGGGTCGACCTGTTCTTCGGAATCTCTTGGGGAGACTCCTAGGTGGCAGGGCTCCCTAGATGATATATCTCAAACACCTTGCTATGAAACAGCGATACTTTCACGCACACCTCGAAGCGAATTCAGCCCGTCGTACTCAGAGCATGGATATATTTAGTTCATGCGGAGGCTAAGCTCCGATGATCAAGAGCGCTCTTTTGTTAAATCGCAATATATCCGTTTGATTCTCTTACAGCGCTTAATAGCACGATTATTAAATGTTATCTTACTGAACCTATTAATAGGCCATCGATTGGGCAGTGACACTAGCTAAGTTATTCGTAGAATTATTCATAATTATTCATAAAATTACGCTTCACAGTTCCAGCTTGCTGAATCATTAAGATCACCCTTTCCTTTATAGACAGCCTGTTTTGGGTACGGGCAAAGAGGCCGTTGTCGCACAACACCCTCAGTTGGGTCATCATTTTTGAACTTAGTCGCAACAATCTTCTCAACAGCAACGCCTTTCTCAACCCAGTCCATAAGCGCACGAACAACATCGTGCTCCCGGTCCTGGTAGCCAGGAACTCCCACAGTATCAGTGAGAGTCTGGAAGCCACCAATGTACCACGGGGCATCGTTGATAGATCCCGAGCAATGCTGCATACCAGGAATCAAAAAGAATCGGTAGAAGTCATCCAGAGGAAGATTCTTCTCATTCATCGTGGAGAGATACTGCTGGTAGAGGTACTCACTTGCTCCAGAAGGAATGAGGCCATCGGCAAGACCGTGGTAGTGAAGCAATTTGCCGCCGCTGGCACGGAACTCAGACAGATCAAAGTTGCCTGCGTTGGTATCACCAGGATTCAGAGCATCAGCAAGCTCAATGACGCTATAATCGTAGTTATGCCAATCCCAGTCTGCGTTGTCCAAAACGTACTTGGCGTAGTACTCTGAACCATAGAGACTAGGGGCGTTGGTGCCAACATCTCCAAAGGAGCTGGTCATTTGGTCCTCAGATCCGAGGCCAAAGCTGGGGTATATCCATGTGTTGTTGACGTCAACAAGAGGTCTATATAGAGCCTCCAGAGTGCGGATCTGGGGGGCTGTAAGACAAAAGGACTTGTTGCTGCTAGCTGTGCAGAGCAGAGCGTCTGTAGAAGTTGCAGCTCTTGGGGTCCATGATGATTCCATCCACAATACCATCGGATTTATCGCATTGCCGCATGACCTCTTCGCCAATCATGGGGAATAGATCAGGGTGAATATAGTGGGTGCCATTCTCTGGGAGGTTGATCATGCTGACTCGCATTTACCAGCCCTGCTGGCGTGTGGACCACCAGGGGGGGGGGGGGGGGACCCACAACCACACCATCAAAGTCCTCCGGGAATCGCTGAACTTCTTTCATTCCCTGCTTGCCTCCAGTCGAGCAGCCGGCGTAGTAAGAGTATGAGACTTTACTCTTGTAATAATCGGCAGTGATTTGCTTGGCAATAACAGTCGAACCGTGCAAAGAACGGTAACCCCAGTCTTTCTTGGACTCATCATTATTCAAAGCCCAATTCATGTTCTGGAGTGTGGAGTTGTGACCAGTGTTTGTGGACATGGTAGCAAATCCCTAAGGGATTAGACTGCCCATGGAAGGCCAATTGATCCCACTTGAGAAACCACCGTTGCCCACGGCCATGAATCGCTCATTCCAGTTGTCGGGCAGAATGAGACCGAATGTATAAGCAGATGTTGCCGAGGAAGTCCCGTTGACAATGATCCCACACGAGGCGGGCAAGTTGGTGGCATTATAAGGGTATGCGGTGTCGGCGGCTCCTTGACCAAAACTATCACCCGCAGAGATTTTGGCAGCTTCAATGGTGGATGCGCCTTCCGGGAGTATTGAACTAAAGTATTGCTCAGTGCATTGTGCGCGAAGAGCTGTTGCAGTATCAAGGGCCAGGCAGCTGCAAAATGCTGCAGCTCCAGCAGAGAGCATTGTAGCAAGCATTTATGTCAATGAGCGAGGATGGGTACAAGGTATCAGCTCCCGAGGTCATGCTCTCCTAAATGAGGTATAGGAAGCAAGAATCGTCTGGCAATCCAGAAGGGTTTCATAGACAATCTCTGAACTTCATCTTCAGGTGGGGTTTGCGGGGGAACGAGGCGGGGGATCTCTTTTGCGGGCATACTCTATGTTGTTTGCCTCACATTCACAAGGATAAGGGTTCTTCCCAACCTTGACTCGGGGATTCCGATCCCTCACCGTGGACAACTGTTGCCAAGCCCGCTAACGCATTTTCCAGGGTCAAATTATTCCCCTCTTTCTTTAGCTAACATTTGAATGTGGGCTTCGTCAGCTTCAAGTGTTCCTTGAGAGAAATCAAGTATCATTCTTTGAAGGGTATACTCTACACCGCGATGTTTGGAGGGTCTTGGACTTATCTAGGGAAAGTTCAAGGAGCGGCGTGGGTTAGCTATTGTAGTTCTCAAAGCTTAGCCTCGGCGAGACCCTATCACTGGATAAACGTTGGAGAACCCTGGAAAATGATGAAGACGTTCGATGATGGGTCAGATGGTATATTCTCGTCACGAGGTCTGTCACAGTGGAGAACTAAGAACCCCATTTCCAAAAAGCGGGGGATATACTAAGAAAAGTAATTGTGGTGAGAATGAAGAGCTGCGTAAACCTTTTCCCACAATTAAGGGCCACTATTGAAAGTGGCCTTATAGGGTGAATATAAGGGTCCGCCTTCAAAATAAAACTGTGGCTCTTCCTTAGAAGGAGAAGATCACCCCTCGCTTGGGTAATATATTCGCCGAAGTCTATATATACGAGGTATAATAAGAGAGAGAAGGCCTAATGAAGAAAAGGTAGAAGCAGAAGGGGAGAGTGGGAAGAGGAAGAGTGGGAAGAAAGCGCCACCACGGAAGAATGCCATACACTTTCTGCGCTACGCAGCTAATGGCTCCTACAAACTAATCTGACTTTCGATTTTATGGCCGACAAAGTCCTCTAGCACTCTATTCTAAACCAACCATGTCACTAAGTCCTCATATCCCATAAAGCCCCCGGCCCTCCCTTTCGGAGGGCGAGAGGCTCCAGCTTTTCCACTTTGGCTATCATGTGATGATTTCAAGAGTCTCGAGTAAAGTTTGCCTCTTGTGAAGAGAACTACCTATTATAGTTCTCAATATACAAGACTCTTAAATCATAAGTGGATCATAACGTACCTCGTATGCATTCGAGGAAGATACCGTTACCTGGAAAGATAGAGAATTTGCTCGATATGCGGACAATTCGGGCTTGGGAGAATCTTGATATATTTTAAGCTCTTTCTGGAACTGCCCCCTTTCTCCAACCCAAGACTTGGGTATCTTGACCACAATGCGAGGGTGGACCTGGAAGATAAACCTTGGAGATAACTCTTCTCCATATACAGTGCACGGTAGGGGATCGGCATTGAATTTCCAAGGGGAGGATAATTTGCGCAATCTGATAAGTAAGGTGGCTTCTGTTCGGCGGGCGAAGGGGACAAAAACCTTGGGGAGGATTGTTCGATATCCATACTATGACTTCTGTATCTATACATATAGGGAATGCCCACTTGATATTTACATCCTTCCACGATCCTTTGAAAGGTTAGTGATCACCTCCTCGCTGATGGTTGCGCATGGAAGCTAACCCCGATAACAAGTAAATTTCAGATTGTTCCAGATTGGATCTACCTAAAGGCTATAATCATATCTTCCAAACTCAACACATATTCATTGTTAAACAGCGATCTATTTCAGTCTTGGCCCCTGGGTGACTAAGCCCACACATGGGGGCGGGCATATGGGCCCGCCGAGCCGCGGTCACAAGTGATCTTCGCGACATCTCGAAACCTCCTGGCGCATCCGACCCTAGAGAAGAGAATCACAACCACATCTGTATTCCTTCCGAATTTAAATCCAACTTTTATCCACTCCTTATGTCCTCACGCTGAACCTCAACGACCTGAATTGAGCGGCAGGCACCGACCTGTCCATGTATGGGGGCCAATCGCATCCAGATCGATAACACCGCACAATGGGAAAGGGCGCAAAAGACCAGCCTGATGCAGGGCTAAAGAGTCTGAACCATTGTATGCGACTTTTACCATCTTCCCACCCCTCATGTGCTCTTGGATCGTCAACAATTACTAAAGCTGAAGTCGCGACCTGATTAGATTCCAACCGACTCCCCCTCTGGCGCTATTGGCCGCGACAGAAATTACTACCTTTAATCCGATATGAGACACCATATCTTGCATGGATGCAGGAGAAAGTCCGCACCCCGACTCTGGACTCGTACTTTGCCTTCACAGCCAATCTCGGCACCCACACGTTCTTCATGGTCTTCCTGCCCTTTCTCTTCTGGTGCGGCCACACTAGTTTAGGTCGTGGGTATGTTTTGCCCTTGCTTGTGGAGAGCTGAACGTCACTGGATGTATGGCTAATTGGTGATGTCTTCGCAGACTAGTGCACATCCTCGCCGCTGGTGTGTTCTTTAGCGGCTTCATCAAGGACTTGCTATGTCTTCCTCGGCCGTTGTCACCACCTTTACAACGAATCACCATGTCTGGATCCGCTGCCCTCGAGTACGGATTTCCCTCCACACATTCTACCAACGCGGTATCTGTTGCCGTGTATGCAATCGCCCTGCTCAATTCCCCCGATTCAACCGTCAGCCCGCAGACAAGCCTAGTTCTCCAAACAGTCACATACCTCTATGTCATTTCGATTGTATTGGGTCGGTTATATTGTGGTATGCATGGGATGCTCGATGTCGTTATTGGCTCCATTATGGGCGCATTAATCGGTTTAGCCCAGTTCAGCTGGGGCCCGGCGTTCGATGAGTACATACTGTCTGCGTCGCTGAAAGGGATTTTGGTCGTTCCCATTGTCATCCTGATATTGGTTCGCATTCATCCAGAACCGGCGGACTCATGTCCATGCTTTGATGACAGCGTTGCCTTCGCGGGTGTGACCCTCGGTGTTGATGTAGGCTCCTGGTACTTCACTCAGTCTAGCCTTGCCTGGGCGGAACCTCTTCCCGGGACCATTCCATACCGATACGAGAGTCTTGGCTTGGCGAAGACCGCGATTCGTCTCGTTGTGGGTGTTTTGTGTGTCTTCGCATGGCGGGAGATCACAAAGCCCACTCTGCTCCGCATTCTACCTCCCGTTTTCCGCAGCCTGGAGAAACTTGGACTTCTCTTGCCTCGGAGGTTTTTCACTACTGCCTCGTGAGTGAGAATCGCTGATTGCTTCGCGGAATAGGTTTCTGACAAGTAGCAGTGAATATACAACCGTTCCATCCAACTTGAAGGACCACGACGTGCTTCCTAACTTTTCGGAAATTCCTTCCATCATCACAACTATGCGGCACCCCCGTCGCCGAGCCGTTTCAATCGGTCCCCAGTCCGAAGCCGACGCTTACGAGACTCTAGCTTACCGTGAGAAACGCCGACGTGAAAGCCAGTCTGGCGGTAACCGCGAGTCACCCGCCGACGGAGAGAACAAGCCCAACGGGTCCCCTCTAGTGTTTGGAAAAACCACTACATTAGATGAGTATGAGCACATGATGGGTAGAGGTAGTCCACAATCGGCTGCTGTGGAGGCAGATGCAAGTGTTCCACGGTCCTCACCACTTCCACCACCGGAACATGATACATCACGAGCGGATGAGAAGGAGCTGTTCTCTCAGATCAAGAAGCCCCGTGTGCGGTACGATGTGGAGGTTGTGACAAAGCTAGTTGTGTATGCTGGTATGTATTATCCCTTGGTATCTTAGCGGAGTTCACACTGATTTGTGTACGTTTCAGGTATTCCGTGGGTCGTCATCAATGTGGCACCCCCCGTTTTCGAAATGATTGGACTAGGGGTTCCCCTGTAGTTACGTCGCATGGATCTCGGAGCTGTAGCCTTCCCTGTGTCAACCTTGGCTGCTTTTCGGGCTCGAAACTGTTCAGTAGACTGGGCTTAAAGCGAACTTTTCTGAGACATAATTCGGGTTGCGCATGTACATATTGCGACCTGTATCTTTAGGTCTAGCTGTGTCCCCTTTCGTTGGGCACAGCCGCCCAACATTATTTGGCATAATATGACCGTTACGGAAATTCATCCTTTAATAGAACATTTCAATCAAAACTTCGTCCTCCATGTATACCTCGGTTCATATAGGGTTCTTTATAGTTCGATCTGCAGATTGCCAGATGCGGTTAGACCTACTTAGTCAGCAGTATTCCCGACGATGAAGCAATCGCGCCGCAATTCCCCAAGTTGCAACTCTCTCGAAGCAAGTCGACTTTGGTCGCTCGTTGAGAATGGAAATATCTGGTGTCTGCAAGCTCTTTTACCTTCGCTCCAACCCCATTCCTCTTCTTTCAGCTTAATCGCGTCAGTCGCGTCGATAGCTTGCTTTCACCTCATCCCAGCCATCGCCTTTCCGTCTCGACAGAGTGATATCAAGTGAACCGACACAATGGGTCTTTTATCTCGATTCTGGCGTAAGTCGCCGGCTACTCCTTTAAATGATGCAGCTGTCTCCGCTGCTGCCGAGAACCCTTTTCTAGCCCGCAAGGGCTGGCAACCACACGGGCAGGAGGACTCCCAAGGTATGGGTCACCACATTCACAAACAATCGCATTGGTGAAAGCTCACAGTCATCTCGCCTGCAGAAGAGATCCATTTGCATATACCGGGCGCGTTTCCCTCATCACCTTCTCTGTCCCCACGACTTGCGCCGATTGAGCGCGCGGAGGACGATGTACCAACGCAGGAGTTCGATCGTATGGAGATCGATGTTCCTTCCATACCGGAACTTCACACCGATCTTGGAGCTCACCTTCGTCCTACAAGGCTACGGCGAGCGCCGAGGCCAGCGCCTACCCAAGCCCCGCATCCTCCGCCCACCCTAGCATCAAGACAAGATGATGTACATCAGGATACCATGGTCATTGAGGACCCATATGCGGAACGATTCATGGCATACGAAAAATCAGATTACCGCCAACCTGTTTCCGCCGTGCAATTAGTGCACCCTCAAAAGAAGCCACTTCCCGTGGATCGCATTGCATCCCTCTTGGCACCAGAATGGGAGAAGCTGGAGCTGGAAAGACGAGAACTAGAAGGCGATGAAGGGCGCCCAGCAAGAATCAGACCACAAGGGGAATGTGTGCGCCAATTGTCGTGGGACTGGCTGGACAAGACTTCAAGAGCTATGAAAAGTTCCGGCGTGGTGGCCCAAAACCTCTCCGGAGATGCCCTATACCAAAAAGACATTGCCAGTTGCATTGTACCGCTTGCTTGGCTCAACGATGAAATAATCAATTCATATCTTGCCATTATAACACAATATCTTCAACAGTCAACTGGGAATAAGGCGCCAAACGACCGACCTCGCTACCATGCTTTCAATACCTTCTTCTTCTCCAGCCTTAGGGACAAAGGATATGACGGTGTACGCCGGTGGGCCAAACGGGCAAAAATTGGTGGCGAAGGGCTGTTGGAGGTTGATACGGTCTTTGTTCCCGTCCATGAGTCCAGTCATTGGACTCTGCTGGTAGTTAAACCGGCGGATCGAACAATTGAGTACTTTGATTCCATGGGTGCGCGCGGGGCGCGCCAAGTCAGAACGATTAAAGCTTGGCTGGCCGGAGAGCTTGGAGCCAAGTATGTTGACTCTGAATGGACGATACTCCCCTCGGCCTCTTCTTTCCAAGACAATGGCAGCGATTGCGGCGTGTTTCTTTTGACAAATGCGAAAGCAGTCGCCTTGAACATCGAGCCTACAGCATTTGGAGCCCGTGATACCACATTACTACGAAGAAAGATCGTGGCAGAGATCATGAATGGTGGTCTACATGGCGAGTTTAGTCCAATTGATAAAACCGGTGCTACCCTGCTTTGATATCATCTCCAACGACTGATTACCTCGTCTTCCTACAACTCAACCGAATGCCTATATACCGCATTACGACCACCTCAGCATATGCCGGAGATTTATATTTTCTTCTCCGTCACTGCCATCATACTCACTCTACCTCCTTCACTTTGACCATTGAAACGGTGTCCACCGCTACTGGCGTTTTTGGCTTTGGGTCTGTCTCTTTCCCGGCGTACATGGCGAAATAGAATAAAGAAAACTGCGGGCTGCGGGCTCGTTTCGGATCGGAGTTCTTTCTTTGATTTGATGCTTGAATGAATACAAATGATACCCCTTGCTAATGCTATTTTGAAGAGGACTTCAAGAGAACTTTGTTCTCTCGCACACTAGGATTGACATTTTGAGTTTTCTTCTGCCTTTATCCTTCACGATTTAATCCATCAACATGAATCTAGAACCAATCTATATCAGAGAACTCAGCTTCATTTTCCAAATTATAAACAGCAAAGAATTCATTACAATGAGAACAGGCTTAAAGATCAGATGATTATGGAATATCTGCCTAACAATATCATTCATCCACAGCCTAAACCATGCGCGCCCGATGGGCCAACAGGAAGATATCTATAGAAAAGAGTCAATCCAACTAAGAATGTACACATCAGTTCTTCGATGTGAAGCGAAGCTCGTCAATATTGCAAACACGCCGGCATCTTGGCCCAGTTGGTTTGCCTCCCTTCCCTCCATGCTTCTTCTTTTTCTTTTTCCGACACTTGTCACCCTTCTTTCCCTTCTTACACTTTTTCTTTTTCACAGTGGCTCCAGTCAAAATTTCCGTCTCGGGCCCAAAGAGCTCTTCCTCTGACTCCTCCACCACAACTGCAGAAGTGTTTTCATAAAGCCGCTGATGCCCACCATGATTGCTTTCCGGAGGAATTTTAGACCAGTAATTTCCATCTGAAGACCGGTTATACGCCAGCTCGATGTACTCAATACCGAGGAAGACCTTGTCCCCAATTTTCATATCGCCTGTCCAGAAACCTCCGTCGCTCCAGAGATTGATCACGAGTCTGCTTTGCAGATTGGGTACGCGATAGGACTTGACTTCTTCGAGTTTATCATTCACGTACCAACGAGACTGGTCATCGTACCAGTCCAGGCGATGGGTTGACCAGGTGGTCCACGGGGTAGGAACGTCAACGACTGTTGCTGCACCTGGGATCATGCGATCTGTGATAGGGTCGTAGTCTGGCTGGTTGGCGTATCGGACTCGATGGGTGGGATCGCTTGTCAATATCTCGATGTCAGACTCACAATTCTTCGCATGGTAAGTGAAGACACCGACACAAGCACCGGAGGGAGGTTTTCTGGTATCTTGAGACACAGGAGAAGTTGTGTTGTCAATGTTAAGTCTAGTGTTGAGAACCGGGATAGGAGGTTGGTTCAGATCTGTTAATGGCTGCTGTCTGCTTTGCGGAGGTTGTGCTATATGCATACTCGCTGGCAAAATCCGTAGACGGAGACGCAGGGAACAGTGGAAGATATTCTTCACGCGGGTTTCGATCTCGGCGGTGGATGTGAAGTTGATATTGCGGATAGTGCGCAAGACGAGGTATGTTGCTTCCGGATCATCGTCTTCACTGTCTCGGGTGAAGAAGACGTTTTGTTTGGAATTGATCATGGTCACCGGTGCTTTGGGGCTTCGGGGGCGGTGCCATCTCTGGCTGATCCAGTCCTTGTCGAATGCAGTTTTGAAAAAGTATAGGGAGCCATTGTAGGAATCCTGCTTGCCTGCATCTTCATCCTTATCATAGTTTTTATCATCGTCCTCATACCAGTCCTCCCATTCGCCTTCGTTGTGTTTATCAGTTTCCGGTGAGTCTGTATCAGCTTGCTTGAGAGGAACATCGCGGAAGTCCCAGAGCTTGTAGTGTTGGAAGTATCCTGGGTCCGTACCAGAGACAGTAAAACAGTCACAATCTCGAGGGTCTTTTTTGGTCGTTACGACTGACGATGTGTTGTCTTTCAGGTCAGATTGTGACAAGGCAAGGGCAAAGAAACAGACAACTGCGAGGCTCAAGATGCCTATGGACGGGACAGTCCGCTTCATAATGGGTGGCTGCAATGAGGGTGTACACGAACAAGAAGCTCTGGAAAATGGATTGTTTTCTTTCTGTCTTTCGACCATGATTTGTGGCCTATCTTTCCATGTACGGAAGTCGCAACTCAACTTCGACTTAGGGCTCCGCGGTTTCCCGATTTGGATCTCGTCTTTTTGGAAAAAGCAGAAAACATCCATTCAAGGACATCAAATCACATGGGAGAATCTCCCACAGCTTTGTACTTAAACATACATTGATATAGGTATTTGGCCATTTCAGCCCATGTTGGCGACCGGTCATTTTCTGACCTTCAGTACATTTCGCGCTTTACAGCGATTTCTGGGCTTCATGCAGGAGTGTTAAATAGCAAATAAGGTAGGACCGAGTATTAAAGTCTCAGATATGGCTTGTTCAAACTTCAATGAACTTCAATTTATTGGTTTCAGCACTCTTTCTATGATATGAGGAGATCTTCTTCTCTATACTCTGGAACTCACAAAGCAAAGCTTTAACTGGGAGTTTGGGGCTTCCTTTGAGTGGGATATTTTCTTTGTCGGGTTTACTAGAGGCCTCCTTTGCAGATCAAATAATATTGCGAAAATTTATTATAATGTCACCGAATCAGGAATCTCAACGAGACCCGAGATGTCCAAAGACTAATCACGAAGCGGGCGATTTCAATCTGACCCCGCGCGCACTGCCGGCGTGATTAGGCTGACCTTGGGCGGATTACCGCGGTATACGGGATCGCTAAAATGGACCCATATGAGACTACTCAATACGCTGAATTAGAAGAATATATGAATCTCTTTCCTCATCACAACAGATGCTATAGTACGATCCAGAGAATCCGCAATTCTAGATAATACTGTAACCTTAAGAAGTCGAGAGGGGGGTGCACCGGAGTGTCGTCACATACCTGTAGGTCAGCCTGAATGGGGCCGGTCAGCGCGAAAGGGCAAAATATAGCAATGGAGTTTGATTGGAGGATGATTCATCGCCAAGTAGTGGCGAAAGAGGGCATCCAATAGTCTCGGCTTTTCGTCCAGGTGGGTCATGCATCGTGTCGCACTAAGACACGCTAACAAAGACTAACGCATGCGGCCTCAAACTTTCAAGTTCTGAGCACAGGCGTATGGTATTGTCACACTTTCACATTCTGGGTAATTAATCACATCCTCCCAGAACAATGAGAGACTGCAATAGTAATTATGGAGTCATAAATCATTTGAGTCATCATGAATATGGAGGGACCAAATTAGCAAGTTATTCTGCTCAAAAATAATCAGAATTCAAGTCATCAACAAAGAAAAAGTGTGGCGGATAATGACTTGGTGTGACTGTGTGTTGGTCAGACGGTGTACAACGTAACAATCTGCCGCCCCCTTCCTTTTTTGCCCTTTTCTCTCACCACACACCCCTACAACAGCATCACCCACGAAATCTCCCCTTCAACAAGGACACCACCTCGCTATGGACCTTGAGTGAAAAAATGTCCACCATGACTAGTCTTGAGAGGAGTCTATCCTGCACCTCCAGTACCGCCCTCTCCATGTCTCCTCGCCCCTCTGCCCGAGAAATTTCACCGCCCGGTTCAGAGCTCTCTCTTATCTATCTCCATGACCGTGTGAACCAACTGGACACGCGGGTCCTCGAACTCCGATCCAATCTTATGACCAAGGATAACTACGTTGACCGCCGAAACCGCGAAGATGAGCTTATCCGACGCGAATTTGCTCAACAAAACGCCATCTCGAATCGCATTGACTTGAACGTTATCGCCCTTCGCACAGATGTCGACCAGATTCGCAGTAGCATCTTGCATCTCAAGACGACTGTTGGCCAGGTGTCTATGGAAACCACGTACACGCGAAGTGATGTCGACCGTCTTCAGAAGAGCGTGGATCAGCTTCAATCCGACACCGCGCAGATCAGGTCTGATTCTTGTGCCGCGCGTATCGATATCGGCAAACTTCAAACCGCTACCAACCAGCTTCGATCCGAATTCTCCAACCTCTCACGGATGTTCAAGTCTTTCGACACTCGAATGGATGTCGTGGAGTCTCGTATGGGTTGTATGGAAACTTGCATTGAATCTATGGGCTCTCGCATGGATTCCATGAATTCTCGAATGGATTCTATTGATTCTCGCATGATTTCTATGGATTCTCGCATGGCTAATATGGATTCTCGCATGGCTAAAATGGATTCCCGTATGGCTAATATGGATTCCCGTATGGCTGGTATGGATGCTCGCATGGAACTTGAGACCCGCATTCGTTTCAATTCCCTCACGCACACAGTCCATGCTAATATAAAGCCCGTCCCTGTTGTCTTGCCTGATGGTTCTCTGGAATTACCCGAGTATTTCCCACGCACTATTTGGCGATTCTGGTGTCTTAAGAAGCGAAGCAGAGGTGAGCAAGATAGTATAACAGACAAGTTCGGAAAATTTAACGCTAACATCCTCCTCAGTCCATCGCCTGGTTGAACTCTGCGAGTTTTACCAACTTAGAGGCTACGAGGACTGGCGACAGATACAATCCGCGGCAGAGATGTTTGCCCATGAGAGTGATTCAAGCGATTCCAGCGATAGTGGCTACCCTATTACACTCAATTCAGCCGTTCACCAGTATCCGGAGGCAGCTCTCCAAGCATTGGCAGCAACTTTGGGTCTTGTGTACTCCAAGATCCGCAAGGAATGCCTCAAAATGGAATCGGGCGAAGGTCTCCAAGCTGCTCCTCGTCCTCCCAAGCGTCAGCAAGAGGACGTCGCCTCCGCAGGCACCAGTACTAAGTCCAAACCTGTGAAAATGCCCCGTCGGCCCAGCGTTTCCGATTCTTTCATGCAACGCCTAACGTCGGGGGTCGAGCAGCCCTATGCCGAAACGGAATCCTCTGCGTCTGGGCCATCCCAGATACTAGGCTGGAAAGCTTTCTCCGATGTTGTGTCAGAGAATGCCAAGGGGAAGCTACCATCAATCGACCCGAAGGACCTTGGCGCTGTACTCCGTGCTTTGGAGCAAGGACGATTGAAGTTGAAGCCTAGTCGATCTGAAAGGATGAACATGTCACCTACTCAGTCAAAGACTAGCAGCAACGCCTACCGCAAGGCAGGCGAGCCAGCTCAGGAAGAGGTGCCTACTGAGCCGCATACCGTCCCCAACACTATTCCTCACCCTGTACCTACCTCGGCACCGAACACTGTTCCCACTGAAGTTGCCACAACCTCTTCACAGGGTAGCCGAGCCCGACAGGCTTCCATTGACCCATCAACTGTTTCGGATTCCGAAAGTTCGTCAATGTCATGATCGATCACATTACACTTCGTTAAATCTGCATCATGAAAACAGGCAGCTGGTTTTGCTTTTACCGTGGTTCTGATTCGCCCAGAGCGGATATTGTTTTTTATCGAGTTGCATCAACCGGGGGAAGAAGGCGCCAGTTGGAATTTTTGATCTGCATGGCTCTGCGAGATTTGATGATTTATTTTTTGCATTTTAGCGTTGTTACATACCCTTTAGTTAGCATGTCCGGAGTTTGATTTTGTGTGATTTAGTTCCATACCCTACCTGCTATTTGGGTTGTTTAGCATTGATTTTGTCTTGATCCCCATGATCAATTTGATTAACTCTTTCATGGTGCAGGTTTCCTGCCCTGTCGATCGAGTATTTGAAACCGTCCAAACTCGCTTCCAGTATATCACTCCTGTCTTGCTTCGCTACATTCATGAAAGACTAACTGGCTAGCATGGCTTGTGAGTTTGGGCATGGCCCCTTGAACGTCCTACCTGACCTGCAGACCAGCGTTGTAATCCCCGCCAACTGGGTCTCCAGAAAAGGGAGGCTATTCAGCACTACAAGCCGCCCGGTTTCGGTTGACGACCAGTTTCACAGCGTTGTACAGCGTTGGCGATATTGTCATCAAGGTTAACGGTTCGGAAGCAATGAAGGGCCCCGGGGAGCCAACTGCCCCCGGCGCGGGGCGCCCCACGGCCAGGCCCGAGAGGCCCCGCCAAAGTAGCGCCTTATCCACTGGTTGTTCCATGTACGAAATTGCCCTTTTTCCCCACTCTGACCTTTCTAGCCCTAGTCTCTACCCATACTATCCAAGTACTCTCCGACCTCATTTCGGCACAAAATAGTCAAATCACTGTGAGAGTGTACAAGAATTTCTGAAAAAACGCTCTTAACTATGGGGTTGGTCCAAGCTTTCGTCAGACCCAGATTATAAGGCCAACACGCTCAAAATATTTGATGCCTGACGGACTTGGTCAAATTCGAACCTGATCATCGGGTCCATGATTTGAATTCTGACGAATATTTATTTTAGTATCATGATACAGTTGAAATTTAACATCTCAGAGCTAGACAGCCTTCGCCTTATGAGACCTCTCAGGTTTCCGGTTCGAACAAATCGTGCTTCAAAACTTCCATCACCTTGTTCTCGTCCACATTCTGCAGCAGATCAACTGAGGATCCAGGCAGATCTGAAGCATTGACTTCTGTTTCTGACTGCTCTGCTTGTGCACTCTTGTCTGTGGCTTCTTCTGGGCCGACAATACGAATGTATTCCTCTTCCAAAATGAAAGGAGATGTGTCTTTCTCTGCGAGTAATGTTTCCGGGGAGGCTGGCAGCACATATATCGTAGGGAATTCCATGACCGTCCGCTCACGCAGTGCGGCTGCCAATGTCATTGCCGGCGACAGTGGTACCAAGACTGGTTTCTTGACTGTCGTTCGTGGACGATGGAGGTAGAAGTATAGACCACGATGCGAGCCAATTGGTAGATCCTGTGGATTCTCTTTCGCTGTTTCTGTAGATTTCTCAACAGCTTCTGAAGTAGACGGCTGCTCTGATTGTTCACCGGTAGGTTCGGTAGTATTCTCCGCCACGGTCGTAGACGGGACTATATCCGTTGAATCCTGCGCTGCAGCATTACCCTCCTGCTGATCCGATTTCTTCTCCACCTTCGACGATTCAGGACCCGTTTTCTCTTTGGACACCGGAAATCCACGATCATAAGAATCCGCAATGGGAAGGCCCTCCAAACAATTCCGAAGATTCTTCTCCCCAGCCGCAGAAATCCATTCCACAGACCAGCTGAGACACTTATGCCTAAAACCTCATCAGAAAATCGCAACATGCAATAAAATCATCTCCAAAACTTACTTCGGATGCCATCTTGAGTTATTCAACTTATTCCTTGACATCCCCCTCGGCGCTCTGATGACAGTCACAGCACCCTCCTCTGCGCGCCGCAAAAATGCAGCTTCGCCCTTAACAAGTCCTTGCTGCGGGACTTTCCTCTTCGGCCCCTCATCATCCCCATCTCCACTCGCCTGTCCACGCGCAAGATCAATCCCCCGGTTCTCGACCTCTCGATCTGCGCGCTCGAGGGAGCGCTCAACGCCCGTGATGAAGTTGAAGTCTCGATCAAATGCTGATTCGGTGGCTAGTTCACTTCGCTTTAGGTAGGCGGCTGGATCGCGGACGCCGGAGCATTGAGACCAGAGTTTATGGCGTCGTGTGCAGGGGAGGGAGCAGGTGCGGGTTGAGCAGCGCGGACAGCGGTATTTTGGGGGGTTAACGTGGCTGTTTGGGTCGTGTTAGAGCTGGGTATCGGGTTGTTGTGTTTGGGGTGTTTGAGATTACCATATTGAGCAGAGCTCACTCAGTAAAGGGTCGGAGGAGTCCATTTTGGTGATTATTTGGAGAATTGAAGAATTGCGACTTTTGAAGCTTGGGAAATTTGAGACGCTTATCTTTATCGATAAGATTAGGGTGTTGGTGCCTTAGGCTAGGTATCTGCCCATAGGCATTTCATCAGAGTCTCGAAAATGATTTTATTATCCTTATCTACGCGGTATAGTATATAATATCAATACAGTTTTATACAAGTGGTTTCATTCAAGGTAGGTTCTTGTGGAAATCCATGTTGGCCAAAGGTAGAAGACATCTACGCACCAGAGACATGTACGAAAAATATTTACTTGGAGCCAATCTACGATGTCGAATTTACCACGCCAAGCAAATAGAGAAAGCCTTAGAGTGATTCTTTCATTATCTAGGAGAAATTCTACAGGACTTTGCTACTACATGGAATGTTTCATCTGAATATTGTTGTTCAGATGTACAAAGTTCTAAGGTTTAAACTTCAATGTTCGAAGCCATTCTCGTTCTTTAGGTGGTTACTCATCACGTAGCTGCGAATTGCATTATTGCTGTGTGAATAATTAGAATTACAACAACTGTGCCGATAATGATGACCTCGGCAGATATGATAATCGAAATATCATTTCGAGTTGTGTTCCAGTGTATGAGATCATCCGCGTGCATGATGATCAATCACCCATCCCCGCCGCATTTCTAAGCAACCGTGAAAGTAACCCCGAGCCATCCTATTTCAAGCCAATCCCTCAACATACAAATTGAACAATCATTCAGACCTCTACTCAATTCAATTTGAACATGGCTTCCAAGGCACTTGCAGTTATCGCTGGCGTCGGCCCCGGCACGGTATGCCTCCCAAGCTCTTGCTAACGTCAAGTTCTAACCCTTGTTCTAGGGCGCATCTATCGCCAGGCGTTTTGCTCAATCCTACAAAGTGGTGGTTCTAGCCCGCAATCCTGACAACTACAGCCCTGTGATTCAAGAAATCACTGCCAGTGGTGGCCAGGCAGTCGGCATCAGCACCGATGTTAGCAACGGCAATAGCGTCAATGCCGCATTCGATCAGATCGAAAAGCAGTTCCCAGGCTCACCACTTGCGGCCGCTATCTTTAATCCAGGGGGTGGTTTTGTGAGAAAACCCTTCCTGGAGTTGACGGAAGATGACTTTTCGAATGCTCTTGATAACCAGGCGTACGTCTCATTTAATCCGAATCAATTTATGAGTTTACAGTATAGAGCTGCCCATCTATAACATGATTCTAATCATTCAATAGCAAGGGTGGATTCCATTTCGCCAGACGTGCTCTGCCGCTTCTCCTCAAAGCAAAAGACTCCTCCGCCCATCCACCAACCCTGATTTTCACAGGTGCCACTGCGAGTCTCAAAGGATCATCCAACTTTGCGGCTTTTGCAGCCTCCAAATTTGCTCTAAGAGCGCTTGCTCAATCGCTAGCACGTGAATTCGGACCCCAAGGCATTCATGTATCTCATGCTGTTATTGATGGTGTAATTGATATACCTCGTACTAAAGCATGGGTCTTCGAGCACGAGGATGCCAAGCTGAGCCCTGATGCTGTAAGAAACCTATTGCTGAGCCGCCTCGCTACATTCACTAATTATTCATAGATTGCGGATTCGTACTGGCATCTGCATACCCAGCCACGAACTACGTTTGCTTTTGAGTTGGATCTCCGGCCATATGTTGAGAAGTGGTAGTGTCAAGCGACTACTTAAGTATTCGTAGTCCTCTAGCTCAGTTAACAAGTGAAGTGTATGCAAGGATTTATATCTCTGGGCTTTTTAGGCCATTCCCAAGTACGTAATTATGGTAGGATCAACCTTGGAACCTGAAGGCCCTGAAGACCTCGGACTAGAACGTGAGATACAAATTACTTGATAGCTATTCTATTCCCAATATGCATGCTCAAAAGGTTATACATTCTAGCTCAACAAGGTTGCTTACATACGTATATCTAAGTTGCCATAGAAAACATTTACTGCCTAGACATTTCATACTGCGTGATTACACAAGCACCCGCTTAGTCATCAACCAAAACGTCATCCGACTGTGAGCTCTCTCCAAGCTCGCTTTGCTCCAAGTTCTGTCACCCCACACTTGAAGGCCAACAATAAACACAATGGCCGTTGACGATGCCTCACCTCAGGGAGGCTCATACCTAGGCGACAATGCCTCAACCACCAACCCTCCAACATCGACAACAAGCCCTACCTTCCGACCACCCAACTTCGCCGGTCTAAAGATCAAACCTGAGCTCCTCGTCCGCCCTGACCTATTCACACTATACTTCGGATTTTTCGGAAACACAAACTGGCAACGCACAGCCAAAGAAAGGATCGTCGAGCGACTTGAGGGCACATGGGTCATGACCGGCCGCAACCCCAGGCAAGAGGAGCTTGACGCATTCACCGTACACACAACGAGGGGCATGTACTACGGTCGAGCTGGTATCCCGGTGTCTACTTTCATTGGCGCAGCATGGATGTACCAAAGGGGGGCGAAATATTTCCCAACCGGCGCCAATGCGAAAGAGCGCTTGCTCTTGATGCGTCATATCTTCCTCACCCAGAGACAGGAGTTCATGAGTGTAGTATCCAGGGTTGCGTTCAGGATGTTCTTCATCGGCACACTTGGTGGCATTATCTCAGGTGTAGCGTCGGCGTACGTCAATGTGGGTGGGCTTCTTTCCGACCCGCGGTTGGAGCAGTGGAGACGGGACTCGAAGGCTTCGAAGGACGAGGATATTCGCAAGCGCAAGATGCAACTTGCGAGTGACTCGTATCACAGGGCGCGCAGGTCGGTTGAGGATAAGGTACATGTGGGATCGTCTGACTATGACTCTGGTGTGCCTGAGGCTCGTGTTAATGATTCTTCTATGAGTGGCTTCGAACCGGCTCAGTCTCAGCAGCAGTACGGCTACGGCCAATCTTCTGGTAGCCCTTCAACGTATGAGTCGCAACCATCTCAGTCAAGCTCTTCCGATTTCTTCGGCGGGAGCGACGATGATGCTAGCCCGACTGCTCCCGAATACCGAAATACAAACCCCGATGGTTCACCTATGAGCTCTTGGGACCGTATCAGACAGCAGAATGCATCATCGAGGCCTCAGCCCCCTATGCGTCAATCCCCCCAGGCATGGGGTCAATCGCAGAACCAGCCTGAGTCTGCTCCTATTGATACACAGGACCGGTATGATTTCGACAAGAGCCGCGAGAGAGAGCAGGCTCAGGCAGAATTTGACCGGATGATGGAGGCCGAGAGGAATGCCTCTGATGAGCCCACTCGACGTGGTTGGGGATCATAAGTCTTGCAATCTTAGCCCTATCTCATCTCCCACTGTATACTACAGCTACACTGGATTTTCTCTTTTCATGTGAATACCGATGTTTGAATTGAAAGTTCCTATGATAACTCCTCGTACCGTCATTGTTGGCCTTCGCAGGCATGGCTGTAGACACAGTATTCCATCTAGTAAAAATAGCTGCCGAGATTTTAACCGAGAGAGGAAACATATGAAACAAGACCTGCTATTTTGGCAAGGGAAGTGTTGATAAATGAGAAATGAGAAATGGAAACGCTAAAACCGTGTATACGAGAAGAAAATGCTTATGTCAGGGGCATAGGATGCTTGCAAATTGTTTCAGGTGACCAAATAGGAGATTCAAAGCATATGAAAAGGAGAATAAGCAAGTGAGGGTATAAGAACAAGAGGTAAAGAGGGGGGAATCAATATGAGAGAAGAACGTGGTTCGCTAAACATGAAAACATAAAATCATAAAATCAACAACATGAAAGCGAGCGTCAAATGGCAGAAATCAACGTAAAAATATAAAGAATTTATAAAATGTTCAAGCTCACGTTTAGACCCCATAGCCCGGTCCGGGTGTATAAGCCCGCGAGTGCAACAATTCATACGGCATATCATTCTCAAGGGCGTTGGATCCCCATTCGGTTGCTGTACCCCAAGGCTCAACACTGCGGCTAGTGCCCCGGATACGCGTGAGACTGCGCAGCTTGTTCGCGAAGCTTTCATTCGAGCTGCGGTTGCGACGGTGCTCGTACGAGGTACGTTTACCCGACTTAGAGTCACCCCCGACACTGACATGGATGGTAGGAGCGGCGGTCATCGCACGAGGAATCATACGACCCATATCTTCGTTCTCGATTGCAACATCGATAGTAGCTGAGGACTGTCGGGGTGAAGTTGGATCCACGGTGATTGGGAACGGTGGTGGAGGCGGAGGGGTATTGAGATGCTGTAGCTCGGGGAGAATTGGGGGAGGTGGTGGAGGAATCATGTCTTGCGGTGCCAAAGGTCTTTGCATTGCATTTTCGATTGTCTCTTCAATGCTGACGGTCACCTGGGGCGAAGTACCAGAGACGTAGCCTCCGGAACTGGTACGACGGTGGCCCATGTTGCGGGCACGACTGCTGGAGCGGCTCCGGGGGAGGTTGGGGTTGAAGTGTGGATGCATTGGTAGTTCAGATGGCACTGGGGGTGGATTCATGTATTTGGATGCCTGGTTCTCTGGCATGGGGACTGACATGGATCGTCCGATTCTCTCAGCCGCTTCGCTATGGTAACGGATATCACTTGGGACTTGGGTGCCATGGTGGTCGCTTGGGATGGCGGGAACAGAAGGTGGTCGATCTTCTCGACCGCCACCATACTTGGGGTGTCTCATGGCCCGCGGCGTGGCTGGCAGTCCGACGGGCTGTCTTGAGCCCGATGAGCTTGAATCAGAGCTGCTGCCATATTCAGGCGATCGTTTGGCTGGGGGAATCTGGTTTCGAGATGGAACTCGGGGGAAGTAGGAATTCCCATGGAATGGAGGCGGACTTTCAATGGGTGATCGAGCAGATTGCAATTCGCCTGGGAAGGGAATGTTGGGTGCAGAAGGGTTTCGTGCAAGAGACAATCGACGGGCTTCCAACTCAGCAGCGGCTAGTTCTCTCCTCTTCTTCTCGGCCAAAGTGACAAATGGCGTTGTTGGAGAGACTTGCTCGTGGATGTCATTAGCAGCTGAGACTGGCCTACTTTGACTGCGGCCATGGGCGAAGACATCTTGTTCAAATGTCTTGCTGCTTAGAACATTCTCTTGCCCAAAGGCTTTGTTGCTCAGGGTGGCTTCCTGTCCAAAGGCCATAGCGCTCAAAACGGCTTCCTGTCCAAATTTCTGGTCTTCTTGACCATACACCTGGCTGCCCAAAACATCCTGGGTGGGTGTCTCGTTGCTCATCTCTTGTCCAAAGACCTGGGCGCTAAGTGCAGTCTCCTGTCCAAAAGCTTGAGCACTCAAGGTACTTTCTTGTCCAAACACCAAAGGGCTCAAAGTCTCCTCCTGCCCAAAGGATTGAGCATTTAAAGTCTGCTCTTGTCCAAAAGCTTTGCTGCTTAACTGTTTAAAACCCTCGGGCTGAGATGGGAGCTCAAACTCAACAGGCTGGCGTATATCGGGTACACTATGAGACACCTTGTGCCTGGACTCGGGGGAGGCCTCTCGTCTAGAATGAGTTGCTTTTTCTGCACGACGACGGCTTGCGCTTCTGTGGTGCGAACGCAGTCGCTCCTGGTTCCCAGCAACAATCCTGAGGGGATCATTGACACCATCTTGTTGAGAGGCTTCCTGACCAGGGAGAGTCATTGGCAATGACATTGGCAAGGGCGAAGATGGCGAACGAGCAGCAGAGCCATGACGGTCAGTACTACGACCTCGGGAAGAGGGATCCAGCCTTTCTAGGGCGACACGGCTTGCGGTGTGTCGACTAGAAGAGCGCTGGCGATTTCGTGATCCTGCCTTTCTCATCCTGCTGCTGCTTCGAGCACGTGAGTGAGATTTCTTTCGTGTTTCGTCTCGTTTCTCCGTTTCCCCGATATGATAACGTGCGAGCTCATCGGGTGACATTGGCACTGGGGATGAAGGCGATCGTTTCGCAGGCTGGATATATCGGCGCTCGTTCCGGCCACGAGTCTCCTGGGATGCCTCACGCGGGTTTTGACCACCAGTTTCATCGGTATTTCTTCTTGCTCGTCCAGAGCGCTGGCTGCGGTAACCTTTTGCGTGGTAGTTGGCTTCGTCCAGGCTGCTGATGTACTGGTCAATGCTACGACTACTCACACTCGGACTCTTGGCGGAATTGTAGCTATGCACCGTTGAGGTACTCTTTGCACTGTGAAGTAAGCCAGAATGGTTACGTGGGCTGGCGACCTCCTCAGCATGAACGAGTTCAATCTCAAGCCCGGCTGGCTTTCTATCACGAGAGCCGTTTCGGATATCGGAGTGGTCTTTCAGAGCCTCGAAGACCCCTGCTGCGGGTGATGGAAGGCCCTTGATGGATGCGAACTTGTCCGACCCTTGAACGGCAGTCTGGGGGCTTGGCTTTATTGAATCCTGGCCTGGTGTATATTTTGTTGCTGAGAGTAACAGATCACCGGATTCGTCTTGACTCTGCTCCTGGCCGCTGGTCTCTTCGGCCTCCGAAGTCGAGCCATAGGCACTACCAGTATTGTAGGAACGAGCCCGAGAGAACGTTGGGGGATGCACATCTACAGGGGTCTCGCCGATTGAAGGAAGACGGCGCCGGTTGAATGCAGGTGTGTTAGTCCGGGATGTCATTGCTTGGTTCAAACTCTGAATGTTGTTAAGCTTCCAGGAACCCAGTCCACCTGGAGATAGAGCCGAGTCAGCTACAGCAGACTCTGCGATAGGGGTGACACCAGGTGCGTTTGTGGGTGTTCGGTCATCGGACTTCAATCCAGGGAATCGGAACCGATTGTTGGGCTGCGCGTCGAAAGATGTGATTAGTTTCAACGCAGGAGTTTTTCCCGCAGATCGTTGGTTAGATGCCGACTTTGGTCGTGACGGAGGCGCGCTTGGTTGCATAGATTGCATAGACTGCATAGGTTCAGGCGAGGCTAATGGCGATTTTCCTCGAATAATCTCGGCGAAAGAGGCCGCCTGCTGAGCAGCTGGCGAAGTCCACGGCTCAGTAGGCTCAGCACCGGTGCACATGAAACAGCGAATAGCAAGTTGTTGTTGGGAATGCGAAACCACATATTCTCCCCATCTTCTTACGAGATATGATTGGCGTTGCCAGTCTGATGGCATCAAGAGACAAGTCATGAGAATGGCCTCCATGAAGTGATTGCGCGAGACATAGACCTCGATGGCATCATTGCTGTCGCCCAAGCCCAGAAGAATGGAAGCTGCAGTATGAATATCCCCAATCTCCAGTAGCTTTTGTACAAAGCTCTGTCCAACTTTGTTTGCCTGTGTCTGTCCGGTCATTTGACTCAGGGCCAAAAGCATCCAGTCTGAAGTAGTCGTTGGTCCAGCGCTGATCATTTCAGCCATCTGATCTGTGTCGGTCTCTCCAAGCCATTGTGCCAAAAGGATTGCACTTTGACTTCCAGGTGCATGGCGACTCCACTCATCTCTGATCAAATCTGAAATATCTCCTTCCCAGCCAAAAACCACGCTAAGCATTTGTTGTCGCAGATCGTCAGGGGTTAGATGGTTCTCATCAAAAGGCGGCTGCGACTTGTAGGGTACATCATTCAGACGCGCTCGCATGAATGGGAAAAGATCAACAATATTTCTCTCAGCAGGACTCATTTGCACCTCATTTCGCAATCTAGATCCAGCACGAGAGCTCTTCACTGACGACATCGAGACTGATGAAGCATACGGAAAACCGGCTGATGGCTGTGGCGTATCGCGTCCAGCCGATGTCATCGAAAAAGTTGTTGACGTCTGTCCTGATCGGCTTGGCGGTGAAAATGCATCAGCTCTGTTATACTTCCCAGATGAAGCCTTGGAGCTAACAGATTCCGTCCGGCTTCTTGATGAGGCAGGGCTAATCAGATCCGCCCTTTGTTGCCTCAGGTTGTCGAGTCCGTTTGAATCAAATGGTGTTCGTCGAGAATTTGGTGGCTCTCGAAGCTCTGGGGGATCCTGCAGGCGCCGTGGAGACATTGTCTTTGATCGTTGGCCCTCGGATGTGACCGAACGAGGAATGACTGGAACATGTTGCACGTTGGCCACCATTGCTGGGTTGTCAACATCGTACTGCTGAACTGTATTATTGGGACCAATGGTAAATAGCGTCGCAGTGGCACCATGGTTTGCCAATCCTCGCACTCCCTCCAATGTAGGAATTGGCTCGTAGGTCACATGCTTTGTTCGAACATCCCAAGCCCATGTTTCTCTGTACCGAGTCAATCAGTATCAATACTGGATGCCTGCAAATTTTTCTCCACTCACCCTTCAAGGTATTGCACAATTTTGCCATTTTTGGACCATCCCATCCACTTCGGATCCGCTGAGGTAGAATCAGATCGTTTTAATACACGAATCACTCTGGGAGCCTCTTTCCCTGGTGGTTTTGATACACTCCAGACTCTCAGATCCCCATTTGAGGCCTGGGTTGCCAACATGTCTGATTTCTGTTTCGATGAAGAGGCATGCCAGGCAAGCGAAATGATTGGCGAGGGTTCACGCGAAGTGGTCAAGGTATGGAGGATGGTGAATTGAGGAAGGAGGGTTGCGATAAGAATCGATCCATTTTGATAACTAGCGAATTTGAAGGTTAGATATAAATCCAAGACGTGTTTCTAAACTAGACCAACATACCCAATGGCATAGGTCCGACAATCCATAGCCGGAGCAAGAGAAGTAATGGGATCGAAGATGGTTCGAGCGGAAATGTGTTCCGAGGTTGAGGGCTCGAACAGGATAACTTCACCTTTGCCGTTCCCTAAGGTAGAACTGCTTGTCAGCAATCATATCAGGTACCATGGCCATGTTGTTTCTCATACCAAATGCGACATTCCCGTTGCGCATCCATGATGCGACTCGCAGGTGCTCAAACGATGCAAATCTTGCAATCTCTGTGCCCGTGAAAATATCCCATACAATTGCTGTCTGGCCTACATCATAGCTGACCACCAGCCGACCCGCACCGCGCTCGCTCACATTGTCCACTGAAATAAATTCGATATTTTCCTGGTGGCTACTGAACCGACGTTCAACCGCAAGCGTGTCATGGTGAAGGCACAGGATGGTGGTATCCTGCGCATATAGAAACAGCGACGCCGTTGCCGCACAAGGCTCGAACCTAGGCTCCGATGGAACTTGCGGGGCCATTGCTTTGGCGATCTTGAAGGGTCGTGATTCTGACACCAAGCTCCTACTCCGTGTTAATCTATCCATTCTGGATGTTTATATGCTTTAGGAATAAGTGGGCAGACTGCAACCACCAGAGTGATCTTTCGCAAAGGCTAGGTTGTCGCCCCGGATCTCCAGTGGTTTTCGGTGGAAAGCAAAACCCCACAAGCCCAGAGGGTAAATGCAAGCGAAGGAAAAAAGAGAAAGGTCAGAAAAGAAAGGCCAAAAAAAAACTAACCTGATTCCGTTCTTCCCAGGTCAGAGGTTACTAATCGGCCACGACCCTAGATTACCCTTCAAGGCAGAGGGAAAAGTGCGCAAATACCGCGAGGCATTTGGAGGCTTTGGGGAAAGGAACTAAGGGCCTGACAACGCAAAGGATTGCAGGAAGCTAGGCTGTTCGCGATGACCTGGATCTTAATAAGGAAACGTTCGAAGCGAGCTGTGGGTAATATGCAACCAGGTGAAGATTGGCGTAAGTTGAATGCACGGGGAAGGATAGGAAAGAGAACAGGGATTCAGAAAGGATTTCAATGACCACGTTCATCACATCCCATTAGCGTGGAAGGGCTTAAGTTTGTGACAGGACATGTGGAGATGGGTAGCAGCAGGGGTGTATATCTATACTATATACGCATATAAAATCTAGCGCCACCCTAGTCGTGGAGCCAAGGATTGGGGGGATGCGCTTACTCCGGTAGGACAGAAAGCTCACATTTCGTCCAAAAGGAAGCAGAGGGGGCGCCGGTAGCCGATCAGAATCTTGGAGTCATCGAGCTATGGAGCAATCGGGGTTGGCGCCGGGGCACGACACAGGGCGCTTCATTTCACGACTAACCATACAACTGGGCCGTCTGGGAGACACCGAGAATCCACCATTGCCCGAAAAGATGGAGACTGCCAGAAGCATCACATCATTAGCGGAGACGGTGAGATCGAGCCTTGTTGGTGGCTGGGGTGCGTGGCTCTGGCTCGGTCGGACTGCACCAACAAGCATGCAGAAACGAGACAGAAGAAGTTACGGGTTTGGATCAATGCAGGAAGCTCCCGAATCACAGACGGGAACCATGAGCATCTCTGGTTTCCAAGGTAAGGAAGTGGGTCCTGCGATATCAGAGAAAGCGCGTGGAGTCGATCCAATTTTTTATTTTTTCATAAGGGCCCGTGGACTAACCTGCACGAAATTGGTGACGAAAATGACAGCCGTTGAAGAGTTAATGACCCGAGAACTTCCCAGTGGCTACGAAGCACATTGGCGTGGATGGAGAAGGGGGAAAGAAACCATTGGAATGCAGCGTCCCGTTGCGAAACGTGAGGATTTACCCCAGTCGAGTCAAGAATCCCAGAAACATTCATTTTTTGATTTATTGATTTACTGTTTTTCTCGTTCCTTCTTTTCTGAGACAAGAAAATGCAAAAATCCAATGTGATAAAAGAGATCCGTGCAGTTGGTTGACAAGCTGCACCTTTCGTCACGTTTCATCTACCAATCACACCTCGTTACCGCTGATCTCTCGGCGCCTACACCAACTCTACTCAACCAATTACCCTTCAGACCTCCCAAGGAGGTGGGAAAAGGTTATGGGACATGCTTTCTGAGGGTCCTCGAGGCAGCCTATGGAAATTCAGAAATACACTACGAAATTCTCTCTCTCTACACCATTTCCGCCCTAGAGTTTCATCGTGGTTTGGAGGAAGATTATATACGACGATCATTTCGTGGGATTTGGTGTTCTTTTGCATGCAAGGCAATTGCAGGTCTCTGGCCTTATGTGATGTGACCGTGTGCTTCAGGCTGGGGTGTTGCTTGCTGCACATCAGGCACATTATATTGTGCGTTCCCAAAGGAGCTTGGGCCTCTGCGGAGTGGTATCGGGGAGAGGGACAAGGCACCCTTGGAGAGTTTTGCAATCGAACTTGGAACGAGGTCGGGAGACTGCGTTGCACGATCCGGTGATCAATCCCATTTTTATTTCCTCGAAGTGGTAAGAGTTGCGGGAACTGGATCCTCGTTGGAAGTCGACCCGCGGGTATGCTGATCAATAGACGCTTGGTGCTTCCAATACTTTTATGATATAGTCATATAGATCCTACGTTTCCATCACGAGATGCACCTTATGTCAAGCCTCATAAATTCTTTGGTTTTTCCCATGCACGCATTCAGCTGTCACGTTCAATCTCGTGATTATTTTGCGCTTACGGGTTATGACCATGATATCCGTCTCGTATCTGGCGTGCGGGGGCTTATCTCATCCTCGGATATTGACTCACAAGTATTCGAATCAGCCTAACATCTTCAATATAGTTGAAGATTGAGTCCATCAACTATCAGCTTCCCGCGCTTCTGATTCCACAATTATTGCCGTGCTATAGTACATATAATCCAAAAATGTCCGATCCTGAGACCATTGTCATTATAGGGTAAAAAGAAAACCCCAACACAGCCTGGCAATTTTAACATGATCTAACTAACAGCATCTTAGAGCCGGCGTGATAGGTCTGTCGACTGCATTATGTGTTCAACAATCACTAAGTCCCGCGCAGTCTGTGCTCTTAATAGCTAGGGACTTCCCATCCGACACCTCCATTAACTATGCCTCCCCGTGGGCCGGAGCGCATTATCGGCCCGTCCCGGGGTCCTCACCACAGGCGCTCCGTGAGGCAGGTCAGGCACAGCGAACATACGAGTTCATGAAGCGAGTCGCCGCTGATGAGCCGGGCGCGGGCGTCAGATTCATCCAGGGCGTTGAGCACCTCGAAGCTCCGCCAAATGAGTACCTGGACGCGCAAAGCGTGCGAAATGTATATGAGCATCTTGATGAATTCCGCCATCTTACGAGTGGCGAGATGCCCGAGGGCGTGAAGTGGGGTGTTCAATATGGAACTTATGTGGTCAACTCTCCGGTTTACTGTGCACATATGCTACGTAAGTTTGTTTTGAAGGGCGGGGACACAAAGCAATATAATCTTGCGAATATCAAGGAGGCATTTTCTCTGGCTTCGAACGTAAGCACTGTGGTCAATTGTTCCGGGGTTGGCTTTGAGGATCCAAAATCATTTATTATCAGAGGTATGCTCTTCTTCTCTGGACTACGTTTTTGTCGGAATGCTGATTTAAAGCTCTCCTTTCACATCTAGGTCAAACCTGTCTCGTTCGAAACCCTGTGTCGGAGACCATTACTCGCCAAAATGAGGATGGATCCTGGTCATTTTGCATTCCACGTCCATTGGACGGTGGGACAATCATTGGTGGGACGAAGGAGCCTCATGATTGGAACCCCCATCCCTCCATGGAGACCCGCGCAAGACTTCTTGCCAACGCAACGAAATGGTTCCCGTTCCAACCGGAAAGTGATGGCCAGTTTGATGTGGTTCGTGATATAGTCGGACGACGACCTGCTCGTGAAGGCGGGATGCGAATTGAAGTCGAGGAGCTCGGGGACGGGAAGCGGGTCGTTCATGCCTATGGTGCTGGTGGACGTGGCTTTGAGCTCTCGCGAGGTGTCGCCGAGGATACCGCAGCATTGATGCTGGAACAGGGAATTCTGCGAGAGAAGGCAGCGCTGTAACCTTTTGACTATCAAAAACTTGAGCCAACTACCTGGTTCCCATCATATGATATGTCCATTTGTCTACGATTTGGCAGCCGCGAACGGGCATTGTAATTGTACAAAGCCGAAATCTCCCTCATTTCAAGGTTATGTAGACAACAGTTGAAGCTTAAGAGGACCTCGGGGTTTGATAGTTGGTCCGAGGACCTTGTAGGTCAGGGATTTAAAGATCGAGAACGTCGACAAAGCTATATATACCAGTGGGAATCGTTACCATCAACTTGGAAATCATGCGATACTGGGAAAAAACGGACTTTTTGCTACCAAGGCAAGCTGTCATAACAAGATATCAATCGTTGAATCTTCCGTCACATAAGACATAGGATCTGCTCAAAATCCTCTGCCCTCGTTACCATCAACCTGCCATGCTCCTCTACTCGACAACAATTGGTTAAGAGAGGATATAATGGAAAAAGGTGACTGGGTGAGCCTCGAGTGACATCACGAGGCCATACAACGCAAATTTTCGGCGCATCATGAGACAACGCCGAGAAATTGGCGATTGTAGCGATCACTCGTCATGGGGATCCGGTCCCTGTGGGCCGACAGGTCCGGCCTGAGTATGGTCGGTCTGCGAAATCCGGTAGGAAACGGTCCCTTCTCAAGGGCTCACGAAACTGGTCTCGCGAGGAGGTGAGGGGGCTCAGCCCGCAGTTGGAACTTCAATACCGGGGATCCCATTGAGCTTGCCCATCCGTTCCTCTTCCTTCTGCTCACGTAATTTCTCAGTTTCTTCGCGCAGCGCATCAAGGTTGAAGCCATCATCATCGTCATCCGATTCTTCTTCACTGCTGTCGCCATCCTTCCAGTCACCAGCCTCGAACAATGAGCGACCGGTTGCCTCCTTAGCCTTCTGTGCTTGCTCCTCGGCGGCCTTCTTGCTCAGACGCTCGGTCTTCCACTTGGCAAAGGTCTCCGGTGTGACCGGCGTCAACTTGCCGGTCAACAAATGCCGCTCAGACTCCAGCCAGTCTTCCAGAGTGAGGGTGTTCAGCGGCGACTTGTCCATCAGGGCCTTTTCTGCCGCTTTCTGCTCCTTGGTCTTGAGGACGAATCTGTGCGATGAGAATTAGTACAGTGAACGAAAAGGCAACAAGATAAGAAAAGGGATAAATTCCACATACCCTGGAGGCAAGCTGTGCTTGTACATGCACTTATCACCACCATTCGGACAGACCCAGAACCAACCATACTTTTGGTTCTCCACAGCCTCAATGAAGAACTTGCAGACTTTGTCGGTAGTCGTCCGTGGGTTTCCATGTTTGCTCAGCACGACACTGCGCAATTTCTCCTCGTCCCATTGATCCATAGTATCGGCCTTCTTGGTGTCCTCCTCACCTTCCCCGGCATCACGCGAGTCGGTGTACAAATCCTTCTTGGCCGCCTTCCGCTCAATGTTTAGGTCATGGCTGAACTTGCACTTGCGACCCTTCTCACAACCACCCTTCTTGTGGAACTGGCACAGAACAGTCTTCGGGTCGACACCAAATGGAACCTTCTGTACCTGGACAGGCTTGAAAAGTTCTGCGGCTTCCTTCTTAGCTGCCTCGGCAGCCTTCTTTTCGGCCTCACGCTGGAGCTTCTCAGCGGCTCGTTTCTTCTCTTCAGGGTTCTTGTTTGACGCGGCTTGAGCGTTCAACTGGGTAATCTGTCTCTTGGCGGCTCCTCCTTTTTTCTGTTGGATGCTGCGTTAGTCATTTGTGCTGTATAGGAGAGTTTGGAAGAGTCGAGGGTATTTAGAGCATGTCGTGCGGATTTTTTTTTTTCGGTGACGTACATTTTTCATGCCAAAAGTCTATGAAGGTATCAAGCATTAGCGATCATTTAGTCTCTAGAAGAATCGTGTAGGAAACTTAATACGACACGAACCTTGTCATCGACGGTCTTCGTCTTCTTCTTAGGCTGGTCGGCCTTTTTAGGTGGCATCTTGAAGGATTGGGCTCGTGTGAGGCCGTGTGAATGGGAAAGAAAAAAAAAAAAAAGAGAAATGCGCCCGGTCGCGCGAGTGTTCAAGATCTAGATAACGCTGATGCAGCCCGAAAGAAAGACAGGAAGAAGCCCAAAGTAGGGAAGTCAAGGGTATGCTGTGAGTTGTGATTGAAGAGAGAGAGAGCCCTCCACAAATTCGAGGGGTGAGAAGTGTGGCGGCAACAATCTTTGACTGACCAATGACCGCCCGGGCCCTCCAAGTATATTCCAAGGGTTGAATTGAACACCACCCTCTGTAGGTTTCAGTATGGCATAAGCGTAGTGGTAGAGAAGTATTCGAGAAACAATGATCTTTGATACTACTTTCCATGAGTATCCTTCTTACTCTATACGATCATGCGTGGTGAATTGGCCAAATTCGACCGGAGGAAACCATTTGCGTCATAGCCCCAGTTCTCCCACACATCATATTGCACACCGCAGTGGAAACATTTCTCCTAGGTATCATAGGTTTTTTCTTTTTTCTCTTCTATTAATGTCTAAAGTGAACTACTAGAATAATACGGTTCTCCTACACACTAACCTTTATTGTAGAAGTTCATTTTGATGTTCATTTTGGTAGCAAAGGGTTCATGAGCAGACTGCATCTAGACATTTTCATTTTTTATTGCCGCTACATGGATCCTTGAAAATGAAATAGCCAGACTGAAAGTTAATCAACTCGACTGTTCAGCTGGGCCAATTTACTCTACAAACATGGGAGATCCCAAGTAGTTAAAGAAAGAAAGTATCCGGCAAACCATCCCGCAGTCGCCTGAATGAACCCGTATTTTTCATTTCTGGTCGTGATAGATATTCCGAAGGCAGCTATCCTGATGATAAATTTAAGAAACCTCCTGGATCTTGGAGGACTTCTCCTCCTCAAGCTCGGGAAGCTCATCCTGCAACGTCACGGTTAGCACAAGGTACATTTAAGTTGGAGACAGTAGAGACCTGAAGGCCAAGGTTACTCACATCTTCGTCCTCGTCCTCACCACCCTGAGCGCCAGGGAAACCACCAGCACCGCTCAGGGCACTGAGGTCGGGCATGCCACCGGCACCGCCAGCCAAGGCACTCAGGTCGGGCATGCCCTCACCACCCATGCCGCCCATGCCGCCGAGCTTGGAGAAGTCAATGTTGCTCAGACCACCGCCCTCACCGCCGCCCTCGCCACCAAATCCACCGAAGTTGTTAGCGTAATCATCTTCGGGAGCCTCGTCCTGCTCATCCTCATCGACCCACTGGGATCGAGTCAGTCCATCATCTCAAGCACTAATTTCCATTGGAAGTACATACCTTGTCGAAGTCGGTCTTCAAGTAGTGAACCTTCTTGCTCTCCTTCAGGAGACGGGGCCAGAACTCCTCCTTCAGCTCCTTCTTGCGCAGCACCATCTCAACACCACGGTCGGTGTGGTTCACTTTGCTGTTCTCAGGGTCGATCTCGGCATAGAACTCCAGGGCGGCCTGGTATGTGACACCCTTGCGGGAATCACCAGTGAAGGAGACGGAGGTGGGGGTGAGCTTGAGGTCGGCCTTCTCCTTAGGAACTTCGGCGGCCTTGATGCTCACGTAGAGGTAGTTGCGCTCGGCATCATCGGCTGAGGAGCGCTGAGCCCAGGTAACTGAAAAACCACACAATTTCTAGGTCAGCCTTTTTTCGCCCCTTCTTGGTTTAAAATCTATAACAATCCGCCTGAACAAAGTTGAAAGCAGCCACGTCCCGCTAAATATTCAGGAACTGAACTAACGTCATAGCGGTTGTCTTTGCAAAATGTGCAGGTCCGAGTGTTTGGAGCAGAGCGGGGAAGTTAAGAGCTGTCACAACCTACCTTCGGGCTGTGCGATAGGCATGGTGGATGGATTAATGATTGATAATCCGAAGATAGTTTAAAGGTATAAAAGGGAAAGGAGTCTTCGAAAGAGATGAAATGGTAAGCGTAGTGGGAAGAAGGAGAAGCTCTCTTTGAGCATGTACCGCATTCACTTCACCTAATGCTAGAATGTACTGGAAGCACGGCAGCTGTTTGCTTGGTTTGTTGCCTAGTCGAGGCCTTGTCCTTCAGGCTAACATGTGAACTTGGGGACGTCACAGGATTTCTGACTAAGCCTTTCCTGCCCCCCTCCAACAAGTTGCCCCAGGCATCACAATCCTGATAAGACATACACGAGGGTCGAGCATTCCTCTTGAAGGACTCTGCCTCGTTCTTGGTGTTCATACTGCCCCAATATTCTCAACTCCCCGCCATTCCCGGCAGAAGATGCGCCCAGGCCCTCCAGTCATCCCACATTGCTCAACACATTGAATTCACGATTGGGGAAACAGACCAGCCAGGCGGCCTATACTTCTGTGATTTGCTGAATTTGTCTTAGCGACAATATCTATACCATAATGGAGACCCTAAAGGCGGTCTTCTTTGGGCCTGATCCCCAAGCCCAGGTAGGCAGGACACTCGTTAGCCGTCAGGTAACACCGCATTTAGTTACATCCGCTGACTGGTAGATTATTAGATGAGAAAATGCAATGCCCTCATCCGCGCAAATACCCGGCAACTCGATCGGGACCTTTCTCAGCTCAAAGCTCTTGATAACAAGACCCGCATGTACATCATTAATTCCTCCAAGCGAGCTCAGCGAAACCCATCCCAAGCCAAACAGGCTACTGCCGAAACCAAAACCTTTGCCCGGGAACTCGTGCGAATTCGGAAACAAACCTCGCGGTTAAATACAAGCCGAGCCCAGCTACAAAGTGTTGGGATGCAGGTCAACGAGGCCTTCTCCGTTCGCAAGATTCAAGGCAGTTTACAGAAGTCGACAGCGATCATGAAAGATGTGAACACACTGGTACGAATGCCGGAGCTACAATCTACGATGCATCAGCTCTCTACGGAATTGGTCAAGGCTGGGATCATCGAAGAAATGGTGGATGATGCTATGCCCATTGATGATATGCTGGAATCGGAGGACCTCGAGGCCGACGAAGAGGTAGACAAGATTTTGCAGGAAATTTTGCAGAGCAAGCTTTCCCAAGCCCCGGCCAAACCCGAGTCCCCTGTCGAGGAGGCCCCTGTTGCCGAGCCCGAATTCGAGGACCAGGAGGCCACTCTCGAACAAATGCGAGATCGCCTGGAAGCCCTGAAGAGTTGATCTTAATTAGCATTGCTGTCATTCTTATTTTACTATTATTCCTCATTCTTTCAAAGCGCCTCGTCTGCAATTCTTTCTTCTCTGGTTTCTTTGTTGATTTTGGGAGGAGTTCAGGGCATGATTTCATCATCCGTGTATGCAGGCTGGACCTTCATAGAATGAATGAGATTACACCTTCGTTCGTCCTGTCCTTGCGATACAATTCGTCTTCAAGTCGAGTCTATGGCAATTCTTCTCCTGAATTTGCGTTGCTACTAACGTAAGATAGACTTTTCAACATATTTTCTCTGAAATCAATTGCACAATTTCACCATAAGAGTTCGAGGAGTTCGATATTAAACACTGGTATCATTCCATTATAATAGCCTCACAAAGCGACTGCCTACCTTCGAAATGCATGATATCAGCCTCGCTGCAAACATGGCAAACACCACCGCTCGGGGTGCCCGACTCTCCAAGAATAGACTAGCGTGCCGCGCCCCATTGACTCCCTTTCCCTCCAACCCTCCTGGTCTCTCGTTCACCCTCTGTCTTCACTGATTTGGTTTTTCCTTTCTTCTCGGTAGAAAAACCACCTCTCTCAAGTGCCAACTAAACTTCTCCGTCGATCTTCTCTCAAGGTCGCTCTCAACTTTCGGGCGCATTTGTCATCGACGCGTTCTTGCAACCTTCAAGGAAACCCGAATCGCCAGCTTTTCCCATCTCTTCTCGCAAGTCTTCATCATGTCTGCCAACCTGGATAAGTCCCTCGATGACCTTGTCGGCAACCGCCGCCAGACCGCCCGCCGTCGCGGTAACCGCCGTGCTGCTGCTGCTGCCAAGCCGTCCGTCGGAGGAGTGAAGAAGTCTGCCAAGGGTACCAAGCAGGGCGCAAAGGCTGTCCACCCTACTCCTGCTGCTCCAACTGCTTCTAGCAAGATCATCGTGAGCGGACTGGTAAGTTTAATCCCTTAATTTTCACTTGCTTTCATATGCTAACCTGTCCAGCCTGCCGATGTGACTGAGGGCAATATCAAGGTATGTTGATCCAGAGGCCTTCGCCTTGGCTGTGATCGCCATCTTTGCTTTCGAACGAACGAGGTGCAATCAACGTCGACTCGTGTTCCGACCTGCCACTCCTATATTCCCTATGGTGGTTGTCGCCCCGTGTCTGGCACAGACAGGTTGCTCCTTCCCAATTGCTTCTGCGCATTCTTTGGCTGGCATCGTACGAAGTGGGAAGTTGAGCACTGTTCAGTACTCTGTCAAGAAGCTATGTCTTCTATGTCAATGATCTTTGCAAGGTGATCTGCCCACCTTGCGAAGTCTGAGTACTGTGCCAAGGATTGGAGATCGAAAGATTCCATCCTAACTCGCTTTTCGAAATTCCGCTCCACTCTTTTTCCTACTTTACGTTGTTAGCTTCAGAGGGACATCAGCGAGCGCACCAGTGAACCAACGGAGACTTTACGGGCCACGAGGGTTTTCACAAGTGTCAACCGGCTTTTCTTCTGGAGCTTCCGGTTGGGGACTTCCACTGCCTCATGGGGTGAATCCCATCACAGTGATATGAAGACACGGTCGTTATCTCCGGTCGGCTACCAGGCTTCTCACCTGGAAAACGATCGCGAGAACATACGGCAAAGCTCCAAGCTAGTGTCACGCAGTGGGCGTGGGAATGCGTGTACAATGGCGCTTTAAGACAATCTGTCGTTCAGGCTAGTCGCACTCGATTGATGAATATTTGAGCTGGGAACGCTTTTGAAAGAAATTTATGGATGTGTGGGATAAGATTTATATGGAGCACAATGGACAACGGTATCATGTATGAATGGCGAGTTTGTATATGGTACGCAGTGGGAAATGTCCTGGAATTCTGGGAATGGGCTTGGTCAACGGATGACCGTCGTGTGCTCGCTGATGCTCTCGCCGTTGGATTGTCCACGTTCACGATGTCGCCGTTGTTTGCCTTCAACGCTCGATCACTATTGATGCAGCTGAAACACTCAGACGAAATACTGATCGACTCTCTACCCTATAGGAATACTTCAACAAGTCTGCAGGTCCCGTGAAGCGGGTGATGCTTACTTACAACCAAAACGGAACCAGCCGAGGCATTGCTTCCATCATCTTCGCCAAAGCCGACACTGCTGCAAAGGCTGCCAAGGAGCTCAATGGGCTCCTCGTCGATGGCCGTGCTATGAAGGTTAGCAAAAGATAGTTGATACAGTTTCTTCCTGTTATTGACCATCGTGAACAGATCGAGGTTGTCTACGATGCCTCCCACGCACCTGTGGTACCCGCCCCTAAGCCACTAAATGAGCGCATTGCTGCGTAAGTACTTTCTTATGTTCAAACCCACATCATGTCCAGACACTCACCTTTAAATAGCCAGAAGCAAAAGTCCAAGCCCAAGCCGGCCACTACTAACAAGGCGGCCAACACCAACACTGCTACTCGGGGTCGTGGCGGTCGCGGCCGCAACCCCGGCCGTGGGAAGCCCAAGAGCATCGAGGAGCTCGATGCTGAGATGGTTGACTACTTTGCTGGCGGTGAGACTGCCCCTGCTGCCAACAGTGCCCCCGTCAACGGCGCTGCCCCACAGGCCAACGGTGGTGAGGACCTCGGTATGGCCGAGATTTCTGTGAGTATCTGCGTACATTGAAACTTTAATACTCCCTACTAATACCAATTATAGTGAATTACTTGACAACGCATTGCGACTGATGTCTTTCGTTGTGCCTTGCCAGGCATGGTATGAGGTCCTGGCTTTTTGTATTGGGGAATTTGATAGTTGATGCGCGGGCCATATCTTCTGCCGTTCCCCTCCCTCTTCCTTTTTATTCTTTCTTTTTCTTTTTTTTTTTTTTTGCTTTCGTCTTTTTGCATGTCTTTTATCTGGGATTTTTCTTCTTGTTACGGGACTTAATTCTTATTGCGGCAGACGAATGGGTAGGAGGATGGCATGTATCTACAAACAAACAAAGAACATTCAAACCTTGGAGGTGGCCATGATTTTGTTACAGCTTCCAAAAAACCATGAAAAGTATGCACCAAATAAATCAATTTAGACAATGGTATTATGTTTCTCTTGGGGATTCCAATTCATTCTCCACGCTATGCAACTATTAACGCCACAGGGCCCATGGCACAATAAACGCCAAACACATAACCTTATATCCGTCGAAAACAGTAGATCAATCCAAAGAAAATCAAAGCAATGTACAGACGCTCCTCACCTCGTGGATAAGCATACTAGAAAACACCCGCGCGCATCATGACATCATGAAATTGCTCCAACGTAACACCCGCGCTCAAACCCGCACCACCGTTCGCCTCAGCGATCATATCCCTGAGCAGGTCATCATCCACCGAGTCCTCCTTTAGCTCGCGCGCAATGCGCCGTAGGTGGTTGATCGATATCGGCCCCTCTGTTCCGCGTGTGAAGAGCTGATACGCATGATCAACCTCCTCAGCCATCGCATCTTCATCGCGCGAGCGCAATTTCGCAGCAGCAACGGAGACGAACGGGCTGTAGGGGATGTAACCTGCGCTGGTTGGGTCGAGGGCAGAGAGGATTTCGGAGAGCTCGGTTGAGTCTTCTGGGGGAGGCCGAGGGCTCTGGCGAGAAACATAAATCATGAGTATGTGCGAACAATGTGTCGAATGATTGAAGAAGGTTGAAAAGAGACATTGGAGGGGGTCCAGATATGTATAAATTTTGGAGGGTTACATACACCAGTGCTTTGCGCACATCTTCTCGGGGAATGACACCCTCTTTCTCTGAGGGGAAGTCCTTGTGCTTATCGGCGAAAAGGTGGAAGACCTCCTTTATTTCATTCTCTTCCTCTGCACTGATGTTGTTCTCTTTTGCGAGTTTAGAGGGGCGCGCACGCTTGGGTCCTGCCGAAGAGGAGCCGGCAGCAGCTCCACGCCTCTGGGGGAGGCTATAGTGAGGAGTGGGTGAGTTTGGAGGTCGCTTGGTATATTATAGATCAGGGCGATGGCTTACCATGTCGCTGTCCAAGAGAGGAAACTCTCAGCTGTGAATGTAGGGGAAATATAGCTGTAACGGTGACTGCAGAAAGTGGAATGCGATGCGCAGATGCCCCGAGTGGAGTTTCCCAGCGGTGGCAGAAAAGTGAGGGATATATACCACCTTCCGGTAGACCTGGTGTCCTTCGGGACATTTGGTCAAATGAAAATATACAGAGAAGATTAGCATGGCCCCTGCACTAAGGATGACACGCTCAATCAAAGAGAAGCTACCAGTTTTTTTTTCCTTGCTGGAGCTTCGTTGAGGTGTGAAGTTATTGCGAAGATTTGGATGCCTACGTTCGAACCGCGCTCAATACATCCTTTTTGTCGTACCGGGATACTCTTCACCACCACTGTTTGCATGGGAACCCTTCAGTTTTATCTCTGAGAACATATGGAATATCAAAGTATCCACTTCCAGAGTTAAAAGTACGCAATAATCGCTACTGAGGTAGCTTAGAACTTGGAGCCGAGCATTATTATCATTTGATACTAACAGGGCAATCTTTCCTTGTTTAGAAAACAGTCGAAGGCACCCGAATCCAAAGTGCTGACGTTATCCGATCGGTGCCTGCCCAGCCCTCAAGGTTATCAAGCTGGTCCCGCCCTTATCAAATCTTCCATACAAGAATTACGACTTACAGCCATGGATGTCGAGCTCTACGTTTATGACCTTTCGAAGGTGAGTGCTCTCTCTATTTATGTCAGTGTCATTTAGCTAATTACTTTTAGGGTCTTGCGCGTATGGTATGTACAAATCAGCACATAACGCAACAAATATGAAAAGATGTCACTCACATACCATCGTTACTAGTACTCTGTGGCCCTGACAGGGACTCAAATGGATGCGATCTACCATACGTCCATCGTGGTTGGTGGTATGGAGTATTATTTTGGTCAAGGGATCCAGACCGCTCTTCCTGGAAGCACCCATCACGGACAGCCCATGGAGAGAATACATCTGGGGTCTACGGAGCTCCCAGCTGATGTGATAGAAGAGTATCTTGGCTCCCTAGCAGAGATTTATACTCCAGAGGTCGGTCACAACCAAACAGAATGCTACATCGTGCATAGTCGACTCTAACACTCTCTAGTCCTATGACCTGTTTCTTCACAACTGCAACAACTTTACCCAGGATTTTGCTATGTTTCTCGTGGGTAAGAGTATCCCGGAGAAGATTCGCAACCTGCCTAGCACATTTTTGGAAACCCCATTTGGACAGATGATGAAGCCCCAGATCGAGGCCGCATTGAAGGGGGTCACCCAAGGCGGTGGTGCAGGCCCAATCCCTGGGCCAAGTGCTGCACCGCCGGTATCGCGGCCTGCGCCTGTAACCCACGCGCCGCTTGGGAAGGTCCGCATTGTTAGCAACCTAGGCCAGCTCGAGGGCGAGTTAGCTGCGGCGTCAAACTCCTGTGCAGTTATCTTCTTCACCTCGTCCACTTGTCCACCATGCAAGATGGTCTATCCGACGTATGATGAGCTGGCAGAAGAGGCCGGTGACAGGGCCAGGCTCATCAAGGTCGACATCGGGTCGGCTTATGACGTGAGCATGAAGTACGGCGTGCGCGCAACGCCGACATTCATGACTTTTCTGAAAGGCCAAAAACTCGATGAGTGGTCGGGTGCCAACCCGGCACAGCTTCAAGGAAACGTGCGGATGCTTTTCGAGATGGCCCACCCATCTCACCCTCATAGACAGCTCCGAGTACCAAGTTTCCAACGACAAATCACCAATTTCGTTATGTACAAGAAGGTTCCGCCATTAGAGAAACTTGTGCAAAAATTGCCAGCGGAATTTAAAGATGCCGCAGGCATTGCACCAGTCATAGACTTCGTCAAAACCCGCCATTCCACGGAAAACAAAGCTCCTGCAGCGGATACCAGAGTCCCAGATCTCCACGCCTTTGCCACTGCTTTGCAGTCGACATATCCGACACTCCCAGCTGAATGTCACTTTGCCGTCGTGGATCTTGTCCGTCTCCTGTTTCTCGACCCACGCGTGAGTGGCTATTTCGCCGAAGAGCCCCAACACGCCACCCTCCTTACTCTTCTCTCACCACTCTCAGGGGAGCTATCATCAACTCCTTACAACCTCCGCATTGTTGCTCTGCAACTAGCCTGCAACCTATTCAGCACCGCTTTATACCCGCACCAGCTCGCCTCAACTTCCTCACCCTTACGAGAGACCTGCCTTGCACTCGCAACCAATTCCCTCCTAGACTCACACGCAAACCTGCGCGTTGTAGCAGCTTCCTTTGCATACAATCTCGCTGCTTTCAATCACAATGCTCGATTTGATGGGAAACCGGACCCACTGCCTGACGCTGATCAGGTTGAATTGCTCGCCTCTTTGTTGGAAGCTACTTCGCGCGAGGACCAGAGCCCGGAGGCTTTGCATGGTCTGCTGTTTGCGCTTGGGCTATTTGTTTATGAGGCTCAGCTTGATGGGGAGGTCATTGATCTTTGTCGTGCGATGGGTGTGACAGAGACCATTGCGGCGAAGTCTAAAATAGCGGCTTTGCAGAAGGAACCTCTTCTTAAAGAGGTGGGAGAAGAGCTTTTTGGGAAAGGGCTGTAGACTATTACCTGGCATATGAATTGTTGCATTTTCGGCATTTCCGTTCGCGGTTTTAATTTAATCTACTTGCAATATTAGGACTTTGTGACTGTATAGTAATCCAGGCCTTAGCGTTCCAACGTTGAGGATGTAAAGAAGAAAGTTGCGGTGGGATGTAAAGCCCCAGGAGAGCAGAGGCTTTCCTCGTCAAGGAAATGCAGGTGACATTGTGCTTACCCAGGCATGACAGGACTCTGTATCACCGTTTAAGCTCACACGGCTCTGTAGTTAGATATCGTACATTATGGCCGTGTTGACATCAATGCCCAAGCGGATTTGATATTCACGAGATCAAAATCGTCCTGGAGAAAGGTATTCGGTGAAAAGTCTCATTTATGACATGAACATGGAGGTAGACATAGTAGAAATTGAGTTCCAGCGTTACATACTACATGTGCAGTGTGTACAGGTAACCTACTTATGTGAGGGGACTATGTAGATGCGAAATGCAGCTCTATTGTCTGACTTTTGCGGTTTCTAACTTTTGCATGATACGTACTGTATGCCTATCACTCCATGAACTTCAGTTCTTTTTACCGCTACACCACCTCTGACGATAATCCACCTGGGCGACCTTGGAAGCCACTGGGAATCAAAGGAATGGAGTGACATGGGTTCTCGTCCCTGTCGTCCCACTGCTGAAGTGCAATAACGAGACACGACAGCACTCTTTTAACGTTTTGCTTTTGGACATTGGTTTTGGTTTTGATTGGGTAGAAATTTCTTTTTGTGACTCCTGTGTCGATACATGCTTGAGCTGTTAATTGTTTTGATTCCCAAGGTTCCACATGCAATGTTACGTATCGTAAGCGAATTCTTTGACATGAATACTTTTCTTTGATTTGCGCTCAACTGAATGCTTTGCATTTTCTCTCTTTCGCATTGCCTAGGGTCTTCTATTGTTAGACGAGCACGGAAGAAGAAGATTTCTATCATGACACAACTCAGCGAGTTGGATGGCCCTATCCTTCCAGATACCACTTTGACAACCAACGAAATGTGGCTGCAAAACGTTTCAGACCACCATGATATCCTGGCACTCGTTTGCACTGGAATCTCAAGTGCACCCTTTCATGTCGGACAAGAGTGAGTTACCTACGATGGACCTACGGAGATCTTGAATGCGCCATTCAAAGGTTCGCAAACGGTCTAAAAAGCCGCGGGCTACAGAAAGGTGATCCCGTAATGATGTTCACAGCCAATATCGCCGAATATATCATTGCCACCTGGGCCACCTATAGGATTGGCTGTGTTCATGTTCCAATCAACCCGGCAACCTTATTACACACTCGAGAGGCTTGACATATGTTGCAAACTGTGCAGAAGGCTTGCCCTTCCGGGTTCCTCACCATAATAGCGGGAAATACCGAGCTCTGCCTACCAATCGATAAATTTGACATTTGGGTTGAATTGCATGAAGATATTGGTGGACGGCCAGATGGATGGATGGATCTCATTCGAGAATCTTATGCAAGAGAAAGCCCAAGCTGAAAAGACCGATATTTTAGAGCCACTGGAATCTTCTATCTTATTCACCAGTGGAACCAATTCTCTTCCAAAGGGATGCTTCATTCAGACATCCTCCTTTCCTTTCACGTCGGCGTTGGGGTGGAGCCAGGGTAGTCAGCCCATTTTACCTGGAGACAAATTTGCACACGTGCTGCCAAATAATCATTCATATAGCTATACGTGTCTTATGTCCTACTTCATGAACGGAGCCACCGTGGTGTTTCCGGGACCGACCTTTGTTCCCAGAACTTTGCTTCAGGCCATCCAGAAAGAACAGTGTAGTCACGTTGCTCTTGTGCCAACAATGGTGCTTGCTTTGAGTATTGCTTTCACTGAAAAGAAGGTTGACTCATTGCGCCGAGTTGTGCTGGCAGGGGCTCCACCAAATGAAGAAATCCTCAGGATCTGTCTTGAACAGCTTGGTGCATGCGGGGTACAGAATGTTTATGGAATGACGGAAGGAATCTTCGCCCAGACAGATACCGTTAGCCACGCCAGCGACATTCTTGCTGGAAAAGACATCTCAATTGGCATGCCTTTTCCAAGTATAAAGATGAAGATATGTTTCGAGGGCAGGTGTGTCCCTCTCCCAGTGGGCACAGCTGGGGAAATGCATTTTTCTGGTCCAACTCTGATTAAAGAGTATAAAGGAAAATCTGATGATGAGTTGTTCTATTCTGGAGCGGATGGTCGAAAGTGGTTTCGCACCGGAGACAAAGCGATCATGGGCAAGGATAATCGATTATACCTGATTGGAAGATATAAGGACATTATCATCCGAGGGGGCGAGAACATCGACCCTTCCGCCATTGAAGCCGTCTTGGGCCAAATTCCAGAATTTTGCGCTCTTGAGCCCCAGGTTGTGAGGTATCCACATCCTATTGCTGGTGAAGTTACGATTGTGGTTGTGAAAAGCGAGGTCAACAAGGAAACGGCACGTCAGATCAAAGACATGATCCGGGCAGAAATGGGAGCAATGTCTGTCCCCGCCGAGGTTGTATCAGTGCAATCCTTAGGGTCCCATGCCTACCCTAGAAACATTACTGGGAAGGTTCAAAAGTCAAACTTAGAGGGTATGGTCAAATCATGTTGGCAAAAGCGACAATCAACAGCTCACAGCAATCTAAATCTAACAACACCACTGAATTCCACTGACTGCCAAAATATCGTTACGCCAAGTATAGGCTCACGGGTCAATGAAGCATTACTGTCGGCAATGAGAGCGGAGAAGAATATTGAAATAAATCCAGCCATTCCGATGATTGACTTAGGAGTCGACTCAATCTCGTGTATTGCAATCCTCCACCGAGTCTACAAGGAAACGCGAACGTCGCTCCCATCATCACTCTTCTCCACTCAAGCAACTGTTGGTACAGCTAGCGAATGGCTATGCTTAATGTCATACTCGACAGACCCTCTAAAATTTAATACACTGAACGAAGACCCATCTCACGAGTTATGCTCCTCACATCTTCTTCAAGGGATCCCAAAGCCGGGGATTCCCTCGCTGTTTCTCACACCTCCAGGATCTGGATATGCCTTTGTGTATAAGCCACTGCCCAAATTTGCCAACAGCCTTGCAGTGTACGTCCTGACTTCCCCATACCTCATGACAAGTAAAGTTTCTTGGACGGTGGAAGATGCCGCTGCGATATACCTGAAAACTATTCAAAATCTTCAAGCCCAGGGTCCTTACATCCTCGGCGGCTAGTCAATGGGCGCGATCACCGCCTATGAAATCGCATTTCTACTTCATCAACAAGGCGAGAGGGTTTTGGGTGTCATTAATATCGACTCACCAATTCCTGTACCGGCTCCAATTCAAATCCCAGAGCCGACGGTCAAACTTCTTGACATCTTAGGCTTCTTTCCCCCAATTCGTCGTGGAGGTGTGCCTGATAAGGAGATTCCTACTCTCCTCAGGCAGCATAGTACCTCATCCGTTTGCGCGAAGATGAAATACTCACCCCGTCCGATAAGATCTGATGTCAATAGGAGCCCAGTACGGATATTGCTGATCTGGGCTGGACATGGCGATATCGATCGGGTTCCGTCCATGTTATATGAAGCGAACGATATATTGAAGAAATATGGACCACAAAAAAAAAGAACAACGGACTAGAAATGGCGAGAAAGACCTCGTGAGTCGTTCGACTCGGGTGGTTGGGCGAAAATGGTGGGCGAGGAGAATGTGGAGTGTAATGTCATAGACCACGCAGATCATGATTCAATGATGGACCCGGAAGTGGTACGTTCCCCTTTATGCCTTTCTGGCTCATTTGTGTTTCTTCTCATATTTGGTACAGGTCCAATTCTTGGGAAATCGGATGCAATTGGCAATCGATAAATGGTTGCTGCTATAGTCTCTCACTTGCACATATTTGTACTTTCGGCAACATCTGATGACATGGCGGAATTCTGGCACAACTTATTTATATTAAGAAGTCTGTTCAATCAAGGATTGGAAGTTGGGAAGCCGCGATACTGTCACATACGCGTCACACTCTTAGTCTTCAGTATATTTCGGTCTATGCCGTTCTGACCTAACAAAATACTACTTACTGAGAAGCTGATACCTTTCAACCACCCCTTAAGGATTCCAAAATGTCATTTTGATATACATAGCAGTCTATCACAGAGTACGTCTGAAATACTGGCTAATGATATTTGAACATCATGAATTGTCATCAATTAAGATATATAGTAAAACCTTCACTTTTCCTCTCCGCATTCCATTCCTGGGTATACAATCAATCCTCCACCATTAGTCCTCCTTTTCCTCCTCTAGGTCCATCCGCATCCACCGATCACGCGCCTCCTCAGGGTCCCATTCCTTGTTGGCACAGTTCTCCTTCGCCTCCTTCAGCCACCCATTCCACTTCTTCGTCGCCGGCGCAAATCCGGCCTTCTTCACCCAGCGAACACTCCCAGTCCTCTGTATAGCTTTCCACATCGCCAGGGTATAGTTTGCACATATCTCGTCTGTGTGCGTCTTTACCTCGTACCGGCTCTCCCAATTCCAGAGGTCTTGCGGTTTCGTCAACAGGGCCAAAGCCCAGTACGCAAGATTAAGAATGATGTAGGCAAGTCCAACAGCAATCTGAATCTTCCAGCCGCAGTTACTAAAGAAGATAATGGAAGCCATCAGTAGTACCGTGCTGAGCGCGAGAAGACACTGGTGCGTACGTCCATTGTAGACGTACGAGCATTCTTCTGTTCCGGCGTACAGCTCACGGGCGATTTCCTCGCTGCACTCGATGGCGACGAAAGCTCCACTCCGTGTACGGATGACGACATCACCTGGGGGCACGATGCCCTTGGCTGATCGGACTGTGAGGATCGGGCGCCACTGTGCGGACAGACAGGCCGTGGCGGTGGAGATGGACATAGTTCCCAGACCGAGAAGAGCGACTGCATCATGCTGCACACCGGCCCAGACAAACAGAGCGATCGTAATGAGGACAGAAATCAACGTCAACAGGTTCAGTGCGGAGAAGGTGTGCAATGGGATGATGGCTTTGCCTGGTGGTGCGCCTTGATGTAGAAAAGTCCCGTTATCCTCGGCATCTTTCCGCCTGTATGTGATCGTGAGGGATTGGAACTGGAAGCTTTTCAGGTCTCCAATACGGTGAATCACGTCGGCGAAGAAATTGAGTTCGTCGAATTTATTGCCCGAGTGCACGCCTACGACGGTCACATCCTTGACGGAGGGTAGTCGATCTGGGCGATCGGTATCCAGCATCGTCTCTGGAGCAGGCAGCAGACGAGGGATACCGGCAAGAGAAGAGGCAGTAATACTCTGTGCATGTTTTTCGATTGAAGATCCTCCGACCACGGCGAGCAGGCCGACGATGTCGAAGCTCCAGGTTACTGCCGCATTATCGACTTCGAGCGGAAACCAGACCATCTTGCTTTCCCTTTAATCCGATAAAGGCCCTGAATTTCTGGTGGACAGGACGCGCAACGACGATGGAAAAAGAAACGGTAGATAACGTCAAAGAAAGAAGACTTTTGGGCGCAGCAAGTCTGCATGTAGCGACCCACTTCTTCATGGAAGGGGGCTTGAGCTGAAGCTGTCAGAAAGAAAGGCAACGAGCTCTCTGCCAGCCACTCAATTAGACTGCGCCTTTTGAGCCAATCGCCTCATTTCTGTGGAGTCGTTCTCGGACACAGCGATTCGTTTTGGCAGGGGATCGTCCAAACCGGTGAACAATGTACCATTCCGGTACGGATAAATACAGATCTTTCAGCGCCGGGTCGATGCATAGTTCGTGTGCGCTGAACTGTGGAGATAAAGAGATTACGATCCACACGAACAGGCCCCAAAATTGGGCGAGATAATGGCTGTCTCCCGTGTCTATTGTGGGTTAATCTATGTGAATGTATCCATCTATCGAACTCAAATTCGATCAGCAGAGAGATGGGACGTGCAAGTGGAGATCATGCTCGTGGACGATTGAGGTAAACTCCACTCCGTCTCCATTTCTTTGTCTACTCGGAGAACACAAGTCGGCCTTCGTATGTTACGAGTTTCCGGAACTTTTTACTTTGTGCAGTCGGATTCGACAATATCATAGGCAGTTCGTCGGCAAGATCTTCCCCAAACTTTGGGGTTCTTTTTATTCCGACCACTCATGCAGTATTAGTGTTCGAGCGGGTTGGTGGCTGGCTCAGCTGCGGGTTCAGCTACCCCGTCCGGCCCCTCCCAACCACTTTGCCGGTATCCTTCCACACAGAGATTTCCTCGGACTCTAGGGCTCCATAGCAGATTTTTCAAACGGGGTGCGTGGGTTCGAATGGAGTGTTTCATTTCATCCAATTATCTCGTCTGCGCTACCGCTCGTCTACGCTAAAAGACGGGCTGTCATGACGATCTTATCGCCCTAAGCCTCTTTAGGTACATGGTACGCGGTAGGTTTGCAGAACAATCTTCCTCGGAGATCGCCTCCGACCCTAGATCTTTTCATTCGACAGTGCTTGCCGTCCAGCACCATCGCCCGATGTCAATCCCTGAATGTATCGTTTCGCCATGTCATCCATTTGCGAACCCGCGAGAACGACACCCATGATGTGACCCACTAGTTGACCTTGTGTGATGATACCACAACGAATCACATCGTTCATCAGGTCGTAAGTGCTGTGTGGCTTCAAGCCCCGCATGATGCGCTCTACCGTAGCTTTTAGTATTGTGTCTCACTGTGGTTTCGGACTGTACTCACTGCCGAGTGCCCAACTACAGGGCTTGGTGATTTCCACCTTGTATTTTTGAATCCAGGATTTGGGATATGTGGCCCGTAGTCCGACTGGGTGGCCCCAACTGGTGATGGTGTAGGTGCTGGTTTTACGGAATTCGGGTGCCGTGTCCTCGGCTGTTGGCTTAGTGTCTTGTGTCTGTTCTGCCTTGCTGGTTTGTTCGTCCGTCGGCTTGGGTTTGGCTTCCTCGGACTCTGCCTCGGTGGCTTTTGCGTTTGGGTCCTCCTCTTCGGCTTCATCAAGACCTATCGGTCGTGAGCACTCGTACTTGTAATGATTGCCTCCGAATACTCACCCTCAGGTTCTTCGTGCTCTGCTTTGGTGTCTTGATTTTCGCTCTCCTGGTCCGTCTTGGAATCCTCTGTAGTCTTAGGCTTGGAATCCGGAATATGACCTGTGATTTCTTCCACGGCTAGCTTATCCTCTATGTTGTCGTTAGCGTTATATCAAGAAGTGTTTCAAGGGAGGACCGACTATAGACGATAATTCCATGCTCAAACCGAGCGTTGGCTGAGTACGAGATGAGGAAGAACACATCCACGAATCCAATTAATCGGATCTTGCCAGCCCATCGCTCTCCGTTGATAGAGATCTCCCAGGGATGAATATCACTGGATGAATTCTTAGCCTCTTGAATTAAGCGATGAGAACATTATTTAGGAATTGTGCATACCAGTCGCATTCTAGGGTAATGTCTTGAATAGATCGACCAAAGGTCTCCAGCACACGATGGTAGGACGCCATAGTGAAGTGTTGAAAGTGTGAAGATGCTTCAATATGGAATGTGTACAGGATCTAATGAGAATGTATCAGTAATTTGACGGGAAACTTAGAGTGTGGTAACCACTCAGCGTGAAGTGGATCAGCGTCAGAGCTGATGGGTGCCGGTCTCCGCTGTGGATCATGGCCCTGCAATGTACATATTCAGCTACTCCGCAGAGGGGAAGCAAAAAAAGGCGCATTATACGGTTGAGCCCTTGTTCGGTGACGTGTTCGTCTGATTCGTTGATTCACCCTGTTGAGTTGACTCAACCCCTCCATAAGTCTCGTGAGTGGAAACTAAGCTTCGAGTTGATAGGCTCTTCAGTCAGCCGTCTGAAATGCTTGCTTTCTTGTGATTTTTTTCCCGCTTGTTATCTGCCTCCTTACTCGGCTCAATCGGCTCGGCTGTATAAAGTCCTAGAGCTAAGGCACACAGCCAGCCCAGAACCTCCATCCGAAACCAGGGGACCTCACGCTTCGATCAAAAATGAGTTCCATAAGCAGTCTCAAAGCAACCCTCTCGGACAGCCTTGTCTCTAATGCGGCGCTGAGAGAGGCGTTTGACATGGCCAGTTGGGCCACCGATCGCACAACCCGCTTCAAGGATGTCGTAATGGATGGTGAGCAAAAGCACAGACTTCGCCGCATCCTCAACCACTTCCTGATACCAAGCATCAAGCCACAATTCGTGGACGATGAGGATGAGGAAGCAGAAGAGATGGATCGGGCTCCCGATAGTTGGTTGGCCAAGGCCGAAGGGGGACTGAAAATGCCCTACCGCATGATTGATGTGGAAACGAAGAATATGGTCCCCACGTACAATCTCGGTCTACAGGACCAGTATTGCATTGTGTCTCATAGTTGGAAAGGGTCCGAGATTGGCTACGGTTATTTTGACGCGGCCAAGAAATTCGAGCCCCAGGAAGGCTCCCAGTCGGATGGGAGCAACAAACCCTCAAACGACCTCGATAGGGTCATCAGCAAGTGCGAGACCGACATCAAGGAGCTGGAAGCAAAGATCAAATCGGTGCTTCCGACTGTCACCCCCAGAGCCGACGGAGAACGGCCCCAAGACATTACAACGCTACTCAAATGGTACACTGAGGCCAATACAGCCAGTTATGACTTTGGCAGAGCTCAGAAATCCCATCATGAGGCTGCAGCGGGCGTATCGAGCGCCGAGAGAGAAACCGAGTATTATAACACGTTATGGGGAACTCTCAATGCCCTCACAACCTCGGAGCCATCCACCGACGAACCAAATTCGGCCCAAAGAGATGATCCGGGAGTAGAAGAAGTCCGTTCGGCAATCGAGAGTCTGAATGTTGAAGCAAAAAGTCGACGCACACAGGCTGAAGCAAAGCTCGCCACAGCTTCAGAAAATCAATTGAATTACAAATCCACCATTGAATTCTTTGAAAAGAACCGTGAGCTATGCTATGGAATCGAGCATCTACTGGTCTCGCTGCAGCACATTCGGTCCTCACGCAAAATCGAGAACTCTATCAAGGTAGCCAAGGAGCTGTTTGATTCACACTTTCTCCGAGGAGGAAAGCGATATGTGTGGCTCGACACTTGCTGTATCAACAAGGCAGATGGCGGTGAATTGACCGAATCTCTGGCTTTGATGGGTGATTGGTATGAAAATGCTGATTTCTGTCTGGTTCATGTGGATACTCCCCGAGATGAACGTACATGGATTGAAGAATGGGAGCACTGGAAAGACCCTCTCCATAATCCTGTCCCTGTGAACATGAGGGGCTTTGAGCAAATTGGCTCCAATGGCAACAGTCCGGAAGAGAAAAGCCAGTTCCAGATCGAATGGGCAACGCGTGGTTGGACGTTGCAAGAGCTGGTGCTGAGCAAAGTTACTTACTATGTTAACTCGCACTGGGAGAAGCTGGTCCGGCCAATTGAGGTGATCGGTCCATTTTACTTCCTTCAGCCCTTCCTCTCTCAGTTCTTCCGTCATCCGTTTGTTGACAAGCACAAGAAGATCAGCGATGAGCAGATGGAGGAACTCAAAAAGTTACTTTCTCGGCCATCTCCAAACGACGAGAAGCCCAAGCCTTTTCTCGAGGAGGGAATGTCACCCGCGAAAGAGATCTCAGTCATGCTTCAAGTCCTGGGATTCTATGCGCCAAATGGCATCAGGCCGAAAACAGCCGACGCACAAATTGGCAAAGCAGTGCTCGACGCTGCTGACCGGCTGCCCGATATCCTGAGTAAATTGGTGCCAGACATCTCAAGCGCTCACTGCCTGTCGAACCTCACCAACAACCAAACCAACCAAAATGACAGAATAGCTGTTTTCATTCATTTGCTACGCGAGTTGGCGAATAAGACCGACAAAACTATCCTCGAGGACAGGAAGGCCATTGCAGCTTTCAGCAAAATTAGAAATCTTACCAACTGGATCAATGGCCACGATTTCATGGATTCCTCTGCCAGCAGCTCTCTAATCACCGCAGCAGAGCGAGTCACCACAGTCGCCACCGACCAAGCCTACTCTTTGATGGGTATTCTTGGTGTGCGGTTCCCAGCATTCCCTGCGGAAGGACTTCCCAAAGCTCTGGCCCGACTTCTGGACGAAGTTGTGATTTCATACAACGATGTTTCGGTATTCAACTGGTTCGGTAAACACCACGGCAGTCCCCTCCAGGGGCGCTCAATGTACCCCGCCAGCATTGCAGCATTCGTGGATCCTGGGACTAACATGAACATCACGTCTCGTGCCTACGCCAACCAGCGGATTCTAAAATCGTTCCGAGCCCAGCGAGTGCGGCAAAGTGAAACCGCTAGCAACGTCAACATGCTACTGGCTGAGATGTTGGGTCTCACGAAAAAATTGCCGAAGGAATGTTCGGTGTTTATGAGCCTGGGCTTTCTGGCTGCAAAGATCAAGGCGACCAGTTTTGATAACCTGGAAGCTTGTCTGGGAGATTTGGTCAAAGTGGTTGAGCAGCTTCGCGACTTCACGCCTCAGGATGAGAGTCCAGATGCAGCAAGCCCTACCGGCTTTGCCAGAGTGAACTCGCTTGCTGAGTCCGTCCGCTCGGCTAAGTTTGAAGTGCCCAAATTTGAGGTCCCCAAGTTCGAAGTCCCCAAGATGTCGTTTGGAAGGAAAAAGTCTGCTCCTTTGGCGACTGAAGAGAAGAAACCGATAGATCCCCCCACTCCGACATCGACAGTCCCGGTCTCGGTTCCTCTTGTCGATCAATATGAATCCTTGAACATTTGTATCACACATGCCATCAAGGTTCTCAATGGCGACGAGGCTCCGACCAAGGACTCTAGTGTCACTTTGCCATTGGGCGAGAAGCCTAGTTCGGCTGATGCTACAAGCGAACAGAACATCGACACTCAGGACGTGAATGAAAATGAGAAACGAATGGTCTGTCCCAACCCCATCACAGTGAGCAGTGGTGGTATTCGCGGCATCTTCGATATCCAGCGAGTAGTTGTCACGATGCTCGAGCCCAAGAAGCTACGCTCTCGAGTCCGAAACGCAGTCAGCGGCCAAAAGATCGACGGATGGTGCACTGTCAGCACCGGTCTCTCCATGGCTCTAGTCTCATTCTCCTGTGAGCGCGATGCTCTACAAACACAGCTTGACCTATCAGAAGTCATCAACAAGCACATCGACCCAGATGAGACGCCATCTGACGGTGATAACCCGACACCTAAGCCAAACGGCGAACAAAGCCAGGGTTTGCGCAGCCAACTCCGACTTGAGAAGACACGGGAGAAGATCCGAGTTGCCCGCATGATCTCATTTGTGCAAAAGCCCAATCTTGAGACAATTGCCGGCGAATGGGTCCTAGCCCGGTTCTCCGGTGCCCCTGGAGCTAGATGGTTCCTCTGTGTCCTGGAATTAGGAGCCGGTAATGATTTCTACGGACGTCGAATCCCCACCGATGCCTTCAGCTTTGAAGATGCCGCTCCGGAACAGGGACTGACAGAGTACTGGCACCAATTTACCACTGAGAAGAAAGCGCGGACCTGCGATACGCTTGACATGTATCTTAATCGGCAGAAGCTTTGGAAGAATGCTGGCAAGAACTTGGACGAGATGCAGAACATGCAGCATATCCAGCAAATGAAGGAATCCCAGACTCAGGAAGAGAAAGATCATCTTGATTTCGATACGGCGATAGATATCATCCAGAACCTTTCGTTGGATACGCTAGAAAAGAGTATCAATCTGGGCAAGATGACGGGCTATGGTATTGGGGGTCTAGGTGCAGAGCTTTGGGCTATGCATTTGGAATCTCGGATTGAGAAGTGTGCTTTGAAACGCGTGCCTATTGCTTTGCGGACGCCTGTGAAGGATCTTGATCACAACAGGAAACTACTACCGGCCATGTTCCACGCTGGGCGCGAGATGCACATGTTCTAAACATGGAACTCAAAGGACTCTATGGCTTTGCAAGCTTCATGTATATGTCCATTTTGAAATTGGCTGCCTATGTACTATGTAAATAACCATGGGCAGTTAAATCTTACATTTCCTTGCCTGTCCTTGTTTCTCCTTTACGGAGAAAGAGTGAGTCATGACGGCCTCATACTTCTACAGACACCTTTTAGAATTATTATGAAGGGAGAAAAATACTTTTTATGTAGGTCAACCGGTCATATCAGGTTATGGAATATTACGTCAATGAGATTCCTATCCCAAGGTGTAATCATAGAATTTAGTCTCGAGTCTTCCGATAATAGATGTAGATGATGAACAGTCAATGTCAGTCATAGACCATTCTACAGATGAATGAACTATAGGTACCTGATGCCACATGGAAAAGAGTCCGCAGCCAGATAAGGCAAATGAACCCCGTAGCAATGGGCCAAAAAGCCGCCCCATATCTGGAAGTATTTGCCAAAAGAAGCCGGCCCTCGATCCCGATAACTATAATCAGCCTGTTTCAAGTAGCTGAAGGATCAATCCCATCGGGTAAACTTAATAACATCCCTCTTCAGGCCCGGCAAAATCCCCACTAAGGATAGCGCTTATCGAGTCCAAAATAGGAAAGCATCGGTGGATTCCACGGAATTTCTACCAAGGTTCTATGAATACCCCACATCACGGAATATCTAGAAAATAAAATGGAGACACTTCAGCAAAGAAAATTTATTCATTTTTTCCGTCAACCCCTCTTTCTTCCGATCCAACTTAGGAAGCTTAATGTCGGTGAGTCATTGTCGTCCGTTGGCCTTTGAGGAGATGCAGGCAGCGGAAATGAGATTAGCCAAAACCCAATCAATAACTACCACAACTATGTACCCGAGGCGCCTAACACAATATCGAGTAGTAGGGCTTTCAGGCGTACCCTTCGTGATTACGAGTTACCCAGTTGGCTCATGCATAACTGAGAAGACTTGGCTTAGAACCAACCTAGAATGAAAATAAAAAAGATCATCAGGCTCCCCTGTGCACCCACACAAAGACTATGAAAAAGGCATGCTAACCAAGGCCAGACCGCCAGAATAAACAATATTATAAATCCAAAAAGAAAATCGCGGTATACTGTACATAGCCCGAGTCCTCTCCGAGCCTCGGATAATATCCGGGTAATGCCCGGCACCCGTTTGCCGAGTCTATTTCCCACGGTGGCAATTGAACCAGCAACGGGTAACCCCGTGGGATGGCATAAGCGCTTTAGTGGGATATTAGGACAGCCCCAGCATAACCTAAAACGCGACAGGGTTGTAACAATGGTGGCAGTTATTGCGTGTTACAGACGGAATACCCGAGGCCCCATTCCGACTAATCACCAATGAAAGAAGCAGGGACCAACACATGCATTGGTTTCGAGTATAGTTACCAACAACAGAGATTTGTGAAGGTTTTAAATGATTTTCGCATTTATTGAATGCTGATAGGATGATCGGAGGCTGATCATTGTATTAATAATGTAATAATGTAAAGTTTCATTTGGCCCCATGGGTGGGATGGCCTCTGATCTAATATTGTCGTCTCAATCTCACCGTTGCTTTGTGTCTGCAGGGCTGTCAGATGCGCGTCACAGTCTTCATGGATGGGGCGGCCCGTTGGGTTGGACCTCATACTAAGATGGGGCGAAGCAGGAGCAAGAGGCACGAGACGTTGACGTTGACGTGTAAACGTTATTTTTAAACAGCATAGGTACATTTTCTTTGTATAGTGAGGTTGAAAACAGCTGCCTTGCGATAGCATGGTTTCTTTGATCGTACAAAAGGAAATCGAGGCATGTATTTACATACAGTATACCTAGAAAGGCAACTGCTAGCTGCTCTCGATCTTCACTGTACATGTATGATACGTTGGCATTTACAATAAACAAGAAAAATATTTGGTAATAGATGATTTAGTTTGAAAAAGCTAGAGCTAAGCTACCTAAGTACTAACTAAAGAGGTTGCGTGCCCAACGAGGGACATGCCACGGCCAGATCACACTTCTTCACCGACACTCGATAGGCAGCAAAAAGGACGCGACGGTGGCGCGTGGCGTCGGCGCATGGCTTGGAGGATCATAGATAGCGCAGGGCGCGCGATCGGAATAAAATCACAAAAAAAGAAAATCCACTTATAATCGGCGGTATCGGGGCGAAAATGAATAGGGATGGTACAAGACGGGGTATTTGGCGGGGGGGTATCTGAACAAAAATCACACGCTAGAGAACGGCAAATGGAAAAAAAAAAAAAAAAAAAAAAAAAAAAAAATGGAACAAGAAAGAGAAAACACCGGGTCCGCTTCGGGATGCGACGGCCAGAAGACCAGGCGACAAAAAGTAAAATCAAATAATGCAACTTCCGAGGATTATCGGAGGGAATGAGGAAAAATGAGTCAAGGCTCAACCAGCGGTGTGGGGGTATTTCTGGAAGCGCCGACAGCGAGGAATTAGGTAAGCGCGGGGAGGTGCGGAGATCTGCGATAAGGCGCGCGTTGTTGTTTTCTGCTGCTATTGCGCCAATGCAACTGAAACGGCCCGAGTGCGCTCAGTCAGATCGACGTGAGCTTAGGGCGAGGCCTGCTCTGCAGATGATGGACCCCATCATCTGATTCGTTGGGGCCGGGTATCACGGGTGGGTGATTAACAACGGATCTAGGCCGAAGGGTCGGAGGGGTGGTGGGGGTGAAAGTGATGGAAAGGTGAAAGTATGGTAAGACAGGCTGTTGCGCAGCAATAGCAGAAGTGAAGTGTAGGTTGAACTCAGTGTGCGCCCGCGCTGCACTCAAAGTGAGCTTAAGCAGTCGGTACTTTGCTTGATGAGTGGGCGCGTCGCTGTTTGGGGACAACCCGACGCTTCTTGCTCTTTGGTGTCACTGGTGTAACTGGGCTGCGGTCGGTCGCCAGTGTCTTTGGCTGTCGTAGTGCTTGAGTTGCTCGTGCATGGGCATCTACCTTCGCTAGGAACCGCGCGCGGTCCTCTTGCTCGGCAAGGACTCGCATGCGCTGGAGCTGTTGCTCCATAGTGATTGATGAGACCATTTGTGTTTGCTTGAGCTCGGGCTCCTCCTCTGGGATGGGGTTCTCCGGCATCCACAGCAAATCTTCGTCGGATAGGTAGGCGTTGTTCACGAACAGGTCGCAGGAGTCGGCACTTGATAGTGAAGCGCGGTTTGGCCATGATGGGAAGGCACATGCTGCGCCCATGCCATACTCACTTGAAAAGGATGATTTGCGTGGGTTGATATCATAGAGGGAGTCGGTAGGCGTAGGAGGAGGAGCTGAAGGGTTGGAGAGAGGCGAGCATTCAAAAGAGCTGCCACTCCAACTGAAGCTGACCTGGGCAGGATCTGTGCTTGCCACAGGAGCGACGACGGGGGCTTTGGCTAGAGCCATATCGCGGATCCTCGACTGAATAGGAATCATCTTGTGTGGATATGATCCTAGAAGAGTTGAAAGGGTGTGGAGAATGAAAGGTGAGAGTGAGGGAAGTGGAGCTGATATAAGAATCAGGGAGGTCCAGGTGTTTAAGAAGACGGTGTGTGGGCAATAGATATCAAAGCCGGGGAAGGCTTCTAGACTCCCGCACCCTTGCAGTCCCGACTAAGACAAAATAGAAAAGGGCGAAAATCCAAAAAAAGGAAAATGGCCCAAAAGGGGAGTGACCGGCTGCCGTGCAGCAGATCAATCAGAAATCAGCGATCCGCCAAATCGAACTTGTCAAAGTATTTTTGACAACCGCCCCAGTCGAATCGATCTCCGTGATCGGGGTCGGTATAAGCATCGAAATTTGACTCCTTTTGAAACTTTTGTTTTTGATTCCCAAGCCTCCAAGGTCTGAGAAGAGAAATCAAAAAAGAGGATCCGCCCCTTGCGACAGTAATGTGTTCCCCGAAAGGGCTGCCCAACCGGCTGCAGCGGGGGATCTGATCCGATGAAAATCAGATTGTGCGGTGTATGGTCGTTGCGATGGAAATCTTCCAATGACAGTAGCCCGGAATTCACCGCTGGATGAGATGCAGATTTGACAGTGAAGCAAAGCAGCAAAAAAAAGATACTTTGCAGACAAGTCACCCAAGAACAGGGAAATACCCAACCTCAGGCTTGTTTGATAGCAGGAAGGCGTTTGGCGGTGAAATCGTATACAACACGTCAACAAGATTTGGAATCGAGGATGAGTAGATAGGTTCGGTTTGGAAAATCAAAGGATTTTCTTTGTGGATTTTGTTTTCATTTTGAAAGAATCGAGAATTAAGGATTTTCCTACGAATTCACCCGTGTGTCCACTATTGCGTTCTAGCCTTTGGTGGAGATTATGGAGTGATTAGGCTCTAAGCAACGGTTCCGCTGAAAATTGGTCCTGGAACCCGTTCTCGCCCAGTGGGAGAGCGTTGAGCCGGATAAATGCATTGCAGCGGCAACGGTCCTTTGTCTTTGTTTATCCTTCGATTGATCTGTTCCGCAATTGAAATACAAACATTTTGGATTTATTCGAGGGCGCCGTTGGCAAGCGGTATCTTCCTACCACATCGGCTTTTTACCGAACCTAGGAACTATCCTGACGGACTCACGGAGTAACTCGAGTTCGATTTGGCGGAACCTCGGCGAGACGAGGATCGTGGAAGGTGTAGAACGCTCTCTGGGTGGAGAATTGATTTTTGCACGAATCAGTGGTGCCCAATTTTACCCGTGGATCCTGTTCTTGTTCCAGCGGTCTAGATTGGCGGTCCAAATCAACAAAGAGAAACTCCGTCCCTCCACCCCATCGTGCGGTTTGATGGTCGCAAATCATCGCATATCCTGGGTTCGATGTAGATTAACTCATGCACCCCCCGACATTTGATTTCCTTTTTTCTGCTTTGTCTATTTCGATACGGACCCGGGAGCCTACGGATTGGAAACGGCTTAGCATGTTACGGACCAAATAGCGCTTCCCCGACGCTAAGTGGGGCATCCATCCGCCTTCCTGCGTTCCCCGACGACACCATCGTTCTGAGCCCCTTCTTTGGGTCCATGATCTTCATCTTCATAAGATACGTCCATTGTCTCCTTCCTCCTCGGGTAGTTGGAATTTTAGACCGTTCCTCCCGGCTCGATGCGGACACTCCCGTCTCCAGCTCCTACACACATTATACACGTCTCATGCGTCATGTCCCCCATCCATCTATTTCGTACGCGCATCGGCCCGTCGGGGAACCGGGAAGCACTCAATCAGAAAGGGCGCCTTCAATGTGCGACAGCCACTGACCTCAGACATTTGACAGTTGATTTTCTGGATTTGACAGGTTCCTCGGTATCTTTGTTAGAAGTCGATCATCGGATAGACCTGGCGCGGGCCGCGGCCCAGGAAATCGCAGGATCGTGGTCTTCCCCTTTCCCAGTCCCTCGGTTCTAAATTACTGTTGCTACCAAACTGTTGGTAGATTACTTGATAGTGGATATAAGCACCCGAAGTGGACCTCGGGCAGCAAAGGAATGGGGCTGGACCTCCTGAATGATTTTGGGATGGATAGTGGAGTCTACCCGCGACGTGCTTACCATCTCCTTGATTTCTTGTCGAGCAGGCGCTTACCGTATGTGGGGGGACGAACGGACTAGAGCTATAGGAAAAGCTCCTGTCGCTAGCAATCAATTCTGCAGCAAATAAAAACATACTAGATCTGAATCCGCTCGATTCATCCACCTACATGAGTCTCCCACCTACCTGGTTCACACAAAACATTCCGGGATTTCCCTGCAGCTAAGTCTGCATCCTCCTATGCAAGATCTCTGATCGCAATCGAGAAGCAAGGAATCTGGTCGCTACGTCAGGGCAAGGATTCCAATAAAATAGACTGGCCCAAGCAGAGTCGGTCTCCAAGAGACTCGCGCCTCCTGAGCCCTTTCCCAGCCTCCCATTCTCTGATGTGTTGACCATCTCTGTGTATCGAGTACATTGAAGCTTAACCTTGTCTAGACCCAACTGACCGCCACCCGATCAGCAAGCAGCCACGATTTCGCCAATCCGCCACAGCTGCACGAAATTCGGTCTGTGCGATCTTCTGCAAATGGGACAAGGAATCCAAAAGTTGAAGCCTGCAGACTATCCTCAACTTCATCCGGACGTACAGATTCGCGGATGCGCCTCCTCCACTCCGACCCATGGAAACTAGCTTCCCCATGGGACCACAGTTTGCGCTCGGGTGCTAGATGTGCATGCGCCCCCCCCCACATACGGGGAATGTGACAAGGGAGGCTGCAGAAACAAAGCAATCAATCAGAGCACACAGCTACTGTCCATTCCGCAGTGTGAGTAACCTAAACCACCACCGGGAAGGCTCATCCGCGAACCTGGCTTGCAGCGATCGACGAGGTCCTTGAGTTGCGCCTCTTCACCGCGTATCTGAGACGTGTCGCGGGGAGTTGTCAAAGCCAAAAGTTAAAATTCAATCGGAACACGAATAAGACGATGATATCATACTACCGATCATCTCAGCGCCGCCTCCTGACTCATATCATAGCAAGGGGATGCCACCGTAGCAGGGAGCTGACCTCAGACCTCAGACCTCTCTTTCTCTCTCCCCCGATCACGGTCGTGAGAGGGCCGGGGAGACGGGGATTAGTATTTGATTGGATGGATGGAGTGTTGCCGTTGCTTTCCTGATGCCACCAGTAAGGCGGCCTTAGCCACCACACGAGCGCATTCGGGAAGGGAATTAATTTGGTGAGAGGGGGTCTGTGGGTGTGTCAGTCGCCGGGTAATATGCGTCGCCACTAACGGACGCGTACTCCAACGCAACAGAAAACCAGAAACAAAAACCACAGACCCATCTAGCCCCAGCCTATAATTAATTCAAAGCAGTGATTGGGGTAAATTCTCTACCGATTTCTCGAACACTTCGACACCGCAACAATCCGCGAGGCATGTGCGAACCCGGTCAACCAGTATCTTGTACACCGGCTTATCGCAGAGAAAGACTGGCATTAGAGCGGACGGTGCGTCTTCATTTGATCCGTAAAGGATCGATCACTGGCGGTTTGTGCCCCCGTTCAACTGGCCGGCCTCACTGCCGGGCGCCTTGGATTTACATTTGCGCCGGTCAGGCGCATCCGCGCTCCTGCGCGCCTAGGCAATGCGATGGGTGCTGTGCGGAGTGACTAGGATGCTCGTTTTAGGTGTATGGGGTATCGTATTCTGGACTGAGAAGGGCGTACAGAGTAGACCATAATATCCGACTTAGGTGCTACCATAGTGACCATTATTCTAAACCTTCTACGTAACCTCGGTCCTGATAATATAGGTACTGTTTCAAACAATACTATTCAGTATGCATACTAGACTTGAAATAGACGCCATGTAGATGGCCTTTAGAGCTGCTTTGTTTTAGGAGTGGGCGGGCAGGTATCCGGTAACCCAGGGTTAGGCGATATATATCCCTGATAGTAGGTACATTCACGAATCGCGAAATCGGGGTCCGTGAGTTCCTTAAGCTTGGTTTGCGGACCAGCCAGTATGCTCAGTATGATGATTGGATTTGAAGCCTATCTGTCAGTAAATAACTGTTATTCTTTGAACTGATGCTCGTGTATTAAATGGAAGCGTGATTTAAAATGAAGAGAATTAGTATCATATCCTATCTAATGTACTGCTGCTAAGGGAATGACTGAGATTTCCTCGGAAAACGTGCAAACCAATGTTCGCTTCTTATGTGAGACTTCGAAGGTCATTCACTCAGATTAGAGGAAATTAGTCTGGATTCAACTACAGGTGACTGGTTATGGAAATATATGTTTATAGCAAACCTTGGGAGTCTGCTCACTTAGGACTGGCACTATTCTTTCCCAATAGTCCTTTGGAGATTTTGGTTTCGCAAGCTATTTTCAATGTCACTATCCCCTGCCCTATAGTAAATGCTCTTGCTCAGGAATTAACTGCGCAGGTATATTTGGAAAATAGTACCTCAAAGACGAGAATATATGGAGGATAAAGTAATGGAAACACGGTAACAGATGGCTCATTTGTCTTTTAACGGTGGGTGATATGGGCAAGAAAGCACCAGTACATTATATTCAAGGGAAATGTCAGGAGGCTCGAGAAAGGAGAGCTTGATCCTTGGAACTTATTTGGTGCTGCGAATGAGACTCACCCTGCTACTGCTAATCAAGAGCATACGAAATGTACCTAGTGTGTCATAATTAAAGCTAAAGCAACTAACAGCAGATTACACTTTTACTGGCCAGTGAATCCTCCTAGAGATACACGGTGCTGCCTTCAGTGCCAAATATACAACATACTGATTACGACAAAACATGACATCCGAGATTCATCGACTGAACCTTGGAAGATTGTGACCAGCGACCCTTCCAAAATGAAAGCCTATTATTGAGTTTCGAAGCCAGACCATGTTTCCATTTGCACCTCGGTAGCGACTGCTTGGTATATGATCTGACAAAAGGTATGCTAGGCGCATTATTCTTCATGAGTAAACATTTAAAGTGATTCGTGGAGCTCAAGAATTTTGCCGGCCGATAACTAGATCTGAGGTTCAATTAACTGGAGTGCGCAATTATCGATGACCTACTAGAATGTCTCGGGAAATCATCATCGTGGCATATGTGTGGCTGCATGTCTAGTGTCAGATCACGAAAGGCACTATAACAGAATGGATCATGCGAGATGGGCTGTTCTCCCTGTGTCTGCCGTTAGTGCATCATGTGATGAAAGAGCCCCTGTCTCTGGAATGGCATAGCGGTCACTACTGTGGCAACATGACTACTACCGGAGGTTGTCCGCGGTACAGAAAGATTCATTGGTCTGTTTAGTGGTATGCACTACGCTGTTGGACACCAGTGACTGTGTTTGCTGTTACGAAATGAAAAGATGTAAGCATTTGCAGAATGAGCCAAGAAGTTGCTAAAGATGGCTAGTTTCAAAAATTATTGCAATGGACTGATGTTTGCCACTGATACCTCCAGTCCTTATCTCTCTATCTGTTGGCATAATGATTGTTGATAAGGATCTATATCCAACTTCTTTGTCATCGCATGCTTACCACGCTTAGTTATGCTTATTCCCGAACCTTATTAGAACATGGGTAAAAGCAATTCACCTCGTACAATATGGGATGAGAATAAGACTTGTATAACTCGTAAATCCAAGTCAATTCTTGTCGGACGACCCGAAAATGTTTGTAAAGTCTAAGAACCAGAAGCGGGGTTCAACCTGCTATCTTGAGCTTAGCTCGCATTCTCCAGTTCCGATTAACGGCCTCTTGTCCAGGCCCTTATCTTTCCCCGCGCTACAATGGACTGAGAGCCGACCCGACAATTGCGAAGCCAAGAATGATAAAAAGGTCCGTTTTCTCAAGGCCGGGAAGTCCTTCCAAGTCTTCTTCCTGAGAATACAGTCAATACTGAAACGCGCTGGAGGGTGACATTTGTCATGGATACTAAGGAAGCAGAAACAAAAACAGCCGAGCCTATCTCCATCAGTGCCGATGAGGAGGTAGGTGAGGGACGATTCGACAAGGTTGAAGTCGAATCAGAGACCCAGGATGAGAATGTCGAGTACAGCTATGAATCCAATCGATCCCCATTCCCAGAAGGTGTGCGCTTGTTCCTTTTTCAATGGATAGTATCATAAATTAACGCTGAAAAAGTTAGGGCTGTTGTCCCTGAAACCGATGACCCCAGCATGCCCGTCAGTACAGTCCGCATGTGGATGCTGGGGATTCTGTTCACGATGCTGGGATCAGGAATCAACCAATTCTTCTCACTGCGATATCCATCAGTTCACATCGTTGCCCTTGTTGCGGAGCTCTTGGCCTATCCGCTAGGTGTTTTTCTTGCAAAGTCTCTCCCACTGGCTACTATTTCCCTCGGGCCTTTGGGGTCTTTTACGCTCAATCCAGACCGTCATTTCAATATCAAGGAGCATGCCTTGATTGTGATCATGAGCAATGTCTCTTTCGGGTATGCTACGGCCGACGCGACAAACATCATCCAAGCATCCAGTGCAGCATTCTATGACTTTGATCTGAAGCCCGGCTTCTATGTGATGATTGTTCTCTGTGCCCAGTTGCTTGGTTTTGGAGTTGCTGGTCTCACTGCCCCATGGCTGGTCGAGCCTGCACGAATCATCTGGCCGGGTGTGCTATCTAACTGTGCCATGTTGGGAACGCTACATTCACGCGCCAACACCATAGCTGACGGATGGCGTATCTCTCGCCTGCGCTTCTTCTTATACGTTACCGCTGCTGCTTTTGTCTGGTACTTCTTTCCTGGTCTGATGTTCACGGCCCTGTCGTATTTCACTTGGGTCTGTTGGATTGCCCCCAAGAACGTCATCGTCAACCAGCTTTTCGGCATGCAGACCGGTTTGGGTCTTAGCCCCATCACCTTTGATTGGAGCCAGATAGCATACAATACCAACCCCCTGCTGTCTCCCTCGTGGGCAGCACTCAACGTCTTTGCCGGATTTGCCGTTTTTTACTGGATCGTGGTCCCAATCATCTACTACAAGAACGTCTGGTTTACTGCATACCTGCCACTCATGACTTCCGATGTCTATGACCGAACTGGCGCAACTTACGACACAGCTCGTGTCATCTCCTCCAGCAATACGCTGGATGTAGAAGCCTACCACAAATACTCGCCACCTTATCTCGGCGCAACCTTTGCCTTCGTATACGGCCTCTCCTTTGCATCAATTACTTCTGTGCTATCGCATATTGGCATCTGGCATGCTCGTGACCTCTGGGCTGCTATGAAAGGCCGCAACAGGCTCGACATTCATGCCCGTCTTGTCCGCGCTTCTTACCGCCGCACGCCATGGTGGTGGTACGCCTCCATCATCGTGATCATAATGGCCATGTCCATTGCTATGGTCGAAGTCTATCACACTAAGCTCCCGGTATACGGTGTCTTCCTAGCCTTGATCATCCCGGCAGTTTACATGGTTCCATGTGGTATTGTGCAGGGTATCACCAACGTTGACGCAAATCAGCTCAACGTACTCGCCGAGTTCATGGGTGGGTATATGTTTGAAGGCAAACCTCTGGCAAACATGATTTTCAAGATCTTGTCGACGGACGTAGTTGGTCAGGGTGTTTATTTCGCGATGGACATGAAACTCGCACATTACCTCAAGGTGCCTCCACGTACCACTTTCTTTGCTCAGGGTATTGCTACTATCCTGGGTGCTCTGACCCAGGCGGGTGTGACGATCTGGATGTTGGGCAATATTGATGGAATTTGTGAAACTGATCAGGCGGACAGTTTCACCTGTCCGAACGGTCGAACGGTGTACTCTTCATCAGTCATTTGGGGTCTTGTTGGACCTCGTCGTCTATATTCTGCTGGCAAGATCTATTCTTCACTTTTGCATTTCTTCTGGATTGGGCTACTCGCCCCATTCGTGACTTACTTTTTGTACCGCTGGACAAAAAACCGCTTTTGGAAGCTGATTAACTGGCCGTTGATCTTTGTGGGGACCTACAATGTCCCGCCAGGTATGTAGCAGGTCTTGGTCTCCAATTTGGGGAAAGCATTTGATGCTAACATGCATGACATAGCGACCGGGATCAACTACTCCAGCTGGGCCCTTGTCAACTTCGTCTTCAATCACTTCATTCGCCGCCGTTTCTTTGCTTGGTGGACCAAATACAGTTCGTGATACCTCTCCTTCAACGATGACATTTTGCTAATTCCGGGACCCTAGACTACATTCTGGCTGCTGCGCTCGATACCGGTCTCGCACTTAGCGGCATTGTAATCTTCTTCTGCATTTCGTACCCTGGGGCAAGTTTCCCTGACTGGTGGGGAAATACGGTTTACCTAAATACTGCCGATGCAGATGGTGTTTCTTGGCTGAAGATGCCATCAGTTGGCTATTTTGGTCCCGCTAATGGGACGTGGACTTAGTTTAGTAACATCACTTGGGTAGTCCTTCAAACTATCTTACTGAGCTGAAAGCTCATGTTATGAACAAAATGACAGTTCATCTGAAATTACTTCAATCTTTCTTTTCCACACATCAATGGACTTCACGAATCCAGAAGCAAAGTCATCTCTTGTGGCCAAACCTGCACTCAGTCAATGACCATCTTTAGAAATTCATGAGATAAACCACTCCGATGAGAGTTCATGAAGTGGGTATATGTAAACATTAGGGCTCAAGATGTACTACCCATATATCAGTATATAATGCTCGGGTGTCAGTAGTTGCTTAGAATAAAGGTGGGCTTTTAAATTCTTAGGTGCCGCCAGCACAGGATATGAGAACTTGGTATTTCCGTAGCAATAAGCTTGTTAATCCGCAAATGTCTATCAATTTCAGCTGTGAGCTGGAGTGAGTAGCTCTGGTGTGACTTGCATACTAGACCTAAGAATGATTACGTGACCGGCATACAAGCGGCAGCCCAATCAGATCCGCACTGGTACTGTTGCCATTTCGGTCGATCGTCCAAGGTTACGAAGTACCGGAATACGCGCCCGCAGTTGACCAATCCTGTTCTAGGCGTAAAGCTTACGTACATACATTAGCACGAGGCTATATAGTCGTAAGCATATCTCATTTCATTTACCCCTCATGTTGGTGGTAGAATATTTGCCCCATCGGTTTCCTCTTTCACGCCATTTTGTCTCATAATGTCTAGTGAGTAGTAATCAAAAACCATCTGATAATTCATACCCCGAATTTAACGAAAGAAAGCTCCTATTAAAATACCCGAGGTATCTACGAAGGTGATGGAGACAACGAGAAATGTAGACCAGCCTCAAGCATTGCCTACAACACCCGTTATAGCCAGTAGCAACCAGCGAGTGACGTTGGCTGACCTCATGGAGTCTATGCGTCTAAATGAAACGATCGAAGAGGAGCCTCTTGTTACGTTCGTTGACACACCCACCCGTATGAAGGAGTTATTAGATGCTCTGGTCAATCTACCAGTTGACCCTCCATCTCTGTATATCGATATTGAAGGTGTTAATCTCTCTCGACATGGGACAATATCGATTATGCAGATATTTGTCCTCCCAGAAAGACGAGTTTTTTTGGTTGATATCCACACATTGAAGTATGAAGCCTTCTCTCAGCAAGGACCATCTGGAATAACCCTCGGGTCTGTCCTTGAATCACCTTCCATTCCAAAGGTCTTCTATGATGTCCGCAATGACTCCGACGCCCTTTTCGCCCACTACCAAATCGCACTGGATGGGATACAGGACCTCCAGCTAATGGAGCTTGCAACACGCAAGTACTCCAGAAAATATGTCTCTGGATTAGGGAAATGCATAGAACGTGATGCTCCGATGACCAGTCGAGAAAGGCTCAATTGGAAGCTTATAAAAGACACTGGACGGAATCTGTTCGCGCCTGAACTCGGTGGTTCCTATGAAGTATTCAACACTCGCCCACTTCCAGATAGAATGGTACAATATTGCGCGCAAGATGTCCGCTTCTTGCCTAAGTTGTGGGGGAGATATCATCAGGCGATGACTCCGGCATGGGCAGCGAAGGTGGAGCGAGAAGTGAGAAATCGTATCGAGCTTTCCCAATCAGCAACATTCAACAGCAAAGGAAGACATATGGCTTTGGGGCCAAAGCACTGGTTATAGTCTTGTCTGATGTTCGCTTTATATCCTAATTTATATTTGCTCATAGGGGATGCCTACAACTCCTTCACTGTCCAATTCTTAGTCTCTATAAGGGCTTCAAGGGCATGTGACTAGTCAGGTAGTAGGTACACTGAGATTATGCGGTCCTTCACCTTCTCATCCTTACTATCTATTTGATTGTTCTATTATAGTCTGAATGATTGGAATGAGATCTCTTTGTTATTTCAAAGTGTACTTGAAACTGTATATTTAACATCGATATAGAAATCTCAGAATTAATGTTCGATAGTGCGGTTTAGTTCTCCGATTTGCATAGTATCACAAGGACTTTCGTTCGTCGCCACCTCCGCTTGTTCCTCGTTTCGGGACAAGGCAACCAAAGGGCCCCTAAGGTAATTTGAAGTTTTGCACAAAATCGGCGAGTATCATCTGATATGCCCAAGAATAGCAACATACTTTCGGAGGCGTCGAACCCCAGGTTCTCCCCACACTGGCCTTGCGGGACCCGAGGTCTTTCTCCACATATGATGCGTTCATTCTACTTTTACCATTGTTACTGACAATTTACTAGCTATCGTGGCAATTCTAGCTTTTTATTTATTTGGCATGGGATGTGTGATCACGAGGACATTGTACGTATTCATGAGGCCATATGATGTCATTCGCCTTATAGTAGATTAATTATATAGAGTGGAGGCCATCAGGAGTTTACCACAACAATAATGCTAAAGATCAATCCACCTGTCTTCCAAACTCGAATCAACTTATTGGAAACGTTCAGACCCCACAATGTCGGACTTATTCCGCAGAGCCTCTGAAGCGTTCCACCCTCGTCAGCGTCAAGGCTCGGCCGACTCAACTGAGGCACCCGACCCCCCAGACGCGAGAAAACCTTCCGAGCCAGAGGTATTCAAGCAAACCTCCGAGCCTTCTCGACCTGAATCTCACGTCAACGAGGCTATTGCTGGTACGGCAAATGGTACGATCTTGCTTTCCATTGTCTGCATACCTGCGTCTGGTATGTACTAACAAGGCCAATCAGATAATGTTGCCCTTCCGAAACAACGACGCCATTGGGGCTGGGGAAACCACCAGGGGAAACACGCTGAAAAAAAGGGCCAGCCTAGCCAGAACCAAAAAGACAATGATTGGATTATTGGGACATAAGAATGGATACAATCGGGCTCGACGGACCCCGGGAGTGGCAAGGAGCTGGCGTCGTGTTTGAAGAGGGATTGGGATCGATGACGGAACACTCAAATGAAAAAGAAATCGGCTACATGCCAGTGTGGGTAGTAATAAGTATGACTATATTTCGTGTAATCAATATCAAGTTTTGAACTATACATTCATACTCTGTCAAGTACTATAAAGCCGCCAAAAAATAAACGGATATCATCACTCATGACCCCTTTGCTCCTTTGTAATCCAACCTGAAAATGCTAAAAACGACCGATCCCAGGAAATATAACATAAGAATAGGTTCAGTCGAGAAATATGGTGCAATATTACTCTCCACTTCATAGCTCCTCGAAAGCGCAGTTAGGATGCAACACATAGGAAACCTTCTGCTCTTCGCTGGACTGCTGAGCCCCGCCCTCTGCTAAAATACGGAGCAGGACACCCTCCTATAGCAGGTTTGATTAGTTATTTGTTCGAATGTCGATCGGGAGGGCATGAGGGAATAACATACCTTGACCATACGGTTAAGGACCTTGGTGACCAGATCGCGCTCGCGAGCATAATCGTCCTGAGTATCCATCTCGCCTTCGATCTGTTCCAAGTACCATAGAATCAGATCCTCGTGCTCAACACCGTCCTCTTCGTGGACCTCATCCTCGCGGACTCGCCGCACAAGGAGGTTCAAGATCTTCGCCCACTTGTCGTACGTAATCTTGGTCTTTGTGCGTTCCGGCTTGGGCTGGGCTGGGGCTTCTTCTCCGTCCTCGCGCATTGGGCTATCGCCGTCGCGGTCACGGTCAGCCATCTCCTCGTCCTCGTCACCACCAGCTAGCGCATCATCATCCACCTCAACATCGTCCTTTTCGACAGTCACGATACTCTGGCGAAGGAGATCGTAGGCCTCAATGACGAACTTGGGTGTAACCTCTTCAACACAGTTGGCCTTGGCAACAGCCTCGGACAGACGAATCAAGGACTCGAGCTGACGGACAGTGATACGGTAGGATGAGCGACCCATACCACCCTGTGCGTCGTTGGCGCGGAGCTCCTTGTACTTCTCAACAAGCAGAGTCTTGGCCTCGTCGGTGAAAACGGGGCGGAAAGTACGCGCGAACTGAATGTAGCGCTGCAGCTGCTCGGTGCTCAGCTCAGGCTCCACAGCCTCGTCGCGGTTCATGTGCACGTTGACGATGTGCTCAGCTAGGTTGCGGTCCACCTGCTCCTTGGGCTCGTCGCGAACGACGAAGAACACGTCGAATCGACTCATGATGGGTGCGCTGAAGTTCAGGTTCTGACGGAGTGTTTGCTTCGGGTCATAGCGACCACCAATGGGGTTGGCGGCGGCGAGAATGGAGGCACGAGCATTCAAAGTGGTGTGAATACCGGCCTTAGCGATGGAAATGGTCTGCTGTTCCATGGCTTCGTGGATGGCCACCTGGTCGGCAATGTCCATTTTGTCAAACTCGTCAATAGCACAAATACCACCTCCGTTAGCCAACATCAATGCACCAGCTTCAATGGTAAATTCGCCAGTCTCAGCATCCTTCACAACCGACGCTGTCAAACCAGCCGCGGATGAAGCTTTACCGCTAGTATAGACTGCACGGGGGTGCAGGGAGCAAATGTATTTCAAGAACTGACTCTTACTGGTGGATGGATCACCAACGATGCAAACGTTGATGTCACCACGCAGCTTGAGACTCTCAGCGGATGTATTCTTGCTCACACCGCCGAGCAATTGCAGCAGTAGACCCTTCTTGATTTGGCGATGACCCCAGATCATTGGCGCAATCGAGTCGATCAATCGTGAATAGATGTATTCGGAGTGGACGAGAGTCTTCAAGTCTTGGACCTCACTAGGCGTGAGACTTTGGAGGAAGGCCTCCTGGGCCGTGTCTTCGCTCATGTCGGGATCAGGGTTTTGGTTGAGAGATGCTAGAATGTTGTTGGATTGGCCGCTCAGCTGCTGTTCGGGCTTCTGGCCAGGAGTTGAGGTATCGGGGGTCACCATGCATGAAAGGAAAGCCAGTCGATATGTCAGATCACGGACGCCCAGAGCTTTCAAACCAGAGACACCACCACCGCCGACCTCGCTGCCACGGAAAGAACCATTATCACGAACCGCCTCAGGCCGCATACCGGGCAATCCTAACTGGCTCACATCGGGGACAACAATCAATGTACCAGTGAAGATGCAGCGCTCACCGGCCTTGCAGCGATCAACCATCTCACCTCTCAAAATAACATCCATTGTGCGCGGCATGCTTCCGGTTGGAATCTCGTGAGAAGATTCTTGAAGCTTAACCTTTTGCCAATCGACAAAGGTACTCTTGCCAATATCCAAGCGCCAGCCATTGCGGTTACCACATGTGTCATTTGGACACTCGGTGGGTTCAGTGTACTTGAAGGTCTGCTCCACATTGGGCACAACAGTCCTGCAACCCTCGCAAATAAAAGTACCTAGCGACAGCTCTGGTCGGATCTCAGAGGTTCTGGTCACGGTTCCAGAGACCGATAGCAATTTTCCGATCTGCGATGTACGAAGTTGTCGGAGCCGGGACACCAATGGCAAGTTGTAGAAAGCCAAGGCAAACAACTTGTCGGTCTGTTGGTGGCGAGTCTTCCCGCGATGCTGACTGTCCAATTTGTCGGGATCTTGAACATTTTCGTAGGCCCTGGACACTGAGGCATTGGAGCGGGTAGAGGCGGTCGAAGCCAGGCGGTGCGACAGAAAGTATTCGGGTTCAATTTTGGCGACTAGGTTATGAAGCGCCTTGGTAAGGAAAGGAAGGAAACGGTAGTATTGGCTGGCAATGGCGTCGGCCAGAATGGGGTTCTCCATCGAGGTCAAATGGGTGAAGTCCACGTAGAGGGTGGACAGTTCGAATTTTTTCATGCCCTTGATCTGGGCGACGTAGTACTTGTCGCTCAGAATCTCCCCCGATGATGCTGGGGCAGATGATGAGGGCTCCTCCATGAATGTCGAAAGCAGTTCCTGGAAGGCCTGCTGTACCTTTTCTCCAGCCTCATCGATCACGGGGGCGGGGCCCGGTGCGTAGGGATTCCGTAGCCGGCTAACTGCCGAGGAGCCTGCGCCAACAACCTGGTCATCCGGGAAAGTGTTCATATCACTCATGGGGCCATTGCTTTCCGAGCGACGAGAGCTAGGGAGGTGATCGGATCGCAAGTGGTCACGGGCGACCGACCCGGAACCTAGCTCGGATTGAAGAACGGCATCAAATAAGGACGACATGGTATAGAGAGCGTGAAGGGCCTAGAATTCAGGCCACAGCAAATTTATCAAGCTCTCACAGATACCGTGGTGGGAAAAGGAAGGAGGGGGAGAAGTGGGATACAGAGTGGAAGAGAGATCTGATCAATAGAAACATTGGCACACACAGGGGGGCTTTTTCGGCGGAACGCGTCCACGTCGCGTCCCTCGCTGGCACGCGTTAAGTGGATTTAGGTAATCAAAGATCACGTGCTACAGGTCGGATCAGGTGATTCCTGCCACGTGGCGGTGGCACCTCTCCCCCAAACAAGTAAATAGGAGCAAACCTCTCCAAGTTCCGCCCTAAGCCGAACGAAGCCCGATCACTTCGGAAGGTTGAGATTGCCAACCAACCAGATCGCTTCTTCAGCCCTTCACCCCTTGAAAGACATGGATCAACTTCTTCTTTCGGTTGCCAAAACCTAGGATCCACTTGGAACAGGCGTTGCTGAGCCTCTTTTAGGTTAAACCCAGATAGCATTCCCCCCCTCCACTGGGTCCCCTCTGGGTCTTCGGGGAGTTAACTCGGGATCTCGAGACGTGATTATTAGAATATTACTACACTCCCTTCCTTCTTAAACTTTTCATCTATTTCGTATTGGAAATCCCCCACCCCTTTCTTTCTCCTCTTTTCATCGACATTACCTTCGCACGGACGAAGGGAACCGTGTGTGTGCCCCACGCTGAATCTTCCGTCGAAGACTATCACTGCATCATCTCCGTCGCCTTGCATTGCCGTCAGTATAACTACCTGACTCGACTAGCGTCATCCACCACTCCAACCCTGCCGGGTGCGCATCATTACGCCCTTGATCGATCCACTTCTGATTCAGAGCCTGCGATGGTTCCCAAATCCCGAGTCTCAAGGCTGGAGGAACTTTGGTGATCGGTGGTTCGGCATGCTGCTGTAGCGGCTGCGTTCGAATCAACCCAACTACCACGAGATGTCAGGCAGCGACCGTCAGGTAGACGCAGAGGCCAATGCAGAGGCCGTGCCGGCCATTGCGCCGGATGCTTCGGGTATGCTTAGACTGGCAGATATTTGGAATCACCAACAATACTCATCATTATACAGGGCCCGCAAACGATGGCAATACTGCCAAGTCAAGAAGACGTCGGCGTCCGGCCAGTGCGGAAAATCAGGCAAAGAATCAGATGTTTTACTTCGTCGACTCCAGCTCGTCCTCGAAAGAAAAACGCGCCCATGTTATGCGACACCACGTCCAAGAGAAACGAAAGCAACGCAAAATGTCCCACGGCACGATGCCTTCGGAGCAGATTCAAGAATTGACCTCCTGGCAGGCCAGGGAGGATTCGACAAGTAGTACAGATAATAAAAAGGACGTCTCGTCAGCCAGCGCAGGATCATCTGCCGAGCAGGATTCTTCGGTATGAATCACCTAATTTTATGGACTGTTTGCCTTGGACATGTTTACCCAGGAAGGAAACGACGAAACAATGCTCACCAGGTCCATTACATTCAGCTTCCCATCCGATTCTCGGCGATTAAACCATATGCACAGCCAATGCCTATGCAACTGGTCCCGCCAATGACGATCGACACATCGCGAAGAGACCCGTTTTCAAGCCCTTCATTCACGCAAAACCCTGAAGACGCGGAACTTGCGGAGTATTGGACGAGCAAGTTAACGTACTGGTCGGGACAGAACCCTTATGTGAAGGACCAGATGTTTCGAACCGCCATGGGTCACCCTGTGTCTTTCCAGGCGGTGATATTGACTTATTGTGCTCGGTTCAAGGCTCAGATTCTTGAAACTCCCGACACCGAGGAAGTCCAACGACATGTTGGCCAGGCTAGAAAGAACATCCAGGATGCCACTGCAGGGTCTTTACCGGTCAATGAAGATTACCTCGCTATGGCCCTGGCAGGTATGGCTCTCGGAGAGGATCGATTTGGAAGTAAGCAAGACGCCCAGGCCTACCTTGAGCAAGCTGCACGAATCATGCGTCCGCGCACTGGTATCAATCGCTCAGTTGAAGCATTTCTCCACTATGTACGGCTTATCCTGCCACCACCACCAACTACTATGGTTGATCCAACGGCCCCGCACTGGTTGGTGGCGTTCCTTCGAGCTGCAGAAGATATAATGCACCAGCATAGTGCTCCAGAGTACCTCGCAAAGGCGCCGCAGAGACGCGATGTGTTCCAGATGGAGTGTCCGCTGTTCTCCTTACTGTCCAGTGGACCGCGGCCATCCCAAGTGCCACACGCGTCGCGCATGTACGTCGTCCGTGACCCTCAAACTCAGGAAGTCAGTCGGACGGCGGCACTCATTTACATCACTGCGGCACTGTGGGATTTCAAAGACTCGATTGACAAAACAGTACGATTCTTGATCTATCTCAACTCTCTCGTTGCACAACATCAATTGGACCGACACCCAGCTTGCGAAACTCTACTATGGCTATTGCTCGAACAAGGCTGTGAGCCTGACCTACGAAACCCCGAGCGTGCATGGTCGGCCGGTGATATGATAAAATCTCATCGAAAGCTGCGACCAGATTTGCAGTTCCATTTTAACGAAATCCTGATGAGCTTCTTGACGCTGCGGCCTCCAATCCGCGGCATTGACAAGTTTCAGGACGACCTCTTGATGGAAACAAGTAGCAACGCACAATGAAAGCATTCTGCATGAGATCAATCACAGACCTTTTTTTTTTTTTTTTTTTTTTTTTTTTTTTTTTTTTTTTCATTTTATTGTTTTGCCTTTTTGATTACGTGGCCCGGCAGTCTACAACCTTCAGGCATTTAAAATGAGCCGAACGTGGGCTTGGCAGGACCCGGCAACCAGGAATAGTGTACTCGTCATAGAGCTTGAAGCCGAACCATGGCCGTGCGCGGGTGTGGACCAGAGCCATACATTAGGATGCGCTATGTATTTGATATCAGAAAGGAAAATTTTGCTGCCGAGGAAGAAAAAAAGGAAAAAAAAAGGAATTCCCCAATGAATTGCCCATAGCTAGCGCGTAATACGATGGACACAGTGGAGCCCGAACAAAAGCGGACCGCCGAACGCAAAGTTCTCCGGCGGTACCTTCCCAACCCAAATTATGTGGAAAGTGTACCTCTCAGGTACATGCGGAAACGGGACCCTTTGAGTAAAGGGATCGACGATCCCTGAGGCCATGGTTATCATGACGATATCACCGCATCATACCGCGCCATGGATCGGTAACATTGCCCCTTGCCCTGTGACCTACCATTCCGAAACAGGGGAAGAATTACACATCTGGTGTTTGACGTTATGTTTTGGATGGTATGTCAAAGAATCCACTGTTTATGATAAATTACCTGGATTAGGGCTGAGTGAAATTGGGCAAATCTCTGTTATGGGCTTCGGTCAGATCATCAATAGTGCAGCCCACTAGTGGTGTTTAGCGCGATTCGATGATCCAACCAAGTTCGGTCTTGCTCATCCTCGTAACCATGGCCCTGGTCGGCGATCTCTGGATTCTTTTCTTTTTCTCATGTGAGTTTGCCTGATCACGGCACATTGAGCATCTTGGGCTGAAAGAAAATAGCAGCTTGAGAAAACTGAATGCTGTGTGTAGGTGTATAGACCTCGCCCCCTGGATTCTTGGGGAGAATGATGCATTTCATCCAGCCCTGGGGTATGAAGACATAGTTAGCGAGAGTCGGGTCGAATGTCTTGAGTTTGTTTTTCTGTGTGATATGCATCCCTTGCGGGGCCAGAGAAAAGTGGAATTAGTGGGCTGGAGATATTTTACGTCGTTTTTGCTGTGGCTGGGAACGTGGTGGCGCATGTCGGCCTTCTCCGTATCTCTTGCGCGCCGATAGACAACGCATCATAAGGAGGCAAGTAAATCTATCACAGTTCAGTGGCTGTGACTTCTCGTCGAGTCATCGATCTCCAGCTCGGGCATCGAGGCCGATCGTAGCATGAAAGGATTGCATCGGGGATCCAGCGCGAGAGTAAGTCTGGATCGATCAGTCACTCGCCACATTCAATTTAAAAAGTGGAGTCCGATGAGCTATTCCAGTTTAACTAGTAGGGGGTCAGCGAAAAGAGCAAAAGCTTTGAGCTAGGAAACCCCCTGCAAATTCAAAAAGCGACTAGTGTTGCGTAGCCCAGATCGCTGATCGTAACACTGGGCCCCTCTCTAAGCTTAAACCGTCGCTTTTTTCCACTTTTCCCTTTCTTTCTTTTCTCCTTTCCTCGTACTCAATTCAATCAGGGGAGAGTACTACGATCCCCCTCTTTTCGACTAATTCTTCCCCACGTGTAGTTTCGACGTGCACGCTTGCTCGTGTCGAGATTCATCATGGTGGACTACGTCGGTACTATCGACCGGCTGGTCGCTCGTGCGTCGGTATGCTATCTGCTGTCGCGAAAAGCCTCAATATCGATGGCAACTAACAAGGTCTCTAGAGCGACCCAAGTTCCACCTCGAGCTCTGCGTCCGCGTTCTTGACCACCCTGATCCCGGCTTTGATCTCGTTCGCGGTCATGGTCCTCCTGTTCGTTCTACTACGTAAGAAGGAGCACCGCATGTACATGCCCCGCACATACATTGGCTACCTGAAGGACTGGCAACGCACCCCCGATACCCCGACCGGCTTCTCGAACTGGATCACTTCTATGTACAAGATCCCCGATACCTACGTTCTCCAGCACCACTCCATGGACGCCTACCTCCTGTTGCGCTTCCTGAAGACCATCTCCCTGATTATGCTTGTTGGCTGCATTATTATCTGGCCCATTCTGTTCCCCGTCAATGCGACTGGCGGTGGTACCCAGACTCAATTGGATCTGCTGAGCATGTCCAACGTGTCCAATGATCAGTATGGTCGTTACTACGCCCACTGCTTCCTCGCGTGGATCTATGTTGGATTCATCTTCGTCATGATCACCCGTGAGCACATCTACTTCATCAACCTGCGCCAGGCCTACCTGTTCTCCCCCTCTTACGCCAGCCGTATCTCCTCTCGCACCGTGCTTTTCTCCGCGGTGACTGAAGATTACTTGAACAAGGACAAGATTCGTGGTATCTGGGGCGATTCCAAGGTCAAGAACGTCTGGCTTGCCACTGATACTAGTGAGCTTGAAGACAAGGTTAAGGAGCGTGATGCTGCTGCTTTGAAGCTCGAGGGTGCCGAGACCAAGCTCATTATGCTTGCCCACAAGGCCCGTGCTAAGGCCTTGAAGAAGCAGGGTATTCCCGAGGACGGCAACGCTGACGAGGAGATTGGTCAGTTCGATGACGAGTCTGGCTCCGTTGCCGCGCGCTGGGTTGAGGCCAAGGACCGCCCCACCCACCGTCTGAAGATGCTCATTGGCAAGAAGGTTGATACTATTAACTGGTGCCGTTCCGAGATTGAGCGTCTTTCCCCCGAGATTGAGGAATTGCAGGCCAAGCACCGTGCTGGTGATGTTAAGCTCGTCACTTCAGTCTTTGTTGAATTCTACCACCAGTCCGATGCCCAAGGTGCCTACCAGTCTGTCACTCACAACCTTCCTTTGCACATGACTCCCCGCTATATTGGCCTGGACCCCACTCAGCTGATCTGGGGTAACCTCCGCATCAAGTGGTGGGAGCGTCTGATTCGCCACAGCGCCACCCTTGCCTTTGTCTGCGCGTTGATTATCTTCTGGGCTATTCCCACTGCTGTTGTTGGTTGTATCTCCAACATTAACTTCTTGGTTGCTAAGGTTCCTTTCCTGTCTTTCATCAACGATGTGCCCAGCTGGATTCGTGGTGTCATCACCGGTCTTCTGCCGTCCGTCTTGATGGCCGTCCTCATGGCCCTGGTCCCGATCATTATGCGTATCATGGCCAAGTGGGGTGGTGACCCCTGCCAGGCAGCTGTTGAGTTGACCACCCAGAACTACTACTTTGCTTTCCAGGTCGTTCAGGTTTTCCTGGTAGTTACTCTGTCATCTGCCGCTACCAGTGTGGTCACCTCAATCATCAAAGATCCTTCTTCTGCTGCCACTTTGCTTGCTAGCAACATTCCCCGTGCCTCGAACTTCTACATTTCGTACATTGTTCTGCAGGGTCTGTCTTTCAGCGCTGGTGCTCTCCTGCAAATTAGTGGTCTGATTGTTGGCAAGATTTTGGGTAAACTTTTCGACAAGACCCCTCGCAAGATGTACAAGCGTTGGTCTAGTCTGTCCGGTCTCACATGGGGGACTGTTTACCCTGTGTTCACTATGCTCACTACCATTGGTATGTTTCCTCTGTTCTATGCTTAGCGTAAAGCCATTCTAACAAAAATCAGGTATCATCTACTCTTGCATTGCTCCATTGGTTATGGGCTTCTCATGCATCGGTCTGTATTTGTTCTACTTCGCCTACCGGTACAACGTTCTGTACGTGTCGAATGCCACTATCGATACCCAGGGCAGGGCCTACACCCGCGCTCTGCAGCACCTCACTGTTGGTTGCTACATTCTGATCGTGTGCTTGATCGGTCTCTTTGCCATGGCTAGTGGCTCCAGCCAGATGGCCGTTGGCCCCTTGGTCCTCATGATCATCTTCCTGGTCTTCGTCATCCTGTACCACATGTCTATGAACAGCGCTATGGAGCCCCTCATCAACTACCTCCCCAAGAATCTCGAGGCTGAGGAGGAAGCTCTTCTGGCCTTTGACCGCAAGGAGCTGGGCTCCGTTGATGAAACCAACGGTGCTAGTGCTCCTCTGGTCGAGAAGGACCAGAACGGCGTTTCCAACGTCGACAGCGGCGTTGGCAACGTTGACTCCGCCGAGAAGGGTCTTAACGGTGACGCAGCCGCCGCTCCCCCCAAGGCCAACTTCTTGGTCCGCTGGGCCCGTCCCGACATTTACCACAACTACGCCGCTCTGCGTCGTTTGGTGCCCAACCCTCTAGACATCCAGGCCTACCCCGAGGACACTGAGCGCGATGCTTACTTGCACCCCGCCATCACATCTCAGCCCCCTCTGCTCTGGATCCCCCGTGATTCCCTCGGAATCAGTAAGCAGGAGGTTGCGCACACCAGCCGTGTCATTCCCATCACGGATGAGGACTCTTGGCTCGACGAGAAGAATAAGATCAACTGGAACGTGGAGAAGGGCCAGCCCCCGATCTATGAGGAGAAGGTCCCCATCTAAGCTTCTCATATTCGCTGTTTATCTGTCTGATAGACATAGCGATGGTGTATGCTACGTATCCCCTGGATTTTTGGATTTGACCTGCTGGTCTACATTGATACCCAACTGACCGGTTCCTGTGAATTGGTCGGCTCTGATTTCGGCCGTTGTGCCTTATTTCCTTTATGTCGATGATTGTTGAGTGAGTGACCGGCTTTGGGCCCTGTCCTCCTGGGCCGTGTTTAGGGTTGGCCTCGGGCTTGGCATCTACAGTATTTATATTCGTAATATGGCTGATGTACCCGTCATGTCCTTTATAATGTTTGAGAATGTTGCCATGACACTGGTCTTGATGTTTCCGTTATGGTCGAGTAGTTGTGCAATGTGAATTGTATCATATCAATTTTTTTTTTTTTTTTTTTTGAATCTTTCCCATGTAAATCCATTTCTGATTTGTCTGAATATTTTAATACATACTGAGAAAAATAAATCCCCGCTGCTAGCCATCTGCTTCTTAAGGTTGCTGTGCAAGTTTTCAACGCTACTCTAGACTTGAATGGTCATGTTCAAATGCCCAGGTGTGGAAACGAGGATCAAGGTTCCAAATTGATTGCCGTTTGACTAGTTGACCGCTTGATCTTCATGATGTCAATCCCACAGTGTTGTAATGTACAGTAGCCTCGGCCTTCGGCCGAATGCACCTTGTCGATCTTCACGGCAATTTGGGGTTCAACCTCTCCAATGACCCCATCGTGACTCGCTGCACACAGATTCCTGCTATCTATTTGGAATTTCCTCCCTGCCTCATTCCAAAAACAAGGAACTGTAAATTATCGTAATCGATGATTGTTGTATCCCGATCCAGTGAGATTCCAGAAATCACTAAACAAGGATTCTTCCTGGTCCGCACCCTAGTCATCTACAGCCCATTCTAGTCAAACATCCCGCCTGCAAATGCAATCCCACAGACGACGAAACCTCCCTGCCACAACCTAAATTCGCCATGCAGATCGTAAGGACCAGACTCGACCCGCATTATTCAGAAGCCCACTTCCTGATCCATCTCTGCACATACGTCGTACGGTATGTGAATTACGTGCTTAGGTAACCCACCAAACCCCGTAATATCATCAAACACCGATTTCGACCGCACCTCTTGCCTATGTAGGCAAGAGTATCGTTAGGCAATTTTAAATCCTGGCTCAATTGCGAATCCCAGACACGCGGCGGTAGCAGTTGTGAGTAAAAGACCGAAATCACAGCCACATCATCATGAACAACCTCTGTGGCAGCTTCTGATTGGCTAATGCCTTGAACTAGTTGCAGGGATGTCGAAAAAGCCGGGTACCCTTGATACCCGTCAAATGCGGCTAGTAGGAGCGAGATACCCTGCAAAGATACGGATTTCGGTCTCCTGTTTCTTTACGCGGTATGTACGGTATCCGTATGGATTTGCAGGATTTAGAAAACACCATGTATCTATGCTTTGTTTATTCTTAACGCGCAAAGCGACTAGTCTAGATACCCCTGTTCGCACCAGATACCCCGTAGACATGTATGATCGAGTCTACTGTATGCTTATAGGCTAATATTGAAAATTGTTTGGTTATCTTTGCAACTCTAAAAAGGAGCCAAGAAACAAAAACAAAACAAAATTAAAGTCAAAAACACCCGATTTTCTGCAGAAACTCCCGTCGGGACCACATAAACGAAACTAGCCCCAACCTCTTCAATTCGGGGAATAGATAACATATTCCTTGCGCCCAAAAAGAGCCGATTGGAGTCAAAGGTGATGCGTTTCGTACATAATCACAGATAGAACTTGTCTTCTCAGTTGCAATACATAATCTCCAAGTCTGTTCCCAGTTCACAAGTTATGGGAACCACTGCGGCTGCCTTGGTGAACAAGCCGCCACAACCCCTCCCTGCATCGTACTAATGTCGTCCCCCGTACAGCACTATGCATTGATGTTCCGGAAAATTCCTAAAGCGGATTCATCAAGTCACTCCACCATGACGGTCCAATTAATGCTAGTTTGTAGTTCCAGGGGGACGGGTATGCGGGGCCAGGATGATGGTGGATTTGCCCATGGATTTAGTTTTTATTACCCTTGTTTTTTATCGTAAAGTAGTCCAGCATCCTTGTCTGGAAAATATGTATGTGCCTTTGTATTCGGTATTTAAATTGATATTTTCCAGCAAATATGGAGATAACTTCCCCGCTGCTTCGCTGGCATCTGCAAGTAATTTGATCCTCAAGGCAAGCAAGATTCCTGTTCAGTTCGCATCGGCATTCTCCCTAGCATATCAACAAGGCAAGTAGAAAGTAGACACACATTACCGAAAAGCCACTGATGTAGGTGGTACTTTTTAGTAGTCCCTCGTCTAGACAATGTAACAGGCAGGCACGGAAATGAAGTCGGCTGGCGCCTCATCCAGCCAAACAACTCCACAATGATCGACAAGAGTACCAATAGTCGATGCCTAATAAACCAGCCTCAAGACTCTCGTATTCGGATCGCTTAATATTTGCCTTGTAGGACTCCACACACGTGTGTATAGGAGAGATTGCGAAACAAAAAACGAAAGCCTCGCCTTTAAAAAAAGGTCGGCGCCTCGTAGCCCTGCTAGCTTGTTTATTAGGTGCAGTAGGGTTTTATATCCCCTGTCGTTTGGCTAGGTACGAGAGCCTTGACCCCACATACCGACGGATGCCGCAAAGCAGGCACGCGTATACCCGAAAATACCATGTCACTTTTTGTGACCTGTGTCGTGAGTTCCGATCGTTTCAGAAGCGTATGAGTGGAGTGGGGAGGCATTCTGTGACATGGTATACCTTTTGAGTTCAGCGACTTGATGTCTGGTTTATCCTACCCAGTAAATAGAACCGTGGAATGCGGCACGGAGTTCAGCACGTAGTACATATTATACAGGAAATTTTTACATTATCCACTTGTACTAGTCTCAACGTCTTTGCGTGTATATTGCGTGCACGGGGATTATCGTTACCTGGTCGCTAGTGTATGGCTGTTGGGTACCCATACTGACCCCTCAACCTAACGGTAGTGATCATCCGTTGCATTTTAGCCTCGCATGCCAGTGTTTCCAATGCAAGTAACGTGGAGAATGGCCGGGCGCTCCTCGGTTGAAAGACGAATCAGAGATGGCAACTCGTCATGTCAAAACATACAAGGAGTTAGATCGACTGAGCCTGCACTGTGAGCCGCGGACGCATATTCTCAATTTATTTTAATATGGAAACAGAATGCTGGAATCCAATGGGAAGAATTGAATACAGGAAAAAAAGTCTGTCTTGGTGTAGATGACGAACTCTGCAGGTTTGAGAATCCTGGTCCTTCTTGCCCAGACGAGGATGCTGCATATAGAATGCTGACGCTGCATGAGCCAGAGCTCTACGCACTATACAGCCAGTATGAGGAAAAGAAGGTTTTCACTCTTAAGTTGTGCGCTCCAAGTGACAGAAAGAAGAGAATCAAATTCCTGCGAACGGATATATACGGAATAATGCCCAAGATGATGCAAATGTAACCAAAGATAACGCCCATGACAACGCCGTGTACTCCGTGTAATGAGATGAGTGCTCGCGAACATGCAGAAAGATGGCCAGGAATGGATATATCGCAAAATAGATTTCATAGTGAAAATTGGAAAATGTCAAAGACAGACAAGAATCGTTGAAAAAGCAGGAGCGACATGGTAGATGCGCGTTCAAGAGCCGGAGGTCGACGACTGAGTTCCCTCAAAGACACATAAAAAATGACAGAATAAGTAAAACAAGGTATCTGGGTATGAATATCGACAAAGGCAACCAGAAAGTGAATGATGTGGCTGGTAGTTGCTTCAGCACGCGCTTAATCGCTAATAGAGGAGAGGAGCCAATTTAAAGCCCTTTTCTAGACCCGGATTCTCGAGGACCGGAATGCAGACAGGTCGAGTTCGAGGGACTCAGCCGATAAAGAGGAATCGTCGTCGACTTCGATAGTGCCCATTGCGGCTGCTGAGGGCTTATTTGCTGAAAGGGCCGCTATCCGAGCAAGTCGAGCGGCTGTTGAAGTCTGAGGTGGCGGCTTTGGTTCCTCTTTTTCCTCTTCCGGCGCTTCCTCCTCCTGTTTCTTCTTTTCTTCTTCCAAACGGGTGACCTCCTTGGTGGTCATTTCCAGTAACATCTTGAACTTCTCCTCGACGCCATCAAGTTCGGTTCCACAGTCGCCTGACCGGAGAACCTGGAAAGCAGCTGTCTCGCAGAGACCGTGCGCGAGCTCCAATTGCTTGTCGGAAAAATCAAAAGGCGAGTCTTTGCTGATTCCGTTCGAAGTTCCGGTTACACCTACTATCCCAGTCGCGGTTCGTGTGCTTCGGACGCATGCCAAGGAGGCAATTGGGGATTCTGCAGCCGCGCCGCCCGCGGTCCTGCTGAGAGCATTCGAGCGAATGCCCATCCGGGAAGGCATCAATGACATCTTGCCACGGCGGATGTTGTTCCTGGCAATACCGATATCCTTGACAATCTGTTCAAGGACTTTTTGTGTGTGGCCATCGTAGTCGATGATGACGTTGTGGCGGGTGCTGACAAAGTCATAACGTTCATTCGAGTTGATCGATGGGGCTTCGTCTGTGCCGCGCTTGCGTCCTGCCTGCTGGGCCGGAACTTTCTCTTCCTTGCACATTGAGGTGTTGACTGTGGGGGTTTCCGGGCCGGGGACTTTCTGCTGGGCGATTGGGACGAGGTCATCGGTGTGGATAGAGCGTACGGAGCTGTTCTTTCGTCGGCGCGACTTGGGCTTCGAATGTTTTCGGTAGGCTTCTGAGTATTGGGCATGTTTGGCCGAGGTGTGTGCTGCCAGCTCGGAGACACGGATGATCCATGCGGGTAGGTTGTTCTGAAGGTGGGTGAAGGCCCCCAGCGCATCCATGGATGCAGCCATGTCGGTGAGACTCGGGCAATAAGAAAACTCAACCCACAGGAGTGTATGGAGGTGAACTGCGCAGGGATAAGGTGTAGGTGGGAAGGAAAGGAATTATCTATAAACGGGGTATATTCAATGTGTTCGTTTCGTCGTGATTTCGTGTCCGGAAGAAAGGGGAAATATGGGGGTAGGCGTTCTGAGTGTAATGTAGTTGATTTCCAATCTTCTCGAGAAAAAGGCGACGAATATATTAGCGCGATCGAGGGAGAGTCGGTGAAATAGTAATGTTGAGGGGTTGTAAAGAAGAAAAAAGGCCCCAAAGAGCCCGAAGTTCAAGACGGGGAAGAATCCAGAATTTGGAAATGCGTATGGTCACGGTATGGTATGACCCACTGTACTTTTGCATAGTTCAATACGGAAGTAATCTGCCGGAAAACACAAAGCTCTCCACTATTCAGAGCACATGTACCCTGCACTCCGTACTCTATATTACCTTGCTCTAGCTCTACTTCCTAATCCTCTTGGTCCTACCAAGACGAAGATTTTCCTAAAACATGGATGTCAAGGCTACTCGCTGAAGCCCTATAGAACGATTGGGCTCCTGCATGTCCGTGAAACTTCAACTAAGGAGCGGTGAGAACCCTTAAGGCATCCTGCAGGCCGTCAAAATTGACTCTCCAACACCATGATATGCATGGCCCACGTTCTCTCGCGAGGATCTCCATGATTCTGAGACCCAAAAACAGGGTAACCCAACAAAAACGGTCAATCCTGACCATCCATTCCTCGCTTGGAGTAGGGAGAGACACTCGCCGACGGGATTGACAAATCCCTCCCTATTTAGACCAGAAGATCCCTGGCAACCGAACCACACCCCTGGGCCGGGCAGAGTGGACAAACAGCGAGACAGCGAGACTCGAAGTTGATCACACACCAATCCGACCAGCGAAAGAGCCGACAGCCCCATCACGAAGTGGAAATCACTCAAGCGAAGCGGGAACTTAGCCTAAGCGGGACATGACACGTAACGGTCGCTGGTCGTCGGGGATCGGGAATCACGGGGTTCACAAAAATCCGAGTTACATAAAATCATTTGAAATTGCAATTCCCGTGTACTGTATTACCAATGCAACTAATGGATACATAGCAGGGCCGATCCTTTTCTCGCGGGACAACCCGTGGACGGGGCCGGGGTGGCCCCGTCGCTTTGATCAGAGCTTATGGTTGGTTGATCGTGCATCCATCGACAGCACTCGGTGGGCTTGGCTTTGTATGGTACTCGGCTTGTACAGCCAAGGCTCATGTATTGATCAGGACGGGCTCGTATAGCATTCCTTTCGTATCAATAATCTGCCTTCGACTGGCTAGCAGGCCCCCGAGGTTTGTCGTTCTCCCCTTAGTCGTGCCACTCCCGTCAGTCGCAAACTCGAGTTCGCGTCCATGCGTTTTAGATCCAGACCGCCTGCTTTTGAAAAGTCGGGACGAGGATGTGTACGATGCAAGTGGACTAAAGCTTGGAAGCACGTGAAAGTACTCGCTCATGATAGCTTTTTACCATCAGAGTTGTAGCTTGTACTTGGAATTTACGTTTAAAGGATAAAGATGAAGTATTATCCAGATGGAAGGATACTCCATTCTCAGCTCCCTTGTGAGCAAATGCACGAAAACGCCACAGCCGGCAAAGAAGGCATGATCAACCACAACACCGGAGCACACAATGCCACACCAGAACAAACAACAAACAGACAGTAGGAACGCACCACCATGCTCCGCGGCGCTAGGCTAGCAACAGGTGGATGTGACATTTGACCTATCACTGATCCTTGAGCCAAACTTCCTTCCACATATCGACAGTCTCCGTGACGGCTGCGGCCGAGTTGATGACGACCTCCATTGCTTCCTGGGCGGTCAAGAAGTTGGCCTTAAGCTCGGCGAGGCGCGTTTCCAGAGACCGTGAGAAGACTTGGTGCACACTCATTCGTATGGCGCCTTTCAAGGTATCGTCGGGGTGGTCGGGCATGGGGCCTGAGGCGGCGAGTGGAGAGGCCGAAGGGGTGGACGCGGCATCGGCATCAGCGTCGTCTGCGGCAGGGCTATGAGTAGGGGCAGGATGATCTGCGGGAGAGACCTTGGCAGCTTGCTTGCGCTTGACGCGTTTCATAGGCCGGGGATGCTTCTCACCCTCGATCATTTCGTCGACTGCAGGGTCGGCCTCGACGACGGCCCCCTTTGCCTTTGCCTTCTCGCCAACTTTGGCCTTGGTGGCAGTGGTCTTGGAATTGATGGCCTTCTTGATGGTCTCCTTCTCGATCTTGCCCTCTTTGGGGTTCGCAAAGTCGACTTCGGAAACAAGGGTCTGATTCATCGCGTTGGTTGCCAGGTTTGAGAAGCTGAAGAAAAGCTGACAGGAGAAAGGGATGATGATTGATGGAGAGGAAAGGAGGTGAGAAAGAAAGAGGGAAAGGACGTGAAGTAATGGAACGAAGTCACGGAACGAACCTTGAGGGTGCCCTTTTTCTGGCGCTTCCTGGTCTTCATGGCAAAAGCCAGGGCCGGAGTAGGCATGACCTGAGGTGACACCTCGATCTCAGCTTCGGCACCGCGATGGGTACAACGCTTCTTCCTGGATTTGCAGTCCGAACACGCCGGACCACCACGCTTCTTCACCACCTTAGGGATAGTGGTCTCCACGGCTATTGTTGGTAATGACACAAGATCATTAGCCTTGGAGCGAGGAGACAATAGGAATTGGGGTATTCATACTTGTATCCATTGGGTTCAGCCTAATGAGCACGTTGAAAGAGCTTTGAGAGCAGCGTCAAACAAAAGCAGTGGAAAAAAAGAGGTGTCAACGAGAGGGCATGGCCCCAGGAGCTGGCAAATGGATACGCTGATCGCAAGACGTTTTTATGCTTCACTCTTACTCTAGATTAGAGTGAGCATCGTCTATACTGAATCTCGAGCTACAATCCAAGTTGGGCTAGGGTTTGAGAGATCACGGGTCACTCAAGTGAAACACTACATAGAGAACTCCATCTCGAGAGGCAGCGCTCCGTTTGCATCGTAGGTGAATGAAACCCCTTTTCATTCACAGGAATCACATAGCTTCACTCCATGAGTTCTAATTCTGAATGAAGGCATGACTATTCTAAGCACATTTGCCTCTCACGGCCATAATTCGCAGTATTCCCAAGGCTCGGATTCCCTTGATTTGTCGTACTCCTCAAACCTCCATTGTTCTCTTCGCACATTGTTCATGTCAGATAAGTCAAGTCGCTCAACCTTGTCGGGAATGATAGCCACTACCCTGAAATTGGCACGGGCAACAGGATCATATAGATCTTTCACCTTCTGTCCCAGCTTCAAGGCTGGGTTACTGGGTACTTCTGACCTAGGTGTTCCAGGAACCGGGACTCGGAAAGAGCCTGCATGCAGTCTATATGTCAATAAAGGTGAACACATTCACACGTGCAAAGACAAAGATGCCAATTCTTAGAGACAAAAAAGTCAAGAAAGACCAGAAACATACCTCGCATTGCGGGAGAATGGTTTGCAAAATACTCAGTCACAACATTATCCCAGGTCCACTCCATGCTCTCATCGTAATTCTCTTTGAAGCGCAAACAATCCGTGATGCGTTGCATGGATTTTGTATCTTCTGAAGATTCAGGATTCTCAACATCGGGGTTTCCAAAGGCATATGCTCTTCCTTTGACCCGCCATTGGTTCATCAAGTCCGGAAGCCAAAATACAGCCTCAACGTGATGATCAGAGCCGACAATTTGATCCAGCTTTTCCATTCGAACATCCGTTGTAAATGTCAACATATCACTCTCGTATTTATCAGGATTCCCACCACCCGGGGCCTGTTGCTTCATGTCTTCTTGCCCACTTGGATGGAGCTCGAGCTCGGGGAAGAAACCACGGCAGCCACAGGTGCGGACACGGGGCATTGGTTCACCATCGGGACCGTGTTCAACTGTCCCAAGAGTGAATTCATAGCCTGGGGTTCGTTTGAGGTGCGAGGCTAGAAGGTCGCGCCATGGGGCTTTTATTTTCCTCGAGTTCGTTGAGTGGGCCATTTTAGAGATGGTTGAGAAGAGCAAGGTTCGTCGGATTGTCTGATGTTTCCCCAGTCCCACGAAACACCTGGTCGCGCTGAGGTGGTAAGATATTCTAAGGAGAGAACTCAAACTGGTGACATTGACAGAATGTGGCATATATCAGTGAGGCCTCTACTTGTTCGGAGTTGAGGTTTATGGTGGGGCAGCATTGATTGCTGGAGCGAATGTGCTTGGAGAATGAAGCCTTTCAAGGAATCGGTATTCTGCCCGTGATAACCAGGAGGCCTGGCAGAGTTATTTGATAATCTTTGTAAGAGCAAAGATTATTTGAGAAAGGAATCATGGACTCAACTCTTGGATGACAAGTTGGCGGAATGGTTACATCAACTCTGGTATTGGTCCGTGCGTCATCTTATCGATTAACGACTTCAATAGAAATCTGACGGGGAAGAGTCAGTACCTATGCTGGATTTGTATAAACTCTGGGTATTTACCCTGTTTCGCGATCTTGATGTCAAGCTAGATTTCTAGCTTTGGATAACCTCAATTGAGGTGTATACCCAGACCCAAGTCAAATCCACAGCCTTTTGCATGACCACCGGGGTAAAAAGGGATAAATATGTGGCTTTTCGCAACACATTCTGCGAAACAGGTATTCCAAAATTCGCATGGCTTAACACTTAGGTCAGGCATTCAAATTCGACTTCAAAATACATTGGTATCGAAATATGCAGCTAGCCCAGTGAAGCGATACTCCATAGCCCAAGCAGCCCCCTCCGACCTGCAATCTGCAGCCGGGCTCAGTCAACTGGAATCGAAGTCCCATTCTCTTGGATGGGAAGCAATCCAAGCATTGATAGAGCCAAGGTTTGCGCAACACTGGAAGTTTCCCAGCGAGAAAGAGAAGAATCGGTTCTTTGCTCTAGGGTTTTCCCGCGCCTTTAGTCAATTTTTCCCCCTCACGCTTAACGAGCGGGTTGAAGTGACATGCATGATTCATTATCTGGTACTGTTGATTGATGGTGAGTTTTATCTAGGGTTGATGCGAGTTCGTAGTTGACAATAATTCAGATCAATTGGATAAAATGAATGCGGCCGATATGCTTTCATATCGAGAACTTATAATGCAAATTGCTCGAGGGAAAGCGGAACCAGACAGAAAAATTTGTGTGGAATGGATGCTTTCTGATACTATTCAGTCTATGCGAGCCATTGATGAAATCCTAACAAGCGATTTGGTGGACGGGTTTTGTACGCTGTTGCAGATGCAAACTGCACCGGAACGCACAGCTATCAAGCACTTGGGCCCATATCTCGAGCGTAGAGAGATAGACTTTGGCAGACCGTATGTGTTCACCGAGGACGCGGTAGATCGAGTAATTGAGCTGACTGGTTTTGAGGTTCTATACAACGCTTATTCGCTTTGGCGCAAATTTACACATCACTCCTAGCGAGCTTCATGAAACATCCGCCCTTGAAAGCACCGCTTTCCGCTTCATGGGAGTTTTGAATGACGTGTACAGCTGGGACAAGGAGTGGAAGGCATACCAAGAACACTTGACCGACGGAGCCCAACCATTCTCGGCCGTTCATGTGCTGGCACAGGAAACAGGTCTCCCGTACCCTGCTTGCAAGCGTCTGATGTACCACTACTGTCGAGAATTGGAGCTCGTTCTGAAGCAGTCTGCAGCGGAAATTAGGGAAAGTGCTGGCGGTGCTTTACGGCCGGAGATGGAGAAATACATCAAGGGCCTTGAGTACTTCATGAGCGGGATGGAGGCATGGAGTCAATGGACGCCGCGCTATCGATGAAATATGGCATCATTCAGTTCATTAGGCTTCGTCAACTCCTCCGCTGAGCTATAAGGAGAGTTCGTTAATTCAATGGCAAAAAGCCATAATCATAATCTATGGAAAACATCTACCTCCAAGTGTGAGGTCTGTCTTATGCGTCATAAGGACCAGTACCGCGGACGACATAAACCTCACCCACCAGAACGGCACATCCAACAACCATCGCAATCGCAATAATGGGAAGATTGACACGCGCAAACTCAAGGCTGCCGACGCGAATATGCTTCCTCGCTAGAATGTCCCGCCACAGGAGACCGGCCAATGAGGCACTGAATGCCGTGCTGAAAGCACCGTAGTTGACCCCGAGGGCCATGCTGTATACTGTTGCCCAGAATGTACGGTCGCTGATTGGGATTCCGTTGAGCTTGTGAATCTCCTGCCAGGATTGGATAACTCGAGAAAGGAGAATGGTGGTCCCAATATTCGTACCGGCGAACTGTTGTGTAGGAAGGAAGTTGAGTCAGCATATGCGACACATACTCCGGATGATTGAACTCACGTTGCAAAGAATCACAGATAGAAATCCCATGCCTCCTATCGCTCCTACTGTGCCGGTCTTACTTACCCAATGATCCCAGCCATATGCGAACACCGGAACCCAGCCTTTTGTTACAAGTGCTTGCACGAGGACGAACATCGATAAAGCGAATGGGACTAGGGGAAAGGGCATGTGCGAAACTACTACCGTCACGGTGGGGAATGTCTCCTGCATCCACCGGTAGGTATCGGCGCCAATCGAAACCAAAGTGGCACGTTGTTGCTTTCCTGGCTTGTTGAGCTCTCCACGCTTCTCTGCGTCCAAAGCAGGGGCCGCGTCCAGTGGCTCAGTCGACGAAGAGAGTGCTGATAGCTGAGTATCGCGGACAATGACGCCGGGGTGTCGAATTTCTGGATATTGACCCTTCTCCAGCAGCGCAGAAGCTGACAATGGGATTTGACAGTCCTGGGGTACTCTCGTGCTCATCGTGTCCGTGGCATCGATAGAAACCCCATCTTGCGTAGCTTGACTTTGGGACCCATTTCTTAAGTGTTCGGATCCCTCCAGAGGAGGCTGTTTCGGTGAGTTCTGGAGTGATTGCACTCTTTCACGTTCCGCTCTTGCAAGCTCAACCTCTCTTCTGCCCTTCGCGGCAATCTCGCGCGTTTCATGTCGGTGTATCCAACCACACGCAAGGTCCCAGCAGAACATGACAAAAGCAGCAGGCAAAGTGACCCAGTAAACGGGGTTCTCGTGGCCAGAGTTGCTGGCCGCGTTAAGTGCTAGAAGAGTAATGAGGGTAGCCGCCATGATCACGGCTCCAAAGGCAGCACCGCCTTTATCCAAAAATGGGTTCATGATTTCTTCTAGAGACAGAAGTTTCCCATTTTCATTGTCAACCTCTTCTTCCTCTTCTGCAGTGCCTCGAGCATAGGGAATATTGGGATTCACGGGCTTCCGGGCTTTCGCTGCATCGGACAACTCGTGCATTTTAATGGAGATTGGGATGAGTGATACATCTGCGAAGAGAATGTAGAGCAAAAATGGGAAAACGACAATTGCTGTGACGACGACGGGAACGATCATGTTGGCGGTGTACACAATGAACTTGATCTCGAACGCGCCCGCGAGCACGAGGTTTGTTGGGTTGGAGGAGACCAGGATGGCGGATGCGATATTGGCCACGGCAAACTGGGCGTGGATCCAAGCTCGGGGGTGAACGATGTTGCTGGAAACTCGAGTCATGTATGCGAGGAAGGCTGTACCGGACAGAATAATGGGGTCATTTCCAATGAAGCTGCCCAGCCCGAAGAAGAATGCGTAGAGGTAAAAGAACAGTCTATGACCTAAATCACCACCTTTTTGTAAAACCTTAAAGGCCAAATATCTGATCAGACCTGAAGCATCAATCGAAATAGCAATATAGGCCAACGTAAGGAAGAAGGCCATAATATCAATGGGAGAGATATTGTCCGCGCCCACTGTCCCATCATGTACTTCTTGCCTGCCAATGGCCAAGATCGCCAGAAGGAAAAGGTCTGCTATTAGTGGTGCTGTGACGAAGTTCAAAGGGAAGTTGAACTTGACGAAGAGTGTGCGGTTATATCGGGAACGAGGTTTTCGTCGGGGGATTATGCGTATGGCTGCCAGGCCATCGGCGACTATATTGACGAGCCATCGGGGGAGATAAATGGGGACGTGAAAAGGAAAAAGCACAATAATGTCTATTCGCGTCACATAATTAGTGCTGTCAGTCTGATTGATGCGCAACACTTACTCGTGATAACAAAAACAATCAGAGTAATTATGGATCGCCAGCTTTTGATTTTGTTGGTATCCAGATCGGCGGCCATGATCGACCTTTTGATTTCGCCGAAGCGTTCACGTTCACGGTGGTCGCGTGTGAGATGGAGTGCAGGTCCGACCCTTTTAAAGAGGGGACCCAGTCAGCTTTTGATTAAAGTCCGGAATGGAGATCCAAGGTTTACCGGAATGTAAGGAACCAAGGGCAATTCGCAGGTTCAAATGCGAGTCGTGTGACCTTAGCGACACATTTTTCACGAACGGCTTCAAAAGGCAAATAGGCTATTGGAGCGCAATAAGCTTAATTCCAGGTGGATTTGGTCCTTCCCAATGAGCTTGAGATCAGAACGTGGGGGACTTGGATGGATTTGTCGTGATAACCACACCAATACCATACCACTAGATCTTCATGGCCCTTGAACGATGGCGAAGAGAGCTCTAAAGAGGCGGTAATCGGGTGCTTAAGTTTCACGACAACGCAATGAGGCTGTACCGCAAATGACAAGGAAGAGGAAAATTTCTTCGATCTAAGCCCCACGGGAAATATGGGCAATGAGCGATAAAGAAGCTAGCACGGGCTTATTTCGCCAATACTGATTAGTAGTCTGTGCATTGTAACGACAAGGAAAGAATGATCAATAGGGCAGCAGAACAAGGTCCAGACGTCAAAAAGCCAAGACCTTGGAAGCCCGAATCCCCGCACTTCCTCTTTTACCCAATCCAGTGCCGCTTTTCTGGCTTCCTTCATCCATTTGGGTCTATCTGATCCGCAGGGTCTAGCAGTGGGCAACCTTCAATTGTTCTCGAAAATCCCTCAGAAACCAGCAAGGAAAAGCGGGATCTGTCCAAAAGTATAAAGAGCGCTATGTACACAGCCACCGCGCGATATATACGCCCGTGCCGAAATGCTACCAATCACACGAAGGACGCAGGGGGCACCGATGTGCCCGGTCTCGTATCCTGCGCCCGGGTTAATGCTGGCAGCCCAGCCACCCGTCACGGGAGCAGTTTCTGCTTTCAGGGAACAAGCGAACGGCTGAATCATCCAAATGGACGTCCAATCCCCGCAAAACCGAGGCTCTAGCTCCACCAAAATGAGGCTGTTATTGCTGACGAACCCGCGATCTGACATGGGATGTGCTTTACGCCCACTCCCGTCTATGCAGGAGCTAATAAGACTCAAAAAGCTCCCTTTTCTTCTTCCCCAATCTTCCAGTTCATGACGTGTCCAAGTTATTGTCGGTTCATGTTTTTGGATATATGACTTTTCTACTGTTTCTCCCTAAACCAACCGCTGGAGGCGGGTGACAAGCTATGCCAGCAATTCCCTCCGTTGGGACTTTGATCGGGAGTTCCCTTGTGCAGCGTAGCACACTTCCGCTTGCCTCAAACACAACTGATCCCATTTTGGAGGTTATCTGCGCCTGGCCAGTATCTGGGCAGTATGGCCCCGGTACTCGATATTTGTACGTCTAAGTTCCATCAAGGTGGAGGGGAGATGAATTCTGAACTTGCTTGCAGGTATTATGTCTTGATGGCGGCATGTGTGCTCGCACGCAAGGAAGAATGGATTCGTAATGCTTGCCTGGCTGCTGTGTTACTTTTCCCCGCCGTCGCGGCCCTACACGGGATTGTTCTCGCGGCGCTTCATGTGCCCGGTGAGTAGAACCATGAGTGAAACAGACTCATATCCTACACCCAGACATTCAGCACTAATGTGACTGTAGGTGCGGTTGACATGGATGTTTACGGGGCGTTCCAGCTGTGCGCGATCGGCATCCTGACTGCTCCCGCCACCGTGAAATTGTCAAATACCTACTTCAACAATCCAGGTCGAAATATCATCTTTCTCTGGACCGGCCTTCAACTGGCCGGCCTGCTCAGTCTAACTGTAGAATTCATCCGCATAACTCCCACCCCTTGCCCTTTTGATGACCCAGCGACGTCGGTTTGGGCGGACACACAGGTCTTCCACTACAATTCCACCTGTGGCATGATTTGTAACGAAGATACGGGCCCTAAATCACCTCTTCGAGGAGGTTCCGCAGACAACATCTACGTGATCCCCTCGCCTCACCAGTTAGACTTTAACACTGCGACTCTGCTAGCAGCTGCGTGCTGCATCCCTGCCATCCTGTCGATGCTATCGATGTGGATCAAGATCCTAGACGGGAATTGGGAAAAACTTATTGGAAAGAAGAAAAAGAAAGACGACGAGCCAATTGCCGGCACGAATGGCGCCACGCCAATACAGATGACAGGTATTGCGGAGAAGATTCGGGACTGGCTGACCCTTATCGAGATTCCAGTGTTCGTTGCGGCTGTATTGGCTATTATTGTCAAAGGAGAGATGAACTTCTGGAGTGAGCCCGTGAATTATCAAACGGAGCCTATAGCCAGTATAGGTGAGTCTTCAATATACTTTGAACGCGAGGAAGTCACTAACATATGTATCTAGGCCAATGGGCCCCTATCGTGGGTACTGGTCTCGCCGTCGTGGGATCACTTTACCTAATGTTCGCAGCTGACATGGAAGCTGAAGAGAAACAAACCGGTCCAACTCGAGAGACTACAACCCCCATATGTGCCGACTGCGGCGGAAATGCAATCCGCGACAGTACAGACTCCACAACCCCTCCTGGAACATCTGGGGATACAGTCGAGGCGCCCTCACCAGAAATTGAACGTACAGCAACGTTCTCTACAATCCGGCAAGCTATGACATCTCAATCCGGGCCTGACCCCGGAGGCAGACGAAAGGTAGCTCGATTCTTCAACGTAGTAAGCACCTATCTCGCCGCAAAAGCACACAACAATTTCGAAGACACGGGCTTTGAGGTCCAGGAACGAACAAACTTTCCCGAGATCCCGGCTGAGATGTTTCGAAATGAACGACTTTATGAAATACGAAATGCCTATAACAACACACCTCTGCCTCGATCCCGAGCTACAAGTTTTGTGGAGAGTGAGACGTCCAATGGCGAAGGTAGTTCACGAATACCGACAGGTCAATCCTCAGTACCGGCGAGACCTCCGCTCGCTGTGACTCGTCGACATTCGAATACGATGCCGGCGGGTGAAGCTCCATTCGAGAGACCTACCTTTCTGCAAATTAGGAGTTTATATAGTAACTTGTCGCCCGGGCAATGGAGTCCCCAAGATGGGCCGACGCCTGATGAGCATCAGAATGTTGGTCACGATTCTATATCGGATGCTGATCCTGCTCCGATCTCACCTAGTGGGCCCACTACCCCTAAAATTGTGGTATCATCCAATTAAAAGAGCGCGACAGATGTGATGCTCTGGATTCGTTCCTACAGTTGGTATCTGCTAGCCTTATGACCGTACGAAATCAAGTAGATCTGGAGATGTATTAGTAGACTGTGTATATAGATGTTCATAGATACGAATGACGTGAAGCTATCACCTAGCTTCAATGTTATTTGAGCCTGAAGTAATATATGAATCAAAATCCAAAATTCGATGCGTACTAATAATCCTACAAATCAAGTTTCGTCATGGAAAGCCTCACTCCTCCCACTCTCCGAGCCACACCAGGCTCTTCTCGCTTTTGAGACTTCATACCCGAAGTACCATTAATCGAAAAAAACAAGCCATACCCAAGAAAGCAGAGGCACACGAGAAAAGTTTTGTCACGGTACCCCTAGCCGTGAAACCGGCAGGCAACCCCGCAACCCGCTTATTTTGACCAGCAACACCAAGGATATTGAGCGCATTACCAGCGGCATGACAAAACTCATAGTGCTCTTCGGAGATAGTCACTCGTTCCTGAATTTTGGGGAATGCAGTGTGGTAAGATGGATCATACCGTAATGGATCACCGCTGGCATAATCGTAGAAATGCGAACCATACCCAGGGGCACGGTCAATGACCTGGAACTGATGACCACGGAACCTTACCTATTCCATGCATTGTTTTTGGAGTTTCAGATGCCATGTGAAAAGGACATTTCTCCCCCCCCTTATATACTTTTGCATTGAGCAACCAAATCCCCAACCCGGGTGCGCAAGATATAGCGTGAGAGCGGGTAAGAAGCTTGTGGGCCGGTGCGACTGCCGCACCGACCCTCCCGAACAAGCAAAAACAGTAGATCATCATTGGGCCATGTTCCTCCATCTAGAACCAATCATCTCTTGGCATCTGCACACAGCCCCTCAGGGAAATGGGTTTCGCCAAACTACCAATACGACCAGATATCCACCTCTCACCTTTTCTGCAATCCGGACTACAACGACACGAGAATTAATCTTTGCCCTCGGAAAGCGGACATGTCAGACCCTGCAAAATACATCGTGGGCTGGATATGCGCCATAGCGACTGAATACGTTGCCGCACAAGAATTTCTTGATGAAGAGCACGACGGACCAACTTTTGTTTCGTCAAATGATCCAAACGACTATACCCTTGGTAGAATTGGAGAGCACAACGTCGTGATTGCCGTCTTACCGGATGGTGAGTATGGAACAGCGTCCGCGGCAAGCGTAGCGACGAACATGTTGAACAGCTTCCCGAACGTCAGAATTGGCCTCATGGTCGGCATTGGTGGCGGTGTGCCAAGTGAGAAGCATGACATTCGCCTAGGCGACGTTGTGGTCAGTGCGCCTCGCAATGGTGAAGGTGGTGTGTTCCAATATGATTTTGGCAAGTCGATACAAGGCGAAAGATTTCAGTATACGCGGTTCTTAAACCAGCCCCCAACGTCATTACGCACTGCCATGACGGGCATACAGGCGCAGTACAGGAGGAATGGGCATCAGCTTAAGGAGGCCATCAACACCATACTCGAAAAGAACGCGAGATTACGCCAAGAATATGAACGACCGCAACCAAGCACTGATAGGCTTTTCAAAGCCCAGATTGTTCATGATCCAAGAGGGTGTGCTGCGTTTTGTGCTAGTGACCCTTCAAATTTAATACCGCGACATGAGCGAACCGAACACGAGGATAATCCTGCCATCCACTATGGCCTGATTGCTTCTGCCGATCAGTTAATGAAAAACGCTTTGACTCGGGATCGCCTTGCAGCAGAAAAAGACGTCATCTGTTTTGAAATGGAGGCTGCAGGGCTGATGAACCACTTTCCTTGTTTGGTTATTCGGGGCATCTGCGACTACTCAGACTCGCATAAGAACAAGGGCTGGCAAGGGTATGCGGCGATGGTGGCGGCGGCATACGCTAAAGACCTGTTACATAGGATTATCCCTAATAGGATTGAGGCTGAGAAGAGAATTGGTGATGTCCTATCTGGTTAGTTCGGCGCAGTCTAAATATCACCCCACAACTAGATGCTGATCATTATAATTACGAAAGGCCTCAAAGGTGTTGCAGAAGCGCATAAGGCTATTGCGCAGAAGCATCTTGAGATACAGGAAAGCACGATCGAGCGGAAGTGGCTAGAAAAACAAGAAGAATGTCTTCAATCGTTTCGCCTCACCACGGGAACCAAAGACGCCACGTACGAGTGGTATAAGGATCATGTGGGAATCCGAGTAGAGGGCACCTGCGAGTGGTTCCTTAACCACGAGAATTTCCAAAAGTGGTTGGAACAAGATTCAGGCCCATTACTAGTATCGGCAGACCCAGGCTGTGGGAAGTCTGTCTTGGCCAAATATCTTATTGATGATAAACTGCCACAATTAGCAACTGTCTGCTACTTCTTCTTCAAAGACCAGGACCAAAACACAGTCCGACAGGCGCTTTGCGCTCTACTTCACCAACTCCTCTCGCAAAAGCCATCTTTGATCGATCATGCTATGAATGAATTCAGCAAAAATGGGCAAAAGCTAATCAATTCGACAAATTCGCTCTGGAAGATCTTCGGAGAAGCTATAAGAGATCCCCAGGCTGGACCCATCATCATCGTGCTCGATGCTCTAGATGAATGCATTGAGGCAGAGCTTGAGGACCTGATACTTAACGTGGAGCGCCAATTCCGCAATAACCAGCTAGGTCGTAGAACTTTGAAGTATCTCTTAACGAGCCGCCCATATGAGCAGATACTATCTAAGTTCGGGGGTTTAGTACATTCTTTCCCTACCATTCGCATACCCGGAGAGGAGGAATCGGATAGTATAGGCCAAGAAGTCAACCATGTGATCGAATATCGAGTCGAAAAGCTAGCGAAAGAGAGATGTCTCTCAGAGCTAGTTAAAAGTCACCTAGCAAAGAGATTGCTCGAAGTCCCACATCGTACATACCTTTGGGTATATCTTGTGTTCAACTACTTGAAGACAGAGAATTTCAAAAAGACACCCAACGGAATTGATTCCACCTTCGAATCACTGCCCAAAGACATCAATGAAACATACGAGCGGATTCTGCAAAAATCAACGGAACATGCCTTGGTTCGGAGGGCCTTTAGCATTATATTAGCAGCAAGTCGACCCTTAAAGCTCTCTGAAATGAACGTTGCCTTGAATGTTGAGAGCACATCGAAGTCTATTCACGACCTCGATCTTGAAGAGAACGCAGACTTTAGGGCACGCCTAAGAACTTGCTGTGGATTATTCATTTCCATTCACCACGACAAGATTTATTTAATTCATCAAACTGCTCGAGAATTCCTGCTTACACATGCTACTTCAGCTGAAAACGCTCCTTCAGACCAACGTTGGCAGCAATCCATCGCCATCCAGGACGCTCACAAGGTTCTTGCTGGAATCTGTGTATTATACCTGGACTTCCTCAATAATGATAATGTTGACACAGACGCATGCATAGAAAGTGGTCAGATCTTCGACCAGTACACTTTCTTCGATTATTCCGCCAAGAATTGGGGCACCCATTACCGCCAGGCTGGTATTCGCATTGATTCCGATATTATACCTTCAACTTTGAGGATATGTAACCCAAATTCAAAGAGCTGGTCATCCTGGTTCACCCTTTATTTTGAGACCACGGGCTATGGATCCACTAAAAATTTCACCAGTCTCTTGATATCGTCCTATTTTGGGCTCGAGGCAGTAGTGATGGCACTTTTCGAGAGGGGCGCTGACTTCGAGTCGGAAGACAATTATGGCCGGACGCCGCTGCTATGGGCTGCACGGAACGGGCACGAGACCATCGTCAAGCTATTACTTGAGAAGGGCGCTGATTTTGAGTCAAAAGATAAAGAATATGGCCTGACGCCGCTGCTATGGGCTGCATGGAACGGGCACGAGACCATCGTCAAGCTATTACTTGAGAAGGGCGCTGATTTTGAGTCAAAAGATAAAGAATATGGCCTGACGTCGCTGTTATGGGCTGCACGGAACGGGCACGAGACCATCGTTAAGCTGCTACTTGAGAAGGGCGCTGACTTCGAGTCAAAGGATAATCTTGGCCGGACGCCGCTATTAATTACTGCGGAAATTGGGCACGAGGCTATCGTGGAGCTGCTGCTCGAACAGGGCGCTGACTTCGAGTCGAAGGATAATCTTGGCCGGACGCCGCTATTAATTACTGCGGAATATGGGCACGAGGCTATCGTGGAGCTGCTGCTCGAACAGGGCGCTAATCTCGAGTCGAAAGATAAAAATGGCCGGACATCGCTGTCATGGGTTGCACGGAATGGAAACGAGACTATCGTTAAGCCGCTACTCGAGCAGGGTGCTGATTTCGAATCGAAAGATAACTATGGCCAGACGCCGCTGTCTATTGCTGCGGAGAGCGGGCAAGAAGCCATCATGGAGTTGCTGGTCGAAAAGGGCGCTGATCTTGAGTCAAAAGACAATTATGGCCGGTCGCCGCTGTTTATCGCTGCGATGAGGGGCCATACCCAAGTTTTCGAGCTACTCCTTGCCCATCAAGCCTCGCCCCATATCAAAGACCGTTATGAGTCAACCCCAATATTTGCAGCTGTGAGAAATGGACACGAAGCAATGGTTAAGCGCTTACTTGAATATCAAGATGGTATGGACATTAAAGATGGTTTTGATCGAACTCTTTTCTGGTGGGCCCAAAAGAGCGGCAATGAAAATATTGTTCAGCTTCTGCTTGAGTTTTCGCAAAGAGCTGGATTTTCAATACCCGAGGCAGAGCTCGAAATGGAATATGACGCGGTGACGTCGATGAGATCTTCGAGGTATTGCGACGCGTGCACCCGATTCTTTCTACCCCATGATTCATATTATAAATGCACGCTATGTGACGATTTTGATGTATGCACTGACTGCTATGATATGGCTGGTCGGTGTATAGACCATCCCAATGGGTTGATGCTCAAAGTGGCCGATCCTTGAATCTATGTTTGCATGGCAGGGAGTTTTCATTCGGGGTCATTAAGGTTCCCCTTCATTTACATGATTGGAAGTGGCACTTGAGAGCTTTTGTCACTGCTGAATTGTAACTTAAGGAAAAGCCTGGGAATTTTTATACAATTATGGTATGAACGAGATATTCAGAGGTCGGGCGATGGAGAATGCCTCCACTTCACTGTATACAGCATGCCGCAGTGGACATCTCAACGTTGTAAAGTTCTTGTAAGGGCATGGCGCAAATGCTGACATTCAATGGATCATGTATGACGGCTAGTCTATTTTCTGCGTTCTTTGATATTATGGGCTTCATACGCAATATTTGGTCCATAAATACGAAGGATAGACGTCTTGGTCACAACGAGCTCATGGCCTAAGTCTCAGTTCTCCTCCTCCCTTTCAAGGGTCCGATATCGTTGTCTGTATTTGCTCTGAAGCTTATTCTGTTGAAGTCATGTGTTCATGTTTCTCGATATTCAATTTAACGCCTTGCTCTACAACCTCTGTTCCCTGAACTCCATTGTCGGAGTCTACTCCAAACCGCGCGATCCCTCCCAAATTCCAGCGCTATTTCGCATCCGTTACATCTCGGCTAAAGGCTCCAAACGCAGTCCCATGCCGTGATCACTGGTCAGGTGTGGGATACAAAGCTTGGATAATGCACAAAAATAGGCTGACACGCCCAGCACTCCTAGGCCCGACCAAGAATACTCAGCATAACATGCCGCAATTTGGTCGCACATTGTGCCTCGTCACCAAGCACTGAATTACACCTCCAGGAGACGTGTCTGTCAGGGCGAACAAGCAAACAACCATTCTCATCCACGCCGCGAACGCGCGCCCAATCGAAATAAACATCTTCAAAGTCTTGCCGGAAACCAATTGAATAGGCCTTGATGGTAACACCAAGCTCGTTTCCGATTTTTGAAGCTGCTAGCTTCCAGGCCTCACCACCAATGCCAGTGAGGAGTGCATAGGAGCCACCTCCGGCCAAATCAACGGTAGAAATGCGTTTGACAGGAACGGCATTGTTGAGCCAGACATGAGGTAGACGGCATCCAGGGTATGTGCCTCGGATCAAGGTAAGATCGAGGTCCTGAGCAACCACCTCTGGAGAATAGAATGAGGCAGCTTCATCCGCAGTATAAATCGCGGTGCTTTGGTAGAACTGGCCCATCTCCGTTCCAAGTGCATGGTATTCGTGCTCCGTCTCCTCTATAGCGGCTTGGAGAGCGGCTCGACGGGCGCGCCCTTTCAATGTGGGATCTTTTAACTCGTTCAAAGCTTTGAGTCGCAATTCTGGAGTTGGTAATACGACACCGAGCGCGTCCCAAACGGGTCCGTGATGGCGGAATGAGGAGTTTGCTCTTGTAACAACTCCTCGCCCAACTGGTTGACGCTCGGCCGTGTATGTCTCGAGAATGGACGGTGATGCTTGGCCTAAAATATTGAGTTAGGTGACTCTAATCAGAGTGAGACAATCATAACATATCTCAGCTCACCTTTTAGCACGTAGGCAACTTTCCATGCTAGGTTATATGCATCCTGGATGCACGTGTTGGATCCCAGACCATTTGACGGAGGGTGTCGGTGCACTGCATCGCCAAGACAGAAGCTATGCGCAGTCAGTAATGGAACACAGAAAGGGGAAAACCGGGTACATACACTCGGCCACTGGAGAACTCCTCCGCAACAACATCATTGATACGCCATTTTGACACACCCAAAATTTCCGTATCAATTGAATCATCGCCAATGAATTCTTTCATTCGCCCAAGCCATTGCTTATTAGTAGGCTCAAAGTCAAGCTCCTTTCCTCGTTCCGGAAGCACAATAAAGAGCCACTCGTCCCAAGGCTTCACCATCCGCGCGATACACGCCCATCCGAACAAGGGATGTTCCTTGTCAGGTTGTAACAGCCAATGGAGGTTTCCAGTACGGTATTGCATGTAACTTGACAGGTCCGCCTTCAGGTGAACATTATATGCAAGGCCCTGATCTGGGCGTACATCTAGTGGAAGCCCGAGCTGGCGAAAGACTTCACTCCGCGCCCCGTCTGCACCAAAGAGGTACTTTGAGCGGATGTGGTATTTCGATCCAGAGATATTATCGCGGAGAATGGACGTGGTGCCTTCATCGTCTTGCTCGAAGCCAACGAATGTTGTATCGAAGCGGCAGCTGAAGCCGTTCAATGTGGCGTATCGGACTAGGATGGGCTCGAGGAGGGTTTGGGGGAGATCGACGGCATCACATGGACTGGCTGTTTCATAGTCACCCTGAAAAGTGTTAGACATTGATGTTTCAAGTCTATGGCTGACATTGATGGTACCTTGCGTTTGGGGTCATGGCCCCAGGAGTGGATCCGTGCATATTCCTCCCCAGCCATGCTGTATGCCCACCTTGTGTGCATCATGTTCATGCCATTGGTTGCAAGTCGGTTGCATTCGACATCGAGACCAATATCTCGGAGGCACTCTTGATCAACTTGTTAGCTCCATAAAAGCAGTTATGTGTGTTGCTGTCGCTTACCCATGGCGGCCATATTTGTGATGTGCGCTCTTGGGGTATCGGCATTTGTTGGAGATGCGCTGACCATTATACCACGGATACCTGGAGTTCACTTAGTGTGCTGTCTACAAATCTTCATGATTGGGAACTCACCATATGATGCCAAAAAGCAGGCTAGCGAGGCTCCAGCTGGTCCAGTTCCAATGATCAAAACATCTGTTGATGTGACCGACGCTGGTTTGTAGTGGGTACCTTGCCCATTGGCTAATTTGATGATAGCCATCTTCAGTTGACAAGGCTTTAGTATGAGAGATAAGCAACAATATTGAATCAAAACAGGACAGGAATCAAAACAGGACAGGGGCAAGACCCTTTTAACGAACACGCGACTATGTACAGTTGGTAAATCTTACATAATTTCGACAAGCACCCTCGGCGAATTATTATCGGCTTTTCTTTTTTTATTTTTTTATTTTTTTGAAAACATAGACCTCGGACCCACGTCGCAATTAATTACACTGGTCTTTGTGACATATGATGAAACAAGGCAGCTTGTAAAGAGTTTAAATTGATCAAGACTCGACCATTGGGTCCGTCAGCCCGAAGGAGACAAGATCGCCTAGTGTGCGTGATTAAGATCAGCGCCACGGCAGAGAGCGAATCTGATCATCCATCTTATCAGATGGTGCAAGGAAGACCGGAAGCTTGTCGGCAAATGCGCTATATGTTTAGTCATTACCCACCTTCGGCAGTTCATCAAGGTGATCACCATGATCTACTGGGTTTGTGTCCAAAGTTGTTAGGTCTTTAGGTAACGCCCCCGCAAGATGATGTAGTCTGCAGCAGATGATCCAGCTAGAGGAAAAGGTGTTAGGCACGGGATCCTGATTTGAATCGCTGCAAATATGAGAGAAGTGATCTTTACACTCGTCCGTTGATTCAATTGATAAACTCTTCATTCCCAGTCAATATGAATCTAATGAGCAGTTACGATCTCGCCGTGGCAAATTCTTCAGAATGTTTGACACCAAGATTGCCTTTATGATTGCCCGTCGGGCTTCTTCTGACGAAGCCACGTCCAAACTTGTATGAAGTCAGAGATCTTCGATCGTGTTTCTCAAGCAGCTAATCAGCTTTAGGCTCCTTCAACGAGCCTGTCCTCTCAATGTAGGATGCCTTTCCCGTATCTCAGCATTTCATTGTTACACCAATTCCCCGAAACGAACACTTTGATGAACTACTTTCAACTGCGAAATGATCCGGTGCCCCCTGCTCTGAACGATCATCGGGAAGGATCTGCGAAGTAATGTGAAATGAAGTGGAATTCATGTGTTCATGATGTTGTTTCAACCCTGTCTTGCGCCAAGCCAACTTGTATATAGATTATTTTTCAACGCGGAATCTACCTGCCATTTCACGATGAACATATGATATCGGCAATTGGAAATGGAGACAAGCATTGAGAAATTTAAGCTTTTGCTTGGCAAGATCTTACGTGATGGAGTCGGAACAATTCTCGTCATAGAATACAGAATGTCGAAATAAGTGCAATCCCGAAACCCTTGTAACAGCGGCGGGTCTGGCCTCTTGGTACTCGGTCCCTCATTCCCCTTTCATCGTATAATTGTGCCTTTCCAAAATGTACAGGTCCAAGGTCGAGTCCGATTGGAAATCTTGTCTGGCTGGGGCTACGCATGGAAGCCGTGCTTTGGAATAGGGGGCGACTCCACACAAACGAAAAAGTAACGCTCTATGACACCAGGCTCCACTTGGCAATGAGACCACTCGGAATGACATTGCAAAACTTGGTCACCATTAGAGTTTACCAGTTCCCTCCATTTCCTTTTTTACTGTCGTGATCAAAATCTCTGGGAGACTATTCACTCAAAGCTGCTAAAATCATCTTTGTCATGCAAATTCCGTGGGATGCTTATCTGTTACTACCCGATGAAACCGTTATCGGGCTTGGGCTGCACGCCATGTTTCAAGGGCAAAGGCCCTGTTTAAGGTGTCGGTGAAATCCTTTGAGCCGTTTCTCCACTTCTGCAAGCTGACATGCCGCAGGATGATCTTCGTACTCCGTATTTCTTTCCTTCTCGATGAATGATCGTCATCTTTCACAAGCCGATATTATTGACATAACCGTGTTTCCCGACCTGCGTGAGTCATCAACAGGATCTGAGATCCTGAGATTCTAATGGCCTGCATAGTCAATCGTACTCTAGGATATTTAAAAATATCTTTCAGGTTTAGCGCATAATATCATGCTTTAATATCGCCTGGCTAGGTTATACAAAAAATAATTCCACTCAATTTCTCAATTTCTCCTAAAACTTTCTCTAAAATTGATTTGGTTTTAATAACCTCGAGACATCAGACTCTCATTCTAGGCCGAGCGATCAATAACTTCCGATACCGGGATGCCGACCATTTCCCGATGGACCCCTGCTCCTTCACTGCCCCTAGTAAATGTGGATCTCGTAAGCAATCGAGGTTTCTTAGTAGAACGCCAAGATGCTGAAGAATCATTTAGTCAGGATTGACCGAGGATCATTTTGATAAATCATGGAATCAAGGCCTGAGTCTAACTCCGTAGCCCGTATTCGTGCCCACCTGGGGTGACATAAATACAAAGTCAGTGGCCACAACATCAAACTTGTGATTTGCAAGCAGCATCACGTCTCTCGTCTTGAAAATTCACCCCTGGGCCTATATTTGACTATGAAGAGCCTCGCAAGTCTCGCGCTCCTGCCATTGGTAAGTGCGGTGTCCCGTGCCTCAGAGCCAAAATACGATTATATTGTTGTCGGTGGTGGCACTAGTGGCCTGGTCGTCGCCAACCGCTTGTCGGAACTAAACAACGTCACCGTTCTCGTGATCGAAGCCGGAGGCTCCGTGTACAACAACATCAATGTAACGGACACCGGCGGCTACGGAAACGCCTTTGGCACTGACATTGACTGGGCATACGAAACAGTCGAGCAGAAATGGGGTGGAGGAACCACACAAACGGTGCGTGCTGGAAAGGCTTTGGGTGGTACATCAACCATCAACGGAATGGTGTATCTGCGGGCGCAGACAAGCCAGATAGACGCGTGGGAAAAGATTGGAAACAAAGGCTGGAACTGGGAGAATCTGTACCCTTACTTCAAAAAGGGCGAGCAATTCCAAATTCCAACTGATTATTCATTCTTGGAAGGATCTGGAGTCGCCTACGATCCTGCCTACCATGGGTATGATGGTCCGTTGAAGGTGGGTTGGACTTCCACACAGCTCAATGACGGCCTGGCTCAAGTCATGAACACCACATATCAAAATTTGTCGGTTCCTATTCCATACAATAAGGACCCGAATGGTGGACAGATGATTGGTTACGCTCTTTACCCTAAGACCGTAAACTCGGACCTTAACATTCGTGAGGATGCCGCAAGAGCATACTACTTCCCTTACCAGTCTCGCAAGAACCTTGACGTCTGGCTCCACACCAATGTCAACAAAATCATTTGGAGGGACGGTGCTGAGGTGACTGCGGATGGTGTTGAGATTACCTTCTCCAATGGCACAACCACCTCCGTCAAGGCATCTCGTGAAGTGATTCTTGCAGCGGGTGCATTGAAGTCCCCGCTTCTGCTCGAGCTGTCAGGCATCGGAAACCCAGAGTAAGTGAATCCAGCCTGACTATCTTCGAGCTCCGAACTCGATAAGCTAATACTTTCTCATCCATAGCATTCTATCCAAATACGATATCGAGACAAAGGTCAACTTGCCAACCGTCGGCGAGAACCTCCAAGACCAAATGAACAACGGACTCGCCTACGACTCGAAAATAAACTATACCAAGTCTCCCGACTATGTCGCATACCCTTCTGCCGAACAACTATTCACAAATGCCACCGCTGTTGGTGCCCAGCTTCTCCGCAAGCTTCCCGCCTATGCAGCCCAAGTTGCCTCCGCCAACGGAAATGTGACTCGGGCAGCTGACATTGAACGCTTCTTCAAAATCCAATGGGACTTGATCTTCAAATCTGGTATTCCCGTGGCAGAGATCCTGCTAGAGCCATCCGGATATACATACGACACCGAGTACTGGGGCTCTGTACCTTTCTCACGCGGAAACATTCACATTTCATCCGCAGACCCAACGGCTCCCGCTACGATCGACCCGAAGTACTTCATGCTGGACTTCGATCTCCATGCGCAGGCTCAGGCTGCTCGGTTGATTCGTGAAATTTTCAAGACTGAACCTTTCGCCGATATGGCAGGTGAAGAGACAAGCCCCGGATTGTCGACTGTGGCTGCCAACTCTGGCGATGAAGGATGGTCTTCCTTCCTCAAGTCTACCTGTATGTTAGACCCCGCTCCTGCTGATATTAGGACCGGCCTTCGCTAACGAGTTCAAAGTCCGATCGAACTTCCACCCCATTACCACGGCTGGTATGATGCCCAAAGAGGTTGGTGGAGTTGTCGATACCTCGCTGAAGGTCTACGGAACTTCCAATGTCCGGGTTGTCGATGCTTCGATCATCCCGTTCCAGGTTTGTGGGCACTTGCAAAGCACTGTGTATGCGGTTGCGGAGCGCGCAGCCGATATTATCAAAGCTCAGATGTAAGATCAGCTGGTAACAGGGCCGAACAGAGAAATTGAGAGTTTGACAAGTGGAAGCTGATTTGATGCTTCCTTTATGCTATTTACACCTTCTCATTTCCGGATATCCATGTATCGTAAGACCACGAATGAATATATTTCTATTCCCAAGTTCCGGCACCTTTGGTAGCCCTGAATACGGCCGGGGGTACCTTTCTCATGTCCCCGTTGAAAGAGTGTCTTTTCATGTATTCTTTCCTAACCCAGCTATCCGCTTTCTTGAGATAGCACTTGAAATCATCCGATTCTATTCTCATGAGGATCGCATCCATATTCCTGCCTTGTGAGGGCATCAGAAGTGTGGTTGCGTTTGGTCTTCGTCGCATGGAATTGGTTAAACTCCACCGGCTCAGACCCCTTTGGGGCGGTATTATGGCAAGACGGGCTTTTATTACTTAGCAGTGAAATGCGTCTCGCGATAGGTAAGAACGAGGAAAACTTTAAGACTATACAGCCGAGGGGGTATCACGTCAATACTTCGGATTTCACGAGATCTTTCAACTAATTACGATCTGAGTGGCGGATTAAACTTTCGTCAGACAGCTTTAACTCAAGGAATGTCTTACATAGGCATTGATCCAGCTGCAATAGACGTGAATAAGATATGTGACTAATTTCTACTTAGTAACAATATGTTTATGCTTGGCAACACCTTACTCACCCTCCAGAGACATACTCCATCGGAGCTGCAGTAATTCCCAAATCATTATGCATACCCAATGTTTCCACCTAGAACGAATATACTCTAAGACAACTGCGATGCTTCAATGCTCAACACCCAACTCCCGCCTCAATGCACTTCAAGCAATTCAGTTGTACTTGACTCTGACAGGTATTTCAGAGTCCTCGGGAAGTTTGGACCAGCGACTTTTGTATACACGACCATCTTTCATGACGGCCAAAACGTGTTCCTCGGGCCGATCAAAGATGGTAACATCTTTGATGGGATTCTTGTCCAAAACAACCACATCTGCATGGAAGCCTTCTCGAATCTGCCCAATCGCTTCCTCCCAGCCCATCATCTTCGCAGGATTAATTGTAGCACTGCGCAGGACCTCCACGGGCTTCAAGACCTGCGACCGTAGAGCGAACTCATGTGTCTGGGCAGAACCTAGTGGGCCGAGCAAGTCAGAGCCATAGCACATCGTGACCCCAGCATCAGAAGCAACCTTCAAGGCCTCAAGCCCAGATTTAAGCACCTGGGAGTTCTTTGACTGCGACTCCGGCGGCAAATATCCCATCCAGCGCTCTGATGCCATCTGAGCATACGCGATCAGCGTCGGTGTGAGATAAACACCTTTGTGAGCCATCATCTTGGCAGTTGGTGCATCCAGAAAATTGCCATGCTCAATCCCCTTCACACCGTTATCGATGCAGTGCCGAATAGCCTTGACCGTATAAGCATGCGCCGTGACAAATGTCCCGGCATTGTTGGCACATTCAACCATAGCTTGGATCTCGGAGCCTGTGAATTGGAGATGCTCTAGACGATCGGTCGGGCTCGCGACACCACCCGACCCCATGATTTTGATGAAATCGGCTCCGCAACGGATCTCCTCGCGGACAGCAGCCATGCACTCGGGTACACCGTTGCACATGCGGCCTAGGTGGTTATTGCTGTGGGTGCCGCCGCAGCAGCCTGTTTGCTCGTGTGCGGAGCGGAGATCACCGTGTCCGCCAAATTGAGAAAGGGCATGACCGGAGATAAATACGCGAGGACCGGGGAAGACGCCTTCATCAATAGCTTCCTTTAGAGCAAGCTGGGCGCCACCGCAGTCGCGGATACTAGTGAAACCGCGGTGCAGCATCTGAGCTGCGGTATACGGCTGTCGCAGTAAGTGCACATCATTTGGATTTCCGAAAGCCTTGGATAGGTCGGTGAATCCAGGTACAGCGCATAAATGGACGTGCGCGTCAAAAAGTCCCGGGCATAGATAGCGGCCTTCGCAATCGACGACGGTGAGGTCGGCCGGGAGGGGCTCCGGCAGAGATGAGGAAACGGATTGGATTTTGCCTTGATCGGTGATCACAATGGCATTTTCAATTATTTTCCCAGCCTTCACATCCACCACGTTGGCATTTTTGAACAAATACCCTTGCGGTCCCGGGCGGGACCATGGCTTGATGTCAGAGCCCGGCACGGCGGGATGGTCAGACATGACGGGCAAATAAGATTGAAATAATGGTAGAAATTCAGAATTATGCAGATAGATATAGCGGAATTGGTGATAACAATTCCAAAAACGAACCCCGCTCAGGTCGGAAACCTGTCCATTCCACAGGGGCAGATTGCCGATGGTTGGCTATCGGACCGAGTGCCCCCGCATTTTGTGTACCACCATTGGTTGATCTTTTCTAGATCAGTATGAAGATAGGGAATGTCACCGACTTGAAGGCTGGTCGGCAACTGGGCCTTATGGTGTTTATCTACTTCGTGAAATATACAAGTTGGGCATATCCCCGGTGTTCCACTCACCCTTGCATACCAATTCTCAACCTCATCCATGAACGACTCTAAGAGCCCAGATTCCGTCAAAGAGGAAGGCGACCGGCCGAGCGGGGAAATAGTTGGAGAATGCGAGACCTACACCCCCGAGGAGGAGAAAGCAGTTCTGCGAAAGATTGACATGGTCATTTTGCCATTTGTGAGATGCCTTGGTCACTTCTTCAACCCCGTCGCTGATTGAGGACAGATGTGCTTTGTTTTCTTTTTACAGTACCTTGATAAACAGAGTTTGAGCTATGCCGCCGTGTTTGGCCTTATGGAAGACCTGAACATGACCAGTTCGCAATACTCCTGGTCCAGCTCTATATTCTATGTGGGTCAGCTCATCTCGGAATGGCCGTTTATATATCTCATGAGTCGACTTCCCTTAACCAGATTTGTTGGTGTCACTGTGTATGTTGTTATCCCTTTCAGACTTTGTTGTACCTAACATTCTGCCCTCTTGGTCGATCACCGACTAACATTGCAGAAGTATAATTTGGGGCATTATTTGTATGTGTCTCGCAGCACCAAAGAACTTCGCCGGGTTTGCTGCCGTGAGATTCTTGCTTGGATTCAGTGAGGGGGCAGTATCGCCTGCCTTTGTGACGATTACTAGTATCTGGTATCGTAAAAAAGAGCATGCTGCACGAACCGCATTGTGGATCACAATGAATGGCGTGGCTCAAGTCATCGGCTGCCTGATCATGTACGGTATAGGCAAGAATACATCCATCTCTATTCAGCCTTGGCGAGTTCTATTCCTCATTTGTGGTGCAATGACCTTCTTGGCGGGCATTGGGTTCTTCATGCTGATGCCAAATGGGCCCAATGATGCGTGGTTTTTGAACGAGAGAGAGAAGAAGGTGTTATCTATGCGTCTTGCCGCTGATCGTGATGGCGGTGACAAGACAGCTTTCTCTATACCACAGCTAAAGGAGACTTTACTGGACCCCAAAGCGTGGATGGTATTTTGGTTTGGTGTGCTTGTTACTATGCAATCTCCAGTTCTCACATTCGCGTCGCTAGTGATTGAGTCTATCGGATACTCAAAGCTGCAGACTTTGCTCTATACCGCACCGTCTGGAGCTGTTCAGATTGCCCTTTTATGGATTGGGACCGCACTTGTTTATCTCTTTCCGCGTCAGAGAAATTTGGTCATTCTGGCCTTGATTATTCCGCCTTTCATTGGAAATATCTTCCTGTTTAAGCTAACCGTGACCGCGGAATGGGGGTTGATCGTGGCATCTTGGCTAGTAAGTCCTTCTTTTTCCACGATAGCCAACAATAATTGACTCAACCGTGCTCCAGGCCTCTTGTATCACAGCAACCATGTCCATCCTATTGTCGCTGTCGGCATCCAATGTGAAAGGTAACACCAAGCGCGCCATCGTCAATACCATGTTTTTCATTGGTTACTGCGCTGGCTGTATAGGGAGCCCCCAGCTGTGGACAAAATCACCCCGGTATACCGAAGGTGTCATCACCGCCATCGTCACATGGTGTTTGCTATTTGTGGCTGTCATCATCTACCGCTTTCTGTGTGTGTGGGACAACAATGCTCGTGATACACAAGCTAGCTATGGTATTGAACTTCATGATGGAGAAGTTGAGCTTGATGAGAACGGGCTGCCTAAGACCGATTTGACGGATAAGGAGGATAGAAATTTCCGCTATGCCCTCTAAAACCAAGTTCCTCGAATGAGCTGATATGTATATATTACGATCACTTTCACCTGGTGATACACTTATCACGTGTCTAATCTAGTGGAGCATGATTCTTAGCAAGTACACATGGCATTAACGTCAATGTTGGAATACGAAAACAATCTCTCACTGTACGACTTGCATAATTCGACGTCATTGCCAAGAGCCTCGCATCCGATAAGAAAGGTATTGATAAGGTCCCCCCTAAGCCACAGATGGAAGTGAGATCCGGGGTCTTCGACATGCGGGCATATGGTTGGACGATGTTATCTTACACTGGCCGACCGTATCCTTATCATCTAATCGCCTCTCTATCGTCCTCCACCCCGATGCGATATTAGCCAAGAGACACTTGAATTTGCAACGAGTGTCTTTGTTTCAGGATCAGAAACGCGAGATGGCGGCCTTGGCTTTGATTCTTGATTGATAAGACGCTCGGCACTGGGGGATCTCGGGACTTGATAATTATCGTAGATATCATGTAGGAGCTCTTAAGTGCACATCTGAGCATTCATCGTGTTGATTTCGAGACCGTGATTTCCAAGATTACCGGTTAAATATTTCTATCTGGTAGGGCAGTCTGCAACTTTTCTGGAAGCGCAGTCTTTGGAATGGCTTTGACACAGGTAGATATTCATGTCGCATTTCTAAAAAGACAACGACCTGTTCATTGACAAATCGAACCATAGCCTGTATACAATGCCTCCACCCCTCGGGGCGGCGATCCGACCAAAGTCGACGTGAACGCCCAGTATGAAGGATTCGAGTGGAATTATATCTACATTGTCTTTTGCGGCTTTATTGTCTGGTTGATCATCCCAGGAATTGGTTTATTATACAGCGGCCTCGCGCGCAGGAAGTCGGCGTTGACGCTGCTATTTCAGTCGCTCCTGATTGTCGCAGTGTATGGAAATTCCCTTGTTCAATATATTCTTGTTGATACTAACGAATGTATCGATGCTAGAACCACCTTCCAATGGATTTTTTGGGGATATTCACTGGCCTATTCTCGTGACGCGGGTCCCTTCATTGGAACATTGACCAACTTTGGATTGAAAGGTGTGATGGCTGCTCCGTCGCCAGGGTCAGCCGTCCTGCCTGAGATCTTGTTCGTTCTATACCAGCTCCTTTTCTGTGCATGCACGGTGAGTTCAATATTCAAAGGAGCGGTGAGTTATGCTGATGTTCATAGGTGATGATTGTGGTGGGGGGAGCCTTCGAGCGAGGAAACATGATTCCTTCGTTGATTTTCAGCTTCTGCTGGGCCACTGTTGTTTATTGTCCGATTGCCTGTTGGACCTGGAACAGTAATGGTTGGTTGTACAATTTGCCGTCATTGGATTTTGCGGGTGGCGGGCCGGTCCATATTGCGTCGGGCTGGTCGGCACTCGCCTATGCCTTGGTCCTTGGGAAACGCAAGCATCTTGATGAGCCTTCACATGCAAAGCCTCACAATACCACCCTGGTCTTTCTTGGTACGACGTTGATCTGGCTTGGGTGGTTTGGCTTTAATGTAAGTTCGCTAGCACTGAGAAGTTTAGGTACACACAGCTGACATCTATGCCAGGGTGGTTCTGCCCTCAATGCTAGCGTCAGAGCCATGTTAGCAGCCTTCAACACCAATACGGCTGGGTGCACAGGCGTAATAGGGTGGGTACTGGTGGACTGGATTAAGACGCGCGGGAAATTCTCCGTGGTGGGAGCGTGCTCGGGGGCCATCGCGGGGCTCGTTGGAATCACACCAGCAGCCGGGTTTGTCTCAGTATGGCTGGCCGCGTGCATTGGGTTCATTACAAGTATTGTGTGCGCGTTACTCCAAGACATCAACAACTGGATGCACATTGATGAAGGTATGGATGTGTTTAAACTACATGGAATCGGTGGGATGATTGGGGCTTTCCTGACGGGTATTTTTGCCTCGAGTTCGGTTGCTGCATTGGATGGCGTGACCGAAGCCAGTGGTGGTATCGATGGCAACGGGATGCAGGTTGGAAAACAATTGGCAGAAGTATGCGCCATCAGTGTTTATTCGTTCACTGTATCATGCATCCTGCTCTATCTCCTGCAATGGATCCCGGGCATGCAGCTCCGGGTTCATGAAGAGGCAGAAATGATTGGATTAGACCGGGCCCAATTTATGGACGAACAGATCGGCGAGCGTGTTATTTTAGCCGATCTATTTGCGTCATCTTCACCAGGCAATGTCAGTGTGGTGAACGAGGCGCCTGGGGTTTCGATCGGATCCAAGGATCTCTAGTAAACAGGGTCATCTACAGGGTCCTGGTCCGTGTGTTCGAGGGCCGCGTGTAAAGTGTCAGAATGTCATTCTCAATTGAGTATTAATGTGAACAGATCATGCCAATCGTCCTTCCACGGGCTGACGGGAGCGAATCAATCCGGAGGCTGAAAGGTGGGGTTTGCATGCTGCGACCGATGATCCCCCCCGAAGCAAAACAAAGTCTCTGCAGAGTCCTGTAATCAACGTAAAACATCAATGGGCAAATCGCAAAACAGATCACATTAGGAGTGCGACAGGCCCAGAGTATGAATTAGACATTGGGGAGATCTCATCCCTTTTTATTTTGGGATGCTGGTCGCACAGGATTCAGCCCCGCGATAGTCAATATGGGGATGCCAAGCCCGCTGGTGCAGGCTGGCGTATCATGATGCAGGATGGCCGGCCTTGTTAGTCCCAGAGCTGACGTAGACGGTCACTTGTCTAATCCCTGCTCAGGGTTGGCCTAGCGCGGAGGGATTGGAGAAAGGGTGGAAGGTTGGGGTTGGAAGGGCGAGATCCAACGTCTTATCGAGATGCAACGCAACGGTAAAACATTCCGGGGTGACGAATCTTTTTGGAACAGAGTTCCGTGTCCCGTGTTGAATGTCTAGGTTGCCTGAGCAGAGAAGTATGATTGTATTTGTGGATGTATACTCCGTAGAGAGGAAACAAACAGAAAGTGGAGTCTCATAGAACAACCCGTCATTGGAAGTGGGGACTTTGAGCAACGACGTCAAGTGTCATGCAAAAAAAAGAAAAGGCCAAAACGGAAATACGTACAAATTGCAATCCAAAAGCAGGTGGTATTTTACACGGCTCGTCATGCATTGTAATATTACGGTACCTTCCCAGATGCGGATCACAGCCTTCCTCATTTTCCATAGTTAATGCAATACTGGCAATTTAGAGCGGGTCTCGCCCCCCGTCACGCCCGGTATTACCTGCCGTGCCTCGCGTCTCTGATTTAAAGACTCCTTATCTCTTTCTCTCCTCACACTGAACCGTTTACGTCCGTCACTCGTTCAATCTTGCCCTTCACTCTGCTCTTAGGAGCCGTCTATCCCTCGTTTTCCTGGTCATGCTATACCGCTAACTAGTCAAATGGGCAAATGTAAGTTTACAAGTTCTTTTTACCTGCGGTTCAGTCCGTTCCGAAAATAGCCCAGATTGACTGACATGTTATCCACCCCACAGGGCGTTATGGTGTTGTCCTGGACGCTGGCTCGTCTGTATGTCTAATTCGAAGGAAAAAATATTGCATCGATCTCTACGGATTGTGTCGCTAATATTATTTAACACAGGGGACTCGTGTCCACGTGTATCGCTGGCTGCGCAATGTCGTTGCGCGCAAGAAGGCCGATGCCGACGACTTGAAATCGCTCCCGGAAATCAAGACCAAGGAAGAATGGGTGAAGAAGATCCATCCCGGTAAGTTCGCAGGGCAGCCCCAGAAAATGAACCCCCATCGACTGACTGGTCTCGTTTTCTTCAAGGTGTTTCTTCCTTCGCCGATAGACCCGATGCCATCGGCCCAGACCATCTTGCAGAACTCTTGGAGCACGCCAAGAGCGTTATACCGCAAGACGATGCGAAGGATACGCCCATCTTTTTGCTCGCCACGGCGGGAATGCGCCTGCTGGGAAACCTGGAACGACAATTACTTCTCGATCAGATCTGCTCTTACGCACGTGCGAACACCGACTTCCTGCTACCGGACTGCGGTGCTCATATTCAAGTGATTCCCGGTGTGACGGAGGGATTATACGGATGGATTGCGACAAACTACTTGATGGGCACTTTCGACTCTCCCCTGGCCCACGATCATGGCAAGGGACATCATACGTATGGCTTTCTGGATATGGGTGGTGCATCCGCGCAAATCGCCTTCGCTCCAAACGCAACAGAGACCGAAAAACATGCGAATGATTTGACACTGCTACGATTACGGAATGTCGATGGATCTGAGCAAGAGCATCGAGTATTTGTGACATCCTGGCTAGAATTCGGTGTCCACGAAGCTAGACGCCGCTTTGTTGAAGCTTTGCAGGCGGCGATGGGCTCGGGCACTGAAGAGCTACCGGATCCATGTCTCCCTAATGGTCTGCGCACGACCCTGGATGGCAAGGAAGTGCAGCTGGCAAGTCCTGCGAGGCCCACTTTGGTAGGCACTGGTAGGTTTGATGAATGTCTACGCCAAACTTTCCCTTTGCTGGATAAGGATGCACCGTGCTTGGATTCCCCATGCCTTCTACACGGCATTCATGTCCCGGCGATTGACTTCGACGTGAACCATTTCATCGGAATCAGCGAGTACTGGCATACAACTCATGAGATCTTTGAGATGGGTTATAAGGATAAGGCGTACGATTTCAACACGTACCAAGAGCGGGTTAAAATATTCTGCTCTCAGGACTGGGACTCCATTGAACAAGGGATTGAGACACAGCAGTGGGGCAAGAAGGTTGACCACGAAAAGGCCTATGAAGTTTGCTTCAAAGCTTCGTGGATCATCAATATGTTGCATGATGGTATTGGGATCCCAAGGGTGGGCCTGGAAGATACTTCGGGTTCTTCTCACAACGGTACCAAAGAAGTCTTGTCCCATGGCGAGGAGAAGGGCTATTTGGATGCTTTCCAGGCTGTGAACAAGATTGACTCCACCGAAGTCAGCTGGACACTTGGCAAGATGGTTCTATATGCATCTTCACAGGTACCCACGGAGAATGAAGCAGCACTGCCTGTTGGTTTTGGTAGCAACATCCCCGGTATTCCTGAGGATTTCCAATACCCTAGCGTGCAGCTTCTACCAGATGCGGAGGGATTCCACAGCGAGCACTGGCATGACGCATTGTTTGATGGAGACTCTCCTCGTCGCATTCCCGGACTCCTTCTATTCCTATTCATTATTGTGGTGGCCGCTTTTTTCCTTTGCGGTCGTAGCCGTCGTTTGCGCATCTATCACCACATCAATAATCTCCTTCGCCGTGGGGGACCATCTCACCCCAACCACCCGAAGAAACGAAGGCCTTTTATTGGCATGTTACCATTCCTCAACCGCAATGCTCCTTCTTACGAGCGCGTCATGGAGGATGGTGTGCAAGAGTTTGATCTGGGTGGAGCTGACTCTGATGCTAGCGATTTAGATGGAGGCCGTGCTTCTGATGTCGATGGGCTGAACCCTCGTCCACCGAAGCGGGCTTCCAGCTGGGGCAGCGGTGGCAACAATCCTAGCTTGAAATACACTCTTGACAATAGCTCATCGGGAACAATTGGCTTGGGCATCAGTGGTGGATCAGGAATTGCGATGGATCGGGCAGGATTGGTGGTGCGAACTGAGAGCCGAGATCACCTGGCTCCTATCGCCTTGGGACCTACTACGAACGGACGACGTTCCAGAGCTGGCAGTCCCACACGATCTCTCCATCAGAAATCGCCCATCCTGAGTCCCCTCGCCGATGATTAATGCTATTGATGCAATGCCCCTCGAACTGAATTATGCCTTGAGAACTTCGACACATTTTGCTTTCCGTCCTGCATCGCATTTTTTCCACTGGAGTCCACTGCTTTGTTTCATTTGCCTCCCTATATCTGGGAGATGTCCATCAAGGTGTTGCTGTCTGGCAGTTGATGCTTTCAATTCTTTGACAATATTCAAACCTGTACGCTGGAGGAGTACACTTGTTTCGATGTTTTCGATCTGATCCGGGTGATTCGGATGTAATGGCTGTGTACCATTAGCACTTTACTGCAATTTTTTAATGGATATAGACTAATACATTGCTCAAACCTCATGAACCATTCTAACTTACTGTACGCACCCCATATCCCATGTAAAACAAGCCATCTAAGCTCTTTTCAATTCTGCCCTGCTGTATAACATCACGTGACAAGGTGATTGGCACACCGCCTGGCAGAAAGGGCTGCGGTCTGAGCTAGTCTTGATTAGAGAAACTTGCGACAGGCCTTCCCATCCATTGAGCTCTCCCTTGACCTGCAGATCAGATCAGTTTTATTCCGACATCCATTGACCTAAACTGTTGCCATACAATACCCTGTCTGCATACGTTTCCCGCCCCACGAGCCCCAAGTTCAATTGCAGCCACCGCCGCAATGCGTTTGACCGTCGAGCTCATCCAGAATTCCCTTTCCTACATCAATCCGCTTACAGACCGTGAGCTGGATCTAAGAGGTGCGTTCAAAAATCATCCGTCTACCTGAAAAGGACAGATACTACACCTTTCCAAGAGAGCTTCATTCACATCGTCTTTACGCGTTGAGTCGTATAGGACACAAGATCCCCGCAATTGAGAACCTAGGTATTGCCAAAGTAAGTTGAGTCTATACTTTGCGATTCATCCAATGCCACTTCTTCAAGTGCAAGGGTGCACCGGCAACACTTTTTTTCATTTGGGGAAGAAGTCGCGTGCTGACAATCCGCAGGACCAAGATACCATTGATTTCACCGACAACGACCTTTCCTCGCTCGGAAACTTCCCCTTCTTCCCTCGTCTTCACACCCTCCTTCTGGCGCGCAATAGAATCAGCCACATCCAGTCCTCTCTGGGCTCGTCAGTGCCCAACTTGTCAGCCCTTGTCCTGACCTCAAATAACCTGTCTGAGCTTGCGGATCTCGATCCGCTCCGATCCCTCACAAAATTGACACATCTTACTCTGCTTGAGAACCCAGTCACACGGAAAGAAGTATGTTTTGATGTTTCCTAGAACTACCTCGCATATCTAACAAATAGCAACAGAACTACCGGTACTGGGTTATCTGGACTGTTCCTTCTTTGCGTTTCTTCGACTACCAGAAAGTAAAGGATGTGGAGCGCGCCAAGGCAAAGGAATTGTTTGGTACTTTTGAAGAACCGTCCGCCCTCGCATCGAAGATCAAGGGCATCAAGTCCAAGACATTCGATGCCTCGATAGCCGCAGCGACCAACAACACCTCAACCGACAAGGCGATCCGGGTGAAGCTCACGGACGCTGAACGGAAGCGTGTGGAGAAGATGATTCGCGAAGCAAAGAGTATGGCAGAGATCACACGGTTGGAGAAGGAACTCAACGAGGGACGGATACCTGGTGGTGCACTGGGCGCCAGCGAAGATGTGGATGGGGACGAGCGGATGCAAATGTGAGCATAATATTGTGGTTTTATCCATCTGAACATAATACCCGTATTCTTTTTTTTTTTCTTTGCTCCGCTATTTCATGTGTTTCTAGTCGCACTATTATGACTTTCTCATACTACATCTGGCTTTTATGCGCGGAGCCATGTGTATCATTTTGGGCAATCCATGTGTTGTCATTGGTGCTCAGGTGGTTTCTCTTTCAAGTCTCAAAAAAAACATAGCATTGTGGAGCTATAGCTCCGTATTCGAAAAGCATATCTTACACGTCTTTTTCCTCACAATGTAGCTTCAGTTGTTCAAAGGTTGCGTGGCTTGGTTGTGGCAACTGAGCATAACGCGATGTGACAACAGTCGTTTCCAACGAATTGCCGGTGAAGGGGGGGAATTTTCTTAGGCAGAAATCTTCAGACATCCGTTTAAAATTCATTTTGGGTGCCCATTTTCATCTGGTAGATTGTCAGCGTTATTCAAGATGGCGGCAATTGCAGGTTGCGACAGAATTATCTCCCCAAGACTGCTCATGGCCCGGAGGTATGCCTAAATGAAACAGATGACTTCATTGATCCTCGAAAAACGGCTAGAGTTTCCTATTTCTTTCGAATGACCATCGGCAGCGGCTTCTGGGGCAAAGACTGAAAATTAAGGTCCTTCTGAAACAAAGCAGGATTATAAGAAAGGCGTCCAATGATAGACATTCCTGTTAAATTGATCAGCCTAGCACAGGCCAAGCCGTTAGATTCAGTCAATTTCGGCATATTATTCATCAGTGATTAATTACTCAATGCAGGAACATGGATTCCACCTTAGAGATCAATGATCATTGTATGAGCCATGGTACCTATCATCCTAATATCCAATGGACAAGGATAACCAGCTGTTAATCCGGCCCTTCCTATGCACTCTCCCTAAACCCCCTCCCATCATAACCTCGAATCCACCCGGCAATATGTGTTTACCTTTACCGTTATATTGTCGCTTAATTGTGCAACTCAAGTCCCGGAAAGGCGCGGATATAGGCGACGTATGCAATTTTTAGGGCTTATCGATTGGGCCTGGAAACAGCCACATTCAGCCTTGGCTCCGGCTAAGAGCATGTAAGATAGTGGGGTTTTAATATGTAGCAGCGGGTTCGCGATATTTCATTCATCTTTAGGGCTCATGGCTATCCCGGAAAGAGTAAAGTGACTGATCAATCGGAATCTGGTTGGCTTGGACGGCTTTGTATGAAGTTCGGCCTCCATTCGGGGCGTCCACGGCTGATTGACTATTATGCCACGTGGATACCAAGTGACGATACAGCTAACTAAATTAGCGCACTTGTTCCCAATGACCATTATTTCGCTAGCCCTGAGAAAAAAAATCGATTTTGCACGATCATACATCATGGATTCTTATTTGCGTGCTTCGAATAAACCATCATATGATAGAGTTCCGGGACAGGGGGTCTGAACCATGAATCAATAGGCGCCACACCCACTCCACACCCAAACGAGCAATAGATCCCAGAACCTGGGGATTACGGTACATTTGTTTCGTGACAGGGGCTGATTCTAGAAATTGACTAGAAGCCACTGCCAAAAGCGCCACAGGAGAACTCGGTAAGCACCTTGATTCCAAATTGCAAGTTCTGCCTAGTCTTGGGGGCGTTTTTAAATTATTCAGGCTTTACCGTATGTGGAGATTATTAGTCAATTTATTCCAACCTCAATTGAAGCGTTGCACGGAGTACAGCGTACAACCATTCATGAACTGGCAGTAACATAAAATGCGATCGTCATTATGTACGATGATCGGAGCGCACCGACAAAATACAGCGACGATCAGGAAGCCCAGGCAAGATAATTGAAATAATTACATCCCGGAGTCATTTCGTTGTGGGGACTAGGGTTCGGCCGAGCAAGTCGAAGCGGAGAACACGGAGAAGCATCGATCGAAGGATTTGCTGTAGAGTTCGTGGCGCGTCAATCCCTGCCTCATTCAATGCGCTCAAGCCATTTCGGTCAAAAAGACGCCGACAATGCTCCTCGGCAATATGTAGGTGGTGATCTTGGTGCGAGAGGTGGTTCGCATCCCTTGTTTCTTGCATATCTGTGGTTTCGAATGACTTCCCAGGAGCGGGTTTCTTCTTCATTTCCGTGCTTCTCCGTGAAGTCCTGTAATCATGCCACATGGATCTTATTGCCGAGGTTGAAGGATAGAAATCATTCACCTAACCCCAAAAGATCGATAGTGTGGACGGACCCTTTCCTGAACCGATGGTGAACTCCGGTCGAGTCACTAGCTAGCTAGTGGAGAATGATCAGTCTCCACACATGAGACGAAATTGCAAAGTATATTGTACTGGAAAAATGAGACTGATGCTTATGTTGAAAGTTCAATGGTCAAACACGGCTCACACTGCTGTTTCCTAGAAAACCTTGTTCTTGACATTTCGGGTCCCATAAAATAGCTTCCTGTGTCTCCGCTGACTTCTGACACCCTTTTGACATTTTGACCCTCTGGAGCCCCGTCGGCTTCTTTATCGCCTGTTTTGCCCCTCCGTTGTGGATGGACAACCGCCGCAACTGAGCCAGGGCCATGGCCACTGATACTATTACCCCGGCTGGGTCTCCGCCTGTAGGTCAAACGTCCAATTTTGTCAATCCGGACTACGTTGGTACCAAGTTTTTGGTGGTAAACTGCGTGTTTCTACCGTTGGCTGTTATTGCTCTTGCGGTGCGAACATGGACGCGATTATTCGTCGTGCGGAGTTTCCGCTCCGATGATTGTGAGTATCGACACTTACCCTCAAACATTACCCGTGTTGACGTTATCTAGATTTAATGGTTATGGCTATCGTACGTTTTGCAATTAGAATCGAGCGCCTACGAGGGTTCCGTCCTAACAACTGGCTTAACAGATATTATCATGTGTTCTAACTGGAGTGACATTGGAGAGTAAGTGAGTCTTATGCCCAAACAAAGTACCTAACTAACCTCATTAGTGCTCAATTGGGGCTTGGGAAAGCACATGTGGGACGTTCCTCTATCTACTTTCTCACCGGAATTTAACAAGGTGAGTGCAGGCGCTCACTCCTGGAATCTCTAAGTTGCTAATATGGGAATTCGGATAGCTGAACCTCATCGCCGCCATCATTTACTGTGCAGCCACTGGATTCACCAAATGCTCCGTCCTCGTGTTCTACCTCCGCATCTTCCCCAGTCGCAATTTCCATATGGCCGTCTGGACGATCGTTTTTATCGCAGCCGGATACAGCGTCGCTAGTATACTGGCCAACCTGTTCAGCTGTCATCCAATCGCCAAATCATGGGATTCCACAATCACAACCGGACACTGTATGAACCGACCTGTTTTCTACTTTGCCAATGCCGGGTTGGGTATTTTTACCGATTTCGCGACTGTCGCTGTTCCGATGTAGGTTATTTGTTATCTTCGGGTCGACATGAGGACTAACAAAGATTTTACAGACCATGGATCCGTCGATTGCAGATGCCAATACGACAGAAGGTTGCTGTTGCCGCGATGCTGGCAATGGGATGTTTGTAAGTTGTATCTTGACCCAGGGAGCTCAGTCTATTGCTAACATTGGCACAGTGTTGGAATCGTTAGCTGCATCCGCCTTGCCAGTTTATATAATCTTCTAAAGAGTGCCGATCTCACTTGTAAGTCCATTCACCCAATGTCGAGTCAAACAAGGACTAATTGGATTTTTACAGGGACCACTACCGATGCACTGATGTGGTGCACAATTGAGCTCAACCTTGGAATCTTCGGTGGCTCCGTCACAGCCATTCGACCTTTCATTCGTCGATACTTCCCTCGTCTCCTTGGTCTATCCTCCGCCGGTGGATACTACGGATCACAATCTCGAAAGCAAGCACATCCCTTGAACTCGATGCCACGAAGCGGGCAACCCGACTTTTCGAACCGAGGGAATCAGTACTCCACCACACTCACTACATCTCGAAATGCACCCGATAATGATAGTGAGGAGCATATATTACCTGTTAATACTTCCGGCACTCCGAAAGAGATGGATGGCATTATTCGGACGGTGGAATTTGATGTAGAGAATTCGTCCACCGCAGGGCGGTGATTGTATAGAAGCCTTAGGCCTAATAGTCTCTTAATAAGGTGCCCCAATCGTGGACGCGAAATGTATTTGAATTGTAAATATGATGAGCAATAATAAATCAAACATGATGAGAATTACATCCGTGAAATGCATTCCAATAATTACTTCGATAAAGCTATGGGATTAGTGGATCTGGACCACCGGACAGAGTCTGGTAAACACAAAACCCCTGACGAAATTATTGGCGGGTGGCGTTCACAACACCACGATTCAGACAAAGCATAACTCTAACTTTTTGGATTTGTTGCTTTTGTTTCATTGGTAAAGCACGTCAAGCAAATTTATACTTCTCTCATCCATTTCAGACTTCAGAAAGATCAATTCTACGTGCACAATCACAATGCCGGTTTCCGTGGATTCTTTTCCGCGCTACATCGCGCTAAGTGGATGACGCCCCACTGGCAGCCACCGGCCTAGTTGTTCCTGGTTACTCTCAGAACACCGGAGCCAAGCGGGATAGACAGAACTAAGCTAACGCTGTCGCCAGGAGAGGATGCCTATTCCAGAAATGCCCGTTGGTGGGAACACCCCAGACTAAATTGCTCGGCTGTCAGTTTAAATAGATTCTTCACCCACGTGGTATCTGGTTGTTTTCCTTGTCCATCTTCAACCCTCAAATCTGCATAATGCGTGTGGCCACTTTCCTGTTGTCCCTGGTGGGCTCTGCCTCGGCGGTTGCAGTTGCGGGCGAGTCTCATGTGGTTAAAACCTCTCCGTCCGTCGGAGCTGGGTGCAAGGCGCTGCAGAAGCCCCTGGGCGATGCCGTGTTCCTTCCCAAGACCAATGTTTACGATTATGAGGCTCAGAACTTCTGGTCAAACACTGAGATCCTGGCTCCGGGATGTGTGTTCCGTCCCAAGTCCAGCGAGGAGCTGGCCAAGGGTCTGAAGGCGCTTGTTGACGCTAATGCGGAGTTTGCTGTTCGTGGTGGCGGCCACATGGGAATTCGGGTAAGCTTCCGCTGAACAAAAGTACCTCTTTATTATGGATCGGGAAAATTAAGATTATTTAGGGCTCTAACAACATTGATGGCGGTGTTTTGGTTGTGATGTCGAACTTGACTACCTTGCAATTGAACCATGATAAGTCGATCGTGTCGGTCGGCCCTGGCTACCGGTAAGCTTTCATATTAGCCCCACATTAGTGAACGGAACAATGAACTGACTCCAACAGATGGAAGGACGTTTACGCGTACCTTGGCAAGTACAACTTGACTGCCGCCGGTGGTCGTCTCGGCCCCGTCGGTGTCCCCGGTCTGCTGCTTGCTGGAGGTGTCAACTTCTACGGTAACCAAGTTGGTTTTGCTTGCACTACCGTCGTCAACTACGAGGTTGTTCTGGCCGATGGCACTATTGTCCAGGCCAACACCAAGAACAACTCGGACTTGTTCTGGGCCCTGAAGGGAGGCAGCAGCAACTTTGGTCTGGTCACCCGCTTTGATATGGAGACTATTCCTTCTCGCAAGGTGTGGGCTGGCACTTGGACTGTGGCGGCCAAGTACATCGACCGCTTCCTTGCGGTACGTCAATTCAAATTCCGGACCAGTCAAAACCATTACTGATCCTTCTAGGCTACCGCGCAATACGCATCCGACATCTACGATGCCAAGTCCCACATTGTGCCCGCTCTGGTTCCCGGAGACTCGACTCTGGCATCTGTCATCCTGTTCTACGACAGCGATAACGCCACCTTCCCCGACATCTTCAAGCCTTTCACCGACATTCCTACTATTGCCAGCACTCTCGCCTTCAAGACCGTTGCGGAGTTCGCTGCCGAGACTGGTGAGGAGGTCGTCGATGGCATCAAGTAAGACCCACCTCCTAATTGAATTGCACAAAACTAACAATAGATAGTGATGTTTTCGTTGCCGGAACCGTCAAGGGAACGACCTACGCTGAGCTCTACCAGGGTATTAGCATCATTAACACTACCTTCTTCAACCAGCTCCCCAAGCTGTACGCTCAGATCCCCACTGCCAACATCTCCACCATTCAGCTGGACTGGCAGCCCATCGGCTATGACTGGATGAAGGCTTCCGAAGCCCGTGGCGGTAACGCCCTGGGACTGGATTCCTCCAAGGTGTACCTTTGCTACGCTGAGGTCGTTGAGTGGATTGGATCGGCCTACGATGACATTGTCGCATCGTGGGTTGAGGAGACCACCTACGCTATCAACAATGCCACTCAGAAGGCTGGCTTGTACGATGCGTTCAACTACATGGGTGACTCTGCTGGATTCCAGTCCATGTTCCCCGGATACGGTGAAGGCAACCACCAGAAGTTGATCAAGATCGCACAGAAGTACGATCCCACTGGTGTCTTCCAGACTTTGATGCCTGGTGGATTCAAGGTCTACTAAGCTACGCAGCCATACTGCCCTTGTTCTATAAGGCTGTGGCCAGGATAGGCCGTAGACAGTATAGGACATGGTTATAATATACTTTCTGGGTTAGCAAAAAGAAATAGAACTCTTAAGAGCTTAATGATTTCTTTGAACGGATGCCTCATCTATATTTACTACAGCCTTTACCTAGGACCTCATTACCGTGGATTGCATTCCAAGCTGCTGCGGAAGTCCAATAACGCAAAAGGGCCCCCATAGTATACTTCCAGGTTTGTTCCAATTCCCATTTGTTTTTAGAAAAAAGTCTAAAAGAGTTACCGCTCATTATTATTGTCGCTTTCGGATAGCAGGCCCATATATTTTATTCCCAGTCTCTTTCCTCCTCCATTTCACCTTCGCCCTCTCCGGGACAATAATCCGAACACTCGTCATCAGAGTCTTCAGATGAACCCTGCAAGCAAAATGAGATACGCTGGCTGGGTTGGAGATTCCGTCTCGCGATCTTCAGCGAGGAGTTCCCTTGGTCTGCCACCTCCTCCCAGTTGCGCACAGGAACGTTATGATCCGCTTCAGACCAGGCTTTGCCGGTATATCCTTCCATCCACCTTTCCGTATAATGTGCTGTGAACTGCTTCTCAAACCACTCTCCCAGAGTGTGAAGTACGGAGAGTAAACGCATACTCGCCTTGAGACAAGTATTCAATTGCGCAGTGGCGCACATCAACCCCTCGTCGTTTCCCCAAAACGTGCAGGGAAAATCCAGTGCCTCACCCCCCTTGTCCCCGGATCCATACCCCAAGAAGATATTGTGTTCCCAGTTGGCGATCGACTCCACAGCCCAAGTCAGCCACGCATCGTAGGCCGCTCGGTCCGCGTCCCAGGCAATGGTATGCAGCTTGTCATCTGGCACGAGATTCAACAACCGCGTCACTCCAACCAGGAACTCCAGAGCTTGGCAGCGTGTCATATTGTTGATCTGGATTGTGGTGCGAATCGCGGTAATGATCGCCTTACGCGGAATGAAATGACAATAGACCCGTCGATGGCCCTTCACCGCAGGGTGGGCATTGTTTTGAGACACCCACTTCTTGATCGCCCTCCAATTGTAGGCGGGCGCCCGATGGTGGCCCAAGTCGAGAATTACCTCATGATACCAGCTGTCGGACGTAGGCCTGAGGTCATCAACTGAGTAAGAGACAAGCATTGTGAGGGCGACACGAATTAGGCTTGGGTACTGGAGAATGGCGCATTCGAGATGTGCGACATGTATCCAAATACACAAAAATCCCCAAGTAGGCGTAGACCATTGAAGGGGAAGGAGAAGCTTATCTATCTCGTGGGTATATTCCCCCTCAGGTGGTTAGCGTGTGCGCCTCATCGCAGCTCCACATCAGCTTGCGCAGGTTTGACTGTCTTCAAGAGGGCTAGGCTTAACGTCGGCTATCTCTACTTGAATTCGAGGCCGCCAACCCACCTTGTCGCCACTTCTGAACTCCAAAAGCTCAGCCACCTAATCCTTGAGTGATATTTTAGCCTATGGGTTCCTGCAGTCTCGAGCAACTATAAGCGATCGACCACAGCAATTCGTGCACATTTCTATGCGTCATCTCCACTCATGCGCGTCGCCCTAAAGCCAATACAGTCAAGCGCTTATTCGCATACTCCTCAGCGCCACCCATGGAGCTATTTGTGAAGAGAAAGAAAAAAGATGCGGAACAATTCAGCTTGTAATAAATGCCGCGCGTTTTAGGACCTTGCGTTTTCATAAAGGCCGCCAGGTCCATAGCACAACCACCGGGAAAGTTGTTCTATTTCCCTATTTGCTCTCTCCTGTCATTCCGAATCAAGATCCCTACGCACGCACAGAAACATCGAACCTACCATGGCATCCTTTTGGAATGCCCCTGGGGCTAACGAGAACGATGCCTGGGAAAGACACGATAACTCAATTTCAGTCCGACCTAATGGAACTGGTCATCAGGCGAGTCGCGACGAGTCAGCTGATAACACAGAGGGAGATATGATCGAGGACATCTATTACATCAACAATTTGAATCAGTTCGTGCAACCTTGCCGCAAACATGACAGTCTCTGACGAAAGCAAAATGGAACATTGACAAGAACGCTCTAGGACGGTTATCGCGGCTTGGGACTTAGATCGACCCGAGACCAATGGCCAGATGGAGGCCGTCCGGCCACGACATACCGAAAGTCTGGGGTTGGGAGGTGATCGGCGCAGCAAAGTATCGCCCATGCATATCCAACCAGGTGGTAAATTTCGAGGTATGCATAGAACGCCCAGCGCCCCAGCGGGGCAAAACTTTGGCTGACCAAGAGCTTCGGAGACGAATAAAGCCATCTGCAAATTGTTCATGAGATTTTCTCGGAACAAAAAGTATGACTACATCGGCACGGGATGGCTCATTGCCAATGACATCGTCGTCACTGCGGGCCATTGTCTCTACGACAATAACGGGGGATACCTGGAATCAATCAAAGCGTACATCGGGTATCAAGGGCCTGAGGCCACGGCGTTGCAGCGCAATCAGTGTGAGATGAGATTAGGTCGTATCGCAGTCCTGCCGGTCATGTACATCAAGACAAGCCACACGCTGCATGATGTGGGATTTGTAAGTCGACTACCAGCCACCGCTCCCTAGTGAAGTAGCGTCTCGAGGGACAGCTCCGCTGATTCTCGGGGCCCATCCAGATCAAATTAGACAGACCGTTTGAAAACGTGACGCCATTTGTGCCCCAGGACACCCCTCGTGCTGCGTCCGGGATCCGTCTGGGGGTGGTCGGCTACCCCGGCGATATCAACTCCGGCAATGATATGTTCGAGCACTGGGATATAACCGAAATAAACTTGTCCAAGGACAGATATCTGAGTTATTCCATTGATACCGAGGTGGGCGAGTCCGGCTCTCCGGTCTTGCGAGAACTGGCAGGGACCACAAAGATTGCTCCAAGTAAGTTTGAAGCCCCTAAATTTCATCAAGTGCTGAATATAACAAGCTCCGTGAGGAGCCAAGTACTGACTCGAGCGGTTGCAATTGGTGTTCATACCGATGGAGGCTACCCGAACTCGGGCTCTGTCATTGGGCCGCTGGGCAATCTCTTCTCGGAATATACCGAGGCGCTGACGATCAAGCAGACGCAGAAACTGTCACAAGGGGCTCGAAAGATAGCAGCTACCAGGGTGCGCGGCACGCGTAGTCTTGAGTACATCAGTTTGCCGGCTCGTCCAGTGCTACCAGGTTCTTTAGGAAAAGAATCAGCACATAATCCCCACGACGAGCCTTGGGGGCATGACGCACAGAAATCAGACCTATGGGCCCCACGGGAGCATAAGGAGGCCGCAAGTACGGTCAGAGCCTTACAGGGAGAGAGATCTGACTACAGCGGTCCTTACTCTGACCCGCATATCGCCGAAGCAGCCCGGGTGGTGCGAGAATTGGAGTTTGGCTACAATGATTAGGCCAGGGTTGAACAAAGTACTCAGCTTCATCATAGAGAAGCCGCGAGAAAGGCTCTGGCGCTGATCAAGAACCACGTGGGAAACGGTGCGCATGCTCGTGGGAGTGCCTCAATCCCCTTACCAAAAGCCAATCGAGACTACGAGCGGATTTTCACAAACAAAAAGAAATTTCAGGGCCATAAAGAGATGTGTACTCAGCTTCCTGCCAGCTTGGGACGTGGTGAATATAAAGAAAGTAGAGAGTCCCCGGGAACGAGTCCCGACGAGTTACTCCGCCAAGCTAAGGACAAATTGAATACCGAGCAAGACATCAAGACAACCTTTTTTGTCAACTTTTCCCCCGCTCTAACCGGGGCGGCCCGCGAGAATATGAGCGCAGTTGTAGACAACGTCCGTGACTGGCAGTGTTGGGTATACGGTCTCTCCATGTCCAAAGTGCAAGAGCAGATCAATGCCGGGAAACTTTCGGCCGCTTCAACTGCAGTGGCCGAAGCAAAGAGATCAACATATAAGAACATGGTCTTCGACTATGTCATGCGATCTTGTAACTGGTATGTCTCCCCCCATACCTCGGTATTACGAGCAGCTAGACTACCGTTACTGATTTTAATTTAGGATATCGCAAAATTACGACGAGGTGCAGAGCAGAAACATTGAATGTTCTAAGCTTGATCTTCACACCACTCTTCTCAAACACGTCCTCGAAGGTTTCAGCGTCCCTGGTAATATCATGGGTAAGCTGCACAAAGCTCTGGACAGTATCTCTCAAGGCATCATCTCCGTCGCGAAGGAAAATGATACTCAATCTATGCAGTATTTCATCATGCTCACGCGATATGAGTACGAGCCAGCCTTGGAGAGAATCCATCCCGGTATGTGTCAACTCAAACAAGAAAAGGATTCACCCCGGCTAACGTTCGTCCGCAGTTATCCGAGTCATCAGTTTCCGGACTGATGCCACGCTCAATACCTACAATCTCAATAAAAGCTCATACAAGAGTGCGACCTTCAAATTTGTGTTTCACCAGTACCAGTGTGACTTCAATTACAGGTTATACACTCAGATAAAGTCCCATCTAGACCAACGGGTGCAGAGACAGGGACAGGAAATCTTGAAGATGACTGCATCGGAAATCAATCTCGAGGTGGACGCCGTGTAAGGCCCAACCAGTTACAATGCCACTTATTTTCTTGAGTTATAGTTCAAATTCTCTGACAGTAATTTTCTAAAAACCAATAGTTCAAAGAGTCAAGGATTCGTCCCCCCCGCGAGTCGAGCAAACAAAGTGCTCTGGTCCATGGGGATGGTGAACTCTATGATCATATTGTCCACAGTCTGAGCCTGGCGACCGGCGAGGAACTTGCGAAAGAAGACAACGCATTGTTCCGGTCTGAAATTCTGAAAGCAGAATCTTTTGATGCTGGAGTTGCCGCATTGATTGGTACCAGACTCGCTCTGCAAGGGCAACAGGCGATCAAAAACGTACGGATTGCGGTCCCCCTTGTCTGCCTTTCTCCGCATTTAGGGCTCGGTAGATTATCACGATGGATGCTGACTTTCTAATGAGGCAGATGAAAATCGACTCACAAGAAGCGGCAGCCGCTCGATTCCCTCAGTACTGGCAACTAGTTGGGTCTTTCGTCTTTAAACAGCTCTTTTCAGTCAGTTCCGCAAGCATCCCCCGTCTTCTCTCGATTTTGAAAGACCCTGACAAGGATATACCGGGAAAAAACTGCAGTTCCCCCTTCCCTGAGATTCTATGATGCAGAGAAGAGTCTGAATGAGGAATTGAGAAAATCCGTCAAAGCCTGTCAGGTTCAGGAGAGTGTAAGAGGATCCGCCCCCATCCAGTTCCATTTACGGCCGGCGACTAAACACAAACATATAGACCAACCAATCATTGCAGTTCGCCTTGGATGGAATCAGAAAGTTAGCTGAACTTCAGAAAACCCAGCTTGATGAAAAAACTAAGATCATTGCGGTCTTGCGGGGTCTGATGAAGGAAGAGACCGTATCGCCAGGCGGGGGGCCATCTGGAGCCGAACCGTCGCATACAGAAGTAAAACCGGTGGACTGCCTATTGAAGGCAAAGAAACTGAGGCCGGAAAGCAACTGAAACTATTGACGTCGCAACTAGAGGCGAGCGAGGCCATCCGTCAGACCTTAGTCGCACGGGTTGGTCGATTGCAGAGTCGATTGCTTGACTTCGATCCCTCGCTCAAGATTGTTGGGTCGGGCGAGATTGATCTGAATGACGATGTCGCCTGGAAACAGGTTTCAATGACTGTGGTCCACTCCCAAGACTACGATTATCCACTCTCAGGGCGTCTGCAGTTTCCACTCGGTGTCACCGAGCTTCAATATCAGGGTTAGAACCCGGGGTTCTATCTGTCTGGGGAATCCAGTGTATCCGACATAAAACTCACCGACAGGCGATCGGTCCAACTCCAGGCTTTCAAGGCCCGGTGGCTGGTATATGAGCCAAGGTCTCATCATTCTGGCTTGTACCAAGTCACTATCGACCCCTCGCTATTCAGCAATGGCAACACCAGTATAACAGTGACCCCCGAAGATCTTCCCTTTGCCGACCTCAAGACAGTCGACCTGTATTTCTTTATCCAAGGCTTGAATTTCAAGCCCGAGATGCCGACTGGTCTGACCATTCAGCCATCATTTACCAGCAGAGAGGAAAAGACGTTCGCATTCGCTCCAAGTACTGACATGCAATGGGTCACTGCCCTGCGGATCGGGTATTTGATGTTTGACCAGGCCGCCAGGAAGAATGTACACACTGTTTACATTCATCATTCTGCTGAGGAACCCGACTCCTCCAGGACAATTCTCTTTGATCTCAACACATTCACACGCCCACCCAAGGTATTTTTGGCGCTGCATGGCTTCAGCGCTACTACAGACCCGGTCAAGCGGTTCAAGATTTCTTTAGGCAAAATTGACAAGGACTCCATGGAGATAGTAATGGAGAAAGAGGGGTATAGTTGGGTGCACTATCTATGCGTTGCGGTACAGTATGATGAGTGAGAGATTCGAAGGGGTGTCAGTCTAGCCCTGAAGGTGTCTTTCAATCAACATTGTACTTCGATCGACTGTGGTTCGTGAAAAAGATACAATCAAGCTTGGGTTAGCTTTTCGACTTTTCTTACACCTATGAATAGTTCATTACCTAGCTCAGCTTCGAACGGTAATCTGGTATGAATATATTCCGTAAAGCCCATAAATGTGAACTAAGAAGAGAAATCCTAGGTCATTATAAGTCTATATAATGGTTCAATATTCAATAGTTGGATCTATTTCCTATCTAGATCTCAGGCTTGAAGGGGTCAACTAATTTTTATGAATCGCTACCTCGTATAACAAACAGCAACGGGTGATAACAACTGATCTAGAAAGCGAGAAAGACACAATTGCCAGAAGCTAAATCGCCGCGGCCGATAGTTATCAAGCTGTGACCCCTAGGAGCAGGTTACGTACTGGGAAGCTTAAACGCCAAGCAATAATTGCCGATGTCACTGCCGGGACTCGGAAGGATAGTGGAACGGGCCTCTTCAATGACTCAGGCCAAGCCAGTAGGAAATCCCGAATAGTCGCTCAGTTGTGGGGATAATATTTCCATCATCGTCTTGCAAGGATTGGAGCGTTATTGGACCATCTGGGGATTCCGTGAGCCTAATCTCGGCACTTTTTGGCGAGGTATCCGTCCTTACCCCGGACTTCATATCGTGGGGAATTGGATCCCCACAGTCTCTTTCGCCCCACAATGATGCGAAGACCGGAGATTGTTTATAGCCGATGGAAAGATGCCATTAGCCATAACTAACTGAGTCTCACGGAGACTTCGAGGAACCTTGTTATAAAGCCCATTCCGCAATTGTTCGTGTTTCTTCGGAAGGGTTCCCAGTGGAGTTCGTAAAGAAACTCAATCTGGGGGAGAGGTAATTCCATATCAGCGGATGACGTCGGTTTACCCGACGGGTGCAGGGGATCCCGGCTCAATCTATATCCCGTAATCACATCTTGTTCGCCCCTGCATTATCTGGGCATCTGTGCAGGTTCCTTGCCGAGACGAACACTAAAATCTTGGCATTCGTAGTAAATATTGCTTTCTTTGCTTAATTGTTCGTGGCAATGCATTTGTTGTGAGAGAGGCAATATTTCCTATCAGCTGAAATTCTCGCTGTATCTTCTAATCACAACAAATACCGCAAGCGTATGAACTCAAAGAACCGTGGGATCCCGACAGCCAACGTATCAAGAGCGGTGATAAGAACTTGCAAGATGGGAACAACAGGATAGCACAGAATCATAGCCCACGCCAAGACTGAAAAAGCGCAGTGCGGGGATGGTCCCCGGATGATTTCCGCATTGAAGATCCTCGCTTCCAGATACCCTAGCGTCTGCAATTGGGACGTGGAGGAGATATGGATCCTTTGCCGAGGAAAGCTTCCTTAATCCAAACCTTGGAACATCTCCTTGCTAAAGTGCGGGGAGAAGAGGGTCCACAGATGCGTGGACCTTCAGAAAGAATGGAATATGGAATATAAATTAAGTCAATGCCCCTTAGATATCTGGGGTTGTACGCTACATAAACAAAGATTCTACTAGAGATTCCAATTCTCAGCTGTCATCTTGCTAAGCCACGATGAGCGGATCCATGGTAGCTCGGATTCCTCGAGTCCTTGCACTTCTTACAGGCTTTGTTGGGGTCACTACGGCACAGACATTATGGCCGCTACAGACATACAAGAGTTCCTCTATCGAGACCCCGTATCTCAATGTCACAAAAATGGGCCAGACAGAGCCTGGACACCTCTTCTTCTCACCACATGATATTTTGCGCAGTAGTGGGTACCCTACTATCTACTCCGATGACGGACAGCTAGTGTGGCAGGGACAAAAAGGCAACTACTCTGCCCTTCACCCGCAGAAACTGGATGGCGAGTCGGTCATTGTCTATTGGGAAGGATTCGTCGCCGAAGGCTTTGGCTTCGGACATATCAGTATCTTGAACAGCTCATATGACGAGATCCACCGGGTGACCGTCGACTGCAAGGCCGAGAACTTTGTGACGATATACGGTTCAGATCCTTCCAGCTCTTGTATTGATATTCACGAGAGCCAGCTCACGGATGATGGAACGATTCTGGTCACTGCCGTCAACGTCACGCAGGCTGATTTGAGCTCTGTCGGTGGGCCCAAAGATGGGTGGATTCAAGACGGCCTAATATACGAGATTGATATTAAGACCAACGAGATCCTTTTCCGTTGGAGCGCATACGAGCATATTGGTGAGCTTCCTATGAGCAACGATATCGCACCACTCGGGGCAACTGGTGCTGGCTCTGGTGTCAATCAAACCGACCCATGGGGATATCCCCACCTTAACTCAATTGCCAAATATGGGGACTCTTACCTTGTATCTTCCCGCTATATGTGCAGTCTCTTCTTTCTGGCTCCCAATGGTACTATTACTTGGCATCTTCACGTATGTTGCTCATTTCCCTCCACTCTCTGAAGCGTACTCACATGAAATCAATAGGGTCGGACGGGCGGAGACTTTCATTTGAGCCCTGACACTAGCTTCTGCTACCAGCACGATGCGCGCTTCGAGTCACAGAGCGACGAGCGCGTGACAATTGCCCTCCACAACAACGACAACACTGAGTTCACGGGAAGCACCTCTTTGACTACAGGCATGGTTTTGGAGCTTGAACTTCAAGGGTCAAAACAAGTCACTCTCAAGCGCCGGACGTGGGATGCGGCTGAGCCTGTATATGCTCAGTCACAGGGTAGCTACCAGTCGCTCGGCAACGGCCACATCCTCCAGGACCATGGTGCCACGCCTAAAATTGAGGAATTCGATCAAAATGGCAGCGTCGTGATGCGCGCCCGCTTCGGCTACGACAATACTATGCAGACGTACCGTGCATACCGATACCCCTGGGTGGGTCGACCTTCTACGAAGCCGGATGTGGTGGCTTGTCCATCTAGCAATGGTGACAAGTCTACTGTGTATGTGAGTTGGAATGGTGCAACAGATGTTGAGTCGTGGAAGATTCATTCGGGCTTTAAAGTCAAGAGTAATGCTGTGCGTAATGGCTTTGAGACTGTCATTATCGTTGATACGCTTCGTAAGGGCGACTCGGTGGTCGTTGAAGCTGTTGGTGGCGTTGGCCATGGCACAAGGTCTGCGTCTGTAACTGTGGGCCACGGTTGTTAGATTGTCTTTTGGAAATTTATTTACCTACCCATTAGATCGTACAATATAGCCCTGTCAAGAACGAATGGAATAGTGCTAAGGTTGGCAATTAAATTGAACTTATTTTCCATCATGGGAGCAATGACCCATATCTTCCCCGGGCACTTCCTGGTCAGGTTCGTTTAAGCGTATCAAATAATTCATTCGCATATGTGTATCAACAAGTAGTAATAACTTTATTTACAGAAGTTTAGTATAGCTGGACGAAGGGGTATAATACTGTGAACAGCATCTAACCGCCATAGCTGCGTATTAGTGGAAGCGAAAGGTTGTAAGAACCAACGCAAAGAAGGATTTCAAAGGAGGACGGGCGCCTAGAGCTTGGAGTCCGCGCCGATAGCCTTTCGGCGCATTTGCTTCGAGGAAATATCGGTTGGTGCGGGCGCTGCTGCGTTCTGGAAAAGCTGTCGGCCAACAAGATCAGACATCTTCAAGACCCGTGATGAAACAGTGGCACCATCGCGACGATTTTTGCTACATATGATCGTTAGCAAACATTCGAGAAGTTTATTTATATGACGTACCCTTCACGACGAGACTGCGCGATAAGTTCAGTAAAGTCCCATAACCGGCCACAAGGCAGGACTTGGCCTGTGTGAGGATCTCGTTCTGGTGTCCACTCTGGTGCAAGTCTGAGGGTTGGACCAGCCTTTGAATCCTTAACTTTGGCAACGAGGATGATGCCTTCTTCTTCAAATCGCTGGTAGGAGTTTTTGAGTGTCTCCTTGTTGACAGCCTCGAAGTAAGAGAGATCTCCTTGGTGGTATAACGTTTTGCCAAGCTAGAGCTGGTTAGTCATCTACTATCAAGACTCAATAGAGTGTATAAAATACTCACAAGTTGTGCGCTATCCTGCGCCTTTTTCACATTAACCCAAATCTCTTTAGGGCCGTCAAGTGGGGGCGTGAGGCCAAGCAGAGATACAGCGCCAAGCCACGATGCCTCGATGAAGGGCCAAATCAGGAAGCAATAGAAATCATAGTTCTCACGGCCACACATGCGCTCAGCTTCACTCAGCTCAACATATTGCGGTGTTCCAGAGCTATCGCGAGTGATCTGAATGACATCATCGGTCTCTAAGCACTTCAAGGTATTCTCTAGATTTGTTGCCAGACCTTCTGGCGGGAAGATAAACTCGCCACGGAAGAGCTGTAGAAATCTTGTTAGGAAACCATTAAGGTGGATAGGATATTAGAAAAGCATACCTGGGAGAGGAATGACACCTGGGACCTCAAAGCCTCGTAGCCGATCCGCTGGTTGGTAGGCCCGCCACCTTGCTTAATCTTTGTGTACATGGCAACTGAGACCAGGGCCTCGGTGATGAAAAGATGGATGAGCATATTGCGGTAAAAGGACAGCTGGAAGCGATCCACGGCATAATAGGTTGGCTCAGCCAAGCCTGGAATTTCCCCAACTAGCTTGGGACCCAAGACATCAAGAGCTCGATCGACAACCATCTCAGTTGGGGAGCGATAGAAATGAGCGACTCGACCGCCTTTCGCCCTTACACGCTCACTGAGCCAGTTTAATCGTCGTACCAGCTCGCCTTTGCCGACACCGCGGCCACGAAGAGTCAACAACACAGTTCCGACGAGCGCAGTTGGCATCATCACGGAAACGTCATTAATTTCAGACAACACGCGGTAGCCTAGGGTTCGAAGAATTCGTCCACGCTCATCGTGGGCCAGCTTCATATTGGAACCCAGATCTGACATATTGAGTCGTGTAATTTGCTGGCCTAAGAACTCACGCAAACTCCACGGTTCGTGGAAGCGAACGTCCACTCGTCCCAGCTTAAGAGATAGGACCGAGGATGACGAAAGGAGATCAGCCAAGTTCTCTTTCTGTTTGGGTTGTCCCAATAATTCACTGATGTATGACCTAAGTTCATGTTAGAAAAGAATCAAGACAGCTTTCTAAAGCCTTAGGTTTTCTTACTCAGTCTCGATGACCTTGTCATACTGCGTGCTGACCGGACAAATAATTGTGTCTTCCACCCGGCCAGATAACACACTGTCGACAATAAAGCTGAGAATTCCGAACTTAGGAGAAAGCAGCTTTCCTGTCCGAGAACGACCACCCTCGATGAAACATTCGAAGTTGAAACCCTCTTTCAGGAGTGTATCGATATATGCCTGTACAACAGTGTGATATAGAGGATCATTCCCAAAACTGCGTCGAATCCACATTGCACCTATACCAGTCAGCGTGAAATGGACTAGCCAGAACAGTTTAACGAACCTGCATGCTGCAAGAAAGGTCCCAAAAGCGGAATGTTCAGATTGTCACCCGCAACAACCACTGGAAGGCCGATTCCAAGTCGGTAGCAAATCAGCTGTAAAGAGACATAGTCCACATGAGACTTATGACAGGGCAAGAAAACAATCGATTGCTTCTTCTTGGCAGCGGTCTCGGCAACCGACCTCAAGCGTAAGACCTCTTCGCTGGACACGTGAATGCCCTGGTGGTAGGCTCGCGTAAGAAGCTGTGTGCACAAGTAGTATGCGCCCCGAATAAACGTCTTGCTTTCCATCTTACAAATCATATCGTCCATCATCTTATCCACAACCTCTCGAAGACTGGTCTCAATATCATGTCGGCGACGAGCTCGCTTCTCATCCAGAGTACGACCATCTACAATCGGGATCAGCCCCTCTTTCTCTTCTACTTTCAATCGAGTAGACGCCAATTCTCGAATTTTGTCCTGCAGCATGCCACTCGAAAGGATGGAGGATTTCATTCGGTCGGAGAAGCCCGAATAAAATACAGGTTGGCCAATAGGCTCATCGTACGCGCGCCATCCTGTCCCGGACATGTATAGGCTCACTTCTCGGAGGAACTCGAAAGGGTTTTCGCGGAAGCGCGCCATGTGGCGCACGAGGTTTCGTTCGGTAATTTGGTCATCTAATGCTCCAGGTCCTCCCGTAAAGCCAGAAGGATGGATGGTGAGTTGGCTTCCAACGATCTCCAGGTCCGGAGCGGAGTGCTCATCGATGGGCGGTTTAGGAGGCGTCATGTTTAATGTAAACGAGTCGGAGACGCGACAGCGAGAGAAGTTTCCTAGATCATATGTCGGAGCATAAGTAGATGTAGTCCATTGGAAGGTAGTTAGGTTCAGGGTTCAAATGGAGCACATAACGGGGCTAAGATGCGGGCCAGCGCCATAGCTCCAATGAATCCCAACAAAACGGGGGTGTTTAACCCCGGAAATGTTCACGGGCTTTCCCCACAGCCGAGGCGCAAAGTCACGTGTGATGATCTGATTAATTGGTCATAGGAACTCGAATTTAGCTTCAGGAAACTTAATTTTGCAATTCACATCTACATCATGTCTCGCTGGGTGAAGGGGGTGCGGTCCTTTTCCTGTATGTCCAAAATTTCAAATCATATCAAGATCTCACAAAGCTGTGCTTACCCTTTTCTTCCCCATAGCCGCGGCATCGTCCCTTCTTGCCGATGCGACTACGGCCGCTAAGCTCCGCCAACCCGAATCCTTCCAAGTCTTCCGGGACGTGCCTCCTCTTCGCCAATTTCGGCGAAAACTACTACAAAATGACCGCACGGTAGGCTTTGTGCCTACCATGGGCGCACTTCACGAAGGACATATTTCCTTGATCCGAGAAGCGGCCCGCGAAAACACCGACATTTTTGTCAGTATCTTTGTTAACCCCACTCAATTTGGCGTCAATGAGGACCTTTCCAGCTATCCCCGCACCTGGGACAGTGATGTGAAGAAATTGGAGACTTTAAATGAGGAGCTCGCAGTAGTTGCAGCAGAGACTGGATCTGGCGCGAAGGCAGGCCGCATTACAGCCATCTTCGCGCCAACATCCGAGGTCATGTATCCTACACTCCCACCTTCTTCGGAGATTGATGGAAAGGGCTCTTTCGTTACCATCACCCCCTTATCGACCAAATTAGAAGGTGCTTCCCGACCAGTGTTCTTCCGAGGCGTTGCGACCGTCTGTATGAAGCTCTTCAATGCCACCACCCCGGACCGAGTTTACTTCGGTCAGAAGGATGTGCAACAGACTGTAGTCATCAAGCGAATGGTTCAGGATTTCCTTCTTGGAACCGAAGTGCGAATCGTGAATACAACCCGTGAGCCCACCGGGCTAGCGCTCAGCTCTCGGAATGTCTATCTCGGCGAACGAAGACGTGCCGTGGGACTCACCATTTACCGGGCACTCAAGGCTGCCGAAGACGCTTTTCTGTCCGGCAAGACCTCCCGCGCGGATATCTTGGGAGCTGCACGAAGTGTTACGGATACCGTGCTGGCTGAACAGCAAGCCCTTTCGCCATTAGAACGCTCGCTATTCGAAGTTGACTATATCTCTCTGGCCGATCCAGATACGTTAGAAGAGCTTGATGTTGTCGAGCCTGCTAAAGGAGGTGTCCTTAGTGCAGCTTTGAAGATGGCACCTCTGGAAGAGACCAAGCCTGGTGAGGATTGTGGACTGGGTGATGGTAAGGTCCCAGTGCGATTGATTGACAATTTGATCCTCCATCCCCAGACCTAAATCAAAACTTGTTATAATTACAATTGTGTATATAGACATGCATCTGGGGTAGCAGCATAACCACCAAAAGCGTTTTTGAATCTACGTATAAGCTCCAAGGCGGTAGGTGGGGCAGAATTTAGGGCGGTCCGCGATAATTCCATTTCTTGGCGGCAGAAAAAAGTTGCGATAGGAACTTATCTCTCCCGGTCGAGTTTTTTCTCTCTACAAGCAGCCCGGTCAACGGGATTTACGATTTGCAATCATGGCCGACGATGGAATGCTCTTGAACTTTGCGTTTAGCGACAACGTTATCAAACCCGAGGCCAAGTTTAAGGGAGGTACATGGCGGGCCCGCCTTTCAGCCAAGAAGCGCTCCCAGCACAAGCCCACTGGCGATGGGAATACAAGCCAACGAAATGCCGACTCGAAGAACCCCAATAAGATCCAGGTCCCTGCCAACAGGCCTGTGAAGCGACAAAGGACTGGCGATTTCAACTCCTCAGAGGGGGGCAGACCTAACCACCGATCGCACTCTCAACAACAGCCGCGTCGGCACCCCGGCCAATTTGCCTCATCACTATTCACGAGCAATCCCGAATCTAAGACTGCTGAGGATCCCAAGCCGGAGGAAGTGGTGGAAGAGGCGAAGCCGACCAACGCTGCTCTGGTTGATGGTATCGATACTTTTACGAGTCTGGGTCTATCCGCCAATTTGGCGGCGCACTTGCTCACCAAACTGGAGTTGAAGGCACCGACTGCCATTCAAAAAGCCTCAATTGAACAACTACTGAAAGAAGAGACCGATGCATTCATTCAGGCCGAGACCGGTTCAGGAAAAACCCTTGCTTATTTGCTTCCTCTCGTCCAACGAATCATGGCTCTCTCCAAGGCAGCACAGCAACAGGGCATTCATCCGGATAGACAGGGTGTGCATCGAGACAGTGGTTTATTCGCGATTATTCTTGCACCAACTCGCGAATTGTGCAAGCAGATTTCTGTGGTTTTGGAGAATCTTCTACGATGCGCAAACTGGCTCGTTTGTGGTACTGTGATTGGTGGAGAGAAAAAGAAGTCCGAGAAGGCTCGTCTAAGGAAAGGCCTTAATATCTTGGTTGCCACCCCCGGACGTTTGGCAGATCATTTAGACAACACACAAGTCCTGGACGTCAGCAATGTCCGATGGCTGGTTTTGGACGAGGGTGATCGATTGATGGACTTGGGTTTCGAGGAGGAATTACAGGGTATCGTCAAAAAGCTTGATGAAAGACAACGGCCTAGTGGCCTTCCCGGTGTTCCAACCCGGAGGACTACGGTTCTCTGCTCAGCTACATTGAAGATGAATGTTCAGCGGCTGGGTGAGATCAGTTTGAAGGATGCGATCCATATCAAAGCGGATCCGGCTGATGAGGATGAAAATTCTCGCGGCAAGGATGAAGAAGAAGGCTTCCGCGTGCCAGCTCAGCTCAAACAGTCCTATGCTATCGTGCCCGCGAAGCTGCGTCTGGTGTCATTGACTGCCTACCTCAAGCGAACATTCATTCGGAAGGGTTCTGTCATGAAGGCTATTGTCTTCGTTTCATGTGCCGATTCAGTTGACTTCCTCTTTGAAGTTTTCTCCAGGAAATACGGCGTAAGAGCTCCAAAGTCCAAAGATAATGACGAAGACGGCAACGAAGATAAAGAAGAAGAAAAGAAAGGACGCGAAAAGCTCTCTCCTCACGGCACTATTGCCCCTGCCGAGGCCTTCTCTACCCCTACAAATCCTGTCACCATCCACCGACTACACGGTTCGCTGCCGCAGCATGTTAGAACCTCCACCCTAGGCTCCTTTTCTAAAAGCAGTGAAGCCTCGGTGATGATTTGTACCGATGTTGCCTCCCGTGGTTTGGATCTTCCCAACGTCGACCTGGTTATCGAATACGACCCCGCATTTAGCTCTGATGACCACACTCACCGTATTGGTCGTACCGCCCGTCTGGGCCGCGACGGTCGTGCTTGCATCTTCCTCCAGCCTGGCTGCGAAGAGAACTACGTGGAAATTCTTAAGCGTGGCTACCGCGACGGAGGCAAAGCTCTGACCCGCACAGACGCGAACGAAATATTGAAGCGTGGTTTCGGTGCCACCGCCGAATCAACGAGCAAGAACTGGGAGGAGAAGACTACCGACTGGCAGATGGATGTTGAGCGTTGGGCTCTCGATAACCCCGAGTACCTAGAGATGGCACGTCGCGGATTCCAGTCCCATGTTCGTGCCTATGCAACCCATATTGCTGCTGAGCGAAGCATGTTCGACATCAAGGAACTTCACCTGGGACATCTTGCTAAGAGTTTTGCTCTCCGTGATCGACCTGGTAAGATCAATGTGCCTGGTCTGCGCCAAGGAAAAGAAGATACGAAGAAGGACTTCAAGGCGGCGCGGAATGGTGCCGCTGGCAGCAAGAGAAAGGCCGACGATATGCCTTCTACGAATACGGATGAGGCAGCACGGAAGATGAGAGCCAAGATGAGAGAGCAGCACGCCGGTGCCAGCGAATTCAACCTGGCTTGATCTGTTTTTTTTCTTGTACAAAAGCATTAGCATTATTTTCGCTCAGTATATATCCCATAATGAAATCTTTCCATCCTTGGACCCAGCTGCCAACCAATGTGTCTGTTGTATCTTCGTGCTTCTTTGGTTCTGAATAGCTGCAAGCGACAAATTAGTTCCCTGCACCAAATGCCCTTGATTCTCTTTGGCCTTTTCTCGCATTTCAGTACCCTCGGCCTTAGCTGGACATGCTTGTTGTAATACAGGATGCACTTCCCCAAATGCGACCGAGTAGCAACCATCTTTATGCCACCTAAGAACAGCAAGCTCCTTCAATGTGGTGCCCGAATAGACTCTCACCCTGCTGTCCCAGCCAGCAGTTGCAAAGATCTTCCCATCACTGCGTATCCTTAACCCCTGCTGACCCGAATGCTTTGTATTCATCGTTTTCAGTGGTGACTCCTCCTTATAGTTGATAATAGGGACATCCCCAACTGTCCCAGGCCCTGGAACAGGGTGCTTAATGACCAAAGCATCTGCAGAGGAAGAGATAAAACAATCGCGTTTAGGAGAGACATCAATCGACAGAACGGGTTGGCTATGCGGACGACTGGCATAGAGTCTCTCCCACTTCCACGGATCCGAGACAATATTCTCACGCTCAAAATTTCTCCCGGTGAGGGGTCCCTTATGAACGTGGACCATGACATGGCCATCTTCGTAGGCAGACGCGACATAAATATCGCCCGATGAAGCGACGAAAATATTGACAGCCATCACCATGCCTGTTTTAACAGCGGGGTCAGACGGGATGGTGCTGAGACGGAGCTCGGATGGGAGGTGGAAGATGTCGATTCCACCAGAGTCAAGCGCATTCGGAACCGCGAAGAGAATGTTTCTTAGAGTAGATGGTTCTCCTGTTTGAACATGTTCTGAAGATGAGGGATCCACAGTGTGGATGTAAGTCATGGAAAATGCGCAGAAATTCAGCGCATTGACAGGTAAAGAATGGAGCAACCACGGTTGAGCTCCTTTTTTCGCAGGATCCGCTTCAGCTGCATCAACTGGAAGGGTCTTGTCGAGGAAATCTTCGTCCTCTGCTCGAATCTTCCAAACGCATAGCTTGTGATCGCGGCCATGTCTATTTTTCCGGTTAGCATGTAAGCAGCGCCATTGTCCAAGGGAATCTTACGTGTAGATTTCTGTGCCTTTGACGCCATAATTGTATCCTTTCACTTCAAGCACTGCGCCCTCGTGTGCCTTCCATACCGTTACGGGCCGTTTGCTAACCAAATCCCAGATAACAATCCAGCCGTTAGCGTCTCCGGAGACGAGCCGCAGGTTTTGTGAGAAGATATCCAGGGCGTGTATTGGCGCCCCATGGCCCCGAAGAATGTACACTGGAGTCGCTGGACCATTTGGGACTTTATTAGATGGGGTAGCCATGTCCCTTCAACTATTGTCGGATGTTGACTCCGCTGGATTTGATGGGACGGATAGAATGAAGCTTCCGCACCGCCTTGAAGAGCTGCTTACTTCACACTTTTCAGCCATACAAAGCAAACATTTCATATTAACCATGATGATTCTAAATTATTCTGGTATGACTGGATCGATATATTGTATAAGACTCTGGGCCTATCTACGATGGTGCGTTTTCTGAACGTTGTGAGATTCTCGAACGCCAGTCGAAAATATATATACCAAGACATCGGCACTATCTCTGAGGGAATTTTGTATCCCAACGTAGTATAACTTTTTATTTTAGTAGCAAATTGGCTGTAGCTATGTACCACCCACAAAACCTTTCGATGAAGGGTCTACAGTAATATAGTATCTAAGCGCTCTAAAAGTATCGACCCATGCCTTAGCTAGAGGGTCTTAGGCAGGGAAGAAATTCTTTAGTGGATCGGACGATCCTTCGCTCTTTTCATCTATCCAAATATCAATTTCTAGATAACAAGGCCAGAAGATCAACGTCCATCACAAGAGGACAACCTTGTCTTGCGAATCCCAGATCTGTATACCCATACAGCATAGCACCTGTGACTGCGACCTACGACTCTACGAGTGCTATAGATACCAATAAACACCCTAAGGTCTACATCATATCCGTACAAGCAGGTGTAGGTATGACGGCTCAAGTCATTTCAACTCCATAACAAATGAATTTATTGCTATGCTCATAAATTCAACGTCAACTTGAAGATGTGATCTCCCTACATATCACGTTCAAGACGGTCGCCGGTATTCGCTTCTGTTCATTGTGGCGGTCTTCATCAAGACCAACTCTAGTCATTCAATTTAGTACATTCTTGGCTCCAAAGGGATAAAATCTGCTCAAAACCCCAATCTTGAAGATAACCCAACTTCAAGAAGATAAGTATCTCACCCGAACCCCCTACATAGTACTGAATTGAACAGTATTATCTAAGGGTGGCAACCAAGCAGCCCGATCCTTACAATAAAACTCCTTCTGAGGAACCCATTGCTCCTCCCCTTCGCTCAAGTCGAACGTCCCAGAGGACAGAACCACACCGTCTTGAGTCACCCCATCAACCATCCTCGTAGTAAACAGACAGGATCCACAGTTTGAGCAGAAGGAACGATTCAGAACATTTCCAGACGCAGTCTGGCCATCGTCGTACACTTTGAGACTATCTTCTCCGGAAAGAATGCGTATTTGCTAGGATATAGTTAGCTAGGGTTCATGTTGCATACTTGAGTCTCTGTCAGGGGTATTTAGACTTACTGGTTTGAGATAGAAGCTGTTAGCCATACAAATAGACCCGGTGACTTTGCGACAGAGACAGCTGCCAGTGACAACCTTTTCTTTTGTCATGATTGTATGCGCGATTTCAAAAGGGATCACTTGGACTTCTGTGATATCAGATGAGAAACTGGAGTGGAAAATATACAAGGCTGTGGACAGAGGGTCAAATATGAATGGATGTCTGCGGGGTGAGTCACACCGCATCGTTACTCCCTCCTTGCATTTGTTGTAGATTATTCTACGTACTTCTGGATAATCCTCGATCAATCTTGAGCTGGTTAGATTTGAATGGAAAGAAGAGAAGGCTTGGAATTGGAAAAGAGAGGGAATCATACTCGATTGCATCGTGCCATCTGAAAACAAATTGTCCGTGCCTTATTAGTAGACGTCAACCCCTTCCAATCCCCCAGAACCGTCTGCAATTTCTATTTCCATTTTGCAAACTCATACTCTGGATCTGGAAAGCCCCATGTCAGCCTGTTAATTAGATGGAGCAGACACTCTCATTGAATGCATTGTATGTTTCACTTCAATTGACTCTAATTGACTCTAGTGATAATGCACCGTAGACTTCAGCCATTGGCACAGAAATTCTTACCACTCAATAAACGAATGAAAGGCTTGTAAAGGAATGGAACTGTCATAAAAATGATTTTATTCGCATTTGCATCATAATGTGAATATACGGGGTATATAGCGAAACAAAAGAATCCGGGGCGAGACCCCGAAGGGCTGTATCGACAAATCAAACAAGATAAGAGCCGTAATTGTATTGGTCCAGGATTTGATGATGCGGAGCAACATAATAACCCTGATAAGGATGATTCTCAATTGAGAAATCACTCGAATCCAAAAGTGGATTAGTGATCCTAGAGAATTCAGAGTCCCCGTGAATCGGTAATGCAGAGTCCAGATCATAAAAGCTGTTATGCATTTGTGCAGGGTCTACAGTCTGCGGATGCGACCAGTTCCAATGGCGTTTCAATCGGTCTTTGAATGATTCAGAACGCCAGTGAGTCTCCTTGGTGATCATATCCAATATGCCCAGGACTTCTTCTTGCGAGTCTCGAGCTTCTAGCGACTCTGCAGCGATTGCTAGGCATTGAATCGATATATTTGGCATATCTCGGGCTTTGAGGTTGGTAGCAAGACCGCATATCTCGTATGCGTGGGCTTGCTGCATTTTCTTCATTTCGATATGGAGTGAGGATGCCATGGGATGAGCCCTGGCTAAAACTATGCAAGCCGTGTGATAAAAGAATTGAGAGATAATTGCCGATCGCTTGAGGAGCCTGTTTACTTGGTCAGTCAAATATCAAATTCTGGCTTAGGTAGAAACGTACCAGATCTTCGGGAATGGCGACTTAGATTCGGCATGCCATGGCTGTATATTGCTAAGAGGCTTCATAGATCGTGGTATGGAATTGGCCCACTGCTCACACCAAGCATTATAATGGTTCCATTCCTGCACTGCGTCGTTGAACTGGGTGTTTTGAGAGGGATCATTCAATGATTGTAGATGTTGCGTGGAGACTCGAAAGTTTGCAATTTTTGCACAAATATAGATGATGCGGTGGAGCCATTGATCATCGTTCTTCCAGAATGGCTGCACCTGTTCCATATGCATATCGACTCCCCATGTATCGGGGTTCCAAGACAGGGGGCATATATAGTTTAGACAATGAAGGACTTCCATGCTCACACTAATCCAGAAACAGGATCCGCCTAGACTAGGTGTCTTCGCCGTCCACCCACATTCGCGTATCAAGGCCCTCGACCCGGAAGTATGCTTTGTGAGCGGCTGTGAAGACATCATTTCATAAATACCAAGAACTAGTGCAGCTGTCGCACATAAGACCGAATCACGATTCGGGTCTTGGACCGCATACAATAGATCATGATTGGCCGCTTCGTAGTGATGGAGTACCTTTTCCGCCCCGTAAGAGGGGTCCATACGAAAAGCCTGCCGAGCGCCACAAGCCACAAGCGCCTTAAGCAGCATAGGCTCGTCAATGGCAAGCAATGGGAGAACTTGTGTAAACTGAAAAGGAAATTGTCAATGTAGTTCACATATAAATATTAGTAAGGTGCAGGAACCTACATGTCTCATTGAATCCATCGAGTCTATCCACGGGCCGACCTCTTCCACAAACAATTGTAAAAGGAAACTTTGCTCTGGATCAGTGAGCGATGCAGAGCTATAATGTTTCATTGCCAATTTTTGAGCGAAATGTGAAGTCCCATGAGGAAGCAGTTCGTCACCAGGCACAAGATGAGCATCATGCCACGTATCCGGCCCCAACAGGAAATCCGTTGTTGCAGAATGCGGAATATCGAATCCAGATGGATCAAACGAATGCGCGACCGATTGGAAAAGACTCGCCAACTGATCGGACCCAATCAAATTCAAGGCTTCCTGCTGGATCTGTCGTCTCTCTTGAATGGGACTGTCTGGTTGCGGTGGGGGGTATCGTTCAAAGCCTCCAACATACTCAGATGCGATAATGCGCGAGTCATCACGAAAAGTTAGCTTTGCGCCATGCGCACGCGTGATAATATGCGGAGGTTCAACCGTCTGGATATCAATGAAATTCAACCGAACGCCGCGCCGGCATATCCTATCCGACTTGCGACAATTTAAGCATCGACCCAAGGCCTCATCGCACTTCAAGTGCCTTTCGCGACAAGTAAGACAGCCTGTACGCGTCCTCTTTGCTTTTGTATCTGCGATCTCGGAGGATTTCTTGCGATTTGCGCTGGAGGGGCGGGGCGAATTATCCTTCTGGCTTTTAGGCGTCCTCGCCCTGGGGTCTTCTCCGGGTGATTGCGACTTTGACAGCGATTTTGCCTGTGCACGAGTCGTGAGGTTCATTTTGTTCGCGGGAATACTAGTATCTAGTCTTGGATGTATTCCTGGCTTCGTCTCAGTCCCCCGCACGCACTGGTGCTGATAACTGCCGAGACGATAAGATATTTCTTAAACCAAATCTCCTTGCCGTTGTCACTCGAATGGCCATGTTCACTGCCAGCGCATAAATGATAATATCAGACTAAGCGATGACGACACTCTAGCAGCTGACCAGATCTTCTTGATCCGTATAGCTTTAAACGTTTCTGAGGCTATCGTCGGGCCGGGCAAACAGGCAGGCAAGCGCAGGAGGGGTACGCAAAAAATCCGAAGATCTGTGTTAAAATAGTGACGTCAGCCTACGGTGTAGGATAAGCGATGAGTGAAACAAACCTCCGGTGGACTGCCTAGACAATGCAGCCTCCAATCTCGTCGTCACGAGGCTCAAGCAGTGGTTGCCGAAGATTGAAAATCAGTGCGGAGTGAACGCGGAGTTCACAAGCAAGAATAAGTGGAGCCCGTTCCAGACCGAACCCACTTTGTGTTTCTACGTACTCCTCATGAAATGGGAAGGCATTTGAAATGTATCTTGATTCTAAATGTGACACGCTAGAACAACACTGATTTAAATTGGTCATACATCCTGAAATTTTTGAAAAAGAATCTTTTATGCCTTGTGTCCTAACCGGGGCAATCGAAGCCGGAGGTGTAGACACAGCATGATGGCTCCCCAGACTGCCGCAGAAAAGAAAGTGAACCGAAGGGCAATAGAGTACGATCCAATTACTATCTTTAATTAGCGTTGATAACAGTCTGAAGGTTAGAATGGGACTTACCTTGCTCTCGATGCACCGGATCCAAGTCACCAATACTGCTGATAGACTTGCGCACAAGACCGATGATATCTCCCTTGTTTCCGCCGGTGACCTTATGCTGGAGCGTATAGTACAGGACGTTTTGGAAGATCCAACTACTAATCGAAACACCCAAAACGGAGCCGAGGTTACGCGCCAGCCCCAGAGTCGTAGTAGCCACTGCCTGATCAGCATGGTCGCTGGTGGCGAGAATAGAGACCATAAGACTGGGAAAAGTAAATCCCTGACCAAGGCTACTAAAAGAAACACAGAACATGGCAAGTGTCTGGGGTGTGTCAACGTTCATCAGGCCAGCTAGGCATCCGCCCAATAGCATACAAATGCCGCCAATGATGATAGTCGGTTTCATTCTCCGCAACCAAGTGATAAAAAAGCCGGTGCCAACACTGGAAAGAGTCACAGCGATAGATGCAGCCACGAGCCGAAATCCAGAATCCGTTGGGCTAGCCAGCTTGACGGCCTGGAAATACAACGGTGCGTTGAACATCATGGTATTGACGGACATGGCCCCAAAAAAGTTGCCAAAAATAATACTTGCACGAGGATTCTTGGATAGCAATTCTGTTGGCAGGACTGGAAGGGGCACGTTCCGCTCGTACCGGACTAGAATGATAGCCAGAACAACCGATGCAAGCAACGAGCCGATGATCACCGGGTGCTTCCAAGGGAAGACATTTCCTCCTAGATTCAATCCCATGATCAAAGCAGTTACCGATAGAACCAGGAATAGAGAGCCGGTCAGGTCAACACCGCGAAGCACCTGTAGTAGTGTCTTGCGGTCAGATCCTTCCCGCTTCACTCCAAGATCCGCCGGAACCATGACGGCGGACAAGACGAAATAAACAAAGATACAAGGTAGTTGGATGAGGAATGCATTTCGCCAGCCTATTTTATCACAAAGAAACCCACCAAAGGCGAGACCCAAACAACTACCAGTGCCCAGACACAAGTTGATGTACGATTGGTAGATACCGCGATATTCGATGCGAACAAGGTCACTTGATATGATCTGGCCCATGGAGAATACACCGCCAGCACCAAGACCGCAAAGAGCCCGAGCAGCGATGAAGCTGCCAATGCTTTGAGCGAGGCCGCACCATGCGGTAGTGCAGAAGAATACAGCGATGGAAAATAGGTAGACTGGCTTACGGCCTAATGTATCTGAGACGCGACCAAAAAGGGGCATGAATGCCGTCGAAGTAAGCAGGAAGGCGGTCGACAGCCATGAAGCCGCATTTGCGGCGTGAAAATAGGACGTGATCACAGGATGACTCGAGGCCATCAAAGTCGAATCAAAGAAGCCAATCACATACCCAAGCATGATACCGCTGAAAATCAGCCAGAAACGGGTGGGCGAGACATCGATGAATCGCGCAGCATAGCTCTCATCCTCTTCCTCAATGCTATCGGCGTCAGTAGAGGCATTGCTTCTCTTGACCGAGCGGATGGACGGAAGCTTGTCTGGATTTGGTTCAATATCCAGGACCTGGGAAGTTGATTGGACTCGTGACAAAATGGGGAAAAGTGCCTCATCGTCGACTTCTGTGGTGAATGAACTGCTTTCCACATCGTGTGTATGGTGGGTAACGCTGTGATACTGCGAGTTTTGATGGCTGTGATTATCTCGCAGGAGTGGAGTGGCCTCAGACGATGGCCCTGTCCGGTCGCCCATGATGAGATTTAATGGCGCGAGCGTTGAAGTCACAGTGATTTACTAGAATGAAGATGTGGAGGACAAAGGCGATGCTCGGACAGCACAGGCGGTAACACTCTGCCGAGCATGCGGAAAAACAGATCGTAGCGGGGCCGCGCTGAGCAAAACAGATCGTAGCGGGGTCGAGCTGAGCTTACAAAGACCCAGATAGAGGGCTTGCTCACTACACAGTCCTAATTTTAGTTTGTATAGTATGTGAAGAAAATTTCCCCTCTCAATTTGTATTTCCAATCAACCCCTAGCGCAGAAAATCTTAGCGGCGAACCTTGTTAAGGTGATTGGGTCCGGAACGTTTAGATGGGATCGGGAGCCGCAGTAACAGTAACACGGGGCTCGTGCTCATTCTCCCCTTTCCAATTGCCTTTATTTCTTGCGCACCATTAGCATCTATTACACTTGCAGCCTCATATTTCAAAGCTCCGTCAGATATACCAATGCGCGCTCCTCTTCGGATTGCTATTCTGGAATGCGATCCCCCGCTCCGGAATACCCATCGCCAATACAACGGGTATAGAGAGGTGTTTCAAGCACTATTGGACAGCAGTGTAAAGACATTGAACCAACCTGATCAATTGATCCCAGAAAATGCATTAGAAATTTCCGGGTGGGATATCTACCGCAGCCAGAAATATCCCAAATTGGAGGATATCGATGCCGTGCTTCTCACCGGGTCAAGTTCGTGTACCCATCACGATCAGTACACCAGACATGCTAATATACAAAATTAAATGAAACAGAATTCAGTTCAGTTGATGATGAGCCGTGGATCAACCGTCTGCTGGAATTCCTGCAGCAAGTCTTAGCACAAGATCGGGTTCGTATTGTCGCAGCTTGCTTCGGACACCAGATTGTTGGCCGTGCGCTAGGAGCCAAGGTCGGACGACATGAGCAAGGCTGGGAGATAGCTGTGTGTGAGATAGACTTAACAGATAAGGGCAAGGAAGTGTTTGGGTTGGAAAAGATTGTATGTGCTCCAGGGCTATTGTTGGACGGCAGTAATCAACATCATTTGATTACACATGGGCTGACTATCCAACAAATAGCGAGTTCAGGAATCACACAAGGATGTTGTTCTTAGCTGTCCAACTGGTGTTACTGTCTTGGGCTCCACTCCACATTGCGAGGTTCAGGTTTTGTATGCTCCGCGCCGCCTTCTTACCGTTCAAGGTCACCCGGAATACAACGAAGAGGCTTTGGTAGAAATCATTAGCCATATGGCCCGGAAAGGTATTCTCGATGAGCGTCAAGCACAGGAAGCCTTAAGCAGGGCGGGAAAGGAGCATGACGGGGTTGCGATCGGGGCGGCCTTCCTGCGGTTCCTACTGGAGGAGTAAAGATGGGAAAGTGCATCGATAAGGCGTGTTGAAGACTCGCAGACGCGCTCGAAATCAGTTTCACCACTTCACTCTCTTTTATTATCTCCTGACACAGTATTATTGTCTATGGAATTAGATCTTCTGTTCCCCTCTGATACTCCCGGAAGATACGCAAGTTTCTCTCATTCACATCTTGTATCCACTGAATGGTCCTAGGATCATCATCGGGCCCTGGCTCATAATACTCGAGGCCACATTCAGCCTGCACGTGTGCACTAGTTTTCGCCACTAGGTATGATGGCCAATGCTTCGCATGGTGTCCCCTAATATGTATCTTCTCCAGCCCCTGTATTCTCGCCAAAGCACGTATGACGAGAACGTCGTCACCCAGCCCTCTCTCTACTGCCCCTCTCTTGAGCTTCCAGGGGAATTCGTGGTTTGGGTTTCATGCAACTCTAATATATTTGAGAGTAACGGTTTCCTGAGATAAGGCATTGAGTAAGGTTAACCACGGTAAAATTTCAGCCTTCCATGGTATCCACATGTACAACGACCTCACCCATTTGAGATTTAAAGGACCAATCTGGGTCATAAATCGGAACATCTGGTCGGGCTGTCTGAAATTGAACACATTCGAATAAATTACCGGAACCGCCTCACGGTGGATCTGCCAACATGTTCGCAGTATTGCCGGTTCCATTGTTCGATGTTGTGGATCTTTCCTCATTGATAGCATGACCATCAATTGGCATGTATTCCCAACCGGCCACGCTGGGTTATCTTCACGAGTAGATCGGCCAATGAGAAGAAGGTCATATATCTGTAGTCGAATTTCGGCGGGCAAATTTAAAAGCGAGGTTTTTGGATTGATTTCGTCGGTTGTTGGTAATCGAATGGTAGCTTGAGGATCCCGGCGGCACAATGTAGGTGTGCTGCTATTGATCGAGGATGATTTCGTTTTGGAGAGGTCGAGGCCAAAGCACGCCTTTGCAGGATCTTCTTTCAAAAGGTATCGCCATTCTGGGGGCAGTTAAACGTACTGTTTTAGCTCTCAGAGCAGCCTAGAAACCTGGAAATGTTCGTTATTTGTGAATGACAATCACTGGATGAGCGACGAGGAGCAGGGTCGTCAACCAGGGCGGGGTGACGACGTGATAAATAGACATGATAGTTTATACCTACACCAAAGAGTCAATATAGTGTAACCCAAGATGCATATCCCAGAGGGTTTACGGGTTCGTGCAACATCTCCGCATGCAACGTTGACCTTGGAAAATTGGCGGGTAAGAAATATTAACAAAGTTTAAAGCAGGCGAGCTTGGATATCACATTAGAGTAAAGGAGTAGCTACTTTGATATGCCCAGCAAAATATCTTAGCTAAAAAGCTCCTTTACGCCACGCCCAAAATGCATGTCGTGATCCATAGGAGGGCTCCAGGCACCTCCTTTCATGCAAGTAATCAAAACGCCTCCCCGCCAAGTTGGCTAGCTGATCCATGTGGCAATGCATGTATGACAAAAAAAAATTACACACCAGATGCTTCATGCTAACGCTATCACAATGCAAGTTGATCGCTTCAGACAAAGATAGAAATCTAAGAGTGCGCACAGAAAAGGACAGCGGGAGTAGCTGTATATGGGAAAACAGTCCCGAGCCAGCTAAACTGGCTGATGTTTTGAAAGGCGACCGCTGCGGCGGGGTCCCTGCCGAGTCGTCTCCGATTGCTCAGAGTCGGCCTCGCTAAGGACCTCTGTCTGTGTCTTCTGTGCTTCTGCGGCTTTCTCCGCATCTGCTTTCATCTGTCAAAGAGAATGTCAGTATTGTTGAGTTTCAAATTCCTCTTATCAAAAGAACTAACCCGCAGGTTGAGTGAGACGACCTCGTTCTGGTCGTCTCGAAATGAGATACCTACGCCCAGCGTGAGATTAGAAACGAGTCGCTTTTTGGGACGACCCCGTCGCACAGCTGGGCGTGAGTCCTCCGAGTCGTCGCTGTCGTCAGCAGAACGCTTGCTGCCCGTGCTGAAGGGCGATGACGAGCGTGATACCTGCAAGTTTGACTTGAAGCTGGGACCGGGGACGAACTTCTTCTCATTTTCATTCGTTTCACCAAGGAGAGCTGAGAATGCCCGATCGATGTCACCGCGGCATCTCTGAAGCATGTTTCTAATGGTTTCTTGATCGTATCGACCGCCGAAAGCATCTTGAATGGTCTGGATATCCCACGGAGGGGAAAGATCGACAGCCAAACCAGAATCCTTGGAGTGTACGGATGTGTTGGTAGATTGTGTGTCATTGGTATAGATGGAAGTAGAGGAGGGGGAGGAAGAAAGATTCTGATTTGGGTGAGGGTTGTTGTCCTCATCATCTAGGATGTGCTCGGTGTCGATGGCAACATCCTTGACATCGGGCGAACCAAATGAAGCTTCCTCTTTCAAGCCTCCCTCTTTTAGAGACGTGGCTAGGGGCTCAATGCACACCGACTTAGCCAGAAGCCCTGCGTGGTTGCCACCCATAACTCGCACTGACGAATAGTGCTTGAAATCCTGCTATCGGTCAGTGACAGCTCGACAAGGTCCTTTTGAGATATGTACTCACGTGAAAGGCTACATGAATGACGTCCCGGTGATCTTCCGGCATGGCATGGACATCCCGGAACGTTTGGACGCCATCCATGGTGTATACATTTATGTCCACCTTGAATGCCTGGCAGAATGCTTGCAGATGCTCCGAGCTTCCCCACTCTCCGTTCTTACGAGTCAAAGCAACCATTTCCTCGAACCGCCGCTCTTTATCCTCTTCGGATGGAGCTGATACATCGGCTGAACGCGTCGCATATGCGGAGGCGGTGGCTCGTTTGGGGCGGCGTCGCTCGCCACCCTGGGCAACAACAAACTGCATAAAGTATTTCTTATTGTCGGCAATATGGGATGCAAGAATATGGCGAATTTCGTCCGCGTGGTCAAATGTACCCTTCAATTGATCGGAAAGGGAATAGTAGAGGCAATTCCCTACGTTTGACGCGTCAGAAACAACATTTTTTAAGTCTTGGAGCTTGGGGCTCATCAAGGAAAGCTTCTAAATCATAATTATAGTGTATCTTACCATCTCCTTGTGTGGGCAAGGCGAATAGACCGCGCTCCCTTAAACTAGGCATCTCTAAGCTTGTGCGGTCCATGGCCTTTGATTGACAGATGACGGGAGCATCTTCAGGCTGATCCAGCAGCAAGGAGGCGGAATTGGGATATGAAGGAGAAGTGGTGTCTAGTACGCATGACTCTGGGGTAGAATTTGGGTGTTGTTGTTGGTGACCCGTAAGTATGGGCACAATTCTGCCACCGTGTGTGAGCAAGGACATTTTGACAGGAGCCCTGCTCGGGTCGAGGCCGGCATTAATGGTAATGTTTGATATTGAAGCGTTTACTCCATGAATGTTAAGAGGAAAAGAACAAAGAAAAAAAAAAAGTGAGACCAAAGTAGATCAGAAAAAGTTAACCCGCAGAGTGAATGGGCCCTGCGGGTGCGATGGATTTGGAAAAAGGAATTCCAACTTGGCCCAGAGTTGAGTGCCGAGTTGGGGGCGGTGAATACCTTTGTTCCCCATGATTGGGCCACACGTGAGATGTTGCCTACTATGACATCGGTGATCTCGAGGCCATGCCTGTCTTGCTTTCTGCCCTATTCAAGGGTTCAATGGCTCTGAATTTCATCCTACAGAGTTGATTATTTATTTTCTGTTTTATGTTCAATATTGGTTGAAGCTTAAGGCAAAGATGATCAATACGAAGGATCAAATGTGAATTGTGATTCATTCACTTCAAGGGACGCAGTGGAGCCCCGAGGGATGGAGAACGGGTCTTTACGGAGAAAGACTTTTTTGCGTCCAGCCGCTTTCAAAAAACTATGCAATAAAAGTTCCTGGCGTAAGAGATGTCTAGGAGCTCAAAGAAGCTTAATAAGTCTTTGTTCCTTCGTTTGGTGCGATCATTAACGCACCTTTCAACCTTGTCAGCTCCGCACCCTTGGAGGGTGCGGAGTCGTATTGAATTTTGTTTATGGCCCGTATTGCGGCTGTCTCCACATAAAAAACTTTTAGCGCGTTTCTTGTTTTTAACACTTTTCATTGAACGAGCTGTACACCGCCCTTTCCGCCGCCACTCAGAATAGAAAACCACGAACTGGTTTGACCCCAACGATACCCCAAGAATTACACCGAGCGTAGCCCCATTTCTCTTATCAAATAGATTGTCGATAACGGAGATTACTATCATCTTTACTCCTCACCCCGCTCGCATTCTCCATGGGCCCAAGTTGTTGACTCAAATCTGGGAGTAAAGTATTTATCTCTTGCACTTGACTTCAGTTACTTTTGCTCATTCTTTTTCCCAATCTATTTATATCATTAGCGCGACTCGAGCAATTCGACAGGTCGTATCCAAAATGTCGAACAATATTGTGATTTTGGGGTAAGGATGGATCCCTTACACTGGGTAAAGGCAAGGGTTTTAATATGTCTTGACGTGCTGACATCAATCAGAGCTGGTGTCACGGGTTTGACAACCGCTTACCTGTTGTCCCAAGACCCCGCAAACAAAATTACTGTTATTGCAAAGCATATGCCGGGAGACTATGACATCGAGTATGCTTCTCCATGGGCGGGGGCCAACTACATGCCGTAAGTTTACTCGGTCAGTATTTCATTGGTGACTTTGTCCTCAAATAGTATACAGGGTCGGCAAAGAGGGTAGCAATCATCAAGCGTGGGAGTCGGCCACTTGGCCCGCCCTGCAGGAATTGTGCAAGAAATACCCCGAGGCAGGAATTCATTTTCGAGGTATGATAAAAGGGAGATTTCCTTACCAGAAATTTGATCTAATCAACTATCAGATTCGTTGATCTATAACCGCAAGAAGGATCAAGAGTCTGCCACAGGCCAATGGTTCTCGGAATTGGTGCAGCCTAATCCATGGTATAAGGATGTCGTTCCTAATGTACGTAAGACCCAGCCTGTTTCTTCTCAAATGCATATGCTGATCATCTACTCTGAAGTTCGAGGCAATTCCCGAGAGTCATTTGGCGCCAGGTATTGACAATGCTCAGAAGTTCACATCTGTCTGCATCAACACGGCAGTCTATCTACCATGGCTTGTCGGTCAGTGTGTGAAAGCCGGCGCAGTCTTCAAGAGAGCCATAGTCAAACATATTTCCGAGGCGGCCAATGCGCACCACTCTGGCCAAAAGACTGACGTCGTTGTGAATTGCACCGGCCTGGCATCGAAAACTCTAGGAGGAGTTGTCGATGACAAGATGTACCCAGCCAGAGGTCAGATCGTTGTAGTCCGAAATGACCCCGGCGAAATGGTTTCTGTGTCTGGAACCGACGATGGAGAGGATGAGGCGCTATATATCATGACCCGTGCTGCAGGTCAGGTTCAAAGAGGAATCCCCTATGCAGAGAACAAAGGCTAACATGTCTCTAGGTGGTGGCACAATTCTTGGAGGGTCCTATCAGAAGCACAATTGGGACGGTCTGCCTGATCCGAACCTTGCGAACCGAATTATGAAGCGAGCAATCGCCATTTGCCCCAAGCTTGTTAAAGAGGGAGAGGGAATCGAGGGACTTAGCATTATTCGTCATGGCGTTGGTTTGCGACCCCTCCGTGATGGTGGCCCTCGTGTTGAGAAAGATCAGGTTGACGGTGTGAAAATTGTTCACAATTATGGTCATGGTGGATTTGGTTACCAAGCTTCGTTCGGCTGTGCAGCAGATGCAGTGTCCCTGGTCAAGGAGGTCTTGCAGAGCAAGAAGCATTCTAAGCTCTGATATAGTTAGAGTGATAAACTATGAAGTGAACAGCCCAGTTCACCATAATTACTATTCCTGGTTAACCGAGGCTCGGTAATTAAGCTTTAAACCTTGGTTGTCCTACTTCTATTGGCAATACCCTCCCTTATGCAAGTGTGACGTCAAGATTCATTGATAGCATATATCCCTTTTGTCCATAAGTCAACTACCCCAACTTGATCTAATTGCTTCCTAGACTTACTGATTTATTTGGCTGTTCGAAATGGTGTCATCCACTAACAGCACCTCCTCGGACGACTACGAAGATGAGATTACATCACCCATTCAATCCGTGATTTCGGAGTTTGGTCAGCCACCGTTGGCTGGGACAATCATAACCAATCAGGCGCACTTAGATGCGAGCCCCGACACGGTGCTCGCAATGGTGCTAGATGTTATTGTCAAGTCACGTCCTATCTCGCATAATCTGGCTGAAAAGACTATCAACCATCTACTCGAGGAGGGCTATCACCATATCGACATACTTGCCACAACCACATGGGAGGAACGCACAAAGGTACTAAGAGAAGGGGGGTATAATCGGTATCGAGAACAATGTGCCACTTATCTGGGTTCGCTTTCAGATATTGTGGCAAATAAATATGGTAGGTGGCGCTTGAATCTTGGACCTGGGTTGTATGGGATACTGAAATATGGCATACTAGATGGGGACCTAAACAATCTGCTGCACGCTGCACATGGGGATCGAGAAAAGGTTCGCACCCTGATGAAGGAGTTCAAAGGGGTAGGAGACTTGGGAGTGGAACTATTCCTCAATAATGTGCAGAGCATCTGGCCATCAATTGCGCCTTTCCTCGATTCACGTAGCCTACAGACGGCTGAAGAGATTGGCATCGGCGGAGACTTGAATGCTATCTATGGGACCTTAGGCGAGAAGCCCGAGGAGATGAGCGTGCTTGCCAATGGTCTATCGACCGTGCGCCTTGAGAAGAAGAAAATCTAGCGTGAACGAGGAACTGCGGATAAGCGTTGGCTGCCGTGCTCCAAGAACATTCATCATGTATACTCAAATCCCAAGAGCTCTGATTCTCTGGAGGCACTATCATTTTGGGTTTGTCCGTTTCAGCTGCCTTGGCTAGGCACTAAAAGAAAACATGTAGTTTCATTAGGCATCACATATTTCTTCCACGTCACCTGAACTCCTAAATATCACACCTGCCTAGTAACCAAAGTAATTGGCAGTGATTGACATTGATTCCAATGTAGATCTTGCCCATACAGGGGCAAAAGGATAGGGCTCGACCACGCTATTTTCAGCCCCTCACGTGATCTGCCCAATGCGCGCTGAATCAGCCACGGGTGGCTTGGCAAGACCCGCTGCTTGCGACAGCACAGCTGCTCTCGCTCTCCACGCTTCTCAATCCCCTGTTCTATCTCCTTCCCACTAAAGTGCCGTCTTGGCTTTTCTCTGATCTCTTCTCTCCATACACCTGCGCGATTGCTCCCTTGGACCCATTTTAGGTATGATCTTGGCTTTCCAGCCTCTCCACTCCCCGGAAACCTGTCTGTGCCACTTCCGACACAAACAAAGAACAATCATGCCGGCTGGCCCGACACTAATAAAAGACTAGTGAACTCACGAACCACTTGATCCATCTTACCTGTCTCCTTCACTACCGTTCAAGACATCTACCTAGTCACCAAGATCTCGAGACCCTGACGATCATTGGATACCCAATCTGAAACGTCATCAAAATGGACTTCTCAAACATCTTGTATGTGCTGGTCCTTTCGAAACTAGCTTTGCGATGGCGGAGCTCCCATTCGACCTCGAATGGAAGCTTGAGAATATAGCATCAATGCGGTCATACTAACAACTCGCCAGTCGTCTCGTCAACATCGTGGTGGGTGTGATCATGGTGCTGGGTGGCATTAGCCAGTTCTTCCCAACCTCCATGAGCTCCATCATCGTCGGAGTATATGTGATCATCTTCGGTGTTGGTATGACGTCCTCACTTGTAATATCAGAAAGTCTAAGTCGTGCTAATATTTTGGCTCAGTTGTCGCCGGTCTGGAGTTCATGCCCAACGTCCCCGACTATGCCTACCGTTACGCCTCGTTCCTGTTCTCCTTCCTGGGCCGTGGTATCTGTAAGTTATGATTGGTCGCTTTCCTGGCATGCGACTTCTCAACTAACCCTCGTCACTAGTTTACATCTTCGTCGGCTCCATCCTGTTGCACGACATGGTGCTGCGTTATATTGCCGGCTCTCTCGTTGGTCTCATCGGTGTTGGCTACCTCGTCCTCGAGTTCATTCCATCCATCGAGCCCCCTTCGAACATGCGCGAATCGGACCAGGGTTGGGGTGCTGAGCAGGTCTAAAGGCGCTCTGGCGCAACAAGCATTGAAGTGTCATTTCTACCCACGAAGTGACGGCATGGATAATGGAGAGTTACCACGCTCTCTGCAATTCATGGAAAGTGCATAGTTGTCAGCGTTGGATTTCTCGCAATGCGTTATATGATGGATGAACGTTGCCATGACAATACAGGTGTTTTCTCGGTCCTTGTTGAAGAGCGGCTGGACTCGGGATGATCGGTTTGTCGCGGATGAAGAGGGTGCCTTCTCTCTTTCTTTTACCTTTTTCCTTTTGCAGTTTGAATTTGTTTAATTGAGATACCTGTGGATCCAACTCTGGATGCGACTCCATTTGGGAAGATACTGTACTATAGTTGAATGTGGCTAGACCATGGCGACATCAAATTGACCAGCTACGGGCCCTATGATATATACAGTCAAACTCTATTGTGCATGTATCGAGTGGATAGGGAGGCTTGAGTGGAGCTGTATTAGATTAAAATAGCACCAGTATCACTATTTGCAAGGGCGTTTGCTAACTAGTGGATCAATAGCCTCGCTTTGCCAGGCCACTCCGTTTGCGATACGTCACCTGATTTATACCTCTAGGGATTTATATCCTCGGGAGGTTCTCAGGGGCTATAACACCACGGCACCTGGCATTGATGGACAGGTCTGAGCACTGCCGGACAGAATAAGCTTAGACCTCGTGGACAAGGGCACATGTACAACCCTCCTTTAAGCCCAGATCGTATCCTTTGCCATGCGAGTCATAAAGTACGAACCGTGCGACCCGATCTGCGCAGGGGACCGGTCCCAAGAAGGAATTAACGTCATTCTAGCCCTGCAGAGTAAAAAACCTCGCTTGAATTTTGAATTTTTAAGTATTAGTAAAACGAAACAGCGTGGCCTCATACCGGATGGAACCCGCCACTGCCGAGAACCAACGAAATCGACGAGATTGTTGCTTACACGGAGCGGAAAGTCGGCTCCGCCAATGACAGCGCATCTAAATATGCTTGCCTACGCTTTGGCCCGCCCACACCTCGCTCGGGAAGGGGAATTCCCACTGTATTTCGCCCCCCTAAACTTCATCAGGAATCGGTGGAGTCTGCGCTTTCGATCTGGGGAGTGACAGTGTTGGAAGGGGCTTATCGGCGATCAGAGATTTTCGGCAATTGGCAGGGGAAAAAAAAGCAATATGCAAATCATGAAAAAGTGACAGGTGAGAGTGTAGAAGGACGAGTAGTCAAAAGCCCAGAGATTAGATGAGATAGCGAAAATGCGATTAGACTGATATGATAGTCTCCGTCGATCCCCCCTTCGTAGATCGATAAACCCAAACTCCCCGTAATCCCCTTTGCTCGATAAGCCCAGGCTTCTCGATCTTCTCTTCTATTCACATCCACTATCCACTTCAATTCGTCTTTTCTTTTTGTCTCCCTCTCGTCCGTTCTGCCTTCGGTCCTCCCTTTCGCATTCCTTCCCTCCCGTTCCCCTACCGTGTGATCACCATCCTGCAGGACCCTAACCAACTCGGTCTAATCCAAGTTGTCTAGCCTCCTGCACCATCTTCGAACGACTTTCCCCTCCCCCAGGACGCCAAGTCAGCCCAGCCTGCTGCGCTGTCAGCTGTCGCAATCGCCATCACCTGACCGTTCCGGACTACTGGGTCGCCACATTCTTGGATGATATCGGGTTCTTGGGTGCCTCGTTGATTAAAAAACCATTGTTCGATCCTGGTCGCCTCAGGTGCCCCTCCAACGCAAACACCATTCTCCCTCGCCCTATCTCTCACCGGCGGCTCGAAGCCCTGCATTCTCTCTCCCGCTTGCTTAACGCCGAGCACCTTGACCGACATTTGCCCTTTGTTCTATCTGGGTGATACGGTGAATTTTGCTTCCGACTGTGGTACCACATAACCCTTTCATTCAGTCGATCCATTTTCTTTTCTCACTTTCGCCGATTCGTATCCTGGTCTCTTAGCGCTCCGGAATCGGGGGCCCCTTCAGATTATCCCCCATTCCTTGGAGTCGAAGAATCACGTTCCTGGGCGAAAACAAGTGGTTATGCTAGCATCCATTCCAATGGAACCGGTGCGCTCTCTCCCCCGGAACACTAGTGTTCCCATGCGCCAACCCTCGGCGGAAGATCTGGACGCTGCCCAGCAGTTGGTTTCGTCCGCACAGGCAGGCCGTGAACATTTGGCAGATCAATATGGAGACACCTCAATAAAATTGTCTGGAAGCCCTCCAGTGCACCACGGGCCTGGATCGGCGTCGGGGCTGTCCGAGGGTCGATCAGAACAGGAAAGGACTTCTCCACGGGGCCAAAAAGATACGTCTTTTCTGGGACATTCATGCAGGTACGTTTCTTGTCAAAACGGACGTTATCTCGTGTAGATACTGATATGATTTAGCAATTGTGGAACAAAAAGCACTCCCCTCTGGAGACGATCTCCAACGGGAGCCATGATTTGCAATGCCTGTGGTCTTTACCTGAAAGCTCGCAACGTCGCTCGTCCTACAAAACGAAATCGCGTCCAACAGACCCTTGACGGTCCTGAAAGCAAACCCCCCACTGCTCCTCACGAACATACAACAACATCAGAAGGCGGTTGCAAGGGCTCTTGTCCTGGTGGTGGAAGCTGCAACGGCACCGGTGGCGCAGAGGGTTGTGATGGTTGTCCCGCATACAACAATCGCATTTACAAATCTGCTCCTCGGGGGGGTCCTCATTCTTCTTGGGGTCGCACTTCAACCCCTGATGCCGGACAAACGCCTCCTCCGCCCGTCGCTGAGGCTCCGGCGAAGAACACTGCTGTTGATAGCAATGGAACATTGGTTGCGTGCCAGAACTGTGGGACAACTGTGACTCCACTGTGGCGACGAGATGAGCAGGGTCATCCTATTTGCAATGCCTGTGGTAGGTCCAATCTTGAATTGCTCTTATCTATGTTATCTAACAGAAGAACAGGCCTATACTATAAGCTCCACGGCTGCTACCGTCCCACAACCATGAAGAAGTCGATCATCAAGCGTCGGAAGCGCGTCGTTCCAGCCCTACGAGATCAGTCCCCCACTGCTGCGACTCAGTCCTCCAATGGCTCATCGGCCTCCCCCGAAGCGTCCCCAGCGGCTTTGTCTCACGTACAGGAAGATCATTATCGATATATGAGCAATGAGCCTGATCATTATAGTGGAATATCCGGACGAGGTCTACATGAAGATGCACCGCGGCCCTTGCCCTTTGCTCCACCTCCAGTGGATTTCACCGGCTATGTTAGCTCTGCTCCCATGCATCACCACCAATTTCCCAAGCTTCTCGAGCCCGAGCGATTGGGTCATTCGCCCGTTCAATTCGCGCGACGATCTGCGTCTCCTAATTCCCTTGCGCTTCCTAAGAAACGCACTTTGGCTGAGACATCGGAAACACTTCCACCCACACTTGGAGCTGGTTCAAATCAATTGCCACCCATTATGTCCTCGACCAATCCTTCCCCTCCGGGTCGCCTGAGCTCAATCTCATCCATTTTGAACCAGACGGAACGTCGTGATGACTCTCGTGTGGACCTCTCGCCTATGGGTCGGCCCCAGCCCTACCAAGCACCTATGCATTCGGCACCTCACCCGCCGCAACATTTACCCGGAATCTCTTCTTTTTCGGACCACCCACCGGGTGAACGCCGTGCCATGTTGGAGCGGGAAGCCGAATTGATGCGCGAGGCACTGCGCGCTAAGGAGCGAGAATTGGCCCAGATGGGTCGGTAATACATCAGCTCCAACGAGTGATGAAACGAAACTAATGAGATTTTACATTTTGGGTTTGGGGTGGAGGTTCCTCCACATGATGCGGCGCAAATGCTCGGAGATTTGCGCAAGATACCACTGACTTTTGCTGGGAATATGGATCCCTCACTGTTCTATTACCTTTCTTTAAAAAAAGTTCTGGAAGACGAATTGTACGCTACAATGGATTGCTCCTTTAATAAACAGTTCCCCTGCGATTTCAACCTTTCTTTCTTAACATGAAGCGTTCGGCCCGAACCGAAAAATACCTATGTCATCATGACTTGCAAGCCATCCATCCGAAAACCTCACTTTAAGATTATAGCACTAGACTTCACACCAAGCAACCATGACCACAAACACCTTTACCCTAACATTCCTCGGCGATGTCATGCTAGCCCGCCTAATCGACCAACTCCTCCCAAACCACGTCGCCAGTCCAACAGACGCCCGCACCGCCGCCCACTTCAAATCCGAATATCCATCTCTATCATGCGCAAACTATACTCCCTCTGCACCATGGGGCACAACACTCCCCCTCCTCCGCACCTCTGATCTCCTCTTCATCAACCTCGAAACATCAGTAACCACCACTACTTACCCATGGCCAAACAAGGAATACAACTACCGTTTGCACCCAGCAAATCTAGCCCCCGTCCTCCACGCCGCAAAAGTCGACTACACTAGTCTCGCCAACAACCATATCCTCGACTACAGTACAGAAGGTCTAATCGAGACGGTATGGACACTAAAAGAAGCTGGTATCTCTTTTGCGGGTGCAGGCGAGAATATCGATGAAGCATATAAACCCGCAACACTATACCTTCCACGATCGGTGCAAGAATATCATTCCCGACGGGTAGATGGGGAAAAAGTGCTATCTACTAGGTGGGGTAAAGACGAGAAAGAGGTACTAAATGATCCTGGGACGGGATATCCAGTTTATGTGTATTCGGCCTCTGATCATCCCCAGGAATGGGGTGCTACCGTCCCAATTTTTCATTTCATTGAGTATTCGTCGGCAACGAGGGAGCGGTTGCGCAGGTTGATGCTGAGAAGTGGGGAAGCGGTGCAGGGTGGTGGGTCGGCGGCGCCTGCACTTAAGATCTTCTCGGTACATTGGGGCTCGAATTACACTTGGTGTCCTTCTGATCAGATCCGGTCTTTGGCACACTTTCTTATTGATGAGTGTGGGGTCGATATTGTTCATGGACATTCATCGCATCATATCCAGGGCGTGGAGGTTTATCGTGGGAAGGTGGTTATATATGGTTGTGGGGATTTTGTGGATGATTACATGGTCCGTGAGAAGTATAGGAATGATCTTGGTGCTGCGTGGAGAGTTATTATTAAGGAAGGTGAGGATAAAAGTCTTATGCTGGATCGATTGGAGATATTTCCTACTCGAGTTGATCAGTTTCGAGCCAATCTGCTTGAAAAAGGTGATAAAGATCACAGATGGATAAGGGAGAAGATCCGGGAATTGAGTGGGGAGTTAGGGACTACTGTAAGCAGCGATCTAGGGGAGCAAGGACAGATCCTTATTGATATAAGGTGAACCGTGTAGGTTCTGTGTAATTCTTCATATACATCGAGAAACAAAGTGATATCAAAATAATCAAACATCCTCCCACCAGACCCAGAAATAAAGAAACCTTCAATAAAGAAATGAGAAGTCGTCGCAATGCAGTCGTAAAGAAAGGTGCGCGTATATGCCACCGCTAGAATGTACAGAGAAAGGTAAAAAAGAAGGAATGCATTACGAGTCCATAACGAGTCTTCGCTCGCTGATGTTCTCATCTTGCTTGGTGGTCTCCTGCATGACTGTCATCTCGGTGGTAACTTCAATACCACCAAGGGAGCTCCGACTCGACCGGTCACGATCACCGGGCTTGACATTGATCGAATAAACATCATAATCACGATCTTCGTTCTGGCTGAACAACTGGCTCTGCTGCCGTGCTGAACGGTGGCCAGTAAATCGGTTGGCGATGGGAGTAATGGGGTCATTGCCCGTGTAGCGATTGTAGCTGTTCGTCGAAAGAAGCTTAGGGAAGAGTGCGCTGACGATGGGACGGAGGAAGGGTAGACAGGCGCAAATGATGGCGACGTTGCATTCGGCTGCGGTCCAGTAGGCTGCTCCGACATTGCTGTAGGATGTATCTGTGCTGCTAGCGACGGTTCGAAGACTGGAAAGACGGAGAATGCTTGTGATAACGACACTAAACAAAATCAGGTCAGTGGTTGTTTCGTGATGCTTTCTGGGGATTTAGGCTTCGCGTACAGGATACCAATAGCAAAGACGCCCATGAGCGCAATCTTCTGCATGCGTGGGAGCTGGAGTGCGGAAAGGAGTGGCATCGGAAGTAGAAGGAGAGTCACATCTGTTGCGATGTTCATGGACGCATTGAAGAACCAGACGGCGTCGAAGCTGAGGCAGTGGCCGGGTAAGTTGGGGTCCCAGAATTTGGCCACTGGCACACAGTTCACGTAGCCGCTGACGACGGCCCAGGTTGAGTATGTGGCGACGATTGCCATTATGACATAGCAGGAGGTGCGAAACCAGCGGGCAGGGAAGATGCGGAGATATTGGAAAAGAATGGAGAATTTTGTGAATCCGAGACTGGCGTTGTACAATGGGATAGCGGCCCATAGGCACTAAGAGGGTTTAGTATAAGTGTATAGCGGAAGAAATTCCTTAATTGTACCTTTAATTGTTGATGTACAACGTGTGTTGGGAGATATTTCTCACGGGTTCCCATTCCGTAGTGCAGCTCTAGTTCAGAGTTAATCTCTGATATCACAAAAAGCATAAGATTAAACATAAGCAACTTACGACCACCGACGAGTCCGCAATAAGCGAATGATAGTACCAAAGCGCCCAGAATAGCCCAGTCTTCACGACCGGTGATTTTCATCAACCCGAATCGTGCATAACACCGCAAGGCCACAATCAGCGCAGCCAGTCCGGTGAGAACCGCTGTCACCACCATTGCTCGCTGGCCACGGGCATGACCATCGCCCTCAGAGCGAGGGACCAATTCGTGTAAAATGGAGTCCATGTTGACCGGTGGAGATTTAATAAAGGAGCGAAATAAGAAAAAAGGAGTGTCGTCGAGGGATGTCGCGTTTCCTGTTTAAACAGGAACCAAATCAAACCCTCTATAGATTGAATCACCGCATAAAGGCGCTCACGATATTATCGACTGGAATCAAAAACTTTGCAACCTAAAGTCGTACGACAAAAGGGAGCGGGGCAGCTTCTTTTGAATGGCGTAAAGCCTCCCGAACTGGGCGCACAGTGGAGTCGATCTGTGTGTTCATGCAGGAATCTAAAGGTAGGATCCCTGTGTCGCTTGGCTTCATTCTCCACAGGGTTTGAATAGCGTCGCCAATAGCGCACGATCAAGCAGCGATCCTATGCAAATCCAGGTGCCGACTCGCGGGATTTCGGCTCCAGTGCGCGCCATGTGGTCCCCGGATGGAGTCGCATTCCATGTAAAGCACGCCTGAATGCACCGAAGCCCACCATCGAAGAACTCTAGCGTAAATTTTGACCCCTTGTTCCCCACTGCATCGTCACCCTCAGTGGGTCCTTGGCCACACAGAATCCAGGAATGTGCTGCACATCAATGGAAAATTGGGGGTTTGATTGGGGTGACTGCCAGCGTTCCATGGAACGCTGCTGTCTTCTCAACTTCCCCTGTCAAGCATGGATTGGGAACGGGCCTCTGCTCTGGACCCGCTGGAACAACTGTTGCACGAATGTCTGAAGTTCTTTGGCCTGTGTTTCTCATGCAGGAGATTGTCCGCGTTCTCCGTCTGCGTCACCGCTCAATGGAGATGTTGATGAATCACATTGTTCACGCGTCTCGAACCTTCGGAATTCCCCAGTCCGCTCTATGAAATAAAGCCTGAATGACTAATGACCCCCCTTAATAAACTTCACGGTCTGAGACGTCAAGTTTGATGAGTGAGAACCGTGATTTTCATGTGGGTCATGCCTGTTCAAGTAAGCACACATCAAGCCACAAAATAATCCGATATTGACTCCAGCTTTCCTTGTTCTCGCCATGAGCTTTCCCCGCCCGTCGGGGACCTTGCGATGCGAACTATTGAGTATCGAAACTCCAAGCGAGGATAAGCGCTGACGATCAGTGACCTTGTCAACCGCGTTGAACCCGTCCCTGTCAAAACACCCCACATTGGATTGCCACTGCCATTCAATAATGCGGCCTATTTCTCCACAGCGGAGCTCCACTCCTCAAGCAGTCCGCGCACACGTTCAAATTCATAATTCATGCATTATTGGCCCTAGTAAATATTCTTGGTCCCGTGGCTTTGACCTTATCCCTTCGCCATGCATCAAGATACCAGTAGTACGAGATATGCTTTGGGGTCCGTAGAATTAAGTTACCTCGGCCCCTCTACCACTAGCGAGGATCCGCCATGTCGGATAACCTATTAAACGCTGTTTGCCGACCAAATGATCCACGGATTTTCAATATTACGGACGTGGCTGAATTCTCCTCAATGCACCTTTCTGCTTCCGGCTATCGAGTGGACATCTTTGAAACTAGAATCTGGTGGCGTTTTCCTAAAATTGTGGGAAACTACTGTGAATAATGATGTTATTTGAGATGTTGTTATTCTCCGCGGGAACCAGTCTCCCCTTGGGGATCTAGAGCCCCAGGTTCAAGGTGCGTAGGTACGTGTAAATGCACAACAGATTATAAACACTGGTGTCGGTGACTTTTTGCCTATCTTGGTAGTAGTGTATTATCTCTCCCAGGTGGGGTCTTCTTATCTGAGGTAGCTGCCACTGGCCTTATGTTGGCGCTCAGGATTAAGCTCATGAAATCAGAAGACAAATAGAGATAACGACCCGAGATATTCCAACCATTCCAAGGTAGAAATTGGGATGTTTTTCGGTCACAATTCTATATACAACGAGAGCAGCTGGGTTGCTAGATCATGAGCATGGAATGCCATAGTTATCTAATCATGTATGACAGATTGAAAGCACTTCGCCGTTCTCTCAGACTGCACTGGAGCAAGGCCTCCATAAGGCTGCAAAGAGTATCAGAAATCATTTTATATACCCTATCTATCAGCCCTGGAGGGCGGTTCTTAGAATCGCAGGCCTTACCGAGCAAGATGCTCAAGGTATTTTCTTTGATATTTGTAGCTACATTATCGAGGTAGCCGTCTCCGTTGAGATCTTTGACTGCAAATTCTTCTGAATTATAGTGCACAACATGATACACCAGATAAACAAGCCCAGGGATGTAATTGTATTGTTCCTGTCACCAAAAGCAACTAAAAATCCAAGAAAAGCCCTTCATTGTCGCCATTGACTCTAATCTAGATCACCTTTTTCTCTTTCCTGTAAGATCGGGTGAAGAATTGCACAAAGAGATAAATCAGCGGCAAAACATATAGGTTCGTCATAAAAAGGGGAGTAGCCTCCCCGCTGTCACTCAGGCAGGGGATCATAGTGTCGCTGGACCCAACTGAAGAATTAACGTAGCTGGCATGAGAGCCAATTGCTGGCGTCAAAGGATTACCAACAGGCTTTTTTGCTTCACTCGAAGGAACCGTATAGCCCACAAACAAATAGGCGAGGCTCCAAACCATACCCACGAGAAACTGGGCAATTTGAATACCGGTTAGAGAGCGTTTGATGTTCATTGAGACCTGAATTCCAATCGTCTGGAGGGCGAAATACGAATACTAACTCAACATTGTTAATATTTCATGGTAACGTTCAGGTGACTCAACTGACCATCAAGGTATGAACTACTGCATTCAATGCCACCCCGACGAAACCCACAGGAGATTCATAAGTTACGGCTGACCATCCACACAGAATCACGCCAGCATGATGATATGTTTGCAAAGTTGAACTTTTCTTTCCCTTCATGAGAATGATCAACGTGTCAATGACCTCGTAGTATTTGCTCAGGTAGAAGACACAGCCGAAGTACATGGCTCCCTGGTCTACGAAGCTCTTTGCATCCGTTGAAACTAAGGGGGGTTGTCAGTCAGATGAATCATTGTAGTGAATGGTAATATTATATCCAAAAATCTGAATAGGTGATCGGACTCACGTTGAAATGCGGCCGTGTCTGATTGACACATAAACTCCACCATACTAGCGTAAAAATTGTGTTGCTCTACCCGAGGGCCGTGAGCAATGACCCCATGTATGATTCCAATAATGACCCATGCAGAGAAGATTGCCAGCATGGAGTTATGCACAAAGACAAATGCCTTGAAAAAACTTGACTTGCTGATCGCCCATGGCCTGTATTGTCGGCTGGCGTTATATTGGTTCAAAAACAAGACCGTTGTAACGTACGCGAGGATGAAAGTGAGAACGAATCTCAGATCTACCACGGTATGAAAGATGTCAGGGGTGATATCAAAAAAGTAGAAAATCTTTGGCTCGTGCATATTCGAGGGTGGAGCACGGAGATGCGGTGCTACTTTATGAGGCTGACTTGGAAACTTGAATATCTCCAGCGAAGGAAGGCCAAGTCTCACCGAGCCGTGGGTGGTAGAATTATGCATGGTGGACGGGTTCATTTATCGGTCATGGACAAGATTCAAGGTTGTTCTAGGAGAGCCTTGAGGCTGGGGAGGGGTTTGCTTATATACTTGAGAGCATACACATCGACCTCGGCAGTCCAATAATTCTGACCTCTCATCACCGAATATTAAGCGAACTTTGAGGAAATCAGACGAAAACTCTACATGTGCACTGGCCCAAGTTTTCCTGCGGGAATTTGCCTATCTCAAAGGCTACTTGTGACCTGATCAGCCGTTTCTGCCCCAAGGTGAATTTACTTGCAGCTGCCGTACGAGGTAGATCTATGCAGAGTCAGCTACGCCACGACGTTCTTGGACGTCGAGCCAATAAAGACTATGGGAATCCTGCAGCAGGAAGACGCAAACATTGGTTTTTCCTCTGCACGTTTTACGCAGCAAGGCTTCACAGAAGAAATATATGCACGAGTGTATCACATCAACTCACCCTATTTGCTTTTTTCCAAAATCCAGCCCAACCATTCGCATCGGAAATTCTAAGCGATATGCGGATAGATAACAGCTGGGCTTAACTACTCCTTCTTTTGTACACCTGACCCCTGGTCTTGTCGTGTGATGGAATGAAACTTGATTCCACCTCCGAACCCAGCTCTGACATGTCGATCAATTTGCCTCCGATTGGCCGTTGACAGGTATAAATATTTGATTGCGATAATCCCCTAGATTTTATGACCTGGCCTACATTTGTGAATATTGATTTGGACAAGATGGAACGCTACAATGTAGAAGCTGCCAAACAGCAGACTCCTAAGCAATGGGGTCGGTCATTCATGAAAACTCATCAATCTACCACCAGAGCCTCAGACACCACCAAGCCCCGCTCATTGAACTGGCCAATTGTTTTTTTTCTCATTGGCATTCCCATAGGGTCCATTTTATCTCTTTTGTGGGTTCCTATATACAAAGAGACTATTCTGATGGTGCCGGCCTGGATGGTCCTTCGAACCCTCGCTATTACAGGTGGCAAGTTGCTGTCAAAATCTATGATCTATCATCTAGCAGACATCTCTAACCAATGATTAACAGGTTATCATCGACTATGGTCTCACAGAGCCTATACGGCCAGTTCACCCCTGAGGCTAGTTCTAGCCATCATAGGTGCCGGTGCAGGACAAGGCAGCATTGTATTCTGGTGTCGCGGTCACCGTGCTCACCACCGCTACGTGGATACCGATGACGATCCTTACAGCATCAAGAAAGGCTTTTTCTACGCCCACATAGGCTGGATGCTATATGAGAACGAGGGTATTCCTTACGGTGTCCCAATCAATCGTCAGATAGACATCAGTGACCTCAAAGCGGACCCGATCGTTCGATGGCAGCACCGTAACTATGTCCTTTTATTCCTCCTTGTGGGCTATCTTGCTCCTTCGCTTGTCTGTGGTCTACACCATGGGGACTATCTAGGTGGATTTCTCTACACAGGCTGCCTTGCAGTAGCTCTAGCGCAACAAGGCACTTTCTGCGTGAATTCCGTTGCGCATTGGGTTGGAGATCAGCCATATGCATCCGAGAAGTCTCCAAGACAGAGCCATTTAGCTGGCCTTTTGATGCTTGGGGAGGGCTATCATAATTTCCATCACGAGTTTCCGATTGATTATCGGAATGGGCCTCAGTGGTATGATATGGACCTGACCAAGTGGATGATCTGGACTCTTTCTCAGCTGGGGCTGGCCTCCAAGCTAAGGCGCTTCCCACGAAATGAGATTGAGAAAGGCAGGATCCAGCGGAAGTGGGAGGTGTTGAACTCGGAAGGCAAAACGGTAAATTGGGGTGTACCGCTTGAAAAACTCCCGATTATGGAATGGGAGGAGTTCCAACAACAAGCGAGAACAGGGTGTAACTTGGTTGTGATCAAGGGGGTGGTGCACGACGTTTCGGCATTTGTGACTGAGCACCCTGGAGGCACAGCTTTGATTACAGGTGCGATCGGCAAGGATGTGACGGAGATGTTTGAGGGTGGAGTATATGCTCACTCCGGTGCAGCTGTCAATCTTCTAGATACTATGAGAGTGGCCACGCTCACACCGACCAGATCCACCTAGGGAGATGTTCTGACTTTCCTTCTCGTATCAATTGAATGTTTTAACTCGGGAAATATCATCTCCGTTTTTTACGAATGATCTACATACAATAATTACACCGTGAAGCCACAGGGCCGGGGCAAATGGGTCAGCTGGGTAGTGTGAGCTCTGAGACTCCACCTCGTATTCTGGACTTGCATGTCCAGTAGCGCGAAAATACTTAGCTGATTTCAGCCCATGGAAATCTCTCATTCGTGTAAAACTTTGAGCCGACATTCAAATTTGCAACTTCTCAGCCACAAGGTAGATCACCTACCGAAATGTTTCCTGCTGAAGTCACGTATACCACGAATTTTTGTAACGCCGTTGCAGGAAACACATTTGAACCTCGAGGTCCGTCTGGGCATATTACACCTGCAAAATTTCGTAATCTAGGTAGACTTATCGTATTTCACTACCTCATCGGCCACCCCAAAACACCGCAGTACATATATACACCAGTGTATCTCAATAACCACGCACTACTTACTGTATAGATAGCTTTTTATAAGACGTATAACCGCCGTATATTAACTTCAAGGCAATCCGAAAGCGGAATTGTACACGTATCGGAAATTAAGTTGCCGAGAGCTCGTAAAAGCGCCAAGTCATTTCTATCTAAATAATTAGGTAATTTTGAACTCGCCAAATAGGCTTAATCCCACCAGAAAGGCATTGGACCACTAGGAAAAGGTAAGGAGGCCTTTATACAGCACGGCTGCTGGGATAGATAGTTGTAATTTAACGCCTTAACTAAAGTGTTTTGGGGTGACCAATTCGGTAACGAAATGCGTTAACAAGAATTTTACTATCTTCACTCACAAACGTATATTTCCACCTCTACACTTCATAGCTTTCACCTTCAGCAGTTCTTGATGCTGACAAATCACCTACATCATTTGACACACATGTGGTACACAGAACTCTCGAATTAAGAGAAGCTCATCACTCTAGTCTCTAGACATGGCGCTCCCGCCCCATCAACAACTCGTTCCTCCGAATGACACCGATGCTGGGAACTTCGACCGGAACGATCCTGAGTCAATATTCAGGTCTCTCGGTTGCGGGGGTCAAAGTTCCCTACCCATTCCAAAGTCTGTATCTCCTGAATATTTTCGTCAAGAGGCATCCGCACATGCGACCCAAATCGGGGTGAGCTTTACCTCATTAAATGCGATACTTGCTCGTCATGAGGCTTGTATCCGCAAGAGGTGGCTTAAGAAAACCAGGCAGCAGAGGCTGAAGATACTGCTAACAGCGTGGCCGAATATGCCAGCGACCCACCGCCCTGATTTTGATGCTTTCCACAAAACAAGGAATACGACCGTAGCAGCGACGCGACATATCGGCAATGCTTTATGTGGCCGTATGTCAACCAAGAGGATCTTTTGGATCCACAAACACTGCTACTATTGCTCAATTCGCGTGGTCGCCATCTGCCCCCGAGTTTTGCCGGAGCAGACGTAGATGCGATGCATCTAGGGATCGTCTCTCATGCAATCGTGCCAGTCTTCCTGAACGAACATGTCATGATTTTAAACGAAGTGACTGACTTGTCTGAGTACGGGAAGCTCATGGAGTGGTCAGAGCACCCGGATGCATTTGATTGGATGTACACACAAAAGCAATTCCACCCTGGTGAGGGCCTGTTGGTATTGGAGACACAGCAAAAGCTGCTCCAATTTCTCTGTCGATGCTGCATTGAGCTTCTGCACGATATCCCCGAGTCGGACTTACTCGGGATCTCGTTCCCGATTCTACCGGAACCGGTGCTAAAGTCGGAGGGGGAGGTCAATGGTTCTGAGTCATTGGGAGTGATGGCCACGGAAGCGCCATACCGCGTTCCAGCCCAACTGGATCTGGCTCATGTCCAGTCGCTGCTGGCTGCAAGGGCATCTGCAGCCGAGGATCACATCTGGGCTTTGCGAGAGGATCCCGACTACTTCGTGACGAAGCTTCTAGAGCTCAAAGATCACCGCCAGGAGCTGCTGAGAGATCTGTATGGTGGGAGTGACCCAATCCTAGATCGAGCCCAGAGACGTCTTCTTTGGACGCGAGTGATCGGCTCGATGGTGTCGGATGCGTATCTCAAGCTGGAGTTGTCCTCCGAGCTCAGTAACCAGGCTAAAAATTTGGCTGCTCTACAGCAGCGATATGCAGGAGAACTATCCCCCCTGAAAGAGTTGCCGGAAGAGTATAAGGCTGCCTTGCTACGCTTCCATCTGTATCTCCATCAAGTGGTGAAAGGACCTCTAGGCAGTCTCAAGTTCACTGCGGTGGCCTCCCCGCCTCTCCGAAAATTCTTTGCTCGTCAGCCACCACCGGACGCCTATACTACGAAGATTATAACGGTATCAAAGCCTGGCATTAGGATGGACAAAGTAGAGCAGCGAGTCACTGATTTGCTTCGCTTGCTGTGGGAGGATGGTCAAGATTTATTCCTCACGACGCTGCCAGTGGTCATAGATGAGCTTGATCGACTGCAACGGTCCAGTCCGCGGGAAACCACAGCCATCTTCAGTGCCCGTCGCAGAATCGGAAGTGCTCCTGCAACCCAATTCCGCGGATCCCCAGCCCACCTTCACCGTTGATGCGCGCGCATTCAAGGTTTTCCGAACGATCTTCTTCAACCCTGCTATCACGTCCACACCTGGAGAGATTCCATGGAATGACTTTTTGCATGCGATGACATCGGTCGGCTTTACGGCGATGAAGCTATACGGATCTGTCTGGAAATTTGAACCAACCGGACTGGATGTCGAACGAAATATACTGTTCCATGAACCTCACCCCCGGGGCAAAATTCCTTTCACGATGGCTCGCCATTATGGGCGCAGATTAAATAGAGCATATGGCTGGTTCGGGGGATTGTTCAGCTCATAGTTTGAATATGTGAACTCTTTAACCCAAATGCTATTCTTGAATTATTTCTCATTTTTGAGAGCCAATGTCTGGCGATTCTTTTTATCACCCAAAATGTCTGCCAGATTCGGAACGAATGATCACCTCAAATTGCGGTCTAAATTGCGCTTCAAATTATAATTCGTCTGCTTTGTCGCATTCATACTTGAGACTGCCGCTGTGGGAGGTTAATGAGCCCAACGTACTTTTCCGAGTCCTATAGCGGGCTATTCATGACTGTATCAAATTAGGCCATAGAGGATAGCACACGCCTCTGCTCTGTAGCGAACGGCCGGTAAGAGAACCTTGTATCGTATAAGCAAATGCGCCTCTTCGCATGCAAGAGATACCTAGTATCTTTCGGCCCATACTGACTTGCTGCATGCCTGGCTGCTTCTATGTACCTTCTGCCCCGCGAGGACGCGTTACATTCTTGTATACTTGCTATCACCAAGACTTTGTTTGGCGTGTATGCTGCTGCCCTGTCATTCCTCAGCCACAAAAGCTATTAATCGCAAGCTAAAATTGCTCCCAATGACTACCGTAAGACGTATCATATCTGGCAGAGAGGTGCCCGACCATCGATTCAGGTGCCCGTGAAGCCACTATCTACTATAAAGCCTACAAGTTGCGAGTATAAGTTTGATCATGCTTAGGCAGGTTATTGACGATCACCAGTGACTTCATCTACTGCAATGTAACGGTAATTGGATTTGTCACCCAAATGTTCTCCATGGGACCATCAACTCTTAAAATCAAATTATCAATACCGGCTGGCCACTACACCCCATACAGCGACCTCATCTTTCTCTTCCTCGACAGCAGACTCGGACCCAACTGCAAGCCGTTTAGACCAACGATTGTCCGTTGTTAATCGTTTTGCGACCTCATTTGCTTCAAACAAAGTGACGAGTGTTCTCTTGCCAGGTCTTTGCCGGGATCGATCCTGACAGATTTGGAACATGATCTCCCACCTTGTTCTCGGGTCATGATCTGCAAGGAAATACCGTGAAGGACGATCAACGACAAGTTCCCACTCAGGAACTCTGTCATATCGACTTATCGGAAGCTTGCGGGGGGTTCGAGTAGTCTTATTTACCCAGGAATCCACAGCTAGATCAAGTGGTGTGCAGCCAGTTGCGTTCTCTCGGTGCAATAAATCAGGTCGTCGATCGAGCATCGTCTCCAACACCGTAGGATATCCAAACTTGACTGCAACGTGCACTGCGGTATTTCCAGATCCGTCGAGGATCTCCAACTGCTTTTGATTGCTGGATTCATCGTAGCTCATCAATAGTCTTGTCATGGCGGCCATTCTGTCATAGGTTTCTTTGAAGGCGGGATTCTGTGTGTCCCAAGTAGCATTGCTGTAGTTGGATTGCAGCCAACGCGCTAAAGGTGTCATTGATCCATCCCCGGCCCGTTGCACCAACATCAAAGGCACAAGTTTTGGATCAAGGAGGCTGACCAATGGAGCGATATCTTCCGCGTGGCTGCAGATGGTTCCTTCGATAGAATTGAGGAGAAGATGCATGATGTTACGGTTGTCGGAGTCGCGAGTCGACTGATTGGCTCCTCCGGCGATCAAAATGCGCGCGAAGCTTGTTCTATGAAGGGAGTAGGCCAGTGAAAGGGGAGTATGCCCTCCCGAAGAGCGAACCTCGAGACATTCAGGGTGGTGGTCCACCAAGTATTGAACTAGACGCTCAGATTCCTCGCAAGGTCGAGACATGACAGCACAGTGAAGCACGAGATTGTCTGCGGATTGGTTAGTAAATATTGCTATTAGAAATTCAAATCAGGCTAAGCACTCACTTCTTGTCTGCAGCCAGTTCAAAATAGATCCTTCAAGTCCTAGCTTGGACTGCGATAGCCTTTGGATGCTTTCATCTTCCATGTGCGATTTCGCATAGTTCACATAGTATCTGCCCGGTGCGGTACCAAGGAACCACTCGGTGGCTGACAGATTTCCTTGGGTGGCTGCGATCAACAAAGGTGGACGTGAGCCTGGCGGGGGCATTTCGACGACTCGACCAGCATCGGCCCAGTCCTTCCGTTTCTTTCCACGAATGGATAGACCGGGGTAGTAGAGGTGCTCTTCCTTTGGCTTGATTCCAGACTGTTCACACATTTCAGCGAGTGGAAGGCCAACTGCGGTAGTTTGAATCATTTTGCCCACGCAGTCTATACGACCCAATGCAATTGCAAGTTGGAAATCTCTCTGTGAGATGGTGAATTCAGCCTTGCCGGAGGGGTCGCTCTTTGCACATTCTTGCCCATGCTTCAGTAGGAAGTCGATGAGAGAATTGTCGTTCTTGAAAATGGCATAGCTCAAAAGCGTGTCGAGATGGAGATTGGAACAGTACCCAATGTTTGGACCAAATTCTCTGAACAAGAGTTCCGATGCATCGCCCAGGAAATTATGAGCGCCGCAGGAGCCCTGCAGTGCTGCCAAAGGGGAAATCTGGCTTTCGACTTGGGTCACGACCTCTCCGACGTTCTCATGGGTAAACTGATCATTAATAACGTGGCTGGTAATTTGCATGTCTTCGCTACTTAATGATTCTGCATCTGAGTCATTGGCATCAGAGTCCATCTCAAATTTCACATGGCCTTGAGGCTCTTTTTTCTTGTATTGAGCCTGGAGGATGTGAATGATCGCCTCTGCGGTACTCAAATGACCCCGAAGAATAGCAATGGAGAGACACGAGTTATCAAGATCATCCTGGGCTGCAATTTCAAGAGGGGGCTGGTCTTGAGATAATCCCCACATGGAGAGAGTCAACGCCTTGATTGTCTTTGTATCGCCATTCCATGCTGCCTCGAACCTGTTACCAAATGTCAGCGATTGAGAACTAACCGGGCTGAAGCTTTCATACAATTGCAGGTATCCCTCGCGCGCTGTGTCAGTCAGTACATGTGTTGAGAAACCAAAGTCAATCTTGAAGATGTTCCCCTGGTCTTGAACAGTCGGCATTTTGTGGGTCGGTGGTTGAATCAATTCTGGGTGAAGTTCTTCGACCGTCTTCGCATCTTGTGCTAACAATTCCTTCTCGAGGAGCTCGTATTCTTGAATCAATCTTGCAATAACCTCTTTTTTCTCACTGAGGCCAGGTTCATGAATGTCAGTCTTCTGTCCTCCGAAGGTCTCATCGTACTTCATCCTCGCTTCGTGAGCAGCTTTTAGTTGATGAGTCGCGAAGAATCTCCGGTAAGAAGACAGTGGATACTCTGCCAGGTATGATTCGTCGTCCTTCTCAAACACAGTAGGGCGGTTCCAGGGATTAAAAAATCCAGGGACTTCTTTGTCACCACGCAAAAATTTTCGCTTGGATTTCAAAGAGTTCCGGACGCATGTCAGAACTGTCATGTTCTTCCTCCCCCAGCCTGCGGCCTCTTCAGAATTTGGATCAGCACCCCGGCGCAGTAACTCGATAGCAACTAAAGGCATATCCCTCTCTGCGGCGTAAAGGATAGGTTGTTTAGTGCCTTGTTTAACTTGTTCCACAACATTTTGAGTGCTATGGAGGTCGCAAAGCTGAGACTTGATGGCGCTCATCAAGTATTCAAGTTCAAACTTCGGATTTGCGCCTACTTCCAGCAAATCTTTTGCGGATTTTTGATTCTGTGTTGCAATCGCATCCATCAAGGCTGAAAAGAAAATGCAGTCTGCACCAAAGAAGGTTTTTGATGTTATAGCCACATGATTAATTGCTCGCTGTAGTGCTGGGCCATCATGCTCCAAGTACACCCTAAGGAGGTCACTGTAGTTGGACTGTGCAATGTAGTGCAATGGCGTCCTCTGGGTAAGGTCTGCCTGGGCAGGAGAGGCACCGAGCTTCAGGAGTGTCCGCGACATGTCTCGTGCTTTGTCCAAAGGAAGAGCAAGGACTAGAACCAAGTTGAGTATTGCAGCCTCTGGCGTTCTATTCCAGTCATTGAGAATCTTAATTGGCGTCATGATGTCAGCTCCAAAGGAGGAAACAAGTTCCGTGACAGCATCGGTGTGGCCATGAAGGATCGCCAGTTGAAGAGGCGAAGCAAGGCTATCCCACGCAGTCGCATTGATGTCGTAGATATCAGCATCTTCTTCATCCTCTTCAAGGGTTCCATGGTTCACATCGTCACCATCCTTTTCTTCTTTCTCAACCTTGACGTAGGATGCAGAAGTGTGGGAAGCATCATCCGCGTCCTGCATTTCATCATCTTCACCTTCGGTTTTTGCCTGTTCTTTCGTGCTTTTCTTTTTCAAATCCTCTTTTCTGGACTCGGCTTCTGCATTCTCATTGCTTTTGATCAAGAGAATGCGAATTATCTCAACATTTCCCCGAGCAGCTGCCAAATGCAAAGCTGTCTTTCCGTCAGCCATGCGAGCGATTAGTCGAGCCCCATGATCCACAAGACATTGTACCACTTCCGGTGTAGATGAGATACAGGCGAGCTGAAGTGGTGTGCGTCCAGTATAATCACGGCGATCAGGGCTTGCGTCCCTGTCGGCCAAAAAGATTTTGATAGCTTCTACATCACCAGCCAAAATTGCTTGACAAAGTCGCTCAGTGTAGCCAACATAGGCCATTTCTATAAAGTGTCAGTTTTATCCAAAAGCTGCCTTTGATCTCTCTTCATACCTGTCCAGTCAGTTTCTGTAATTGGGTTGAAACTGCCAATCTCTTGGCGACCAGGGTCATCTTTCATGAATGTCACAGGGCCGGAGATATATATTCTGCTCTCCTCTTCGTAGACCTTCAGCTCTTCTTCTGTGGAAGGCTCGGGGCAGCAGCCACAGCAATCTCCAATGACGTCTGCTGCATCACCAAAGAATGCTGGGTGACGGTGTAGATAGACTGTGCGATCCTTGGGCTGATTCCACTGGGCATTCAGAAGCAGATCTTTCGTGTACAGTAGCTTTTCGATGTTGCGAGCATTGAAATGTTTGCCATATGGGATAGTCTAGTCATTGAAAGTCAGTCATATGTGCAGAAATGGGGCTGTATGATACAAACAAATGTGTGGTAGTTGGAAACTTGGTCTTCCTCTTGCCACTCAGGAACTTCATCCTCCCATTCACTCTTGATATTTCCCCTCAGTGATTTGCGTTGAAGTCTTGAATGCAGGCTCGGGGCCGGTCGACCACGCTCTGAACGCCTCTTTCCGAGGTATGACTCTCGATCGCCAGCCTTCGGAAGTTGCTCCAGAACCAAAAGTCGAGCGAGTCCCTCCGTTCGATTGAAGCTTCGTTCAAATATTGTCTTTGCATAGGTCAGTTCAAATACTTCTTCATGTGCTGGGCTGAAGTTGCCTTACAGGATCAATCTTTGATCGGTCCAGCTGCGGCCAGAATACTTCAAAGCCTCGATGACCATACTTCGAAAGTCGATTCTCATACGAGGGGGACCGCCGAGTGAGATCAATCTGATTTGCCTGGGTAATGTAGGATGCGATTGCTCGCGGGGACGCGTAGACTTGCTTGCCGTCATAGGCAGCACAAGAACAATCCACATCAAAACCAGTAAGGATCTCGGCTATTGAGTGATAGATGCGAAGCACAATCTGCACATGACGGGTAGGATATTGCGAGACAATGGTGACAGTGTTCTTTGTACGAACTGTGGTAGTTTCGTGCAAAATAGCATTCCGGATCTTATCTTCGATATGCTTGATTTTCTCGACAGCTTGCTCCTCGGTCAAACCGTAAAGAAAAAGGTCCACATCTGACGCTGGTGCGAACTTATCGTGATAATATTGGCGTAGGGCTCTCTTTGAACCGCGATGAATTTCTGGTACGGGTAGAGCAGAAGTGACCACCGCACTTCCGGCAGCACAAACATTGCTCCAGTCTAGCTCGCTCAAGGAGTTTTCCGTAAAAATGGCAAAGTTCTGTTGGAACTCGGCCAGGGTCGGGACAACGGCGGGTGAGCCATTGGGTCTGCGGATGCTGTCTTCCAGGGGTAAGATATACTTTTCCTTAGTCTCGGGCCCCTCGGAAGCAAGATCTCGTGCCCGGACCCGAATATCAGTGGAGCCGGTAGCGTTATATACTGGTACAATGTTGGCATAGTTGTCCTTCACCAAAGGATGCGATGGGCTCTGTGCGTAGATTCTGCGGGCAGCAGCATCAAATGCATTGTAAGGATTTACCAGGTCCTGGATAGGAGTCTTTGGGTGCGCCTGAACGTAAGACAAAAAGTTGGCGTGTTCCGCCGGCACTACAGGCAACGAATCCATGATGATTGGGCTGGAATGGAAGAAATGCAGAGTCAAATTCTTCCAAATCGATAGTATCGGATCATGGGATATACAAGAGTTTATGTATCAGGCTGTGGGGTGTTTGTGTTTTCCCGGAATCATCCTAGTTTGCACAGGGTCCAGGCAGCTTTAGGCACCATGCGGGCTGCCCCACTCTCTGCTTGACCATCAACCAATCGCGTGTCCCACTAACAATGATGCTAAGACTAAGCGAGGCGATTAGACCGTATTCTTGACCTAATTGGAACTAAGCAAGAACTCCTTTTATGGAGTAATAAGAGATCTATTTTGAGCCGACCGCGGACATTTTCTGGCGACGAAAAATACTCATAGACTCACTTGATCAAGGTACAGTGGATTCCAGGTGATTACCTTACAAATGATGTACAGTATAGAAGATGAACATTGTTCATAGTGGAATAAAACTAGGTGTATCTAATATATCAATCAACATATCCAAGATTATGTAACGTGCTCCTTCTCCTCCTCCTTCGGAATCCGCACCCAAACAACTGTCACAAGGAGTGCAAGCAACTGTGCTCCCATTGCAAACCACCAAATTGCTCTCAATCCTTCTATGCCGACCTCGCCATCGGCACCGGTACTAACCCGTGTACCGATTGCATCAGCAAGACTGGTCATAATCGCTGATGAAAGATTCTGATTTGTCACCAACAGACTACCCGCGCTTCCCTGGTATGAGCGGGCGACATTGCTAGTGATGAAAATCGAAGCCGCGGCAAAGGCCAGGTCAGGTCCAAATGTCACAAGCGCCATACCGGGGAATGAAAGGGCCCAGTAGGTCGTGTTGGCAGTTTGGGGTATGAAAAATGCAGGGCCCATTGTAAAGGCAAACATGGATACAGCATAGATATAGTGGCCTGGGACAAGGTGAAGGGTGCGGCTCACGATCCATGTAGCGAAGACTCCGACCACGGCGTTGGGGATGTGATAAAGTGCCACTGCGATGGGGGTTGCGTGTTGAATACGCAACCAAAACTGAATTGCGTAGAATTGCCAACAACCGAAGAACGATCCAAATCCGAGGAAATAAGCAATCATCAACGGGGTGAATCCTGGTGTTGACCACAGACGATTGGGAATCAGAGGGCGTACGGCGGCACGCTCAGCGAAGAAAAGACCGACCAGTAATAGTAGCCCCACGATGATCAGAACGTATGTATATGGTGACCAAGAAGCAACTGGTCCCTGTGTAAGTCCGAATAGTAAACACACGCAGCCTCCGGCGGCACAGCCACCCCCGATGAAGTCAAACTGTCGTAGAGTCGGCGCTTCGGTACCAGCAACATCGGCTACCGGTCTCAGAGGTGGGATGGTAAAGTACGCAGCGACACCGCAGATAGCGCAGATAATGGCGTTGGTTCCAAAGATCCAGGGAAGATTTTGGTAAAGGCCACCTCCTTGGAGTGCCCCAAGCGAGAACCCGAAAGGGCAACAGGCGGCCATGGCAGAAAATACTCGATTCTTGCGTACGCCAGGCTTGTAGACTCTACCCAAGATACTCATGCTTCCTGACACTAAAACGCCAATAGCAAGTCCTTGCATGGCTCGCACGATAAAGAAAAGAATATAGCGCGAGGGTTGCAAAGAGAAAGCCCCGACAGTGTTCCAGGCGGTCAACCAAGCAAAGGCGCCAACCATGAGACGTCTAGGGGGTGCTAGGTCTGAGAGTGATCCAGATATCACCACGGATAGGCCATTGGCGGTGTTAAAAGCACCAACAATCCACGGGAGCTGCGTGTTGGTTATGCCGAGCGCAGTCTTTATCTGGTCCTGCGGGGCGAGCATATCGCCAAGAAAGAAAGAAAAAAGCATGAGACCGGCCGAACAGACCATCACCAGAATAATTTCGGCTGTTAAACTTCGGATTTCTGGCGGCACACCTTGCCTCGTTCGGCTCGGCGAAGCCGCTTCGTCGGCAAGATCCGAGCATCGGGATACCGAGTGCTTTCGATTGGTTAAACGATGTCCAAGGGTATCGAGTTCATGCAAATTGTCGTTACTTGGATCAAGACTGGTGATGGTGTGCGATACGTTCTTTAATGACTGCTTATCAACAGTATTCGTATTGCCCATTAGCGGGTCTGGTGTTTGGGCACCAGTCGCGGGCGTCGCATAGTTTCTCGTGTAGGAGAATGATGAGCGACCCGATACGGGAGCTGAGTCTCCAGAATCGTTGGCAGAACCATAATGGTCGGTCGCATTCGTCTTCACATGTGTTTGGGCTTGCGGTGGGATTTGTGGGGGACCCTCGGGATCGGAACGCTGCCCGACAGGCATGCTGGAGGAACAGGAGAGCACAAATGCTCAAGATCAATGCACGAAAGAGCGTGGATATGACTGAGGATTGAAATGTTGTCAGAAGGAAGAAAATTCTTCAAGCAGAAGAATTTATCGGGCACACCATTGTGGCGAAAAGGACGAACTACATTCGTCGACGATCTATGGTGGAGTGAGTGGAGCGCGGTCCCCGTTATCAGTAAAGATGGAGCCGATAGGCCGATAAATTGGAACCCAGAACTCCAGGTAACATCATATGCAGGCACTGAACCAACTGGAGGTTTCGTAATGCTTCATGGTCCCTTGCGGAGGCTTGCGTGTATTCTGGGGCTGTAGATATGGCGATCTACTGTAAAAAGCACCTGTATTCTTGAAAGACGGAGGGGTCTGAACCAGGGATACATACATATTTGTCTAACGTAAATCCTTGTGCTAATCATACTAGCGCTGGTGATTACGAAGATCAAAGGGATCGTGAGGATCATCCAAAGTCAAAGAGGCTTATGAGACACCTGGCAAGGCACTGAATCGTCTACGTCCACGAAAATGCAAATTGATGCGAAAATCATCCCTGATCGACACGGCCCGGTCCAATAGCTACAAATCTGCCAAATAGAGCTATCCAATCGGATAGACGGGATTGGATTCCTCGTGGCAAGATCTAAATATTGGCAAAGAAGGAAGGTGGACCGATCTACCAAGGGATGAAGTACGCGTCATACCTCGATATTCGCACTGATTTACATCACTGTGGCAGAGACACACGGCCAAAGAGAAAGAGCTGAGCATGGTCACAAGTTTTGGTGAACATCGCAATCTCCCCCACAACGCAGAAGTACCTGCATACCGTAGGTATACAGCGGTCGGACTCGGTTGGGGAGTAGTTTTCTGCGTTGATGGGTAGTTGGTTGCATCTAATCAAACGGATCGATATCTCTCAATCTCAATTTTTGATCTGGCCACATAGAACCACATCCTCTCCGAATGGGTACCACTTGACGTTTTTCAACCTCGCAGCGGACATGGCATTTCCTTCTTCATCAAAACGTCTGTCGGGAGAAACCACAACACCACCGCGGCCTAGCCATGTGGGTGCAATAGTCACAATAACACTATCAATCAAAGACATCGATGCGGGTGCGAGCAGAGAGTTGATGACCTGGCCGCCTCCTTCAATCATGACACTTTGAAGACCATTAGCTCGGAGCGAAACGAGCAGAACTTTCCAATCGATAATATGTTTCCCATTGGCCGCAATGCTCATCTGCAATGAAATGAATTTACCACCGTATTTCTCCAGCAGTGCTTTCTTCTCAGCTGGAGGTTCTGCAAGTGCCGTCACAATCCAAGGTGCTCGACCACGTCCCTGTCTGCACAATTGGAAAAGTTTGCTATCCTCGGTAAAATCCCATCGAGCTGTGGAGTCAATTACAACGGGACGTGGTTGACCATCCAGACCGTCTTTGCCATAGCCACCGACCCCGGAAATGCGACAATTAAGGCCAGGGTCATCTGCCACTGCTGTTCCGACGCCGATGAGAATGCCATCATGGCGGGAGCGAAGATAGTGAGTCATGGCTTTGGACTGCGGGCCGGACAGCACAGTTCGTGCACCGGGCGATAAGGCGAGAGATGAGTCCAGTGATGTTGCGAAAGTCAATGTCGTGAAGGGCATATCAGATTGGAGAGCTGGAACATCATGTGGGCTATCTTGTGGAGGTAAATGAGGCTCCAAAAAGACTCTGTCGGAGTCAGGAAGCTCCAGCGCATCACGTACGGCCAATGACATGGTGTTTCAGAGTAGATGCAATCTTTTGGTTTGTTATGAAGGTGATGGCGGGAACGTTACTGATAAAACTTGATAATACGAGGAATGGTGCCTTGGTGCCTGACACAATGGCCAACTGGTGTGGATCCAACCCCGCTAACTGGAACTATGGTCACACAATTGTTGACAAGAAGACATCTTAAAAGCATGGGTTTTTGCCCATTCTAAGGTTTCCATCTAGCTATAAATGCCTCGAAAGCAGAAATATCTCACTGGACAGTGATCACACCACCAGAAACACTAATTTCTGCAACATACATCGCGCGGCCATCGTCAATGTTTTGGCCATTCTCAAAGGCATGGAATATAATTCTCGAACCATCCGCGCTAAAGTCGGCACCACCAGGTCCTGCCAGACTTCCCACATTACTCGAGTCCCCAGATACAAGCAGAGGGGCATTGGGTGCCTGGACTTTGGTGAAGGGTCCAGTGAGCGCTGAAGCTGTGGCATAGCTAACATCGTAGTTGGTCGTGTCGTACATATTGGAAGAAAACGAAAGATAGTAGGTCCCGCCTACGTTTGCAAGGCTTGGAGCCTCGATCAACGGCCCATCGGCATCGTCACGGTCAAGCAGCTGGATGGGATCTCCATTGGGAGTGACCGCGTCCGAGTTCAGACCCTGCAGCATGATGGGAGTAGCATGAGTAGTTCCATCACCATCAAGACTGTTTCCGTCAATCTTATAGACAACGTAGTAAGCGCCTCCGTCACTAAATCCATCTGCATCAATTGCACCGCCCTGACTCAACGGGCAAGCCAATGCACCATCCTGTGGGGTGTACGGTCCTGTGATACTTGGAGAAGTGGCAGCACCAACACAGTGCTTACTAGAATCTTCGCTTGAAGCAGCAGAGAAATACATCACGAATGTCCCGTCATTCTGATAGAGGTGAGCTTCATCGAATCTGGTCATGGGTATTCTGGCGTACCTTTTGAATCACGTCGGGGGCCCAGATAGCAGGCGATGATGCGACCCAAGATGGGAATGGGCCGGGCAGGGCGTCCGTGCCTGACATCAGGTTCCACGTTGAGAAGTCGGAAGATGATGCGACCTGGACATTCACGCCGTTTCCATTCGTGGCGAAGGCATAATACCCGTCACTTGTTTGAACCACGCAAGGATCGGCGAAATTAGCATCGATTACACGGGAGGACTCGGAGGCCGCAAGTCCAAGAAGTGCTGAAGCTAATGTGAAAAAGATGACAGAGCTCATTTTGCAGAGGTTCCAAGCTAAAAGACATTAAATTGTACTGATAGATCGAATTTGAGATTTCATTCAAGGGGCTCGCATCCCCTTTATGTAACATTTTGGGCCCTGCAGACCCATACACATATTAGCCTGCCTGGATAATTAATATCTGCCGGTCCCTTTTTGTGCTGTTATTACCAATTCATAGTCTGCGAAGGTCTTCAACATCTCCAGTCTCGTTCCTTCTCCCAAGGATCATCGTTCCCGCTAAGCCTAAGATAGGAAATGGCCTCTAGTGCTCACTGCTGATCATCTCCGAAATACAGGATGCTGTGGTAAATTGAAAGTATATTTTCAAGAATCCCCGTCCGGGCGCGTTTCTATACTTTTTATAGAAAATCCCGAACTCCGTTGTATGCCCTGCCACTGCCAAGAAATCTCGCACATGTTCACTTTACGTGGTTTCAGTTCGGGGCTGCAGCATGTATGTTCTTAATGTTACATCGAAGTGGTCGATTGACCAAGTATTGCCTAGTGAGCCGGCGCGGCGACAAAAGACCTCGGGAGGTTACTCTTCAGCAGATCTGTGTTTGGCTAGTTGGTGATAGTGAGATATTGATACATTGTATCTCAGTGATAGTCGTACCTAAACACCTATAATTTCCCCCCGATCGTAGATTTCGTTGCATCCCAGCTGTGCCCAGCAAGATATTCTTGGCCCTTCAGAAGCACCCTGCTATTCTCCTCGCCAAGCCACTTTGGCTCCAGGTTCTGGATACGATCTTCGATTTCGTAGCTTTCTCCACCTGCCACAAAAACAATCTTCCCCGCAAAAGGGAGACGAGCCCCACCATGGGTATTCCCATTCAAACCCCGGTTTGCAGTGGCACAAAGGAGAATCGCCCTGGCCACATCCGCAGCTTCATTTGTAGGTAAACCCCGCTCGTACCATCCCTGTTCAATTGCGAGAACCAGACGTGTTTCTGGATTTATGTTAGCCTTAAACGTCCAAAATAGAGACACTTAGATGGAATGGGTATCATACTTGTCATCCATGGACATATTACGTTGACTCGGATGTTTTCCCGAGTTCCTGTAAGGTGAATTCCCCGCATGATCCCCACGACGCCATGCTTGCTGGCCGTGTAGGGAACCAACCCCTCACCTTCTTTGAAGCCGGCAATACTGCTCACCATCACAATATCACCGCCCCCACACCTTCGTAGATAGTGCATTCCAATGCGAACGGTGAAAAGGGATCCTTTCACGTTGACATCGACCTCGGCCATGGAGGGCTCTTGTTCAATGTCGGCATCGGGACTGAAAGAGTCCTGATGGATGGCGATTCCAGCATTGGCGACAACGATATCTATTCGGCCATATTTCTCGTACGCAGTCTTGAATAGATGGAGTTGTTCAGAATAGACTGAGGTGTCGCATTTGACGAATTGGACGGTTGGACCAAGTTCAGATTCCAATTCTAGTGATGGCCCTTCGGCAACGTCGCCAAATACTATTTTGGCGCCATATTCTAGAGTCTAGTCAGCGAGGGTGTTTGAGAGCATGTTTCATCTTCATGGCTTACTGCAGAACTGCTGGACGGCTGAGCGACCAATGCCTGTTGCAGCGCCGGTCAAGACCACGACCTTATCAGCTAGGCTTTCTAACAGTATTGGTTCGAATTGAAGATGAGCCATGTTGTGCGATGGTACTTTTATTGGCAGTTGAGGAAGGATATCAACTGAGCTTGGATTGTTTGCTTTTTACCGGACCCCGGAAATCCCCCTCTCATAGCTTCATGACCCCACACTGTACACGATGGATTTCGAACGTGAGCGTGGAACTTCCATGTAAGAGGTCATGGCCACTCCACATTGTCAAGGCGATGATTTCCAATGGCCAAATACCCGGTCGTTTTGATCTCAGATCTCGGAGCTTCGTAGCTACACACCGAAGGTCAACGGTCGGAACCCCTCCCTATGACTCAATTTGGCAGACTATCAAAGTATTTCACGCCTACTGGATATAAAATGTTTCTCCTGAATCAGCCAATGGATCTGTGGCTTCTAGCAGAACACTTCTAAAAGAAAATAGTTGCCCATGTAATCAAGCCTTATTTTACATCATCAATGCATGCTTGATTTTCATTGCTTGCCTTGAACATGCACAGGAATGGCCTAGTTCATCAAATACGAAACTCTGGTTGTATTCGAGATAGGTAGGAGGCCATTCTACATAGAATCAGCTTGTTCCTATGGAATTCGACCAGCCATTTATTGCCAGATTCGGCAGGGGCATGCATGACAGATTGATATATCACCGACCGTGCACCCATGTGCGACAGAAAACCTATGTTGTTGAGCGGTCGAATTCAGAGTGATAGTCAGATTTGAATCCATGAATGTTAGGTAGTACCACTCCTACGTGCGGCGTACATAATCGTCCTTGACTTCTCTTTCCCTGTGCTCCGTATACAGGTTACATTTCTCTATCTCCTCGTATTATGGAGTTTGTGCTACTGACATCTGTAGGAATAGGTATGTAAGATTGAATTTGTTTTCGTTGTGTTACCACGTAGATCTCGCTTGCTACTTGTATTCTAGTTTGCTCACAGCGTATTGTGACTCGTATCTGCTAATAGCTCATCTGCGTAAGCTGCCGAAGATCTCCAGAGCATTGAACAGGATGCAACCATGAGCGATGGCACTGAGAGCTCGAGCCAAAGTAACAGGGTGATACTAGTTCTTTCGCTAGCTACTTCCAGTGAAGATGACGATTCTGCTGCTGCTCAAGGCTCTTCTTTTGCAGATTCTCACTGTAAGTGTTTCAATCATGAAGATGACTTTGATGCTTCTGTTTAATATGGCTCTTCTGTTGGTTCTAATTCTTCCCATGCTTCTGGTATAAGTGATGACTCCCCTCGATTGCGAAGATAACTACGAGCCTAGGGCTGACGAACAGTGATGACTAGTTAGATGTTTTTGTTTAGCCTTGATGTGGGTCTTCCCCTATACCTATTAAATTTCTTTGTATCATTTTGAGAATGCGAAGGCTTTTTTATTGATGGAATCTCCAAACTTTACGAACCTGTAGAATAGTCATCCAATTCTATGATGTGTACTCCAGTTCAATACTATGACTAGAGTAATGAAAGAAGCAAATACTATAACCACCTGTTCCTTACAAGTTTAGCTACCTATCAGCGTAAACTCGGCCTTCTATATCATGGCTAGCGGATGTATGTGGGTCTTGCCAGATTATCAGAGTAACTCTTACAATGTGTGAGAACCACTGGAACAGAGCGGCGGACTAAAAATCTTCTCTTGCTAAGTCAACATAGCAACAGTCCTCATCTCACCTGGGCAATGTAAGCGCCTACGACCCTAACATTGGAGTCCGACGCCATGTGTCACCGTTCGCTTAGTCTACAATGAATATTGGAACCCTCTGTACGGAGCCAAATGATCCTATAAATTATTCACTAGCGGATCGGTGATAACCGATCCTTTTTCTCTTCTTCCTCGACGAGATAACGAGCATTCAATCACACGAAGGCAGATCGAGAGCAAGGAGATGAAAAAGTGGAGACAGGAAAGTTCCCGCAATGATGGAAGCATTGTGCCTGTCAGGAATCTTGGATTAAGATGGGAGTTGGAGATAATCTTTGTGTGACAAGATTGGATATGGGAATTCAGGACCAAATAGCGTCTTATCATTGGATCAGGCTTCATGGAAACGACCATTACTCAGCTTGACAAATGCATGCAGGTGCGGGAGTAAGCCCGTGCGACTGGTCGCATGGCCCCGAATCTTAGGGCTGTCAAGGCGTAAATTCCCATGAAGTGACTAAGATTGTGCATGGTCCACTTAGGTGGGGGTAAAAGTCAAGATGCATCCATTTCTCCGGTCTGCAGGTCTCTCGCATCTGTTGTTGACAGCGTGATCTAGGAGCGGATGACCATGTGCGATGAGATGGGAATGTCCGTGAGGGGTTGTGTGTTTTCTGCACCTTGGCGAATGGCCGCTGAAGCACAATGGTTGTGAGAGAATTGGTTCTTTGGGTAGATCTTCGGTGCGGGATGATGCGATCGATATGCAAGGCGGGCCTCCTGCAGGCCTCTCCGGTGCAAAAGGTGGGCAGTTGTTGACACCCCCGATCCTAAGGAATGAAAATGCGGTGTCTCCCGGCGCTTTGGTGCCCGACAGGACGCCCTTACATCATCCGATCCTTCGAGTTTGTGATGTGTTTCCTAGATTGTCACACCGGCAAGTGTGCAAATGACATGGCCCGACAGTCAATTGCATGCTACCTCGTATTGTCTGTTGCTTCCAGGTCCTTTATACACTGGAGCAGATGTTACTATCTGGATCAATGCCAAGGTGTTTGAACTCATCGTGGGATTCAAATGGGCAAGGAGATCAAACCTGCAGTCATGAGAGGTAGTGATTTCCTCGGCACATGTAAACATCGTTCCGATACCAATTACATATTTCTCTTAACTCCGCACCGCTCATGCCAGGTGCCAGTAGATGCAAGTTGATGCAAGCTCTCAGGTACCCAAGTATGCGTTGTTCAGTTTACCAATTGAACCTGGAAATAAGCTATGATTCAGTCGATATGCAAACTATAACGAGAAAAAGCCCAAATGGCAGATATTTCATCAGATGTGCCCGCCCCCACTCCAACCTTGACCTATAGATAAGAATCCACTTCCACGCTGCCATGGCCAAAGGCATCTAGATTCTAGCCCTGGACCATTGTACAATTTGCCAGCCCATTGAAAGGCTATGGAAAACGCGTCTAGAGAAAATATTTTCCAGCCTGAACGGCAACTGGGTGCCTGACTCGACAATTGCTAAACAAATGACCTAGACCCAGCACATCCCGAGGTTCCCCACTTAGTCTGGTTTGCTATAATGTGTAGGTCTTTCTCACTATGAGCGGTCAATCGTGTCTCCCATGACGAACTCGCCTTGCGATCGACAGAGAACAGGGGATGATGGGTGATATTAAATACCCGTCCCCAATGGGTCTTGTGAAGAGCGTGAGCCAATCATGCGGACGTGCCGAGTAGTGTACCAGAGGTTGCAATATATTAACACCGAAGCGGGAAAAGCGCAAACTCGAGGGCCATGGGTTTTGGGGGCTTAATTAGAAATGGAGATAGGGGTTGAAACTGACAGGAAAATATAAATTAAGGAGAATTACACAGCGATGTTGATTTTTATACTGTAAAGCAATGATCTATGGATTAAAAAAAAAAAAAAGGATGAAAAAGCAAAGGTTCCCTGCTCCAATCATAGTGGAATGCCCTCCCCAATTCTCCTGAATTCCCTGTTCTTTTGCAGATTTCTTTCTAGAATGAGATAACTACCGAATTAAAGAGAAAAACCCTTAAATCAATTTCGGCCTGCAAGTATACGAGAAGTTCCGAGCAATCTTATATATCGGGTCAATTCTCTTGAAAAAGGGGGATCCACCGTTGCCGGGAACAAAAAGAAGCTCAAGCGGTTCCCCATTTCCTCTTTTCCACTGGACGAACCTCCTTATTTCATCCCCTAGAACTCCATCCTCCCAACCCAGACCCCTGGTAACTTGGCGAGATCGCCCGCGACTCTTTCTGTTTTTGCCTGCAAAGTTTCGTTACTCCTTTCCTTCGATCGCGGGCCTAATTCGATCTTCGATCCTGCTTTCTCTCAAACACCCCCTTTCTTCCGGGTTTTACACACATAGACGTCTCCAGAATGGCCTCCAAGGTGAGCCACTCCTCCTGTCGTCGCGAGCAATCCCTCCCGATCCTCCCCCTCCTCTCCCGGATTGTCGACGCCCGCGATTCTATTCCGAGACCATATGGGAACTTCGTCTTCTCCCCCCTCCTGCTCAATGGCTGACCCTGCGATTCCTCCCCACAGTTCCTACGAGAGTACAAGCTAGTAGTCGTTGGCGGTGGTGGTGTCGGAAAGTCTTGTTTGACCATCCAGCTCATCCAGAGCCACTTCGTGGATGAGTATGACCCAACAATTGAAGGTGAGCTTTGCCACGGTGCCTGGCATCTCGAATCAACCCACTCATATCTTCGCTTTCGTCTCTAGATTCCTACCGCAAGCAGTGTGTGATTGACGATGAGGTTGCTTTGTTGGATGTCCTGGACACAGCAGGCCAGGAGGAGTACTCGGCAATGCGGGAACAGTACATGCGCACCGGCGAGGGCTTCCTGCTCATCTACTCGATAACATCGCGTCAATCCTTCGAAGAGATCATGACCTTCCAACAGCAGATCCTCCGCGTCAAGGACAAGGACTATTTCCCCATCATTGTGGTCGCCAACAAGTGTGATTTGGAGAAGGAGCGCGTAGTCTCCGAGCAAGGTACGCATTCTCTCCAAAGTTTCCCAGATTCGATTGATTGCAATCGAACGGAACATTATCCCGCAATAAGATCATACCAGAACCATCAAACTAACGATATTTTTTCTTTCTCACTACAGAGGGTGAAGCCTTGGCCCGACAGTTCGGCTGCAAGTTCATCGAGACCTCCGCCAAGTCCCGCATCAACGTCGAGAATGCCTTCTACGACCTCGTTCGTGAGATCCGCCGCTACAACAAGGAGATGTCGTCCTACCCCTCCGGCTCGGGTGCATTCGGTGCCCGCCAGCCAGAGGGTAAGATGGATGTCAGTGAGCCCGACGAGAGTGCCGGCTGCTGCTCCAAGTGCGTGGTCATGTAAAGCGGTCGGGCCTTATTTTAATCTTCCCCTTCCCCCGTTTTATCACTCGCGAACCCTTGTCTCCAACAACACGAACGAAAAACAAAAAACAATACAGAAACCCCAATCCAGAAGACGCACCAGTCGGGAACACACGAAATATACACCGCTCACACGGGTAATCAGGGAATGGAGAGATGCTTATAATGCTTCCCCGGTATGGGGGGAAGGGAGGAACTGGAATGCGGAAAAGAAAAACCAGTTGTGCTGCGGATCTGGGTTCTTCGATGGACGGGGCTCGCAACTTGCACGACTGACCCTTGACGCCATCGTCTCATGAATTTTGATTCCCCTTTTGTTCCGCTTTTTTTTTTTTTAATTGCTGCCAATTTTTTTTTATGTCCTGATCATCTCTTTTTATCTATCATCTTTGTCTGTCTCGGGATGCGAGACGACGCGGTTGTCAATATAAGTTCTTCTACGATGCAGGGGATGCTTCTATCATGGCGCGTTTAAAATGTATTACCTAAGAAATTGAGCTCCGTAATATTATATGGCTATTGGGATCGTATAGGTAGCATTGGGTTTGCTATGCTATGTTTCTATTCAAGACATCGAAATGCAGTGCCGCATCTAGTCGAGCCAAAAATCACTTATGATACAGGCCTTCCATCTACTTACTGACTGTAAATCCGATCCTCATCTTCGGGAATATCCAGCTCATCCTCCTTCGATACCAACTTCCCCTGCACGCCCTGCTCAACCTCCTGCACGAGTGACTCCAAAAATTCCTTATCAGCACCTACCAAGGTAACGGTATTCCGCTTCTTACCCCAGCGAGGGTAACTTCCAACCTTCACCCCACGCGGCTCAACCTTCGCCGCAAGCTCAGTCAAAAACGGTGCAACCGCACTCTCAGGCAAAGGTGTACTAATCATAAACCGGTGGGTCCCCTTGCCCTCCAGATGCGCCAATCTCGGAACAAGCGAGGGCTTCAAGTTCTCCAGCAAGCGCTCAAATAGTCGCGGCACGCCGGGAAGGATATGCACGTTACCGTTGACGACAGCTACCGGAACCCACATGTCATCTGCGACGAAGACGGCCTGGTGCTCAGCCGGGATCTTGGGGTCGTAGGGGAGCTCGACCATGCGCAGTTTGGCGTTTAGGCCTGGGGAGGGTGTTTCCCAGTCGAAGTTTGGTTGCATGGGGTGTGGCTTGGAGAGTCTCTTCATGCGCTCGAAGGCAGGTTCGTGGAGTTGGAGCTTCAGGTTGAATGCTTTGGCGATTGAGGAGTAGGTGATATCATCGTGTCTGATAGATTCATGTTAGCCTGAGGTTCGCCGGTATAAGGGATCGTTGTGTACGGACGTTGGTCCAATTCCTCCGCTGGTGACAACAAAGTCGTAGCGAGAGCTCATGCGGCGGACGGCTTCCATGATGTCCTCCTCATCGTCGGGGATGACCTCTACACGCTTCAGCTGGATGCCGAGGGAGAAGCAGAACTTGGCTAGGAAGGGGGAGTTGGTGTCGATGGTCTGCATTGGAGAGTCATTGTAAGTCCTTCCATTCTTGTCAGTTGGGTGATATGTGAATCATTACCTTTCCACCGAGGACCTCATCGCCAATAATCAGGCATGCAGCCGTGTGGATGGGCTTCGCGTGCGCGGCTGATGTCATCGCGAATGGGCCTGCTAGGAGCGGAGATGAGAGAGTCGGGGCTGATGGACGGGTATAAAACGGACGGGCGAAATGACGCGTGAGTAAGTTGAGACGATTGAGCATGAAGAAACAGAAGAGTGGTATGTACAAGTCGGGCACAAAGAATAAGGTGAAGAGGGCGAATGGAGTTCTGAGATGAGAGCGGAAGTGGGGGGAGGGGAATGTCTCCGCCCGCATTTTGATCAGAACGGGCCGTGCGTCATCTCCTCAACTCGCGAGAACATTCAATCTAGGCTGGGGTCAGTTCAGATCAAAGCCAACTGAATCTATTACGCTCTTGTTTGGTGTCCTTGAGATTCATATCAGAATGGTGAGTCGCGCGACACCCAGTCCATGTGGGAGACAGTAGCAGAGGGGAAGCAGCTGCAGCCCAAATATCCTAGGACAAACGGGGAAGCTAACCATGGCCAGTCTGATTCTCGGTTGTATTCTTTCTCTCCGGAGACTAAAGAGAAGTTGCGCAAGTTTCGTCTCGGCACATCGCGAGCCAAGGACGCGCAAGCCATCATCTGTACGCCCTCCGAAGACCCCTGTCCACCAAGTTTCGCCATCCGCGCGGAGGGTTTTTCATCTGATTGTAGATGCGAATCCTAGTCGTAGGGAGCGCTTAGACTCGGAACACTCAGCTAATAACCTACTAGATATCATTGATGCGAAGAGCCAAGAGATTCGTCCCCAGGACGGCGAGGTCTACTCGAAGATGGAGGATCTGGCGGACGACCTGCCCGAATCATCACCGCGCTTTATCCTCCTCAGTCACCCTCTCACAACGGTAAGAGAGTCCTCATTGCTGGGGCACGAGCTAAACGGGTATAAATGCTAATGCGGCGGGACCAATAGAAGTCCGGTCGTCTCTCGGTCCCTTACGTCCTCCTCTACTGGTTGCCAGAGAACTGCAACCCATCACAGCGCATGATGTACGCCGGTGCGGTGGAGCTGATGCGAACCACCGCCGAGGTGAACCGAGTGGTGGAGGTGGAGAGCGACGAAGATATTGTTTCCATTGCGGATAAGCTGATCAGCTCTGAGTGAATTCTGAACGGAATGGTTGATAGATTTGCTGGGAGCATACTTGATGCGAGGAATTGCGTCATATCAAGGCATGCATATACCGGTTGGGAGAACTGTATAGATCGGGCGCTTGGTTGATTGGACCGTGATCAGTTGAGAGTTGGAATTTCAAATCATCTTCAATGCAGAATCCGGTGGTGATTTGAAGGCCCCGCAACGAAACAGATCGATGCTCGAACAACAACTCTTTCTGGAAAGGGTTGAGAGATCGCTCGGTCCATCGGTTGAACTGTTCGATCTATCACAATGATTTGCAACGGCGCCCGCAGAACCATTCATCTGCTGGCGATCAGCCCAATTTCCCAAGAATATCTTTGAACGAGCTAGCGGCTCTGAAGTGTCTGAGATGCCCAGGTGGTTAGACTACAGTAGTCTGTAGAATTAACGTAATTCACCCCCAAGCGAGCCACCCCCCATCCGAGCCACCCTAACCAAAACGCGTCAATTAATTAGTCTCACCCTTCTTTAACCAACCACCATGCCCCTAATTCGCTCTCAAAATCGTCAAAATTTGACTCAAAAAGAGGGTCGGATTCTGCTTGCTATCCAGGCTATTGAAAAGCAGGAAAAATTGACAATTCGTCAAGCAGCGCTTATATATGATATCCCTCGCATAACGCTCCAATTCCGTCTTAACGGACGTCAAAATCACGTTGAATCACGCGTTAAAACGTTCAAATTAACTGAAATCGAGGAGAATTCGCTTAAGAAATGGACAATCTCTATGGATATACGTGGAGCGGCCCCACGACCTTCTATGGTGCAAGAAATGGCCAATCTCTTACTAGCGACACGTGGAACGACCCCGATTCAAACAGTCGGTAAAAATTAGGTCATAAAATTCGTTAAACGTCACCTAGAGCTCGTTACTAGGTTCTCAAGACGCTATAATTACGAGCGCGCTAAGTGCGAGGACCCAGAAATCATCAAAGAATGGTTTAACCTAGTTTAATAGATAATATCCGAGCATGGGATCCACGAAGATGATATATATAACTTTGATGAGACAGGCTTCGCAATGGGCTTAACCGCGACCGCAAAGGTTATAACGAGAGCTGAATATTACGGTCGGCGAGCTCGTTTACAGCCCGGGAATCGTGAATGGGTAACCTCGATTAAGTATACAGGCGCGTCTGGATATAGCCTTCCTCTAATGGTGATATTTAAAGCCAAACTCTTTAACGAAGGTTGGACTACAGGCCTTCCAGATAACTGGCAATTCGAGGTTAGTCCAAATGGATGGACCTCGGACGAGATTGGACTTCGTTGGCTTCAAAAGATCTTTCTTCCATCAACTTTCTCGAGGATAAAGGGGAAATATCGACTTCTAGTTCTCGATGGTCATGGAAGCCATTTAACTCCAAAATTCGACGAAATTTGCTATCAAAACGACGTGATTCCAATTTGCATGCCAGCGCACTCTTCACATCTTTTACAACCTCTTGATGTAGGTTGTTTTGCTGTCTTAAAGCGTGCGTATAGGAAATGCGTTGAAAACGTTATGCGGATGGGTCAAAATCATATTGATAAATTAGACTTTCTTGACGCTTTTCCAATCGCTCGAAACGAGGCTTTTAAAGCAGAAACGATCAGAAATAGCTTCTCAGCAACTGGATTAGTCCTATATAATCCAAATCGAGTGATTTCAAAGCTTGATATTCGACTTCGTACGCCTACCCCACCACCATCTCGAGGAAGCGAAAGCAGCGCATGGGAGCCTAAGACACCATCGAATTATAAGTAGCTCCAGAAGCAAGCTTCCTCGATTAAAAAGCTCTTAAATCAACGCTCTAGGAGCCCTCCAAGTCCATTGAATTCCGCTATAGATCAGGTGCTAAAAGCTTGTCAAATCACGATGCAATCAACCGCTTTTCTTGCTCGAGAAAACGAGCTTTTACGTGCTAGAAACGAGAAAATTAAGCAAAAAAAAGCAACGTCTAAGCTCCAGATAGCTCATCCAGAGGGTGTATCCGTCGCTGAGCTTAAAGAGCTAGCAAAAATTGCTAGAAAAGCTCGATTTGAACCTCAAAATAGTGAGCCGACCGGTCAACCAGGAGCACAAGGACGACGATCTAGGGCGCCACCAAAATGCTCTAAATGCGGTATTCAGGGGCATAAGATAACACATTGTCCAAATTTAGCTAAATAGCTTATATATTTAATATTACGTTGTTTTGGTTGAATTACGTTAATTTGAATTATCGAAAGTTGATGGGGTGGCTCGGATGGGGGGTGGCTCGCTTGGGGGTGAATTACGTTAGGCATTGAAGTTGCTGATTCCTGGCTCCACTTCTAGGCGAAGTATCATACCTGTATACTATGCGGAGTAGATTTGGAATTCAATCCCAGCGCACGAGCCTGGGCAGCTCAACTCAGCTCAGCCCCAATACTACACAATTCGGTGTATCGTGCCCATCAGGTCTCACGAAGGCTCAGGATATTCCCAGCGACCGGCGAACTATAGTTCAGGGCCCCCAAATCCCGCTGACACGGTATCCATACGATGCCACTGCGGCGTGATGATCGACCGCCATGTTCCTTGCACGGCCCCGGATATACCCTCCTTGTGGCTCACTGGCTGACCGTAGATCCTATCAGATAACCCTGGTCCAATGACTCTCCATGATTTCACCTGGAGAGGGTGGGGGATGAATTCACAGAAGGATGTGATTGGTTCACCGGCTGAGCTCTGATCGCCTGTTCCCCCTCATCCTTCAAACTCTGATCTCGCTAGTTCGGCATTCTGACGGCTTTGCCATGGAACATTCCGGAGATCACCGGGGTGGGGGAGATACATATTCATTGGTCTCAGCTGATTATGGTTGTATTACTTGCTGTTATGTTTGTTCTGTTTTGTTCTGGGTCCAAATGCGGCAGCAGGGGGGCTGTTGCCATTCACGTATGAATCTCAACTTCAACCTCATCCCTGGACTTTGAAAATTGGCTCGGCCGGAACTTCGGAGATTTCAAAGAGGGGCCTTGGGGATTTCCAAGCCTCACGCATATTCGAGTGTTCGAGTGGTATTGAACCTACTTCATATGCATATGTAGCGTAGTCCCGAGGTTCCAAGGTTGCATCTAATTAACTAAGACTCCATGACTGTAATCTTCACCAGCGTCCGATACAGCAGGTAATCTAGAGTCTTTCGAACAGACCATATTCACATGAACGCTTCCGCTAATCCTGTCGTCTGGACCCCTTGTGAACAGTATATCCCTAAAATTGATTAGAACGCCTGCCGGGTGATACATGGGAATCTAAGGGGGATATCCGAGAGAGTTTATCATATGAGGAATGCCTCCTCAACTGGAAATCATCTGCGCCGATGGCGTGGTAGCGAGAGATGCAATCTCCGGAAACAGGTTGTGGAAGTGGCGAATATGAGCATACTTCAACGTGTGACTCGGTGGCTTGGACTTTCTTCTTATTCATATCGCAAAACAAGCACACTAGCTTGCAGGCGACACGCACTACGCGCCCGAATGGATGGAATGCACGCCCAGCTAGACAGTGGAATGGATGTAAGTACCTCGGAAGGTATAGTGTACAGCGGCAAGAAACAAAATTACAGGACACAAATAGATTGAGTTGAATTCCAACGGTCAGACACCTAGCGTTATACAGTTTAGTCACTATCTGCAGCCCGTAACTGCAACCCATAGTCCGGTAGTCCGCATGCAAATACCAAATACCAAATACGAGTACCGAAACTGGGGCAGTTCCCCTGGGCAATGAACACCCAGCACGAGGCTCCACTTAGTGGATATCATCGCTTAACAGACCCACCAAGCCTCGGCGATCGGTGTCGAGACCCAGAAACGCGATCCCACCGCAACATGATTCATGTGTCAGGGGGTATTTATAACAATCCAGATCGTCCCGGGACACTGGGAAGTGACTAAGGCACTGGCCACCGAGCTTACACGAACTGTCCTGCCAAATGACACATTCATCCAAGGGATTGGGTCAACTCGGCGGTGTGGTTTATTACACGTCGGACTCCGACTCAATCCTTCATAGTACAACATAATCAATTATGATTTTTTCTATATTGCTCGACATTAGTCCATACCGAGATTTATCCTAGTAAATTCTAGTGAAAGACGCCAACGCCGTTTTTGCCCTGATTCGGTGTCCACTATGCTGCATCCAGGAAATACCACCGGCACGGTAATCAAACCCCGGTCAATTTCAGCAGGAGCACGTCACAGACGGGATAGGCAGGGTTCGTGGCACGTAGTGGGACCGTTGGGCAACGAGGGATGAAAAAAATAAAAATCGATTATGGAATGATCGGCTCCCTCAGCAGGACAGCGCGCTTTTAGTCTGCAGTAGTTTGGCCTGTAGCACTAGGTCCGGTCGCCCTCCCAAAGTCAGATTTGATTTGCCCGACGATCGATGGGGAGAATACCTCCGGGCCATGTTCTAGGCGTATGTGTAAGTTTTTCAGGATTTGAATACCATCAAGTGTCAAAGGAGTCCACTATGATTTGACACTTCTCCGCTAGCCTGATCCTTAGTTTGCGATCTGTGGAACAGGGGTTCGTTGGCTTTTGATCCTTCGTATCTGGTTCGATTCCGGTGATATGCATCATGCATGGGCGTTTTGGGCCTTTTAGAAATGGAACTAAGATCGGGTGGGTTTGCCTATCCAGTGGTGTTGTACAGTAGTACTCCGTGCCGGGCGCTGCAGAATTGTCCGCTGAAGGCAGTCCGTCTCTCATCATTGGTCGAGTGAGATGTCCGGGTCTCGACTTCCAGAAGACGGACTGACAAATTGTTAAACTTTGCCACAAACTCACACATTTTGGATGTTTCATTGGAGAATGAGAGGGTCGAATACTGTAATGTACTCCCGGAGCAAAGGCTGACATTATCTTCTCCGACGTTGAATGCACGGAGCAAGTCGAGAGCCACGCGCGGAAAGTGGTTCGGTTGAATTATCCTGAAGAACCTTGGCGCAAGAGAAAAAGAAAACACGGTCGCTCATCATGTCAATCGCCCGCCCCTGAGTTCCTCCCAAATCAGACACTGTGATCGTCAACTAATTTATGTCGAGATAACGGAGGTCCTGACCCCGCTGGAGGAAAGTAACTGATTCAGGTAGCGCAGCCGAAAAGGACACGGGTACATCCGTCTGGTTGAAGTGTCCACTTCGACCCTCGGCGGAGTCGACCTGATAGGGGGTTCGATTCTGCGACTTCCCGTGTATCGCGACGCGCTGAATCTTCACAAAAGCGCCAATGACGACACTGCTCTGGATCCCTGTCAGAAAAGAAAAGTACGGACCCAGCGCATTGGGACCACAGGTGAGGTCCAAGTGTCTGCAACACGGGTTCTTGAGTCGGTCAAGCCGTGATTTGATTTTGAATATTTCTCTTTTTTATTTTATTTTCGGGGTTGGTTTCCAGGAGTGAGAGTGGAGAGAAAAGACTAAATGCGAAGCCCCACTGTGACCTGACAGAGTAAAATTCCCGTATATACTTTTACCGTACCTCAGTGTCGGGCTCGCCATTGTTTTCCTATGGATCCTTGGACCCGAAACATACCACTGACCCAGCACTCTGGAAAGCCCCATGTGCCCCAAGCTTTCGCCTCCACTTCATAGTACATTACCGTAATTTTATTAGCTGTTTTTCCATTCTTCGGGGCTTTGACACTTCCTCATCCCTATATATGATTCTTCTCCCTTCATGATCCCACTCCGGAAAGGTTTTCGTATACTCCCACGGAATCGGTTTACGTGACACTGATTCCGACAACCATTAACCTGGCGCTTATTATTTTACTCTACCTGGACCATATGGAATGAGGGATCCGCCACACCGATTTCATATCGATCAGCGACCAGGCATTTGCCATTGCATTCTTGCGCCACTCCAAATCGCATAAGGCCGACTAGAGCTATATTGCCATGTCTCCGCAAGGCAACCCTGGACGTCCGGAGGGGGACAAGCCCGAGGGCTTGTCGAAATATCTGAAGCGCATGAAGACGGTTTTGCGCCCACGCTCCGGTTCGAAGCGTCAATCCGTAGCGGCCCCGGATGTTCCTGCTTCATCTAGTCAACCACCGTACGATCTATACTCCCTGCAGCGCACAGAAATCACATAAAAAAAAAAGAAGAGAAAAGAAAATTCAAGAATAAATTTAAGCAAAAAATAACTAACACATCTTCTCTTCCTAGTGCTTCCACCAATCCGGTCCAGTCTATCGATGCTGAGCCCACCATGCTCACCGACTACAGCGCCCTGCAGCAAGAAAAGGCCCGCGCCCTATTCAGCAAATACGGCTTCACCCTAGAACCCGGCGAGTGGAAATCACCCACCGACCTGCAGCTCACGCGGGTCACCAAGCCGATTCGCATGCGAGTCCGCCGCACCTGTCACCGCTGCGAAACGACTTTCGGCCCCGACAAAGTCTGCGTCAATTGCCAACACCCACGCTGCAAGAAATGTCCCCGCAGCCCAGCAGCCCGCGAGAAGGATCCCAATGAGTACCCCTCTCTGCCCAAGAGCAAGATCCCCGAGATCCGCGCCCGTCAGTATGGCGGTGCCCCGTATACGCCGCACCTGCGTCTTACGGGTAACCCCGATGCGCCGCTAGGTATGCCCTCGCGCTCGGGCGGCCAGGATCTCGTTAAGAAGACGGCCAGACAGCGTGTTCGCCGAAATTGTCATGCATGTGACACTGTTTTTGCACCTGGCTCGAAGGAGTGTACTTCTTGTAATCATATCCGTTGCAAGAAGTGTCCTCGGCAGCCGCCTAAGTTGGAAAAGTATCCTGACGGGTACCCCGGGGATGCTGAACCGGCGAAGCTGAACCCTGACCGGACTTATAAAAAGCCACGACGAAGGGTTCATTATATATGCCATGTTTGTACGACTCAGTACAATGCAGACGCGAACACTTGTGGGAAGTGTGGACAGGCGAAATGCGAAATGACTATACGGATTCCGTATGTTTTCTGTTCCTTTGGATACACACGAAGAACCTCTGCTAATACATTTCTTAGGCCAAAGAAAATCAAACGAGAACCGGACCCTGAAGTCCTACGGCGGGTCGAAGAGAAATTAGCAGGCTTGAGCATAGAGTGATGTACACCTTTGTACAGAGGCATCACTCAGTGCTTCTTGGCTCATATGGTCTTTTTCATTTTCTTACTGTCTCTGGACTTGATTTTCCATTTTGCGACCATAGCAGACATACAATGCGATACACCTCTGCGAAGAATGGAATGATCTTTCGTTCGCTTTGCTTCCAACTTTCCCGTCACAGGATGATTACACATGTTACACCGCTTCGTATGGTATCTCGCTCATGCGAGGTAATTTTCACGGGTCAAAATCAGAACCTGTGTTTCTCTTGATCAAATCCCGTACTTTTCACGACAATCTTTTAAAACAAGGCAATAATCCCGAGATCACAGAGTCCGGTTCATCATTGCGCCCCCCCCCTCCCCAATTCCTCCAAAAAGGGCTTTACGACGATGGAAAATAGTTGACTCGGGTATTGACCGAGGCTACCCTACGCGACGATCAGACGGAAACTTCCTGATTCCTGATCAACGCCCTGGATCATGGAAACATGCGAGTCCCAACGGCCCTCGATTCCTGATCTGAACATGAACCCCCGCCAGTCTTGTCCCAAATTGATTTCCCACCGGAAATGCATATCGACATCATTGTGGAGTTGCAAATGCACTAGGCGTACAAGCTCTTTCCATTTGATTTCCTCCCCGGTATCATACTGAAATAGGTTTTGAACCGGAATAGATTAGAGTCAAGTCATACCACGGTCTGTAGCACAGTCCATTAATGAATTGAACTTGAGCCATCGTACCATAGTCTCACATTCGTACGTAACCGCTACCTTCGGCTGAAATGCCAAGATCATGCGATCGACGGGAAACGTACGCCCGGAGAATGGATCGAAAATGCCATGCTCAGCGCGAGGGCCATACGTGGCCTGGAATCTAAATGCCAACGGGATGTGGTCGGACCGACCCGTTTAAGACTAAGTGGGCTTTTTACACAGTGACCCCTTCGCATCATGTCTTCAAATGAGTGTTCCAAGGGGTTCATAGTCTACGATTCCTTGCGTACTCGTTCATGCTTTGACGGAGATGGTGTTTTTGCAGGGACCTAGTTACACGTAGACGCAGAGAATATTTAAAGCTTACAGTACAGAAGCAGTGGGGCTCGACTCCATTGGTTCGGAGTAATAATGGTGTCGGGATATGACCCGGTTCCGAGAATGCCAGACGCTTAGGCCCACGCTTACCTGTTTGAGCATAGATCACACACTCTGAGAATAGCGGAGCTGGGCATTTGTTCTAGTCCTGCTAGTCCTTGGGAGATAGTGCGGCATCCGCGTGCTCCGAGAAAATCCGTAAGGGACTAAACAGCGGCCTGTATGGTGCAGTCTATATGCACATCCCGTAATTGAACCGAGTTGACACGTTGTACAGAAACAGATACAACCTCAATTTTACCTAACCCTGGTCACTTCTGTATTAATATCCTTGCGCACTATTGTCGGGGGTACGTCAAAGTCTGAAAATCCGGCACCGGTTGCAAGGGTTTCCCGCTGTCACAATGGAAACCCCTGCAGGCCGGACCCAACGCACCGGGTCTAGGCATGTTGCCTGCGCGGACAAGGAAGACAAACATTCATGTATATATTTCAAACTCTATTTTTTTGTTTCCTATTATTCCGTATCGGACGCCTTCTTTATTCTGAATAAAGTAGAATAACCTTGATTTCCGCAAGGGTCATTGACAGCAAGGGGGAGGGTTACGAGGCCCATCCAGACTTTCGGGACTTAACAGGGGGTGGATTCGACGGGTCCCAACGGTCGACTAACCCAATCCAGAACATCTAGGATCATGTTCAACGTGTCTGGTCCCCATTCTCTGCTTTGCCTCTCCGGATCAACGGGACTAGAATCCATGCAGGAGAAAAATCCTAGAACTCGGTTATGGATTTGGGCGTAATCCAGAAACGGATGAATGCATGATCCGGCGCAAATTGTGCTCGGTATCCTTGTCTAGCTTGGTTTTTTAGGCGCCAACAGGTGGACAGTACCAACTTTACTGCCGACAATCCCTGTCGATATTCCCCTTCCCCTCCCTTCCCAGATTCTCGGGTCCCAATAATCCATTACAATACGTGTACATGCCAACGCATTGCCATGCGATCCCGGAATCCCATGCATTAACATGGAGTCATGCAGGATCCCAATGAATCTACTCCTGAAGGTTACTGTACGGTACTTTTGGGTTTGTTTTCTCCACAGCCACCTTGTCGCCACCCCTGGCGCCTGGCTTGCTGTAGCTTGCCCTATCGGGGAACTTGTCACTTTCTATTCTGGATTCCAGAATCTTGCCGGAGTGGACTATTGGTGGGCCAACGCATCGCGCGGAGGAAATACCTCCGTTGGTATTGCTTTATTAATTTGCTGGGTCCGGTCGTTGCAGGTCGCTAGACATGGATCTGTGCCCGGGTTGGTGGGTCTAGTCTATTCTAGAAAGAGAATCCAGCTATACATTTTGGTAATAGTCTTACTAGTCTTGTAAGCCTGTCCGATTGGACTGGCGGGTTGAGCTGTGAATCGAGGCTATCACTTGGCTTTGACTTCAACTGTCAGTTCGCAGGAGAGTTTACGGGTCTTTTTAAAGTTTGATGGGATAGCCTCGATGGAGTCTGACAGGATTAAAATGGAAATATGAAATATGACCGGGACTATGGGGCGTGCGGATCATCTTGGTTTCTCATAAGGTGGAATAGGTGTATCCACCTTGAAGGAGCTAATGACTCAGGTGAAGATCTTAAGTGGGAGGCCTGTCTAGTGTTAGGGGCTGGCAGCTACATGGATTTGTCTATCTTCGGACTAGTTTTAATCTCCTCAAGGTAGGTATTTCAGCAGATATATCATAACTGATCAAGTGCGCGACTAGTTGGACCTTACTCGATTGAGCAACCTCAGTTTTACGAGCAGTAAAGTTCTGCGCCGAATGCCGCAGGCTCTTAGAGTAGTTAGTGGATTGTTCTACTTCCTCAGGAACGAGACACATCTCATTTCCCTCACTGAAAATCACTTCTATGATTAAACTCATAATCAATACGAACACAACGAAACCGCGCTGCCAGGCAAATCATGCATGTCATCAAAATCCAGGGGAAACTCAAATGGCCCCTTATCGCTTATCGGTCATATCGATAAGCTGCCTTCCAAGGTTCCAAGTTCCAAGGTTACAACATCTACACATGAAGCTTTAAAATGACATCTAAACTCACGATCGGACTACCGAAAGCCTATGCCGGCAAAGGAAACAAATGCGTTCCACCCACAAATGATTTCCTCGCCGGGACCTGGCATGTAACACATTCTACCCTTCCAATGTGGAAGGACAAACGCAACGTCAACATCACCTACACAACGCTCCCTGCCAATTCGTCTGGTGTAGTTAAGATCGACGACCTTGTGAAATATCAAGGTATTACTTCGGAGAAAATTCAATCCGTCAAAGGAGTCGATACCCCATCCGCAGGTATGTGCATGATGGAAGATGGTCAGGGGAAATCACTAATGATCACCAGGTAACCAGGGCGCTTGGGATTGGCGTGGTAAAGGCTGGCTGAAGATTGCAAGCTCTCATTGGGAGGTTCTCGGCTTTGGCCATACGGATGATGGTAACCAGTGGGTTGTCACTTATTTCGCCAAGACTCTCTTCACGCCTGCTGGTATTGATATCTATGCCCGAAACCAGGAGGGGCTTCCTCAGGCTACCATTGATGAAATTCTGCAAGCATTGAAAGATTTCGAAATTAATGATATTACGACCTTGGCTGAAAGCATGTTTTCTGTTTTGCAAAATTAGTGGTTGGACATTATAATGTGCGAAGATAATATGACCTATTTTCAAGACCGATATTCATGATCATAGATAAAGAAATATACCCCATACTCCCCACTACCACCATGCGCCGAGTCATCCTGGACAAGCTCTCCTATGAGTCGAAATCCCATCTGTTTATACAATTCAGCTCCTTCTCTCAAAGCGTGGACGAAGATATTTAACCCCATCTCATCCGCCTGATCCATTCCGCTCTTCACCAATGCCGTCCCGACTCCTTTACGCTGGTTGTCTGGGTGCACAGCAAGGTATTCCAGACATATATATGGTGTCTTTGGCGTCACTTCCTTCTCCAGCGCTTTTACGCGATCCAGCAACTCATCGGCATCATCATTAGGATCCCAAACAACAGTCTCGGCAAGCCGCCGGATCTCGGCCTCCTCCTCGGGCTCAACCGCCGGGACCTGGGCCTCGGGCCATATCGGCGTGCCATCATCTGGGCTTATCCCATAGGATGGTGGCAAGCGCCATCGGGCATAGCCGAGTATGCGACCCGTCTCTGTATCCATTGCTTTCTGATGTCGCAAGGCCTCCCGGTTGTTCAGCATGTTTCGTGGGAAGCGCAGGGCTATCTGCGAAATGTGGTACTCCAGGGTCCGATGGCGCCAGGCCAGAACCCAGTGCGGGCCAGCCCAGAAAGCGGGGATGCTATTGGCGGCCAGGGCGGCGCCATCGGCGACACGGCATTGGGATAGTACAAAGGGAGCCATGCTAGGGATGGTAGATTACCAAAGTCTGAGGCAGTCTGCGATAGAGAAAGGGCGAATAGTGTATGTTTCAGCCTAGGAGCGTGCGTCTAAAGCTTCCTGGGAATCAGCGTCTGGTTTTTAGCCCTGGGGAAACTTGAGTAAACAGTAAGAGACTGTGTGAGCAAAGAAATCACGGCAAGACAAGCACAAGGAAGAAGATAGGATCTACGAGAAGTGAAGCTTAGGCAGTCAGATAAAAAAGTACTAGTCCTAATTAGACATCAACAGATACCCAGATAAGAGTCTTTGGTCAACAATATATGAGCTTAGCTGGTGTGCTTACAGAGATCTCGGTGGAGACGCCCCCGCGCCTATCTCAGGTACCCCCGCACCATTTCCACATCTTCATCCCTCGAATCTAAAGCAGCTCAGAGCAATGGGAGCTGAAAAGATACTTTCAATTTCAGATCTCGAGTCTGCGGGCTCTAAGAAGCTTCCAATCGCAACTAGAGGTAACGAATATATTCTCTCGAAGGTAGCATAGCAATGCTAATGAAAGGCACTGACCCAACAGATTTCTTCAACTCTGGTGCAACAACTCAAGTTACAGTTCGGGAGAACTCAACCGCTTACCAAAGATACCGAATTCTCCCCCGAGTCCTGAAAGATGTATCCAACGTGAGCACCAAAATCCCTCTGTTCGGCCGGGACATCGCCTTCCCACTTTGTGTCTCCCCAGCCGGGCTACAGGCAATGGCACACCCAGATGGCGAGCTAGCGACAAGCAGAGCATGTGCTAAGCATGGCGTGAACATGGACGTCTCTTCCTATGCTAACAACTCCGTCGAACAAATTACAACCGCAGGAAAAGAGATAGGACCTATTCATCATGTCATGCAGCTCTACTCGATGAAAGATCGTGAGAAGGAGGAACGAGTCATTCGTCGTGCTGAGGCTGCTGGGTGCAAGGCTATTTTCCTGACGGCCGATAGCCCCGTGCTGGGTGTGCGGTATAACGAATGGCGAAACCCGTTCCTGCCTCCAGCTGGTCTGTCGTATCCGATGATGGAGAAAACGTCAGAACAGATTCAGCAGCAGTCGCACGATGATGGGTTCACTTCGTTCAATAGTGATTCGCATACTTGGGCTAAAGAGATCCCTTGGTTGCGCAGTATTACTAAGATGGAGATTTGGATTAAGGGTGTCTTGACGCCTGAAGATGTGGAGACGGCTATTGAGTACGGATGTGAGGGTGTGATTATCAGTAATCATGGTGGAAGACAGCTGGATGAGACTCCAGCAACCATTGATGCTCTTCCGGATTGTGCGAAGGCCGCTCGAGGTCGGATTCGCATTCACATTGATGGAGGCATTCGGTCGGGTACTGATATTTTCAAGGCATTGGCTTTGGGTGCTGAATGTTGCTGGGTTGGTCGTCCGATGCTTTGGGGTTTGGCAGTAAGTTACACAGCCTGTTGTTGAGGGCTAAATACTGACTCTGCTTTAGTACAATGGACAAGAGGGAGTGGAATTGATGCTCGACATCTTCTATCAGGAATTCAAACGATGCATGCAATTGGCTGGTTGTAAGTCTGTGTCCGAGATCAGCGCTTCAAGCCTTGGAATTTTCCGTTTAGATGGCCCATTGGCAAGACTATAGATGAATTTACTCAATAGATGTCGATCTCCGAAATCGAAAATTGTCCCAAAAATATGCAAAGCTTAAAGAGCCTAGGAAGCAGTGTTTGGACTTGTTGCTCATACTTCGTATCTTATCGGCGGGTGACATCAAAAAATTTCCCCAACTCCGCAATCTTCACCTCCAACCACTCCCCAACCAGGTCCAACAAACAAGATGACCGACTCCCCCACCCCAAAGGCGCAACACATAGCGCACACCCTCCTTGCTCGTGCCCACTCCCCCGACTCAGCAGAACAACAATTCACTGAGCGCGTAAAGCAAAAACCACTCTACCTCCGCCCAACCTCCCCCTCCGCCCAAGACAACCGATCCAGACGCCGCCTCCACCGTCTCCGCAAGAAAGAATATTTTATCCGTCATCAGCGCCCGCGGTCTCTATCTGCGCGCGAAAAGCGCACATCGGGCCTCTACGACTTGCCCAAAGACGAATGCAAGCATGCTATCTTCAAGGGCCTGCATGCGCTGTGGGTCGGATATATGCAAGAGATTTTGGATCTCAAGGTCGAGGGGAAGGGTGGATTGGTGACGCCGGCTTCGCATGGTGCGAAGCTTGTCAGTGCTGATTTCCACGGTGCGGAGGTGGAGGTTGTGCGGAGTCGATGCGCTAGTCGGGTGGGTGTGAAAGGAATCGTTGCGCGGGATACAAAATTTACATTCGAGGTTGTAACGGAGAAGGATGAACTCAAGAGTCAGTATTCTTCTTTGGTTCCAGGTTAATGCCCTATTTTGTCCGCATTAGAAGCTGACATTCTTATTATAGCAATACCCAAAGAACACTCTGTCTTCCGGTTTACAGTTCCTTTTCCGAATTCGAACCCGTCGGACTCTGCTGAGGGTCAGCAGACAAAAGGACCTAAACCATTGGTTTTCGAGCTTCATGGTAGTCAATTTGAGAATCGGGCCACGGACCGGGCTAATAAGAAGTTCAAATGGAGGAACATCGATTATCTATGATCCTGTCATATATGTTAACTATGAGATAATGATACGTCAACCCGGTGCCAATATGCTGCACAAACTCCATTTTATTGACCTTTATCATCTTTGGTATCCACACCACAAGTAACAGCAGAGTTGGTGATTGGCACATCTATTATCTTCTGATGATACAAATCACCTAAGTTCTTGGCTTCTCAATCTGCTCCAATACAGATGGCAGGAAACCGACTTATTGCGTCAGAAACCCTGCCACCTATCTTAAGTGTGTTTATTTTTATCAATGAACATAGAGAGGCATTGCATATTGCACAGCTTCGGTAATATCCAACCACGAGGCTTGATCTGCGCCATTGTTTTGTGAGGTGTGTATGATCAGGCTGATAGCGCATGGCTCAGCTGCAGGGATGGCAGCTTTTGATGAAACTAGAAAATGGCAGGCAAAGCCCGTCGAGTCCCTTCATTGGCTGTGTGCGTGTTCGGACAGATATCTCATGGCTCAGCGCCAATCAAAAACTCCTAATGACTGAAACCAAAAAATGGCAGGCAATGCTCGTAGAATTTAATTATTGGCTATATGCCTGATCGTGCAGATATCACTTGCGTCAGCGGAAGGCTGGCAGAAAATTCCCGACATGCTTTTTTTGAAATTAAAAGATGGTAGGCAATACTAGGAGTCCCTTTAGTGGTTTTGTGCATGTGCGCAATGCTTTAAGAATACCTCTATTGTCTGCATACTTCCTTTCTATATCGTGTTCCTCTTGTTCGTTCACTGGGGCTTAGAGATCCACATCATTGGCTTTGAAGCCTACCGTACGATACTGGTGAGGAACAATGATGATTCTTGTGTAACATCAAGGAAGAGCCTAAGCTATTTAGTTGTTTCTGATAGGCTCATCATGTATCGTGATTCATGTGGCTTTCTCTCTATCCTTTGGCTCCTTTTGAGGAATGGGATGACAACAGATGTGAAGACCAACCGCCAAACTCTTGTGTACATTTTGAAAGAAGCGAGCTCGATATGAGTCTCTTGGTGTCACCAGACCCAATCAGGTCTGGCCATGCATGGTCTTATGCCCAAAGGGTTGGTATGCTCCATCTTGTATTCAGGTTGATACGCGGCTGCCTCAGGGCGGTGAATCGACATATAGCTGCCTGCATTGTATCCATGAACAAGATGGCATAGATCCTGACGGTGTAATATGTAGTCAAATCGTAGGCCAAAAACATAGGATGGCTATTCAACGATGGACATATTCAACACGGAATTGATGAATGGTGGAATTGAAGGGAATGAAACCCTAGAGCCGGGTGTTTACATGCCCGCCCATTCAATGCTGAATGTACGCACGCTTTCAGTGCGCTCAATTTCAGACTCGGTTTGCTCTCTTGAAAGCTGGGGCCCACCAAGAAGGAAGCCCTTCTTGACGCCGGTACCCAGTCGGCCACCGATGATGATATCCATCAGATCAATGTCCTGGTCCCATTCGGCAGATACCACGAGGAAATGCGAATGGAATCGGAGAGGGTCACCAGGGTATGCCACGTACTGGCATCCGAAACGCAGGCCGGGAGAGAGGAAATAGCCACGCGATTGTAGATGAGCAAAGAGCGGGTATGAGAGCGGAACATCGGGCCGTGGGAGGATATTTTTGGACGATGTAGATGGGTGAGGAAGTGGAGGGTAGGATGTTGTGGGAGTCACACCGTAGATTTGCTCAGGTACAGCGCTGGTAGGTGTCTTTGAAGAGGCAGAATCATCACCGAAAAAATCTGCCACCGAGGCTGGGCTGTCGTTCGCTGGAGTAGCAGGAGAATCGGGTTTATCACCATCAGCAACTTTGGCAGCTGCTCTGGCGTCAGCCTTGGCCTTCTTGTTGCCTTTCTCTTTGAACTTTTGATCTCTTTGTTGGTCCTTGCGTTCCGCTAGGATGCGAGTGGCGTGGAGGCCCTGGGATTCTAATTCTCGTAGATACTGTCGGCGATCTTCTTCTAGCAGAGATTGCATGCCATTGTGTGCCTTGGCTTCGTCTACAATGCAAGCTACACCCTTGTCCACCAACAGCCGCGCCTCTTCGGGCATCAGCTCGAGCGGCAAACCCAAGAACACATTTTGTTGTGGAATTTGCGGCAGCGTCCCGATCAGCACACCACACGTGTTGTATTCCCGCCTCAAATATGTGACATCGTCAATGGAGAACAGTAGGTATCTACCAGAAATGAAAGAGATCGGAATAGGAAGAGTAGGTTGATCCATTTTGTAGAAAATATTGTTTCATGTATTCTGCAGCACAATCTAATTAGCAATTGATCCTCAACAAGGTAGATTGAGACGAAAGTAAAAGATGTGTGCAAAGTCATTTTCCAGTACGTTTCTCAGTCACATAGCTCAATTATAAAAGAGCTTCAGGGGATTGACAGATTTGTATTTATATAATCATGCAAGGGGGCTTGGGTGAAGGGGAGGGAAAAGCAAGAGCTTACCATTAGAAAGGAACGAGTCTTGGGGTTTTGACAAGCAAAGCCTGAGACTCGCAAAGGTGGAAGGAGAAAGAAAAAACGAAGCGAGATTTTTCTGAAGAAATAGCTCCGCCCCGCTTACCCGTTTTGGGTTGGCGGTCTCCGCTGTCAATTCCACGGCTTGAGAGCAGTAACTCCGGTGTCCGGACTCAACGCCTTAAACCTCAAAACACTTCTTACACGATGAACTTCCTTCTTCTCATGTTCCTGGTATTCTTTGCCCCATTGCTGCTATATGTTGGTCAGACTCCCTTATGTCTCCTTTTCAACCTCATGAAAGACAGACGATTACTGACACCGAGCAGCATGGCTAGCAGCCTCCTCCTGTTTAGGTAGTCGCTTTCGCACTCGTCTGGGTGGATTTTCAGTCCGATCAGGCTTGGACTCGTATGGCCAAAGCTATCTCCGGACTATGGCTAATTCAGGGCCGGCCATGTCTGAACAAATTGAGATGGAGGATATGCTAGCGGAACCCGGCACTCAACGTCACTTTGAAGAAGATGACTGAGCGAGCCTCATGCAAAGGTGTTTCCGCTTCAGAATTCTAGATCTGCCTTTTTAGGCATTCCGCTGGATGCAGGTGCCTCCTGCGCCTCCTTGTCACCTTCTGCCGGCGGCAAGCTGAACGGCTTAATCTCGAATCGCCGACGACTCAAGTTGAACGCCCAGTCTTGCCCCACATTCTGATCACTCCCACCACCACGTTCATGTAAAACAGGAATGCGGTGTGTCTTCAGCATTCCTTGTGGGGGCTCCTCCTGAGATGTAGCAGCTCCCGAAGTCGCCAGTGCATCAGCAGAGTGGGGGAATGGACAAAGCTCAATAACACCATCGCTGAGAAGCTCGATCCACCGGACGAGGCCGGAAGATCGAGGGAACAGTGACAACGGAAGAGTGATCATTGCTGTGATGCGAGTTGTATGCGCACTCATCAAAGCTTTCAGGGAATGCACGAACTGCAGCACATATTCGGGTTGACAAGCATCGGGCGGATACATTGTGGGATTGAGTAAGGAGGGAATGACAATGCGATGAATAGTGTTTGGGCCAGCAGATGCAATGGCGTCTTGGAGTCGTTTGAGAATGGCAATGAATGGTGAGCCCCTCGAGGGCACGAGTGGAATGAAAGTCATATTGGTAATAGAGGGGTGGGCAAGACGTTTTGTGAGATCAAAGGCGTGGCAGAAAGCCGCTTGCTTTGAAGCTGCATCAGTATCTCCCGTTGGTGTAGGGGCTGTAGTTCATCAGCATCATGTTCCATCGAGTCTCAAACGACAGACTTACCATCACGGGCACCCGCAATGCCAGCGCCAAATTCGCCTAGTCGCTCATATCGCCAAGCAATCTTCATACGCTCGTCTTTGCGCTTGTCTGACCTTTTCTCTAAAGACTCTGCTGTCCCAATCAGACCAGGCAAGCTTCGCCCCCATTGCTCTGGCACGCCAACCACATGGATCTTTTGTTCTTGGACAACACCCTCAGCTGCGTAGTATCGCAGCAATGCGCCCGCAAAATCTGTAGTCCCATTTTCCTCGATCAGCAGAATCTTTCCCATAGGAAGACCTGCATGTCCTGCAAGAAGCCCATCTAGCGAAGGTGTGCCTGTAGAGGTAGTTGGCCGTCCGTCATCGGGTGAGGGGCGAATGCCTGGAATAAATTCGGGCGGAGCTGGCTGTACAGAGGCATTGGGGATAGCAGCGCGATCGACGCCAGCTGATAAGCCGATGTTTCGCTTGCGGAATGACATGGCGTATATTTAAGGTCCAAATCTCTTGAACAATTTAGACAAAGAGGCCTGGTGTGGTTCCGATCATGAAATGGTTTATCGGCGGGGAACCAAAACCGGCAGAAAAAAAAAGAGCTGCTTCAAACTCCGAACTCCACCTCCAATTCCTCTCCTCCACTCTCCTCTCCTCGACAATTACACACCGCAAACCCGGAACAGAAGGGTCTTTGCAGTGTCTATATTCTACTCTGAATATTCGTCCTGACTAGCCTCTGAAATCCTCGCCACCGCGAAGTCCAACCTCACAATGTCCGACCCACTCCTCTTCGAAGACTCGTTCACCGTCACCGGCGTCAACGCTCAGAAATACGATCGCGTCTCGCGTCTGACCTGTACTTCAAGCGACGCTTCCATCACCTTCACCCTCGATGTGAACTCCGAGCTCTACCCTTGCGCCGTCGGCGAGTCGCTCTCCATGGCGCTGGCCTCGACTCTGTCTCTTGACGGCAAGGAGGATACCCGTGCGAGCTGGAGAGAGGTCAGCATGGGCGAGCAGACTCTTGCCAATGACTACGATTACGTTTGCCACGGCAAGGTGTACCGATTTGAGGAGGGTTCAACCAAGGATACCATGTAGGCTGACCTAACCTTTTTTTTTTTTTTGCGCTTGTCAAATTTTGTCCGGTGCACATACTAATATGATCCCAGGGCTGTCTTTGTGTCATTCGGTGGTTTGCTGCTCTACCTGGAGGGTCCCTACAAGAAGCTGGCCCCTCTGAAGATCGACCATGTCTACTTGCTTCTCAAGAAATAGATGGGTTCAGTTTGTGGACAAAAATTTGGGGTGTACTTGATCTGGGCAGGTCATTTTTCTTGGGTTGTGCAGCGCTGGCGTTTTTTTGCATTTTGATTGATTTGAATATACCAATAGATGATCGCCAATAAAATCGATCTTCATTCCAACTGTATCTTGCTGGACTGTAAGGCCAAGAGCCAACACCCCAAAGCCATATCACATGACTAATAAGCAACAGAGAAAGGATCGGCAGTGGATTATCTCTGGTTGGCCCGCCGCTACTACTGCATTACATTCAAGATCCGATCACGACTATCCACTTCCACAGCAGAGATTTTTCTGCAATTATGACCGAGATAGTAACAATCACTTGGGGTCGTCTTGATCTTATTGTCCAACTTGAAAGTCGTGTATCGCCCATACTTGCTCCATTCGAAATTCGACTTCCTATAGTAGCTTTCTCTAGATCCCAATCCCTGACTGATGTGAATGTCAACACTGGAGATCGTGTTGTCTTAATAAAGGACAACCATAAAGATTTTGGGAAGCTCCATTAAATCCCAAGCAATGAGAACCTGTGATAGTGGCGGTGCGATCTACACCTGCTCCCCTATTGCTTTCCTTTTAATGCTCTATCCATCGGCCGTATATGAACTAACAATAATGACTATCACGGTGTGCTAATGAGGACTGATAATTTCCTGTTGTTCAAACCAGTAAATCTTCCTTATGTAGCTACAAAGTGTCGCTCATGTGTTTCAAAGGCCATCATTCCACTCTGGGAAACTCCTTCAACAGAGCGCTATTTATCTTTGATATTTGGTCAAGGTATTCTCCGATCATTTTTTGAGAAGGCTTTGTCTCGCTATCTGAGAGAGCCCCGTTCCCGAGAAAAGCAGTATGACGATTGAGGGCGTAAGTAAGGCTCATTGACGCTGTACGAATTTGGTCTTGATCGCTATGGTTAGTGTACACGCATCTCCAAGACAGATTATGGACCATAGGGGTCTCACCAAGTAAGTATCGAAGGTGAATAGATTTAGTCAGCGCCAGCATCATAATTTCAAACTGTTGTACATCCGGTAAAGCACGTAAGTCTGCATTAGACTCGTAATAAAGGCCATTCCATCCTAATAAAGTCATTACGATGAGTGATACTCGCTGGGGGTTTGATCCTACCGGCAGCAAACGTCATGGATGCCTTGCAGATGATATCGACATCTCTCGCTGAGCGGGGTCTCAGCCCCAGTAGACTGGCTGCAATAGGCGGTGCCCAGCTGGAGCCGAACAAGCTTCCAATTCCAAATGCGACGGCAACTTGTAGTTCAAGCTCATCTTGGGTTTCGTCTCCAACTTTAACTTCAATGAAACATTGTCGCAGTTCTAGTACTCTTTTTGCCCACTTCTTTTCATCATTCAAGGAGTCTATGAACTCGGCTCTCAGATAAAATAATCCGTTGTCGATGATTTCTCTGGCAGTAGCGGAACCGCATTTACCTTCAATCTTCAGTGCGCCCTGTGAAAAATACTCTCCAAAGTAGTAGCATTCCGAGCAATTGGAGGTATTTCTGGTTCGGAGTTCTTGCAGATTGCGTAATCTAGAATCAAACTTGCTAAATATGGAGATGAGATCCATATCTCGTGCAAAAGCTTCTTTTGGAAACTGGGCAGTGTCGATAATGAAAAGAGTAATATCTTCAAGGGCAACACGGTCCCTATGGTGGCGATAGAACATATATTGTAAAGCGAAAAGCAGTGAGCTCGTCCATGAGAGGAGGTTGCTTGGACTACCACTCCTCCACTGAAGATGTCTCCAGAGCATATCTGCCATATCTGTTCGATCACCGTCTAGAATATTTGTTTCTTGGCCCGTATTACTTTCTTTGGCGTCCTTGGATTTTGCCCAGATCTTGGTGGTCTCACCGTCTGACTTGCGGTGGAATGAGACACGAAAAAGATACTGTGGAACTTTTTGAAAATTGTCGTTCAACCATTTTTCTCCCTCATGGGGATGAAATGGTAGGCAATCGGATCCAGCTCTGTTCAAATTTAACTGATTCATATACCGGATCAAGTTTTCGGTGGCCATCTTGCGCCTGCAATACTGTTTTGACAGGTAGAATATATATAAGATTGGGTTTTCAGATTATCCCAAGGGAAAAAAAATACAAAAGCTCAACCTTTGGGGCTTTAAATATTCACGGGAACCGCACTTTGAGGTTGGGAGTACTTACAGGGTTCTGGTGCACAGCCCTGTAGGCGCCGAGGCTGCCTGACAGCGTCTCATCATTTTCGAGTGATGTCCACGGGTATTAACCACAGCTATAGATGTTTGCAACTGTTCAGATGGCTGCCTTGGCTACAAAAGTAGTCAACCAATAAGGGATGGCTCTGAACACTGCCCTGATGAGTATCTTGAGATGGGACGTTGGGAAATTTTGAAAACAATATAGGATAATATGCGGAATCTGCCTTCCAATTTCTATTTGCTTTAGAGTCGCTCGATTATATGCCAGGATGCGAGTAACTTCAGGCAGTATATACATTTGGATGTCTAGCAGTGAGAGGCCGTCGGGTATTCCAAGCGACGGTGAAGGCGAGATATAATATCCAGGTAATCCGGCTCATTCTCAGCAGTGAGAATGCCACGCCGAATAAAGAAATCAATCATGACGACAGCACAGTTGGGTTTGAACTCGCCTCGTGCCAACGCATCTTTCACTTCCTGCACCGTCAAGAGCTTGAACTCTTCTACTTCGTTGTCCCCCGGACACGGAATGACTGACGCATCGAGCTTCAGATCAAAACAATACTCGACTTCCGGCTGACTGAGACCAATTTCACCACCAGCTCGTGCATCCCGGATATGGCTGTAAGTCACACAGCCTACTGGGACGATGGAAGCACGGACTATCTCCTCGGGGAGGGAGGCTTCCTCCATAGCTTCACGGACAATACACTCAAATGGCTTCTCATCGGTGCACATACCACCCGCAACCATGTTGTCCAACATGCTAGGGTAGGTTTGTTTGTTCTTTGCCCGTCGGGGAACCCAGAATTTGAGGCCATCGGCATCCTCCACATAGCCGGTCATGTGAGCGCCGTAGCTCACGATGCCGAAGAGGGGGGACGCACACCGTTCCATGTCGAGGAGAAACTCGCCACCAGGTCCGTAGACGGGATATTTCTCGTTCCGCCATCCTCTCAATACTTCGAATGCATCAAGCTTTACGGCTTCGAGGATGCTGTCGCCGACCAATTTACTGCGGTGCTCGGGAGTTGCATCTGCTGGCGTAGCCAAAGTTACGGTCTTTGCGGTAGAGTCGACCACCCAGTAGTCTGGTGACCAAGGGAATTTCTCGACTACCGAGTTCAAGATGTAGCCCAGAATAGCATCGTATCCATTAACTCGGAACTCATAATAATTCTTTAAATTCTCCGTGTATGCCGCACGGTTATCGGTATAGTAAGGGAAACTAGCGAAGCCATTAGACATCAAGAAGAGAACAAACAGATGGAGAATCAGTACTTGTCGCATTCACAAATCAGCTCCAGATTAGACTTTCCCATCGTGACGAGAATATAAGAAGCAATAAGCTTCACGATCATGTCCCGCGATGGAGGGGAACGCCAAGCCCTTATCGCCCCGTGATAAGGGTATTATGTCACTCTTCGTGCTTGGAGAATCCTGGAATCCGCTGGAACAAAGCGCAGAAAGCTCCAAAGAAGGCATCCTTGCAATCCCAATTCCTCAACTCCAACCCAAGCTCAGCCCAAGCTGGCCACCCACCCACAATGTTCTCCGTCGTCATCCCAGGCCGTCCCTGCCAAACGGACATCGTCGCAATAGATCCCCAACCAAACGGCCAAGCCACCAAATTCGCATTCACAATCCCACTGAGCCCCTCATTCAACGAGATAGTCATCTTCTTCCTCCCAGGCACAGTCCTACCCCCCGACACCGGTGCCGCGATCTACGCTCAACTCCCCGATCCCACCACCGGCTCCCCAATGGACTTCCGCTTCATCGGCGCATTAGCGAACGAGAAGCCGTCCGGTATATTCAAGGTCGAACCTTCAACAACCAGCAAAAACCCCAATGCCCGCTCTGAAGACGAAGAAGAAGATGAGATGCTCGATGAGGGCGCTACTGCCAATGCCGTCATGACACTCGGTATCTCCATCGAGCCGGCGCAGAATATTGCGCCGCAGCTTGCGGCACTGGAGAATGAGTCTGCGGTTGGTTCTGCGCAGAAGCAGCTTTCTACTAAGGTGCTTGCGCAGCGAATTATTGGGAGTGCGTTTAATTTCCTTGCGAGCTTTGCTGAGTCTGATAAGGGACGGGATGTTGTGCCCTTGAAGAGCTTTCGGGATTGGTGGACGAAGTTTGAGAGGCGGATTGAGGTGGATCCTTCGTTCTTGGAGAAGGAGGATCCTAATGCGTCTTGAGCTTTTGGTTTGAATATGCATATTGGTTCGATTGTAGGATTACATGCGTGGCACGAGTCATGGACATGACTATTTTTCCTTTTCTTTTTTTGATGAGTGCGAGGTTGCATTATGGAGCGATTGGCTTTATTCTCTTTGCGGTTACGCTTTACGAGCATTCAATTCTTACTGAGTGTTCCAACCTTGGAGGGTTGCTTGGAACCTCATATACGATTGAGACTATGATTGCAGTGTATAAAATAATGACCTTTTTGTCTTTTTACACGGCAATTATATACAGTGGACTCTGCCAAAGAGCCAGAAAAGAAAACGATATATACAAACATCAAGAGTATCCAACACTATTTTCGTGTTTTCCAAGGTCTGCTCCAAGCGCCAATCCCACCAAGCAACAAGCCTAACATTCAAAAAGTAATCATGACTCGGATTCGTGCATATGGTTGAACGATCCATCTGGTCGCAAGCGAATCCCAGGCGCATAGCAAAGACTATACAATTCATCGACATATGTGATAGGCGTCAAAGCATTATCACCAGCTGCAACAATAGCGTCATGCTGAATAACCGGATTCTTTGCCGCATTCTCATTCAATCGGGTGATATCCACGCGCACCTCCTTCTGCACGGTAATATCTCCCAGCGCAGTCGCAGTGGTACCAGTCTCGAAAAGGGATTCCTGTGAATGACCCGAGTGCAGCGCACTACCAAAGCTTTGTTTCCGCGAATGCCAGAGACGGACAATGGCAGAGCGGGTGGAGGATATTTTATCAGAGTCCGAGGCTGTAGAGCCGGAGCGGACATCTGTGAGGAAGAGCTCCTGGCTCAGTTCGCGAGAGAAGCCATCTCTGTCGGCATTGTTGTCGTTTACTTGTTGCTGGACACGGAAAAGGCGGAAGGGGGTGAATGTGAAGTCTGGATTGGGAATTTGGGTATTTAGTGTTCCGACGACACAGAATGTGAGAATGGTGCATTGCCGGGGGGATCGCGGAAGGGCCTCTTCAGAGGCGCGAGATGTTCTGCGGCATGGGGCGAGGAGAGGACGTGCGGAGAAGGTGGCTGCGGCGCGCATTTCTTCGGAGAAGGATTTGGAGAGAGAGGTTATACCGTCTACGAGGTGTTGGCGGAACTCGTCGAGGTTGCGGTCTGCTTGCATGGCGGAGTCGGATTTGAGGTATTTCAAGCAGGTGTTCATAGACCAGCCTTCCATATGGGATATCAGGTCAAGGTGTGCGACTTGTAGTCGGAGCATTGGGAGGGTTGAGGATGGGAGCGGGTTGCCGGTGCCTTTGGTAGTGAGAATCTCGAAATGGTCGCTGACGGTAGGACGCATCACAAATGCAGTCAAGTGTACGCCCTCCGAGAAGCCGCGGTTGGTAGTGGCATAGTCCCGCATATCACGAAGGTGCTCCCTGAGATTGGGTTCTGGAACATGGATGCGGCGAGAGAGAGTCGAGGTAATGTTCTCGATAGTAGCGAATCGGAATCCAAACGAGGCCATTCGAGCCGCTTCGTGTTTGTGGAGCTGTCGAACACTGAACATCAATTGACCTTTGCCGGTTCGTAGTGACGAACGACCCATCGCCTGGGACAATCGAGAGACTGGGATAGCAGTTGACAGAACATCATCGTATAGGGTTCCAAGTTCGTGAAGAGGTATTCGTAAGTCGTTTGATAGCTCCTGCGCTGATACACAGAACAGCTGCTTGAATAAAGTATCGAAATCGGTCTGTAACTCCGTCTCTTTGTCATTAACCACTCCCCGTGACAAGACATGTTTCTGGATAGCGGCCTGCTCGGATTCAAGACGATTTCGCATGAAGGGGATCATATCTTTGACTACGGGCCAGTTGCGGCTTGCCCTAAAGGCCCATAGGAAAGTAGGATGCGTGCGAGTGAGATCATCATCTTGGAATGTCCGTCCAATGTAGTGATCAACGATCTTTTTTGTTGGCAGCAGAGCCTGTGGTGTAACCATGACGCGGCCAGCTGGGTCAAAGTAAGCGCAGGCAAGAACAAGCTGATGGGCGCGGGTAGTCGATCGTCGGCGATTGCCACCAGAGACAACAGCACAAGCAGACAGGATCACACATGAGACACAAGCCTATAGAACGGTCAGACCTATGCATCGATCGAAGGGGTAAAGAATACTGACCAGGACAGAGCAGACGATGACCACCTGACTTCGAGACAATTGCGACCCATTCCTCAAAGTCTCATCTCGCTCCCGATAGACTGTCCCAACAGACGCCGTCCAATGCATGCCTGATACAGCACCGGCAAGCAAACAGGCACAGATCCCGCGCCGCCACCAACTATCAGTCCAAGTAGCTCTCCATCGAAAGAAGATTCCAAGCGCAGCGGTGCTCGAGAAAACAGCGATGATAGCCGATCCGACGACATTCGCGACATGATATGAAGACTTGTAGTTTGAAATTCCCAGCTGTCCAACATAATGCATTCCACACACGGAGCTACCAGTGAGTAACCCTCCTATTAATATGCGTATGTAGCCCGCCTTCTCCTGGACACCAACAGAGTAGAACGCGGCGAGGAGTACGACCACGGGTAGCACAAATGATGTTCCGGTGAACGCGACGTTGTAAAGGATCTGTATATCTGCTTCTCCATTGCCGAGGACGATGGCGCGGTTTCCAATGAAGTGCATGCACCAGATACCTATACCACCCATGGTTATAGAAGAGGTGAGGAGTAGGTACCTATGGCATGGGTCAGTGTGTTCAATTGCTTCAGTCACGGATAGTTTCCATACCAGTTGTAGAAGCCCGATCTGGACGTTCTGCGGTGGAGAAGCTCCAACGTGGTCGCACATCCCATAGAGCTGATAACATACGAGAGGAAGATATACCCTCCCAAGTAGGAGACGTGAACCATGGCGTCTTCGTTACCCGCAACTGGCATATTGAGCTATTATCAGGCAGCTGGGCTATAGCCCGTGGATGAGCTATGTAAGGTAGCCAGAATGGGAAAGGAAAGCGGAGTCGGTGATCGACTTGAGCGATTATGAAAACGAACAAAACATCGAGCTCATGGGATTCAATAACGAATATAAACAAAAAGAGCGACGGTCACAAGAGTGTCAGTGAGTGGGAATTTCCTTGATCTAGAGGCGATGGAAAACCTTATCATGTTAGGCAAACTAGTCTAGGCCAAAACTAAGTATTTGGCGCATTACACCAAGGCCAGCGCAGTACTCGCAAGCCCGCATGACATCGGGCAATTAATTGGCTTCGTAGGCGAGGGCCATGGATCCAGGATCCGATCTAGAAGACGGCTAGCTCCACCCAAAGCTACGCATCGCTGCGAGTGTCTCCATCTGTCGTCTCCATAGCCAATTCGCGTAGCACAATATAGTACTGTGGATCCAAACCCGAGGGCAAAGAAAAGGAATTAAAAAAAGACAAGAAAAAAAAAAGAGTTTCAGATTGATCAATATGATCCAGCGGAAATGAGAACAACTGGGGCCTCTGATCCCCGTACCTGTGGACTTTTGAAGCGAGGCTTGCATTTTAACCGGTTTCGCCATTGGCTTACTATGATCTAGATCGGATCGTAGCGGGAAAAGAACGATGGGGCCTCATGTGTTATCGTAGCGTATCAGAGAGCAAGCTAGCCCCGGCCCCCAGGCACCTAAGCAGATCTGAGTTAGACACGGGGTCTCTGGTCGCAATACCACCTCAGGGGCGGCCCCCAGTGGACGATAATGTAATTGTTGTGTTCCTGCGAACTCAAATTGAAATTGGGATGTTGTGCTCCGGTGAGTGCGCCGATGAGAATGAGTAAGTGGCTCGTACACGGCCCCGCCGAATAGATTGAGCTTCAGCTGCGCCGGGCAGTTGGGTCACAAAAGATGTTTGATCGATTCCATGCCCCACGATGTGGAGATAGGGCCGAAAACACGCATCACCCATGCAATTATGGAGAAAGCTGTGTCATCTGCACCGCTCATCCGGGTATGCAAAGTGACTGGCGTCGGCGATCAGTCACAAAAGTCCTTTCGCGCATAGCGCCTATGAGAAATTTGGGTTGTGAAGTCCTCGGATGAGAATGGCGAGCCGCACGGTACCTTGCCCCTACCTCGGTTGGGTCGGGCTTGCGTCGGAACGACCCTGGAAATTGAAATTTGGGTCGCTTTACCCACCATCGGCCAGCTCCATGGGCTTTAATTGGTCAAGTTCGTCAAGCAGGCCCGATATCGATCTATCGCCCTAAACGGGCACTGACCATCCGGTGGTCTACGATGGTTTTTTCCCTTGATCCATGGTTTAGCGACCGGTGGCATAGAATGTGGAGCCCGACAGATCGATTCGATTCATCAGGGTTTGCTCCGTTCACATTGGCAAATACGCACATGTGGAAGCGAATGCGAACCACACAGCCTGTCGGTTCATCGAACTGCTTTTGTTCTGTACCTTTTCTTGGGGGTTTTTTTTCCTCGTATCAGTGTTCCGTATCAAGATTGGGGAACGCCATGTGCAGAAGTGGGGGGAAGCTAAGTTTGTGAGATACGTAGGATCTAGACAGACGATCAGTCCAAAAGTATGGGCGAACTGCGAACTGCGAACCATGTGTCAAACTGTCAAAATGTCAATCGCATGGCAATGCATGGGTTTGCGCCACAATGAGATACAGAAATTCTCCGGCTCCTCCATCCGCACGACTCGGATCTTCATATTTTCGTTTCTTTCTTCGAAGTGGATTCTAGGTTCTGGCATCAGCCACCAAGTTTGGTCACCGCAGCCCCTGCGCCATGACAACTTGGCTTGCTTTTCCGAGGGATCGCGTTTGCATATCAGGTCTCATAAGACGAGCCACTCCGATTCTTGCGTGTCAAACTTTAAAGTGGAATGAGAGATCGACGTAGAAATTTGGAGCTAAGCCCTAGAGCTTGGACTGTGTCATCACCGTGACTTGCATATGGAGAATGAATCCGAGCCGTTTTCGACTCGTCGTAGATCCGCGCGTGACATTTCAAGGTCGGGGATTTATCAACAAGAAAGGTGCGGAAAGAAACCACTTGGCTACTGGGTCTTTTGAGGCCTAGAATTGTATCAGATCGTATTCATTTGCCTACCTTCACCGGGTACAGAAAGGCTTGTGAATGGCCTCATTTGCATGACGCCATCACCCCGACTACCACGCCCAATTCCAGAAACCTTCGCAAAGTTCCATAATTAGCACTTCGTCAAATGCTACTCCGCATTGTTTGACAAAACGATCGAGTGATTCCTGAAGCACCGTCTCTGAGTCATAGAACCGACTAGATTGACCAAAAGATATCACCCCACAGTTTCGTGGCTTAATTGAGGTGTCTAGACAAAGATCGGGATTGGTCCGATTGGCTTCGTTGACATATTGCAGAGCAATTAACCTTATAGAACAGCGAGTTCCCCACGATAGATACTCATATGCGACTGAGATGACTGGTTGTTTCGCGCTGCCGATATCAGCCAATTGCTGCTGTTCGCTCATGACCACGTCTCTCTCACCGATAGCACCGACTTTGAAGATAGATGGAATTTGCAAGTATTTTGCATTGCGAGCTCCGGCACCTTCAAGGATTATTTTCTCTTGAGAATTGGCGGATGCCTCCAGCTCAGCTCAAAGTAGACTATCTCAATGCCCTTGTAGCCAGCTTTCTCGGTCACTCGAATCTTGTAAGCAAGGTTATGAGAAAGATACCGACCCGGTAATAAGCTGGCGAAGCTCAAGTCGTTGGAGAGCATGATGGAGGTTTGTGTTCAAGTCTATCGAAGAGACCTGAGGCTTGATAGACATTCTTTCTGGGCTGTGTGCGGATCTGTCCGAGTCTTTCTAATCTGGGCTGTTTCGGGGCTGATTAGCTGTAGAGAGCTGCATTTGTGATATACCAGCTGCTGCAGGACCAATCATTGGTGCTTAGTGTTGTTGTTTGCTTTTGCTGTTTGCTTTTCCCTGCATGCATGACGCAACTACTGATTGCATATCTAGAATGTACTAACCCTGATTGCATTTATACTACTCAACAAGCCTTGTACGTATCGTCCAGCTACAGGATCAGGTAACCAAGAAGAGGATTTAACAAAAAAGGATCTTTGGACCCGGGGATTAAATTGTTCTCTCAATGCAAAACTTTATCAATGAATCCTCCATGCCTAATCAAACATTTACTGGGCAGCGACCTTGGCGACAGCAGCACTAATAGCAGGAGGGTTGGCACCACGGACGGTCTCTTTCAGCTCGCCGTTCTGGAAGAAGAGGAAGGTAGGCATAGCGGAGATGCCGTTCTCAGCGGCGACCTCGGGGAGGCCCTCGACGTCGACCTTGTAGAACTTGACGTTGCCGTGGGTCTCGCTGAACTTCTCAATGGCGGGGGCAATAGCCTTGCAAGGACCGCACCAGTCGGCGAAGAAGTCAACAACAACGGGCTCCTTGGACTCGGTGACCTTGGTCTTGTACTCCTCAGCGCTGCAAAAAGAAAATGTTAGTAACGCTCTAGTAACTTTCTTTTTGATTCTCGATTGCCCGCAGTGCCATCATGACTCGCAAGAAGAGATCAATGGAGGGAAGACTCACGAGGCGATCAGCTGAACGTTGCCACCCATTTTGGGGATAGATTGCGAGAAGTGCGGGATAGGAGTTGAGGAGAAGCTTCGGACGGGAGTCGCGATGAAGGGAGTACGCTGAGAGATCGACGAGCGAAGCAGCGAAGAAGTGGTTCGAGAGAGTGGTAGACGAGCGAGTCGGAGAGTGGAAGAGTTAATCTGGGAGTGGGGAATAAGTCTTTAGATTTTATGAGGGGCATCTTGGAGGGGCAGCTTGGCCGTTTTTTATAGGCCGATGACGTTCCGGACACCGGGGCTTATGTAAGGGGATGGCACAACCGCTGAATAATACGATGCGGCGCGCCCTTTGCCCCTGGTTACTGCCCGGTATTCTGCATCCCAGATCGCGTCAGGCTTAGCGGTGCAGGGTGACTTACGAAAGACATAGCGGTGTTTCCGGATTAGCGTTGTCGAGTATCAATTGGACCAATTGAAGAGCTTGGTTGGGATGAAGAAAGGAGGATTGGGCGGTGGGTTGGGGCAGTATAGGATGACGTGCTCGGTTGCTTACGAATTGGATTCAGTCTGGACATGCACTTTACTTATCTAGGGAGTTTGTCACATATGTGTGGTCGAATATCTCGTTGACTCACAGGCCATGAAGAGAATGCACGAAACTTCGATTTGTCAAAAATAAAGCATGTTGCAAGACATAATTTTACTAGAATTTTCTCGCTTCTTTTGATTTCAAATGCCGAGTATACCGTGGCCAGCAGTCTGCATCACGCTTCATGTGCAGTAGCTTGGTATCAGGTACTAGCCAGGCACCTACTATGGTGGTGTTTGCAGTGAACCAACCGAAACTGAGAAAATTATGATATACAATTTCAATAACACCGGACTGTAGTATTGGTAGTATTTTTCTCGCATCTTCTGATTTCAAATCCCGAGTATAGAGTACAAACAAACACCGCACCAGAGGAGACAGATTCCAAAGGCCGAAGGCTCAGCCGCCTATGCAGTATGGATAAAAAAGCTATATACATCAAAACCGTGTCGCGTAATCATATTGGCGCGCCATGGAATCGTACGAGAAAAAGAATCTAACGGCGGAATGAGAAGGTCAAACTATCTCCCAGTGTAATACACGAGAATGAAATTGGGGGTATATTAAAAACAAGTTTTGGAGAGAGGGCATTGTAACCAAAACAGTCCATTCGAGTACTGACACACTTGGTCAAAACCGAACGGGCTGGGAGGAAGCCAATCGATGACTATCAAAACACGCATGGAATGTATGCATCTAGCAGGGCTGAAAGCACGGGGCAGGTGGGGGTATCAACTAATAGAACGACAAGAACCGTGAAAATGACAAGCACAGCAGGTCGGGGGGAAGATAGGGCAGGGGATGGTGGTAAGGGAGGATTCAAGGGGAGGCCTTCATCACAATCGTAGAGACGGTAGATGGTGGCACACTGTGCTAAAAAAACAATAACAAAAATCGCAAAGGGATCTCCCAGACAAAGGAAAGTGGACAAAAGAAATTTCAAAGGAACGTCGGGCTATGTACGAAACAACATATGCCAGTTGGATCAGGGATCCAAGCTCGTGAGCAGATAATAGAACAGATCGGGAGCAAGCATTAGGGATATTTCAGAACAACCGTCGTTCCCACTGGCCAGGCCAGGCAATATCATATTGGACCTGGATTAAACGTGATCGATAATGCCATGGACGCTGGCCACACGCTGGGGGAGATTTTCGGAGAGGTTATCCTCTTCCAAAGGGCTCACAGGGCTATAGTCCTCTTCAGCCGAGATTGGCGACAAAGAGGGGATGCACCGCAGCATTCCCTGGTTGGATTTCGGGCGAGCAACTGGGTTGACCACAACAGGCCGCCGGCCGACCTCACTGTGCCACATCTCCGCGGGTTTATCGGCCTCAGGGTCAGCCACATCATTCTCCATTTCCGGGTCACCCATCACATTGTTGCTAGCGCCGTGGGAGTCAAGTGATTCGCGGGCTTCATCAAACACATCAGGGTCATCCAGGTTGGCGGGGCCAAAGGAGCTCATGTTATTCCGGACCGGGCTGCTGGGTTTCTGATTCATGCGGCGGAAAAACTGGCCAGACATCCAGGAGCCTTCAGAGTCGATGGAGGCCAGGGACTGAGAAAGTGGCACGTTGTCGGATTCGGCATCGAAGCTCTCGGCCAAGGAGAGATGGTGACGACGACGAGGGTTGACAATATCCATGCTGGCGCTAGGAGTTGGGCCTTGCAAAAATGTACTCGGTTCGTTCTCCAGTGAGGATTCGGGGACCTCCTCAGGGATGTCTGGAGACTGCAAACGCGAGTCGGGGGAGACATCGGCTCATCGCCGAAGTGTTCGGTGAATTTGGATTGGGAGCGTTTGACCGTTCCAGTGGGAATGAATGCGCGAGGAGGAATAACAGAGGCAGGAGGAGGAGAGGATTGGGTTTGGATTCTGTAGAAGGATTCATTCGACGGGTTGTGGTCCAATGATGCGGATTCCTGGAAATGCTCTCGGTAGCGACGCTTGAGGCGAGAAGAACCACGTCGGAAGAGGTGTGTGATGGTGTTCCCACGACGCCCGCTAGTATCAGACAGTCGGCGTTCAGAAAGGTCCGAGTTCGAGCCCATTCCAAACGTTTGGGAATGGCTGGGGCTACTGAGCCCGTGGCGAAGAGATGAGTGGGATGGCGAGAGCGTCGTTCGAGACATGCCCATCTCATGTGATGGGGCAAAGCTTGATCGCGTCGCTAGCTTGGGCTCACGAATGGAGACTTCACCGATATTTTCAATTACCGGTGCGCTGTCGGCTATCGAGTCGGCCCCAGCAGCATCGGTTCCCTTTGAGTCATCCCGTTCTTCATCAACTTCGGCGTCCACGGTCTCCTCCATGGCCGGTTCATCATGGTCTCCCACAGCGGCAAGATTCATCGCCGCGGCTGCGGCTGCCACAGCTGCTTCGGCCTCTCGAGCCTCCTGGGCTTGTTGTGCGTCGGCCCGTTCCTGCAACTTGCGTCGTAGCCTCTCCTGGTCATCAATCTGCTTCTTTTCCCGACGACGACGATCTCGATCCATCAACTCGCGCAGTGTATTAGCATCCAACGAATCGGCCAACTCATTCACCCGCCGTTTCGAGTAGTAGAGATCCTCCTCCGAGGTAGTCAGGTTCTGTAGTCGGTCCTTGGGGGGATTGTTGCGGGCCGAGGGAGCCCGTGGTGCCTCAACGTATCGAACCACGGGACGGGGGGTCAGCGCCGCGAAAGCATTAACCTTGAACGTGTATGGGTCTGTTAAATCCGACATGGAAGATGCAGCCGAGTCACGAATGGACAGGCTGACATCTGACTGGTACCGGTTTAGACGCTGACCATTCGTCCTCCGATGCCTGTGATCCATCATATTATAATCCGGTTGACCTGTTCGGCGCGGAATATCGATCGGCATCGAGGACAGCATGCGGATCTCACGCTCGCGCATGATCTCGTGCGCCTTGCGCTTGCTCAGCCTCCGTCGGAGTTTATTCGGGCCATTTTGATTCTTGTTCCGCATCAACGATTCGGTCCGCGACAGGGACCGCGGGGGGAGATCCGGGTCGGCACGGTCAGAGCTCATTTGGGATGATCGGTGGTCGAGTAATGAGATGGGACGTTGTCGTTGGGACGAGGAGCGACCCAGGCCGGCATGTACGCTCCCAACCTCGTCCCCGGTGCGTGACAGCCGGTTGTTGTTTTGACGCTTTGAGGGCCGGAGGGAAGGCTTGCGGCCCAATGTGGGTTCGATACCAACGGCGGCAGCAGCAGCTCTGGGGTCGTTCGCGATCGACGACTGCAGGGTAGCGGCTTCGTCGGGGCTCACTTGAATGGTGTGCCGCTTGGTTTTATTACTCCGACCAAATGGCCATATCGCCATGACGGTCGAGTGCGGGAAGCGCCCCGAAAACGAGTCAAAGGTCGCAGAGAGGTGTGAGACTGCGCCCGACTGAACTCATGGAGGTTTTGTTTTGAATGAGTGGAGACTGAAGTGGAAAAGGTTTAAACACAAAAAGCAAATAGCGGCGAAGTCACGCCAGGGCCACCGTCGTCATCAAGTGGGTTTGAGTTTAGGATGGGGAAAAGAGAGTAATAAGATGTACTTGGGGAATGGCGAAAGGGGCGTAAGCGAATGTCAACACAGTGGCGTTGGAGGCCAACAGGGAATGAATGAAGTGTAGAGAAAACAGAAAGAAAAGAAAAGGAAGAAATACATAAAAACAAAAAACAAAAATTAAAAAGCGCGAAAATGCAAATACAAATGAAAACGATAGGGAAAAACCCCATGGACAGGGCCAGACCACTTTCTGACCACAAATGAGAAATCTAATTTCCCGCTTGTTTTGCGTCGCTTTTCCCTAAAAATAACACATTCTTCGCTTTCTTCGATCCTCTAGTCACCTAGCATCGACAATCAGAATTCCGTCGCACAGTACCTGGTACCTGATGCATGTGAGAAAATTAAGTATGGAAATGCAGTCCTGGTCAGGGTGGCTGGAGTCACACGATGATTCAATGGTTCCCAAAGAGATCGACAACGTCGTCATTAGGAAATTGAGTCCCCAAATGTGGAGAAGCCACCCAAAAACAATCCACTCTACGGAGGACAGGACCTTGCATATATTCCAATAACTCCGTCCTTCGGTGTTCACCCTCGATCGCTCGATTTTCCAGTCGATGTAATTCCAGATTATTGATTTACCCGATCTCGTGGACAGCGCGCGTGCCTGGAACTAAGGCCCGTTGGACGCCCGGTGGATCCCCAACCCATTGATTGTTCACTTTGACACGCGGGAATGGAGTCGATCTTACGCAACCCTCACTGGTCCAACCCGTCCAGTTCCATGGGTTCCCCCAAGGCTCCTGCCGTCAATCCAATATTCCCCTCAATGTGGACTGGTGGACGTGCGTTTCGGCAGACCGCTATATCCTGCAGGGACTTATGTGTGTCTAGGAGAATTATTATGACTAAGTGGAGCTGGATCAGCGAGAAAATGGCTCAGTTCGGTTTCTTGACTCGGATGGTCGCCTCGCTCTGCGTGCGTGCTGAGCCGTGCACGAGGAAATGTTGTCATTGAACAGCCGACCTTCTAGGAAAAGGACTCCGGGAGATAGAGTAGCGTATACGACAGTCCAAAGATCTGATCGGATCTACTCCATACTCCATCTCTCTTGGGACTCGGCTAATCGTCTCCAACGAGTTGCAAATCTAACCAGTGCATTTAGAAAGTCAGCACATTGGTCACACGAGATCACGATAAGATTTGCACGCTCGTGGTGGAAATATCGACTAGTAGTATGATATGTCACAACTCATCCCCTCGAGCGCTGAAGAACCTTACTGCACCGTCAAATGTTTCACAGGATTCGGCAAGCGCTGATCTCAGCAATCCCGTGATTCATTTCCACTTTCCCCGGCCACTGTTTGCCGAGACAAACAGCCCCCCTAGTCAATAGATCCGTTCGTTCGACTGTGTGTGATCGCTGCAAGGAGCACGTCCCCGGGAGACTCCCCTTGGGCATCGAAACGTGCATCCCCGTATGCCTTAGCCTTAGCCTTGAACTCGATCTTGCCCAGACCTTATACCTATTAAAGCTACACCCGCACCCGCACCACTGCTGCATACATACTACTGCATTAGGAGAACAAACACGCCGGCTCACCTTCTATTACCGAGGCACAGGTCACAGGTCTACCCTTTTTCTGTTTTTTAATTTTTAATTTTTTTTCCGTTGGTTCCCCCTCCCCTTTCCCAGGGAGAAGGCCCTGGGAAATTGACAGGGTATGTGTGGCGTCTTGCTCACGCCATCGGGGAGAACGCCACTGGGATATGAAAGCAATACCGCCACTGGGGCAATAAACTCAGCGGATTTTTTCATTCGAGGATAAAAGAGCCATATAGAATATTCATTTGCCTAAAATCAGGATCCGGGCTGATACAATGTGTAGTTTACAGTATGCACAGCACACAGGCTGCTTGAGTGGCAATATAGCAATACCCAGACACTTTGCCTGAAGCCTCTATGTGAACCCCAACGCCAAAAATGCAAAACCAGACAAAAGTAGTCCAAACTTCAGACCAAACCACCCAAACAGCCATACCTAATCAACCAACCATATGCATCAACAAGTACCCTTCCAACTCACAGCGGGGTCATGCGTTGGCCTATTTACCTCCAAGCACTCGTTATTCGCCCGGTGTCACATTGTTATCACTGATTGACACGTTTCCGCAGCCGATTCGGCTCTCGTTCTAGGACGCGATATCTGCGGCTACCGCGTCCGCTGAGTAGTCGCTTCAGTGACCATGTTCCCGCACTATTGCTGCGGACATCCGGGCTAGCCGGTGAAGATGTCGGTGTAGAGTCAATAGATGGGTGGATCTTGTGAGATTCGGAGAGGGTTGACGGTTGGGCATCCATTCTGGGGCCTAGGGTGTGGTCTTTTCCACAGTATCACCTATACGCTTTGTCCAGCGAGGTCCAAAGTCCTGGCTATTGATGCGTTTGGTGCTGCGTGAGAGCGTGGGAGCTTGGGGTTCGGTGTTGGCAAAGTAAATGAAATGTCAATGCCAGGCATTCGATTGGGTTATGTTGCACACCTCGGCTGCTTGTGGGCTTCCCAGGTTGTCAAGAGACGGCCTGGATTTGCCTTGGGTATAGTTTAGTATAGTACTGTAGAGAGGGAAGTTCAGATCGATCTCGAGGCTGGAACAGGAACGGTACTTGGAGCGGGGTTAAAGTGGTGGGGCTATGATTGGATCCGGTGGTTGATCTGATTCTCATGGGCTGGAGCTGTATGTCTTGATACACAGTAGATATCCAAGGGTTGGAAGAAAGGATCATCCTGGTTCGTAGTTCCTATATTTGTTTTGAGTGGTAGATTTGGGTTCGTGCACGAGGTCATCCGGGCTTCGCACGCGATAAGCATACATTTGCCGATCGCACATCCTGCCCAGGTGAACGTCTAGATGTAGCACCGTCTGTCCCGATAGGGCAAGTGGTGTGGTCTGGTGGGTATGAAACTTGCTAACATTTGAACCGAGTACGCAATGTGATGCCAACTTCTCGCCCTTGCCCTTGCTTCTGGTATAGAACCGCACATTATCGTACCTACAGGGCACTTCTACCATGAAGACGTCACATATTTCTAGATGTACTATAGTCTTCACGTTCCTATAGATCCTCACGAGTCAAGAATCCGAAACCTTGGAAGACAAGATAAAAATATACTAGGCCCTTCATACTCCGCATCCCTGCATGTTTCATCTAGATAAAGGCCCGGACCCTGATTGAAGGAACATCAACCATTGCCCTTCCTTCTGCAGTCAAGCATTCGCCGACAGCGATCGCCAGGGCGATCCATGCCACAAAGTCAGCCTCGCTTGCGGCATGACGCCAAACACACAAGAACTCAAAACAAAAAAAAAAAAAAACGGCTTTGAAGGGCGAGGCTTGCCCTATCGATTAGCCGGACTCCCAACGTGCTCACTGAACCCTAGTAAACAAGGAACCCCGCATCGCTGCACTCGCTGCACTCGGAATGCGCCCTCAATGGCTGGATGTCCTTTCCACAATCGGCTCGTATTGGATGGAATATCTCGGAGATGATTTCAGCCCTGTGTCTTGAATGTGCGGTCTGGGTGGGTTTAAAACCCCTAGATGGACGTCATGGGGATACGAGAATTTCTTTCCTTTCTCATTCTATCATATCTCTATCCCTTAGACAAGCCGGTATTGTCTCACATTTTATACAATCAATTTGAGGAATATATCCCAGTAACCCAAGAAAATTTCTCATTGGCTTTGCGTTTCTTTCCCTCTGGTTTAGTCCTCCGCAACATATTTCCCCATTGACTCTGGTCATTCCTACTCCAGTAGCCACACCTACTTTCTGGAGAACGACAATCGCATACCCGTGGCGCAAATGGCTTTACTCTGGATCTTCATAGCCCTCGGGTACATACTCCTGTACGCCTTTGCTGCCATGCAGACGCAGGAATCGTCTGCTTTTATCTCAAATTGGATAACGACCTGAATATTGATGTTTGATATGGACATCAAATACTACCTCGATCGGCGGAATCGAAAGCAAGCACTGCGCTCCACCAAAATGAAAACCTTGGCATGATGCTGCTTAACGCATGCACTCGGAAACGCTACCTAACGACATCTTCACCTTCGATTCCAACCGAAGACTCATGACCTGTGACCATATATCAATTTACGCCACGATACCCAAACGAAAGCTTCAAATGCTGCATGTCCTGCTACATTTTACAAAATACCACTACGAAGCCCCATGGAATGAGATAGCCCTAGAGGCACTATGCGTTCGGCGGGGGCATTATCTTTGTTGGCTGGTTCAACCTCGATGCCAATTTTTCGATGATTGATGTATTACGAATTTATACCTACTTATGAGAGCCTATTGGCCTGATGACCGACCATAGATGATAGTTCAGTCATCTGAATATTCTTCGTTAGGAATTGACGTTCTTTCTCAGATTTAGGTATATCTAAGCTGCCAGAATTCGCTAGTGGTCATGGCAATAGCGTTACATAGTCGTAGATATGGCAGGTTCCATGGGCTTCCAGGAGGGTTATTTTTTTCAACAATATCATCCAGAACAGCCCTGTAGAGTGGGCGATGCGGCCGCAGGAATTGCTTCCTTGTCGCCTGACTTAAACTGAGGAACTGTCACGGGAAAAGCCAGTCGCCATGTGCTAGAACAGTCATTCTCCAGCATGTCATCTCATTCATAAAGCATTCGAGCCTGATTTGAAGTGCACTTTCAATTTTGCATCTCCACCTGGCATATGGTCTAGAACCAAATTTTGATCAGCTCCTCACTGACAGCACTGGGAGTCAAGACACCGCTGTCGGTGATCAGGGCGGAAATCAGATGGGGAGGGGTGAAGTCAACGGAATCCTCAAGTGGCAGCTCTACTGGACGGTTGGCATTGAAGTCGACGGGGGCTTGCGGTTTACTTTGTTGCGCAATATCCTCTTCGGTCTTGAAATCGACAACATGCTGTTCGATGGGCAGATCATACTGGCCCAATGGATACAGACGAACGAATTTGTGGCTCTCAGCCACCGTGTAGAAGGGCTTTCCGATAGCCTTGGCGAGAAGTCCGATCTGGTAGGTGCCCATGCGAGACACGATACCTCCGTTCTCCACTACGCCCTCCGCACCGACGATAACCATATCCGCCTTGCCAAGAGCATAAGCCACTGCGGACTCCGGAATAGTCGCAACCGGAACACCCTTCGCCCTCAATGCGCGCACTGTCTCCATTCCCTCAGGCTCCCCAGTAGGTCCCTCGATATCCTTGCTGATCGATGACAGGACGTAAATGACATTAAATCGCACGGCAAACGAGCCACCTTCTTCATCGGCCACCTTCTGTAGTAAAGAGGCGACAGCTCGGGATCCACCATTGGTGAGCACTGTGCAGCCGTCGCGGATGAATCCACGGCCGAACGCGGCGATCTTCTCTCGACTCTCCTTTGCGCGGCGAATGAATAGTCGTCCGTTTGACAACAGGTGTGTTCGAATGGCTTTAAAATCTCCCGCGGGACCCAGCTGGCCTGGTCGTTGTAATGTGGTGATCAGGTATCTTTGGAAGAGATCGGTTCCGGCGGAGAGACCGATTGGGTTTGCAATGGATTTTTTCAGGTGTTCTGTAGACTTTGCGAGCAAATCAAGGGTCTCGGAGATTGTAGATGATGGCTCATGTGTGAGGAGAAGCACCAAAGCTTCAATGGCCGCAATGGGCATGGTAAGGTCGGGATCGGAGCGTAGGAGCTCATTGTAGGTTGCGACAATACTGCGCAGATGGATGAGTACTCGTAATCGGAAGATGGTGGATTTGCTTACTCAAATGGCTTTGCACCGGCTGCTGTCGAGCCCTCTGTGGTCGACGCCATGTTGTATGGTTTCTTTATTTGACTTTTAAAGCAAAGACGAGTCCGAGTCTTGAGCTGGAGGAGTCACGATTTCTTTGTGCTGGTGCTGTGTTTGACGTGTTTGCTCGTTGCTGCCCCTCCAGAAACACGCTAAACCCGTTGCGGTCTGTCGTGCGGGCTTTCCTCTCCCAAGTAAACAATCGACTCCAATCACAACAACTGCATACTCAAATCGTCGCAACTCTTCTGGCCGGAGCGTCAGGCTTTCAATCTACCGTGACTACCTTGCGATTACGACCCGATGTCGTACAACCACCGCATGAGCATGGCTGGCTCTCAACAGCAACACAATCGTGGTCGCAAGAAGGAAGACGATAACGATGCATTGATGCGCTTGGTCAGTTGAACCTTCGGCTTGGCGCAACACCAAGGACCTGATTTCATGAGATCTATTGCTAACCTATCCCAAGCCCGATAAAGAAATTGCAGGATGCATCAACGATATTGGAATCCCGTTCACCACGGCCGACCTCGCAAAACCGAACCCTCAACAGATCCAGATGGTCTTTGAATGGTTTGCAGAGCTGCTCATGAATGTGACTCGAGAAACTGTCGAGCCCGGAATGCATGCCGCCGCGGACGAAATCTGTGGAGACTACCCAGATATTGTCCCCAATGAAACTCGCAACCTCATGGGATTCTTCATTAGCATCAGAAGACTGTTGTCGGAGGTATGTCACCGATAACGCCTACGCAAGTACTCGTACTTGCGAAGAATATGTTGCTAATTTGTGTGCAGTGCGGTGTCAACGACTTTACTTTTACCGACTTGACCAAGCCAACCCATGATCGACTGGTGAAGGTCTTCTCCTACCTTATCAACTTTGTCCGGTTCCGCGAATCACAGACTCCCATCATTGATGAGCATTTCAACAAGACCGAGAAGACGAAAACGCGCATCGATGAATTGTTTGCTGAGAACCACGAGATGGAACAACGCTTGGCTGAAATGCGACAGGAACAACAAATCAACGAGGTCCAGGTACGCGAGAAAGTGGCACGGAATGACGAGTTGAAGGCGCGGCTTCTGGAATTGGGACGTGAGCAGTCGCGGGTAGCAGAAAATCTTGATCGTGTCAAGAACGACCGAGCACGAAGGCAGCAGCAGCTTGAGGAAAAGACAGAGAGGACAGTTCGAAGTCGGCAAGAAGCTGAAAAACTGCGACCTTATGTTTTGGAATCTCCAGTCACACTACAGTCATCATTGACTGAGCTAGCGGAGAATCTTATGCGCGAGAAAGCCCAGATTGACGCAATGGAGAAGCGAGCACGAGCGCTGCAGACCTCTTCGGATTCATTTACAGTGGTTTCAAATGACGTCCAAGCATGTGTCAAGCTACTTGACGATATATCCACCGAGATACAAAAGGAAGACGAGGAAGAATCTCGCGCCGCCCGGAACAAGGAAGCTATTTCGGATCGAGGTGCTAGTGTACGAGAGGTTGAGCAGACAGAAAAGCTCTTGCAGCGCCAACTGGCTCGCTGGAACGAACGAATTGAACATCTTCGCAAGAATGCCCAAGAAAAGGCAGAGCTTGCACAGGCCAGGATGGAAGAACTCCGAAATGTACAGAGACAACTTCGAGAAGAACGTGCAGAGAAGCAAAGCGACATGGAGCGAAGACGAATCCGAATTGAGCAGACAGAGAAGAAGGTACGTTTTCTGAGCTTGTTAGCATTTGAGAATTATACTGATTTATTGGATTTCTAGATGGTGGATCTCAAGGAGAACATTGAGAGCGAGATTCAAGCAGCCCACGACCAGTATCTCAAGTTGGAGTCACATATCAAGCTCTATATCACAGAGGTGGAAAAGTCCCTGTGAGGCATTAAGTTTTGTAACTTTCTATGGATTCAGGAGTTTAGCGGCGGCTCTAGGATACCCGGGCACATGTTCATTTCCATGGAGTTTCATCATATTGCAATGTTTTGCTCTTTTCATCTCAATCTACACTTGTTTTTTTTCAGATCCCACTCTCCTCATCAAAAGTGAACCATCGTTGGGCGACTTGTTTGACGGAAACACCATGCCCGCCCCAACTTCCTTCATCACGAATCCGCACTGAACCGTTCAACAGGGGAATTTGCGTATCCCATAATCGTCCTCCCCAGTCGGCACTGGAAGGATTTACGGCATTGACACATTCACAGAGAAGCAAATCCATTTCTGCTCGCGAGGCTGCCTCGACAGCAGCAGCAAAAGTTCTCGACAGCCCTTGAGCCGCATACTCCGTTGTCGTAGCATGTAAAGCTACAAGATCCAGGATTGCAAGTAATGGCCGTGGACTCGAATCGCTCTCTGATTCTGTGTTGCCCACAGCAATAGGACCCATTATGGCAAGATAGGCTCTTAGACTCTCTAGAGATGGACAGAATGTAAGCCTGATCTTGCTTGAATGTGCAAGAAGACCGATGCTCTTAGTGAGCAGATCCATGCGCGGTGGAACATCTGGTTCAGACCGCTGTAAACGAATAGCCGCTGATAATTGCACCAGAAATTCTGATCTAGTACCACAGACAATGACATTGGTTTTTGTGCTAGTGTCAAGTAGTCGTTGTATCAGATCGGTCACAAGGTCGCAGAATGTGACGGCCCGCAAGCCCATGACGCAGGTTGGGCTGTGGCGCTCGCAGTATTTGTCTCAGCTACCGTGGTAGCTACCGTTCTCAATTTCGCATGATTAGAAAACTAATTGGCATTTGCGAAATTTGAAAACTTGGAACATAGTGACCCGAGTTGAAAGTTGGAGAGTCGGAATCGTCCGCGTCTCTCGGAGGTCATGCTCCTCCTCCGCCTTTCCTCCCCCCACCTATCGTCTTCCCTCATCTCCCCCAGCCAATTCTGCACGTCTGAGACGAGGCACCTCGGAAGCTGGCTTCAATATGGAGACCATTTCCAGGATATCTTCCATGCTGGAAACAGGTAAGCCAAAATTCCCACGTTACAGCCACCCTTCGGCATGAAACTGACCGCCGGACCTCTGTGCGCATAGCTCGAGAGCTCACCCTGGAAGCTGCCCAGTCCGCTGCGAGCAACAGAATTTTGAAACCGGAATCCTCCTCGCGTTCCTACAGCGTTCCTCATATAAAAAAACTTCTGGATAGTCGTCATGAGCGGGAAGTCCTGGATGGAATGAAGAAGGTTATCGCGGTATGACGACGGTGCAATGGAGAATCATTTGCTGGAATTGAGTGGCTAACTTCATGGTCTTTTTGCAGTTGATGTACCGATCTGAATCCTCACATCCATTCTTTTCTGCCGTAGTCAAGAACGCAGCCAGTGCCAACCTCGAGGTCAAGAAGCTAGTCTACATCTACCTCGTCCACCATGCGGAGGCGGAACCGGATTTGGCCTTGCTGTCTATCAACGCCATTCAAAAGTCCCTGACCGATTCCAATCCTCAGGTCCGAACTATGGCTCTCCGAACAATGTCAGGTATTCGCGTGCCGGTGATCAGCCAGATCGTGTCACTTGCTATCAAGCGCGGGTGCGGTGACATGAGCCCCCATGTCCGGAAAGCAGCTGCGTTGGCTATACCCAAGTGCTATCGTTTGGACCCGAACACTCTACCTCAATTGATTGGTTACATTGAGACTCTTCTTGGAGATTCGCAGTACTTTGTTGTTGGTCCGGCCGTGGCCGCATTCTTAGAAATCTGCCCGGAGCAGATCGATCTGGTTCATAAGCACTACCGCAGCTTGGTCAAGAAGCTAGTGGATATGGATGAGTGGGGCCAGCTTTCAACATTGCGGCTCTTGACTTTTTACGCGCGCCAGTGCTTTCCGCATCGAACTCAGAAGGTCAAGCGGGCTGTGCCCAAGGCCTTTTACGATGACGAAGAGCAAGCACAGCAAAACGATCAAACCGAAGGCGAAGAATATGAAGTACCAGTGGTAGACCCCGATCTTGAACTGCTACTTCGGGCATGCAAGTTGTTGTTACAAAACAGAAATTCGGCCGTTATTGTTAGCGTTGTCCGCTGCTTCCTTTACCTAGCACCCCCCGAATATCTTGTTTCGGCTGTTGGACCATTGGTGGCGCTTCTTCGAAGTCCCCAGGATATGCAACTGATTGCTCTCTACAATATCGTCGCTGTCGCCATGAGAGAGCCTAAGCCGTTCACACGTTACATCGCTCATTTCCTCGTTCATTTCAATGACCCACCACACATCTGGCGCCTAAAATTGGAAGTTCTTATTATCGTATTCCCTCATTGTGGGACACATTGGAAGGGTGTCATTATCAGTGAGCTGGAACATTTCTCCAAGGATACCAACCCTGAATTAGTTCGAGAAAGTGTGCGGGCAATCGGACGCTGTGCACAGGCCGATTCCACCACCACAGATATGTGTTTGCGCATCTTGCTTGGCCAAGTTTCTAGTCTAGATGGAAACTTGGTGTCAGAGTCCTTGACTGTTATTCGACATCTGATTCAGCAAGATCCGACCGCGCATAAGCAAACTGTCATTCAACTCGTTACATACCTTGGCACAACTACTAATGCCGACGCAAGAGCCACGATTATCTGGCTCGTGGGTGAATTTGCAAGCATAGACCCCGACAACAACATTGCACCGGATGTTCTTCGCGTTCTGATCAAAGGATTCACCGATGAACTCGAAGTCGTCAAGCAGCAGATTGTCCTCCTTGGTGCCAAGGTGTACCTCCAGCACCTCTTGAAAAAGCAACCACAGGGATCAGTTGAGGCTGTGGCCCAACCCACAACCGAGCAGCCTGCAAAGCTAGAACAGCAAATCCGCAATGAGTGGACGGAGGACCAGGGTGAGGACCAGACGGAACCTAATCAAATTCCTGAAGATGAGGCAGCGGTAACAGAAGCAATCGGCACTGAAGAGAAAGAGGATCGTATGACATTGCTCTGGCGCTACATTCTTCTGCTTGCACGTTACGATACCTCATACGACCTTCGTGATCGTGCCCGTCTCTACAAGTCTCTTCTTGCTTCTCCATCTTCAACCCACTTAGCCAATCTGCTTCTTTTAGCTCCCAAGCCCGTTCCGCACGCCCCAAGCCCTTCTGAAACACGCAAAGATCTTCTTGTCGGAACCGCAACACTTGTTGTAGGCCCAGAGGCCGGTTACCATGGGCTTCGTGGCTACACGAATTTACCAGACTGGGTGCAACTAGGACAGGAGCCTGATCCGAGTCTCCGCACTGAAGATATTAAACCAGAAACTGCTTCAGTCCCAAGCTCACTGACTGCCGGTCAAAAATTGGATAAAGCGCTTCGCGAGCATCAGGCGACCGTGCCACCACCCCGGCGACCGAACGGCTCAGCTGTCCCGGGTGCAAGTGGCAAGAAGACTTTGGATCAATGGCTTGGGGAAGAGGACGAAGAGACCGAGTCTGAAACTGATTCCGAGGAAGAAACGGATTCGGAAGAGGAGACTGACTCTGAAGAGGATGACTCTGAGGAGGAGTCTGAAGAGGAAGATAGTGATGAAGATGAGACGGATTCTGAGACTGAGGCTGTCCACAAGGAAGCTCAGCAATTACTCGGTCAGCCTGGCACTCAAGCTCATGGATTGCCCAGGTGAATGTATAGGTGTTGACTTGGCTGGATCGAATCAATTGCATAGACTCTAGAACCTTTGGGGAATAAGCCCTTCATAGGCGGTTTCCATATTGAGCTTATATACCCATTAGGGCTGTTTTCAAAAATCTTTTGTTAATTAAAACTATGAACTTGAAGGTGCTTTCAGTTTTCGTAATTGTCGACGTCCCAAATGTCTACCGTCCTATCTACTTGTTTACTGGGAGGTCATGTATATTTCCGTGCGTAGGTCTACTGTATGTATTCGGCATACATCTATTCACACCGACAACAGGGATAATTCACCAAACTTGATCATCAATACATATAGATAAGCCTCTTGTTTTCTTGAAGCATACTCAATCTTCATACCATCCCCCTGGATATCATAGTTCAGCGTGTAAGTCATACGGTCTTCAATCCATCCGAGTAATACCATCACGTGTTGTATAATAATACACGTGACAAAAGCGGTCAGCATGATCAGGGCAGTATTTCCATGCTGCACCGCAAAAGGCTGGGAGTCTTGTGTTAAACCTGAGGAATTGTTGCGGTGCTGACTTTGCTCGTCAACATGCCTGTTGTGAACCATCTATCCATCCTAAACCTCCGTTGATATTATCCAAATATTCCTTTTTGTCTCTGCCGGGCCTCCCTCTCTTAGCCTGAGTAGAGCACCTCTTCTGTGCGGCAGCATTCCGCTTAGCTTCAGTACCCCTCCTCGACAGGGGCTATTCACTCCTTCATCTTTGCCTCCGTGCCTTTTATCAAAATGCCTGGCCTTCCCAGTATGTCTAGAATGAAACTGGAACCGCCAAATTGCCCATGCCAGCCCCAACTGTGGTGACACCTGAGCTAATGCTGGTATAGCTAGTATTGATCTCGATGAGTGCATCGAGCGACTCTATCGTAAAGAGCTTCTTGCGGAGCCCGTGATTGAGGCTGTATGCGCCAAGACAAAAGAATTATTGATGAAGGAGAGCAATGTGGTTCATATCAAGGCGCCGGTTACCGTCGTGGGAGATATCCATGGCCAATTCTTCGATTTATTAGAAATATTCCGTATAGGCGGATTCTGCCCTGATACAAATTACCTTTTTCTGGGTGAGTGGCCTCGATTTGCACACGTCTATATACCGGCGAATAAGACGCGTCGGCTCGGACCGGAACACGTTTGCTAACCTCCCGGGTCTATAGGGGACTATGTCGACCGTGGTCTATTTAGCGTGGAAACTATTTCTCTGCTAGTCTGCCTTAAACTCCGATACCCCCACCGAGTCCATCTAATCCGCGGCAACCACGAATCTCGCGGCGTAACCCAATCCTACGGCTTCTACACTGAGTGCGCCCGCAAATATGGCAATGCCAATGTGTGGCATTATTTCACGGATATGTTCGACTACTTAACACTAAGTGTGGTGATCAATGATGAGATCTTCTGTGTTCACGGTGGTCTCTCGCCTTCCATTCACTCTCTGGATCAGATTAAGATCATTGACCGGTTCCGCGAAATTCCTCACGAGGGCCCGATGGCTGACCTAGTCTGGTCTGATCCTGATCCTGAACGGGATGAATTCTCTCTTTCTCCGCGGGGTGCGGGCTATACCTTTGGAGCACAGGTGGTTCGGAAGTTCCTCGAGGTCAACAAGATGTCCCATATCCTACGAGCGCATCAGCTGTGCAATGAGGGTTACCAGATTCTTTTTGATGACCGTTTGAGTACGGTTTGGAGTGCTCCTAACTACTGCTACCGCTGTGGAAACCTGGCCAGTGTCTTAGAAGTCAGCGACAATATGGAACGCTTCTTCAATATTTTTGATGCGGCACCTGAGAACGACATCCACAGGAGTGAGCAACAGGCACAACAGAACAGGGACACCCAGCCTGTGATTGACTATTTCTTGTGATACCCATGATGATTTATTACGTTTTGCAAATTTCTTTGCTTTGAACCTACCATTTTCTTTTATCCAGCATTGATTGCACCGTACAGGAGTTAGGGGAGTGGAATAGAACACGACTGCACATTAACGGATTCTACAGTCTCTGGCCACGGGATGTATGAACATCCATGGATCACGTTTCATATTCAATAGCCTGTGTATCAGGTAGATTTCGTGGCCAGAGACTGTATTGGGCTATTTCACGTCTCAATAGTCAAGAACATATCAACATTGATAGATATCGACAAGAAAAATAGAAGCTGAGAGGACAACGAGATCCAGCTGGGGTCTCCCAGAGCCAAAATAAAATCAACAGAGTAAGCAAAAAAGGCCAAGGAAGGCCAGAAGTTTCAACAAACTGCACTGTAAAAGGGCCCAATCAGGACCAATCTTGGAAAGACCATCTATCAGGCTTTGCAAGTCAAAGGAAATTCGTCACGCTTGGAATAAACAATGGGCCGCTCAAATAAGTTCAAACGAAGTCAACAGTCCATGAAGATCCCGATTCGATTACCAGTCCTTGGTGATCTGGAACGACCACTCGAACAGGAGGTGGGTGTGGTCATCGTCATCCAAGAATCGGGACACGGCGTTGTAGCTACCACGGAGAAGCATGCCAGAAGGAGCCTCCTCCTCAGCGACTAATGACAAACAAATCAGCATCAAATCGCATTCCACCCGGACCCAGACGTATCGGCCTGAAGTGAATTGACTCAGGCCAGTCATGTATGAGTACTTACAGTCCTTAACGTAGACAGGCTTTTGGTCGGTGTTGGGCGCAAAGCTTCCGAGCATCTCCTCGTCCTTGCTAACACGGATACCCTTGCGCTTCACGACCTGCAGGTACTTGAGACCACTCAGAACATCGTGGTTGACCTGGAAAACAACCTGAATGTGGAACTTGGCTCCCTCCTTAATGGTGAATGGCTTGTCCTTGAGCTGGTCGACAGCTCCGGGGGCAGACAGGTCGATCTTCACATCCTCGCGGCCCTCGACCCGCAGGGCAAGAGACTTAATAACACACTTGGGGTCGCCGGCCTTTCCAATAGGGTTGCCAGCGTTCAGACCGAGAGAGGCCTTCCAGCGGACCATAGCCTCATCGTCCTTGTCTGTCGGGAGTCAAGTGTTAGTGGCGGCGTTGTGTGGGGTTTGTTGTTGTGAGGGGTTGCGCGGGCGGCAGATAGCGGCTAGGCGTATAGAACGATTTCCATCATTCAAGCGGGGAAGAAGCTTCCTTACCGAGCTCCTGGTACTCCTCCAGGGTCTTCTTCTCACCGACCTTGAACCCTTCGGTCTTGGTGGCGGCGAGGTCATCCTGGTGGTCGGACATTCTGTGGCGGGGCAAACTAGAAAATCCGGGGGAAGTAAACAAACAGCAATTGGGATGGGAGGAGACGATTGGGAAGGGAAAGTATTGAAAAAGTTAGGAGAGTGAGAAGGAAAAAAAAGGGGGCAAGACATGCTCCCATCCCACTTTGTCTCCTGACTCTAGTGGGGTTGGAAAGGCGGTGGGGGGCGAGGCTATTCGGATTCGCCGTGCATTGCATCTTGACTTCCTCGGATGTGCAGGTGCATGGGGGATTATTCTGCAAGATTATCTATGCTTTGGACCAGATTGACGCTGCATTGAGACAGATTGGTTTAGAATTCTTGCCATGTGTCAATTGGCTCTATCACTACGGTCCTTTTGGGGATCCCCGTTGAAGGAAGTACACGTAGGACTAGCGCTCTGGAAGGCAAATCTAGGCCCCACCATCACAGACCGATTCTAAACCTACATTAGTCCTGAGCAGCTGATTGGCAGCCGATATATCGTCTCCACTTGATTACAGATAATAGAAATGAAGCAACCAATTTCAACTTGGCGCATGTATTACGGCAGAAATCCTGTTGTCTAGCTACAGTTGCTGCTCTACAGTCGCTGGGCACGAAACTTGAAGTGGATCCACACATGGACCGGTTAGGTTCCCAATATATGATGAATGTTCCACATGGTTTTCCTCTCCTGAATTGGTCCGTTGCAATTTAAGAGCACTCACGCCGGGGTTCTAGCCCAGGCTACCGCATGTAAAACATGCTGTTCCTACATTTCAAAGCCGGACTGTACGTCGGCGGGGATACGCAGTCCAATTTGGGATTTGCGATAAGCAGCTCAAGTTTATTCATAAAACCTCTCTATGGAAGAACCAGCTTCGCTTATACAGGAAAATATAACAAAAAGAACAAAAAACAAAGACAATAACCCGCATGAGCATCAAGCATCGTTTCGGAATCTAGGTACTAAAGAACGACATTCTATGAGAAATTTCTCCAGCCATCGTGCCCAGGTTTCCTAAAGCAGATCCAGAGCCGTTGTCAGGACCATACCCGTGCTTCAGGAATATGGCAAGGATCTCGGATTTTCCCTGTTGCATCGCCTGTATCAACGGGGTCTGCTGACGGCTATCCTGTCGATTAGGATTTGCGCCATGATCCATCAATAATTGAACCATACGACTGCTACCTTTACCGACAGCTTTGAGAAGAGGTGTTCGACCCGCATGACCAGTTTTGTCGACCAAAGCGCCACTGCGAAGCAGCAACTGCGCGACCTGATAGCGATCACACGTAGCAGCATACGAGAGCGCCGTCTCACCCGAGGCAGTAATGCCATTGGGATCCGCACCGAAGTCCAGTAAAAGCTTAGTCAAAGCCAAATTACCGGTTCCAGCAGCCTGCGAAAGGGCCGGTTTCCCAAATACGGACGCTGCGTTGGGATCTGCACCGCGATCCAGGAGCAGCTCGGCGATATCCCCGTATCCGCGCAAGGTGGCTACGGAAAGCGCAGTCTCGCCGCCATGCCCCATCGCGTCTAGTTTGGCGCCGTGGTCCATGAGGAGCATGACAACATCATAGTGACCGAAGGCAGCCGCGATAATTAGGCCCGTTTGCCCGAGAGGGTTCTCGGTATTCGCACTGGCGCCCTTGTCGAGTGCGCATTTGATTCCGTATACATCGCCGATCTTGACTAATGAGCACAACTCGCCTTTATTGTTCGTCATTTTGAATTTCATTCGACTCATTAGATTGGGTCTCTTGCCGCGTTTGACTGCTACCTGCGGAATTGCGGACAGAGATAATCGGTTGAAGTTGCCTTCAGATGCTGAGCGGCCTCGGGTTCCTAGTCTCATAGGGATGGCGCTGAAGCTGGGGACTGTTTTGTCTGTAGAGCCACTCCGTATTGAAGATGGCTCCGGTTTTGAAATAAGTGAAGGACGGAAAACCATTTGACTGTCGTACCCGTCGAGTGGATTGAATATGTCCCTGGCTTCGGGGAAGTCGTCCAGCGCCCTCCCTGGTAGCCTTCGGGCTACCTGGCGATTTGTAACTTCGATTTCGACAGCCACGGAGACGGGTATGTCATCGACCGGCAACGAATCGTTTTCCCAGCTTTCAGTGTCAAGGGATTCGCTTGAGGTTCTCGAATACTCGGATGAAGACCTGCTTTCCGCGTTCGACGAATTGGTGAATGTTGTTGGGGATGGAGGCATAGGGATCTCCGGCGCTGGTGGTTTTGGAATAAGATTACCCAAGAGCCTACTCTCAAGGGCTGCCTTTCGAAGAGTCATTAGGATGAAGTCGTACTCCTGGTGTGACTGCTCCGGTGTCATGCCAAAGCCCTGCAGCTCTTGCTGTAGATTCCTCCATGCCTTGTCTTTCTCGAAGAACGAACCGTCCTTGAAAAGATTGGAGACAATATTTGCATCTCGTCTTCCGGTTGCGACATGAACAATATAGTCCCGTAACATTTGGTTCAGCTTGTTTTGCGAGGATCTATACATACTTGGTGTTAGAGCTTGGGTCCTTCCATGCCGTTGGGAGTCGACATACACTACCATGTGGGCATTCATAATGCTAAGACCAAAAGTCACGTCATTGACCAAGGCCCGGACATCCTCGATGAGCTCCGGCGAATCAACTTCTTTGGTGCTTCTTTGGAGTTTTTTGAGGTCCACCAGGATAGAGTGATAGATCTTCAACTTCCTCTGTTCCTGAGGACCCGGACTTTCTGGACATTCAAGGAAGTGCTTCCCTGAAAGACTTAGAACGGCGAGAAGCTGATCGAGCTCATTTTGCGCCTGACAAGTAAGAACCGATGTCTTCGAACCGTCATAGAGCAGCTTTGCTAGTTGTTTGAGCGCCGCAATTTGATGCAGTGGATCGTCTTTGGAGAGCACCATGGCGAGGGCAAGAGAAGATAGGCAGCATACCACCGAAGCGGCGTGACATAGTCACGGCGGGGCGTGGCGTCTATAAGTAATAACTATGATTGATCTACAGTTGCCACGTTGGGACTGGGGCGGAGGATGGCTATGTCGCCTTTTTTGCGCAACGGGCTGATACTCGCCCCCAAGCGGTGGCAACAAGGCCACCTGTTTCATAATTAGAACAAATACATTATAGAATCTTTGAAGTTGATCTCAGCAATCTATTTGTGACGAAATTCATAGACCAAAGCAAGAGAGTGTAGTGGAAACAAACGTGTAAAGACAGCTCAAAGTACCATGGGAGACCGTCGGGGAGTGGAGCTTGGAAACCAGAATGCAACACTTCGGGTATCAGATGGTTTTATTTACAGTGCAAGCAACCTTCCAAGGAATGATCGTCGATCCCGAGAAGATCTCGCTACTTGATCGGGTTGCTCACTGTGTCTTACCCATTCAGGCGACAACGGCGTGTTCGCCAAATCGAGTAAGGAGTCAGTCAAATGGGGAACATGCGAGCCCTGACCATGAGGGTTTCAAGATTTGCAATTGGAGATATGCTCGAACTATGAATGTCTACCCAAATAAAGGGTACTACATACTAACTTGGGAGATATACAGTCGGGAGTAGTACCTCGCCAGACAAATATTCACCTATATGACTCAGGGATTTGAACAATTAGGCCTTCCAGTACTAAGACCTGGCGATCTTACTGTGCTATTTCCTACCCTTGCAGAAGATGAAAGGGCCTCGCAGCTGATATGCCACCTAGTACGCTGTGTTCTCTTCCAGGATCATTGTTGCTCCGGTCATGAGAAACCGTCGAGAAGGCAATCTAACCTTTTCGGGAACCCATCGTGGGGTTCACGATAACGAAGTCAGAAGCGGGAGGTGGGGTGGTGATGTGGCAAGATCGTGCATGTACTAGACCGCCTCGCATTTGCTTATTATGGGCTACTGCAAGGCTGATCCAGCGAGGTAGGATGGGGGTTGGGCTAGAACTCCCCAAAGAACGGGGGAAGGGGAGCCCGGTTCACTTGAGTCTAAGGGTGTACAACGCAGTAGTGTAGAAGTTCTAGAATGAAAACCCCATCAAAAATGCGTTTCTGTCACCCTAACAGGTTAGTCCTATAACAACAAAACAGAAAAGAAAGAGAAAAAAAAAGAGGAATGCGCGGGTCACGAGTGCCCGTTTCCCAACGGGATGGTATGACTGAAACCGTGTATTGGTGGAATTGCCCATTGAAATGGCTTAAATACCACAGTCATACATTAACCGTACCGGACCTTACCGGAAAGAGCATGGTCCGTACGAAGCATCGAGGATTCCGTCGCGACAACCTTCTCCCCTGATTGTTCTCAATTTGTCCTTTATCGCGGTTCTTTGATTCGAAAATTTTGGGTTGATAACTGTGCATCACTACAACTTTTTGGACTGCTGCGTGCTGATTCGCCCTCTCCCGCATCTTCCCCGCCCCGGTGTAAAGGTCCGATCCACCTTTTCTCTAGCGACGCGCCTGCTACGTGGCCGTGGGCGCATTTCGTTCGCAAACCCCCAGACCGTCAACCTTTCTGACCTTGTCGCAACTATCCATCATGTCGCGATCTCTTCCAAAGAGGACAAACCCGTTCATCCTTAGCGATGCAGCACCGGCCTGTAAGTTTTATCCCAAGGCGCGTTGTCGCGCGACCGCGTATCCAACCCACCGCCATATCCTCCGTCCATCGACCTCGTCATCGCTAATTTATCGATTTTGCCCTGTGCTATAGACGAAGAGCTTCTTGCGCGCCGTCGTCTTGGCAAGACCAACCTCTCTGTCAAGCCTGGCCAGATCGGCACCTCCAATGCAACCAAGCCCGAGAACCTGGGCTTGTTCGAATATGCTCACCTTCGGGCTCCCCTGCCCAAGGACCTAAAGGGCTCCGAGATCTTCCCTTCGCACAGCTCTCAACAGCACCCAGATACCTACTTCTTGATGGTAAGGACTGTCCCCACTTCAAGACAACCACGACAACCACTGACTCCCGTGGGCGAATAGCGAAGGAGCAAGGATGGATTTGTCAGTGCTACTGGCATGTTCAAGATTGCCTTCCCCTGGGCTAAGGCCGAAGAGGAGCGCACTGAGAGAGAGTACCTGAAGGCTCGAGAGTTTACCAGCCTGGAGGAAGTTGCGGGCAATGTTTGGATTTCCCCGCTGTTCGGTATGTCTAGACCCCCCTGCCCATCACAAATCATGAAAAATATACTGACCATGATTTCTAGCTCTCGAACTTTCCAAGGAATACCAGATGTACGACTGGGTTCGTGCCTTGCTCGACCCTACCGATATTGTACAGAGCCCCTCTAGTGCAAAGAAGCAGATCACCCCGCCACCGAAGTTTGAAATGCCTTCGAAGTTTGAATTGCCCTCGGACGACCTTTCTGTGGCCCAGCGCCGAAGCCGCCGCTCAGTCTCTCCCGTCAAGAAGTCCACTTCTCCTCGCAAGGCTCGGCAACCCCGCTCTACGAAAGACGTTCCGAGCACTCCATCTACATCTGCTGCCAACGACAGCCTGCAGCAGTCCCTGGAAGTCACAGCCTCTTCGGAAATGGAATTGCTGAACGGTATCGTGGAGAGCGTGGAAGAAGCTGAAGTCAAGAACGCTGGTTCTCCGGAGAAGAAGAAGGGTCGGAAATCCAAGAAGGCTGCCGAGGCCGATGAGGAGAAGGAGAAGGATGTTAAGGAGGCCCAGAAGGAAGAAAAGAAGGACGAAAAGAAGGCAGAGAAGAAAAAGAAGAAGGATGCCAAGGAGTCTGAGGCTGAGGCCGAGATCGAGGTCCGCACGGCCCCCGCCGAAGAAGAGGCCGAGGCCACTCAGGCCACTCTCTCTCTCGACATGCCCATTATCCTCCCTGAGGTACCGTCTGCAAAGGAGACCGAGGAGATGATTGCGAAGGCCAAGGAGATGGTGGAAGATGCTATTAAGATCCAAAGCTCCGAGGATGCGACTGCAGGCTCACCATCCGTCAAGCTCACCAAGAAGCGCAAGCCTGAGGATGATGACGATGAGGAAACTGCAGCTGAAGCCAGCCAGAGAGCGAAGAAGGCTAAGGTTCTGGAGGATAAGCTTAAGCGCGAGCGAGTTCGGAACCGTGCTCTCTTTGGTGTCTCAGCTGCTTTTGCCCTTGCGTGCGTATTAACTACTCTTTGATACAGAAAGATTGCTAACATTTCATCTAGTGCTTCCATTCCTTATTTCTTCTAGATTGATGATTCAAATCAGGTCATAATTGGATGACCTGGCCAACCTTCCAACCCCCCCCTCCCCATATTCCCCAGCTCCGGAGCCCTGTGCCGAAACACTTGGCCTGGAGATATTATTTTGGATTCCCCACGCCGCTTTGCCATTGAATTGCTGTCTCTCGCCTTCCACCATGGAGAGCAGGATGCTTCAATATTGCAGAACCTGCCTACTGAACTCACATTCCTCATTCCCACTTGTCGTTATGATAAATATATTCCTTTTTGTCCTTGAATGTGCCCCTGTACTTGCCTTGGCGTGAATCTTCCTTTTCTAATATCTTGCTCCTACCCTTGCACAAGACCTTGAGCCCATTCCAAAAGACCAAGAGAAACCACTCGTGAATTCAATTGCCCACGGTCCTGCTAATCCCGTGATTTACCTCCTATAACTCGATACCAAACGCCCTCCCTGTCCCTCTGTCCCTGTTGCCGTTTTTATCTGTGGCTGCATGTGATGCAGCGTAGCTAAAAATGGTTGGCCTAATAATAGCCTTGAAACCCAATAAAGACTCATAATACTGGAATTAAAAATTCATTCAAGTACACATCTCCAAGTCAAATGATCAATAGATTCATTATTCACTAGAAGCATTAATTCAGAAAATTGTAGAGGGAATTAAACAATGTTGGAAGAAGCTCGAGTGTGGAGATGCAAACAAATCAAAGTTGGACGCGACAAGCTCCTGCAACTTGAAAAGCAACTTTCCCCGGACTTTGTCCTTCCACCCTCTAATTGCCCCCGTCGATTAGATTTGACTTTTGCCTTTCTGTCAATTTGGCGATCAAATGTCTCTTCCCGGCCTAGAGCTTACCCAGCCCTCTGAAGAGAGGCAATATGCTGTTGCCCCGCCATCGCAAATCGCCTTGAACCCGGGCTCGGAGTGGAGATTTGAGGTTGCGTTCGGTCACATTATTAAAGTCAAGGTATGTCTTTCAAACTCTGTGATCGCAATGATGAAACGATACTTTGCACCTGTGGCATGAGCAAAAGTACTTACTATCAAATCGCACCGCAGCTCCTCAACGGAACGGCCGAACTCTTCGGCACGGAACTGGCCGAATCGCAAACGTACACAATCACTGGTACCAAAGCCGCAATCTATACATGGCATGGCTGTGAATTGGAAATAACCGCCGGCGAAACTGCGACGACTACCACGGTGGATGGATCCACGTCCGCGGCAGGCCACGGTGCAGGCGGTTGTCAAAGCGAGTACACGTCTGATGATACCCCAATGGTGGAATATGCCAACCTACACTTTGCGCTGGAGTCAATACGTGAGGAATCACAAGGTTCCGGTAAGGACGGACCTCGTGTTTTGCTGTTGGGTCCCGACAACGCGGGCAAGACTAGCTTGTCCAAGATCCTCACTGCGTATGCGACAAAGGTTGGAGGACAGCCACTGGTTGTGAACCTGGATCCGACTGAAGGCATGCTTAGTGTTCCGGGTACTTTGACTGCCACGGCTTTCCGGACAATGCTGGATGTTGAGAATGGCTGGGGCAGCAGTCCGATGTCTGGGCCTAGTCCTGTGCCCGTGAAACTGCCACTTGTCTACAGCTATCCATTGCCCAGTCCCCTCGATGCTGAAGGCTCCGTCTACCGTCCCATTGTGTCGCGACTGGCGCTTCAAGTAACAGAGCGCATGGCCAAAGACGAAGACGTCCGTCGCACAGGAATCATTGTCGACACCCCGGGTGTACTCAGCTCTGGCAAGCCTGGCAGCCTCGAGTTAATCAATCATATCATCACCGAGTTCGCCATTACTACAATCGTGGTTCTGGGCTCGGAACGCCTTTACAGTAATATGGTCAAGCAATACGATAACAAGCCTAGTGCAAGTGCTGCCGCAGCCGTTTTTGATGAGCGAGTCACTGTTGTGAAGCTATCAAAGTCCGGAGGTTGCGTTGATCGCGATGCAGCATTTCTCAAGAAAACACGCGAGTCCCAGATCCGATCTTACTTTTTTGGAAATTCAGCTCCCTCAAATGCATTAACGACGGCCATTACTTTATCTCCATCTACGCTGCAAGTCGACTTTGCATCCTTAACCGTGTACAACTATACCGTCGCCTCAACTGAAGACGAAGATGAGGACGACTACGATCCTTCACAGCTCAGCACTGGCGATTCATTTCTTCCTGGTGGAGGCGTTGATGATTATTCACAGCCCAAACAAGAATCAGACCGCGCTGCGCCTCTTCCAGGCATCGTCGGCCTTTCATCCGACCAAAATATATCCTCCATGCATTCATCTTCCACCAGCAATGTCCCATTGAAACGACTTCTGCCTCCTGCACCTATGGCTCTCGAAAATACTCTCATCGCTATCACTCATGCCTCAACTACAGCTTCGCCTGCTGCTGTCCGTGACGCCAGTGTAAAGGGATTCCTTTATGTCGCCAACGTGGACGCCGAGAAGGGAAAGATTATGCTGCTGTCGCCTATTCGAGGAACAATACCTTCCCAGGCTATGATCTGGGCCAAGCGTTGGCCCGATGAGGTCGTTGGGCTGGTGGGCTGATATGGTGCAAATTTTCTTCACTCTTGCATTGGCTGGTTCGCTTTGGTTTTATAAGCATCGGAGTTGTTGGGGATTTATATACCTTAGACTCGAAATACTTCACATTGATGTCATCCGATCTACTTGAAACGACAATGAAACATATTTGAGATTTTTTTTTTTTTTCAAGATACAGCCGATTAAAGAAGTTTTTAAGTGACTATGTTCTTCCTTGGGACTGCCTATCAAGTACTCCGGTCTGCGATTTGGCCATCAAATACCTCCAGGGCTGTAGACGCATTTCGGGCTCGAATATTTACGAATGAATTTGCACATAGATAGTGTCATTGAGTGGCAATTGACCTGATCCTAGGGATTTATACCTGAGATACCTACGTTTGAAGCCCCTGGACTATGTACTAAAATTTCGGGAATGGTCATAACGTGGACATATACTACGAACGATAGATGATGTGGCAGCGTTAATTGAATAGTTTGAATGAAAAGACATTCCCAAAAGAAATCATGAATAAACAACGCTATGCTACCTATGCCATCCCAATGTTTCCCCAATGCTATGATATGGTAAACTATGCTACATGCCCAAATGCCAATCCCAAAAGTTGTACACCCAAAAAAAGTAGAACCATACAACCACCAAGAAAGTACAAAGTAATACAGCAGTGCTATACATGACCCAATTCCTCCAAGAAGCACCAAAACCGGGCATACGAGTCATTCCCACCTCCTCCACTCGTCAATAGCCTTCCTAAGCTCCACCTCACAATCATACCCCCTATTCTCAGCATCCAACAATTCCTCCCGGCGATCCCTGAACCGCCTCTCAGCTTCAAATCGCCTCAAAGCAACGGCCTTCAATCCCGAAAACTCGTTCTTCGCAACAGCCTCCCTGAACTTTGTCCTCATCCGCGGCGAATAAAGCTGGCAACTCGCTTCGCGGCACCGGTTCGGCGTATCCCCGGGTAAGAAGTGCATACTCGTCGAGAAACTTTTCGCGATGGGGTTGTGCGTTTTAGCGAGTGGCCAGACGACTTCGTCGTAGCAGTCTTCGCAAACGCAGAACTCTGGGAGTGAGGGGATGTAGTGCCATGTGCCCTTGGTTGGTCTGTCACGACGACAGTCGCGGAGAACGACCTTGCGACGAGCGTAGGATATGAATTCCCGCGAGTCTGGTTGGCGGGAGGGCTCGGTGCGGACGGCGGCTATGTCCAGGAGATCGACATACTGAACGAAACGTGGACTGGTGGTAACGAAGTCGCACATTCGCTCTTGGACATCTGGGCAGTGTTGGAAGGTGTCTCGTTGGGAGGGCATGAGGATGCGAATGTTCCGCGCACAGCTGCCGCAGACGTGGAAACGGGGAAGAAACTTGTTCGTTTCTGGGTCGACGACACGGTACCAGGTCTGGTCGGCTACAACGCGGCCGGGGCAGGGCTTGCATCCTGGTGGTGGGCGGGTCATCTGGTAGAGCATCTCCAGGCTATCGTGTTGCTTTTTGATCATCTGTGTCCAAGCTAGTCGGGTCCAGGCGTTGGCGAAGGCGCAGCGGATCTTCTGCGTTGCTGGCTTTGGTAGGCTTGGGATGAAAAATTCATGGAAGCGGGAATGAGCGATTTGGCTCATACATGAGGGACAAATGTCCAAGTGTGTGAGGCCTTTCAGGGTGTACCAGTCATTGTGACCTGCTACCGGGAGTGAACGAGGGCATGGGGTCACACATAGTCCGGTTGACCGCTGTGGGGAGCTCGCTTTCTGGGTTGGGGCTGTTGGAGGTGCGCTGTGCCGAGGCAGTTGTTCCTGAAATTTGACCGAGTTGGCCCGGTGAGGTCTGCTAGAACTGGCTTGGGCCTCATCCGATGACATGGATCTAGAAACCATAGCCGAGGGGGCCCTTGATGAAGACCGCAATGCTGGCGGCGCAGGCGTGACCAACGAAGTCGCTCTTCCCCGTGTTGTTGGCTGAGGCTGCTTGAACTCTTGAGGAGTAACTAGTACCTTGATTGGGTCCTTGGTAGGTGGCACAGTATGCTGGCCTGGGGCACGAGAAATCTCGCGAGGCGGTGGGTGTACTTTTGGGGCGGGGGCCACAGGAAGAATCTTTGGGCTGATGGATTTGGCCCTAGGTCGCCTGGGAGTCTCTGAGTCTGAATCGGATCCTAGTTCGCGAAGTTCATGTCTCAATCGTAGTTTCTCCTCAATTCTCTCTGAAAGTGAGAGGGCGTCAGGAGATCGTCTGGCTTGCAGTTGTGACGACGACGTAGGGACTGGCGGTGAAGTGACATGAGAAGATAGCCTCCCGCGAGTAGTGCTCGAGTCTGATTGATACCCAGATTGTGGCTCCGAGCGTTGACGGGTTGAAGCCGTTGGAGCTGTTTGGTTTCCAGTCCGCACGCTGTTTGGCCGTCCCAGCGATGCCGGCGTAGGTGGCGGTGCTTGGGACACAGGTAGATTGGCTCGATCAAAACCACGATCCTGGGGACCTTGCTGAATAGGCATTTTACGGGTACCATCCGGAGGGAAATAACCAACTTCCCCTCTGCCGAATTCACGGTCCCGAGACGGAGACTGTGGACGGCGCTGACGGGGAGGCTGTTGGACTGAAGCAGGAAGCTGTTGGGCCGAAGCAGGAAGCTGCTTCGGGGCCTGTGGCACGCGGCTTCGAGACCTGCTAGAGACTGACGATGGAGGGAATTTGAGAGGATCATTTGATTGAGCCCTACTGCGAATGACGGGTTCTGGGGCCTGGGGAGAAGGGGTACGAGGACCAGAACTGTTGTCATCAGAAGAGACGTTTCCTAATCCTGGAGGGGTCAAGACGCTGGGTGGAGTGGTCGATGTTGGAAGCGGAGACTCTGGAGCGAGGATGACCGGGTATTGATCAACAGTTCCCCTTCTGCAGGTACCCTCGACTCCGGGTTTTTCACTGAGCTTGGAAAGGCCGTGCAACTCTCGAGCAAGCGAGGCGGGCTCCTCCTCGACGCATGGCACTGGAGGCCAACGGAAGCGCACGCTACGAGAAGAAGACATTTTGTGTTTGTTGTTGGTCGGTGTTATCATACACAGTTAAACGTAAATAGTATGATTTGGTGGGTTTTAGCCTGCTGCGATGTGTTGTTGTGGTGAAGTTCGAGAAAATTTCAAAATCATAGTAAGTCTTAAGTAGCAAAAGGTCGGGCAGTAAAACGAGGAAAAAATTGTTGTACGATAGGCTCAGCTTGGGGGAAGATTTTTTCTTTTTGTACTCGAAAACAAAGATGCAAAGATGTCCTGTGTGCGCAGCCCGGGTCAAAGCAGGGTATATAAGTGTTGGTCAATCGGGCATCATCCTGGACTAGAAGAACTCTGATAGGGCCGCAATGGTGATTGGGCAAAAGTGGACGAATGACCAGGAATAGTATCAGGCCGCAGGCAGTGCCCACAAGGATTTTCCATTGAAACAATGCACAAAACCAGGGGCTGACTCGAGCATCGCGCCACTCCAAAGCGGAAATGGGCGTGGCTATAACCGTCTTGGTCGATCATTGGGCACAAAGTCAGACAAGCACGGATGCTCCCGTGTTTCAAGCGTGTTTACTGTAGCCTGGATCCACCAGGAACATGAAGGATAGAACATCATTGGAAATGCCTGAAATGTCCATTCGAAAATAGGTTCCCCTGGCGTGTAGATATGTTTGAAAATGGCGAGTTGCATGAGCGATCCGGGGCCAAGGGTGGGCCTGAGGTGCTAACTGCCGCGGATGCAGATCCCAGCAGCTTAGTCTGCAGATTTTTGAAGCAAGAAATCCTGCACCAACAGAGTGGGCCCAGCTAATTCAGATCAGGCGCAGGGTTTGCCCAGAATGGCAACCCAATGCCAGACCGGAAAATGTCTCAGCTCCCGTCAGAACCATCACTCCTATCCTTGAATGGCATGCATCTTGCGTTTTAGGGGCTGAGATGCGCTGGCGTTTACCCTGATCAGCGTTCATCCTGGAGAGGAAGAAAAAGTCACGATCGCTCTGCGCATGACACCTCCTGTTTGGACATAACATCGGCGGCTAAAGTGGCTGGACGTCGAACCCCCGTTGTGATCCTAGTGCAAACCCAGGAGTTAGATCCCAGCCAGATGTTGTCAAAAGCACAATATTGATTTGTTTGACAACTGTCTTGACAGGCACCACGAGGCTTTGACAACCATTTCTCACGATGTACGGAGTGTATGTACATCGGTGTTGATCCGACGGTTCTAGAAAGCCGACGGAATGGCGTCAAGACCCCACATGTCGGATGCTCCGAGTACAATCGGCTTTCTATCCGGGTTGGAGTGGAGAGAAGCATTGCAATAAAACCGACGGAACTGACAAATGATATGAGTTCATACTTCACAGTAGCGTAGTAGTGGGAAGAAAGTAATGGGGTTGATGACCAAGACCGAATCAACAATTCCGCGGACGGAGAATGCGGGGATGCGATGACAAATGACGCTGTTGATGCAATCGCGGTCTCGCGGTTTTTTAATTGCACAGTCCCCCACATCTTCCTATTTCCCCATGTCACTCTGTACTCTCCGCAGAAGCACTGTTCGCCTTGCAGCCTTGCGCAGTCATATTATCCCTGTAATTCCTGTCAGTAGACCTTACGCCTTCACGCCAATCCGCACCATGTCCGTCCCCACCACCATGAAAGCCGTCGTGGTCGAACAGACCGGTGGCCCGGAAGTCCTGCAGTACAAGACCTCCTACCCGGTTCCCACGCCACAGGACGGCCAGCTGCTGGTCCGCAACAACATTTCCGGCGTGAACTTTATCGATACATACTTCCGCACGGGCCTGTATGCTTCCCCGAAGCCGGAGGTGCTAGGCCGCGAGGGCGCGGGTACCGTCGCGGCAATCGGGCCCAACACATCCGGTTTCCAGGTTGGAGATCGCGTTGCTTGGTTGGCGAATGGCGGCTATGCCGAATACACCGCTGTCCCTGCAGCCAAGACTGTCAAGATCCCCGAGGGTATCAGTGATGAGGATGTGATGGCTTCGTTCTTGAGTGGATTGACTGTCCTCTCATTTGTCAAGGAGACCTACGCTGTGCAGAAGGGTGACTGGGTCCTCCTGCATGCCGCCGCTGGTGGTGCCGGTTTTCTCATGACTCAGATCCTCAAGTCGATCGGCGCAAAGGTCATCGGAACGGCCGGTGGCCCCGAGAAGTGTGCCATTGTCAAGAGCCTTGGGGCTGACGTGGTGATTGATTACCGCAGCGAGGAGGGCAAGGATTGGGTCAAGTTGGTAAAGGAGGCGACAGGTGGCCGTGGCGTTGATGTCGTGTACGACTCTGTCGGCAAGGATACCTGGGAAGGCAGTTTGGAAGCTGTGAAGCGCAAGGGAACGATTGTGTGGTTCGGTAATGCCAGTGGACCTGTTCCCCCCATTCCCCTCCCGTAAGTCTGACCCCTAGAAAATCATGGACAAAGCTCACCAGGTGATACAGGAAACTCTCCCCGAAGTGTGTTAAGATCGCTCGCCCCACCCTCTTTGGCTACATTGAGACTCGAGAGGAGTTTGAGTACTACACCAATGAACTCTTTACTCGGCTGAAGTCTGGCGAGCTCAAGGTGAAGATTCACAAGGTATACCCATTGGAGCAGATTGCTCAGGTTCACACGGTTCGTATACATCCCCCCCTGTGCATGACTTATTGCTCACTCTCAGCCAACAGGACCTCGAAGGCCGCAAGACCATGGGCAAGCCTCTCGTCAAGCCTTGAATATGGGAATTTTGGACAAATATTTTACTTTTTTCACTTTTGATGATTGCATAAACGTTATGAACATTTCGAATTCAAAATATCACCTTCGCGGATCAGCGTCTGCACAAGACCATTGATACGAGTAGACCTCCAGTCCACACAAAGTGTGGATAAAAGGGAAAGGAAAAAACTAAAGAAATAAAATCAAAAGGAAAGAAAAGAAAAGACGCTTATCCATGCGTGGAAGACCGCTAGTAGGCCTCCTCCGTGTCATGTTCGCCATTCGACACATCCTCTTCAATGTCAAAATTCTTGGAACACTTGCCTTCATTCTTTTTCTGGCCAGTAGCTTCAAAGGCCATCTGAGCGGCATCATCTATGCCCTGGTTTATTTCGTTCTCAGGCTCCTTCGACTTCGGGCTGTCATTTCTTAGATCCCGCGGACGCTTCCAGCTCAGCATCATGTCATTCGCAATGATAGCGTTGAAGCTTGGGAAGGTCGAGTAGACCTGATCAAAATAGTACGCCCCACAGTTCATCTTCCAAACAGGGGCCATGACCCTCAAACCAGGATAGAAAAGATCGAGGAGATCCCTTTCAATAAAGAAAACAAAGTCATAGCTAGGCGCCTTACCGTGATGCCAGTCCCAGCGTTCCTTGGGGCTTAAATCGGTCTGGGGCTTTCCAGGATCACGGAAAGACTTAGCTTTGACTATTCCAACGGGGGTCAGATGAGCCGCAAACTGCTGGTAGAAGGCGCGGACATAGTCATCTGGCTCAGTGACGCGAAGTACCTCAAAGCCATCGATGTCCTCGACGCTCTCTACCAATAAATCCTCATCAGCCACTTGGTGTCTAAAGCTAGAAGCGACATCATGGGAGCCAGCACCAGCAATGCAGTGCTTTACGATGTCTTGGGCCTTTTCAGTGGTCATAAAGGAATCATCAACATCATCCCAGATACTAGGCTTTCCGGAATTCTTGTTGAAGTAGTGTCCTGCGAAGAGCATGGAGCACGCCTTGTTGAATTCCCCGGGGCCTTTGCGGATCAATTGCAGATTCTTCCATAGCTCCATATTGGCAATGGTGCATATCTTGCGGGCTTCGAGAATATCATTTTTGTATTCTGGACACACGTCATGGAAAAGCAGGAATGTAAGGAAGTTCCGGATGGTACTCGTAGCGAACTCGATATCTTCGATGCAGTCTGGATTGAAGTATCTGAGGAAGTAGGTGCCAAAGAAGCCCCGAGCCACTTTATCAAAGCTGACATGCAGGCTCTCCCGTTCCTTCTCGATCGAGGTCTGGGCACGAGCAAGCATGATCTCATCCGAGGTCATCATCTTCATATCCTGGGCATTAACACCGCCCCCGAAGTTCGGGCCGATGCTGACACCTCCATATTGCAGGTACTTATGGAAGATGTTGCTCCGAGCAGGTTCAATTCGGCGCTTTCTCTCAAATCGCATAAAGGCCTCCTCAAGTCGGTCTATAAAAGATCGATGGGGATCGTAAAGGCCACAATTCTGCTTGTACTCATCAGGAGTCAACGGTCCATCGGCACTCCATTCCTCAAATCCAGTTGGCTTGCCCACTCCCCGCTTTCCTCTGGGTCCTCTCTCTCTCTTCTTCTTCTTTTGCATCTGAGCCACAAGCTGGGGGCCAATGACCGCGGCAACTGCTTCGTCGAGTTTGAGTGTCGTTTTTTCGGACTCAGTAATGGGCTTTGGTGGCTCATCCACTGCATTATTAACCTGGGCACTTTTGACTGGGACCTGGGTCTCATTCCATTCCTTCTCTGGGTCCTTTTGTTGAGCTTGAGCAGAGCCATTTGGGAGATCACCAGCAATGCTGAGCTTTAATGTGTCTGAATTGTCCATGTTGTGAAGCTTGGTCGAGTGATTTTGAGAAAGAAGATGTGAGAATGAAGACAGGATGAGGGAAGAGGAACAAAAAAAAATTGTCAAGCAGGGTGCTTAGGAAAAGGAGAGAGAAATAAAGAAGGAGAATTGCCATTCAAGGCTCTCTGTGGGTAAACTCAAGTGAAGCGAGGAAAATGGAATGACTGTGTATTCAAGAGCAATCAAGAAAAGTCACGGTCTACTTTGGAAACTTCATTAGAAGACCGGCTGATGTTTTTGTTGTGAACCAACGGTATAAGTTCATTGATAGCACTGCATTTTGGCCTCCAAACCCAAATAGTTCACCTTTCTTCGACCCAACGAAGCCTATTCAATGCAACCGCAAACATAATAAGCAACCATAAGACACAAAGCTTCATTTAATTTCTCTGGGCCAGTTGCAGTCTCAATGAGTAAATCTTCCTACTCATAAAGCAGGAGATAATACTAGCTTACATCTATCCGCTAGATGGAAGTGGAATTCCTTGATCTTTTACTCTCAATACTTCATACGACCGTCTTCCACAAACTCACATACGAATCTGGCCCCTGCCTCGCCATCCACTTGCCTATCTAACAGAGAGCATCTCGGGGTTTCTTCAAATACCCACCTACTTCGCTGGCTCATAATCCCCATCTGGTCATTGTTTGAAACTCTGGTGGGCCTTCTGGATGGTGCGACAATTTTGCAGTGGGTGTTTCGGCGACTGCAGTATCCATGGACCGTACAAATGATACGTTGTAGGCGTATTAGCTTGGGTAGTAGTAGGTAGCCAGCAGCAAGTCGGTACAACTAAAGGTAGAAATTTTTGGCCCCGTATATTTGGAGTAAAACCGGACTTGGAAAGCGAACTAGCAATATTATTCATTTCATGAGCCAGGCACTGTAAACAAGACCAAGGTGACTGAGATTATTTATTAGAGCTGTGCTGGGTATACAGGAGGCATAGAAAGCGATGTTGGGTTAAAGTAGACACTGGAGTTGAGTGTGGAAATAAACTTCAGGGGTATAGGTTGATCAAGGCTGATTATCTCTGAATGTTCCTAAAACGGTGCAGATTGACCATCGCGAATCCATTGTGGCGTTTGTGGCTTTGCTCCGTGCTCAGCCGTGCCCCTCGTTGCCGGTGGGGAATGATTGCAGAGCAAGAGGGGTTCTTACGACCCCGATTGGTACCCATCCGCTGGGGTGAAAGAAGCACTCAAACTCCTCAGGGGCTGTAAATACCGAGGTGCCATTTTGTATGGGTGCATTTTGTCAAGAGTGTTGCCCCTCATTTTCAAGTTTTAGAATAACGGGCTGACACATTTTGGTATTTGAATTAAAACGAAATCCCGTCGGTGCCGGCGAGGGTATTGAAAATAGCCATGACTGTCCTTTCGCTGAGAAAAAAAAAAAGGGAGGAGAGATCGAGATCCAGCCCTTGCACTGTGACCGCTTGCTAATTCTTCCGGCTCACACCCTTTTCACCATTCCTTCCCCCTCGCTGTGCCTTAAAGCAGAGAATCTTTAGTAACCGCCCTGGTAACCGCCCTGCTGGCCGTAACCACCCTGGCCGCCGCCGTAGCCACCACCGTAACCGCCCTGGCCGCCGCCGTAGCCGCCGCCGTAGCCGCCACGGCCACCACCACCGGAACCACGGGCCTGGGCAAGGTTGACCTTGATAGAACGGCCGTCGAGCCTGCAACGCGAAAATTCAGTTAGTTTTTGGTTCTAGAAGATTTAAACGCAGGACACGTACTCCTGCTCGTTCAGGCCAGCGATAGCAGCCTCAGCCTCCTCGGAAGAGCTGTAGGTAACGAAACCGAAACCGCGGGAGCGGCCGGTCTCACGGTCGCGCATGACGATCTAGTTAACGTGTTAGCAGACACGTTCGGTTTCGCTTGACATTAAACGTGAACAATGAGGTCCAAAAGGGATACATACGGCATCGAGGATCTGACCGAATTGGGAGAAAGCATCCCGGAGGCTGTCGTCAGTGGTAGACCAAGAAAGGTTTCTAAATGAAAGGTTAACAAGTGACAAGTCGGCTTAAAGGGTTTAATAACATACCCAACGTAAACTTTAGCAGACATGGTGAAGGTTGTGATAATTTTCAAAGAAAAAAAATGGATGAGAGAGGTTGTCAAGAAGATGTTACCAATAAGGGAAGAAATCCAAGGTTGAGAAAATTACCCCGCTAAGAAAACTTAGGTACTTATATTTGTTTGAATGTGTGATGCAAACAGCTGACCAATCAGGGGTGAGGGGTCATGGGACCGTGGTTTCGCAGTTCTCGCTAGACTCTGCATTACTGATATTCGTCGATCACTGTGGACACTTGTCTCCTTTAGGATTTCAGGGCTATTCTTTACTTCGTCCCTTGATCTTGCTTTAAATCGAGATGATGCCGATCATTCCAGGAAAATCACCTGGATCATCTGTGTGGCCACGTGGTCTGCCTACGGTGGGGGCAAGTGGGGTCTACTTGATGCTATTGATCGCTTTTCTATTCAAATCTGTGCTCTTTAGCCTCATTTACCCCGGGAGACCATGGACCGAAATAAATATTTCTCAAACACCCCTAAATCATATTCGTCAATCCTGAGCTCTTGTTAATCACTCTTCAAAAATAGCTGCTTACCAGCAGGCGATGCACGACATCAGCATGAAATCCTCTCTTCACCAGCCCTTTGCACACCCCACTTGACAAATTGAGCCCCTAGCCCTTGGCGTTGGTGATCAGGATTGATCGCAAGAGCTTGGAGAGTCAGGTATCGTGCTTCCTTCATGAATTATGCTTCCCATTTCAGCGAGCCGTTTCGCATCTGGCGAATGATGACTTGAGTCGGTGTGTCTGGTGTGTCTGGTGTGTCTGGTGTGTCTGGTGCATCATGCTGCGATGGTACTGGCTTTTTTGTGACGGGCCTATCTGCTGCGTCTGGCTCTGCAGCCGGAGCACTCTTCTCCGCACTCTTCACAGACAATCGCGCCTCTTTCACATTGGTGCCTACCGTCTAAATCAATGCAACTCTCTCTAACTTCTCTTTCTCCCTCCTTAGCCAGCAGGCTCATTCAACGATCACACCATCGTCATTGACCGCTGTGAGCATTCAAGATTTCAGATCACCAAGCCAAGCCTTGGGTTGCCGCTCCATGAAACTCTCGCGTGCACTTTCTGGTTTGCTAACAAGCACAATATTCAGGAATCCGTCTGTCTTGGAAGCGGCTGGTTAGACTGGTATAAGCTCCGTGATGTCGTTGTCGTTGATTGGGCGAAGGATAGACCTCATTGTGTTCAAGAGTGCTTTTCGGAATCTAAAATGGGTCTCTTGAGTAATACTTTTTGACATCAGGTGGGAGGTATCGTGTAGAATAAGAGGGGGCAAATATGGGAAAATTGGAAGATAAGCATGGGTAATCTAGACCCCTGTACAATCTACATCAATCGAGTTAGTCGATTTCCCCACTAGTTCAGATGCTCACGTCAGGGGAAGAGCAACCTTGGAAGCCCGTAGCAATATTACTTTCGACTTTTTCACTACTCTGCACAGGACTCATAATAGATAGCATGTAGCTCTATCCCGTATCTAATGCATTAGCGTAGATTAACTCATCGCTGGTATTACATTGCATAAAATCGCGGCTCTAATTTTGCCGGCAGAATGCCGGCATTACAATAATCTACATGATATCCTGATCCTGCAACCGGCCATGCAAGTTGAAGCTAACTCTTGTACTTGGGCTTTGGCTATTCAAAGCTCTGATGGAGGGGGGCGTGGGTGATGGCCACCATTGATCCTCTTATTCTGCGCCTCCATGCGAGGTATCAGCTGAGGGTCTGTATCTGTCTGATACCATGCCGTACAGATCATTTCCTGCTCTTGGCGGGAATTGTGACCTAAAATGGCAACCACTGTGCCATTATACTGGGGCATATTCCCATCCGATGATTTTGAATTGGGATGCCCGACATTTCTGTATGCACGCTACTCGGGGCGTCACCGCAATATCCCGCGGGAATTGGTTTCCACTCGAAAGCCATCATTCATCCTCATTTCGGAAGCTCGATGGCCAGACAATCGGAGATTTCATGATAGGATGGAAAGGATCCTAAGCATTGATCGTCAGGCAGGGACAGAATAAGCTTCTACTTGGCAAGCCCTTGCTTGAAGTGGACAAGATACCGGGGCCTTAGATCACTAATCTGCCTGAATGTTAACTGGAAATGCAGCAAATTGCCAAGAGAAGAACATTCACAGCTACCGACAATCCCAATAATACCTTATAAAGCTCTTTCACTAAATACGACAAACCAGGTAATCCTTTCACTTCTGTCTAGAATTCTCCTTTTTCTGCCTAGGTGGGTAAGCTGATATAGCTTTATGTTTATTTGAAAATTCTCGCTCATGGGCTGCCCCACAGGCAAACGGTTAACTGGTGGACTCGGAACAACTTACCTTTAGGACGAAGGGTAGGAACATTTCGACATGTGCATGTTTCTATTCGTACTATCAAATCACTTACCCTCAGTGTACACAATTTTTACCCCACCTCCGCCAAGGATTTTGGGGCAAGCAACTGAGACAAATTGCTTGACCCTATTTGTGTTTCAACGGCTTCAACGTCCATTTCAGGCTTCTAGACACGGCATTCCTTTTTAGACGATTCGCCTTCAACCCAGGCTTCCTCGCCTGACAAAAGAGGGGTAATAGAAGGATTGTACAGAACACGAAGAAGTAGTAACCTTGTGCATTGCATGGATTTCAAGGTCAAGGGGCACTTGCATAATGTTCAGCAAGGAATTCAAATGTAGCAGTATGTATGGCAAAATAAAGCGAGCAGATTATAATACGAAGGCAAATAAGCGTTCAGATCTTTTGGACGATCTATTGCAAGATGTACCATCTGTAGACTGTATGTACTGTACAGCGCATTGTTAGGTGGGGCTTTTCTAATCTGGGATGCCGCTTTATCTCTATGAGGGCTATCTTTATGAGAGCTCAGGGCTAGAACCACAGGGTAAATGTCAGCACGTCCAGTCACGCGTAGATGAGAAACGTGACTGATGACTGATGTTCAGTGGCCAAACTTCGGGGTTTCAGTCGGCACCGGGATCTCCTGATTGAGCTACCCCGGCCCGGAGCTCACTGCCCCTCCTGCCCCACTTTTCCCTGTCATATTGGATGGTATACCATGGTAACCAGGTATTTTATTTGCATACCATATCTGTTTTATTACATAAGTATGTTATCTCGCCCCTGATCTTAGTAATCAAGGAGCAAGTGCTGTGGTACGGTATAGTAAGGATAAGAAAAAGCTCCTGTATTTGATGTAGCGTAATGTAAAATGGAGATCCACCCCGCCCTTGTCCCATTCTGGTTAGATCAGGGAAACTCAATTGCCGGATATACCATTTTAAGATCGTTTTCAAACTTTTCTCGCACTTGATTTGGAGGTTCTTTTAACCTAGAGACGTCCAGCTGTGGAAGGGTTCTAGAACCGCAGACGCACATGACCGTCGGATTCTGGAAGCTCTAGTCATTCGTGTGAGCAGGGGTTTTTTTTTTTTTTTTGGCGCTGATCTTTGCTCCCTGTACTATTGATTTGACACTCAATCGTCCAAATATTAGAACTTGCGCGTGATGCGATACATAGATAGCTGGAGCTAGCGGTGACACGAGTACATATCTAATTCGTTCTGATGGGGCCCCCACTGTATTCCACCACATGATGTGGACTATTCTCCAATTTTTCCAAACCCGGCGGGTGGCGGTGACGTACAAAGTAAAGAGCTGCTTGCGACCATTTAATAATATTTATCCCACCCCCTCCCTCTCAATTTTTTTTCTCAATTCATACACATCACTCTCACAATGGCTCCCATGAAGCTCAACCAGAAGAACCTCCCCCAGATCTGCGCCGCGGCGCCAGTTCAATTCCCATCCTACCCGCGTGGCGACGCTGTCAAGGAAGGAATCGTCCACATTGGCGTTGGTGGCTTCCACCGAGCTCACCTGGCTGTCTACGTGGACCAGCTTATGCAGAACCATGGCGTTACCGACTACGCCATTTGTGGAGTTGGCTTGCAGCCCTTCGACGTAGGCATGCGTGACGCCTTAGGTTCCCAGGACCACCTCTATACTGCTATTGAGCGTTCCGCCAAGGGCAGCCAGGCTAAAGTGATGGGCAGCATTAACTCCTACCTTTTTGCTCCCGATAACCGCGAGGCTGTCATAGCTAAGATGGCACACCCCGATACCCATATTGTGTCGCTTACTATTACCGAGAGCGGATACTATTACAATGAGAACACCCACGAGCTTCAGAGCGAGGACCCCGATATCCAGCATGACCTGAACCCTGCCAATAATGCCCCAAAAACCACTTTCGGCTTCCTCTACCATGCCATGGACCGCCGTCGTCAGCAAGGATTGAACCCTTTCACAGTCATGTCTTGTGATAATATGCAGGGCAATGGCGCTATTACCCGCAATATGCTAGTCTCCTTTGCCCGTCTCCGCAACCCTGAGCTCGCGGAGTGGATCAACGCAAAGGCCCACTTCCCTAACGCTATGGTGGACCGTATCACCCCACAAACCTCCGCCGCCGATAAGGTCTCTCTCGCGCAAGAGTTTGGCATTGAGGATTCATGGCCAATTGTCACCGAGCCTTTTATGCAGTGGGTTATCGAGGACCACTTCTGTGACGGTCGCCCACCATTCGAGAAGGTCGGAGTGCAAATTGTTAAGAATGTACAGCAAGTTGAGGAGTTCGAGAAGCACAAGCTACGTCTGCTTAATGGCAGTCACGCTATTATCGCCTACGGTGGTCAACTAGCAGGCTACAACTACGTCCACGAGGTCATGCAAGACCCGCTATTCAATAAGTTCATCTGGCAGATGATGCAGCAGGAGACGAAGCCTACCCTTCCCGAAATTGAAGGCGTCAGTATTGACGACTACTGCAAGACCCTCGTGGAACGATTCTCCAACCCCACCATCATGGACCAGCTTCCCCGTATCTGCGGCGGTGGTACTGGTAAGATCCCCCAATTTATCATGCCCACTATTGCTGAGGCTATTTGGGTGACTGGGCCGTTCCGTCGTCTTTGTTTCACCGCCGCCACCTGGTTCCACTACATCAACGGTGTCGATGATAACGGCAAGAAGATCGATGTTCAGGATCCCATGCTCGAGGAGATCCAGACTCGGGCTCGCATTGGAGGTACCAACCCCATGGAACTGCTCAAAATCAAGAGCCTCTTCGGCGAGGACTTGCGCTCCGATAAGCGCTTCATTGAAACCATTACCGTCGCTCTGGAAGAAATTGCCCGTGACGGTGTCTTGAAGTCTCTCCCCAAGTACATCGACTAGATGCCTTATTTATGAGCTGGTTTGATGAAGTACCTGCTTCTGGTAGCGATTGCGCTTAATATTCTGGGCATACGTCACGAGGTTGTGATTTTACGAAAAGGCGAGACATGGATAGAGAAAATTCGCTTGTGATAGATTAAGGATTTTGGAGCATCGACGTAAAATGTTGAATGTTGAGGTCAAGGATGTAATGGAGATTTCTCTTATGTACTTTAACTGTTTCTCTCCTCCCACCTTCCGTCTCCACCCTTGGCGTCGTTGAATGCACAATCTTTATCTAAGCCATGTGTTCCATAAAGCTATTTGGTCTATTTACTGCTCTGGGTAAGCACAAGCTAATACAAGCTAGAAGCGGCAATGGATAAGGCGTCCCATATTGTCATGTGCATACGCGATGACCAGCTTGCATGCAGCTTGTTTTTAATGTTGGCAACTTTTTGCGGGCCATCCCGTGATCGACTAAGTTTAGCCTCATGATATTTAGGTTTAGGCTTCTAGACCGCTTTCCAGAGCGGTGAGTTTCTTGTTTATCTATACAGAAGCAAGATCCATGTCATCCACACTTCTGCAAGACCTCATGCTGTCAGCTGGATTCATGATGAAAATAGTCTCATTTTTACCTATTTTGTTACCAAATCCGGACCCATGGGATATTTTGCGAGGGGTAATTGCACACCATCCATCCCGTCTCGATCCCAAGTCAGTGGCAAAGGGCCTTCTTGGATACTCTAGTGCTGACCATCTCAAGCCGCGAAGCAGACATCGACCTATCCTGGATTGCCCTCTTGGCAGAGTCGAGGCTATGGGTTGACCGATAACGCCATGGTCGATGCTGACGAGGGATTGGGCACGAGCTTCTAAAGTATTAGCCAACAGGACCGAATTGCACCGAGGTGCTCGCTCGCTGCTAGTAGCATATAAACTGAGATCAACCCCCAGGAAATCCAACTCAGACAACTCGAGAATCCTTACATTCCACAAATCTATTCCATCTCAATCATAACAGTATGTTTTGCTCTATCTCCAGCTATACTAGTCTTGAACTCACATTAAACAGAACCGGGATCCATATTTCAAAATGAAGGTCTTTGCAAAGATGGCCCTTGTTGCCTGCCTGTCGGCGAGCGTTAGTGCTCTCCCAACGCCTGACGCTTCCGGCAATTCTATCTCCAAGATTGCTCGATCGGAGGATGTTACTGGCGGTGCTGCCTCTTTCGGCTCTGGTCCTTGGAAGAAGCGCGGAGAGGATGCTGTCCAGGGTAATACGCCTGAGTGGAAGAAGCGTGGAGAGGATGCTGTCGATGGCAACACGCCCGAGTGGAAGAAGTAGGTTGGTAAACAGTGCTTTCCGAGATATGGGGGCTAGTAGTACAAGCTGGGACCAACCCATTGTCATAAAGTACCAATAGTTCAATCTACAATGGAGTGGTCTTCAAAGATCTCGAGGTTGTTCACTGGTTATGCTGTTACGGCTTGGAGATCCGCACTCTTTTCAAGAGGATCCCAATTCTCAATTGGCAGCCTAGCCTTCTAAGAATTCCATGTCAAAAACCTGGGGTTTCATGTATCTATACGGAGAATACATACTCGGAAACATGTGATATGAGGAGTGCCCTAGGTGTCATGTGGAGAAGTTGTTCGGACATGCGGAATCGATCTACCACCAATCATCGCTTTGAGATCCCTGCTAGACTAAATTCAAAAAGTTACTATGATTTCATTGATGACATCCATTTCCAACCGGATATAAGGAAAGATATCCGTATAGCTGTAGGGCTGACCAACCTTCACGAAAGCCAGTAATAAGGTTGGCCCCTGCACATGGGGTTTCACGGGCCGTCAATAGTGTATCCGACCAGCTTCTCCTGGAATTATCATTTCTCTGGCTTTCTTGCATGTTCTCACCCTTCATTTATCCAACCCATTTTCCGCTCATCTCCCGCAGATTAGGACCTACGTTTTGTTGAGTCATCCGGCATGCAATGAGCAACGGCGAAGGCATCAGCCCCACGAGACCTCTTACCAACATGCCCCCAAAACAAGACAATCGACAGACTCCCCTCCTAGGCAGCGATGATCTGGTACCTTTCGATCATGTCGCTGCGGGACAGTAAGTGTCGCCCCACCAAGCTTTAAAAATTCCCCACGCGACACACGCGCCCACTAGGGCGGTCGCTCACGCGTGAGAGGGGAATTTCCAAGGGTTACATTACCCACCACTATACCTTCTTTCGTTACCCCGGATATTACGACTAAGCTAATCTCATGGATTCCTACAGCGACGGTGTGCGACGGACCCTTTCGGGGTCGTTAATCGTCAAGCCTTGCACACAACAAGAAGTCGAGTTCTACGAGTCCAGCGCCCTCCATCCTGAATTTCGCGAATTCATGCCCCTGTTCGTCGGCTCGCTATCTTCTGCTGAGCAGCAACAACCTTTCGCGATCGCCGCGGCGCAGCAGTCCGGCGCTGTGTTCCTGCCTGCACTTGGGAACCCTCCGACGGATCCCGCTTGTCCGGCCGAATCTCCGACACCTGCGCTGCCTGCTATCGCTGCTCCAGCGGCTATCGTACCAGTCGAAGGAGTGAATGGTGCTGGAACCCCGACAGAGAAGCCATGGGTTCCATCCGAAGGGAAAAAACTAGAGACCGGTCTGTCGATTGTGTTGGAAAATGTGGCGTCTGGATTTCGGCGACCGAATGTGTTGGACGTTAAGCTTGGAGCAAGATTATGGGCGGATGATGCGCTGCCTGCAAAGCGGTCGAAGCTGGATGCGGTGTCAAAGGAGACTACAAGCTCGAGTCTGGGATTTCGGATTGCGGGGATGAAGGTTTGGACGGGCGAAGATGGGGAGCCAGACGAAGGCGCTCGGACCAACCCATACGCTACTAAGTATGAGGGTGCCGAGGGGGAGAAAGGAAAGGTTATTGAGACGAATGGGTATCGACGCTACGACAAGTGGTATGGACGATCGTTCAACGAAGGGAATGTCAAGGAAGGATTTGAGACCTTCCTGGCTGGTGCCAAAGCTGGCGCGGTGGATCGGTCCGGAATGATTGCAAGGCGAATTGTGGAGGAATTGAAAAACGTGCAGGAAGTGCTTGAGGCTGAAGAAAGTCGCATGTATTCGTCCAGTGTGTTGGTGGTTTATGAGGCAGATCCCGAGGCGATGGAGGTTGCTTTGGAAGAGGAGAAAAGACTCTCTGAGCAGCAGCCTCGGGATCCAGAGGAAGAGGAGGACGATGACGATGAGGTCGATTTCGAAATCTCCGAAGAAGCCTTTGAATTGGTGGATGTGCATGGAATGCCTCAAAAAGCCATCAATATCAGCATAGATCCTCAAATGGCTCAACTGCCGGAAATAAATCTGGATGATGATGAGGACGATGAAGATACACCCAAGGTCCATGACCTGCGGGTGATTGACTTCGCGCATGCCAAATGGACACCCGGTGAAGGCCCCGACGAGAATATATTGACAGGAATTCGCAGCTTGATCAAGATATTGGAAGAGCTCGCCGAGTGACGATTGTATAGATATATCATGGGCCTCAACGGGTCGCAGGCGACCCCTGGAGTCTTCGCATGTTGGGCAATTTAGCTATCGCATTTATATTCGGAAATTAGCCAAAAATGGCTGTTTTATGTCCCCATTTCCAATTAGTCTCGCTTGGGCGTGATCCCTGAAGCCCAGCAATTGAGGTCATAAAAGCAAAGTGATATGATTTCATGCTACAGGAAGATAGGTAAATGAATAGAAAGTAGATCAAGGGAGAGAAGACAATGCAAGTGCCGGCCACTCATGAGCTAGCGAACAGATCTCCGGCCACGCCCAAACTTCATCCGTCGTATTGTCTGGCCAGTTGCATATCGTTTTAAGCGGAAATAGCCAAAACCCAAAGGCAGGCTTGACAGCTTTTTCAAGGTTCTCATCATGATTTCGTTCATGGAGAGCGCCAATCTCACATTCATCGAGACGGTCTGTGTACTCCCAGTACCTCAGAGCCCAATTTCCATTCCGTATTTCATTGCCCAGTCGCCATTCGCCTCGCCATTCTGCATCCTCACTACGCAGCCAGTCAGCTGCGCTCTTGCAATTGGATATCTGAACCCGACTTGGGGGTTGAAATGCCAGCAGAAGCTGATAGTTAATCTTGATAGGACATATCTCCAATATTCGTAGGGTTTCCCGCCAGGCGATCACCATTTCGCGGGGGTCTTCGCCCAGATACTGGTGCGTTAGATCTTGTTGGATTGAGCGTGGATCTTGGGAGAGGAGCGCAAAGGTGCATGTGGCCGCTCTGATGGGCAATGAGCGATTAAAGACTGGCCAGTCATATGGAACTACGTGGTTGAAGATCTGGCGAGCCGATTGCGTGCCAACAAAGTAAAGCTCGCGAAGTTGAATAATAGTATCTGAAAAAGATTTGCGGTCCCCAGGGATGCGATTGTCGCATAATTCTGTGTGATGAAGCGGTGGATGTTTAGTAAAGAAGGCTTATCCAGAGCTAGGCTCAGGAGCCCGACTTGGAAAGGGTCGCAATCCTTTCTCAGCACGTATAGAAAGTCGATGAAAGCTCCAGTTAAGAGTCCATTGATATCAAACTGAATGGTATCAAAATCAGGGTTGATGTAGCAAGTGCTTGACACCTTGTCGCCGGCGACATTCACAAACATGCAGGGGAATTGAGCTCGATAAAAGGCTTGTGCAATTTCTCTGGATTCGCGGTTGACTCGGAACAACTTGCTAAATACTTGACACCCATGCAAGGCAACGATATAGGACTCGTTGTAATCCAGTATTCCATCATTGAATTTCGCTGTGTCTATTATCATGAAGTTGACGCGGATGATCCGTCGGCGTTGTAGAGCAGACTCCCATATGATAAAACGGATTTCCGGGGGAAGAAACGGAAAAAGATGAAATGTTTGGTCTTTCGGGGGCCCCTCTAACAGTGAATTGAAGATCTCTAAATGGGGCTGTTGTGGCACAATCGCCTGATCGTGCATGCTGAAAGGAGTATATGGTAATGATGGTATACTTGAGAAGTTGAAAGCGGAGCAGCAATTTAGATGGAGAAGACTGTTTTGATGGTGTTCAGATACTATTCTTCTTGTTCCTTGGAGAGCAAGAGTGACTACAAGCAGGAAAGTGAGGAAGAGTGATCAGGTCCTCATGCAGTCGAATCCATGTCTGTATTGCATGTTTGCGCTGACCCGCTGACCTAATCCAACCCCGATCTTTTTCAACTTTCGCGGCTTCACTACAAACCTCCTCCGATCGCCCGCCACATCATGTTTCCCACACGAGCTCTGCTAGGCCGGTCGGTCTGGAAAGGTAAGAAACCCCGAGTCAAAGATACCAGCTTTATTTTGTTTGCAATTACTAATTTCTAACCAGGCCCGAACATCGTCCCGTACGTTCAGCCCGCTCCCAGTCCATGCACTCAGTCTCCAGGAACCCAGCAACAACTTTTACAAGACAGCCAGAGGCAGGATGAACATCGCAACTAACATTCACTGCCTTCTAGTCTCCCTCTGCCCCGGGTTCTCCCTCCTCCTCCGAACACTCCCCCGATCCGCACGACAAAGCGTGGCGCAACAATCCTGCCCAACTTCGTCGGTTTGCGCTTTGCGGTCCACAATGGCAAGACATACCAGGAAATCGCGATCACCGAGGAGATGGTCGGACGGAAGCTTGGTGAATATGTTGCGTATGTCTTCCCTCTGCTGAAGGATCGAGTTCAAGACACCGATTTCGCTTTGGTGTTGGCTATGCTCTGGTACTAACCCACGGATACAGAACCCGCAAGCGTTTCACATACAAGCAGTCCAAGAACAAATAGACGAAGAGCCTGACCTGACTTCGATCTGGGTAGTTGAAGACATCCGACGGACTACCTTTCGCCAACATGAATTTCTTCGAGCTCTCCCCCTTCCTCTATCTGAATTGCGTTGTTTTTTATTTGACAGGATTGGAAAAATCTTGAAATTCCCTTGTCCCGTATCAAGCGGGATTGTTTCTTTTGGTTTGGCCTTGTGGCCCATGTACAGATACATCAGTGGTTCCCTTGTGACATTAGCTATATGTGTGGGATGGAGTTTAACCATGGAACTTGTTCAATATCAATATCATTCATGCATTGTTTTTAACATCTTAGGAGCCATTAGGCTAATTCCACAACACTGCAAACATCAAAATAACTGATGAACTCCGTTTTCTTGAAATCCTACCGCATCCTCCCAATAAATACCATACTCTTGCCCAAGGCATTAGGAATCGAACGTTCAAATATAGAGGTCTAGTAGCATTGGAAGGTGTGATAGCATTGTTCTCCATTCTCAAACCCCTCCGAACCATTGAAATGCTTGGGATAACCATCCCGCACCCATCGGGTATCAACGTGTACGCCCAGCGCCAGAAAGTAAAAGCCCACCAAACAAACGTGAAAAGAAACGAGACGCAGAGAAATGTCTTCAGAAGATCATTTCTCTCCATCCACGTAGTACACTCACCGGTAAAACTCTCCGCGTTTGACGGTAACGCCATATTCGGAAACAGCCATGCCGAGGTCCTCCATCGTCAAGACCGTTCGTCCCTGTCCGGAGCCACCAGAACCACCACCTCCAAAACCAGGACGTTGGATTCCAAGGTGGGTATTGCCCTTTCCACCCTTGTTATCACCGCCAGCTGCGCCGCCCGGCGCGGCACCCATGCCGGCAGGGGCGCCTAGACCGGAAGCTGCGTTCAAACTGCCCATCGGGTTGTTGGCAGAGGAGCTATTCGAGGCACGGATACGTGCAAACTGATATGAGTCGGCGGCAATGTCAGAGACGAACTTCTGCGTGGCCAGCGCAAGGAGGCGGGCGAGGTGTGGAGGTGTTTGGTTCGGCCCCGTGCCGGGGGGTGGAAGACCAGCAAGGGTGAGGTAATGAGCCGTTACGGCATCAGGAATCTAAGATACGATATTAGCTTTGTTGTTTTCTGGTCCTCTCACTTTCTCGTCGGGAGTAAGCAGTATCAGATGCATAGGTGAGAGTAGCTACTCCAAGAACAAGTCATGATAGCACAGAAGATAGGAGCTAAACCACAATAGAAGAGAGAAGGATAGTCATTCACATACAATAGGGGCATAATCATCCATCTTCCCCAAGAATTCGCGCAATCCAGTCTCCTTCTTGGTTGGTGGCGGTGCAGCAGCCAGTGAGTCGAGGCCAGGCGCATTCTCATCGGCAGTGCCGGATGCATTCTGGTCGGCATTCATGTCGATATCTTGTTCGATAGAGGCGTCAAGATCAGGATCAGGTTTGATGGCAGAGTCAGCTGTCTCTGGTGGTACGGTAGATGAAGGAGCAGGCGGCTCTTGTGATCCGTTCGAAGGTTGCTGAGAGGGGGAGGGTTGAGTGTCAGCCATATTGGGCAGTCATGAGAGGGTAGACCCTCTGAAAACGAATAGGCTGCAGGGAACCAGGGGTTCGTGAGACCAATCAATGGCAGTGAGCTTAGTCGGGATCCCGGGTTGTTGGAGATTCTATGCATTTACGGATGAAAGAGCCAGTTAGACGCAGGCGGAGAACGGGTGCACGGACCACACGTGATAGTGGAGCTGAAGAATTATACTGTACTCAGGATCACGGATTGATGGATTCACGAATAAATTTCAAGGGTTTGAAAGGGAAGGTAACCAGATCTCTGAAATTCATAGCTATGTACTCATACATTTGAAAGCAAAAAGCATCAAAAACCCTAAGCTCAGCTCCAGATTATGCCTCACACATCTTCATGCTCCATCATTCACGAAAACCCTCAATTGTGCAACCCGATAGTACAGTGATACAGTATGTGATTGAGAAGAAAGAAAAGAAATTGCAAAAAAATTCAAGTTACAAACACCTTTTTGTGATATTCGCTCAAACGATAAAAGGGCATCAGACCGGAAGCAGATCGTCAAATATCACAAGTCTACCATGATTGGCAGAAGCAACAAACTCCAATGTTCACTGGCCCAGCTGCATGTGTGGATCAATGTGGTCCTGCGTCGGTTGGGGATGCTGATATTGACTACCGTGCACCTCCTGGCTCAGTGTTTGCATCAGATTCTGCTCAGCGGTCTGATCAAAGACTGCTTGACTGTTGGCATCTGGGGGCAGACTCGGCGATGCAGACATCTCGTGACCACCGACAGGTGAGGCATGGGCTCCAGCTAAGGCCATCATGCCCTTGATTCCTTCAACATGGGCCTTATCCTCCTCACCCTGCTTCTTTTGTCTCTCCCGAGCCTCTCGCTTGGCAGCTTGTGCTGGGGCCCGGGTTTTCAGCTCACCAGTGACAAACTTCAGATAGTAAGGTACTTCAATCCCACTCTTCAAGAAGAAAAGCTTCAAGTTACGAGCCTTGTCCTTGAGTTGAACCTGGTTTCGGTCCTTCAAAGCCTCGCTAATAGTTCCACCAGGGCCAAACATGGCAAGGATCTGACTCCAGTGAGGGCCCTTAACCCTATCCAGTCCGGCCATGAGAGCACTCTCTTCATCAGTGGTCCAGGGCCGGCGCTGACTAGGAAGACCAGACTTGCGGCTTGTTGGGGAAGACTTCGCAGAGGCGGCCATTCGAGCACGCTCATAAAGCACCTGAGTAGGTTGTGACTGTGTGTAATGCGGTATTCCTGGCATATAGCCATGGTTTCCAGACATTCCATTGGCTCGCGCTTGCATAGTCTGGGCCGCATTGGGGGTGTACTGCTGGAAATTGGTTTGCAGGGGACTTTGCTGAAATGTCAAACTACCAGGCGGTTGTTGATATCCACCAGGAGGTGTAGGGCTGTGGTACTGTTGCTGGGCATGCTGTCCAGGTTGCTGAGCAGCAGTGTAACCATGAAGATATTGATTATCGGGTTGAGGGGTATGTTGTGGCTGCTGTTGCACCGGTATAGGCTGATGAGATGGAGATGGACTGGCTTGAGATTGAGGTTGCTGCTGTTGGTGTTGATGTTGCAGCTGAGACTGTTGTTGTGAGCGCCGAAGACCATGACCCTGCAGAGCAATTTGCGCGGCACGAGCGGCACGAGCCACGAGATCACCGTGCATGTTCCGGTCAACCGGTACCTCCACAGGCTGAGTGACCGCGAACTGGCCCTGATGAGTGGTACTCGGAGATTCTTGCGCATCACCATTTGAGCTCGATGGCTGTCGTCCCTTAACCGGTTTCTTGCCCTGTGAGTCATTAGCACTTGATCAGACGATACAGAATTGGGGTGGAAACCAACCGGCTGAGTATTAAGGGTATCAAAGTTCTTCGAGATGAAAGAACTCAGATCGCGCAGGAAATCTTCCCACTGGTATTTGTCTGGGAGACTCTTCATTGCTTCCTCGTTGTTGATATCATGGAGAAGGTGGTCACGGCGAGAAGCAAGTCGGTTGACAAAATCTGTTTCGCTAGGGGCCAACTGCTTGCTGCCTGGGCGCCGTTCCAGCAATCGCCGCTCCATATCGTCGGGGAACAGCTCATACAAGAGATTTGTCCGGGTACGCGATTTGTTATTCATCGCGGCGATGAAGGCCTGGGTCTTGAGTTCGAGGTATAAAGCAGCTTGAACCTTTAGTAACCTCCCACCATCGGACATGAACACACTCAGGAAGTGTTCATTCAGCTCAGCGAACCCGATTTCTTGGGAACCAAAGATACTGGACACGAAAGAGGCCAGGTTGGCCTTGCGAATGACATCGACCTGAGAGGAATCCGTGATTTCGAGATCGGATAACTGAAGAAACGAGTGTTTGACAGAGTAAACCCTTTTAGTGTGGTCAAAGAGGGAGCGCATAGTTGCATAGGCTTGGCCATTCTCTGAGTCTGGCTCCGAAATCATGGCCGTCAAGTCTTGATAGCTGTTCTTGGATAGAAACGAAAGGATTTGGGTCGACTGGGTGCGTAGTTAGCATCTGAAAAGCCCAGGATGAAGGTGCAGAATTTACAAGGTTGTCTAAAATGGGTAAGCTTTGAATCTTCAAGTGAGAGTTGGCCTTGAGAAACGCGTAGCCTTTGGCACCTGGAAAATCACCCGATGGGGGGACTTCCTGAGGACCCATGGCAACAGTATGCTCCTGGCGATCAGTATGGTCCATTATTTCAGAGATGATGGACGCGACGTCAGGGTTGAGATTGGGGTCCTGTTCCCGCGTGGCGTCGGGCTGATTGTGATCAATCTGCGTGTGATCCGTCGGCTCCAAAGTGTCTACAATCCCTTCTCCAAGCGCCGTCGCAAGTTCCTCTTCGATTTTATGACCGGCTCCATGCTGGTGATCGGAGAAAGAATCATGGAAGGAGATATCGCCAGGGTTCGAGTCGGTCCGACGCTTTTTCGCCGCGGGAGGCGAGCCATGTTCCTCGTCGTCTTCTAAAGGATGCGAGAATTTCTGGTCTGCAATCAATTGAAAAGGATCTACGTCAGTCAAGAATGGTATTCGACGTGCTGTAGGGACGGCTGAGCGGTGACTCGGAGTTGAGGCGGGATGAGGACAAGCTTTGACGGGGGCGATCGATTTCAGACTCACCGAGGTCGCCATCATCAGGACCAAAAGAGGGTAACTCCACAGAACCATCAAAGGATGGTCGGGAGCCTCGAGTTTCGACCATCTGGGCGTGAAAAGAGAGGGGGTTGACCATCAACTTTCCAAGAGCAGAAATGAGGGCTTAGGGGTAGGGCGCATTTGTAGGGCTTTAGAAGGAGGGAGAGTTGGTCTTTGTTAGCCGCAGGGATTTTCTGCCGGTGGGTCCGATCGTTGATTGGTCAGCCCTTAGACCGCCAATTGGAGCCTTCACTTTTGTACAGTGAATGAAATATTTCACTGACACAAACAAATGGAATACATGGGTATTCCTTTTTTTTAGATATTACTCCTCATATCTTTTCTTCTTTTGTGTCGTGAGGTCGAACATTTTCAACCGAAGTATGGGGTTTGCGGTGCCTATGTGCTAGAGTTATGTACAAAATACTAACCCCGGGCTACGGGTACACGAACCCCGGACTTTTCCCTGATTCACACCTTAGGCCAGCAACTCTTTTCTCGACGTCACGCATGCCTGAAGGAACTGAATATGTCTATCACGACATTGCAATATTACAATGAAGCTAATACCATGATATGATACTATAGGATAGGGCCGACCCACCGTCCCTGGCAGCTATCCCTGGATATGGAGGAAAATTTGTGCGCGTCATCGACCTCAAAATGGTCTGCGTGTAACCTTCGAACCACACCTCAACCACGAAACATTGAAATATTGGAACCTGGTTCGGAAAAGGCCTCAGAGGATATTTGGGGAATTTAACCCTAGGAAATCAAGATAACCACCTCTGACAAACTTTTGACATCAACACCCCCAGACATTGGGCATTGGGAGTATAGAATGGGATTGGAGTGCAGGCCATCAAAAAGATTGCTTCTGGATACCGGAACAAATTTCCTGTCAACAGATGTCAGACTCGCAAAGCGAATCTGCTGAAACTGTATACTTTGATGCTTAATTGATCCGCCGCAGAGCCCTAAAAGGGTTTGCGCCCCAGTCACGACCGGCTTCCGAAAGCGGCCTTTTTTGGAAGAATTTCCATGATGTCCTAGAATCCATAGAACTTGGTCCAGGGGTCTAGCCTGTACATCCTACCCTAGGATCCAGCAAAGCTTGGGCAATAGCTTGCTTTTATTTCAGTAGCTCCCCCAGTCCTTCTGCTTTAGATTCGCTTTTGGCAAATTTACCTGTTGCTCTATTGGCAGACATTAATAAATCAATTGGAATTCGCTGCAGCTCAAACTCAATTGGGTGGCTTGGATATCATTATGCTCAAAAATCGCCAGTTCCTCGTGCTCGTGGCTCTGTTCCTCCAGGGCCTTGCTCTCGCCAGCGCTGAGTATACCGAGAAGGTCTGGAGTGTGTTCGCATACACTCTCTACGGAGATAGTACCCCCGAGGCACTGTTTGAACAGCGTGCGGTAGGCTTGACGGATTATGGAGCCAATCAGCTTGTCACTGCGGGAACAGCCTTCCGGGACCGCTATGTGTCGTCGGCTGGGAGTATAAATGCAACCGAGTTCGCAATCCAGTCTATATCTGCATCTTGGCTGATGTCACAGAGCTTGGAGGTACTCTCAACGACTGAGCAAAATGTTATTGCCTCGGCGCAAGCATTTATGCTTGGGCTTTACCCACCTCTTGGTAGTGAGGGTATGAACACTACGGATGACACCGCGAACGGAACGACTTTTTCAGCACCATTGGACGGATATCAATTCCCCAGGATTGTTACACTTGGCGAATCTGATCCTGGGTCCTTACTTGTAGCTGGCCAGTCAAGCTGCAGCATGTATCAAGCTGCAGTCTCTGAATACCGGAACAGCGGCGATGCAGCGATGATTACGCGGGATACGGAAGCGTTCTACGGAAAGCTTTTGCATCAGGTGCTATCTGGGGCTTTCGATGAATCAACGGCGACATATGCCAATGCCGTCACTATTGCAGACTATCTAGAATATGAAGTTTTGCACAACAGTACTACGTTGGATCATCTTTCTGATGATGATCTGATCCAAGTGCGGTCCTTGGCGGACCAGTTCACCTATGCTACGAATGGACAGGGTGCTTCGGCCTTGAGCGGATCCACCATTGGTGCCGTCAGTCCCATTGCAGGTCAAACTCTCGCAGCTAGCATCCTGAAGTCATTCAATATGTATATGACGGATGGGACTAGCCCGCAAATGACACTGCTCTTCGGTGGTGACGAACCTGCTGTGGCTTTGGCTTCCCTGGTGGGCTTAGCCAGCGAACAGCAGCCCAACTTCTATTCCCGTCCCGTTCGAGGTGCCTCTTTGATATTTGAACTGTTTAGCTTTGGAACCGATGCGGATGATGATAGCTACCCAGACAGTAGTGAAATGTATGTGCGGTTCTTCTTGCACAACGGGACAGACACTTCGACCAAATTTATTTCATTCCCGCTTTTCGGAAGTGGACCTAGCCAAAGCTATGTCCCCTGGACAGATTTTCAGACTGAAATCGAGACCTTTTCTGTCCAGTCGATTGAGGAGTGGTGCCTGCGCTGCAATGCGAGCTCCATTTTCTGTGCAGGGGCATTGGACCGCGGTGGCTCTACCCAGAAGAAGAAAAGCATCGCACCTGCAGTAGCCGGTGTCATTGGAGCGGTTGTCACGCTGGCCGTGGTTGGATTGCTAGCTGTGGTTGGATTCTTCATTTGCGGGTTGCGTAAGCGCCAAGGAAGTCATGAGGGAGGTCACAAACCGAGCATTGGAGGATTTAAGGGAACCAGCAAGCTTGCTAGCGATGCAGATGTTTCTTTCCGCAATCCCATTTGGGGAACTGGTAAAACTGCCAACATGGAACAGGATGATGGGGTTGCTGCCGGAGGTGTAATCGTCCGTGGACAGGAGCGCTTGGGAAGCTGGGAAATGGGCCAACAAAGTTCGGAAGTACAGAATAAACAGTCGATCACCCAGGGAGGAGGTCTTTTCGCTGAACCTTCGGTCCCAGGAGAGGATTTTGATGAATGGCGGCTTCACAGTCTACAGCCTGTCAAGATCCGCGAAAGTGTCTGATGTCAATCAATATCATCTGGAGACTTCGCTGATGGCTCAGACGCTATCAGTCTTACCATCTGTTTTTTTGAATTGAAACCCTTGGAAGTAGAGTCCTGTTCTGGTTGTTTTAGGAACTTCGAAGCTCCACAGGCACAAATCGTTCCGTCACTTCTTCCAGCTCACCTTCATCCTTCTCCTTCCCTTCCCTTCCCATCCATCGCTCCCCATCGCCCTTTCCTTCTTTCAACACATCGAAAATAACATCTCGTCAACTTAAATCTGTTCCTTTGCTGTCCAGGTATGCCACTGACCAGGTCTTGATCATCATGAAGTACAGCATTCCAATTCTGATGGAGTTTTCACAAGGAACCGTTCCCTGTCGCTGGACAGTTGATTCAAAGCACTGTAAGTCATTCATTTTCGATCCTTGACGCGTTTATTGTGTATCTTGCATGAGCCTGTATAGCTCCAGACCATAATGATGGTCTCTGGACTGTAAAGAGGCGAATATTCCATTTTCAGGAAGGCGATATCTGCTGGCAAAGTCTTAGGACTTTGATATGCAGGTATCCTTTTCAACATGGCATCACACTGCAAAACTGAAGCCAACTCATGAGGCACTGCAGCAATTTGTATGCATGAATGTTCCCTGATAATGAATATAGGCAGACTTCTGCAGCCTCTCCAGCGTCAAAGTTCTGTCCTCTCAGAATTCCCTGCAAACAGGCTATTAGAAGAGGCGACTGGCAAGTCATTATCATCTCAACCAGCTAAGCCTTCGACTGCAAAAGCGAGGTTAGACTTTCCACAGCGCACAAATAACGAAAATCCATCGGTCGCGTCGAGTTCCAGAGAAGACCCGGGCTTCGCTCGCTTCCTGCGAACACATTCTTCCCCGCTGCTTAAGAGAGTCACTGCGGGAGGGAAAATTGTCACCATGCCTCATCGCGTGGATCCTGTTTCCGGATCCTCTTCCGCCGATGCTCAGAACCGACCACGATTTCTGATTCATCAACCCACCATGGGTGATCAAATGAATGAGCCTGGTTTTGGTGCCGCTGGTGTGCCGATTTCTGAGCTATCTGAGCATTGGGGGCCTCAATATTCTCAAGCTAGTACACTCGTTGATGGCCCTACTTGGCCTTCGCAGGCGAATCTTGCCTTCCACCCCTCGCGGGAACCGAATGGCCAATATGCACAGTCGAACAGAAGACAGAACTATGTCTTCTTGCCGCTGCAATCCCAGATGCAGTATCATCCGCAGCAGGTATTCTCGGAGCGGACACAGGCTGATCTCCTTTATGAGACTTTGAACCCTGGGACCATCCGCCAAATGTCGCCTGATCAATTCTTTCGGACACTATTTCCCATAACCACGTTGCATGCTTTTGTCCCACCAGGTCAACTTTACCTTGATGCCTGGATGAGATTCGATGGTGACAGGACTGGAAACTGGAGGGGATTCATCAATAGCTTAATAGAACAATCGGCTGGCAACTCGAATTGGATGGGGGGCTTATATTGTGACCTACTGGCCTTATGGGCCCCCATCAATCGAGTTATCAGGGATATTGATCAATCCATTGCCTGTACACGTGAGACGCGCCCTCGAGATCGAGACATGAGGGTCCTGTACATCAACATGAGGCAAATTATTCATGAAGCAACGGGAAGACTTCAGCCAACTCCTACCTTGGTCCCTGCCGTGATTTCAAATGTGGCACCTAACATGGTACCTGGGGTCAGTCCTCTCTTGAATCCACGTGTCTCTTCGACTGAAACACCGCCGTTCCAGTCCCCCTGGACTCCTCAAAATGGATCTTTGTCATACAGCCCACGACGTATCTCCAGAACTTTGAGTAATGTATCCACAGGCGCCACTGGCTTGCAGGAATTTACTCCATTCTTCGGTGTACAGTCGACGGGTCCTACATTCCCTTATCCTGGGGCCAACCAGGAAGCGCCTTCGTGGTTGACCAGGCTCAATCAGAACAGTCCGTTGATGCGACGCAATATTAGCACGCCTGATAATCTCCATGAGTCCAGCGACAAACAGGAAGTCGAAGAAGGCCCAGAGTCTCTCAATTTCGATGCCCCTGGTCCTCAAGCCAATGATACTCCCGGGAATAGTTCTCATGTCGATGGGATTGAGCCGGTATTGTTCAGCGAGCAGGTCCGCAATAATGAGGCACCCGATAGCCGTCGTCGTGACCCTCGTCTTAGTCGGGCCAAACGCGACTGGATCCTTGAAAGAGCAAGAGGCCCAGAGCCGAGCGAATTTGATGCTGCTAGTACTCATGCTGATGATATTTCGCTCGACAAGGTGCACACTGCGTTCGCCATAATGAATTCCCAATGGACACGATTCCAAGAACGGGTGAGAGATTATGTCAACCAGGCGGAGAAAATGCGATATTTTCCTGAACTTCCTTTTCACGAGGAAGAGGAAGATCTGGTGGAGAAACAGCGATGTTTTCAAGATCTTCCTTTTTGCGAGGGAGATGAAGATTCACTTCCTTTTCACGAGGAAGAGGAAGATCCGGTGGAGAGACAACGATGTTTTGAAGATCTTCCTTTCCGCGAGGGAGATGAAGATTTCGGACAAAAATATCAGCAGATGATGGATTCTTATGAGGAGCCATTCACACCTGGTCGATTATCACTGACCTCGTATTCATCACGAGACCGATATGGTGGGCCATCTCTAGATGATTCATATCCTCATCGGGGGTATTCAGACAGAGATGAATACGATGACCATGGTGACTCTTATGATGAATCGAATCCCTCGATGCTTGAAAATGATGATGATCAGATGGAGGAGTTTTATTCTCAGTTGCCCCAGCAGTGGGGGGATCCTGACCAGGCACAGGATGCGATTGAGAGATGGTGTGAGCGTGAGGAGGGCTTGCAATATCGCAGCGAATTTGGAGGGGGTGATTTGTCGGCTGATGATTGCGAGTTTGGAAATGAATCTGCAGGTGATGGTTGCGATGATGATACGCCGGGTGGTGGTGTGGTGGATAGTGGAAACCTGAACAACGAGCCTGAACAGCCGGGTGAAGACCGAGACGAACGCAATCACCACACTTTCAGTGACCGACATGATAGTATCGGCGCTGATATCACCAATAGTGGCCAGCACGTCCACGAAAGCATGCTCAACAATTTGAGCCAAGACATCCGCGTGGTGGATATTCCCCATGATCAACCCATCGTGCAGCTCAGCACAGACAATGCCCATGGTGAGATTACTCAAGTGGGTGGCCATCAGCACCGTGAGTCTACCATCAATGCCTCGGGATTCAACACCGCTCAGGCGGTTCCCACAGAGTCCCTGCCGTGGGTGAGAGCTGTGCGGGGTTTTACTAAGGCCTGTTGCGGTTGCTTCTCTGTACATGAGGAGTGAGAAATGAGGAATGACCGGAATGTGGGGATTTTGTGATTTATTCTTATTTGAGGGATTTGAGGGATTTGAAAGACTGAACATAATACACGAGTGTTTCAGCTTGCCTTATTCCTATGTTCCCAAGCGTCACAGTACGTGAGGATGAGGAATGAGGAATGACCGGAATGTGGGGATTTTGTGATTTATTCTTATTTAAGGGATTCGAAAGACTGAACATAATACACGAGTGTTTCAGCTTGCCTTGTTCCTAAGTTCCCAAGTGTCACAGTAATAGTAGTGACGGTGTCTTGCTCAACGCCGGGATCATCGGTTTTGCCCATCTCCCTTGTACAACCTCACGGGTATGGAAATTTCTAAGCTCTAGGTTCGCGTAAGTTAAATGCAAATTAGAACATGCGTCGTGAGAAAGCAATTCAAGGTCGTCATAAAGCCCAGTGTCACTGGAGAAAGTATCACACCTATGAAACGTAGTAACACGAGCTAAGGTATTAATATGTCGATCTGATGACAAGGTTTGGAGCCCGGGTCCCTAGGACCTCAGTGATCATCTCCAGTTTCTTTTTGGGGAAGCCCAGGTGCTTTACCTTGACACAATCCTGATGCGATGAGAGAAAGTTAGGGCTGGCTGGATATTATTTTCTCCGGGATGACAGAATAAGATTGATAACAGGTCACGTGGGTGCCCCTGGTTCCAAATGAACTGTGATTAGTTCAACGTAGTTCAACCCATAGTTCCGAAAGTTTGGAACCCGTGATGGCAAAATATTCATGTTGCCACCCGTGGGGAATTTTTTCTTTGTGTACCATTCACATACTGTAGACCCGATCCTAGGTAGCTACATACAGTAATGTTGAGAGGAATAAGAGATTCAATTTGAAGAGCATATTCACATCCCAGCTAAAGGCTTGGACATGTCCTCTTGTATCACTTTATCGGTACAGACTACCGTCATCTCCAAGAATGCCATTCCCATGACTAAGCAGCGGCCTCCGCGTCCTTCTCCACTCCTCGACTCCCCTTCTCTCAACCTGGCTTGATTTCCCTCTTTTCATATTGGGGTATAAGATGCAGCCTCATTAATGAATCTTGTTTCTGTGCTTGCCTTGCCATTCTTTTGGGTGGATCTCCCTCGTTGAAGTCTGGTGTGCTAACCCAGGCTGTTGTATCTCCAACCTGTCATTCCCAGGTCTCTCTGAACGCCCCCGCCACCGCTTTCTTGTTCACCTTTCCCTTCGAGTCCAACCCTCCCACTGAGATTCCTATCTCTGGTGTTTTGGGAGGCATTATCTGATTTTCAACCTTTCCGCCCCTCCGCCATGACGCAGCTCTTTGCGTCTAGTCCCTCGGCAATGAACGAAAAGCGCGGGAATTTCTCCGGTCTTTCCCTTCCTACCCGTAAACATTCCAACGAGTCAGGCCATTTGCAATCCAGAATCAAGAGCTTTTTCCGGATCAATAGCTCAAGCAGCCACGCTTCCTCCCACACCAGCAGCCAGTCTGGCCATGACCGTGAGCGGGAGAAGGAGACCCAAGGGGCTCCCGCCAAGAACGAAAAGGCCAGCGCTTTCCGACAATCTCGCTTCCTGCCAGCTATCGGTCGCAACCGCTCGACAACCTGCGCCAGTGAAGGAAATGCTTTGGATGATGGCGTATCGCCCACTGCCACCGCGAATCCGTATTTCGCCCACCAGGGCCAACCGGCATTGAGACACCGGAACGATGGATCCGTGCCCTCGTCCCCACCCGACACCCCCGAGTTGCAGGTCACTGGGGTATCCGCTGTGGAGCAGGCGACCACGGCGAATAAGGAGGAACTTGCGCGCAAGTTGCGTCGTGTTGCGTCCGCTCCCAATGCGCAAGGTTTGTTTAACAGTGGTCAGGGCGATGACCGACCTCAGACCGCCGAGATGGGTAAAGAGCCCCTTATCGAGTCGACGGTTGCCAACATTGATGCCCCTACTGCCCTTGCGGTGCCCACTATCAATGGAGATGGCTTCCGTCGCACCTACAGCTCGAATTCGATCAAGGTCCGTAACGTGGAGGTGGGCCCCGCCAGTTTTGATAAGATCAAATTGATTGGCAAGGGTGATGTGGGGAAGGTTTACTTGGTCCGTGAGAAAAAGTCAAGCCGTCTCTATGCGATGAAGGGTAAGTTATATATCGGCATGTTCTGCAAGTGGTCCATATATTGACGGTCAATCTAGTCCTGAGTAAGAAGGAAATGATTAAGCGCAACAAGATTAAGCGTGCCTTGGCTGAACAAGAAATTTTGGCCACCAGCAACCATCCCTTCATTGTGACACTATACCACTCCTTCCAGTCCGAAGATTATCTGTATCTCTGCATGGAGTACTGCAGCGGTGGAGAGTTCTTCCGAACTCTACAAACCCGGCCCGGCAAGTGCATCTCCGAGGATGCTGCCCGATTTTATGCTGCGGAGGTCACTGCTGCTTTGGAGTATTTGCATTTGATGGGCTTCATCTACCGAGATCTCAAGCCGGAGAACATTCTTCTACATCAATCTGGCCATATCATGCTTTCAGACTTCGATTTATCTAAACAATCAGGGCCCGGTGGTGCTCCCACTATGATCCCTGGTCGCAGTGGGGGTACCTCCTCGGCTGCATTGCCGACTATTGACACGAAGTCGTGTATTGCTGACTTCCGCACAAATTCCTTCGTCGGCACGGAGGAATACATTGCGCCAGAGGTAATCAAGGGGTGCGGTCACACCAGTGCCGTTGATTGGTGGACACTAGGCATCTTGATTTATGAGATGCTGTATGGGACCACGCCGTTCAAGGGCAAGAACCGGAATGCGACATTTGCCAGCATCTTGCGGGACGATGTACCTTTCCCCGAGCACTCGGGTTCTCAGCCAACTTCCAATCTGTGCAAGTCTTTGATCCGCAAGCTACTGATTAAGGATGAAACCAAGCGTCTTGGCGCTCGTGCTGGTGCATCTGATGTCAAGACCCACCCCTTCTTTCGCACGACTCAGTGGGCACTTATTCGTCACATGAAGCCACCCATGATCCCGCACCAGGGCCGTGCTGGTACGGATACCATCAACTTCCGCAATGTCAAGGAGAGTGCCAGCGTGGACATCGGCGGTACACAGGACAGCTCGAAGATGAAGGGTGTGCCGATGGACTCTGGCCTCGCGACTCCCAATGGCGAGTTGAATGATCCTTTCGAGGAATTCAACAGCGTCACCCTTCACCATGAGGGGGACCACTGATTTCGCTCTGTTGAGCCAAGCCCACAATGTATCTTCTTTTTGTTTTCCATGCTTTTCACCTTTCTCTTGACCAATGCGGGGGCAGCCACCTGGGCATCGGCTTGCTGACGACCATGATGCATTCACGACCGCATTCAAATTGTTTATTTTCTGTTTTTTTTTTCTGCTTTTTTCTTCCCCCTTCTGCAAAACTTCAGGTGTACGGAGTGTTTCGGGGCCTTCTGAGTTGGTATCTATTGCCTTTGTGATTCCTTGCTTTTTTCTTCTTTTTTTTGGCCGTGTTGCACCACCCATCTTCGCATTTTCAATGATCGTCGAAGGCCTTGAACTACTCTCGATTACTTGTTCGCGCAGAGCTTGCACCTGAATCACCATTCCTTGCGCCGCGGTATTTGCTGCGTGTTTGCTGAAGACTGCGGCATATATCACTCTACTTTCTCTACGATGCAGCGGACGGCGTTATGGTTCTTATCTTTGATACTCGTGACTGTTTGGATCTGATGTTATCTTACTCTATTGCGTTCTCCCGGCCTTTTTTCGTCTGATTCGTACTATTGTGCGCTTTTGGCCATCAACGAAAGCTCGTCTTCATCTTGGCCTTTTCATCTGTTCTATCTAGGAATGGAGCCACTACATCCCAGGATTAGTGCCTTCGCAACATCCAAAAATACAGAATTTACGTGATCTGCGCGAAATCCTTTTCTGTCGAGCATTTACACCTAGAAAGAGCATTTCCTTGGGGTTATTGTTCGGCGATCTCAAGATGTTAAAAGTTAAATGTACGGTGAATGAAACATTCATAGTCACACGGTTCAGATACAGGCTCACTGCCAACAAGGTTGAGTCTTTTTGAAAACTGACAAATCAAGGACGAGAAAACCACAAGGCGCTTTACCTATTTCTGTAAATTCTAGGTGCACATATTCACTCATTTTGATTTGACACTAGGGATTTTGCAGATTGACCAGGCTCCGTACTGTAGAGTTGGAGTAGAAGCTCCGCCCGAGCCAAATCCACGGGATCATAACAACTCCACAATCCAGTCCCTCTTTTCGTCCTCCAGTTCATCCAGCACAAACAAATTCAAATATCACACCATGTCAGCCTTCGCATCCCATGACGATCAAGATACCCAAGACTACTCCTATGTCTCTCCGGACCACGCAACTACGACCCCTCCCATGCCCCAAGACATGATCTCCGACCCAGATGCTTCGCACGGCCGCAATCGCTCCGCAAACCCGCTGCTGAAAAATGACAACCCACATGTATCAGAACTAGAGCAGGAAGTGCTGGACGAGTACTCCCGTCTACTCCGGAACGTTAACCAGGTGAGTTGAGCCTAGTTGACTGTCGCGCCCAAAAAGAAACAATCCCGCACCGGATCATTTGTTTTGCCCTGAACAACAACTCCATCGGCCCAATCATACAAGTCCTTTCTATAAACGACTAGACCTGTTAGGCGCCATTCGATCAGATCTTGGACCATGACTAACAATCGCTGCTCCCCTAGCTCTCCGATAAAGTCTCCGATCTCGCGGGCTCCCCCTGCCTCAATGACACTTGACGGCCTCCGTCTGCTAGAGCGCAAAACCGCGACCGTGTGCACTCTGCTCAAGGCTAGTGTCTACAGTATTGTCTTGCAGCAGCAGATCTGGAACGAGGATCAAAAGCAGCAGCAGCAGAGCGAGGAGGCACAATATGGGGATCAGACATACACTGGTGGTGGGTATGAGGGCGAGGGAGACATGACATTCCAGTGATTTCAGTCTTATTCCAGGGCTGCTTTTACGATTGATGCTATGTGGTTTTGTTTCTGCGCTTATATACCCGGGTCTTTTTGTTTACTGGCGTCACCTAGACTGGGAAGTAACCCATACATCGGGATGTGGGTGTTATGTACCTACTTGTACATTCTTTTGAAGAACATTCAATCAAATAACCAGGACATAGAATAAATTACGTTTCATAGGTACTCCAGTGCCATTAATAAGTGGGCCTAGATAGATACTCGCTGTTGGTGGGAATGACGGCTGGATCCTTCCAAGGTTGATCTACGTACAATATATATCGTTCAACTTGCCAGGCCACAGTGATGTGCATGATGTAAATGGGATTGCTCCCTTGAAAGTGCTACAAACTTTTGGGAGCCCTCGAAAAGCCAGCAGAAGCAATTTGCAAGCTTTGTTCATTGGCAACCTTGATACGAATAATGGACGGTTGACCTGCCTAGTAGTTGGGTTTGGATACTCGAAATCAAAGCTTATGAATAGGCTTTGATCCAAAGGACCGTTCCAACCGCAGATCATACCAGCCGAGCCTACATTATATCTATCTGGTTCCGCTAGAGGAAAAAGACGCCGAGATACATGTAGGTAGTGAATATATTCTTTCTTTTTAAAGAACAAACTGGTACAGGTACAAGTACATGCGATCGGAAACACGCGGAGAAGAGAAATGAGAACACATTATATACACGGGAATTTCCCTAGACCTTGCCGGCGTAGTACACCTTGCGAACATCGACAATCTTGCGGCCACGAGCCCGAGCAATCTCCTCCGGGTTGCGCTGGCCCATGAGCGCCTCGTACGCAGCCTTCACGGTGTTCATCTTGTTTCTCGAGCGGGAAACTCGAGCGGCCAGATCATGGATACCGGCGGCACGGCACATTTCATAAATCAGGTATTGGACGCGGAGACCGAAGCCTGGCACAGTTGTTAGTGGACCTGGATATCAATTTCATCACATCACTAAACATACCTGGGGGACGGTGCATCAATTGCAACTCAACAGCGCCGACCTTGCCCTTGACATCACCAAAGATGGTACGGTTCTCATACCGAGGAATCGGTTGCATGTTGCGAATGGCACGGTACTGCGACTGGATCTTCGCATCCGCAGCTTCTTCGGACTTGGCCTCACCGATACCCAACAAACCGTTGCCATTACCAGCAATGGACAGACGGTAAGCGCGGCGCACCTTACCGAGACGGGTCTGGTTTACGACGCTGTGGGAGACAAGGGTCTTGGTCCTGAGTTCGTTGACCTGGCGGTTGGTGTATCCGGTAGCCAGGAGAAGGCTCTTCAGAGCATCAGTCAGCTCCTCAGCCACCAGGGAGCGCTCCTTCTCGCCTCTTTCAGCGGCAGTCTTCTTCTCTTCCACACGGGGATCGTCAATGGTCTCACCAGGCCCGAAGAGGTCCGGAACCAGTGCGCTGTGCGGGTTCAGCTCGTTCTCCTCCTTGCCATGGGTCAATCGCAGCGATTCAGCGAACCGCACAAAATCAGCACCGGTAGCATCCTTAGGCAACTCGGCGAAGAAGCGGCCAAAGTCCTCCACAAAATCATCCTCGCTCTTCAGCTTGAAGTCGTAGTCCGAGTTCGACTGGGGGGCCCGGGTGTTGCGGTCGATGCCGGGCTCGATCACAGAAAAGTCGTCCAGGTAGTTAAACTTCAGCGGGTCGTTACGCGGGCGGAACTGTTCGGCCATGTCCTTGGGATCAATGGCGGCTTCACCGGCCTCGATGGCCTTCATCTGGGCCTCTGAGTATTCCTCTCCCAACCGGGCCTTTTGCTCCGCCGTGTAAGGCTTGTAGTCTTTAGGCTTCGGGCCAGAATGGGAGCCATTGGCACTTTGGTCCTCCGAAGCCTTAATGTTGGGGAATTTGGGTTTCCGATTCGACAGAATTGCAGGGGTCGGGTGGAATTGGCGACGAGGCACTCGCGTGCTTGGGGTGGCTACACGGGAGAAGCTGCATAGCAGACATCTTGATGGCCGTGCAAGACTCATTGTGGAAGATGCAAATGCTAGCCAGCTATACGCTAGCTACCACAGAAACAGAAACAGAAAAAAACGCCGGCGACGATGGATAGAACACAATTGCGGACGGGGCAGTTTGGAGTGATTCGGGATGGAATTTCTTGCTCGGCGGGCGGTCAGGGAACAACCAATTAGCAGCCCTGTAGATGCGTTTCTAATAAATTTCCAGAATTTCGAGCCTTCAGTTCTCCGTGACTTTTTTTTTTTTGGTTGAAGTCAAGGTAACTTTGTCTTTTGTATATGTTTCTATTGCGGCCATTTTTCTGGCGACAGACCAATTCTAGTCTCCTCTCGACCCGTTCACTTATTCGAGCATCTATCGTGTCCAATTCCTCCGTCCATCGCCACCTAGCCAATGCGCCAGTCCCCGCAGCAATAATGTCGGCCCCTCCTAAGAAACATTTCAGTGGCAAGAGGCAGAAGAAGGTCAAGAATGACCGTACTAAGGCCAATGGCTTTGATGAAGTCTTGCAGGCCGATATTGATCAACTGATCAAGAAGAACCGTCCCGAACCCGAACAAGACCAAACCAACGGCGAAAAGAGCGCTCCAGTCCCTCCACCTTCCCTCCCAGAGCCATTCACCGAGATTGAAGTGACAGTATCCGAAATCTCCTCGACTGGTGATGGTCTGGCGCTATCTGAGAACAAAGACCATGTATTCTTGGTACCATTCACCGTGCCGGGAGACAAAGTCCGAGTTAAAGTGATTCGGCACTTCCCAGCTTTCTCCTATACCATGACCGATTTTCTCAGCGTCACTGAAGCAGGACCGAAGCGTGACGATGCGCTTATTGGCTGCAAGTATTTCTCCAAGTGCTCTGGTTGCCAGTTGCAGATGATGTCTTATGAGGACCAGCTGGCCCACAAACGTCGCATCGTGGAGAAAGCCTACGCCAACTTCTCCGGGCTGATCCCAGAACTTGTTCCTGCTATTGGAGAGACATTCCCATCTCCATTGACATATGGATATCGGACAAAGCTTACCCCGCATTTTGCGCAAGGCGGTGCGAAGGGCAAGAACGCAGACGGATCGGAGAAAGAGGTCAATGTGCCACCCATCGGCTTTACCTACAAGAACCGCAGGGCGGATATGGATATTGAGGACTGCCCCTTGGGAACAGACATTGTGCGCCGTGGCCTCAAGAGCGAGAGGAAGCGAGTCGCCGAAAACATTCGTTCTTACAAGAAGGGTGCAACGCTGCTTATGCGCGAATCAACCTACCGAATCCCCAAAGAAGCCCCGGCAGCTGATTCCGAATCCGAAACCAAGGAAACCAAGGAATCACCGTCATGGTTAATGCCAACCCCAGGCGCAGATACCGGCGATGTGATCCGCGTCGAGCGTGAAAACTACATTGAGGAGAAGCGATGCATTAACGATAATAATGCCACATCTGTCGAGTATGTCGACGACTATGCCTTCAGCAACAAGGCCGGAGGTTTTTTCCAGAACAACAACTCCATTCTCTCGGGCTTCACCGAGTTCATCCGCTCCCAAGCTATCCCCTCTGGCAACGACCAAGATCCTCGTCCTATCAAATACCTCCTCGATGCCTACTCGGGTTCGGGTCTGTTCACCATCACTCTGTCCCCGATTTTCAAGTCTAGTCTCGGTGTTGATGTCGCCGGTGACTCAATCATGTGTGCCCGTGACAACGCACGCGCAAACAACCTGCCCAGCACCGGCTTCGCCGCAGCAGACGCAGCCGTCTTGTTCAAGGACGTCCCATACCCTGCCGACCAGACTTTGCTGGTCATCGATCCACCTCGCAAGGGCTGTTCAGAAGACTTTTTGCAACAGCTTCTCTCTTACAAGCCTCGCCGTGTTGTCTACGTGAGCTGCAACGTCCACACTCAGGCTCGCGATGTTGCGGTCATGGTGCAGGGAAATGAGAAGCAAAATGTCCGATATGAGATTGAGAGCATTCGTGGCTTTGATTTCTTCCCTCAGACGGGCCATGTTGAGGGTGTGGCTATCTTGAACAGAACCGAGTTTCCCCAGAAGGAAGAATCAGCATGAGTTGGTGTTGGAAGTGGAATCTTTAAATAATACGCTGTAATTCAATTGGTGTGATTCTGGGTATCGAATTAGCTGGATATACGTTTGAAATACTCGCATACACTTGACGGCGTTCATGTGGAATGACATTGGGATTACTAAAAAGAAGGGAAATACTAAGTTTACACTACAAATGCTATTCATAAACCATATCACTACCCGACAGAAATCCTTATATGTAAACCGCTGGACTATCTATACAGATAGCAATATCCTAGGTATTATCAGTACGAAGACAAGGAATGAAAGATAAGTTTTGTATTTTTTTTTTCATACGCTTCTGAATAGCTATCAAAGTAAAGAAAAGACCACGACCAAATCATCCTCTATCTTAGATACTCGGCAACCAGATTTAGCATGCTGAGGGCCCAGCGCCATGCCCGCTTTGGATCAAAAGAGGAGAGGTGGAGGGATAAAGAGTAAAACATCACGTAGAGCGCACAAGGCATGAGGGAGAACTAAGGACTATGAACAAAGCGCGTCCAGCTACACCGGCTGACAGGGGACATGATAAAGAAAGAGGGAGCTTCCACAATCTAGGAACTTCCCGGCCCACCAAGCAGAGCGAATCTCCGCACGATACTGGGACCAATCTCATCGTACTCGGCCTTTGTGTGGCAGTAGCTCCGGAACTCAGGCGTCTGACCCAGCAAACTACCTCCGAACCAGGGACCGTGTCGCTGGCGCTTGTGTGTGACGACTGCAACATCAAGACCACCCGAGCGGGCACCACCGCTGCGTGCCTCGGATGCGCGAATACGGGCATCGACCAGGTGACGGATATCACGCTGTAGACGACGACCAAAATCCTTGTACAAGGTGGAACCACCAGACAAGACAATATTCTTATAGAGACCCCTTCGGACATCAATGGGTGAAGACTGGATAACACCATCAACAACGTTGGGAAGCGGGGTCAGGAAGTCGGAAGAGTAGATTTCGGGGTTGAAGAAGATCTCCGGGGCAAGGAAGCGCTCATAGCCAACATCAATGGAAACGCTGCGGCCGTTAGGCGAAGTGACAGTGTGTTTCAAGAGGCGGTCGGGCTCGCGGTCGTAGCGCGCAAACTCCTTAACGATGTCCGGGCTCACATAGCAGTACTCCTCCTTCACCTTCTCGGCTGTCTTCAAGCTGCTGTCTGGCTCACCACGGTCACGCAGCAAGCTCTGCACGAAGTATGTAATGTCTCGACCGGCGATGGGGATGCTCTTGATCGAAGATCCGATGACGTAGCCCTCGGCCACAGGAATAACGTGGGTAACACCATCACCAGAATCAATGACAGTTCCGGTCAGGGATCGGTCGGTCACCTTAGAAGAGGTCCATGAGGCAGCGAGAGCGAGCACGGCTTGGACGGCGATGTAGAGACCGGCGCAGTTGAATGACTCGAACATGATTTCGGCTGTGTTCTCACGGTTCTCGGGAGGATTCAGAGGCTATAATTACAATTTGTTGTTTAGTTCCGTACTCCGCATTGACGTGGGCCTGTGGGGGAAAAGACGGCGCGAGAATTGGACTTACAGGTTCAGTCAGAAGGAAGTAGTGGTCTTCGGGCTCGACTCGAAGGTACTTGAAGATTGAGTTCGACCAGAAGCGCTCCATGTGGTCCCAGTTCTCGATCTGTCCATGGCGAATGGGGTAGTTCACACCATACCCAGGACCATTGCCAGCAGCTAGAGCCTCATCACCAATGAAGAAATCCAGGTCCTCCGTTCCACGCTTTGCAGAGAGGTGAGAGCTAGCTCCACCGCCGCTGCTGAGGAAAGATGGCTTATTGCCAACGGGGGGCCGCGCCCCCGAGCTTCCAGCGCTCCCGGCACCGGCCTTGGTTGCAATTGCTGTAGGGAAGACAAAAGAGGGCGCATCGTTACCGGCAAATCCTGCAACGAAAGAAAAGCATTGTTAGCCAAGGCGAATCTTCATTTCCTCCTTTATATCTGGTCGCCTAGAATCTAGCACTTACCAAGCTTGGAGTAACCGGTACCGCTGAGGGAAAGGAGGCTGGGTCAGCATTGATAGGTCAATTCCTGGGCAGGAATAGGGCTTACTTGTCCATGACAACGGCTGGTGTTTGAGAGGCCATGGCGGATAAGAGAGATCAAGGCCCGCGCTTAAGTCCGCCGAGTAGAATGGGGGGGATTGATGAAGTCAACCGTGGCGGAGCTCAGGCAGACAAGGCGGGGAGGCATGCTGACATAATTGGGGGTCACGTCAACATCATGTGCCCGGCTATTTTTGATTTTCCAGATTTAAGATCTATTTATCATGCATCTGATCATGTTTTAATTGTGCAATCTCCAAGGCTGGACGTTCCAAACTGATATCCTGGAGGCAATACACTACGGCAGGCACCACGCCAGTACTTTCAACTCTCTATATGAACATGGAATGAAAGGAAAGAAGCAATGGGTGTTAGATATCAAACCAGGCAAGTGCAGAGCGGGTCTGCATGAACATATAAACGTAGTTGAAACCTCCGTTCTCAAGAGACCCTATCGCCAGGGAGATCTCATATCGTTTATCCTTTCTTATTTATGCTGATGCCCTTGGAGTGAATTCCTCCATTATTCTTACTGCTTCCTATGATCAGTTCTGACTGTGGAATTCCTTCACTTTTCCCGTGGACTTACAAAGCACGCAGCTTGTCAGTTCTGGTTGCCGCGGTGCTGAAGCTTGACAAACGCTTTCCACGCATCTAGATAGCAGGCCTGTGGAAAGTTCATTCTTCTTCATACCAAGCTTCCCCGGTAACCTGCTTGCTTTGCGGAGACGCTGTACTGCCTATCCAAGACCTTTCAGGATCCACGTCACTGCATAACAACCCAATATCCAGTGTTGTTTACCGGTTGCACTCATCCTGGTACTAGAAACTGCATACCCCGAGTCTCCGGGCTCAAAGTACCACGTTTTTAGTCCCCATCCGAGTCAGAACGACCGAAGTCAACAATGGTGAAGTCTCAAGCCACCGACGAGCTGTGTGCGATCTTTGTCCACGCCGGAGCTGGGTATCACAGCCGCGAGAATGAGGTCAAGCACCTGAAGGTGTGCGAGCTGTAAGTTCTTCCTGATCTCCTCAAATTCGAAAAGCCGGGAATTTAACACGCTGCAAACAGCGCCGTTGAAGCAGGAATGGCTTTTCTTCGTCATGGAGGATCTGCAGTCAACGCCGTGGAGATGGCACTTATGGTCCTTGAGGATGCTCCGATTACCAATGCAGGGCTGGGTAGCAACCTGAATGAAAACGGCATCGTTGAGTGTGATGCCTCGATCGTCGATCATTTTGGTCGCAGCGGGGCCGTTGGTGCTGTGCCCAGTATGTCCCCTGCATGAGTTAGTGTATATCTCGCTGGTGCTAATAATGTGAATAGATATCAAGAATCCGATTCAACTTGCCCGTCGCATCTACGAGAAAGCATGCAAGTCGCCTGGCATGTCGCGAGTTCCTCCAAACCTGCTCTGTGGTGAAGGTGCTACAAACTTCGCATGGAACAACAATGTAGTTGTGGTTCCCAATGATGTGTTGGTTTCGCCCCTCGCAGCCCAGCGCTTTAGGAACTGGTCCCATGAAATTGCTGAATGGGAACATGAGAATCCAAAAAATGAGACTGAAATTCGGGCGGCGTACCTCCGTCGGGCGCAGCCTCTCACCCCCGCTGACTTGCCGAGTGTGCAGAAGCACATGGATGCTGCTCGTCAAATCGGTGAAATTCAGGATAGACCCTTCCGAGTCATGGATGATGAGGCTTCCGGTGGACCTGAATCAAAGATTCAATCAGACGGAACCCCATCAGCCGATGAAGATAATGGCTCGGCGGAGTCTCCCAGTGGTGTGCCCCTTCCAGACAGCGATTCGCACAACGCCAACTCTCGTTATGACAAAGAAGACCTCATTACGGACACCGTTGGGGCAATCGCCATTGACAAGTTTGGCAACATCGCCGCAGGTTCTTCTTCTGGAGGCATTGGGATGAAGCACCCTGGCCGTATTGGTCCAGCGGCCTTGATCGGCGTAGGCACGCACGTTATTCCTGTCGATCCGACTGACGAAACCAAGTCCACAGTCGCTGTTGTGGCCTCTGGCACTGGAGAGCACATCGCCTCCACCTTCGCAGCCAGTACATGTGCAACCCGGGTTTATTACAGCCACAAAAAGGCTCGAGAGGGTCTTTTCGACCAGGTGAACGAAGAAGAGGCCATTGCTGCCATGATTCAAAATGAATTCACTGGTGTGTATAATTGTTTCCGGTTAGAATTTCGGGATGCTAATGGTATTCAGGTCACCCAGCTGTTGTAAACAGTGACATCGATGCTTCCCTTGGACTCATGGTTGTCAAGAAGACCATAGAGGGCATTGCTCTCTTCTTCGCTCACAACACCGAGTCTTTCGTAAGCTTTCATCATTTTTAATGTAAACACATATTTGCTAATCACCTCTCACAGGCCATTGGTTCCCTCTCGAGCAGACAAGAGAAGGCCCATTGTGTGATGTCACGAAACCCAAACCATGCACCCGTTGCTCAGGGAGGGTTGATGTTTCGACCCAGGAAGTGAGTGCCACAACATCGATTCAATCGATTGCAGTGGCTGAAGCTCATCAGCATCTCCAATGGTCCGAAAATAAGAAGCCAACAATCTCAGCACCGCCCGTACGTGCCTCACAACAGACGAATGATGTCTCGGCCTTGATCCTCAAGATCTGTGACCATTTGTGCTCCGCAAGAGCCCCACCCTTGTCCGTGCTTTAGATTGCGAGTTGCTTTTGATTCCCCCAGCGTTTTTCTTGATTTGCGTCGCACTCATTTCCTTTCTGCGTTATCTTTATGTCTGCCATTGCTTCTCAGCGTATCATTCTAGTCTTACTTTCAACGCTGTTGACTGTATCAATCTTATCAGGTAAAAGTGTGTGCTTCCTTGGTCCTTCGGAGGTGCTACAAATAGCTCCACACCAGTTGTTTCCCAGTCCTGTTCGCGTGGCGTTTTGTCTGTACAAACCTCCCCCAAAATAGAATTTTGATACCAGCAAGTTTAAATTTGACCACGATCTGATTATTGTTTTATGTAAACGTAAGAAATCTTAAGGACCAGGCGTAGGAGTAGACATAGGCGTCCCAGCCGCCGAAGCCCCATTAACCCGCTTCTTCTTTTTCTTCTTTCTCGGTACAAGCGCCGGTTTCAGACCAAAATCACCAGCATCCAATGCCGATCCACAAGTCAAACAAGTATTATCCGGTGGAGGCTCACAGAATATGCTCAGACAAATGGAACATACGAACCCTATATCCACGACTCGACGATGACAGAAACAGGCAGCACGGAAATCCACATCCACCCTCGTTGGGAGCACAAGATGTCGACGAGAACGTTGGTCTGGCAGGAATGCCATCATCAAATATTGGAGCAGTCCACGCGGCTCTGACAAGGCCATGTACACGCCCTTAGTGGCGTCGCAGGCCTGCTGCAGGAACACCGCATCACCACTGAGCTTGCATACGTCGATGGGGATATGAAGGCGCTGGCACGCGAAGATACTATTCATCACGGGAATGTACTGGTGCGCTGAGTCGCCGGATCCACTAACAGATACAATCAGGATGCGGCTCTGTAGCCGCTCGTCGTCGTCGGCGGAGTATTTGTTCGACGTTGTTCCCTGGCCACCACCTCCATTTCCTTCTGTCGGATCATCTTGTTCTGCACCGCCATGTTCCTCTGCCCAGGCAATTGTTCGCCGGTTGATATTGCTGAGAGCTAAAGTCAGCGCGCCGGCTATCATGGTCGACGTGTTGTCACGGATATCATCGCTGCTGGTCGAATCCAGAAGCGCTTTCAGGTTGCTGTTGACCTGCTCTTCAACTAAACGGAAGGGTCGGTATTTATTTGTTTGAGCTGCGGGTGCACCGTTGGTAACGTTCATCGCGACGTCACCGTCGCGGTCTGCAGACTCGCGCATGTCGCTTGGGACTGGGTAGAGCCATGCTGCTTTTTGGCTGTGTGATGCGACGACGGCAACTTCGTTTGCGTAGTTGCAGGCTAGATGGGCATTGATAAGCACGAGGATGTTTGCGACGGCTTTAGAGAGTGGGAGTGAGTTTTCGAGGGCTGCCCAGGCGTGAGGATTTGTGTCGAGGATGATGGTGAGAAGAGACGGAGCAGGATCTGCAGATTCATGGTGTCAGGGATAATTTGCGCAACGAAAGTGAGTGCTTCGACGGCTGTTCTTCTTCTGAAGCTAGGGAGCAGTTGGGACAAACCTGTGGCTCCTAGGTCGTAATGCTCGGACGCATCGACGGAATTCATGGTGATGGAGCTGATTAGTGAGGATGGAAGTTCATGATGGGATTATAGGGGCTGGGAATAGACTCGATGGGAGCCTCAGCGTTGTCGAGCGCAGTTTGAAAGTTTAGTCAAAGGCTCCAGTGCTCTAGTATGAAAATGATTCACTTGGAGAACAAAGAGTGAAGCTGATAACGGTCACGAGGCGATAACCGGGTTTCGGAGCAGCGGCGATTGGTTGCACCGCATACTTCTGCAAGGAACCAAGAACCTATGCCCATTGATTCTATTTATCTTTTCGATCTCTATATCGGCAGGATCCTTTTATGCTTAATAGTCTTGACAGTATTGAGTTAGTCTTCGTGGGATGATGACATCAGCACGCTTGCCCATAATTCTTGGCAATATATACATTTTTTAATCCCATCAGTTCAATAGATCAAACTAGTTGATATCGGACATATGCTCCATGACATACCCTGTACTGCATTCTACCGTTAAATAAGGATGGTCGCGAGGGTTGTGAGAATGGCCTGATTTTGGTTCAAGTGGAAGACAGTGTGACGAATCCTAAAAAGGAAATTGCCGAGGTTCACACCTGGCTTTTTAAGGTTAAAGCTTTTTTTAGAGAGGCGCAACCACGATCTACCGTGTTATCTCTGGAAATCATCGGAGGGTTAGTTACACCGATTCCTCCTATAAATATTCTGCATGTTGCATTGGACTTGGACTCAGTGAAACTTCAAGCAACCGTCGACTCCTTTCAAGATGGCGTCTTTTGCTACGGCCTTCGTGAACCCCTATAATTACATCGGTGGCGTTTGCTTTAATCCTGACAAGGACATACTGGATTTAACTGGAAAAGTTGTACTAGTTACTGGTGGTATGTTCGGGCCTAAACCCTCCGATTCCCTCGATGATTTCTTTCTAGAAAAGTACCGATGCCTAACGAATCCATAGGAAATGCTGGTTTGGGCAAGGAGACCGTTCTCCAACTAGCCAAACATAACCCGGAGAAGATTTTCCTCGGTGCTCGCACAGAAATCAAAGCTACAGATGCTATCAGGGAAATCAAATCGTCTGTGTCGAATGATGTCGAGATTACTTGGATTCCATTGGACTTGACATCCACCGATTCAATCCGAAAAGCCGCCGAGTCTTTCATTGCTCAATCCCAACGACTGGATATCTTAATCCTTAATGCAGGCGTCATGTCCCTGCCCCCAGGCGAGACAGACCTAGGCCATGAGATTCAACTTGGAACAAACCACACCGGTCACTTCCTCTTGACCAAGCTTCTGCTTCCAACACTCCTGAAAACAGCAGAGGAGCCCCACTCCGACGTCCGCGTTGTGTCTCTTTCTTCGGTAGGACACAACCTCGCCCCAAGCTTTAGTACAATGCTCGACCAGGAAAAGCTCAAGAAGGTCAATACCAATGCTCGGTATGGAGCATCGAAAGCTGCCAACATCCTTTTTGCTGCTGAACTCAGCCGGCGACATCCATCCATCACCTCTGTCTCGGTACATCCAGGAGTTATTCTGACGGATCTGTATTCGTCAATTGGCTCACGTACGCCTCTATTCTCGTTAGGCTCCAAGACATTGCAACTTATGGGGTCGACGGTTCAGCAGGGAGCATACAATTCGCTGTGGGCGGCTGCGGGGGCAAAGAAGAAGGACCTTGTAAATGGTGGCTATTATGTCCCCGTTGGAAACCTGAAGCGCGATAATAAATTTGCACGTAGTGTTGATATGGGAAGACAATTATGGGAATGGACGGAGGCTGAGTTGAGGAAAGCAAACCTGTAAAGTCGGGATGAGGGCCGATTTGAATATTTTCAAAATACACGGAATGTACGCTTTGGATATCAATGGATTGTTTTAATTTACTGCATAGTTTGAATGACCTGCACTCACTATCTACTGCCTGCATATCTCCGTTCTCCAGGAAAATTTCCCCCGGTACCTTGTTAGCACATATACATAGTCGAATAGTCAAATGGACAACCCAGCAAGCCTTTCAAGTTTTCAAGGTTGGAATTTGCAGGACTAGAATATTAATTTCTGGATAGGAGTTCACGATAATCATACATAGCCAGCTGGGCAAGCTCACGAGCTGCTGTTGGCAACAACCCGAATTACCAATTTTCCAAGACCCCCCTTTCCATCGTAAACAACTTGACAGGCCTTTTGCACCGCTTGTATGTCGCGAAGCTCAACCATTGTGCCCACGACTGTTCTAAGCTTCCCATCTTCAATGTATCCCCTAAGCTCATCCAGATCCTTACCGCTCGACTCCAAAATCATATACTCATACTCCACGCCGTAACGCCCGGCTCTGAATTTGCGAATGGAATCCATGGAATTCAACATAGGCCGGACATAAGATGGAATCGTAGGATTATGAGCCATTCTCATCAATGAAGAATTTTGTAGCACAGTTGCTGATGGCGTGGTAGAAACAGACACGATGCGGCTTACTTTCGGCTTCATGAGACAGAGATATTCCATCGCAAGACCAACTGTATCGAAAAGGAAGTCCACTGAGCCTTTCTCGATGGCATCCCTTGGGTCGGTTTTGGTGTAATCGATAACTTGTCATTTGTTAATACTTGAAGGCTCAAAGAAAGGTGAATTTTTCTTACTATAATCGACAGTTCCTTCGCCTAGAAGCTCTTTCACCTTGGGAATCTTCGCTGTTGAGACTGAGCAAATTACTTTGCCAGCGTGAAAGACGTGCTTGGCCAGTTGACACGCAAATAGACCAGTACCGCTCACTAAAAATTTGTCAGCCAGGTATCCTTAACTCAACAGTTGGTAGTTATGAAAGAAACACATACAGCCAGCAGGTACAAAAACAGTCTTCCCAGCAAGGTCGCCGTGCTTCCTAAGAGCTTGGAGCGCAGTCATCGCTGCCAGGGGGATTGAAGCTGCCTCTTCAAAGGACAGCGAAGGGGGCTTGAGACCAATCTGGTCCTCTGCACATGTCACATATTCGCTGCAAGAGCCTAGAATACTTCAGCATCTGTAGCAGTTTACTCCCTATGGCTTGATTCATACCTCGATTGATCTCTGGTAGTCTGACATAAACTGAGTCTCCAACTTTGAAACGGGTCACGCCCTGACCAATTTCTGTAACCACACCAGAAGCATCGTAGCCGATTTTAAAGGGAAAACTGCTTCTGGTAAGATTGCATTCACAACGGAGAAATTGGATAGAAAAGTGTACTCACGAGTCTTTGACGGCTTGCTTGAGTGCTCCACCGGCTCTTTTCACATCAATCGGATTGATGCTCGCGGCATGAACTTTGATGAGGACGTCTGTGTCAGTACTCAGCTTCGGGGTTGGCAATTCTGACAGCTGGTATCCTGATGGCTTTGAGTAGGATGGGATGTTAAGGGACAACATCGTTAAGGTTTAGATCAAAGTTTTCGCCAATGGGTGGTAAGCTTGACCTGATGAGCAAGTCGACGAATACCTGCTGATTGGTTAAGCTATCTAGAGGTAGGACGAAAATATGAGGCTTGGTTTTTATAGATAGAGGTTCAAGCTAAAACTATACGGAGTACGGAGTACAACGAATCCCGTCGGCACGAAGGTTCCTCCGTCACCGGAAAAAGTATGGACCGAGGTCGATACTTCAAACACCACTCTGATGTTCAAGGCGAAAGGTCTTGATGTTGGGATCTGGCTTTGTGTTCTGCAAATGGTGTATGATTAGGCGCAGAGGCAGAGCGATGCGCTAGGTAGTCACTGAGGGAAGTAAGATTCTTACATAAGCACACAGTATATTAACTAACCAACTAACTGCAAATGAACTAGGAGATGGTGATAGTTCACCAATTTGATTGGTGGGACTTTATAGGAAAATATGGGCCCCTTCCAAGATTCAACCAGCTAATGCGGAGTCGTTTCACCCCTTCTTTGAGCTATGAATGTTTCATCTGGACAGATCTCTCAGGGCCCCAACCCTTTAATGGCTTCTTTTCATTCTATAATAAAACTTGGACAAAGGCCAAAAAACGGCAAAAATAAAATAAAATACAATAAAAAACCTGAATCCATGGATTGTTATCTCCAAGGTTACCTGTGTCTAAAAGCCTCTAAGCCCAAAAGGTATAATGTTGGCGGATATGCGGATGTACGGTAGCCCCACGCGATAAAGAACCGTGGATATCGGGGTCTTTGGAAGCTTCAGACATGTTACTGTAGGTCGATCAATGTTTGAGCTCTACGCTTCATGCATCACTATGGGATGCTAAAGATCTTGGGTATTTTATCTCTCTGTTAGGCCAAATGCTAGATCCATGATAGCCACGATGGATGAAAGTTGATTTGGAGGCCATCGCAAGGACTTCCATAGCTATACGGAGTACTTCACACCCATGTAATTGGAGACATGTGAAGACCGTTTTTCGGTGGCTGTCAGTACTATTTTGGATTGAGAGTGCCTAGACATGATCTACGCATGTTGAGTATTCTCGGGCGCCTATTTGTCAAGCCAAGCCCTTGTCCTGTAGATAGTGTACCAATAGTCGCTCCACCTATCACGATGGGTGGATGGATACCTAGATCTACGCTGAATGCAGGAGACCAACGAGAAACTCAATGCTCGAATGAGAAGCAAATGAAAGTGTTCCACATACTTGGCGCTCACGGACGCGCCTTGCACCGCGTTGAGGTCATCCTGTTGAGAGGAAACCCTTCACCCTTTTCTTACCCTTGTAAGGGCTGAAGTATGTTTCAGTATTGTAGCCCGCCTATTTGACTGGTATCAGAACTCAATAATTCTTCTGTCGACTAAGCTGACTTGCAGTTTTATCAGCAACGTGTTGGGGCGGGGCGATGTGGTTGGTCTTATCGGACTCGATTGATAATGGCGATTGGGTGAGAGAAACGGCGGAACAATACAGTACTGTGAGAGTGCAGGTGAGGGGGAAGGACGCTATGTATACTTGGTATTACCATATTTCTAGGGCATCCCAGTCGCGCTATAGAGCTTCTACACTTTTGTTTTTTTCTGCTGAATTTCTCCTTTATCCTGATTACCCGCGACGTGGCATTGAAGACGATCAGATAAAAGGATCAAGTCCTGCCTCTCTCCGCCTTCTTTTCCACCCCCTCACCACCCTCCCGCTCTCCCGCTTTTCCGCACCTCCGAAAAAAAAAATAAAAGCGGTCGATTCCTTTCTTCTCGTGATCGACTTTCAGTTTTGATACCGGACCTTTTACATCTTGTTTTTGCAGCGCGCTGCTCCTCAGCGACCCTGCAATGGTTCAAGCAACGGGCGAAGAGCGCGCTGCACACCTGGCACGGGAGGCTGTTGAGCTGGTTGATGCTGGTCACCGCGAGGTATGTAATAATGCCCCGTACCTCCGATCGCGGTCACAAAACCGATAACTAGGAATTTGAGTCTGACGAATAAATACAGGCAGCATCACGGAACCTACGCGAAGCAGTCTCTATCGCCCCCGAAAACCCCGACGTGAAAGCAGCGTTCCTCAAAATTCAACAAGAGGAAGAAAATTGCCACCAACTACTGGAACTCTGCCGACGTTACGCAACCCACAAAGATGAGTCCGCCGGAAAGGAAGCCGCCGCTTATCTTCGCACAGATGGCTTGAAGCCCCCGGAGAATGTCGCACTGGAATCACTGAAGCTGCTGCTGGGGCAGCGGGCTTATGCTTTCTCGGAGATTCAAGACGATATTATCTCCGGACTGGTCCGACACAACACCAGTGTTCGCCAGTATTTTTCAAACGAGTTGCAGATTTCTGTGACGACCTTCTTCGATGAGATCTATGACCGAGGCGATGGAGCGGCGGTATGTCTTGACACCGTGGTGTTAGACCCGAGCGTGTGGCCCTCGGAGGAGACACGGTTGCACTGCGAGAGCGAACTATTCCAACTCTTCCTGGCGAAGCTAATGGAATCTGGCCACGATCTGGATGGTCGCTCGCTGAAGGGTATCGCGCGGCTGCTTGTAGTCGACGCCGACCGACTTCAACACTTGGTGGATGACGAGGAATTTGAGGTCATTTTGACCTCGCTCGATAATCGACTGCCACTTGAATTGCGCAGCCAGGCCACGCTGGCCACCGCGAAGTACCTGGAAGTTGCCAAGGACAAGGGCGAAAAGCAATTCTCAACCCTCATCGGAGCTATGTTAGCGAAGGGTCGTCTTGATGACTTCATTATTGCATTCTCCGCTGTTACTGCGGTTTTCCCCGTAGCTCCCACTGCTGCGGCTAATGTCTTCCTGTCGGAAGATTTCATGAAACTGCTTAGCCCATTGGCATCGCGGGATGCAAAGCGCAAGAAAGTGGAAATTGCCGTGCTGGACCTATTGAATGCAGCATGTATCAATCGTCCATGCCGTGAAGCAATTTCCAAGAACTTTTCCGAATGGCTATCGCACACCCTCACCAACGGTAGTGACGAGGGATCGGAATTGGCGGCTGTGGTTCTCGCGAAGATTCGAGCCTCAGAGACAACTCAGCCCTCTGCTGAAAATGGTAAGCCCCAGGTGGAAGATAGCGGGGTTTCTGATCTGGTTCAACGATTTAAGGGACTGATGTCTGAATCCAAGCCTGCGAACACTTCCCACGCCATTGAGGGCTTGGCTTACTCGTCCGTGAAGCCCTCGGTCAAAGACCAATTAGCTCGAGACTCCTCCTTCCTGCGCGACTTGATCACGATTTTGAAAAAGCACACCACAGACTCCTCCGTACTGTACGGTGGATTGATGATTTTCTTGAACCTCACCAAATTCCTTCCCAATCTTTCCGAAGAGCAGAAAAAGATGGGTCAACTGAAGGACTACGCAGACGCTTCTGGCGGTAAGGCTCGGGCTGGCCCGGACCCCCGTGAGGAGGAAGAGGCGGTCCTCGTCCGCTGCGGCTTTGTCATTGATGCGGGGATCATGTCTCTTTTGGTCGAGTGTGGCCGCCTTGCTATGCCATCAATCCATGACCTCACAGCTCAAATTCTATTGGCATTGGCCCGGCACCGAAAGTCACGAGGCCTTTTGGCCCAGCAAGGTGCAGTCAAACTCTTACTTGGGCTGGCCATTCCGAAGCAGGGCAACTCGATTGTAGTCACTGTGACAACGAAAAACGCCTCTCACGCCCTCGCTGGGATTCTAGTCTCTGTTGACCCTTCGCTTGTGTTCCCATCTTCCGGTTTCCCTCAAGTCACATCTGCTGTGCGTCCTTTGCTATCCCTTCTCACGTCGTCCGAGACGACATCTATCTCTGCCGACCAGCCCCGTGATCTGCTCCCAGTATTCGAGGGCCTGCTTGCCCTGACGAACCTTGCTTCTTATCCGCATGATGAGACGCCCGCCGATCTTATCGTCCGAGAAGGTTGGTCCGCCGTGGAAGATCTTCTCCTGTCCAGCAATTCTCTCGTGCAGCGGGCTGCTTGCGAGTTGGTCTGCAATCTGATGACCATCGAATCCGGCATTGTCAAATTTGCCGACGGTTCACAGCGTGCTGCCCAGCGGCTCCACATCATTCTGGCACTTACTGATTCAGATGATTTCGCGACGCGGCGCGCGGCTGGCGGAGCGATTGCCATGCTGACGGAGTACGATGCAGCCATTGCGGCGGTGTTGGAGCGACCGCGCGGGGTAGAATTGCTTCTGGGTTTGTGTCAAGAAGACGACGATGGTCTCCTCCACCGAGGAGCGGTGTGCGTGCACAATCTGACTTGCGCCACCGGTGACATTGGGGCACGTGCCAAGGAGGCTGTCCGCGCCGCGGGGGGCATTGACATATTGACTGTCCTCATCAAGAAATCATCCAATTCAGCCGTGCTACAGTCCGCCGTGGAGGCATTGAAGCCACTGGTTCAGCAGTAATAGGATGACCACTTTGCACTCCTGCTGCTTCATAGCATTTTGCTCTTTTGATTCTTTTACTTCTCTCTGAGAGAGTTGCGCCGAATCGTTGTTGTCTTTCGAGGGGTTTGACATGGATTCCTTTGAATGGAGTTGATTCTTTCCCTTTATTTGATATGGCTAGTGGGGACTCTTTTTTTATGCCTCATGAGCACATTGCCCGGTTTAGCGATCTGAAATTCTTGGGTTGTTTGTTTGTCTTTTTTTTCTCTTCTACTTTTCTTTTTCGGGCCAGTTGGAATGGTTGGCGTTTTATGTTTATGCCCTGGTATGGCGCAAAGAGATTTATGAACCAGCATTACTTATTCGCTAGAGTATGAGAATCCAGCCAGAGCCTATTTTGATAATTTCAACCTCGCTTTTACCATGTAAATCTACAATGAAGCCCCGCGGCCGAATTGCACTATTTGCGGATGAGGCCTGCGTCAGGTGTACATAAGCTTGGGCAGAAATGGGCCGATTCCAGGTCTCTTTCCCCTCACTACATTTTCCTTCTTTCTCTTTTTCTTTTGCTCAACCCCATCTTTACGATTCTGGGTTTCTTGTCAGCCATGATGCTCAAGGTTTTCAAGGTGACAGGGAATCGACTGCTGCTATTGGCCGATATAGCTAATCTCTACCCCTAACGTCGGATGCTAAGACCAGAGTACGGTCCGAACGGAGTCCGTGGCGCACTATACCGCTGGTCACAAGGCCCAAGAGCTGCCTGCTTTCGGCCATTTGCTTGATTCCTGTCCCCAGTGAGGATCGGTGTTGCGGATGTTTAAGGAATCCTGGTCCCAAGTGAAGCTCGGCGAGGGCGTTGAGGGTATACCTGTCTGCGCGGGTCACGCGGTCCGGAAAGATACAGAAACAAGAACCAAATGTTTCAATAGATCTGTTGAAAAAGAAGTATTTTTTTTTTTTAAAAAAAGGCAAAGTGGAATTGGGATGAATGGAACCACGAAACTCCATAGAGTCCCCTGCTCTGCGTAATGTGGAAACTGCGGAACCATGGAGCTTGACCCCGCGGATCGACAAATCACCGCCCCAGCACCACGCACACGGGCTGCTCGTTCGACCTGGGATCCCGCTCAAGTCTGCCCGTTTTCCCTCTCCAATTCCCGTGCGCCTCTCGAGCTATCTGCTTAGCTTACGAGGCTTGGGATCTTCGCTCGGATCAGCGCCAGATTTTTTTTTTTTGAATCTCTCACCTCACCGCTTCAATCTCCACTTAGAGCTCCAGGTACAGTTTTCGGCGACCTTTTTACCTTTCACCTCCTCTATCCCCAACAATTTCCCAAATATCCTCCTCATGGCGCCATTGACTCTTCCATGCGTGCGTCCGCTCACCTGATCCTTTCCTGTGACTATCCAGGTTGGAACGACAGACCATCCTCCCAATCAATTCGTGGTGGATTCGGATACCTCGGGTGGCAAATCGCCAAAGGACACAAAGAAGAAAGCGGTGGAATACACGAATTCCCCGCTGAAATCGGAACAACTTAGTGCAAAACGATACCTGAAGTACCTTCTGGCTCAAGATGAAGTTTGGACGCAACCTCGCCCAATTTACCGTCCCAGAGTGGAGCGCCTCATACATCAAGTACAAAGCGTTGAAGAAGCTCATCAAGTCGGCGGCGGAGAAAGTTAAGGCAGGGCAGGAGGCGGATTTGGCCGGTAAGCGCGCGATACCTTGAATCGCCTCGAATCCCTCTTGCGTACCTTGTGCACCATTCTAACCAGGATGCCCGGCTTCTTTGGTTGCGTTTGGTGATATAGGTTTCTTCTACTCCCTCGATCGAAATGTCGAGGACGTTGATTACTTCTACAACAAGAAATATGCCGAATATTCCCGTCGGCTGAAGCTGTTAGAGGACCGCTATGGTTACTCCATGGAGGGTCTCCATCCATTGGAGCCCGAGGACCGTCATGATCTTCGTGAAGCTCTTCTGGACCTGCGCTACCACCTCCGCCGTTTACAATGGTATGGTGAAGTCAACCGTCGGGGTTTCGTGAAGATCACCAAAAAGTTGGACAAGAAAGTGGGAGCTCAGGCCCAGAAGCGGTATTTGGAGACCAAGGTTGACCCGACTGCGTTCGGCTCGAATACGCGAGCAATTAAGGGCCAGGAGCGGATCAATTCCTGGATGGCCCTCCTTACTGACCAGTCCAAGTCGGATGAGAAGCTCGTAGATGATGGCAGCTCTACTCATTCGGTCCTATCGCTGAAACGGGGTTCCACTCGGCCCTACCTTAACCTCCCTGCAAACGTTCTGACGACCGTGGACGATTCTTTGAAAAAGGATGACACCCATGTTCTGCTGGAGCTGCTGGAGACTCTGAAGACCGCCGCGGATGAAGCAGGCGAGGGAATCTTCTCCAAGGTTCTCAAGACTCTTATCCAGCGCGCTATCTTGCACCGCTCACGGGCTTGCCTCGGTGCGTTGGTTAGCCGTGTTGATACCCTTGAGGAAGACGATGATATCAACCGGCGCAATTGCCTGCATCGTATGGTCATCTCCATTGGACGCGAACAGCCAACCAATGACTCTGAGCCCGCCGCGTCAATGGTGCTGGACTTCCCTCCGGAAACGTCCCGTTTCATTACTCCCGCCGCGCCGCCAACTTTACAGCCCCCGCGCTCGGTTATAAAGGAGGAGCACATGCCTCAGCAGCTTGGTCGTAATGATTCAGCTGTTACTCTTCTCCAGCACTTGCTGGACGAATTACGTCCGAACCAGAGAGAGGCACTGATGGCGAAGGATATTTCTGGTCGCACTCCGTTGCATTATGCGGCACAGTACGGCTTCAAGGTCGTTTGCGAGGTGATAATTGAGCATCTGAAAGCATGGGAAATGTTTGACGTGAGTGAGGGAATTGACGGCACTTTATGGCAAGACAATGATGGATGGGCCCCGCTGCATCTCAGTGTGGTGGGTGGTCATCCGAAAACGACCCGTTGTCTTCTAGAAGCCGAGAATGATCAGGACCTCGCCAATGAAAGGGGCCAGGTTCGAAAACAGGTTTCCAAGTCGAGCGCTGTTCTAGCCTTAGCGACCAAGGCCAACTTTGTCGATATCGTCCAGCTTTTGGTAGATGCCGGCGTGGACATCAATTACCAGGACGAGCAGGGCGAAACTGCTTTGCATGTGGCAGCTCGTTTTGGACACGATGACTGTGCTCGAATTCTTCTTGAGGGTACAAATTACCAGAAGGCCAACACGGAGCTAGCAGAAAACACTTATTCATGGACTCCACTATTCATCGCATCCGTGGATGGTAATTTGAATGTGGTCAAACTGTTGGTTGCCGCTGGCGCTGACGTGGAACGATTTGACTCATCCGGATGGACAGCAAAGGAACATGCCGCGCTGCGTGGACATCTTGACATCGCACGGTGTTTAGCCGAAGTTAGCCCTGGCCCTCCCGCCATCGAGCCTGAGCCAGTTGTTCCAGTCCCGACTTATAGTCCATCTCCGTCGTCTTCACCACCTGCTCTGTCCTCCCTAGCTGATCGGCGGTCCAATGCGCCGGCTCCTACCTCGGGGGGCCCTGGGCCGCGAAACGCTGAACTTATTAAGACTTTTGGACATCGGTATCTTACCGATGAGACCATGATTCTGGTCAGCCTGGGAACGATGGACATGCGTAAGCCCCTGGAGACCGTCAATCTCGATCAAATCCCCATGGAAGATGCACACGCAACACAGCTAGATACAACTTTATCCTTGGTTGTCACTGCTAGCGGTGCTCATGGAGAGCCCGAGGTGATTGACCTGCCCGTCCAGGACAACATCTCGACGGAGCCGATCGTCTTCCACACGACAGATCCCAGCAAGGTTCGTCTGCTCTTTGATCTTGTGCCTACATATGCGGGATCCAAGGATCAAATTGTTGGTCGTGGTGTTGCTCTTCTCTCCAGCATCAAGCAAACTATCGGATCGCAACGAATCAACCTGAAGGGTGACTCCACCGTTCCTATCGTTGCCGCGAACACCTTGGAGGTTATTGGGTCTGTGACCTTCAACTTTCTGGTCATTACCCCCTTCAAGCACCCAAGAATGTCGGTCACTGGAAACCAGACCTACTGGCGCTCCATGAGTTCCACCATGGTCATCGGTCATCGAGGCCTGGGTAAGAACATGGCCAGTCGCAATTCTCTTCAATTGGGTGAGAATACGGTGCAGTCATTCATTGCGGCTGCCAATTTGGGTGCCTCCTATGTGGAGTTTGACGTCCAGCTTACCAAGGATCATGTTCCTGTCATTTACCATGATTTCCTCGTTAGCGAGACGGGTATTGATGCTCCCGTCCATACCTTGACGCTTGACCAGTTCTTACAACTCGGTAAGAGTCATCACAAGAGTATCTTGCCGGACAGCGTAGACGTTCACGGCATCCCAGGGCTTGGTCCTCGCCAACGATCAATGTCTGTTGGCGGGTCTGAATATAATCCCGCTGAGTTGACCGAGAAGATCAAGCATACCCGTGACTTCAAGAAGAAGGGGTTCAAGGGTAATACCCGCGGCGAGCACATCCAAGCCCCATTCGCCACACTTGAAGAGCTATTCAAGAAAATCCCCACCCCCGTTGGGTTTAACGTCGAACTGAGTGAGTTTAAATCGCCTCCCTAGAGCAGTTGCCCTTATTTGATCTAACCTGGATCTCCAGAGTACCCCATGCTCCATGAGAGCGAGGAGGAGGAGATGGACACATACGCAGTGGAGCTGAACTCCTTCGTCGACACTATTCTCACCAAGGTCTACGACCTAGGTGCTGGCCGCGACATAATCTTCTCCAGCTTCAACCCTGACGTTTGTCTTCTGCTCTCTTTCAAGCAGCCGTCCATCCCCGTTCTCTTCCTCACCGACGCTGGTGCTTCCCCTGTCGGCGACATTCGCGCTAGCAGCTTACAAGAGGCCGTCCGATTCGCCTCGCGATGGAACCTCCTCGGCATTGTCAGCCAGGCCGAGCCGCTAGTTCTTTGCCCTCGTCTTGTTCGTATTGTCAAAGAATCTGGTCTCGTCTGTGTATCATACGGTGCACTGAACAACGAAGGCGTCAACGTCGACGTAAGTTATGCTCACTCCTGTATTGCGCGCACCTTGACTAATATTCCACGTTCAATAGTATCAAGTTGCCGAAGGTATTGATGCAGTTATCGTCGACTCCGTCCTCGGCATCACCAATGGTCTCATTCAACGTCAGAACAAGGGAGAATTTACCCCAGGTCCTTCGCCGAACCCGGCTCCTATTGGCGACCAGGCTGCAGACTCTGCCAAGGGTGCTGTTCGAGTGCCTGTCCTTGGTGGTTCGAAGTGAAGCATCGTCGGTTTTAGGGGCAATCCTAGTGTTGTCTCAAATTGTGTTATGTGCATGCATTATGCATTCCAAACATAGTAGCATCTTCCGTCTATACTCATACTTGGCTTGTGCCAGCTTCAACAGCAAATAGACATTGATACTTTGTGATTTTTTCATTCCTCTAGGTAGTCGAAATACAGAAAAGTATTATGTAGGTCACTATACGTACTGGATTTTCTTTGACGGGTGGGGATTTCCTATCCGGGATGCCGCCGCTTTTATGAGGGCGCTCAGACTCAGGCTCACTGGGTAATTATCAGTCTGGGCTCAGGCTCACTGATCATGATTGGCTGCTCACTGACACCTATACCCTTTGATTACTAAGAGACATTTAAGGCTTTTTGGTGGCTTTAAAGAAATAGTTAGTATCACTATTATAGAAGAAGATCGAAGTGAGATATTTAATATAAGAAAGTATATATCATTCGGTTGGATAGGGCAATAGAGGCTAATTTTATTCCATCGATATATAGTGGATCAGGAAAACATTGATAGTAGATAAATAATTAATTGAAGATGTTGAGTCACTAAGCCCAAGCTTTACCAAGAAGGATGAGAAATCAAGATGTGTATTAGATGTGAAGCCAACCAAAGTTGACTGTTTTCAGTGTTGCCTTGAGATATTGCCGGTGCAAAATTGGATGTTTCCCCAAACGACAGAGATGGCAGCTTTGTTATATAGCTGGCTTATAAGACCCCTGATATATGTGAAACGGAAGGCATTCCATATTTCCGACTGGCTTGTCAACATGAGGTAAAATATGTTCCTTTGGACCGAAGAGATACTTTTGCCTAATGATAAGTTATTTTAGCCATTAAAAAATAGTTCCATAGTATTAGGCTGAATATGTGGCAGCGGAAATGGTATAGGTTGTTTGTTAGGTGGAGGACTAAACGCGAAACATCTTCAGGGTCCAGGCTATTTACCCCGCATTTTTACCAGGGCTTAATTGCTACCACACAAGTGTACTGATCTTCAAATGAAATTTAATAGACCGTAGTGGCTGACTTGCTCGTTTATCAATTGAGACTAGAGCAATGTAGACACATAATTCGGCAATTGTGGGTGATTGATGACAAGAATCAGAAGAAAAAAAGAAAAGGAAGAGACGCTAATTTAGCCAAATGAAACTTGCTTATGTGACGTTGAGGAAACCCATTTTATCAAAAATTTCTCACGCATCGTAAGCTTTTAAAAATGAGTTGCTAAACTTACAGATATAACTCGTCAAGGACGCCCAGATCTCTTATAGACTCTAGAATAGATATCGCCATGTTCCCTGTCTGCTAGACTTCACCCCTTTAGACATGAGGCACGTGTCTTTCCTTTGCATATGGAGTTTTGTATAACGGTCAGGTTACATTGCTTTGGGAAAAACAGACCTTGACCAGTAATCATTTCAAATACTAGAATGTTGACCGAAATCGATGCATGAAATGCCATGTAAAAGAACGCAATAAAACGTGTCACTCGATCTCATTTCTTAATGAAGACAATAAGTGAAATATCACTTGAATGAGATCCTATTATATGCTAGACTGGAGTCTTGAATTTCTTATATACTAGATAGTAAACATAGCCTAATTAATTGTATTGTTAAAATCAAAAATTAAAGAATAAAGCATCAAAGAGCACTTATGTATTAACAATTAAGGTAAATCTTGGTGTATGATACTTGACTCTAGGAAAAGCTTTCAAGAAGTAGATCATGGTATTTATATAATGAGATTTAACTCTTTAGTTTGCTTCCTCACGCTACACCTTTGACGATAGCTCTTTCTCACCATTGACTACTCAGATGGCTATCGTTGAACTTATGTCTCCGTTTCCAGCATGTCCAATAATCTCTTTTTGGACATTACATCCTTTACACCGCCACACAGGCGAAGCCATCCTTTTCAAATAGCTCAGTTGCAGCAAGACACCAATCTCACACAGAAATGACAGATCAATGCCCATCCTGGGACACAGGCACCCATAGTCTTTATATTTTGGTCTCCGGGCCAACAAGAAGTGTCAAAAAAAGGCTCTCTCCAGCCAGCGGTAATTATCGAGCTGGGTCTATGCAGCGGCCTCGCCGAATGGGTTGCCGTGCAGCGCCTGATCGCCCAAAATGCTTGCGTCTATTCCTATGACCGGGTGGCTTGCGGACGTAGCGAGTCCTCACCGCAGAACGCAACAGCACAGGACCGCATAGAAGAGTTATCTCGCCTGCTTGAAGCTACCGCTATCAAGCCATCATATGTGCTGGTTGGCCATTCATACGGCGGCGTGCATACGCGAATTCCCCTCGCAAGCATGGGAACAAGAAATGGGTTGGACTAATCCATTTGGGCCGCGGAACCCAAACTGGGAAAAAGGCACGACCGGGCCAGATCATCGTTTAGGGGTAATTTCCGAGCGGGGGGATTCCTTGAAGTTGAATGTGAGGTTTCATATGGTGGAGACGAGTGGATATCTCCACTTAGGTCACTGTTCGATCTACATTACCATGACTCAGGCCGAGCAGGGCAGCTAAAGCTTAAGATTTGAAATAGATAGAATTTATTCTTGAAATCGAGAAATGAAACCACCGCTATGTTGATCAAAAGTTCGTCCTTTTGGAAATTCCAATCTGGCTTTACTAAAACACTCGAAACGAATCTCCGGTTACATTGACATCTGCATGCGCTACCTTCAAGTGAATCAAATGAAAAGCAGCATGGTCAGAATATTTGCAAACGGCTTTTGGTATTGATGATGGATAAGCATTGTTTGCCATGTCATGATCACATGACCTCCCAGCGTCTGTATAAGCTCTTCAGACCTTCTTCTTCTTCCTTCCTTCCTTCTTCTCTCTCCTAGACCTCTCATCATTCCAAAAGCATCAAATTTATGATTTCAGCTTTGGATTTCTTCCCTCCTGCATGCCTGTAGGGCCTTAGGCCATCAATTGACCATACAGATTATGCTGGTCGTAGCCCAACTTTAGAGTTCATGGGTGAAAGAAAAGCTGTTCAGTACCTTTGCGCCCCGGCCTGTCTTGCAACATTGATGAATTTTTTCAGATAAACGGCGAATGGCAAGCGATAGGAGCCGACAGACTGGAGATGTTTTATTGCAAATTTGTTTGATAACGGGAATGGTACATTTGTATTCGAAACGCCAAGCAAGACAATCCCGCGGCCTTTCAGGGTCTACAGTGGAACATCTTATTTGGTCAGAAGATTCATATCGTGCTAGCTGTATCCAAATTTAGAAAATGTGCTGGGCTAGACAGAGTCAAGATCTACGTAAAGCATTTCTCATGGCCCTGGTCGGCATAATGGCTCAATTAGGCCTTCACGCCTGCCGGTCGATTGTTCGATTCGGCAATAAGCAAGGTAATCTGAACATCGAAAACTGCCGGGAAGGTCGCAAGGTTCTCCGCTCTAATTTTGAAAACGTTGTGTTCAGGGTCTTCACACCCACTGGGTCGAACATCTGACCAATCAGAGACCGCATAGCAGGGAAACGCTAAGCCATCCCCTCCTAAGTTTCAGGTTAAAATAGAGATGCTTTTCGGCAGACCTGTTATTAAACAATGCTTATACAGCCTGTATCCTGATCCAACGAGGTGAGCGTATAATGTCTCATATATCAAGTACTTCTGACCGGAAAAATGCGATGGTGTTTGATTGCCTCAATAGGATATGATCGTCATAGCACCATCTTTCTATTCAGAAAGTTATTATCCGGTATACTATTTAGGAGACGCATATCACCCTTCTGAAAAACAAAACCAAGTTTCAACTTTACTCTTCGTTATCTAAACATTCTATGTTAGATTTCAGACCCAGAACTATCAACATGAGGGCCTTTTCTGCCAAATTCGCTCTTACTCTTCTTGTGGCTGCTCGACAAGGCCTAGCTAGCGTTACACAAGGCATCTCTGGCGACATTTATAACCGTCTGGATGAGATGGCAACTATCTCCATGGCTGCATATGCAGATTTATGCAACATTCCGGCCACCCTAACCACGGTGGGGAAGATATACAACGCCCAAACTGATATCAACGGATGGGTTCTTCGCGACGATAGTCGCCACGAAATCATCACTGTGTTTCGCGGCACAGGCAGCGATACAAACCTGGCGCTCGATACCAATTACACTCAAGCTCCCTTTGACACGCTATCTTCGTGTAAGGGTTGTGCCGTGCACGGCGGATACTATATCGGATGGACGTCCGTTCAAAATCAAGTCGAGTCGCTTATTCAACAGCAGACAAGCCAGTATCCAGGATATACACTGATAGTCACGGGTCATAGGTATGAAAGTTCTACCTTATGTATTTTTACACATAACCTACCCTACTTCCATTCCCTCTTTTCGTCCACTCTTTCTGTCGCATTACTATCATTATCTTGCCTAACCCATTTGCCTAGTCTCGGAGCCTCTATGGCAACCATAACAGGCGCCCAATTGTCCGCCCAGTACGGCAACATCAGCTTATACACCTTTGGTGAACCAAGATCAGGCAACCAAGCCTTCGCAACCTATGTCAATGGTGCCTTCAACGCGGAAAGTCCCGAGACAACCCAGTACTTCCGGACCACCCATGCCAATGATGGCATCCCAAACCTGCCCTCAACAGACCTAGGCTATGTGCATGGTGGTGTGGAATACTGGACTGTTGACCCCACTAGCCCTCAGAGCACCTCTATCTGCACTGGGGAGGCAGTTCAATGCTGCGAAGCTCAGGGCGGACAGGGTGTAAATGCTGCTCATGTTACTTATTTCGGAATGACTAGCGGAGCTTGTACTTGGTAGTTGGGATTGATTAAGGTAATATGGGTGGGAAAAGGAAGATGACACTATGAGTCTATGAGGAGAGTTGAAAGATGACTAATAGTGTATATGAGATCTTGTGATGTTAAGGAATATGAGCATTATTAGAAATCATTTATTCGATATATGATTTAAGGCAAAATTATACTTAAGTCCTTTCTAATATAGGATTATGAGTAAGTAGGACTATTAAACATTATTAAGTTATAGATCAAAAAGACCTATACTATAGTGGTTAATTATACTTGACTCTAATGCTTTTCTCTATATCCTGATGTTATAGACCCACCCTTCGGGTGCCTCCTAGGATGTCATGTGGAAAGGTCATGATGAGCGTAGTATTCCTAAGCTAAGAATGTAATTCTAACTAAAGACCTTTCAAATAATAGCATGGGCTCTTGCTTAGTGATCTCTTCAATCATGGAATCGCTCAGTGATCACTCAGTCCCTGCCTTCATTGTTGAGAGGATTGCATGATCTTGCCCAAATTTTCAATATTATACAATACACTCAAAAGCCGAACCATCTACGCTAGCAGATCTATCGTCCTTAACGGCCGCTACGGCGACCGTTTCTGTGATCCCGGAGATGCTTCATGGTCAGCGTTCGGGACGTGATAGAAACAGCATTTATAGCCAAATCCTCGCTTTGGCCGGCGCTGCATTCAGTACCGGCAGGCATCGGCTGAGTGGCCGACCAGGTGCCGCCAGCACAGCGCTGCCAAGAGGTGCCACTGATGCAGTTCCAGTACCCTTCATCAGAGCAGGATCCGGTGAGAGCTTCGGAGCTAGAACTAGAATCAGAACTAGATGTACTGGACTCATCGGCCGAGGAAGTCTCCACGGAAACAACAGAGGTTGTGGTGGTCGGGGTGATGTCGGTAGCCTTGGCAACTTCGGTGGTGGCGCTAGGGACAGCCACGGTAAGCGAAGTGCTGACTGAGGCCTCTGCGGTAGCTTTAGCCGTAGTAGCTGTAGTAGCGGAAGACTGGCTAGAACCGGAGGCTGTAGCCGTAGGGATGGAGCCTCCGGTGGTGCTGTAACCCGCGGTTCCCCAGGTGGCGGAACCACTGTAGCACACGTCGGCATCAGTTGCAATGAGATGGTCTGAAGGTCCAAGGTACTCGATGGTGTCACCGGGGTTGGGGAAACGAATATCGTACATCTCCTCGGTAATGCAGCCGTTGATGTTAGCAATGAACAAAGGAGGGAATTCATCCGTGGTGCGCTTTTCAACTGCAGTAGACTCCGATCTCTTCTTCGAGGAGCTACTCTCGGTGATAGTGATGGGGGCGCAGTTCATGTACATTTCACGGCCACCGATACGGTTGAACCAGGTCCAGGCGATGGTATACTCGCCCGCATCGATGCTGTCCGGGATGGTGAAGTTGGGTGAAAACGGGGTCACCATCGTGGAGCTGGTTCCGATGTTGGAGCTACTTTCGGTCTCATCCATACATCCACCTTCAATGGACATAATGACACTCCATCTAGTCGAGTTGCTCGGCGCGCGGTCCGAGGTAATACTGATTTGGCAAGAACCGCCGCCATGGGTAGTACCACCGTGGAAAGTCATGGACTGGGTTTCACCCTTCACCATATAGTTCTCCTCGGTAACTGTGTAATCATCCGTGATCTTGCACGGGAAGTTGCTTCCATCTGCCTCGAGAGGAGAGTTATCAGACGAATCGAAGTTATAAGGAACAGGGTCGACCATGACTAGATGAGCTCCAACCAAGGAGGCACCTAGGATGGTAGCGACCGCAACAGCCGATTTGGAGAACATTATGCAAGAGGCTCGGGAAATGTTCGATTCAAGATTTGTCCGACCGTTGAAAAGAATAGACTGTATTCTGACCGTCTTAAGCAAGTCAGAAAAAGAAAAAGGAAAGAAACGCGGTTGTCTGCCACAGGCAACGCACCGAATATTTCAAGGAAAGAATGAAAAGAATGAAAAGAGACAGCAACTATCCAGTAGTAGTGGCTCAATAGAAAGAAACGGGTGGTAGTGAGGAAGAATAGAAGGAGTATGTAGCCCAGGCATCGCGAAGATCTTATAGTAATGGCCATTCTCATATACATCCTGAAACACGAACCTAATCCGCCCAACATGGTAGCCGAGAAGGGGAAAGAAATGGATAATAAGCTTGAAATCCTTGGCAGGGGAATGGATTGTCTCACAATCGGCCCTAAGCCAATAGTAGTCTAGGTTTAGCAGCCTCTTTTACCTCATTACCCAGGTTCAAGCTGCAAGCTCCTCTCGATGACGAGGGAAAACTTCTACTGATATCTATCTTTGAGACTTTGCACTTAGTCTCAAGTTTATCGTGAATAGAAAGAGGCTCGTGCCAGTTAGCTCACCTATACCTTCATATACAGAATTTATTACACATAGACTGGAAATGACGTTGATGTTTATCCTGCATGTAAAGCCTCAATGTTTCAGATGGGAGGAACATGTAAGTTCAACCTTCTTATACCGGTAGATCAGAAAAAAACTATCTGTGCCCCGCCGTCGCAGCCACAAGGTTTCCAAATAAACCCGATAGCCATTCTCATTGGGGAAGTCAGATCAAGGACAGCGACTATCTTAGCTTGGCATAACCCTGCCTCCGAAGCGAGATTTGTCTACCCCACAGTTCCCTATATCTGTCACCTGTGGCGTTGGGATAGTTCGATCGGGACGGCTTCGAAAGCCGAACGATCAGGCTCTGCCAAGAAGGCAAAAGTCACCGACCTAGAATTGTGATATGCATCCCTTATCATTTTGCTCCAACCTATTAGATCTAGAAACAAAACGAAAGGAGTACTGATAGAAGTTACTGACTTCGGCAGCAGTCAAATCCTCTTGTCATCCTCATTGACCAGAAAGATTCTGGGATCGATCAGATTGACGGGAACGAGATCTCGGTGACAGACCCGCCCGATGTGGGGCGATAATGCCGAATTGTGCCGACTTCCAACTGCCGAGCATCTCACAGTTAAATCCCAGCTACTCGAAGATTGATTATCTCGAAACATAGATGAGATCATATTCGATCTCAATTTGACCAGTCACATCCCACTTCTACCCAGCACTACAAGGGAAGTCACTGTCCTAGTTCACAAGCGAAGGGGTATTTCCGAGACAGGGGCGATTTTAAATACCCACTCTTAGTCGCTAGCAGAAGAGGCCTCTAGGGTTTCTGTGGATGACGATGACGACTAGGTGGGGAGAGTCACGATAGCCAAGATGGAAGATTGATCCTTTGCAATTTCACAGTAGTCAGCCGCACTATCACGATTCTCGTCAATCGTGCACCTACCGGTGTGTCCTTATGTGTGTGAGTTGCTTAACCAGCCGCCCGTGGCCGGACCGGACCATCTTTTTTCCACGCAGAGAGACTTCTCTGTATCCCCTCGTCAGCAGAGATATCTGCCATAGCCAATGTTACTCAGATTAGAAAGGGTTTCATGGCCTAGAGAGTGTTCAATGCCGAATTTTGAGCGAACGGCTACGAGTCCTAGGAAGTACTATGAACAAGGTAATGGAGATTTCAGCGGTATATTTTTACTTTGGACTTACTATCTATATACGTGTTACGGCCTTAGTGCGTCCTAGGGTGCAAGAGCGGGCATTGTGCGCTACTATATCTATTGGTAGTGAGATTCGTTTTATTGGGGTAGCTCACGCATGTAATTGACCTGCTGCGGAGTGCGCTCAGTGACAAATCACATTACTGCGCAGGCTCAGTGAGCCGGGCCTGAGCAAACTGATCGGCTCACTGAGCATGAGCAAGGCTTATGTAAGACTCACTGATCCGATCACTGAGCCGGAGGCCGTGCTCAGATCTGCTCAGTGAGTAATAGCGGCGAGCGGGTGAGCACTAATCCGGAAAAGGAAGCCAAAAATTGTCAAAGGAAATCCGGTACATAGGTGCAGCTAGCCCATGGACTAGACACCTAGTGGGAGACACACCTGGGCAGCCTCCAGGCTGTTGTCTAACGAATTACTAACGATTGGCTTCTTGAGTACGACATATTTATCTACTAACTAGTATATTGAGCCAGGGGGCTATCAAAGGTTGAGCCTTTGATAGCAACTCTATCCGTAAACCTCGGGAAGTGTTACGCAACTTCAAGTCTGAATTGCCCCATCACCCCGCAGCCTCGGAGCGCTCCGTCCAAGACCCTGAATGATGGGATCTGACATGATCGCAAGGTTGAATGGCGAAACCACCACAGTCAATGGCGTAGGATTGGTCAACTTCATACACGTACCCCCGATTCGTGCTTGTTCAGCAAGTACACGACATGACTATATATCTTTGGACGCGGAGTGATGCCATTATTCGCGATATCGTAGCCGAAAAGTCGGCAACAACCTTAGAAGTATTCTCATATAAACCCGGTGGTGGTTGTCGTTGGACAGAATAGAAATATCAGGAATCATTTTCAACAGTAAATTCAATTTTATCAATCACAACATGGCTCCTGTCGCTGAAACCACCTCCCCTGTGGTGCCCATCACAGAAGGCAAACTCACCCTCAAGGGCCTAGAGCGCGCTCCCCGGCCTCTCAAGCTTAGTGGCGCCCTTGATGCTTTCGAGTCCTTCGACGTTACTCCCGTCATCGGACGCGAGTTCCCCAACGCCAGCCTGAAAGACTTTCTGCGCGCTCCAAACTCCGATGAGCTGCTCCGTGACCTTGCTATCACCGGTAAGCTCCAAGGGTCTAGATACACTTGTAGAATGACTAACAGTCACGATCAGTATCTCAGCGCGGTGTTGTTTTCTTCCGGAAACAAGATGGCCTAGACAACGACCTCCAAAAAGAACTCGTTCAACGACTCGGAGAACTCTCTGGAAAACCCAAGACTTCCGGTCTACACATCCACCCAATTGTTAACTCAAGTCGTGAGCACGGCGTTCAAGATGACGAGATCAGCGTCATCAGCTCGCAACAGCGACAGAAGCTCTTCACCGATCGCAACCAACGCAAGCAGACTGCTCGGCGGGAATGGCATAGTGATATTACCTTCGAGCCGATTCCAAGTGATTATACTATCCTTCGTCTGACCGAGCTTCCGAAGACTGGCGGTGGTAAGAAGATCATCTGGCACTGAACCGATCTAAAATGCTTATGCTTTATAGACACCCTCTGGGCATCCGGTTACGAAGTCTACGACCGCATCTCGGACCCTTACCGGAGGTTCCTTGAGGGTCTGACAGCAACATATGCTCAGCCTGGGTTTAATGAAATCGCCAAGAAGAACGATTTCAAGGTCCATCGTGGACCTCGTGGTGCGCCCGAGAATGTTGGCGAGGTACTGAGTGCTCAACACCCTGTTATTCGCACTAACCCTGTTACGGGGTGGAAGAGTGTTTTTGCCGTAGGCGTTCATGTTGAGAAGGTTAATGGGGTTTCTGAAGAAGAAAGCAAACATCTTCTTAACTGGTTTGTGAATCTGATTGTGGAGAATCATGATCTCCAAGTGCGGTTCCGCTGGCAGAATCCGAATGATTTAGGTACGGAATTGTGACGTTGTTGATTAAAGCAAAGCTGACATTTCGATAGCAATTTGGGACAACCGATCTGCTTATCATGCTGCTACGTGGGATTATGATGATCTTGGTCCTCGGACTGGTCATCGTGTTGTTGGACTTGGTGAGAGGCCTTACTTGGACCCAAACAGTGTTAGCAGACGAGAGGCACTGGAGAGGGATGAATAGGGAGACAGAGCGATCTACAGTGTGAATACTTCAGCTTTATATGCATTTATTGAGTTATGAACTGAGATGAGATTTTATCTTCCTCTATATGTACAAGGATGAGAGAAGAGTGGAAAAAGTTTTAAGGAGATTATTGAGCTTTCCCCAAGCTCTGGAGATTGACAAGCTCGTAATAGTGGCCTTTCTGGCGCAGCAACTCGTGGTGCGTGCCCTGCTCAATGATCCGACCTTGATCAAATACATAGATCATGTCGGCTTTTTGGATGGTGCTAAGTCGATGGGCAACAGCGATAGTGGTTCGACCACGAGCCGCAGCATCTAACGCGGTCTGAACGATCTTTTCGGATTGCGAGTCGAGAGCGGAGGTGGCTTCGTCTAGCAGTAGAATTCTAGGATTTCGTAGGAGGGCACGGGCAATAGCTACGCGCTGTTTTTGGCCGCCTGATAACATGATTCCCTTCGTTCCAATGACGCTTTCGAACCCAGTTCTGAAGGATTGTTAGCGGGGGCTACTGTTTAGATAGAGAACAGAAGTAAATAACTCACGGAAGAGACATGATGAAATCATAGATATTAGCATCTTTGCAGACCTGGATAATCTCATCCTCGGAAACGTCACTGTGGTCAATACCAAGCATGATATTCTCCTTGATCGTGCCCTGGTACAGCGTAGGTTCCTGGCTGACAAGCGAGAATTGACTTCGGTACGAGTTGATATTGATATCGTTAATGTTCTTTCCATCAATGAGTATTTCTCCAGATGACACGTCGTAGAAGCGCTCCAGCAGAGCAATGGTGGTACTCTTCCCGCATCCACTAGGTCCCACCAGGGCGATGTATTGACCAGGTTGAACACTTAGATTTAGGCCCTTCAGAACCGGTTGACCGGGTCGAGTTGGGTAGTTGAAGTGCACATCTCTTAACTCAATGGCACCTGCATGCTCCCCCTTTTCGTGATCTATTATCTCGCCCTTGGTGGACCAGGTATCGATTTTCGGCCGAATGTCGAATAACTTCCGGAGCTCGAAAGCAGCGTTCTTGGCCTTGCCAATATCGGGAGCGAAGGAGAAGACCGCACCAGCAGATTGAGCTCCGAAAAGAACTTCAGAGAAAGAAACGAAAAATTGGAATGTGTTGTACTCCCCGCGCCCCAGTAGGGTACCACCATACCAGAAGCCAAGAGCGACACAGAAAAAGACTAATGCCTGTGATGCAGCGTAGAGAATGGACGATCTCAAGACCGAAAGCAGGTTTGCACGGCTCTGGGCTTGCAGTATCTCGTGGTAATTATTCCATACATCCTGCTCACGGGTCAAGGCTGCTACCGTCCGAATCGCCGAAGTGGCTTCACAGGCATAGGAGGCAGAGTCCTGATGACCGGATTTAGACTTTTGTGCAAACGCAGCGAGCATGTAGAACTGGTAGAATCCACAGCCTAAAAGTACTGGTAGTGTAGCAATGCAGACCAGTGCCAGTTTCCAGCCGAACGCGAGGGAGATGCACATCGCGGCTATCAGCGTCGTGGATGTCATCAATATCATTCCGAGGTTTTGTCCGCTGATGCCAGCCAGGTACTTCGTTTCGGTAGATAGGAACGATGTCAAGGCACCGGTTGTGTTCTCATCTCGATCGAAAAAGCTAATATCCTGGCGGAGAATCATTCGGAATGCCTTGCTGCGAGACTTGGAGACTAGACGCTCAGAGCAAATACCGAATGCGATTCCATGGATTCCGAATGTAAAGAGTTGAACAATACCAATGACAAAGAAGATCAATGACCAGAAGTTCGCATCATGTCGAAGTTTGTCAAACATGGAATCCGGTAGCACTAAGACGCTGATGGCCTTGGCATAGAGGTATGCTTGAACGGGTTGACCACCACCAGCCAGGCAAGAGAATATCAGACCAACGATCAACCACCGCCATTCTTGCTTGTTGAATGCAGCAATGAACTTGATCAACGTCCAAAGAGAGTATTTTTGCTCAGAATCAGGGTCACCAGTAGCGAAGATATCGCCAGTAGCTGGCTTTCGAGAATCCACTCGACGGATCTCCTTCTCGAATATGCTGGGTTCTGCCTGGTGCCTCCGTGATTTTGACTCACTTTCCACGGAATGAATGTGAGCAACTTCCTTCATTCTAGAGTCTTCTGAGTTATCGTCATCTTCGTGATCCACTAGTGTGTCGGCCGTATTCTCCTCTCGGATGCGTTGGGCCTCGACCAGCTTTGAATAAGGTCCACCCATCTGAATTAGGTCTTCATGGACACCCTGCTCGGCGATACGGCCATTCAACAGAACCACAATATTGTCCGCTGCTTTGATTGTAGATAAGCGGTGTGCAATGACAATTGTTGTACGTCCCTTGCTTGCACGATCAATCGCGGCCTGGACGACGCCTTCCGACTTTGTATCCAGAGCTGATGTCGCTTCATCCAGCAACAATATTTTCGGCTCAGAAACAACAGCACGAGCGATTGCAACGCGTTGCTTTTGACCGCCAGAGAGTAAGAAACCCCGTTCACCCACTCTCGTCTCGTAGCCTTTGGGAAGGGCAGAAATAAAGCTGTGAGCATTTGCTATCCGTGCCGCATTCTCCACAAGCTGTTGTATTCTTTCCTCTGGCTCATTCTCAAACCTGGACCCGATAAGGCCGTGGCGGATATTGTTGTAGACTGTTGTTCCAAAGAGCACCGGTTCTTGGCTGACAATGGATATTTGTTGACGTAGCCAGCGTAAATTTAGGGTCTGAGTATCATGACCATCCAAAAGGATTGCCCCACTAACTGGAAGATAGAACCTTTCAATGAGATCCATGACAGTACTTTTGCTGGAGCCAGATGGGCCGACAAGGGCGGTGACCTTCCCAGCAGGTATGGACAACGACATATCGTGCATGACGGTGACGTCTGGGCGAGACGGATAAATATGCTTGACATTTCGGAGCTCAATATTGCCCTCCACATGATCCAAGATCAAGCCCTCTTCCGTAGATGTGGGATCCACTGGCGAAATCCGATCAATTGTATTGAAGATCTTGGTAGCGGCAGCGATGGCGCCAGTGAATGCCTGGGCGTTGGGACTGACATTTCCAAGGCTAAACGATCCAATCAAGATAGCCATAAGTACAGTCAAGATCTGACCAACATTGACTTCATGCGCTACCAAGTAACGAGAGCCCATCCAAAGACCAAGACCATAGTTCCAAAACATGATCGCGAACATGGGGCCAATAATGAGAGCCAAGGCAATTTGTAAACGAATCCCATATTTCTCACCTAGTCTCAGGTGCGAGTCGTATTGTTTCGCAAGTTTCTCTTGGGTTCCAAAGGCCGTAGCAATCCGAATTGAGCTAATGACTTCTTCCGCTACCGTATCGCCGGCTCCATAATGATCGAGAGATAACTTGCTGTACTTGATGATGAACTGAGATCCTGCACCCATGACAAGGGTCAGGGCGACGACGGTCGATGTGCAGATTCCCGCTAGACGCGCGTATTTCACGTAGGCTACGACGAACGCCGTGACAAAAGTGGCCATGGCTGTCAGAGTCAAGCCCACTTTCTGGGAAACTCCGTCCTGGATCAGGTTGGTGTCGGAGGTGATGCGGGTGGTTAGCTCTCCGGCACCAAGCTGGTCAAAATAAGCGATGTTTTGGCGCAGGATAGCTTTAAGATAGTTCTCTCGGATCTTTTGGGTGACTTGGCCTCCTGTGTAGATGAATCCCACCATGCTAACGTACACGGTGACAAACTCGGCGATTCCCAGGTAGACAAAGTATAGAACATTTTTGTCGAGTTCATGGACGAAACTGTCATAGGTGATTGTTTTCTGTTCGATGTCTTGAAATGCCGATGCCAAGGAGCCGAAGAGAATCTAGCTTCAGCATCAGTGAGGATTCCCCACACTTCTGCAGGGTCATTGGGCCCACCGTAAATAGAGGCATTGCAGCTCCCGCCACTATAGCGCTGAGAGCACTTATCGCGACAATGAGGAGATCGAGCTTCGAGGCATATCGATATAGCCCAAAAAAGGAGATCTTGACCTTGGGTGCATCGAGCTGCCTCTTGAGGATTTCCTTCTCGTGTTCGGGAAGATGTGCAAAAGCTGCATCTTCCTCTATCGATAGAGTGGTCTTGCCTGTGGCCCCCAGTGACTTATTGGACCCATCTATAATTGCCTGACCGATCCGATCGGGGCTTTTCTCAGTCTGCGCAGCGACAACCTCTTCGGCTTTGCCCACAGCGATGGCCCCCTCTTCTGGTTGCTGCATCGTGGTCAAGACCGGGTGGTTTCAAGTCTACTTAGGGAGTGACGCTAGAACCCGAAGAAATAACAAACATGAAAAGTTGCAGAACATTCTGGTTCTCTTCAACTTTGACATCAGGCTTCCATATTCATAAAGTAAGTGATGGCCGAATACGAAGGCATATTAACCAGAAAAGGGCAATGCAGGATGATTCATTCTGACGAATCATCGACCGCCAAGTGAGCTCGGTTCTCTCCAAGCCGCGACACCAGATTTTATGAACAAAGTTCGGCCTGTCGAATACCCGAAAGAACAAAAGAACACGTGGAACATTAGATTCCCGCATATCTAACGTTCCCAAACGTGACCTGCATTTCTCCCCTTATCGCTCACACCTTGTACAGTCCATCAGAAAATGACTCATGGGAAATTGACTCACCTAGGACACCTGTGTCTTTCCGGGAAACCTGTTTCTAAAGGTGATATTCTCCTTGGAGTCAGCTGATTCACCCAAAGCAGAGAGATCAGTATGAGAGACATGATCCGTGGTACCGAGAGAGATAGATAGAGAGAGAGAGAGAGAGAGAGTGTGTGTGTGTGTGTGTGCTCATGCATGACGGTAATGCCGTTGGGCTGACTAGTCTGTGTAACACCCTGTTGTTCGAGATTATAGCAAACGTCGACATTTCTCTCATTTTGTCCGCTCTACACAGTGGCGAAAAACTACAGGGCTGATTCCACAGTACAAGTGCCCGGGTGGGTATGATCCTACTCGGCGACTGGGTCTGTGACGCATGGCAAAGAATGATGCTTCTACTGCGGTCTGTTGCGTACTGAACAGTGGCTATCATCAACGTCACTGTTCCCTATTCTTCAAGCAGCATAGGGCTTTAAGCTCCAATGATCCAACTCAAAGTGAAGCTATCCGACCCAGTCAAAAGTATCCGTGCGTGGCGTCAGCACTCTTTTTCACCTGTTGGCTTATCGTCGATCTCGGGGCCGTCGATTTATTACTATTTCTGGTAGCGATCATCCATGTCCCAAGCTTTGAGCTCTATTGCTAATCAACCTATTCCGTCATACGGCCCCATTGATCTATCATGGTATTCGACAGTAGGTCCACCTGTGAAGAACGCGAAGATGCTGCTATTCTCGGAGTGTTGGGGGCGGAAAACGACCGAGTAGTAACAACAACCCCTGAAACCCAGCTTTGGCTGGGGTTATCCGGTCGAAATGCGATATAAGCCATGACAGAGACCGGATTTCTCAATTCAGCGATGAGTGCGAACAGAGAAGTGTACCACTGTCATGTCCGAGTTAATTGTCATTGGTACGGAGATTAACGGCGTGGGGAGCGATGGGAAGGCTAAGATGCCAAGACTCAGGAGGTTTGCCCGTGATAGGGGGACAATCATACAATTTTAAGTTGGTTGCAAGTGGAACCCTTGAATGACAATTCAAGTGACGGACCCTATGAGCTCGAGCTAGAATTGGTATAGAACGGCCATGGGGGACTGTGGACCAACCGGGCCAATGAAAACTTTTGGGGATGACTCAAGCTAAAGGGAAGGAAAGGCAAAAAGGATGGATATCCCTGATAGTGGATGTTCAAATATAGGTGCATTCCCCACTGTACTAAGCCTGGAGGACTAAGTCAGTCCGAGGTGAATTGTAAACAAGTGACCTGATACGGAGTCAAGAAGGTCAATCTACCCCGAGTGCCTGTATCGGCATTTCATAGACGGGACAAACAAAATTTCTTCTATCAGTGGCTGAACCCCACATAAATTGCTTCCGCTTGGGATTTGGTATTTGGAATTGAACGACGGTGGCTAGACGCCACAAACAACAAAATGGCCGAGATAGTGTGAAGATGACGTTGACTGCTGTAGTGCGTTTGAGAGTAATGATATACCGATTTTTGGTTATTATTTTTATCTTAATTTCATCTTCAGGCGGATTACCGATGACACATTCTAGAATTTCTCAACGAAAATAGAAATCGGCCTCGTGCTGCACGATTCAGCCTCATTCATTTTGAGGAGAGAGCGCCAGAGGAATACAATCCTTGCGGTCCTGCGCTAACCACGTGGAAGGGGACACTAGGTCTTGATAGTTGACCCAACGGATGCCTTAGTGTAGTACGAAGGATATACGTTCGGCATCCGTCACTTCCGTTCAATTGACCTAGATCGCCTGCATGAGGACCCATCGTCTATCCGAGCAAACCAATCGTAAAGCCTCAGGAATCTCCGGAATCTCGAAAACCCATGTTACATCAACTCCGCACGTCCCTTGGGGGCTGAAATGCAGAAAAAGACAATGCATAACCAAATGATCCATTCATTCGCTTACCTTAGCGTATCTTTTAGTGGGTGTCAAACCTGACCAAACAAGTAATCCAGAACGAGTGGGTTCATGGCCAGTGCTCTCGCGAGACCCGAGCCGTCGCAGATCAACCATGGGGCGTGAGAAAGGCCTGCACCGTGACGGAATGCACTGTCCCCACATAAACCCCCGGCCGATCTGTGAGCTAAATGAACTGCACACAGTGCAATTTCTCGTTGTGCGCAGTCATCTCCGAGTCTGGTATACTCATCGCCTTCTTCACCCACAACCAATCCCGCCTCGAGCTTTGGACCCGCTGTGGTCCAGCACACCGCAACGGGTTCATGAGTGGAGGAATTAATCAAGTACCAATCAAATACACTTACCCTCTATCCCAAAGCGGACTGGCGTGGTTTGCCTAATACCACCAGCTCGGATCATTAGAACCGTGCATTGCCAGGGTTGTTCACGTGGTGACAACCCTGGGCATCAATCGCCCCACTGTACAGGAGGACGTCAATCTCGACTCTCTTGAACCAAACCCTCGGGTGGCCGTCTCGATTTCCTAGAAAAATTTCGAACGGTGCCAACGTTTCCCGCAATCTGCATGTCGCTGCGGAGGGGGAGATCCCTCATCCTATGACCTCGCGTGTCATCCTTACGAGCCCCAAGTGATATCAAAAGCATGGGACACCATGTGTCAAAATCCAATATAGATTGAGGAAGTAACCAACTACCTATTAAAAGGTAATCAATGCACGCACCGTAAGTCCGTACACTATACAGGAATGCTGGAGCATAACATTTGTCAAGTGGGTCAACGTTGGGGGCTACGGATAGAGGCCGATCAATCCAAATGGATTCCAGATTCTCGTTTCATAGTTTTCCATATTTAACTCCTTTTTCGCCCGGACCCATTTTTAAATTACCCTTCTGTAAATCAACCGATCTTTATTGATCCACGGAGCCAGAAGAATATATAGGAGCCTTGGTATACTCTGCAAACTTCTTCATCTATTCTTCAGCTTCCAGGATCTCGGAATCCTTCACTCTGACCCCGCGCATTGACTCACTGCCACGCGATTCTCCACGTGTATACATTTCAGAGCCTCAACATTCTCATTGCTTTTGTCTTACCCTTGTGTCCCTGAATGCCCTAACGAGCAAGCCGAGATGTCCATCATGTCCCAGTTTCCTCTGCCATTTGTGGCTACTATGCCCCCATACACTGACTCGCAATACATTCGAACGATCCCGCCCATGATGGAAAACAATCCATCCCCAGAGTTCCGTTCGACTAGTCCTCATGGCCCGGTCCCTCCGTCCCCTTCCTCCTCTACAGCCGAGTTCAAAGTGAGCAAGGCCAAGAAGGGGAAGCGGGTACATGCTTGCGAATTTGCTGGTTGTGCTAAGGTAAGATCAGACGCATACTGAAAACGAAGCGATTGACCTAACTTGACTTAGGTTTTTACACGAGCCGAGCACCGGCGACGCCATGAACTGAGCCATCGTTCCAAGAAGACGTATACGTGCAGCTATGAAGGCTGCGCGAAGGCATTCCACCGTGCCGATTATTTGGTCCAACACATGGCCCGACAGTGAGTAAAGCCAGAGTCTTGCCTGCTCCTTGCGAGGCTGACCTTGAATCATCTCCAAGTGACCCTGAGGTGCCGGTAAAATCACCTTTAATGAGAAGCAACTCGACTTCGTCTGCTGTCAGCACGCAACAGTCGCAACTCTATTCCAAGTCGCCGCTTCTGACTGGATACCAATCCCCAGCTGCTAGCGTGAATTCAGGAACACCTCATGCTGGAGACCAATCTTTGATGATGTGCTCAAATTGTCTGAACTGTCATAATCGGGTGCAGGGCTCTGCCGCCTCGGGGACCCAACTCTTCAATTACTCACAGAGCTCAAACATGAGTCTTTTCGGCTCCCAAGCTTCATCTTCATCACCACCTGGACTAGATGCTATTGATCAGTATCTGCGGAGCATTCTCCGCCCAGAGGCCTTTCTACCGGCTGTCCAAACATCGGGGCAGATGAACTCTTCTTTCTGGAACAACATCGACCCCAATCTCCCTGCAATGAATACTTCGGTAAGACGCAAAGTCTAGCACAAGATCGATCATTTTTACTAAGATTTTACTTTAGACCTACCAACAACCCACTTCATACCCTTGGACATCAGGGGCAGAAAGCGTACCTCACATTCAAACATCGCACCAAGTACCGCACAATCGAGCGAGCCAGGAGCGCAACTGATGAGCGCCGCTGATAAAATATTACGCCTTCCCCTATGAACTATGTAGATACTATGATACCCCCCACATTCGTTTTTCACTCCATTACTCTTTCTTTCTTGATTACGAAATGTACAGAATTGTTTAGCACAGTCATATTATGGATAAATGAAGGTTGTTCATATTTTGATGATCTTCTTCATTGGTCAATCGTGACTAACAAGAAACCAAAAGGTACCGAGCTTGGTAAATGATTTCCCTGACCATTGCGTTTGAAAATTGGTATTGAAGCAAATGTACTGTATTCCAGCCTAATATTGCGATTGCATCATTAAGTCAATTCAATTTGACACCGTACATACCATATCACCCATACCACAGGTGCCAAAGCCTTGCATTTTCCATTTTGGGGTATTTGGAATTTACTTTTAGATAGATGCGATGATTCGATAGATACAAATCTTGAAACTGCGCCATGTAACCGATCAAGCCAATCATAGCCAGAATCCCTCCTCCAGAAAGCCCCAAACGCCTGTGGCTGAAGCCAATCTTTCCTCCGTGGGGCAGTACTCTATGACGGCTTACGTAGCAGAAATTAACCAATCCGGTAGACATGCTAAGGACTCAAACGGTAAATGAACTGAGAAATACTTCGTTGGTGGCTTCCGGCAGACTGGTATTTAGTAAAAGCAAGTTTTGGGTGTGGGCCACGTGGTGGCCAGGCCCCTGGAGGCAAGAATGGACCAGCCATTCGATGATACTCATTTACCGACAGATTAACCCACCCATCAATGATCATCTGCAAGGGTAACCAACACGAAATGGATGATATGATTCGTTGATTCATAGTATGTTTGGCCCCCGGGCTGGCGGCCAGTGGGGAGTTGCCAGACCGTTGGGACAAAGGAGTTCCGACTAATTTACCGAAACGGTGAATGCTCGGGGATCAGCATTGGACACATGGTTCTAGCTCAAGAGAATGTGGATCATGGGTAGATCGGATATTTTCAACGCCCCGCGCTCGGAAGAACGTTGTAGATGGCCATCACCTTGTTTTCTCTTGTCTCGGGATGTTGAGCCTTGTTTAAAAATAATATTTGCTTCGCCTCCATGCATCTGAATGCATTATACTGAAACGACGCTTGGTTAGATCAATCCTTCAGGACGTATCTCCCTTGTACATATACCATATGATCAAGATCGAACCGTGCCACATGGTGCGGTGCAGCCTGTTCTTTATTTAGGATCAGGCCCACTGCTGCCCAGGTATTGGAGAAGAGCTAATGGTACCACTGAATCGGGTCACAGATCATGTCATGGGCAGGTCACCTCTGGATTCTATGACGAAGCTTTTCGTATGACCAATGCAGTATTTGGAATTTGGAAATTGACTCATATGAATGCTAATATCAAAATTTCAAAGCCGTGGGCCTTCTAAGATTGATGGCATGCGGATATCAAGCTGGTGGCAAACTGGCAACAGACATCAAAGAATGGGACCAGTAAGGTCGCAAGAAATATCCCTGTTTGGCAGGCATATAGGAGGCATCTGGTACCATGTGCATCATGGTGGAACCATTACGTCTGCACAGACACGCTAAGATTGTGTCCACTATTAATCTCTAACTATGGTAAGGTTCTCTCTTGGGTAGCTGTTTCCGTAGAAAAAAGGGCTCTACACGGTCAGGTGACCGGCTCGATATACGATTCCCATTGTCCAAAGCCATACATGGCCGACCTATCCAAAATAGAAGTCCAAAATAGAAGAACTGATGATACATTCCACCAATCGAGCATCTATTCCATCTTCTCTGTGTATTCTAGGGTGATCTAATCTATATCCAAGCGAAAGTCTTCATTTTCCTTTCTACCATTGTCAAGGCATATCCACATATTTCACAGCAACCGGAAAGCACCTTATTCCTCAGAATATATTGATGTAGATGCCCAGCCATGTTCATCAGGTCCAAATTCGGCATTGATCTTGAATAGCAGTGGCAGTCTTCGTCGATGAGCCAATTGGTAGTTGCTGGATGTGCACAGCTACCGGCTTCATCGGCGCTCATCAAGGTCATGCATGAGAGATTGTCTGCCTGTTAATGTAGCTGGGTAGGTTCTTGTGTGTCTATTGCGTATGTACGCCTTCGCGGGCCCTACTGTTTTTGTAAAGTAGTAAGACACTGTGCCCCCCAGAAAAGTTGTACAAGCTCAAGGAATCCCAATATGTTCGTGAATATGTACATGGCAGCCGAGTCGAATCTAATTACGACGGAACTTCGCGGGGATGTTACCCACAACAACCTGCATCTGTTCCAGCTGGTCGAGACGCATCTGAGCACGCTCCAACTCGTCATGCAGGCGGAAGTGCTCGATATCCTCCGGATGATTCAACTCTTCCTCAGTAGCGTCCTCTCCGTGGAACTTCTCGAAGTGGTGAATCTCATATTCATACTCGATATCGCCATGATGTCCGGGTCCGAAGCCGAGGTCCGGTAGCCGAACACCATCGGCAATTGCCTTTAACCAGGCATCTCTCGAAATAAAACCCGTGTTGTCACGATCAAATAGGTCGAAAACCTGACGAATAGCTTCTGTTTTGCGAGACTCGCTCATGCCGTTATTGGATTCGTCGTCCATGCCATAAGTCTGGCGCACTTCGTCGGTAGTCCATACGCCAGATGAGTCGTAATCGTGCATCGTGAAAAATGAAGGGGCATCGAAGCCTTCAATGTGGTGTTCCTCTAGCAGATTGTTAGTTCTTGAAGCCGTGCAATTGTGTCCATCAGGCCAACTAACCCATCATGTGTCTCGTGGCCCAGTCATCGGATTGAGGTTGATCGTCGCTTGAATGCGAGCCATGGGCATTTGCGAGGCCGCTTCCCAGAGCGATCACCCCAGCAACAAGGCAAATTAAACGGTTAACCATGGTATTAAGTAGATATGTTGTAAAAGAAAGAACGCGGAGTATCGCCATGGCCGCAAAGCGACAGGAGACGCAAGCGGGTCCGGGATGTTTGCAGTGTTTGCACCGGCAGTTTTGCGGTTGTCGGGATAATTTCATTCTCCCGCATCGCATGTTTGTTCCTGTCCCACCCGTTTCTTCACCGGACTCCCCACGGAGTCCAATTGTGGTCATTGCATTACCTCGATAATCGTCATTGACAGCAATGCGTTGACAATGCAGGGTCTGTGGTCCCGAGCTGCTCCTTCGCAGTCGACCTGTCGCTGTGTCTCGTGTCTGAGCACGACTGCTACAGGCGTTACCTCGCGATCAACCACCGCTGCCAGCAAAAGACGCCTCCGAATAGGCAACTCCGTCACCGCACTATACACGAGCATCTTCGCCGTTGCCGCCCTGGCCGATGCTAAAGCCAAAACTCAACGTCGAAATGACTGGGAAGAGAAGATCGCGGCCGTTAAGGCGGAGGTGAATGCATTGGTGGATGAAGAGCAGCGACTGATGAAGTCACTACAATCAAGGAGAAGTCCGCGCGGAATTCATCGACTGTTGTACAATGGGGGTTCTGGAATCACTTCGAGCTTACCTCCTACGACCCAGCTACGAACCATGTCAAGCCAGCCAACAAGGTCCTTCCACACTGATCGTCGGCTGATCAATGCTGCAAGCGCGGAGATAACGGAGACTTTTGAAGCAGAGGAGGAAATCACATATGAGGATGATTGTATGGAAGATATAGAAGACATGGAAGCAAGGCATACGTTCTTTCCGAGTTGGGTCCTCCAGGATCCTATGCGAGTCAAAGCTATCCAAAAATTGGCCCTGAGACAATTGGCAATTCGAATGTTGCTCCGACCGACCATTGCCCATCGTTACTCTGGACTTCCAGTGAACTATACCCGCGATTTCGATGTTCCTCAAATCAACGTGCCAAGCCTTCTCGAAGAGCTCAATAAGCTTCGACGTCGAATCACTGAACTTCGGACTTCCGAAAACTCAGAGTATGATGATTTAGTTCACGAACTTGTCACATTGAGTCCACAAAGAGTGCAAAAAGAATGCAAAACTCTCGACGCCGAGCTTCAACAAGATCTTCAGCTATTCATGAGCCGCCAGATGTCCTTAGAAGAAGCTCTCTTGCGAACCTCTGAGAATCTCCTCAATTCAGTGGATCCGGACCGGACAAACGCATTCAGGAACATAATCATTGCGTTCAGCCAAGCTCGCCAGAATGATCTGACCGAACTGCTGCTGCGAACAATCTTACCACATCGATTCTATTTGAGCACGTCTCTCATAACAACGATCATGGTTTTTTTCCGCAAGTCGAAAAACCTTAAAGATTTTGACCTTTTCCTTCGCATGCTCACTGGGGAAGGCTGGTCCGCAAATTTGGGGGCACTGGCGCCCTATACTCACCGAAAGGTCAATGGCCTGGATGTGGTAGTCCCGCCGATGGACAGCAATAGCGTTCTTATATACTCAGAGCTGATCACCTGTGCATTACGTTTCAATCAGCCGGATCGAGCAGATGCTTGGCTCCAAGCCGCGCGGCGTGTTGGCTTCTTCGACAACTTCAACACACTGTTTTGTTATATCAAATTCTACAGCATAAGACAAGACTGGGAGAAAGGATCTGCGGCGCTTAAACGAGCTGTCACATACCTAGTTTCATCAACGGGCCTTGAGAAACACCATGTGGAGCGCCTTGTTGTGCTTATGGCCCACCTCTGCGATTCCTGCGGTCGAAAAGATGTTTCGCAAGCTTTGATATCTGCAGCTATGGACAGTGGATTCGACCCTTGCATCCCGTCAGTCCAGGAAGATGTTGATCCTATCAGTGACCCCAATTTTGTGCGATGGGCCCAGGCTGCTCAATCAGCGCCCAAGGAGAACGCCGGTCGTCCTTTGTGGCAGAAATGTTCCGAATTTGCACACACCTTCGGTAACTACTTGAACGATCTGGAGACATCACATGATGACACAAGGACTCAAAAGCTTGCCAGCCACGCTGCTTGTTACGCGCAGAATGCCATGAGGGCCGGTCTTAGCGGTGATTCCTTAACTTCGAAGAACGCGAAAATCCAGGACAGCGCTCTATCATCGAGTTCACCGTCTGAAGTTGCTGAGTTGAAAAACGAAGTAGCTCAACTTCGTGAGCTTGTTTTTGAGCTCCGAAAGCACCACATCCAGGCTTCATTCAAAAAGGATAATTCTTACGCCCCCTCCGATTTCACCTATGAAGAGCATACCTCACAACAATCCGATACCCGTTCACACGCCCCAACCCCGACCTCCGAAACCCAGGATCCCTCTGCCACACCCCGCAGCGTCGAATTCCACAAAGTTGCCCCCAAACCAGGCCGGCCAAAGAAATCGCGGAAAAGATCCGTGGAAGATCGGGACCTTTTCACCCCTCGCCGTACAGCAAGCCAAGTAACAGCTTAAACATTTGTTACATGGCCTTTCGGCTTTTCAATTTTTGTACATTACGATATAGTTATCCGCTTCCCTGGGCAGAGCGTGTTCAATACCAACAGATGGGATGTATTTCTAAAGTCATTATTTCCACATGCTCGATTCTTCCAAGTTTCAAATACGCCTCTTTTGTAGCCGCAGTATACTCATCTCTTCCACACCCAGGACTTCACACCCACATAACACCATAAAAAAAAGCTTGCTTAAAGAGAAGAATAAGTAAAAAAAGAACAAGTGTTTCGGCCTTTACCTTAGCCGTAGCCGGATTCCGCCCACTCTCCTGTAGCATGCATGAGATTCTAAAACTAGGATCGGAACCATCTTAGCCAACGCGCATGTCCCAGACCATTTTGGTCAAGTACCGCTGGGAATAAAATCTCTAGGCCAGCACCTGGGGTTCATGTGTGATAATGTTTCCGGGACCTATATTTTAAGCCTTTATTCGTTAACTCTGGACTGCAGCCTGCAGCCGTACTGCACCGCACCCTGCGACTTATACTCTGTACCCTATGCTTGACACTTTCCTGGATTTTGTGTTTCTATTTCTTAATGCTTTTGAAGCCTTGCTAATGTTCTTTTTCTCAAATTTGGAGTATCGCTATGAGATTTTCAACACATCAGCTTTTCAGTTGATATACAAGTTATCGGCTTTCAAAGCTGCATATCAACCTTGGCACCATACCATACCAGAAGGGACAGTCATTCTCGAAATCGTCTTGACCAATATACACTGAGAAACTTTTTCCTGGCCCACCTGCCAAGGCTTTGGCGCAGATTATTTATTGAGCGACTCGCATTAAGTTGAGGGCGCAGTAAAATGCTACACTACCATGCGACGTACTATTACACCATGCGTACGAAAGGAGGATTCACGGAATTTCATGGAAACTTGTTATGGACCTCTAAATCATGTCGGGAAGGCCACCTGGTGCGAACTTGATGACCTGCTGGGAGACCACTTTTGTCCTTCCACCTCGTGTGTAGCGTGTGCTTGTTAACACTTGTGGGGGTATCTCCTTGGCCAGGAGAACCTTGACGAGGGATTGGCAAACGACCGTCCTGGTCAGTTGTCGGTTGTTTGCAGGCGAACAATTGCCTCTATAGCTTGATGGCGTAAGCCTCGAACAATACATACGTATTAGATCGGAAGAATGAGATGCTTAGCAAGAACTATCCTCTGATCATACGTCGGAATACTGTTCTATTTTTGAGAGCGAACTCTGGTAGGTAAGCTGGATACGTATCTCCCACGTCTGTAGGGATTTCACATTGACTCCCGATATCGCAAGCACAGCATCCACCACAATAGATCTAAGTATCCAGCATACTCGTTCAAGCTCATAATGGCTTCTTTTGAGAACCGCAAGCTAGTCCGGCAAATTTGCGCGGTAGTGCTCAATTAACTGACTTCGAGTGTCACAGACGATCATCATGCCTTGAAAAAGGGGTCACAGGTTGTGTTCATCATCCAGTTCGGCAATGATTTACGGGAATGTGGCTGGATGTATGGATCCAAAGCAAGATATTGACGTGGATCATCATGCCTTGAGAAAAGGGTTGCAGGTTGCGGGTCATAAACAGTTCGGGAATGATTTACAGTAATGTAGCTAGTTGTATGAGCCCAAAGTAAGATATGACGTGGATCATCATGCCTTGAGAAAAGGGTTGCAGGCTGTGGTCATAATCCAGTTCGGGAATGATTTACAGGAATGTAGCTGGTTGGATGAGCCCAAAGGATGGTATTAGCAAAGGATTCTGCTCTGATTGGCTGTAAAGACACTCGATAGCAGAACAAGCAATTAAGAAGAAAATAAAAGGACGGCAACCCTCTTCTCTCGTCCAAACTCCTTCAACAGCACAATCTGCTAGGCGGTCCAAACTATATTCTAACGAAGAAAATTTGTCGAATCTATCACTGAGATGAAACTCTTTGTCGCTATCCTCCTTTTTGGAACGGCCATGGCTGCTTCCAGAGACTCATTGTCTCCAGGCCCTTGCCTGTCAGTTTGCTGGCCAGAGGGTGCTGACTGTCCTGGGGGTTTGGTATGTCTATGCGATCATTGTGCTAGTATCAAACAATTACCCGTACTGATTCAATTAGGTGCCGGACGATAGCGACTCTACTTGCAGGCGATGCTGCATTAATCCTGAATGAAAGTTAAGGTATAGGAGTTTGTGTTAAGCGGAGAGATGGTATTTTACCACCACAAGGTTAGCTAATTCAGCTACTGTTGGGTAGACTTAGTGGAGGTCGGTGAGACCGCAATTTTCCGTTTGATACAGAATTTGTATTTACTACCTACAATGATGTGCCTGCTCTTGCGGCTATACACCCGGGGAAATACTCTAACCAGGGTCCAATGTGCTCCTGCTCCCTAGCAGGTATCCGAGAAATAAAGAAGACCTTTGAGTATAGTAGAATACGGAAAGATTTGCTAGAGGTGAAGGAGAGACAATTACCAGGAAATCTGGAGAGGAAGCAGGTCTGGAAGTGTAGAAAGAAGAGGGTATGACCTTTGTACTTGGTGACAAACTGATCTTCGTAGACTCGAGGGATGCGTCATAGGTAGCTGCAGCTTATGGCCAAAGAGTTTCAGGACTCCGAAGTCCAAATATTTGACTTCGAAGCTTGTGACATGAGCTATCGTACCTGATATATCGCTTATCGTATACGGAGTATAAAGCAAAGAACTACAGATCTTCGCCTTATTAGGCTGGCTAGAATCCCCGCTATTTGGGCCCGGGGCAATGCTAACAGCACAATCATCCGCTAAAGATGTGGTCTAACATATTAAGCCTGTGGTCGTTTTCCTGTTTATCCGATCGCTCATCGGTAGATAACTCCAGTGAATGTTCCAAGGTTTTTGAGGATCGGTGTCAATTAACCAAAGAAACTTTACGGTGAGGTGATGCTACCTGCGATGATCTCTGTGTCACCATCTATCGCGCTAGATCGACCCCGATCTGTCCTACTTCATTTTCGATAGTGCTGATAGACTTTGAGTAAATGGACGACCGCATCCCACTCGTGTTTCTTGTCTTTGGGACTATTCCTTTAAGAAAAGGAACCTACAGGCGGGATCGAAATCGTCTCGACAGTACGGAGTATACACTGAGTCTCTTTTTCTTGGCTCCACTGCCGAGACCTTAACGCACGCTATTGCATAGGCTGCCAACTCTTACGTTGAGCACCCCCTCGTAATGAAACCCCAATCACTCCAATCTGATCGATCACTTTTACGCGTATAATCAGGGCTCGAGGTTTTCTTTTTCGAACTTCCACCCTCGGATTTATTCGAATGCTGACTAGCAGCCGCAACTCTGGTATCAAAACGTTGGAAATATACAGTCTCTAGATTTAATCATTTAGACCGACATTGCTGAAATTTTCAAGGTTGCAAGAGCTTCCACTTTTCGACACCATTGTGTCATATGAATCCATCCACTTGGGCATATGTTGCCCCCTGAAGGAGGGTCTACGTTATATAAAGTGGCAAACCGACCGTATAGGTAATCAAGAAAACACAAATTCTGGAAAATGAACTCTATTTTATATTTGACCCTGTTCATCATGAAATTGCAAGAAGGGAATCTAAGAAACATATCATCGCTGAAAATCTAAGCCGTGGTGACTTAACGACGCTTTTCGGAACGCATCTTTTCCTTGCGAGAGAGTCGGTCGGCAGCACGCATGAGAGCAGAGCGAGTCTCGCCTTTGGGGAAGGAGTCGATATCGTAGTATGTGGGCGCAATGTCCTGCATTCGAGTAAGCATTTGTACGGGATGTAGATAGATAGGGAATGGAACATACCAAAAGCCACTCGGGCTTGACAGAGGTCACGGTACGAATGTAGTTTTTGGTCGTCAAAACAAATTCGTGGTACAAGACCCATTCCGCTTCGTGAGCCAACACGGTAGACGGGTGCAGAAGAACGTTTTGGTTGTCCTTGATGGTCATGTAGATGTTCTTGCCCTGGGGCTCCTTCTTGGCAACCTGCATGAAGAAACCGGCGCAGAGGGCACGGCGGATGTTCTCGTAGTACTTCTTGTCATCGAAGGGGGTGGAGACCATCTCGAGCTCTTCACGCTCCATGATGCGGAGGAGCTGCTTGCGGACATTGTCAGCAGATTGGAGTGACCGCAAAGAGAGGAAGTGATCGTGACACCATTGCTTGACATTTGATTGCGCATCAGAGCCCTTGAATGCGTGGTAAACGTTCAGCATAGTCAGATGATCGCCGTCGGGGTGGGCAAATAAGTCCTTCATTTCATCGGCGCGCTTGCGCTGAGAAGCTGGACGAACGAACACCTGGGGAACGGAAAGCAGAGATACGATGGACAGCATCTCGTTAGAGCAGTAGAACTCGGGAGAGCTGATCAACATGACTGCAAGCGCGGGATCGAGCGGGAATTCGGAAGCCAGGCGACCAAGCTGAGTGAGGTCACCCTCGTCATCCAGACAGGCAAGGTAGTTGAGCTCCTCAAGCGCTCTCATCAGGGTCTCCGGGGCAGGTGGGTCCATCAGATCGAAGTGGACAAGATCGTCGATTCCGAGCTTCTTCAACTCCAGGACAGTGGACGACAAGTTTGATCGAAGAATCTCGGGGTAGGTCGACTCAATCAGCTCCTTCTTGAAAGCATCCTCGGTGTAAAGACGGAAGCACTTTCCGGGGCGCGTACGACCGGCACGACCGGCTCTCTGCTGGGCAGATGCCTTGGAAATCGGGGAAACCAATAGAGACTCGACACGGATACGAGGGTTGTAAATCTTCTGCTTGGAGAAACCAGGGTCGACCACGTACACGATACCATCGATGGTCAAAGAAGTTTCCGCAATGTTGGTGGAAATGATAACCTTGCGCCCAGGGCGACCTCCAGGGCGTCGAGGAGGGGGGGCAGGTTCGAAGATACGCTGCTGCATGTGGGGAGGCAAACTACCGTACAGCGGGTATGTCTTAAGTGGGCCAGCATCGGCCTCTCGGACCATCTCATCGGCCTCGAGAGCGATTTTGCGAGCAGCATCTTCGATCTCCTCCTCACCAGTCAAGAACACGAGAATATCTCCCTCGTCTTCAGTCGCGTGGATCTGCAAAACTGTCCGGATCGCAGCTTCAACGTAATCTTGCTCCGGCTCGGGGGTGTAAAATACTTCAACGGGGTGGGTTCGTCCCGGAACGGCCAGAAGAGGCGCATCCATGAAATAACGCTGGAATTTCTGTGCATCCAGAGTGGCAGACATGATAATAATCTTCAGGTCTGGCCGACGTCCCACCACTTCCTTCAGGAGACCCATCAGAATATCGGTCGCCATGGTTCTCTCGTGAGCCTCGTCAAGAATGATTGTGCTGTACCGCGACAGATTGTGATCGTTCATAGCCTCGCGCAAAAGCATACCATCGGTCATGTACTTCATGATGGTCTTTGGGCTAGTCATATCTTCGAAACGAATCGAGTATCCAACCTCTTCACCGAGCTTGACGTCCATTTCGGCTGCGACACGCTCGGCGACGGACATGGCTGCCACACGACGGGGTTGTGTACACGCAACCATCTTGCGCTGGGTCTGGGGAAGATCATCGTAGAGGACGAATTGGGGAATCTGTGTAGTCTTTCCGGAACCAGTCTCACCAACGAAGACGAGAATCTGGGATTGCTGGTAGAGTTGCAAGAACTCATCACTAGAGACGGAAGTCAGTCTATGGGTTTACTGCGGCTCCCTTCCAGTGTTTTACTCACCGTTGCTGGTGCACAGGCAGATCGCGCCGAGTCTTCAAGATCGAAAAGTATTTGCTGGAGAACGGCTGACCGCTGAAAGGGTTGAATTCGCCATCCTCTGCTTTCTTGGCCAGAGCAGCAGTTGTCTGGTGGCGCTTGAACTTGGCCAGGGCCGAATTCTTGTCCGCGCCATTGGTATCCTCATACATGTGGGCCAAATAAGGATTGTCTTTGGGGTCTCCGCCCTCCATCTTTTGGCGCTTAGCCCGCACGCCGTCTTCCGAGTCTGAGCGACGATCAGCCATGGTGTGTAATGAGTGAATGTGAGAGTTGAAGAGTGCAAACTCGGGCGACCGATAAAAAAACTCAGATAGGAAGGTCGAACGCCGATCTCTCCTATCGGGGCTCACCGCTCGAGGTATTCTGCCGCTCCCCACAAAGGGACAAAGGGATCGATCGATTACTTCCAGGGAGTTAACTTTGGTGTTTCCTCCCTTGAAACCCGGTAAAACTGTCCTTGTTGGCATCCAAGTGGTCTACTTGAACTGCTGGGATTCTGTTAAAACTTGGACATTCATTTTTGCAAGGTTCTTCGGTCTTGGTTCCCTTCACCACGCCACCAAAAAAGTTCCCGGTGTCAACATGGAAGGCTACAGCGCTTCCGAGGATGCAGGACCAAGCTTTTGCATCGGCCACCATGAGGCAAATCGTTCCATTGCCGTTACCCCTCAGGTGATCCAGAAGGTGCATGAGAGTAATGTAAGTCTATCCAAGGTTTGGACGCTACTTGTCTCACTGAAGCTGATTGAGATACTAGTATGATATGATGACCGTTCCTATTACGACACAGCATTTCCACACTAGGGTTCTGGGATTGCTTTCTTCGTACCTATCCAATGTTCCGTCTCCTACCTATGATTCTATTGGAACTATGGAAACTTCGCAGAATACGAGACCTCTGACAGTCCCACCGCTTTCAAAGTTGGACTCGAACCTCACGCCTAATGACGCGACAAGCCAGCTTGTTGGCGTTACCAGCAGCTGGATTGATCTATGCTCACCGGATCCATTGATTGCGGATTTGTCTCGTCAGGTGCTCATGCTGGAAGTGGCCTATGCTGCCTTCTGTGGCATCGGATATCTTCTGATTCCTGGCCCTAAGCTCCACCATGGCAGCTTGCACTCCGAAGGAGTAGTGTACTATGCCCGTGCAATTCAAGATGCCTTAAACTTGGGATCCTATATTCAATTCCACATCTGGCTTCCTATGGTAGACAACCCCGAGCTTGAGCTTGATACCATGGGTGACCTGGCTCCATTGGCACGAGAGGATTTCCTTCAGCCTGATGATGGAGTTCCTCCGAAATTGGATTTATTCGGAACCTGGGATGCATGGGATTTGATTCGAAAGACATGTAAATTCCATGCTAGGCTGTTTGTTGGTAAGTAACGTAGCTCCTCGCAAAGATTCTAGAACCATCATCTTACTCGATCAACAGCTCTTTCGATGCCAAAACAGCTCCCACCTCTTTTCGTACAATCGCGTTGGCATTCTGAGCCGGTGCACTTGCTCACCATTGACGCCTCGGCTTTTCTCAAGAATCAGAAAGCATATCCTGTGTTGTCGAAGGCCCACCAGGCTTTGATAGCCAAGCTTATGCGTCTTCGAACACCTCCATGGATTCTCCTCTGTGGTGTCGGCCCGATCCCAGGCTTTGAAGCTGAGGATGATGCTGAGACGAGTCGGTTATCAGGCTCGGATTACCCTAGCCTGTCACAGGTTGCTGGTAGCAACAAGAAGCACTTTGACCCCACGCCTCATCTATCCTATTTACGGAACTTGCAGCAGCGACAGCCGCCACGTACCCCTATTGAAAGATTTGGCACCGGTTACCAGGATTACCTCCAAGCGCCTCTGCAACCCCTCACAGTTAACTTGGAAAGTATCACCTACGAGGTTTTTGAAAAAGATCCAATCAAGTACGAGTGGTACGAGAAGGCCATTTGTAAGGCCCTGAAAGATTGGGCAGAACAGAAGAAGCCTACCTCCCACCCGGATGGCAAAGTCATTCTGGCTGTTGTGGGCGCTGGTCGCGGACCTTTGGTGACAAGAGCAATCAAGGCCAGTGCCGAAGCAGGAGTGGAGATCGATCTGTGGGTAGTCGAAAAGAACCAGAACGCATTTGTTCTCTTGCAGCGACACAACGAAACCATTTGGGATGGCAAGGTTACGCTTGTCCAGTCAGACATGCGCAGCTGGAAGGGTCCTCAGGTGCGAAAGCAGACTATTGCGGGAGACAATGAAAATGTAGGAGAATCTCTCGGGATCCAAGACTCCCTTCTATACACACCGAAAAATGGTGATAATGACCCTGGCCGGACAACTGACTTCTCTGGCTCTAAGACTTCCGAGCTTTCGTACACCCATGTCGACATCGTGGTGTCGGAGCTTCTTGGCTCGTTTGCCGACAATGAGCTGTCACCCGAGTGCTTGGATGGTGTCAATGATCTCATCAACCCAGTTCATGGTATCTCTATTCCTGCCTCATACTCAGCTCACTTTACTCCGGTTTCAGCCCCAAAGCTGCACTCGGATGTCATGAACCAGACAGTTTCCAACCCGGCAGCCCCAGAGACACCTTATGTAGTCATGCTTCACGCCATCGACTTCTTGTCGACAACTGACTCCGATTCTGCCAATCAAATTGCTGCCAACCGTTCCTCGGGCTCAGGCAATATCACAGCGGCGACAGAATTCCCAACTCCCCTTGTCAAAACAGCCTGGTCTTTCTCTCATCCAAATCCAAATATCCCTGTCCAGTCCCCGTCTCAATCCACCATCTCGAATGCGCACAACGTCCGTCAAACTCGCCTGTCTTTCCCTGCACAGAACCGCGGCACGTGCCACGGCCTGGCCGGGTACTTTGAGACAGTTCTGTACGGGGATGTTGAGCTCTCCACTAACCCTGTGACCATGGAAGAAAAAAGTGCCAGTATGATCAGCTGGTTCCCTATTTACTTCCCACTGAAGGTAAGAACAGATGATGCCTTTGCTCATGCTATACTCCGAACCTTCTCTACGTGTATGTGGTTTTCTCCCAGCACAAATGCTAATGTCTTCTTAACTAGACTCCACTTAACGTCCCTGATAACGGTGAGATCGTTGTCACCATGTACCGCCAGACTGATAACCGCAAAGTCTGGTATGAATGGATGGTAGAAGTATTTGCCCTTGAACGTACCTCCGCACCTCCCACCCGGGTTAGCACACCGGCTATGAGCGGTGCTCGCCTGGGTTCTCCTAGTGCAGAGAGCCTTAAGGGCAAAGAAAACAACCCAGGACCTCGTGGCGGAGCCAATCGAGCAGGGTATCGTCGTGTGCGGGTGGGCTTGAGTGAATTACACTCAAGCATTAAAGATGGGTGCTTGATGTGATGAGATGATGCCATTTTGGAAAGAGGCTTCTTCGACATGAAGGCTTTATATCGATCAACCTTTTGGGACAAGGCATGAGCTGCATATCTATATGACTGCTTCGAGCTAATTCACCTGATGCATTCCAAATATATTGTAAATTCTGGCCACGAGATCTACTAAGGTGGGTCCATGCACAGTCCAGCGGCGTCACAAATTACGATATTTCTTGTCGTGTTTCTCATTCTCGATTGGTTTATTGTATGTGACAAAGTGGTAAATGAGCTCGAACTACAGTAAGCTTCATTAATTTTGTAATATCCGGGCCTGTGAGTTAAGCGATGTGGTTAGTTTTGCCTTTTTTTTTTTTTTTCTAGTGCCTCATACCTGTAGAGAATCATCTGCCCTGGCAGGATCTTGAGACCGCAAATTTAAGGGGTATTTATCTCACACATACTGGCACTGTACTCTATCTCGGGTATCTGGGCCTATATATGTTGGTTGATGAATAAGGCATAAGGATGATCTTAATTGAACGAGCGGTAGAGCGAGCAAGATTGAGCAGATCTTTGATGAATTTACCGAGTCTTTCATTATACTGCCGATCGAGAATGTTCACTTATCTAAACCTTTTCTCTTCAGTCGTATGTGCGTTGAGCCAAGAACTTGCATCCCGTAACTCAATTTCCAGTGTCAAGCGTAGGTCTTATCAATTTTGTGTCTTCTCCACATGTAGCATTTGAGATGATTTGTGATTATGATTGAGAATTTCACTGAGAAATGCGCCTTTGCGGCCAAATTAGAGTTCAATTTCCCCTGGAGGCTCAAGTGAAATCCAAGGGTCGAGGGAACTTCGGAGAACACCGCATTCCCAGAGCTGAGCCTCGGATATGCTTGTGATTGGGTGGGTCCAGCATGATGAGATCAGTGGCTTTCGGGACTGCTTTTGCCGAGAACCTCAGCGTGAACTACAATACGATCTATGGAGCAACTATTGAATCTGTCGTGTAACCTAGGGCTAGTGTAACAAGGTTCAATCCGCTGCAGAGTGGCACAAGCTGAATAGTTCCTGCATGATTGAGCTTGGTGGCGGAAGGCCATGCCCACGAGTCACCCACGGATCGACATTCTCGTGCCATTCCAGTTTGTCTTCAGCATTCCACATGAAAGTCAATATGACCCTGTCCCGCGTGGTTGACACGATCAGCGTTGTCTCAAATCCTTCCCGGGACACCGCCGAATGCAGTAAGATGCCCGTGGGGTCCCGGCGTCGGCCATGGATCTTGTCATCGCCAAGCGGGAACCATGGACTTTAATCAATCGGAATCGGATGAGGAAAAGCGGGTCCGATCTGCATTCATTGGGTGCTTAACGCAAAAGACACCATCGCCCCGAGGTAGGCCCTGCGAACAGTTAATCGGCACGCCGATCACCACGATCTTGGCCAATCGCACGTCCATTCCATGGTCACCAGGGTTCTGTCCACCGGTACAATGAGAAACCGATACAGGAACCAGGTCATTGCCGTTGGGGTACACCCTGTAGAGCTTGGGGTACATCTATAGAGGACCCCCCGTCCGACGCAGAATCTTCTCTCCACAGCCTGCTCGATTTACAATTCAATCGGTCACTCGGATACTATGCGCTTCTCAATCTTGTCAGTCCTTTCAGCGCTTTCAGCCTTGGGTCATGCGCTCCCGAACAGCCTGCAGACGCGAGGTAAGATCTTCTCCCTGGACTTTTTTTGTTCCTGGACTCACCATCTTGTAGACGTCACTGCCGATGAGCTGTCGGACTTCAAGTTCTGGGTTCAGTATGCTGCCGCTGCCTACTGCTATGACAGCTACACCGCAAAGGCCGGCTCCAAATTGGCCTGCTCTGCCGGCAACTGTCCCGATGTCGAGGCTGCCGGCGCCAAGATCGTCTACGACTTTTCCAAGTAAGCTAAACTACTCTTCACAGCAGCAAACTCATGATTTCTAATTACAAACAGCACTACCATTACCGATACCGCTGGATTCGTAGCATTGGACGACACCAACAAGGCAATTGTCCTATCTTTCCGCGGCTCCTACTCTGTTCGCAACTGGCTCGCCGACGTCGACTTCCCCTACACCAACCCTGGCCTCTGTGATGGCTGTGAAGCGGAAATGGGCTTCTGGAACTCCTGGGCATTTGTCAAAGACCCTATTTCCAAAGTCCTCGACGAGACCGTTGCCTCCAACCCCGACTACGAACTAGTCGTTGTAGGCCACAGTCTCGGTGCTGGTATTGCTACCCTTGCGGCTGCTGACCTTCGCGGAATGGGACACCCTTCGATCAAGATGTACGCGTTTGCTTCGCCTCGCGTCGCCAATCCCGCATTGGCCGACTACATTACCGCCCAGGGAAACAATTACCGCTTCACCCATACCAACGACCCTGTCCCCAAGCTACCTCTGCTTGCAATGGGCTATGTTCACGTCAGCCCTGAATACTGGATCACTTCGGGCAATAATGTTACAGTTTCGACTAGTGATGTTCAGAAGCTTGAGGGTACGGTTAACTGGAACGGCAACACTGGAACCGGTGTTCCGTTAATTTCGGATTTCGCTGCTCACCACTGGTACTTTGAGCGAGCGGATGGATGTTTGGGAGCTGGTCTTCCTTTCAAGGCCTAAGATACCTAACAATCCCCATTATTTGTAATTATAGAGGATATAAGGGAGTTGTTAGATGTAGACTGGAGTGTATATCTATATTATAGGTATCTCAATAACGCCGGGTAGAGCAGCCATGCAGGACTGTTAAATGAGACAGCGTACAAATAGAATAATATTCAAGCATATCAAAAACGCGTTCCGGGTTCAAGTCATGTCACTTCAAGAGAGACCACGCAATTTGCCCCATCAACCAATTGGCCACAGAATGTTCTCATTCGGCTTGCACTTCATCATTTAGTCTGCGCATTGTGGCCATTATGGTTCTCAGTCAGAGAAAGGACCAAACGAGAAGAATCTTTCCATAATAATGGCCGTAATCACGGGGTATCTAATGCAGATACTTATCAATGGCTTGGGAGGGTTGCTAACATAGTGATGAATTGCGCTAGAGCCGACCTAGGTAGCACATGAGCAAGCTTGACGTTCCTCTAAATGAATATCACATCGCAGAGCCTGGTGGATAAATATATTATGGAAATTTCAAATGAAGTTGAATTCACCTTGATCGTCAACCTTCCACAAACGAACCTTTCACGCGTTCAGGCACATTTATGACAACCTGAGATTTTTTTTCTTCCTCTTCATCGTCTCTTTCTCGACCTCATTTTTCTTTAGTCCTCGTTGTGGTTCTGACTTTCTTACGTTCCGGCCTCATATCGACCACAGATCTCCAGGGGGGTTCAGAGCAAGCTGAGCCCCAAGCGGCTCAATTTGTTTCCCTTCATATGATCTTTGGCCCCAATCTCGATAGGACAAAGGCTTTCATCAATGGCAAACATGGACACCACGAATGATCTAACGATCTACCCTCGAAGTACTGAGGGGATTCAATAGGTCCCGTGTTCAATTCGTTCCCAAGCAGATATGTTTTTGGATCTTACTTTTTGAATTAAAAGTCCGAGATGATCAACCATACTGTATATTGAAAAGTGCATCTAATATCAAACGTCAAGCTGATCAACAACAAGCTATATGTATTAACAATGTCGTAGCCGCTCAAATACTATGCCTTGCAAGTCTGGGGCCTGAGCAGGGTCCTGGTCTCCGGTATCAAGTATAAGCTACCACTTCACCAGGAAAGATAAATCAGATTCTCTTATTCCCTGGCTATTTCGGCTCCCCATTATGGACCTGGGCAGGTCCTCACAATCGATTACTCGGGGGAAATCTCAATGACAATCTTCTTGGCCGAAACGCCCGCTCGCATTAGGTCAATGCCCTCCTGGACCTTACTCAACCCACCATGGATCAGATGAGGATCCGGCTTCGCTTGAAATTTGCCAGCAGCGAGTGCCGAGGGCATGAACTTATGCCAGATGGCATCACCCACATGCGCAGCGGAAAAGCCAGGGTCCAAACAGATTACTGTGAAAATGTTAGAAAGAATCTTCGTCATTGCAGATATACTTCTACCTACTCATAGAAGGCGTCACAGTGCTGGGGAACGTTCCCGCGGGATAGTTGACGATCGGAAGTTTGCCTCCACCAATTATCTCAAGAATCTCGGCACATGTTTTCTGTGTTTCCTTCGAGGCGATACAATCGAAAATATAATCACCCGGTCTCAGAAGGCTAGTCATCCGGTCGACCGCACCAGAGTCCTTATAATCGAATATATGGGAAGCGCCGAGGCTTTTCACATACTCATGGTTGGCGCTGCTGGCTGTAGTCACAACCTCAAGTCCAGATGCAACGGCGAGCTGGATGGCTGAGCTACCAACGGAGGAGGCACCTCCCCAAATGAGGATCCTCTTCCCAGTGGGCGATGGCGCCAGCGAAGGAAGCGGCAGCTCTAGATGTACATAAAGTCCTGTCGCGGCGGTATCAACTGAGATTGGAAGGACAACTGCATTGGCCAAGGGCAAGGAGTCTGGGACAGGGGAAACCAGGTTCTCGTTGCAGGTGCTGTATAGTTGATATCCCATGTTCGTGGTCTTTTTGGTGAGAAGCCCATCGCAGTGGCTGAAAGAATATTTAGCTGCCCTTGTTGCACACAATTATTCGATATTTCCGTGTTATTTACCCCATCACTCTCTGACCAGTTTCAAACTGGGTAACCTTTGAGCCAAGTTGAACAACGGTGCCCGCGACATCAGTGCCAAGAATGAAGGGGTATTCAAAAAAGGCTTCTGGTGCGTCTTGCAGCTTCAGAGAGGAGAACTTCTGAGCTTCGAGTCTAAGTGTATGGGTGACATTGGCTCTCTTACCTTCCAATCCACGGGGTTGACAGCTGAATAAGCGACCTTGATCACTACCTCGTTTTCTGAGGGGTTTGGCGCGGGTCCAGGTCCGACCTGGACGGGAGGAGAATTGGCACTCGGCAGCCAAGCAGCTTCGTTCACGAATGATGACATGGCTAGTAGGTCAAAGAATGAACTTTGGAGAGACGTCTGGAAGGTATTCGGATCTAAAGGAAATTAGAAGATGTGTAAGATAGAAGATCTGCGTGGTGGAAGTCTTGGGAGTATTTATATCGAAACATCAGGCAGCACTATAGTTCAGTGAACAAAGTTAAGCAAGCATTCCATTCCAATAAGGGCTCTCGTAATATTAAACTGATTATAAATCTCGATAGGTAAGCAAGCCCCGGTGATTTTTAATGGTCAATCCTTCGATCCCTTCGGCGCCCCATTACACGTGAAATGGATTTCAGACGTTCTAATTCGTCGCCCTCACGGACGAACCTTATTTCCGTCCACCCAAAATGCAACATTGGGAAGCCAATTTGAAGTATATAAAGCTATTTGTATTAACTTCCATGGTGCTCTCCGGATTCTTTGGCAATTCATTTAAGGTTGAAATTGGTACCATCTCGAGGGTGCCCAGACCGGTAATTATTCGGAATAGCTTTGTAGAAACTCAGCCAACGACTGAAGCTACCATACATGGACTAGCTAGATCATAATTCAGGCTCTCAAGCGCTGCAAATCCTAACTCATTGTTTGAGGTTGTCAAATGGTCCTTTGAATGTTAATGGGCAAGAGATTCATGACATAAACTAAAGAAATCGGCTTGGAGCCTAGCTGCCTAAACGTCCAGCAGCGCTATACTGATCAGAAAACGGAAAGCTCGACACTACGGGTGTTATTGCCATGCATACATAAGGACGTCTGAAGGTGTTTCACCCTTCTATTCAATTCTAACCAATGGCCAAGGCTGTGCTTTGCCAACCTGTGCAGAATTGTGCCTTGGAGATTAAGAATAAGAACACTACGCACCTGCTCACGCAGACCTTCGGTGGCGTTGATGGAACACATTTCTACTCTACAGAGCCCAAGACGATATGTAGGGTTCGACAAGATCCGAACATGAGCTCATGCTAGGTTGACAAGGATATCGAAATTGAATCAGGTACGTTTCGTAGGGCTGCCCCTATTTCGGCGGCACGAACCGAACGATCAGCGCATATGCACGTAGCTAGGGGTGAAATAGGAAAAAGCAAAATCATCCGCGAATGACGGATAACCAAGGGCGATTATTTCAAGTCCCACTCATGAACCAGGCTTGCGACTGTGGGTTTCGAATTCGGAATTGAGCGTGACTTGTTAGATCGAAGCTAGAGCATTGTCAGAGCGCTGATCATCCGAACTACGACGCAACCCTTGGCAAACCCCCTTGGCAAGTTCATGTCGTCGTCCTCATTTATCAACTGGCGGTGGGCCGACAGTTGTTCTTTGACGAATGCCCCATAAATAAACATTAATCAATGATTGGCGCAACGCGTACGGAATGGATAACAGCTCACCCGTTCTCTTCTAAGCTCCTCGGTCCTTGAGCTTCCACGCCACCCCGGGACCACCAGCCAAGAAAAAAAGACCATTGAGGATCAGGTCCGGGTTTGTTTGCTCACAGCCTCATTGAGCATTGTTTTTCCCGGGAGAGGACGCTGATTCGGCGCAGCAGTGGCACTGGGAAAAGATTTTGACGGGAGTACGTACTCCGCCGGCTAGATCCGTCATAGTCCGAGTCCAAACCACGCAAGCGCTCTCGTCATCAACCAACCCAAGCTTTTTGAGTGGAGTCGCCATTGATTGATTTTAACCACTCTGCTCTGCGTTTGTGCGCCATCCCCTGGCCCACTTCACCTCGATATGGCCCCACGAACCAATCAATGAACCATTCGGCCTGAGACACTTGACTTATCGCCTTTGATAAGTGGGGTGGGAATTGATGTCCCCAGCCATGGGCACACTGGCGTACTTGTTTCGCGGCCATGGTACCTAAGCCAAATATAAATAGATGATTTTAGCGATTTATCACCCCAGTTATACCCGCTTTGTGGCCCAGCAAACTACTTTCGCTTCACATATATTGGGACTGCTCCAGTCTGTTACCTTCGTTTTCACCATCAGTGAAATTCCTTTCGTTTTGGGTGCCGGATATCACTCGTTTTTACATACACAATGAAGTCTTTTCTGAAGTGGACGGCCGTGACCCTGGCCGCGGCCCAGCTTGGTGCTGCTCAGACTTACACTAGCTGCAACCCGACCAAGAGTTCGTGACTATATGCCCCGATTTGGGATGAATGTGTGTCTGACTATCTTCATTAGAGACCTGCCCTTCCGACAAGGGTCTGGACAAGTGGGAATACTACGTTGACTTTACCGAGTCTGGCTCTCTCGATGCCTGGAACATTACTGCCAAGCCCGTTACTCAGACTTCTCTCGGTGCGAAGTTTGAGATCGCCGAGGAGGGCGAGGCCCCTACCATCGCCAGTGAATGGTACATCTTCTTCGGTCACGTTGATATCAAGATGAGAGCCGCCAACGGCACCGGTATTGTCAGCACATACATCCTGGAGTCTGGCGACCTGGATGAGATTGACTGGGTGAGTCATCACCATACACAACCCACGAGTGTGAATCTTTATATCTAATCATACCAAACCCAACAGGAGCAAGTTAGCACCTACACCCAGGAGATTCAGACCGACTACTTCGGTAAGGGTAACACCACCGGCTGGGACCGCGCCACTACCGTCAATGTCACCAACCCCGAGACCGAGTTCCACACTTACAGTATCGACTGGACCGAGGAGCGCATTGAGTGGCTTATTGATGGTGATGTCGTCCGCACCCTGAAGTACGACGATGCCAATGGCGGAAAGAACTTCCCCCAGACCCCCTCCCTGCTGAAGATCGGTATCTGGGCCGGTGGTGACTCCTCCAACTCTGAGGGTACCATTGAGTGGGCTGGCGGTGAGACTGACTTTGACGACGTTCCCTTCGTCATGTACGTCGAGTCCGTCAAGGTTATCAACTACAACCCCGCCCAGTACTACAAGTACAGCGACAAGACCGGTGACTACTCCAGCATCAAGATGTTGAACAGCTCTTCGTCCTCCTCTCTGTCCAACACTTCCAGCTCTTCTTCCTCGTCTAGCTCTTCCGGTTCTAGCTCTTCCGGTTCTAGCTCTTCCGGTTCTAGCTCCAGCTCCAGCTCCAGCTCTACCAGTGCTTCGGCTTCTGCTTCCAGCTACGCTACCTCCGCCGCCTCCACCCTCTACTCCTCCGCATTTGTGGTCTCCATGATCGCTTTCGCTGTTGGTGTTTTCCAGCTTTAAATCACTGTATATTGTTGAGTCATGTTGACATGTTTCCGTGGATGGGATTGAGATTATAGATATACCAACCGCTTTCGTTCCTTTACATATTTGACAAATATTTATTCCATGGGCTTGTTGAGGCTTCAAATGCTAATTTGGAAGTTCTCTCTGGGTTCGATGGCAGGTTCCACGTGTAATAATAAAATAGAATTATAAACGAAAACAAGCCACTGACTGCTCTAAAGTTTCATGCATATTCTTAGTTGGATTCAGGGATCAACCCATCGCTTGGGTACCGAAATTTCACGTTCGAATAAACTCATAGATCAGTTCTATCGGATGATAGCTTATGATTGGCAAGCCACCGCTGCTCCGAGTAAGCCGAAATCGCCAAGAAAGGCTCGCCAAGACCTAGTAAGCTTCCCCGCGAAGTAGAATTCCGGGGAGGTGTCCGAGATTTAGGAATGCGACATGAGTATTTTAATAATGTCCCCCGCTCACTTCTCCCTACATTCTGAAATATCGTGCTCTTGTCGAGTTCATGACCAATTCGCTTTTGTAACACAGCTCATCTTCGTCTTACCCCAGTCAGCATGGACGCGGAAGATACATCCACCCGGAAGAGGAATGGTCATGGAGTCGCCGAAGAGATCGAGAGCTTCCACGACAATGAGATTCGTACCGACGAATTGGAAGTACCGAAGCTGATTGTTAATAACCGGGAAGAGTTCGAAGCAAAGTTTGTTCGAAAGCTGGACATGAGGTTACTGCCCTTGATGATGTTGATTTGTATGGCATCCCACAACGTCGAGATTCAGATTGTTTGCGTACTCGCTAACAGTTGAAGACGTCTTGAATTACCTGGATAGAAACAATATCGCAACTGCACGTCTTGGGACTTTGGAGAAAGATCTTGGGCTCCATGGCAATCAATACAATACAATCATCAGTATGTGGTCAAGGTTACCGGAATCAAGAATGATCACTTCTAACCAACACCAGGTCTTTTTTTTGTCGGATATATCTTGACTCAAATTCCGACTAATATGATTCTCAACAAGATGAGACCATCCTTATTTCTGGTAAGCCTCTGAGGGTCTAGCCACGATTTGAAGCTGACTGCGTATCAAGCCAGGTGTTATGTGTTGCTGGGCCATTGTCAGTAGCTGCACCGGCGCAGTGCAGGATTATCAAGGATTGCTAGCCTTACGTTTTATTCTTGGCTTCGTTGAAGCGCCATTCTTCCGTACGTTGTACATCAAGTTCGAAATCGGATGACAGAATCTAATCAGACTTGCAGCCGGTGCCTTGTTTCTCTTCTCTTCTTGGTATACTAAGAAAGAGCTTGCTGCCCGCATCTCTATCCTCTACGTTGCTGCTCAGATATCTGGAGCCTTTGGTGGCCTTCTTGGTAGCGCCATCATGTCTGGAATGGATGGAAAGGCTGGACTACCAGCATGGAGATGGTTATGTATGATCTTAATTCCTACTCGACTACAATTGGCGTGCTTACAAATTGACAATATAGTTATAATAGAGGGGGCCGCGACAATCCCAGTAGCTCTTTTGGCCATGATGACCTTACCAGACTACCCAGCAACTACCAAGTGGCTCACCGACGAGGAACGCATACTGGCTATCACTCGCCTAGCAGAGGATGGAAATGAGAGCGACCACGATGAAACGAGCAACAGATTCGAAGGTCTGAAACTTGCGTTCGGGGATCCAGTCCTCTACATCATCTGGCTTATGCAGCTGGGACTCAACACCTCCGCCTGCTTTACCAACTTCTTCCCGACCATTGTCGCGACATTGGGATACGGTACTACAGAAACATTGCTACTATCTGCACCACCATACATCTTTGCCGCAATTATAAGTGTGATCAATTCTTTACATAGCGATCGAGTAAGCGAGCGCTGGCTTCACGTGGTGTGGCCCCAGATATTCAGCAGCATTGGGTTCATTATTAGCGCCCTGACACTGAATGTGGCAGCACGATATATCTCCACTTTCATGATGATGTCAATTTACGCGTCGTTTGGGTGCATTCTCTCTTGGGTATCTACGTCTTTGCCGCGGCCTCGGTCTAAGCGCGCGGTCGCTTATGCAGTTGTCAATGCGGGATCTAATTTCGCGTCCATATACGCTAGCTACTTTTATCCGTCTTCGCAGGGGCCGAGATACTGGCAGGCAAACGTGGCGAACGTGGCTTTCTGCGGACTGTGTATTCTGATGGCTACCCTTTTGCATTTTACGCTACGGCGGCGTAATGGTCGTCTGGACAGGGCTGCAGATGTAGATATTACGGATGGGCGTGGTCCGATTGATCAGGGATCAGAATGTCATCATTTGGCGATGCGGTGGAACTGTCATCCAAATTATCGGTACACTACTTGAGTGCACTGATTACGGTAGAAGTCGAGAACTTGAAGCATGGTAATTCGTGATACTTCAATCCTGCGCTGTAGGGGTGTTAAAATTGCTTGTCTTGAAATAAATCATAACGGGAAGATACAAATATGGCATGTCATAGGAGCTTTAAGGGGTCGTGGGTGAAAGCAGTAGGACTGAAGACGTAAATCAGTATCGAGTTGGGTAACCTTAACATGCATTGCGTCTGGGATCCCATGGGGCAGTGGTAGGCTGCACAGATCAATGGGAAGAAAGGGGAGAGATTATTCTATGTACTCATTTGGACAGGCTGTGATACTGGAAAAGTATTGCTATCAAGATGTCTGAAGAAGCCTCTACTGATGAATCATATATACTCTAGTTCAAGCCCATGTTTCTCCCGTCAATATTCACGTGCCCGATGTTTCTTGTTTAACCTCAATTAGTCCCGACAAGGTGATGTCAAAGACGCAATGCATTACGCCAGGCGCGTACGTCTTGACATGCTCCACATGACAGCATTCGGTTTTTGGTTCTTGCAGAATCTCCTGCTTACGCTGAGCATGGGCTCGAAACTTCGTAATCTGTGTCATTATCTCCTCCTTCTTCTCTTCAATCCCCCGCACATCGACATTCTCATGAACGTGGAGCCAGCCTCCTCGCTGCGGATCAAGTACCCGGCATGCATTATCCCAAGATGGTTGTGATGATGGCAAGAGCCCCAAGTTGACATGTCGCACGGGACTCCATGTGTCTGATTGTTCCATAACATCTCTGATTTTCCCCAAAATGTTGGCTGCAAACTTGTTGTCTCCGTGGAAGACAACAACCCGGTCCGATTCCGTCAGACTTTCCACAAGGTCTATGACGGGTGATTCGGTTTGACCGTCCTCTAGGATACGGACAACTTTACAGCCCCATCCATTCGCTTCGCATCCTCGCCGCAGGCCCTCCACGGACCAGCCGTTGAGTTCCCATCCCCATACCCGCTTGACGCCTCGCTTTAGATAGGAAAAGACAAAATAACCGATACCTGCGTACATATCGACAACGCTGATGTCTGCTGGTGACTGGTGCAAGGATTCCTTGTCTAGTCCTTGGAATGTACCTTGGCAGGGTCCATATCCCAGAATTCGCGCTTTTTCAGTGATGTTTCCTCGTGAGAACATTGTATAGAACGGTGCCCAGATCTGGACTATGCCTTTATTCTGCACCGTCCGTACCCAAAGCGCCGAATGCAGGTCCTTGGCTTGAGGCTGTGCTTTTTCATCGCCAGAAGTTGAAATTATGCATAGGTCTTGGAAGTCACCATAGAGGGGAACCAGACCGGCAGGACTGCGCATTCGGTTTTCCAGCCCTTGGGTATTCGTCAAAGATATAAAGGAATTTATTGCAATATGAGTGACGCCCTGTCGCTTAAAGGCTCTCGCTATCGAAGCATATAGTTCTTCGCGTCGTTCGGATGGTAACGCTGCGTAAAATTTGTTCCATGCAGGGGGTGCATTGAACGTGTTTGCTGGGAGAAGTAAAAGGGGCTCATAAACGGTGAAGCGTTTCGGAAGGGCAATTTGCATTATTTCAACCGGTATTCCGATGTTGGCCAGGAGAGTTTTAGATTCCGGCATGTCCAGAAATTCCGTGATTCCCGTGTGCAATGCATTGTAGTTTTTTGAAGGCCGAGTAGAGTTTGAGGATTTCTCTGGACGCTGACACATACTTTGAATCTTGAGTTGGCGCGTCTGGATTGTTGTTGTCGCCATGTTCATTTAAATGCGGGGGTCGATATGAGAGACCTTCACGATGCCCGGTGTTTGGGAAACGCAGGACTTGAAGCTGATTATGCCGGTCAAATTTTATAGTCTCATCGGTACAAGAGCCTGTGGTCCTTTATCCCAGGACTCTTCTCACTTGCTCAGCGGTACAACTGCTCGTGTTGTGTCGCAAAGATAGCTTGGCCTTTGAAGTCTCCAGCTGTTAAAACCGAGTGCACGTGACCGGTTGCATACTATGCATACCCTCCCCATGGCTCCTGCACAACACCCAACCAGACGTTGGATGAGATTGACAATATGGTTGATAGGTAAGACGATTCCAGCGATTATTTCAAATGGTCTAGGATAAAATCTGAAAGTATTTACTGGCTTCTTAAAATTCCCCGATAAGCTTCCGAGCCGTGGACTCGATATAGACTTGCGAGGCCCAGTCATCAACCTTGGAATATTTCATTCTAAGGTTTCCCTCCCGTTCCAAGCATTCAGATCGAGATCTTCAATAATATTTATTGTTGATTTACAGTGATTTCCCCGAAAGCGGGTCTACACAATCCCCTTCGGGCGAGGCCATATCTTTGACTAATACTTAATCGATCCGGTCCCTCATACTACGTCAGTGGTGCGGCGATGGAATTAGTTTATTCATATTAATCATGAAAAGTTAAAATGCAAATGCCTGTGGAGTACGTTTTCAATGTGGCCCGGATAGGCGCTCTGACCAGGTACTTTATCAACTATTGGATCCGATTCAGGGGTTCATTTTCTAGTTATAAGGATATGATGCAGAAAGTCGACAAATTGAGCCCATGTATTGTATAGAAAGCGGCCATAGCTTGTTTCCACATCAGTTTAGCTACCAAGCAGAGTATCTGTACAGAATATCGGCCACCAGGATCAAGATGATTGGGCATCAAGTTGGCCGCTCGGCGAACTCTCGGGCAGGGGAACCACTAAATTACCTAACGAGCAACCAATGAGAAAGCCGACCGCCAAGACTTCACCGAACGCACAAAAACCGAAATCTCTGCCCGGATGACTCAGCCACATCGACCAATCACAGCCCCCAATGTTACGTTTCGGCCATGTTACAGCCCCTTGCAGCACGGCCAAGGATTGTCTCATCCATGCCTAATAGTGCGCCCCCGGAAACTCAAACGTCATGGTCGTAGCTTATCTTCCCCAGTCTGAGAAGGAAGACCATGATGATCATCCGCATCTAGAGCCGCATATCTCCTCGTTCGCCGGCCGGCTCGGTGGTAACCAGGATTTTGTCCTTGACCGGAATGACCCCAGGAATGTCGAATTGCTGGAGAAGGTGCCCGATGCGGCTCCGTGCATGACGTTCGCCGAGATCTTCGATCTGAAGGGCTTCTATAGTCTAGATCTATGGAAATTCGCGATGCTGGAATGCGTCGGTAAGATCCCAATCCCACGTCACGTTCCAGGACCCAGTTGAGGGTTTGTGCGTTCACCAATGGCTGACACCTTTCTTTTCATAGCGAGTATGATGAATGTCTTTATCTCCTGTTGGGTTACTACGCATCCCATGGCGGCTACGACCTATCCCACGGCTGGGGCTGGTATCTATGATACCGTTACCTTTTTCTCGCCGCTGTTCGGAGGCATCACCAATCTCCTCATGACTCCACTATTGATTTACACCTTTGGCGCGTCGAGTGGAGGCCATATCAGCCCGACCATCACAATGGCGTGTTTCTTTGCGCGGATCATCTCCTTCCCGCGGATGATCCTATACATCGCTGGGCAAACGCTGGGCGGTGCTCTTGCGGGATTCGCGCAAAACACGGCCTACGGTAACCGGAATTTTACCGTAGGAGGATGCCACATCGATACGAGCTTTGTGGCACCGAAGGATGGTCTGGTCATTGAGTTCATGGCCTGCCTGATTGTGATTTTCCTGGCTTTCGGCGTCGCCCTTGACCCTCGTCAAGCCAAGGTCTTCGGTCCTGCCGTTGGCCCGTGGTTTGTGGGTATTGTTGTGGGAGTGGTATGCTGGGCAACCGCTTTCACTCGCGAGGGATACATTGGAGCGAGTAAGTACCACAAAACCAGGGGATGAGGGAAGAAAAGGAGACCCCAAACAAGTAAAAGCCAAAAAGAAAAGGAAACCATCAGGGGGCTTTTGGAACCAGTTAAATAACCTTTCTGCAGGTCTTAACCCGGCGCGGTGCTTCGGGGCCTATGTGGCGTCGGAATTTCCCACTTATCATTGGATCCACTGGGTGAGTCTCCCGCCTGAATTATGATCTTCGATGGGGATTATGAATCTCTTATCAGGAGTGTTTGTACTGACCTTACGTAGGTTGGACCATTGGCGGCCTCTATCGCGCACGGTCTGGTGTACTTTGTTGACCCACTTTGGACCGAGACGCGGAGTTCGCCGTGATTCGCCGCTCGGCCGTCCTTATCTCTCGGAGGCCGCCCCTGGCCGATTGAAACCACAAGGTTTTGTGCATGAATTACCTAACATTTGAACATATAGCTATAGGCCACTTGATGATTTGTACAGTACATCAAAAAGGCACAGACACGCATAGATAGACATAGATTTCGAGCCCCTGATAGGGTCCATGAGCAAATTTGAGTGACTTGCATTTACACTAATCAGCGTTCGATGCGCAGAACATAATTCCTCAAAAGTAGGCTACGAGGATAATGATACCCCCTTGCCACTTGTTGAGGTATAGGGCTAGCTTGATATTCGAAAAGTCATTGTGCGTTTAATGCCGAGAAAATCCAGAGGCATATCGAAGATTTAAGCCACAGCTACACACAACCCGCCCACGGCACAGTCAACACAGCACACAAAATGATCAAAGCAGCGATTTACTGCTGAAAACAAACCCGAACGGAAACGCTAACGCTTGGAATGAGGGGAATATCTGGTCAAAAAGATAAAGAGGAGAGAGCATCCTTGGAAGTCCATACATAATGCATGGACAAAGTATGTTATATCAACGCCCGATGAGAAGCACATCAACGCCGCTTAGGAAAAAGACACCTGTGTTCACTTTGAGCAAGAAGTCAGCCTCGCTTATCCCAGCTCGGTGCAGTATATAGTTCATATGAGGCACACAAGGCACTAAAACTAAGCTAAGCTTTCTTGGTGGCGCAAAATGAAGGACGGCTCTATTTTCAGTAATCAATCGTGCCTAACCTGTCATTCGAGTCGACAACCCTAAAATCAGCGTTAGCAATTGAAAAGGAGCTAGAGTGAAATGATTTTCGAGATTCTTACGAATATTGTTTAGTGAGAGTTCCCTCCCCACCCTTCGACAGGTCAATGTTGAACACGTAAAAGTTCCCGTCACTGGTCACGACCATCACCTGAGGCGTATTATTGCTCATGGCAACCACACTCCGAAGCGGACCAGTGTTACCGGGTACAGCAGGTCCCTGCGACCGGGGCAGCTTGATCCATGCAAAATCCCGTGCTGGCTCCCACATCTCACTGACACCCTTGGGGAGATATCCGCCTACGCGAGCAGCAACGGCCCCTCCTACATTTTGAGATGTTCTTCGAATCATCCCGATCAGAGTACCATTGTGCTTTCTGGCTGCCAGGTCCGGGTCACCGGTCTCATCTTCATCTTGCCCACTTCCAAATGAGCTGGCCCCAATGCTGGCATTGCGACCGACTGGTGAATGCGCCGAGGATGCATCAGATGACGGCCCTTGCTGGGCCAACTTGAACAGATGGATGGTTTCCGTAGACGAAGAGACACAGAGAAGTGTGGACGTGGTGTTGAAGGACATGCTGAAGATTCTGGAAGGCATGGAACCACGTCGGAATTGGTATAACTTATGACCATCAGGGACCGAAAAGACACGAATGATAGTTCCCTTGTCCGAGGCAGTCGCAAGTAGGGTCCCGTCGCTGTTTAGAGTGATACAGGCCAAAGGCGACCGATGAGCTTCGATGACGTTTATCGCTTCGAGCTTCTCTGCATCGAATATGAGCACATCGCCGGTAGTGGGCGAGACATGTGTTGTCCCAGGTGGAGCATGGGCCGGTTGCTTCACCGTCGCAGGGGCTTTTTGGGGGAGAGGGTATGCCATATAGCAATTATCCGATGAGGGTGCCAACGCACAGATGGCTAAAGGAATATTAGCGAATGCTAGGGGGTAAAAAGGGTGCCAAATAGAAGATACCATGCGGGTTGGGTGATGTATCAATCGTGGATAAAAGCTTCATCGTCTGGATGTCATAAAGGTAGATCTGATCTTCCAGCACGATGACAAGGCGTTTGCGATTCAGCTTCACGGCCAGAACCGTTGTCGGGAACGTCAATTCACATATTGTACACTGGCGCTGTAAACCAAAAAAAAAAATTTATCAGATGCTGATCAGGTCTTCAATGTACGATAGCTGCCATGCCGCAGGCTCCAACGAACCTTGGTGTTCGTGATCTGTAATCGCCGAGGTGAAAGAATGAGTGCCACTAATGAGGTCGAAAAGAGCATCTCAATCACCGCAATATTCCCTTCTTTGGTTTCATAGCTCTTAGCAAAGGGTTCCGTGGTGAATATGCGGAAGCCCTTGGCGGTGGCTGGCTGACGTCAATAAATATGCTCGCTTTGAAGCTACCTCGTACCCGACCGGGTAAAGGGGGAGCTTACCAACAGCCAGGTAGCTGTAGTCCTGGTTGAATGTTACGAAGTTCATCGCCATCTTGGAGAGGTTATCAGTGGTTGTTGATGGAGTTGGTAGATATCAAAGCCGCGGTGACCCCGCTTGGAGAGAGGCGCGTGATGGGGCTAGGACAGCAAAGAGTCGCCCGTCACCGGTTGTGTCATATCATTGCCTCTCGATCTCACAGGTGAACAAATTGAAATGAACAAAGGTGTGGAAGGGAGCAAGTCTGATCTTTGAAGAGTCTTTAAGAGAACTTCGTCGTCGCAAGTGAGAGGTCGCCGGAGGGCGCTTGGGCCACACCTTGATTCCCCACCGCCCAGGAACTTCTTATCGATAATGAGGTCGCTCCCACTGATTCCCCCTCACACACTTTCAGGTCTACGATATGGCTCCAAAGCCACGATCGGCTGTAACGGAGGCCACAAAGGCCGACAAGGATGCAGATGCAGTCATGGGGGTATGTGTATGGAAGTCCCACAAGTAATTGCCCAGCTAACTAGCTTTGAAAGACAAATAACAGTAGTATCGCATCCAAGCGTAGCGTCGAGATGATCTACTACCCACAACCCCATTTCTATCGTTACTTCGTGAAAAAGCCTCAACGACGGCCGCCGATGATCAATCGTAGCTATTGGTTACGAATGTACACTATGACAGAGACGGTGCGACAATTTATTGCGAAAGCACCTACGGACAAGCCTAAATTCGTCCTGAACCTAGGATGTGGATTGTGAGTGTTGGGTGGAGTTCATATGGGAGAGGTGTAAATGCTGAGAGATGGTCGTAGTGACCCATTGCCGTTCATACTTCTCAGTGAGGAGCAAAAGTCGACGCGTAGTGGACATACTGTATTCGTCGATATCGACTATGAGAAGCTCATGGTTCAGAAGAAGGCTGCCATCCGCCAGACTAAGGAGATCACTCAGGTACTTGGGGACATAGATTTCGGCTCAGATGAGGATGTGATACAGATCAACAGCCCTCGTTATCGGGCCGTGGGATGTGACCTGAAGAACCTCAAGAAACTGAATGAGGTGTTGCAAAACAACATTCTGCCATCTGCTGACTGCTCTGTGCTGTTGCTTGCCGAGGTATCCTTGACGTATATGGATGTTCAGTCGGCGAATGAGGTCATCAAGTGGGCTTCCAAATTAACCAATGGTGAGTTATACCTTCTGTCGATCTATATTGATGTAACTCCAAGGCTGGCAACTAGCTAACGTTGGGACTTACAATTTCTTAGCTGTCCAATTCTGCATTCTAGAGCAGTTTTCCCCCGACGGTCCCGAGCACCCATTCACAAAGACCATGATGGCGCATTATAATAAGCTAAATGCACCATTGCATTCCATCCATGAGTTCCATTCACTGGCGGAGCAGGAACAACGATTCAAGAATGCCGGGTGGGCTTCAGCCCGAGCCAGAAGTCTGTGGGATCTGTGGTCTGACAGTTCTTTCTTACCGGAGTCAGTCCGGACAGAGCTGGATTCGTATGAGGTGTTCGATGAATGGGAAGAATTCGCGCTCTTTGAGTCGCACTACTTCCTGTTAATTGCATCCAATATCCCTGAGAGTTGCCAGAACACCAATGGTCATCCAAACACGGCCGATGATTTCTGTAGAACGTCTAACGATTTTGTCCTGAATGCGCATTGTCCTCCCAACAAACGTGGCCGCCGGCGATATGGCGCAGTTGTTCCAGGTGGCAAGGACAAGGATATCGTTGGACACCATGGGGGGCAAGGTGAACAGGCTCGGTTGGCCTCAACGGACGTGTATAGCCCGGGAGAAGTTGACGAATCAGAGAATGCCTCTCCGTCGCGTGATATCCCCACACGAATGTGCCACACCATCACGCCACTGGATGACATTACAGGCGACTGTCTCTTGGTTGGCGGTAGGGCGTCACCGGGCGCTCCATTTGATGATTGTTGGTTGCGACAGGACAATGACTGGCAGCAGATCTACTCTTTGCCGGAGCCAAGATTTCGGCATAGCGCCACCAATATTTTAATTGACCATGGCGCAGGTTCTGTCCTTGTATATGGCGGCAAAACCAAAGACAATGCTATCCTGGACAGCTGGTTACTCTGGAATAACAAATATGAACAAGGATGGCAAAAGGTCGAGACAGTTGGCGGTACTCCTGAGGCTCGCTTTGGGGCGTCATTTGCGAAAATAGATGGTACTTCTGGCATTTTGTCTGGTGGCATCGGAAGCAACGGAACCATCCTAGAAGATATCTGGACATGGAGCCTTTCACAGTGCAGTAATGGATCTTTGCAGGTCAAACTTGTGGACCTCACCCAGTGTGTGCGAGAAGCTTCGCCGCATCTTTTCAAGTACCTTCCCAGATTCGGAGCCACGGTCAACAACACATCAATGGGACTGGTCATTGCTGGAGGTATTATCCCCCGCCAACTACTTCCAGCGAGGATGGGAATCCTGCTTCTGAATTCGAAACAGATAGTGGATCCGTCGAATATGACGAGTCTATGCAGCCCGACCCTTATCTCTAAAATCGGGCTGGGAACCGCATCTGCAGAACCTAGACCCTTGCTTACCGGCCATGTCGCCTGCTCGATTGGCGCGGATCAGATACTGTTCCTCGGTGGCGGTGCAGTCTGTTTCCCACTTGGAACCGTTTGGACTGAAGGAACATGGCTATTACAGCCCCAGAATTCAGCAAAAGAGAACTCGTGGGCAATCGTGAATCCAAAGAAAGACACCTCTGGGAATACAGTCTCTCAAGCCTCAGGAAATAAACCGCGTCACCTCGTCAACAAGAAAGCGAAGCAACCCATGCAAATCCCACGGGTCCAAATCAAAACGACTGCGCAATTCCAGCAGATTGTCGCCAATGGCAAGCCAGTCGTTATCGAGGATTCAGATATTGGGCCATGCACAGAGATTTGGACCCAGGATTACCTCACCAGCTCTGTCGGCAATGATCGCAAGGTACGGCAGCTACCCGTATCACACGGCAACTTGTGCACTAGCTGACGAACATTTCATTCGTTTTTTATAGGTTGTTGTGCACGAAGCCCAATCAGAGCAGATGAATTTCCAGGAAAAGAATTTTGCCTACGTAAGTAAGGGCTTTGGCACCTTTCTTAATGAGGTTCATGCCGGTGGCCGTCAGTATCTCCGATCGATCTCAGCAGAGCAGCCATCTAAATTACCGGCAAATTTGGCTACGGATTTCCCTACTCTGCAACATGATTTCAGACTTCCCAAATGTCTGAGTTTGGTCTCAGATAATGTCCACAGCTCCCCATTGAGGATCTCGGGGCCGGTCACGATGTGGCTACACTATGATGTGAGTACATACCCTAGGTCCTAGGTACCTTCTATCCCGTAGTACCGAAAACGCAAACCACCCCACTTGAACCTGCAGGGATTTGAGTTTGAAACACGCATCATTAAAAATATGGAGGGGGGGGGGGGGGGAAGGATAACCAAGACACCGTCTATCAGTACCAAATCTCACATCAATCAGGTAATGGCCAACGTGCTCTGTCAAATCCGCGGCGAACGGCGCCTAATACTGTTCCCACCCGACGACGTCCAACACCTCCACATCCCCCCCGGTGCCTCAAGTTCCACCGTCGACATATTCCAAACTGTCGGTTTGGACACACCCGCGTCTATCCCAGGCACCTCGCCACAAGAAGCCATCCTACGTCCGAGGGACATCCTGTTCATCCCGCCGTTGTGGTTACACACGGCATGCTCGGCAACAAGCGAGGTCAGTATCGCGGTGAACGTTTTCTTCCGTAACTTGACCAAGGGGTACGCCGCTGGTCGCGATGTCTACGGTAACCGAGATCTGCACGCCTATGAGAAATCAAGACAAGATCTACAACGTTTTACTCGGGCCTTTGATGGAGTTCCGCCTGACATGACTCGCTTTTATTTGCGACGACTAGCGCAGGAATTACTGGATATTGCGGACCAATGATCGGCCTTGTTCGGGCCAGGGTCTCGCTTTTGTGAACCGGATTTTTAAGATTTTTTGTTAAGTCATAATGATTATTTTCCGGCCAAGATGGATTGATGATCAAACACTACGCGAGGGGCCTGGCATGACCCTGTTGTACCACTCTGGACGAGGGGTGGCCCTTGTATTTAGGCACCGGCTTTAGGATTAAGGGCGAGTGCCTGGTTGGGCCGCACACCGAGAGGAAGTGTTCGGGTTTGGGACTGAGTTTGGGAATCTTCTGCTGCACGTACCCAAGTGGATCACGTTGGCGATCCGGGGTTGGCCCCTCAGTGTACATGTACAAGTCTCGATTTAGAAGTATGTCGAGGGTACTTTTGTAGAGGCTTGAGAACATAGAAACCAAAATAGATCCTGATAACCGACGTACATTGAGTTTCATATTGAACCATGGAACCATGGAACCCAAGTCTAGATCAAGATGATAATCTAGGAGGCAAAGTGCGTGATTATCATGGGCTGTCAATTCCGTGCGGGGGAAGTCAAAGGGCTTTGTGTGGAGGTGGACGCACAGACTGGCTAGGAATCTGGGCCCGAGAAGACAAGAAGTTGGGTCAATGTTTAGAAATCTCATCGTCATCGGGAAACAAACCCCGCCTGATGATTGGTGTCCATAGGGCAGTCGTCCATGGAAGGCTCAGCAAACCTGTTAGCGTGGCCTATCGTTGTGGGGAGTTGAGAGGGGAAAACCGGGGAGAGTATCCGGCACATTATGTGTTCCCGTTGAATGGGCAGATAAGTTACGCGCCGGCAAGAGCAAGAGTGGAGTTGTATAGTGGAGACTCTGGGCGGGGCCGGGGAATACGGATGACGATGATAAGTGATGATGTTGACTTTCGCTGGTCGCACCGAATGAGCACTATCAGACCGATCAGCTTGGCGCATCGTTCACTCCATGCAACTGTGCATGCACCGAGAACCGTACTCGAATCGTACTATATCGTTCATTCATACGCCGTCGCGCAGTACATCACCCGTACCGTATATCCTTCCCCCCTCTTCCCACAATTTAACTTCTTCCCATCTCCTTCAACCTCCAATACTTTCCATGCCAACGCATTTGTGTATCGTGCCATTCATTCCGGTTCATTCCTGATCCCTTGCGGCGGCACCCTTATCAGCGGCGTTTGACTGGTTGTGAACCCTGGTTCATTTGTCTCTGCTTTCCCCCCCCCCTTCGCATTCTTCTTCTCCCAGTGGGTCGCTACCTGATCTTCCCACTCCACCCTATCATCGCATCCTTCATTTTCTCTCTCGCACCAGCTCTCAGACCATCGCAATAGTTTCTGCTTGAGAAAAGACGTGTAATTCTCAAGAAATCGATGGTCCAGAGTGTCCCGAGTGATAGAACTTCGGTAAAGGATGGAATCGTGATCTCCTGATCTTGCGCCAGCCGAAAACTTGTTGAATGCTTCTCAACTTTTGTGATTCTTCGAAGAAAACTCTAGTCGAATCTCATAATGGCTGCTGTCATCATTCAGCAGCAGCACCCGTTGGGCCGCCCCACCACTCCTCCTATCTCTCCAGCTTTAAAAGTCCACCGATCAAGCCCCGTCCCGAACAAGCACCTGCCGGTGTGCCCCACAGGCCCGTCTCCAGCGGATACTGCCCGACCGGAATCGCCAGTGCTGCGATCGGACCATGACCAGGTTTCCTCGCTGCTCTACCCCCCGTTCGGCTATCAAACAGTCTCGAGTCCGCCGGGCTACAGAGTTTATGGCCTTGATGCACGGGAATTGGCCGAAGCGCTAGAGCATCAGGCATCGCAGCCTTTGCCTGAACCTATCCACATGTACCCATGGCTCCATGGACTGAACCCCGATAACCACATCCAGCTGGGTTTCTTCTCCAGTCGCAAACGCTCGCAGCGCAAGCCTCCACATGTCTGGCGCGGCATTACAATCGTCAAGGTAGGGGGTGACCTCTCGAAAGCTCGCATTAAGGGTGCTGTAGCTCCGCATGAGGTGATCTCCGCGACTTCACGCTTCTTGATGGCCGACCCGCCAGAGGGCTTCTCCGTCCGAAACTTTCAGATTCAAACGGCCAAGTTGGCTCCATTGTCAGACATCGTCGTGTACGGAGAGGATGGCGTTGATAGAGCTGAAGTGCTAGCCGTTGCAGAGGAGTTTACCAATGCACAAGCAGCATGGCGATTTAAGTATGATCCGATGCAGGACCGAAAATCATACAATACTTTCGTGCTCACAAGTAAGTATCGTTGATCTTCGTGTTGGATACCAAAAGCAACTGATACTGATTCCTGTGTAGGCAGTTTTTCAGAGTTTGAGAAAAAATGCGCGCCCTGGGTCGCCGTCGATTCCCGAGGCCGACTCACCGGCCAATCCATGGACTTCAGTACGTTCTTCCGGTGCTGTGATCTTTGAGCTCCAGTTAACAGTTTCACAGTCCAGTGGGAAAGACAAGAGATGTGCGAGATGTCCTCGGCCTCGGAAATCTCGGAGAATGTCTGGCTCGGACCGACTCCTGAATACATTTTGAGACCTGGCGAATGTTCCGCACCCAGTCCCAGTCAGTTCGATCTCCTGATCGAAGCAAGCGATCTTGCAAGCATCCCCGGTCCTCGTTTCCTAGCGACTATCGACCAGAAGCTGGAGTCAAGCACACAATTCATTGAGTTCCCGTCGTCTGGGTCAATTGTGCTTCCGTCTGGCAACACCCGTGAAGTCGAAGATCTAGTAAACACTCTCCGATGGATCTATTATCTGGCTCATCCCGAGCCTACCGAGGTAGCAGATAGTGATGGTGATATTGCGATGCGACACAACAAAAAGCCTTGCCGAGTTCTGATCCACTGTGCTGATGGATATACCGAGACATCGTTGCTTGCAGTCGCGTACTTCATGTTTGCTGAAGGTGTTCCGGTCTACGACGCGTGGCTTAAGCTGCACTGTGAGAAAAAACGAAACTTCTTCGCGTATCCGACCGATGTCGCATTTCTCAGTCATATTCAGACGCGTCTTTTGCAAGAGAGCCCTGTGAACAAGTCTGGGCACCCCACAGATCTGACAGATCCAAACTGGTTCCTGAAGATGGACGGCTCTTTGCCTAGTCGAATTTTGCCGTACATGTATCTCGGCAATCTCAGCCACGCTAATAACCCTGAGTTGTTGTGGGAACTGGGAATCCGACGCGTGTTGAGCATCGGCGAGGCTGTTTCATGGACTCAAGAAGAACGCGACGCGTGGGGTGAAAACAACTTGCTTTACATTAACAATGTGCAAGATAATGGCATTGACCCATTGTGTCAGGAGTATGGAAAGTGCTTACAGTTTATTGGTAAGTGAATGCTCCAGGATGAGGTACTTTCTCCTGGGTGGACTTTGGCTAATTTTCTCAATAGAGCACGGAAAGAACGATGGTACTGCAACCTTAGTTCACTGCCGTGTCGGTGTTTCCCGTTCTGCCAGCATTTGCATTGCAGAGGTCATGGTGGCGAAGGGTCTAAGCTTCCCAAATGCCTACTGCTTTGTTCGTGCTAGACGCCTTAATGTTATCATTCAACCTCACTTGCGCTTTGTGTAAGTCGGCCCGAATGACAACCCTTTGTTGCCTAACTAACAATGATATCTTAGCTATGAGCTTCTCCAATGGGAGGAATACCAAAACCAGCAACGCAAGCTTCCCAGACTGCGAGCTGTAGAGTGGGCTACTGTCTGCCGTGAAATTGCACTTCTGAACAAGCCATATTCGCGACACTAGACCAGCTTTGATGTCAACTTCAAGTTCATCCCCGTGATCAGGCACTCTTCATTCTTCTCTCACCTTCTTCATTTTCTATTCATATTCTGTTCATTTCTTTTTCTTTTGTTGCAGATACCCGGGTTTTCTTTCCAGGGTAACGCCCCGCTGCTACGGTGCACGATTTTACACACGACTTCTATGAGCGGGACGACTTTTAACCGGATTTATTTTCATGACTTGGCGCTGGCGTTGTGGGGAAGGTAGGATGGAAATGATATCTCTATCTCAGTCTTTTCATTCTTGAGTCCCCATTACGATTACTTTTATTCATATTACATTCTGATGGGGGTTTATGGCTACTTTATGAGCTCTTACTTTCGGCACAGCTTTTATTATTTCCTGTGCCTTATTTTGATCATTTTATTCCATTCATTTCTGCTCCAGACCAAATACTTTCGAGCGTTTATCCCTAATCTTCATGAGTTAAGCTCATGTTCCCTTCTACTCGACTGCCACATGGCATTTTAACCTTTTTATTTCTCTCATATTGGATTATTGGCATATATGGTTTTTGGTTTTGGGACGCCCATGCACATAGCATGAAGACCAGGATCATGGATATTGATGGAATTGGATGTCGTTGGACTTGATGTTAACATACGTAAACAGCAACTAGTGCTAGAATTATGATGCTATGATACGCTCGCTATGGCTCTCAGCACCGCTCAAATACTCTGTAGAGACCCTTTAGATCTGCAACTTCCACAACACCCCGCAGCATCCGGGATGTAGCGACCAGTCGAGCACGAAGAGCTGGGAAGATAGTATATTCCAGCATTTGAACCATCTGCGCGCGACGAGTAACAATAAATGGGTCTTCGGCTGTTGGATTAGGATGATCGGAACCTTCATCACCTGCTCCAGGCTGAGTAGGCGGAACTGGAAGTTGTTCGGGGGTATAAAAGGCCGCAAGCTCACGCAAAAAGGTGCGGAAACACTCTTCTTCTCCAGTCCAATCCACATAGGGGCCCATTCGGAGTAGGAATCGAGGAAGTTTGGCTAAGGAAGGGACATATCCCTTCAGCAGCAACGGGATTGTGAGCAAATCTCCATCTGCGCTGATTTTCATCGAGAAATACTCGTCTAGCATCTCGCGGCGTTCAACTAGACTCCGTGATACTATTTCTGCGGCCTGAGAGAAGACTTTCTCAGCTCCCTCGTCAGAGTCTTGGCTATGCTCTTGCCGTTCTGCTTCCGCTGCAATGTTCAGCAAATCAACCAATTTCGGCGGTGGATCAAGGCGAATTGTGCCGAAATTGCCAAAATCTGTCAGGCCGACTTGGTAGAAGAATTCATTACAGGCGAGTCCATAGTCGACGAGGTAGAGTTTGACTCCAGACTGTATGGCCGCCAGGCGTCTTCGCTCGTCTACAAGACCGACATAGGTATGCGACGCGAACATCTCAGTTAGTGTATTGTGCATATCGGAACGAACAGCACTGCGTAGGCTCTTGACGGATGATAAGGCGATACGAAGCGGCTGGCGATCTGTAGTTTCGTATTGGAGGCCATCATCCAAGACAGAAGATGGTAAATTGTCGGCCTCGGTAGATGCATCAGGGTGAGGGTGAGACGGAGAGGGAGCGAGCATAGAGGTAATTTTACGGACTTTTGAATCCGTTCTGATAAGATTGTTTTCATATGGCTTTTTGGATGTGGCTGGTGTTTTAGGCGTAGCAGTGGTCTTTCCATCTGCTGGACCCTCGCCAGCTAGGTCACGCTGGATAGACTCAATATGTTGTACACCAGGTAAGAGACTTTGAGTCAGGAATGTGCGACTCGAGTCAACCTGAGCTAGCTTGGATCTTATCTCACCGCAGACCATCTCGATTATTTCATCTTCATTGAGGAAATTGACTTCACGTTTAGTCGGGTGCACGTTGACATCGACACGATGGGGCTCGACTTCCAAATCCAGGTAAACGAAAGGGTGTCCACCCTTGGGTAGAAATGCGGAATAGGTTTGCTCAACGGCACGTTTTATAGCAGTTGATTCCACAGCACGGTGGTTTATGAAGAGCAGAATGGTAGTCTTTTTAACGTGATAATTGGCGTTGGTAGCTAGACCCGACGCACGGAAACCAAGCTTTTGGTCTGACGACTCGAATTCTACCAACTCGTTTGCGACTGCGCTACCATGAATTTGGCGAATCCGGTCGACTGTATTTGCGGCAGATGGAGTTGAGATGCTCATTCCAGAGTCACCATGCTTTCGACACGAGAAAGCAACCCCGGAGCAGTGCACTGCATATCTGCCAACGACATCGAGGATTTTGGCGTACTCTTCGCTTGAAGAGCGGAATGCGCGACGACGACTGGGAATATTGTAGAATAAATCTTCCACCTTTTGTTACTCTTAGTAAAACAGCATCAGGAGTTTAGCGTAGATGTGTACTCACTGTAATCTGGGTCCCTCCACGCCCCGCTGTAGCTTTTGGAGCTGCATTCTGCCCGGGCTTCGCGGGAACCAGTTTTCCTTCTCCATAATGTGCTCGCCATGCACAACTAGAGCCTGCAGTCTTGGTCGTCACCATCAAATGAGCAATATGGCTAATACTTGCCAATGCTTCACCGCGGAATCCATAGGTGCCGATAGATGATAGATCCTCAAATTCCTTGAGCTTGGACGTTGTGAATCGTTCGCATAGAATCGGAAGATCTTCACGCTGGGAGATGTCAGAAATTCGTAATCAAAGATTGTCTCAAGCCATCGACATGCCAGACCAACTTACATCAATCCCATGTCCATTGTCCGTAATCTGCAGCAGCTTCAGACCTCCATCCTTGACAAGAACCTCGATGGATGTGGAACCTGCATCGACAGCATTTTCGATCAGCTCCTTTAATGCATGCATTGGGGCAACGATGATCTCGCCCGCGGCGATCTTGTTGACGACATTCGGGTCGAGCGCCTAAGAATGATGAGTATTGTTCTTGGCAATGCAGTGGTGGGCAAGAGGAAGCTCGTACGTACCTTGATTCGCTTCGGCTTTGATGGTTCAGATGCGCCATTCTCTTCTTCTACCGGACGCTTAGTTCCACGTTGATCAGGCGAATCGACTTCCATTGCGGCTTCCATACTGTTCAAGACGCCCGGCGCGCGTTGGAATCGTGAAGTGGAGAAACAACGCGGAGCTAGAATTTGCGATAAGGCGATAACGGCCGCACTTATCTCATTTGTGTGGAGAACTCCCGCCCTTCGCTCCTACATCTACTTGGTCGATATCGCAGGTAAACCTAACATAAGCTTCACTGCTAATTATGTGGTAGCTTTTTTGTAACATTGAAAAGCTATCCATACCTGCATAGGTGGTTGTTGTGGTCGGATATATGGCATCCACCTGCAAACATGCCTCACCTAAAGGACGAGGAGCTAGGAAAGAAAGATGACGACCACCGAATCCCACCAGCACGCTCTTGGCAACTGCCTCAGCTTTCAAATATCCCGCGCCCTCGAAGGCTCATTACTGCTCTGATTGGTCTCGTGCTAGTCTATCAATTCTTCAAGCACATGCCAACCGACCTAAGGCCAGCCCGTGAGCGATATGACCCAGCGATTGCACGATTCAGAGAGCAGAACCCTGTCCCCCCCTCCTATAAGTCCACAGTCCCCTGTGGTATCGCCAAACGAAATTCCGTCAGATTCGGAGACACAAGGAAGCAAAGATAAGGGTAAATTATATGATGGGAAGATTAAGCTCTACGAGCTGGCCAGCTCGCTGCCCCCGGATAAACACTCGGAGAATATGCTCAGTAATGCTGTGCTGTTCGCTGGATCCAATCTCCACAGCATCGCGGACATGCTACCTTTAGCTTGTCGAATGGCACGCGAGCAAAGAAATCATGTCCACCTAGCCCTATTCGGCAAAGAAGAGGTTTCGGTCGAGGGAATTAAGCAGGTGAATGGCATTGTGGACTCTGACTGTCCGATCGTATGGCATGGTGTGTATATTCCGCTCTATATGGGTCACAGGAATTGAATTGCTCAATATTAACCACGACCGCAGACTGTCGACCTGATTATGCTGCCCAGTCTACTGATGATCGACTGGCCCGGTCTGTCAAAGGGGGTCTCGGTTTCATTCAGACCTACATCGCCCCAGAGGTCATTATTACCCAAAGTAAGGATTGGGAAGACTCTTTTTTCTGGGGAGGACTGAAGCGCCATCTATGGGAAGTTGGCATTTCCCACATTGCTCTTCCGACCACCTCCACGGATCTCATGTGGATAGCATCCATTGATAGTACTGCGCTTAAAGGTACACCGTCTCTTTCAGAAACGCTTATGACTGAGTTAAACTAATCCTTTTTGTGATAGTCTGGAATGACATTCGTGTCGACATCGTTGTCCACGCATCCCAATCGGCGGGCTCTCTTATCAGACTTCTCCGATCGCTAGACGCTGCTGATTATCTGGGATTTACACCCAAATTGACAATAGAGCTTCCGCCGCAGATAGACCAAACAGACTTACTGGGGCAACTGAAGGACCTATCCCAGTTGAAAGAACAGATCACGCTTCGGCGGCGTATTCAACCGCATTTTATGGACCCTGTCGAAGCTTCTCTTCGAACGGTGGAATCTTTCTACCCTCTCAACCCGGAGGTATCTCATGTGCTAATGCTGGCTCCGAACACCGAAGTGGCACCATCGTTCTACCACTACCTGAAATACAGCATTTTGGCCTACAAACAGTCTGCTCGGTCTTCGTCATCCAAGCTCCTTGGAATATCTCTCGAGCTTCCATCTACCAAGCCTACCATCAAAGACGAACCTTTCATTTCGCCGCTCTCAGAAGTCAAATCGGGATTCATTCCCTCGTTTCTCTGGCAAGCTCCTAATAGCAACGCAGCAATGTACTTCGGAGATAAATGGGCTGAATTTCATTCGTTTCTTTCACATCGCCTTGATATCTCGGATTCAAAAGCAAGCATCCCTTCTTCAGAAAAGCTTGTTTCCACAAGATATCCCTCCTTTATGGAATATTTACTAGAGATGATGCGGGCCAAAGGATACTATATCCTCTATCCCTCGTTCCCCGGGACTGGGGCCTCATCTCTGGTGACGGTTCATCAAGACTTGTCTCAGTCTCCAGAAGAGTTCGTCCATGAGACAAAACCTGGAGTATCTGGGGACAAGGACGTCGACGACATTGAAATGGTGCCACCGGGGCAAAAACCGAATCCAGAATTGACTATTATGACCCTATTTGACACTTTTGACCAGGGTCTTCCAGACATGGAAACTTTGCCTTTACTATCATTTGATGGAGAGCAGTTGACCCAAGAAAAGTACAGTCAACAGACCAAGGAGTATTCTCAACAATTCCGAGCTCACTACGGAGGTTGCTCGAGTAATCAAGAGGGCGCTGGATTTTTCCCCAATGATCTATTTTGTCTGGAGTGATGATTCATGGCTCAATTGATTCAATACCTAGGTACAGGCATATTACATAATAACTTATCCCAGGCTCTCAGGTTACGCTAAATTTAGTGAATATCTAGTAGTCTTGGAATAAGTAGCCCTGGAGGCATCCACCTAACAGTAGCAGCCAGGTCATTTCCAGAAAAATATGAGTTCATGACTACTGTCGCATCTGTTTACCTTACAAGTCAAATCTTCGGAACGAGAAGTCTGAAAGGAGAATCGATTGCCGTGGATTCTCAATGACATACTTGTAGCTCCTACAGTAAACAGCTACGTAGTAATCTGACTGGCGGCTACCCAATCTCTTGGTCACAGGTCCGCCAAAAGAGGTTACAATGATATTGCAAATAGTGGTATTTGCACTGATACTACCCAAGCCTTTTAGCAATGTTGGCGATCTATCTCTAGATGAACCTGTAGAAGGGTGTCGAAGCGTGATGATCGGACCAAAAACAATGACGAGGGCTTGGCATGATTACATAACCCGAAGCTGCACCAGCTCTCTGCGTCTTCATCATGAACACCAGCTTACAATCAATCACTGCACCACCCTTCATCTGCAGTTTCCTATTTTCATTTTCGATCCTTTCATCTTGTGTTTGGCTTTCTGTTCCTCGCGCCCCCCGTTCATTCAACCTACGTCCACTTCTAAACTGGTCGCCTGATATCGTCAGAGATGCCGAACGAGGGCGAACGGCCAACCACCGCCGACAAGGGCAAGGGCAAGGTTGATGATGTCCGCGAGCTAAATGGCAAGAAGCCCCAAAAGGACGAGAAGATCCCAGCAGAGGGAAAGAAGAAGGATGACGAGCCACAAGAAGGTAGGTCGCGACACCAGAGCGGAGGAAAGCATCTGGCCTCTGCCACCCATTCCTTCGGTTCCAGGACCCTGCGGCTAACGTTATTCAAGAGGAGCTCAGCGAGGAGGACCAAGAATTGAAAAATGAGCTCGAGATGCTTGTCGAGCGGTTAAAGGTATGTCTACTCCCCAAGCTGTCTAGGACCACCAATGACGCCAGTGCTCACACTGCCTCTTATAGGAGCCGGACACCACCCTCTACGGACCTGCTTTGGATGCCATCAAGAACTTCATCAAGACTTCAACCTCTTCCATGACAGCTGTTCCGAAGCCCCTCAAATTCCTCCGACCGCATTACGATGACCTCGCAGAATTGTACGAGAAGTGGACAGCGGGCTCCGTTAAGGTTAGTTTAGCCATCAAATTATTCATTGACAGACTCTAACAAAGCACTTGGCATAGGACTCGCTAGCTGATATGCTTTCCGTGCTCGGTATGACATACGGAGATGAGGAGAAGCTGGAGACGATCAAATATCGCCTGTTGGCTAAGTCCGAGGACCTTGGCTCCTGGGGCCACGAATACGTTAGACACCTGGCGCTGGAGATTGGACAGGAATATCAGAACCGATTGAATGCAGAGAAGGAGACCCAAGATCTGGTAGACCTTGCATTGTCGCTGGTTCCTTATTTCCTGGGTCACAACGCCGAGGCTGATGCCGTCGATCTTATGAGTGAATTGGAGATCATCGAGGACATTCCGCGATTTGTGGACGAGAATACATATGCTCGAGTCTGCTTGTATATGGTTAGCATGGTTAACCTGCTTACCTATCCCGAAGACCAGCAGTTCCTCCGCACAGCTCACGAGATTTACGTTCGTTACAACAAGCTTTCCCAAGCGATTGTCCTTGCAATCAGATTGAACGACATCGACCTCATTAAGAGTGACATCAATGCCACTACCGACAGAGCCCTCAAGAAACAAATGGCGTTCCTGGTCGCCCGACAGCAAATCTGGCTTGATCTTGACGAGGACCATGAGGATGCCGACTCTCTGTTGGACTGTCTGAACAATACCTCTATCCCAAACCACTTCAAGTCCCTCGGCAAGGAGCTTAACATTTTGGACCCCAAAATGCCCGAGGACATTTACAAGACCCATCTTGAGAGCAGTCGCGGAGCAGGTCTCACAAACCTCGATTCAGCACGACACAATCTGGCCAGCGCCTTCGTCAACTCTTTTGTGAACGCCGGCTTTGGTAACGATGATATGATGATCGTTGAGGGTGAGAAAGGTCCGTGGGTGTGGAAGACCAAAGATGACGGCCAGCTTTCTACGACAGCCTCATTGGGTATGCTTATGCACCGGGATGTTGAAGAGGGTTTGAACAAGATCGATAAGTTCACCTACGCCGAGGAGGACCAAGTCAAAGCTGGCGCTCTCCTCGCGACTGGTATTTTGAACTCCGGAGTTCGCTTCGACTCCGATCCCGCTCTTGCTCTCTTGAGTGACCCCGACAACCTGGAGTCAAAGAGTCGGCCCATGCGGCTCGCATCTATTATGGGTCTTGGTCTCGCATATGCTGGCTCAAACAAAGAAGAATTGTTGGATGTCCTGCTCCCGATTGTCGAGGACACCTCGTTAGACATGCAGCTGTCTGCCATGGCAGCAGTCTCGCTTGGTCTTATCTTCGTGGGATCATCAAATCACCAAGTGAGCGAGGTGATTGCCACAACACTTATGGATGAGGATCGTCAGAAGCAACTGAAAGACAAGTGGACCCGCTTCATGGCTCTTGGTTTGGCTTTGCTTTACTTCGGCCGGCAGGAGGAGGTTGATGTCGTTCTTGACATCCTGAAGGCGATTGATCACCCCATGGCGAAGCCCACCTCAGTGCTCGCATCAGTCTGTGCCTGGGCTGGTACGGGAACAGTGCTGAAGTTGCAAGAACTCCTTCACATCTGCAATGACATTATTGAAGAGAAGGAAGAGAACAAGGGAGATGAGCTCGTTCAGTCATATGCTGTTCTGGGTCTGTCGCTCATTGCTATGGGTGAGGATGTTGGCCAGGATATGATTCTCCGCCAGTTTGGCCATCTCATGCACTATGGTTCCAGCAACATTCGTCGGGTCGTGCCCCTCGCTATGGGTCTTGTCAGTCCCAGCAACCCTCAGATGAAGATTTACGACACACTCTCTCGATACAGTCACGACAACGACAACGAGGTCGCCATCAACGCAATCTTTGCCATGGGTCTGTGTGGTGCTGGCACCAACAATGCTCGCCTGGCCCAGCTCCTGCGGCAATTAGCCAGCTACTACCACCGTGACCAGAACGCTCTATTCATGGTCCGCATTGCTCAGGGTCTCCTTCACATGGGTAAGGGAACCATGACTCTCAACCCATTCCACACCGACCGGCAGGTACTTTCTCGTGTCTCGGCGGCCGGTCTCCTCACAGTACTTGTGTCTTTGATTGACGCCAAGCAATTTATTCTCGCCGAACACCACTACTTGCTCTACTTCCTTATCACAGCCATGTTCCCGCGGTACCTTGTTACTCTTGACGAGGACCTGCAGCCGCTTACCGTTAACGTCCGCGTGGGTCAAGCTGTGGATGTCGTTGGTCAGGCTGGTCGGCCAAAGACCATCACCGGATGGCAGACCCAAAGCACTCCGGTGCTGCTGTCTTACGGTGAGAGAGCCGAGCTTGAGGATGAGCAGTACATTCCTCTCAGTAGCACACTCGAGGGCTTGGTCATTCTACGCAAGGTAAATGCTCTAAATCAATATACCCCTTGATTACTTTCTTCTAACACAGTATCTAGAACCCCGACTGGGAAAGCCCCGAATAAACTCAATGAGATGTCGATTTATCTCCGTTGCTCGCTTTTGGCGAGTCTCTTATCGTAGTCGGGTCATCATTGTATTTAATTTTTTCAGAACGACTGAGGAATAGCATGGAACTTATTTTTCTTTCACTCTTGCATTTGATGCGCATTTGGTTCGTCAGGTGGGCTTGGGCGGGCATCATCTAGACAGATGTCCGAGTAGGCTAACACAATTTGGGGGTCTCTTTTATGGTGCAGCCTTGTCTTGGGCTTCTACTAGAAGTATAAGATATCAAAGCTTGATGGGGAAAAAAATTCCCTGATATTTCTATACGGTTTCAATTTGTCGAATGCTCGAAGTCGGCAAAACCCCGTATCTCGAAGTTGATACCAAGGTACCTGTCCAAAAACGGAAATAGGGTATAGGGCTCTGAGCTTATCACTTTTTTTTGTCTCCGCATCACTTTGAACGTCACGTTTTCCAGTTCCAGCTTCGTCCTTTTCGCTTTGAATAATTTACGATCCAAAAGGCTATTAGTCGACCCTAGAACCTGTCGCCATGAAACTCGACTCAAAGGCGATCCGCTACCTCACCTCTGAAGATTTCCGGGTGCTTGCCGGGGTACTTATCAGCCCCTCCAAACCGCTATGCGTAGCATTGCTCAAATGTCTGATCCGATAGCTAATAGACTTCCTCTTGCTTAGGTTGAAGCCGGTAGTCGCAACCATGAAGTCGTCCCTACGCCGCTGATCGTGCAACTTTCCGGCCTCCGAGGCGGCAGCGGCGTGCATCGCGCTATTTCGAATCTAGCCAAGATCAACTTGATTGCCAAAGTGAAGAATGCAAAGTGTACGTTTCCCCTGGGCGCATAGACATTGGAAGCGGTGGAATAGTGGCTCATACCTTTTTGCAGATGACGGCTACAGACTTACCTATGGTGGACTGGACTACTTGGCGCTGAATGCGCACCAGAAGCAACAGGCTGTCTACTCAGTTGGCAACCAGGTTGGTGTTGGTAAAGAATCAGATATCATTGTGGTCGCACACAGCAGCGGAGAGCAGCGTATTCTGAAAATCCACCGCCTGGGTCGTATCTCCTTTCGAACCGTCAAGACAAACCGCGACTACCTACGACACCGTAGTTCAGCATCGTGGATGTACATGTCCCGACTGGCTGCCATGAAGGAATTTGCATTCATGAAGGCCCTCCGTGAGAACGGTTTCTCAGTCCCCGAGCCCATCGCTCAGAACCGACACACTATTGTCATGAGTCTGATTGATGCGTTCCCGCTCCGCCAGATCTCCAAGGTCCCCAATCCACAAGGATTATACTCAGAATTGATGGATATCATCCTGGAGCTGGCACGATTTGGTCTCATCCACGGTGATTTTAACGAGTTTAACCTGCTCATCAAGGAAGAGGTGGATGAAAATGCCAAAGAGAAATACACACCGGATACTAAATTGGATGATGTGGCAGATGAGGATATCCGGCTGGTCCCGGTTCTCATTGATTTCCCTCAAATGGTGTCTATTGACCATGTCAATGCCGAGATGTACTTTGACCGTGATGTGAACTGTGTTAAGCGGTATTTCCAGCGCAAGTTCCACTTCGTGAGCGATGTTCCTGGTCCGACATTTGCCCAAGCAAGAAAGAAGTTCTTGAAGAACCCTGGCAAGCGGCTGGATGTGGAGGTCGAGGCTTCAGGCTTCTCAAGGAAGATGGCGCGCGAGCTTGAGAAGTACATGCAAGAAGTTGGTGTGGACGGGGACGCCGGTTCTAGAGAAGACGGTGATGAAGACGAAGAAAGCAGTGAAGAAGAGGAAGAGGCTGATGAAGAGTCAGGTTCGGAATCAGGGGAGCCTGACGAGGAAGACAAGCAACCAGAGCAAGACGACGAGGAAGTCGGCGATAGCTCACGACGACTCGAGGACTTGCATGTGTCGGGACCATCCGGGCAATGAAGCAAAAAACAAAACTTAGTGCATTAATGACCATGAGTTATGAAACTAGACTGTAATATAAACAATTGTGGCATTCAAAATACTCGTGAAACGAACAGTTTAGATATTGAGACTTGCGCATTTGGTCACAAGAGATACAGTACGGAGGGTAGGATGTAGGGCGGGCGGGGCGGCCACCCGCGCAATTATTCCGACACAGCAAAAGATTCACGACTCGGACCGTATCTCATCCAACCCCCAACCCACTTCACCATGGTACGCAAAGCAATTGCAACTTCCAAGACAGGGCTCAAGCAGTCTCTACTGCCACCTGTCCAGCGCAAACAGATTTTTCTGTACGTCAATCCTCCATCCGCAAGACTCAGAGACACCAAATTTCAACCACTCCCGAGCACCGTACCAGCACGAATACGGACTCCTCCCGCGCTACAAAGAACCATTGCAGGAAAGACAGACTAACCATTGAACTTACAACAGCCCTGAATTCACAATTGCCCTTGTCCGAACCCCCCATCTCTCTCCTCGCTATGCGCAATTTCGTGTCCCTCTCAACTTCAACAAGCTCGACATGCGCGACTACCTCCAGCGCCTGTACAATGTGGGTGTCGTCAGAATCCGCAGTTACATTGAGCAGCAGCCTATTACCCGAGTAACACGAGACGGTCGCACCCTGGGCCAGTGGCGACGACCAAAGTCCGAGAAGCGGATGACTGTTGAGCTGCGGGATGAGTTCGTTTGGCCCCAGGAGCCACAGGATCTGAAGAAGTACGTTGTTATCCTCTACATTACTGGTTTACTGGGATACAACATGATCTCGGTCATGGGAATACTGCCACTTCCTATGGACTTTGCGATACACCCAGTTCAATGCACATATTCTCAAGTTCATTCGCTAATAATTGCTTCAACTAAACAGTTGGGAGAAGGAGGCCTGGGACTCAACAAACAAGGCCCAGCAAGAGGCACAGAAGGGTGGTGCCCAGAAGGGTGATGCATCCCAGAAGCCGGATACGGTGCTGCGTGAGGCGTTCGAGAAGCAGGCGAAGGAGCTGAAGGGTGACAGGCAGTCTTGGCAGCCAACTTGGAAGACATTGGGCCTTGATTTCGCGCATAAGGAGTTTGTTAACACCAAGGGCGGAGGGTTCAACAATCCCAAATGGATTACCCTGCCGAAGAAGCGTTGAAGACGCCTCAAGTGTCTGGTGACCTGCATTTGCATGGTTCGTTTTAACTTTATTCTCCGTGCTGGATTTTCTTTCTGGTGGAAAACTCGGTGTTCATGTATTCTTTAACAATTGTCTTGTCTTTGGGCCTGTCTCCTGTATATTATATTGTGGCCTAAGATTTATAGATCTAACTAAAGCCTTGCTCAGGCCTAACCAATCATGGATTGTTCCAAACGTCATTCTTCAAAAATGCATCATATTCTAATATCAGTGGTCACCTAGATATCAGCATGAAGGAGAATGTCTCTAATTTCTTGGGACAATTCTTACCTAGGGCTACTTTTGATGTGCCGTACGTTCAGCAGACTGATCCCGTGATCTCTGCCGCGAGGAATTAATTCGCCTCGTTGATGCCTCATCCATAAGGCCTAAAAGCGCCCGCGGCTTCAACCATCTTAACTTGTGATTGGCACCGCTTTTCCCTCTTATATCTCCATCTTATCAAAATGGCCGCCCCCGCCCCCACCAAAAAAGACCTTCACTATTGGCACACGCAAGTCTAAGCTTGCCCTGCTGCAAACCGATCTAGTGCGCGCGGCTCTCCAGAAAACACACCCCGAGTATGAATTCAAGACCTTGACCAAGGAAACTGCCGGAGATCTCAACACCACCATTGCCTTGAAAGACTTCACCTCAAAGAACCTGTGGACCGAAGAGCTGGAGGAATTGATGATCGGAGGCGAAGTAGATTTCATTGTCCACTCTCTTAAAGGTAAATCAGCATAAATATATTGCCTCGCATTATCATTGAACCCCGCGCAGACGATGCTAATCCAACTCTCCAAATGCTAGATGTCCCTACGCTTCTGCCCGATACCTGCACCTTGGGCATGATGATGCCCCGTGAAGATAGCCGAGATGTCTTCGTTGTGAAGCAAGGGCTTCCTTACAAGTCTCTGGCAGAGCTCCCCGCCGGCTCCGTTGTCGGAACATCTTCCATTCGCCGCACGGCCCAATTGGCACGCAAATATCCTCATCTGAAGGTCCAGGATATCCGCGGAAACATTGGAACCCGCCTGTCGAAGTTGGATGCCGAGGATAGCCCGTATACCTGTGCCATCCTTGCGGCGGCTGGTCTGCTGCGCCTGGATCTGCAGGATCGCATCACTCAGTACCTTGACTCGAAGAACAGTGGAATGCTCTATGCTGTTGGACAGGGTGCTCTGGGAATCGAGATTCGCAAGGAAGACACCCTGCTAAAAGAAATGTTAACCAAGATTGGTCATGCCGAGACTACCTTTGCTTGTTTGGCTGAGCGGAGTCTTCTGCGCACCCTTGAAGGAGGCTGCAGTGCTCCTCTGGGTGTTGAGAGTGAGTGGGTAGAGATTGCAGGATCAAAGAAGCTGCGCATGCGGTCTGTAGTCGTTAGCGTCGACGGTCAGCAGTGTGCAGAGGTCGAGGTTGATGGCGATGTGGATTCAGCTGAAAGCGCCGAGACTTTTGGTGTTACAGTGGCCAAAGCCTTGGTGGAAAAGGGAGCTGGCGCAATTCTCGAGGAGATTCAGCGAAACAAGGTTGTCAAGGAAAGTGTTACTGTTTAATTGACAATAACGAACAAAATATTAGATAGACTGGGATGTAACTATGCAAATACCCCTTTGGAATGAGAATGAGATCCACGATTTCCTTTTTAAGTATACCAAATTCGCACACGTGTGATTGCAATATACATCAATTTTTTTTTTTGATAATGAATCCACGAGCGCTGTCTATTGCTTCCACCAGAGATGTGTTATCGGGAGATTTGCAGTGAGTTAACCGCGATTGAGAGTGTTGCCAGATCCACGGGGATTTGCCTCAACGTATTCATCCCAAGCCCGAGCTTTCATGGTCTCCTCGTCAGCCTTATCTAAATCATCTTCGTCGATCTCTGCGATAACTCCAGATTGTTCACCTCCCTGAAGAACGTTGCCCCTCTTGTGCTCTTCGTCAAGGTACTCCTCAATTGTCATGGTTGGTAGGTTATGGCCTGAGCGGAACACGCCCTGCTGGAGCTGGGAACGACGGTCGAGCAGGGTGAATGGCTGCATTGGTCTACCCTTGCTGTTCAATAGGGGACCATTCCTTCCTCCAAGCAATTGTGAGATTGACGGATCCAGGCGATCTGAGTAATTAGTACCTCCTAAATTACTGCGTTGCCGGTCATCATTTTGCGGCGCTTGAGATGGCTCCCGTTCGGGTGCATTCCGCATGGCTGAAAGCATGGACATTTCTTGTACCAACAGATCTAGTGCCTGGAAGGTTTGGTGTGTATAGAGTTGAAGCTCGGATAGGTAGAGCTCCCGGGTCGCGTCGCTATCGCTTTGGAGTCGTGCTTCGTTTCGGGCCAAATACTGCAGCGTGTCAGCAATTCATCTAGAAAGTGTATTCTCCTTCTGCAATTGATGTGTCCTACCTCTAGCTTTTGCTTGAGTTCTTTCTCTTCCCTAAAGCGCCTCACTTTAGTATCCCGACGAGTAGCTGCATCATTGACGGGTGCCAATGTGAAGGCAGATGGGTTGGCCATGTATGTCTCAAACAACTTCCGATCTTCCTTGGACAATAACTCATATTCGTCAAGACGCGTCAGGAATTTCTCATATTGTTCCAGGGCTTTCTGGAGGACGGGTTCACGGTCAGCGCTGGGGCCTCGTTGGATGAGCTCGGCAAGGTGGTATTCCAAGGTCATATATCTACAAAAAGGATCAGTCAGCCGTAATAAGATATCCAGGTTGATAATCCTCACTGTAGGTCACCAGACGAAACATCGTCCAGGGATTCATTAGAGCTAAAGAGGGACAAGATGCTGATTTGTCGCTGGCACTCTTTGAATTTGGTGATTGTCGCATTCACATCATCGCGGTAGGCAGCTGTGTTGGTGTCACCCCTTGATTCCAGCACAGACTTGCCTTCTTTCGCTGACAAGAATAAAGATCGAAGACTCTGGGGTTGCTCCATACTGTTGATCAAATATGGTCACAAAGTGGGATATGCGCAAGTGACTTGTGTCCCCGCGATTTGAGAAGTTTTGGCGAGCCGATAAGCCGATAAGAGCTCCATCTTATCTATAGAGAAACCAACGCCTCCATTTTCGCCAAACGCTGATCAATTCACAAGAACTCGTATAAGAACTTTGCAATTCTACTTATTATATTTTTAGTCAGCCCATGTCTGATTAAGTGACTGTGAATTGGATTTCGATATATGATTGCCTATTCATGGCTTGCTTTCTATCACTTTTTGAAATAACACACCTTCCATAAACTTCCAGCCTTGGCCATTCACTTCACCATCACTTCTACAATCACACTAGTTTGTATTAGCAGTGGCTTTTTACTGGACTTTAACGGTGATTCTTATCTCTGCTCAATCTCCCACCAGTCGTCTGTAACCATTATAAATCTTCCTTCCACAACTATATCCCAAACCCGGCACGAACAAACCATTCTGACTGAGACTCCAAGGACACCATTTTTGACCAAAAAGATGGCCTTAGAAACCATTTATGACGCTGATCCCATTCACGGCGATTCAGAGCAGTCCGAAAGCGAAGACGAGAAGAATGAGCTTCCCATTGAAGCTTCCCAGGCCCGGCGAACCCAGAACATGCAATTCGAGGCCTTGTCAGTCTAGCAGATACGCTGAGTTCCATTTTTTACCTAAACTAATAACTCATAGGCTTTCTCAGAGGGCACAAGATGACACAGTTCAGCAGATCAAGAAAGGAAATCTCAATAGACCGGACGAGGAACTCACCATAGCTAGCTTGGTGGCAAAGAAAGACTCGGGGGCTGGTATTCTGAACCCCCGTGCTTACCAAATCGAGCTGTTTGAGCGAGCAAAGACTCGTAACATTATTGCGGTCCTGGATACCGGTGAGAGATTTCGTCTCTGGGCTCTTTGGGAAGAATTCTAACAAAGATCTAGGATCTGGAAAGACCCTCATCGCGGTGCTTTTGCTCAAGCACATGTTGCAACAAGAGTTGATCGACCGATCCCTTGACAAGCCTCACCGTGTGGCCATATTTCTAGTAAGAATGTCACTGAGCCTCAGTATACATTGGTACTGACGGACATTAGGTCGACAGTGTGACTCTGGTGTTCCAACAGACAGCCGTTCTCCGCAACAACCTGAGCCAGGAGATTGGCCATTTATATGGTGCCATGGGCCCAGATCTCTGGGATCAAATGACATGGGAAAAGCATCTCAATACGAACATGGTAATTGTGTGCACAGCGGAAATTCTCCACCAGGCGCTACTCAATGCATTTATCAAGATGACCCAAATCAACCTCTTGATTTTCGACGAGGCACACCACGCGAAGAAGGACCATCCATATGCACGGTCAGATCATTCATAAATTTAACTGGCATTTTTAAAATATTGGACACTAACATTTCAATCAGAATTATTCGTGATTCCTATCTCAAGGTCGATTCGTCAGAACGTCCAAAAGTCTTTGGGATGACAGCGTCCCCGATCGATGGTAAAGTTAGCATTATAGAAGCGGCCAGGTAAATGTCATGATTTCTTCAAAAATATGGATGTGAGTTGACTGTTTACAGCGAACTGGAAGCTCTTTTGCATAGCCAGATTGCAACGACCTCCAATCTATCATCCCTGCGGACATTTATTAGAAAGCCGATGGAAGAGACATGGACCTACAAAAAACTCAAACCCCCCCTCGAAACACCTCTTTACAGGGTAATGAAAGAGCATTTTGGAGACTTGAAGGCCCTTGAGCCCGTTTTCCGATCCGTTCTGGATGCTAGCTCGGAACTTGGAATCTGGTGCGCCGATAAAATCTGGGCCAAGGCTCTTGCGGACGATGTCATACCGAAGCTCGAGGGCATTATCAACAAGGATTACAACCAAGACTTAAACACCAAGGGTGGTATTGTGAGAGACGCCCAGCGAGTCAAGGCAGCCTGCGAAGCTGTGAAAGGGCATCAGTTCCAACATCCTTTAGAATCAGGTCAATTGAGTTCCAAGGTAGAGCTTCTCTTAGCTATCCTGACCCATCATTTCAATCAGTCAAAGGAGAAGAAGTGCATTGTTTTCACTGCGCGGCGGAATACTGCCAAAATCTTGAAGCACCTGTGTGATGAGCTGGGAGTCCCAAATATTCGCCCCGGTCTGCTGGTTGGTGTTCGGAATTCCGATTTCACAGGAACAACCACTTTCCGTCAACAGTTCCTTGCTCTGGTAAAATTTCGAAAGGGTGATATCAATTGCTTGGTAGGTCAGGGACTTGAAAAACGAATGCGAGATGTGGGCTAATATTTCCAAAGTTCGCAACATCTGTTGCTGAAGAGGGTCTTGATATCCCAGATTGCAATCTTGTCATAAGGTAAGAAATGATAAGCTGGACTGACTACTTCTGGTTTCCTTGCTAATACCTAGAGATTCAACCTTTATGACACCCTGATTCAATATATTCAGAGTAGGGGCCGCGCAAGACACGAGGAATCAGTCGTATGCGGCGGCATTCCTTTTTCATCGAAAAACTACTAATGTCTGGTTACAGTACGCGCACATGATTGAAATGGAGAATGATCACCATCAGAAGCGTCTTCAAGAAGTCCAACGGGCAGAGGTAGGTGTGCTGGCATTAATTTGGGACTTCGTTAATATTCTACCATAGAAGCTTATGCAAGCACTCTGCAGCGCGCTTCCCAAGGATCGACTCCTTCTGGGAGACGAGATAGATATGAAAAAGGTCTTCGAAACAGATAAAGGGAAGAGAACCTACATCATTCAGTCGACAGGAGCAAAGTTGACGTACACCCACGCCACTAATGTCCTCTCACGCTATGCTGCGTCTTTGGCAAGTCAAGTTGTAAAACCCACGAGTTCAAGGCTAATGATTTCAAATAGCAACATGAGGAAGAAATCTCTGCTTGTGCAACTTTCTTTACAATACCAAAGGGAGGATTCTTTGCCTGTGAAGTGATTCTACCGGAAAAGTCGCCAATCCGGGGATTGATAGGAAGGCTGGAATCGACAAAAATGATGGCAAAACAGTCAGCTGCATTTGATGCGTGCATTATGTTGAGAAGGAAAAGTCTTCTCGATGATAATTTCAAATCCGTCTATCACAAACGACTCCCAGCTATGCGCAACGCCAAACTCGCAATTGTATCGAAAAAGACTAACCAGTACACCATGATTTGCAAGCCATCCATCTGGAAGAAAAATCAAGGATCTTTGCCCGACAAAATTTATGGTATGGTTTTCAGGTTTGTTCCTAAGGAGCCTCTATCCCGTGTCCATGATAGCATCATACTCCTTGCCCGAGTTCCGCTTCCAGAAATTCCATCATTCCCTATTTACCTCGAAAATGACAAAGAAACCAGCATTGAAGCCACAGTTCTCGATATGCCACTTTCGGCTGTCACCGAAGATCTAGCTTGCTTTTCTCAGTTCACGGTTGCCATTTTCCGTGACGTGTTTCATAAAACATTCGAACACAAGATGGAGAAATTTCCGTACTGGCTGGCTCCAATCAGATCAGATGCCCAGATTATCAATTCCACCGATTCACCGCGAGAACTCATTGACTGGAAAACTTTGAATTTCGTGAATCAGAATCCTGAAATAAAATGGACCAAAGAGATGGAACCTGAAACTCTTTTGAATCGTCTTATCTATGATGGCTGGGACGGAAAGAGACGTTTCTTTCTGATCAACGTTGATTCTACACTCCGCCCTTCAAATCCCCCACCGTCGTATGTGCCTCGTCGGAAGTGGATGACAGACATCATGAACTACTCACTTAGTCTCTCCAAAAACTCCCGACCAAGGGCTCTGGAAAGCGTGGACTGGGGTCAGCCAGTATTCCAGGCAGAATGTGTTTGTCTGCGAAGGAACTTCCTGGAAAAGGCTACAGAATCAGAAAAGGTGGAAGTGGTGAGAGCAGTCATTTGCCTAGAGCCACTTATGATTTCAGCGGCAAGTTCTAGTACTGTGGAAATAAAGTTCAATTACTAATGTTTCTCTAGATCCCCATCCCAATCGTGACTTCATGTTTGGCTTTTCCCGCCATCATGAACAGGCTCGAGTCTTACATGATCGTGCTAGAGGGTTGTCAGCATCTAGGCCTAGACATCAGATTAGACTATGCATTGGAGGCTTTCACCAAAGACTCAGATAACACTGAAGAACATCGTGTCCTTCAGGTTCATGTCCAACGAGGCATGGGGAAGAACTATGAGCGACTTGAATTCTTCGGTGACACCTTTCTGAAGATGGCGACTTCCATCTCACTTTTCTGCCAGAAACCGGATGATGATGAATATGACTATCACGTCAACCGGATGTGTCTCATCTGCAACAGGAACTTGTTCAATGCTGCCTGTAAAACTAACCTCTACGCCTACATTCGGAGCCGTGGATTTTCTAGGTAACATAATACCCCCTTACTTTCCTACTATTCAAGATCTGGCTCATATAACTACAGGCACACATGGTATCCACCGGGACTGGAGCTTCTTCATGGTCGCAATTACCTTCGGCATCTTGAATCTGAAAGCAGCCATGCACTGGGCGAGAAGACAATTGCAGATGTCTGCGAGGCACTCATCGGAGCTTCCTTGCTCACGGGAGGCAAGGAAAGCCGATTTGACATGGCGATCGAAGCAGTGACTCTCTTTGTGGACAGCAAAAATCACAAAGCCAAAAGCTGGGAAGATTATGTTTCATCATACGTCAAGCCATCTTACCAAATCACAAGCGCCGATGGATTTGAGATTGATCTCGCTCATAAGATCTTCCGAGACCTAGGCTATCGATTCAAGTCCCCCCGTCTGCTCCGTTCTGCCTTCACTCATCCCTCATATCCCTCTGCGTGGTCCAAGGTCCCTTGCTACCAGCGATTGGAGTTCCTCGGAGATGCTCTACTTGATATGGTATGCATCGAGGACTTGTTTCGCCGGTTCCCAGACAAGGATCCACAGTGGTTGACTGAGCACAAGGTAAACATACTCTTTGAATTTAGATACGGCATTCTCTAATCAGAATTTAGATGGCCATGGTTTCAAACAAATTTCTCGGCGCACTTGCAGTGAAACTGGGATTTCATCGCCATCTTCAGCATTTCAGCAACCCTCTCCAGTCAGGCGTCACGCAGTACGCCGAGGATATTCAGATTGCCGAAGAAGAAGGCAATGGGATGATGGACTATTGGTTGGGGACCAAAGATTCCCCAAAGGTAAGCTCAATTTGATTTGATGAATATAAAGTTTACTAACAATAAGGAAACAGTGTCTGCCGGATATGCTCGAGGCATATCTTGCCGCTGTCTTTGTCGATTCAGACTTTGACTACAAGGTCATTGAAAATTTCTTTACCCGTCACATCAAGCCTTATTTCGTTGACATGTCCTTATACGACACCTTCGCCAACAAACACCCAACGGTAAGAGATCTATCTACTCACTTTTATCACACTTTCATTTTAACACAAGTCAAACAGACATATTTGTACAACCAGCTGACCAACGTCTACGGATGCGGAGAATATTGTCTCAAGTCGGGGGAGCTTCCAGTAGTGGATAATGAGCAGCCAACCATTCTTGCTGCCGTGATGATACACGGAATCTGTGTTGCGGATTCTATCGGAACGTCGAGCCGATATGCCAAAGTCCGGGCGAGTGAGAGAGCTTTGGAAGCAATCAGTGGGATGCTCCGGGATGATTTCCGCAACAAGTATGGCTGCGATTGCCGCGCCTCCGACGTTGAGAATGTGAAAGATGCCGACACTGGAACTGCGATTTGATCGCTCGTTTCTGTCTCTCTTTTTTTTTTTTTTTTTTCCGAATGCGTTTGACGCTTGGACTTTATTTTAAGCCAACAAATTGCATTTCTTGGTCTTTTGCGCGAATGTCAATTTGCTACGATGTTTACGTAGTTAAAGTAGCTTGAAGCACTGAAAAAGCATTAATTTCAGTGTAAAGGTTCGATACTATTTCATACATCTCAATCTCGTTCTCATCACTTTGACTATGAGCCCAAGCCAAAAGCTTTCATCACGGCCTAGGAAGGCTGGTAGTTTTATTTACTGGCAAACGCCCGTGGCCTGGTCAGGGGTTTGCTAATAACTTAATTAGCCTCCAACCCATATCATGTCAATCTATAATCTGAAATGATTCACTCACCAAGCAAAAGTTACTTGTACAGATTCCAATACTTCCATCCTGTTTACAGGCAGCGCCAGTTGCGAGCTAAAATCTAAATTAGATGACTAGAAAATCTAATTTCTTTTTATCTTTTTTTGGGGTATCATACCTTTGCAGGAGTGGCCATGTCGTTGGCCATGACAGCACCGACCATGGCAAAAAGGGCAATGAGGATGTAACGCATGTTGGCTGGCAAGTTTGACTGAGTGGATATTTTGTATAGAAGACTTTGGACTGGCTTGTTTCAATCCAGCAGAATATGGTATTTATACCTCGTCATGAGCTCTCGACAGCAGTGTTTGACTCTTCTATTGCTTCGGTCTTTGTTGAGCTACATAGACATTTTGTATGGAGCTAGGACTAATTGAAACCCGTCTCCTGTTGCCAGTGACTACCCAGTCCAAAAATAGGCATGAAACTACTTTTTTTATTGCATACCTGACTGTGTTGTCCTACAATACCCCCTCCGTAGGCTTGGCAGGGGTCTGCATCTATCCGATGAACGGGCTATTTACTCAAATCTTTAATTCCATGACTTATATGAAAGGTGGGTTTCTCATTGCCTTTCCAGTTTTCATGCTGTCTATCATTTAGTTAAATCGATAATTTCAAAATCTAATCTGAGCAACAATATACGGTAGATTTTCCTCATGAAGTATACCAAGCTTAGAGCCTAGACCAACTCAGAACTTTGCAGGTCTATCGGGTGCTACACCGACTCGGCCTGGAATTTGACCCCTGAAGAGACGGTACACAGAGCAGTGGGGATATCAAGGAACACCTAGCTCATGAGAAAATTCGACTAATTTCTAGATTCCAACTGAACTTCTCCGAATGTAAAATCTTGACATGTTTCATACCTCTTTTGGACTATTGATCCGAAGGACTTGGTGGAATCATTGCAGAGCTTTCCACACTTTGCCAACCCTTCGCCTGTAAGCTCGGTACCAGGTCAGGCACATTGGGTAGGTATGTAGCAAATTTCATCGTTGCTGCACCTTGGTTGCTTGTCGAGCATGCAATGTATCAGCTACTAATAATGCAACCCTTATAGAAATTCGATGAGTCACTCAATGTTAGAGTAGAACGAATCTCTTGGGGTTATTTGGACCGTTCGGTATAGACTTCTCTCTTCTGATGTCGATGATATCATTTTCAAGCTTCTATCAAACACGCTCAGGCGTGGAGCATAGATAAGCGAACCGAAATACGTGAGCCACCGAGGCTAAAGCAAAGTGGAGCAAAGTAGCCCTGAGTATCTACTATATACTAGTGACGTTCACTCACCAGTATGAGGAGAGTTGATGACTGTGTACTTCAAGGATAAAAGAAAGTACCATAAGTCATAAGGCTTGAGGCATCCGAATCACTTATGTAGTCAAATGCCGCCAAATCCTGAGGGCAACCCTTTTCACCATGCAACGGCTATGATGCAGTAATCTTACTTCTGTATCTAACTTGATGCATTGCTATATGTTTTTGATTCCCTTTCTGCTTGCATTCTTGGTGGCGGAGAAGAGACGGAAGCACGAAAGGTGGGTAGGTGATCGATGTACAGTCTCTAGCCCCGAAACTGAGGGAAACACTCTTGCACGGCTATGTGTTCAGTCTCCTTGGTCATAACCAACCGCCTAGACAGATGCGCCACGCCACATATTATGGGGTATTATATCTTGAATGATGGTTCATCTCATGTTTGCTTTGATGATTATACATTATCTGGCAAAATACTGTAGACCACCTCAAAGCGGATATACGTGCAGAAGCTATGATTCAGCTGCAAAAGCAAAAAAGCCCTACGCGTTGACCGCTACTTCTCTGCACGAATTCCATATTGCTTTTTGAGTTGGTTGAAGAACGATCGACTCTGATCATTACCTAATGTAGCAGCTATGGGCCTTGTTTTACAGATCACATCGTGGAGCTCATATACATGTGCATAAAGTCTATATTCGTGCAACGATATAGAGAGGCGCTTTTACTGTATCATTGTCCGAAGACAATGCAATCTGCAGGAGAACGTAATCTAATTCGGTGGTGGTCTCTGCAGTCATCACTAGTGCGTCAGTAGATGCTTTTGGGAGACGTCGATTGGGAGTATCTACGCGTATGGCTATCCAATCAGAGCTCATATCAACTCAAAGATTAAAAAAGGGGTTTGAGAAAGCTTGCAACTCATAGCTGCTCATGTGGACTTGTGGAGTTTTGGTTCCAGGTTTGAGAAGGATCATAAATGTATTGTACACAGTCAATGCTCAAGCTCTTACGGTATAAGTAAACGCCTACCCCATCACCCTCCCTCAAGAATTTGACTTTCCATTCGGAATTTTCTTTATATCATGGGATCTATCACTCTTTTACAGCGGACTCTGTTACGCATTACCGACGATATAGCTGTCAGTGACCCTGATCGGCTATATTGCGTTCAATCAATCTCGCTCGATGTCTCGCAGGGATGGAAGGATATTACATTCTCAGGCCTTGTAGCTGCCGCCAATCGCATGGCTCAATGGATTGAACAGAATGTGGCACCTTCTGGTACCTCAGAAACTTTGGCTTATGTTGCTACCAATGACGTTCGCTATGCCGCATTCATTTTAGCGTGTATGAGATTGCGGCACACTGTAAGTGATTATTACCCTCAATATAACCTTAAAGGTTGCTCTGACGAATCTCTAGGCACTTCTGCTATCAACGAGAAACTCTGAGCAGGCATCGCGTCATGTAATGAGCGCCACTGGCTGTACGAAAATTGTCTATACTTCGGAACGAAACCGACAGATCGGCGATCTTACAGCCGCCGATACTTCTTTAAAGGCTTGGGAAGCCCCGGGTCTATGGGAGACATTCGACGACAACTCACCGAACCCTGTGATCCAGGAACCGGTTGAGGACCATGAAGATCGGGTGGCAATTTACATACACAGCTCTGGAACAACAGGTATGACCGAGCAATTGAAGGCTTGCATTTGCATCTCTTTCCATGAATGGAAATATTAACTATTCCTGTAGGAATGCCCAAACCAGTTCCAATGACCAATGGCTATCTCATTGCCCTGGACGGGCTTGGCTGTCTTCCAGTACCGGAGAACAGATCACCAAGTATGCATTTCCCTGCCCTACGAGGTGTACGCGGCGTTGCTATGAGCCCTTTCTTCCATCTCATTGGCATATTGTATATTATCTCGCCGATGTTCTTCTCCACTCCCTTTGTTTTGAGCCCGGACAAGCCCATGACAGCAGAACTGCTGGCCCAGATTATCGAAGACAAAAGGCCTCCCGTTGGCATATTTGCTCCTTCTATTCTCGAGGACCTTGTTGGATCGGAGCTGGGAATCCAGTGCTTGAAGAGTTTTGACTGGATTTCCTACGGGGGTGCAGCTTTGGCCCCTGAGGTTGGAGACCGCATCGTCGAATGGACACACCTGCAGACAGTACTGGGAACAAGTGAATGTGGGATTCTTGGAGGGTTAAAAACTCGAGACAGAAAGGACTGGGCATATTTTGAGTGGAATCCACATGCTGGGCTCGAAATGCGCGATGCCGGAGAAGGCTTTTTCGAGCTTGTAGTCCCGCGTGCAAAGAGTCGAGATGCCCAGTGCGTCTTCCACACCTATCCCGACAAGTCAGAGTATCAAACCGGTGACTTGTTTGTTCCTCACCCAGAGAAAGATTATTTATGGCTCTACTGTGGTCGCAAAGATGATATCATTGTTCTGAGTAATGGAGAAAAGTTCAATCCAACTACTATGGAGGAAATTATTACTGGGCATCCCCTTGTCGCCCGATGTGTGGTGATTGGTCAAGGTCGCTTCCAGTCTTCAGTTTTGATTGAGCCCAATTGGGATACATGGAGTGGCGACGCAAGTGAATTGATCAATGAGATATGGCCTACTGTCAAAAAGGCAAATGAAGCTGCTCCAAGGCACGCGGAATTGATGAAAAATCGCATTGGAATTTCGACTCAATCGAAGTCATTCCAGCTAACACCGAAAGGAACCATCAAGCGAAGATCTGTCCTGGCTGATTATGAAGAGGAAATTAACAAGCTTTACGCAGATTACGACCAGGCCGACGTTGCACAGCTTGCCAAAGAGGCTACTCAACAAGAGATCACTTCGTATATCACGGCAGCTCTCTCGGAGATTTTGGATGTTCCTACTTTTGATGGGAATGCAGACATTTTTGCATTGGGCCTCGATTCCCTTCAAACACTCCGTCTAGGCCAAGTCCTTCAAGCATCTCTTCGGACTGCACGTCCCGATCTCGGTGCTGCATTTGGTAGCCCACAGCTTTACTCCCTACCGACAGTCGCCCAGCTCACTGGATATGTCTCTGGTCTGCTTCAGGGTCAAAGTTCGGGTCTCGCTGAAGTTGCTGAAGAAAGCGAGAGCGAAAGAGAAGCAAGAATTGCGGACCTGGTTGGAAAATATACCGATGATCTCGGAGAAAGCCACGCGGTGATTCTCACTGGCTCTACAGGCTCTCTTGGGGCCTATTTGCTATCTGAGCTCCTTCGTGATCTCAGTGTTACCAAGATCTACTGTCTCAACCGATCTGCAGATGCAGCCGCACGACAGTTGTCAAGCCTGCAAGAGAAAGGCCTTGCCTACTTCAAGCAGTTCCCCCGTCGGGTAGAGTTTCTCCAGGCCCAGTTTGGGGCTGAAAGACTCGGGCTGGAAGATTCCAAATATGAAGAGCTTTTGCAGGGCGTCGACACCATTATCCATAACGCATGGAAAGTCAATTTCAATCACCGAGTGGAGGCCTTTGAGCAGACCCATATTGAGGGAGTGCGTCGCTTGGTCGAATTCAGTATCTCCAGTGATCGAAATGCCCATATTCATTTCATATCGTCCATCTCCACTATCGAGGGATATAGTCCTGAGCGCGGCCCATCCATTCCTGAGGTGATCTACAATGATCCCAGCTCGGCACTTCGTCAGGGATATGGAGAGTCAAAACATGTATCCGAGAGGATTTGCGCGGCTGCTTCTGCCCGAGCTGGCGTTCCTACCAGTATTCATCGAGTGGGACAGATCGGGGGACCAACAACTGAGAAGGGAATGTGGAATAAGCAAGAATGGCTTCCGTCGTTAGTCGCAACGTCTAAAACCCTTAAGCAGATTCCCAAGTCTTTGGGGTCAATTACGGTGCAGTGGGTTCCAGTGGTATGTGTTGTGTCCACATCTAAGTCTCATGGTCACCTGCCCATCTAACGCTACTTTTATTATAGGACGTCACTGCTAAGGTCATTGCCGAGACGGTTCGGACTCGACGAACTACACAAGAAGATGAGCCATGTGCCGCTTTCCACATCGTCAATCCCAGAGTGGCGGAATGGCCATCGTTGATCCCCGCCGTGACCAAGTTCTTTGACGTCGAGCCTGTCGATTTCCCAACATGGATAAAATCTTTAGAAGGCTTCACCAACCCTACGGAAAATGACCTTAAGGATAAGCCCGCTCTCAAAATCTTGGACTTTTTCCAAGCCTTCGCAGCGCTCGAGGAGGCGGGTCCGTGGACCGAGACAACAAAGACACAAGCCGCCAGTAAGACTCTGCGAGAGCTGAAGGCCATTGATGCTCCATTAATGGAGAACTGGATGAACCAGTGGAAATTTTGATCCAAAATTGCCATGATGCTCGGCTGAGCAAGTCAACGGCGCCTATCCATTAGCTAGTCTCGGGATTCTTGATATATTCAATAAGAGTTTTTGTTTCTTCATTGGTTACTGTCCTTGTGACCCGTAGTCCTGTGTCGCAACATACGCCTGAATATAGTGTGAGGACGCCAACCTTGGTTGCAAGCATATAAACTCTTTCCATTTGCGCTAATAATGTTATTTCACGATAACAGCCGCACCACACCGGCCAGGTTCGAGAGTCAGTGTCGAAGAAACCTTCCTTAATCTCAAGGCTCAATTGGAACTATAATATTTTGTGGGAAATTCAAGTCATACTTATTGACACTTCAAATGAGAATCTTTAAAGCACTTTTCCATCTGCTTCGGTGGTAGATACTGTATGTACCTACGAGTGTTGGATCCAAAAAAGATATGATGTGTCACCGCCATAAAGCTTGGGCATCACCTGGATCACTTATATATATCAGCTTTGAAACCAAGGCCGAAGCCTTAAATTCACATCTACCGAGCTCTCAGATGGATTGGAACCTTGCAAATGTGAGCAATCGAAGTACAGAAAAAAGCAGGTTCTCTATGATCTATAAAATATGTACTACAGTATAAGTAAAAGTATGGAACGGTTCAGGAACGTCACATGGTTGGGCGCGACAAGTCTAACCCGATCGGGCCTAGACCCGCATCCCCTGAAGTGTACGAACAAACACCGCGTATCTGTTATCTCCAGACTACGAACGCCCTTTTTTTTTTTGTTCGACTATTCTTTTCTTCGTACTAATTAATTTAGACCTCCTTGTCTTTATTTCTCATCTCTTCGAATCCGGGTCCTCATATACCCCCCCTTTTCTCCACTACCGCTTGACGCGATCCCTGTCAACATTTAATTCTGCTCCGCCGATCGCGCTCCTCCGTCCCCAATCTTCAATGAACCCCCCGAGTCTTTCGCTCTAAGATCGAAACAAACCATGGAGGTTGCTGCGCCAGGGGCGCCAAACGGCGTCTCCACGCCTGATACGACAGCGCTGGTAGATTCTGGTGCTGTGGTCCAGTACCTGACAGATGTGCTCCAGGTAACACTGGGTGCTCTGAAATCCGAGCTGGAAAGCGCTGGGAGCTTGCTCTCCTCGGCAAGGTACAACGACACAGTACAGCGGTGCACGCGTTTTGCCTCAGAATCGCAGGTTGCGCTCTATGTGCAAAAGGATATCGTAGCTGCTGAAGAGACAAATGACGAGACCGAGGAGTCCGGTGAGTCCACCAGCCATGTTTTTCGATTCTTGCCTCCTCCAATGCTAATAACACCTATCAGAAGCTGTAATGCAGTATGTATTTACTTTATCCTCCGAGATCTCCTCCGCCTCCACCACCGTCTCATCCGTTGCTTTCATCAAACGCCCTGCCCCTATCGACCCTGGTCTTCCAATCGCCTCTCAAATCCAAGTGATGAACCTGCCTGGTATTGCCTCTCTCAGCAACTCTCAGTCACAGCAAGGAACGTCATTGTCGCCTTTCCAAATTATCCACTTGATGCTCCACCATGGTCTCAGTCCCTACTTCGAAGCCAACACTCGCAGTCAAGACCTCGTCTCCGGCACTAAGCCGAGGACAGACACGGAGGCGAAAACTGGTATCCCGGGAACGAAGAAGAAGTTTGCTGAGCTGGAGTTGGCTTTTATGCATCTCCAACAGAATGTGGAGATTCCGGCTTTGAATCTGCCACTCCACGAGGTGGTCCATGCTGCGCTGAAGGAAGCCGAGACGAAGGGCATCCGGCCCTCAGTTGAGCTAATCCCGTCTACGGTGCTGGATAATAGTGCTTTCACAAACAGCATCCAGAACACTGTGAATGGGTGGATCAGATCAATTCAGACAATCACTAAGATGTCGCGGGACCCGGAAGGCGAATCAGCGTCACCAGAGGTTAACTTCTGGTTGTCGATGGAGTCTGCCCTAGAAGGAATCGAAGGTCAGCTGCAAAGCGATGGCGTGAAATTGACTATGGATATTCTACGCCATGCCAAGCGATACCAACCTACCCTCAGTTTCCAGGCAGATACTGGGCTGAAAGATGCCACAGAGTTGGTCCAGAAATATAACCAGCTAATGCGCGACTTTCCTTTGGATGAACTGCTCTCCGCGACTTCTTTGCAGAAAGCCCAGGAGTCACTTGGTCTGATCTTCAATCACTTGAACAAGAAGCTGAAGATCTGCCCTTACCCTATCAAGCGTGCTCTTTCTCTCGTTGAAGCGATTTCAGGCGACCTGGACAAGAAAATCCATGAATTAATCAACGGCCGTGAGATTTTGCACCTCGATTATCGCGAGTTCCGGTCCTTAATGAAGGTTACCCAGGCAATCTGGCGTACTTGGGACGAAAATCTGAAGGAATTCACCAATGTGGCGCGAGAGTCTACTAGGCGCCGCAATGAAAAGTTCATTCCGATCAAGATTAATTCCAGGATTGATAACGTTCGAGAACGATTAAAGTACATCGATACTTTCCGGGTCAACCACGAGCAACTCCAGAAGACCATCATCAATGTTCTCGGGCCCAAATCTTCACCTGCTGAGACGGGCGCAGTAGACGCCGATGGTGCTGTCATTGTAGAGGAAATCGGTGATGTCGATGCCGTTGAAGAAGTCACGCATGCCTACACTGCTCTCCAGAATATCGATGTGTTGGACGTCTCCCCCGAAGGAGCTCGAACTTGGGAAAATGCCGAGATTGGCTACAGTGAGCGCACGTCTCGCGTCGAAAACTCCATTATCGCTCGACTCCGCGATCGTCTTGCCACAGCTAAGAATGCCAATGAGATGTTCCGTGTCTTCTCCAAATTCAATGCTCTGTTGGTTCGACCCAAAATTCGTGGTGCCATCGGCGAGTACCAGACACAGCTCATTGACAATGTCAAGCGCGACATTTCTTCCCTCCATGAACGATTCAAGCAACAGTACGGTCACTCTGAAGCCCATGCTATGGCACAGCTGCGTGATCTGCCACCCGTTTCCGGAGCAATTATCTGGGCTCGGCAAATTGAACGCCAGCTGGATGGCTACATGCGTAAGGTGGAAAATGTTCTTGGAGAAGACTGGCACTTGCACGCCGAAGGTGAGAAGTTGCAGTCTGAAAGCAACCTTTTCCGCAAGAAGCTGGACACGCGCCCTGTATTTGAGTCCTGGCTCTACGATGTGCAAAGACGGCATATCACAATCTCTGGCCGACTATTCAATATAGTCCGCAATCGTGCCGCTGGAAATACCCTGGAGCTCACAGTCAACTTTGATGCTCAGATCATTGCGCTGTTCAAGGAAGTTCGAAACCTCATTTGGCTGAACTTCCAGGTTCCTCACGCCGTGAGCAACATCTCAAAAGAAGCGAAGCGTGTCTACCCATATGCAATTAGTTTGATGGAAAGTGTAAGAACCCTCCTACAGACAAATCGTACTATCGCTTCTATGTCCGATGTTGCTATTCTGCTAAATGGCTACATGAACGACTCCCAAGCCATGGTCAGCAAGGGTATTCCACTCCGGTGGGAATCATTTGTTCATTCCTATGAGCTCCATGTAAAGCAATCAGCTTTGGCCAATGGGGCAATTGATCCATCCAAGCCCAGGAGTACAGAAAGCAAGCATGTCCAGTTCGTGCGTGAATTCGCTGGCTCAGCATCTGTTCTCCAAACCAAGACCTCTGTCCTCTCTTCGATCAACGAGAACGTTCAAAAATCCATTCATGAATTGAAGACCTGCTCTTATAATGCTTCGTCATTCAAGCAGCGTCTAGATATCATCCAGACCGCCGTGGATAAGCTTAACCTGGAGAACTACGTCAATCTTGGCTACTGGGTTTCGGAGCTCAATGGCAAGATCGAAGCTATTCTACGAGAGCGCCTTCTTCGCGCTATCCGCGAATGGATCACCACTTTCCAAGAGTCTCGCAATGGAAGCACATTCATTCAGGCTAATGGTGAAGTAGAGTCCACTGTCAACCGCATCCAATTCTCTGAACTATTCCATGAGATTTCCATGAAGAACCAAGTCCTTCATCTTGATCCGCCTCTGCAATTCGCTCGTGCTAGCTGGTTCTCGCACTTTGACTCGTGGCTCGGCGTGATCTGCAATCTTGAGAAGATCAAAGCCACTCGCTACCAAATTTCAATCGATGTGCAGAGTGTGCGTCAGTCAGAAGCTTGCTTTGCCGAACTCCCGCAGCACTGCACCAGTGAACTTAACCAAGTATATGGCGCGGTGGAGTCTCGACTCAAAGATGTATCGGAGTATGTTGACAAGTGGTTGCAGTTCCAATCACTATGGGACTTGCAGTCCGAGCAGGTGTACGATATCCTAGGAGACGATCTCTCTCAGTGGTTACAGCTGCTTCAAGAGATTAGAAAGAGTCGCGCCACTTTCGATACTTCCGAGGTTAGTCGATCGTTTGGCAACATCAGAATCGACTATGAGCAAGTGCAGACAAAGGTCAACGCCAAATATGACCAGTGGCAACATGAGATCTTGCAGAAGTTTGGTGCTAAGCTTGGCGGTCGCATGCGTGAGGTCCACTCGGAAATTGCAGCTGCGCGCCGTGACCTGGAGGGACAGACCTTGGAGGCTTCGTCCACCGCCCATGCTGTTTCTTTCATCACTATTGTTCAACAATGCAAGCGTAAGACCCGCGTTTGGGAACCCGAAGTCGACATGTTCCGCCAAGGTCAAACCACGCTCACTCGCCAGCGATACCAATTCCCGAATGACTGGCTTCATGTAGAGAATGTTGATGGTGAATGGGCCGCTCTCAATGAGCTTCTCACTCGGAAGAGCAAAATTGTTCATGATCAGACTGAGGGTCTTCGTGCAAAGATTACCGCCGAGGATCGTGTTATTAGCGACAAAATTGCGGAAGTCATATCTCAATGGAATGATGAGAAGCCAGTCTCGGGTACCATTCCCCCTGAAGAGGCATCCCGCACCTTGAGCTCTTTTCA